GGAATGTCATTCCGGCAGAAATTCCCCAGTTGTTGGTGCCTTGCAGATTCCCACACGATCGCTCTGGCTCGGCAATATCGATCCTACCTTGACGGTGAACGACTTGGTATGTCTTTTTTCTCAGTACGGTGAGATTGACAATGTGCGGATATTGCCGGACCGAGAGTGTGCGTTTGTCAATTACACCACGACCGATGATGCTTTACGCGCCAAGGAGGTATTGAACATGATGGGCAATCGTCTGGGTAATATGACTCTCAAAGTGGGGTTCGGAAGACCCGAAGCGGTTCCGCAATCGGTTTGCGGAGAAATGGGAATCAACGCACAAGGACCCACTCGAGCATTATGTAGGTTGCATTTATTTGTTTTTCCTTTACCTTTTTTCTCTGGCGGTCCTTTTTTTTTTTTTTCTCCTTGCTCTGTACCGTTGGGCCTTTTTTTTCTCTTTGACAGACTGATCTTTTGTTATTTTGAGAATCGCTCACTGAAAAAAAAAAAAACCTTAATCTCACTGAATAGGGATTGGAAACATACCTGGGCCCACGACGTCTTCGGCGCTCCTGTCAATCTTTTCGGTCTATGGTGCCATCGAATCAGTTCGTGTGCTGACGCATAAAAACTGCGCCTTTGTGAACTTTGAACAGCAAGAAGATGCCGTACGTGCAAAGAAAGCTTTGCATAATAAAGAGATCACGGGCCCTGGCACCGGCGCGGTCCGCATTGGGTTCGCCAAAGTCCCGACAAAAACAACAAACTTGTCACCCTCCGGTGGAACAGCCGTCGACGGATTCGATGCGACCATGCAATCCGAAAAGTCCAAATCGCCTTTGAATTGGCCCTCGTCTTCGCCAAACAATACCAATATGGATGGGTATCAAGCCCAACAAATGATGATTTACATGATGACAGAAATGATGGGCGGCGATTCCGCCAATATTTTTGCGGCCGTAGCGGCCGAAAGACAACTCATTATGAAGGAATTTGGAGAGGAAGATAATGACGGTCCTGTATTTGATGGTAGGAAAACATGATGATATAGAGTACAAGGAGCTGTAGTCTCATCAAAGACTTTTTTTTTTTCATCATGGCAGAACTCCATATGCCTGCCGCATACTATTCCACGGTTCCTGCTGCTCCTGAACTAGGCCAGACGCGTAAAATTGATATTGCTCGCTTGCGTGAAATCCGTCGAAAGTTGGACATTGGAAGCTTTGTGCCTACACGGGAACTCGAAAATATCGCCAACGAATGTATCGACGAGCTTGTAGAACTTTGCAGCGGTAATGCCCTGAATTATTTGTTGTTCAGTGTCGAAGCATCCTTCAAACTTGGTTTTTTTGACATTCTCTGTATGCATGGTAGATTACATTGGTAACACAATCGTGCAGCGCCTATTTGAACGTTGTTTGGAAGGGACCAAGTCACGCATGCTGGAAGTGGTGGCGCCTTATTTGGCCTCCATCGGCGTACACAAAAACGGAACATGGGCCGCTCAAAAAATCATTGACACGGCTCGCTTGCCAAGTCAGGTAACAAAATACATTCGGAAAGCTAATCAGCCACGTCTTATTTTAACACAGTTGTGATTTCACAGATGAATCTGGTTTGCGCCCACATCAAATACTACGTGCCGGCTCTCCTGTTGGACCAATTTGGCAATTACGTTGTTCAAGGTTGTCTCAGTTTGGGCCCCGAGCAGAATCAATTCATATTTGATGCTATTGTTGACAGCTGTTGGGAGATTGCTCAAGGACGATTCGGAGCTCGGGCCGTACGAGCCACTCTGGAAAGTCCCCATGTGACCAAACGTCAACAGGTATGTTGTTATAGTTGATCAACCAGAAAAAGAATAAGCGAGCCTGCCTTGGGACGTGACAGGCTGTGATTTGGGAGAGCAACACATATTAAAAAGTAAGGGTTTCTGGTTGTGTTTCGATAGAAATATGTTGCTGCGACACTGGTTCAACACGCATTGCTACTTGCTACAAACGCGAATGGAGCGCTCTTACTGATCTGGTTACTGGATACGTCGGGTATTCCTGGAAGATATCGCATTCTCGCCCCGCGTCTCACTCCGCACTTGGCTCGTCTGTGTACCCATAAACTGGCTTCACTCACGGTGTTGAAACTGGTCAACCAGCGACAAGAGCCTGATGCACGTACACTGATACTGGACACCTTATTCTTCGCCCCGACCGATCAAGTGATTGACGAAATCCTGATGGATCAGGTTCACGGGGTGGGCGTGGTGCAGAAAATCTTATCCAGTTCCTACGTCGAACTGCGAGAACGACAACGGATTGCCGAACGCGTCAAACAGTTGCTTGGAAAATTAAAGTTGCAGCATGTGCAAGGTTACAAGCGGCTCATGGAAGAAATCAACATGGTGATGGGCGATTCCAATCCTGTGGCCAGTCTGGCAACGCTTCCCGGCTTTGTGCCACCTTCCTTTATCAATCCTGAATTGGCAGCCGCTTTGCACGCAAAATACATGGCCGCCGCAGCCACAGCAACCGGATACTCAGCGTCGCAAATCCAGCCAACAGGTGACAATGATACCAACGAGTCGTCGTCGTCGTCGTCAGAAAATAACATGACCGACGGTACCGGTACTTCCAGCTTGCAATCGCAGGCTTTGGCGGCTGCCGCCATCATGGCGAATTTTTATGCAGCGGCCAGTGCGTCCTCATCGAGCATGCCTACTCCAGGGGCATTTTCAGATGCTCTCGGATTTCTCAAATTGGCACATCAACAGCAGCAACAGCAGCAGCCGCCACCCCTTGCATCCACTGATGAGAGCCACAGTCGACGTACGTCGATGCAAGACAAGGAGGAGGAGGAGGTGGATACCCAGGCATCTTTATGATGAAACATACCAAGCCAACTATTTTTCTCTTTCACGGTCGGCTGAATGATGATACCCCTTTATAGAAAATATCAGATTTTATCAAAAAAGACTTTCACCCCCATTTTGCATTCCATCTTTCTTTTTTTCTTTCTATTTTTTTTTTTTTTTTTTTTTGCTATTCATTGTTTCTTTCCTTTGTCAACCTTGTAAGAACTGTTGTTTTTGCCCTTTCACGCTATCCTTATCCTTATCTTTATCCTTTATTTATGTTTGCTTTTCCTTTTTGCCTGTTTTCTAGTTTCCCCTTCCCCTTTTTTTTCTTTGTTCAAGTCTTCACGCACTGAGTACATAATGCACGCTATACTATGTTTTTTCTCTTTTATTTTTCTTTCAATAGGTCATGAATTGTCGCGAATATAAGGTTTCATAAAAATGGTATTTTCACATTCATCGTTGCATGGTTTGAACCATATTACACAGTGTTGCAGATCTCTCTTTGGTCACATAGCCAGTAAATGGCACAGCAATGGGGGATGACTCCTTTGGCGAAGTTAGATCGATGATAGATATCCTGATGATACTATTCGTACTGCAAGTGATATGTTATAAGATTGTGGGAAAACATGGAATGACTGTTTCTATTGTCGGCTGTATAAATGGCAGAAATACAAAATGGAAGGAAGGTTTGGTATAAATGAATATGGACATCAGATGAAAAAAAAAAAAAAGAAAAAGCGAATATACAATGATAGGAAGTGGGGGGGGGGAATATTTTAGTTTGAGAGAGAAGAAGATTGAGAGGTCACAGGCGAAAGTGACAGCCGAGGGCGTTTGTGAGTAGGTTGTTCGGGGGATAGACTTTGGTGGTCTGATGTGATTGATGCAGATGCTGAAATGGCTTTTAAAGCCACAGACGATGAAACAATCGTCGTCGTGGGAATCAAAAGTGACCTTAAATATGCATTCTGTGGAAAAAAGTAGATATCTTACGGTCAGCATGGAAAAAGAAAGCCATATTTTTGGAGTGCATGTTAAATTTACCTCTTTCTCTAGTTCTTGCATTCTTTTAGTATCTGATTCTTTTTCGTCTCGAAAGTGAATCATCAAGTTTTCGAGCTGTGAGACGCGATCATCGAGATTGGATGGTGCGTTATGTCGTTTTACGATAGCGGGACCCGTGCAGGTGGAAGAGGAGGAAGTAGTAGTAGTAGCGGGGTGAGAAGACTGCGATGATATGGAGGAACACGATGAAGCTCCTGATATCTGTGGTTGAAATGCATGATTAGGATCAAGTACAGCGTGAGTCGGCTGCAGTTGTTTTAACGCATCTTCAAGTTCTCGGACGCGGTCTTCAAGCACACGACATTTGTCCTGCAGTTCTTTTTCCCGTTGTTTTCGACGGTCACGAAATCGAGCGGACGCACCGGCGTTCCGTCGTCGCTTTTCCGCCAATACTTCTTCAGAACTCATGCCTCTGGTGTTGGGTGACAGCGACCCGACAGGATCGGAGGCGCGACGCACCGCCGGTGGATCAAGCCCTGCCATGGACGTTGGATGATGTAATGGTGTTTGGCCCTGAGACTGGGTCAACTCGGATGCATGGCGATGGTAAGCAAAAGACATGGCATCGTTACCGTGGGGATTCGTGTGGGTAGAAAAAGCCTGACTGATTGCGTTGTTTTGGGCCGGCGGTGAATGAGTATGCCATGATTTACTGGATGTAAAATTGAGAGGGGTGTGAGCGAAAGCTGATATGGGTGGCAGAAGCGTAGGAAGTGAAGACGGAGAAGACGTCATGATTCAATATGTTTGATGATGATCTTTTTTTCTCTTTTGTTCTGCTTGAAACAAGGAAGATGGAGTCGGAAAAAAAAAGAAGGGACGCAGATATTTCTGATTTATGTGCATCACACTGGGCATTCAATGAGAAGTAAGATTTGCCGATTGCGCCATCGGATGGCGACATTTTAATGGCTGATTGCGATCGCTTGCGCCGAAATGGTTAATCCCGCTTACCAGCGACCAATCAGATCCTTTACAGCCTCCTGCTTTATTTGCGTGTGGCTTCCGTTGGAAAATTTGATGTTTACAACTACCACGCTCCTGCATTGGCTTCGTGACCGAATGCAAGAAAAAGGTCCAAGTTCCTTATGTTGATTGATCTCAAATTTATTCACAATACTGTCTATCACTGGGAAACAAGATGATAGCCTCGCAGATATTGTCCTTTGGGTTCAGACTGTCTGTTATGCCATATTGTGGAAATGATGCAATTTGTTGTTACTATGATCAAATGAGTGATTTTGGAAGTATACAGCAAGTTTGCCCAAAACGAGGCAAACAAAAGGTACTTGGCAACGCAGCGCTATCTATAAATGAACTCTTTGGCCGTAAGTGCCCGCTTAATTTCATGACCGAACTCAAGCGTCGATGATCATTTAGCGGTTGGATAGCAGGTGTGAGGAAAATTATTGACAAATGCAAAAAACAGTTATCAAACGAATCCATATATCACCAATCGTCATCTAAAAGACGATTGACAAAGACGAATCACTGAAAGGGTCATGATGGCAAGTTGGATACAAGAAAAATTTATGCGACCCACGCTTTGATGATTTTTTTTTTCCCGGAATGGATGCAAATGAGATCGCTTGGTCACACCAACTTATATTTGGACTTTCATGTGAAACTGCTGCTTTGCGGTCGTCATCAGATACTCTTTTTTGCCGCAGCCGCTGATGTCAAGAAGATTATACCACTAGTTGATTGAAACAAGAAAAATGCAGTAGAAGCGTCCCTTTTAAGTGAACGCTTTGACTGGAAAGAGATAACAAATAAGAATTGTTTGCTATATTGTCAGGCCATAAGTAGGAACATTGGCGTAATATTTACAAGAGTAGCTTCCTCTCTTGAGTGAAAGCGGACATGAAAAGGTCATGGCAATGTATGCAATGTTTAATCCTGATTGTGGAGTTACTTTGCTCAAAGAGATTTAAACTTTTCAAGCAAGAGATCTGTACTGAGAAGATGAAGGGTGAATAAGAAATGAACTGATGACAAAGGGCTTCGGAAGGACCTAGAAGTGGGATCATGTCATTGTTAATCCCCAAATAATAAAAGCAACATAATCAAGTGAAAAAAATAAATAAAAATAAAGGTGGGAGCATTTTCCTTTTTATCTGCATATGTGAATGATGCACATCCATCACATTTTGGCGAGAAATTACCATTTCAGGTTACATAGTATCACCAACCTGGCAAGTTGGGCACACGGGATGTCCAGTTTTAAAAGATGCTTATATCATTTTCCCATGCTAATGAAAAGATTAAACTTTTTTTTTTCTCATGTTCGTGAAGAAAAAACTGTCGATACGATCGACAGATAGTGTGGGTGCATATCCTTTGTAGAATTAAGGGACTTTAGCTAAAAGTAAAACAACAATTTGATTTCTTTGAATGACCGTCGTCACTTGCACCTTCATGGATGCGCCATGGTACCGTCTTTGTACAGGAGTAATGTCCTCAAACATTTGTTCAATCTGCGTACGACAAAAACGGAATGTGTACAAAGTAAGTATCTCGATTTCTATGCTACATGTGTGACACTGGCTAACGCGGATCATTCAAGTTAGATCGTAAGCAAGGCGTTCAAACAAATGGCCACTTTCACCGTGTCGAATTAGAGCATGGTTGCTGCCAAGAACATTTTATTAGATGTCCAATACCAAGTAAAGAAAACCCATCCAAAGTGATTTCAATTTTTTTTTAGTATTTTATTAGTGCTGCTCAATGCAAGAGCAGTGCGAACTCTGGTGATTGTTATATACAGATTGAGGTGATGAATTTGTAACAGGGGGATGGTTAATACGTTGAATGCAAGTGGCGATAGTAATGTAAAATGGAGTAAAACTAATTAACAAAAAAAGATATGCCGCTGGAGGAAACCCGAAATAAAGTGTAAGAAAAATGTAAATTAGATTATAAAGTGTAAGGTAGATGGACGAGAATGAGGATGATAACACGGGCCAGCGGTTGAAAAAATGGGTTCAACACAGCACTCAGTTGGAGCGAGCATAAGCAGCCGGTCGATCGTAATAGACGGCAGTGATAGGTGGCAGGACACGAGCTTCCGGTGGCAGCTCAAAGAGTTCCAGCAGACTAGGACCCACCGAGGGAGTGGTTGGTCGGTCAAACATAGAGGATTGGATGTTGCATTCAAGTGCGGCCAACTTTGGCACCTTGGGCGACCATTCGCGGGGGGACATGAGGGGGGAGCTGCCAGGTGTGATGATTTCAGAGTCCGAGTCCGAGTGATGCTTCTCCGTGAAGTAAGAGCTGGTGGTGGAGAGGGCGGGTGAAGGAGGCAACGATGGAGTGGTGGCCGGTGGCGTGCGAACGGTAGTGGTACGAGCCCGCTTGGAACTGCTGTTGTCATGCTTTGATTTGCGTTCTCGTTTCTTGTTGGGTGAAGTGTGAATACGAAGATGGCGAGTTAATTCGTCTGAGCGGGAAAAACGTTTTTCACATCCTGGGAAAGTGCATTTATGCGGCTTCTCGCCCGTGTGAGTACGAATATGACGGGTCTGATGCTCAAGTCGATAAAACGATTTAGGGCACATGGGACACTTGTAAGGACGGGGCACATTCGCCTTTTCAGCCGCGGTCATGGCTTGCTTTTTAGTGTGCGAATGGTGGGATTGACCGCGAGACAGTGATAACAGACTGGAAACGGCTTGATAAGACATTGGAGAGCAGAAAATAAATCAACAGGAACAATAAGTAAAGACGGGAAAAGAGATAAAACAGGGGAAGTAGGAAGAAAGGATGGAATCAATCAAGCTTTCATATTTATAACAAGAGAAGAGGGTAAATCGTTACCGTGGATTTGGATCTCCGCAGTGATCATGTTGAAGATAGGGGAAATGGAAAATTGGGGGGAGGAGGGGGTCGCGGATGAAAAAAAAGGAAGGCCAGGAAAATTTTTTTAAGACTTGACCCCACATGCGAATTGAGGGGTTCACTGAGGCAGGCAAAGTGGGCGAGTGAGCTGACTGATATTTTAGGTGATAAGACGATTTCAAACAAGGGAATTGTCGACCAAAAAAAAAAAAAAAAAAAGGGTTGTGCGCGTGTGGGAGCGTCGGAAACACTAATTACCTAATTTGGGAAATCATATCCTTCATCGATTTTCTATTTTTCGAATTGCCAGGTCTCACAACATATTGGCTGGCGGAGTTCACATTACATAACACATTGCCATGGAAAAGGGAACACAACAATCACCCCACCTTCAATGCTATCGTCAAACCAAAAAAAAACTATGCAAATAAAAATAAAAAAAAATTACTATCAAAATTTCAAAAAATACTTATCACATGAAATATCAGTCAAACAAACACTCAGACGGAAACGCATATCCGCATCACCCCAGACGACACGTTCTGCCCACCAAATCAAGATTATAGACGGGTATCGATTTACTAAGCCATATCAAAGAAAAACCAGTCACTTAGGGGATGGCGTTGCTTTGGAACAACGCTTCACTGGTGATGTCCCTCCACAGCATTAGGAGGGCCCTCACCCCACCCAACTATTTTTCCCTGACCGCATCTTCTCTTTTCCGAATTCATCATGGCTCAAGTATCTACCACCACCAAGAATTTTGAAATATTTAGTCGTATTCAGCCATATGAATATCTACGACGATTTCTCGATCAGAATGTACGACCGGACGGACGATTACTCGATCGATTCCGAAAAACGCTAATTACATCGGGCGTCATTTCAACAGCCAATGCAAGTGCAATGGTACGCTTAGGTGGAACCACGGTGGTATGTGGTATCAAAGCTGAAGTGACAGAACCTAAAGTGGATACGCCCGATCAAGGCTATTTTGGTATAAAGCTTTTTCTTTTTTCACTGTTCCATAACATGATCCACGCGTGTCGATAACTCATTTTGATATTCTTGCAGTCCCCAATGTGGAATTATCGCCCCTTTGCTCGCCCAAATTTCGTCAAGGTCCTCCCTCTGAAAAAGCACAAGCGATATCCGAATTCATTCATCAATTGTTTACAAAGTAAGCGCGCTTCTTTTGAAACCAACCATCATGAGCCATTGTTTTTTTAATATTCACATTTGTGTCTGTAGATCACATATTATTCCTTTGAAGGATTTATGCATCGAATCCGGAAAAGCGGTGTGGGTGCTTCACGCAGATATTGTCTGTCTCAACTATGATGGCAATATTTTGGATGCCAGTATCTTAGCACTGGTGACAGCTCTCAAAGATCGTAAGTGGTCGAAATGGCATTTTATTTTCTTCTATGGGATCGAGTCTTAAACGTAGGACTATTTCTGTTGTTAGTGACGTTGCCAAAGGCGGAAGTGTCTCCTGCCATGGTCGTCGAAGCGGATCCTTCCCAACCGACTCGCCCTATTCAACTTGAACGATTCCCTGTATCCTCCACCTTTTGCATTTTCAACCAACCCAACGTTTTATTATGTGATCCCAACGATACCGAAGAAATCCTGGCTAAGGAAACCATGGTCGTCGTCGTCGATACAGATGGCAACATTTGTCGTGTGCATAAAAATGGAGGAACCAGCATGAGCACCGATATGCTCCGCACATGTTTCGAGCGCGCCCGCGAGCGCATGGAAGAAGTGAAAAAACTGATTGACGAAGCTATCAAAAAATAATAAATCACAACCTTTTACTCATATGCCTTCGAAGATAAAAAAAAGTGCTAATGCTTGATGTCCATAAGCTTCATGGAAACAAGGAACTCCGCAGTAATAATAGATTGTCGTTTTTGGATCGAGGGTGATCATGCATATTTGGCATGCGTTGCACCATCTCCACCTTTTGTCTTCACTTTCATTTCAAGTATACTGTATGACTACATGAGGTTAGCTTGCTACTTTTTTTCCCCATTGTTCAAGGTGATGGCATCAATTTTTATCACCTCATTCTGTATTGCAGCTTGGCCAAAAGTACAATGACTGCCATTGTTCAACGTAATACCAAATTCTTGTATTATTTTTTGCCACAAAAATCATACGCTTTTTTTTCACTTGCGATATTTGGATTGAACCCTAAGATGTGATCAACAAATCTTTGCCAAATCCATGCCATCTTACGATTCAAAGGATATCAGTTGTAATCTATGTCAAAGTTGGTGCCCTGAGGTGAATACTCCGTAACCGTGCATAATTTTTAAACTCCCGACTATGCTTTTTTGATTTTGCCTTACTAAGGGAATTTGAAAAAGCGGCGGAGAGACAATGGCTGTTTCTTGTCAAAGTGAAATGCCGATATCAAAACTCCGTCCCAGGCTTTTGGGGGAGAGAAAAACTATGGAGGGACAAAAAATTCTTTGTATTTTCCATTCCTTCCACAAACTGATCATAAAATATACAGTGGAATTCGTTGGAGGTTTATAGAATTGCGAATTTGTTGCAGATGTTTCTTTTCTGCCTTCTCTCAACGATCAGATGAATCTGAGACATCGTATTTCGATCTATTCAAGGGTCTTTTTCCACCAATCTCAGCAAAGGAAACCCCTTTTCTCAAAAGAAAAACGTTTTGCCCGCATTGTTTCAATGATCTGAAATTCTCCAACAACTCAAAAAAAAAAAGAAATCGAACCCTCATGATCATGCGCCACAAGAACATATTCAGTCGGCCAATCTTTTTTGTCTTCTCCCGTGGGATGCCATGTTTGCCACTTTAATAATGTTTAAATGAGGATGATTGTGTAATATTTCTATGGGATGATGCAGAAAACAAAAGAAAGGAAAGATTGACTATCGGAAAAGAGATCTTGATGAGGACGGCCTTGAAATAGGAAGCGTTGCAGAATTAGACTGGGCACGAGCAATATAGTGTTTCAAGAGATTCAATTGATCCCCTCGCAAAGCCGGCAGATACACCTTCAAATAATCGGCCCCGAGAACCGCGTGGATACCGACCAGCGCTTGCACACATGATTTTCGCACAGAAACATCTGGATGACTGTAACCCTAAGCATGCCAATGTGTCAGTCCCCCATGTCTTATTGCTCACGTTTGGTTTCATGGTCCCACTCATGCCACTTTAGCTTACCGTGAATAGAACATCCGATGCCCCGTTCTGTAGAAACACCTGCAACGAATGCTCGGAACTTTGCGACGCCACTTTGCCCACCTGCGTGAAAATCACGCCCAGCGGATGACATCGAGATTCAGATGTGTTCTTGTCGAAATCGGTCCCCTCTTTGCGAGTTTGTTCAAACATCAACCTCCACAACACTTCAATAGCGGTTTCCGGACGGCAACGAAGTAACAACGTTTCTAATGCGTCTTCAGCTGCACATGATACCTAGTTCACACACCCTGTCAGTCGATCCACTTGTCCTTATTCTTCCCTTATTCTTCTTCACCTACATGGCTAAACATGTCAGTTTTGCAATCGATCAGTGACTGGGCTAGTCGGAAGCAAAAGGAAATGAATGTATCATCTCCATCGTGGATCATCTCATACTGCTTGAGAAACTCCGCCTGATTGACGAGCAATTCCTTCATCAACTGCACTGCTTCGCTGCGCAAGGAATCCTGCATTTTTCCGGGCAAAACAGTAGCCATTGCATTCAACAAGGCAACCACCAAGTACTCTTGGTTTGCAACAGCTTTCCATAGGCATGGTTGAGCAGGTGCTCGTGACAATTTTCTCAATTGGCGAAAGAGAGAAGAGTCTAAAACTGCGGATTGTTCGATTTGGTGAATCGCGGTTCGTATCAGTTCTTCTTGATCGGCTGCGCCACTGGGCACCGAGTGAGACACTGCAGAACGGTCGATTTTTCTTCGTTTGGATGCTTCAAAATCGTAGCCTTGCGCGAATAAATACTTGTTATCGTTGGGAGCGACGTCGGGAACGCTTGAAGTGAACCGCTTGGTCTGAATCGTGGAGAGTGGTGGTTTAGAGGAAGAGGTGGTGATGGCAACGGCATGAGGAATGGCAAGACTGTCCACAAGAGGAGGTGTGGATGATTGTTTTCTCTAATAAAAATCAAAAGTGTAAGAATGCCTTTCAGGCCAACATAAATATCGTTTTTTATTCACCAACCTGTGCATTGACCGCCAATTTGGAAATATCGTCTGTCATGCCTGTATGCCGGTCAGATCCGTCGTTATTATTCCAAAAATCATCGACAGCGCTACTAGGTGAAACAACCGCCTTTTGGGATAAAGGAGGTGTCAATGTGTTACCCATTTCAAGCGGTTGAACCTGATCCGTCACTACCAACAGATCTTTTTTGGCAAAATTGCCGTCAGCGCTACATGTCGGCCTGTCGATCGTTAGCGCAGGAGCATGGCTGGGATGAAGCGCCACATCCAACAATTTTGCAATCGTGATATCTTGGTCTTCCGTACATTGTTCAAAGATGCGTTCATTGGCCATCCGCAAACGGCGAATAACATCCACCAACGGTGTGTATGCCATGGCCTCGTTCCGTATTCGCTGTAGCAATGGCAATATATACCGCACGCAACGCTCGACATTGTCATCATCATCGAACCAGAGTTGTGGTTTTTCTTCCACCCACGCTGACAGCCAGGGCTCGCCTTCAGACGCCATGACTGGATCATCGTCGATTCCCAGCCCGATATACTCGGACAGCAGTTCGTCGATCCACACCAGAACGCCGTGCAGTAATTGATCTCGGGTGGCAGCTGTCGTTACTAATTTACGCTTGATCATAGGGTCCAATAGCGTTGTGCTTCTTGGATAGGCGACAGCGAGCAATAAATCGAATAGTCGTTGCGGTAATTTTGCATCCACTCGTTTCAGATACAGTTTGAGACGTTGCAATCCAAGGTGATAGATGTGACTTAATTCAACCTCATGATGACCGTCCTCTGACACCATGGGCGATGTTTGACTGCGCAATGCGCCGCCATGGCTACGCAAAAGAAGGGTGGGTGCAAAATGATGAAAGGAGAGAATATGAACAAAAACGCCGGCAAGACAGTCCCAACTCATCAACGTCTGATGAAGTTGAACTGCATTGTCGTTGGCCAGGTAACCCATGAGAATAGGCACCAGTTCGATTCTGGAGGGTACATCGTTGGGCAGCACCGTTAAATCAAACAGATCCGTATTCGTACACTGACCCAGCTTTTGTCCAAGTTGACGTAAGGCTTTACAGTTGATGCTTACATCTTTGCTTTCCAAGCTGGTACGTAAGCCCACGATGTTGTCACGGATATTCGACGGCGAAGGTGCGTCCGACGCGCAGGGACTGCTCACGGTGCTGGACGTTTCGGCGGTAAATGAGCGATTGCGTGTTAAAGTAGGGTATCTGGGGTGCGATGCAACCGACAGTCGGTTGATGGGACGTTTGATGACATTCGACCGTATAGGTTCGCTCATGACGGTTGAAGCGTAAGATAAGCGATTCGGATTCAATCGTTCTTCCAAGACGGACTGGGCCGATGTAGCCCGACTCAGAGGACGGGCTCGTCGAGGTACCGAGGAGGAATATCTAGACTGTGATGCACTGGTTCCTGATGACACTGGCGATTTCTCAATGTTATTTCCTTGTGATTTGCTTTTTTCGATTTGTCGTTGCGTCGTAATATCCAGTGTACTGAAAAATCTGTTGAGAACAAAAATGGATGATCACAGCGATGAGTACATGACCGAAAAAAAAAAGTGACAGCTCAGTCAGGGATCTGCTTACTTTTCCGCGCGTACTCGCCAGTGGGTATGGATAATCCAGTATGCTTCACGGCATACTTCGCGAACCAAAGGCATAGCGTCAATGAGTCCCTTTTTCAGAGTTTGAAAAATGAGATCCAGGCTGCCGCTGCGTTCCATTGAACATCGTGAGCTTTCCTTGGACGCGTGAGTTTGTAAGAGGGTTCGCAAATAGATGGCAGCAAAGTGACGCATCTGATTGTTTCTTTCCTCGAGAGCATTGCATATGACATTCACTCCTTTGGAATGATACGATGTGGTTTTTAGAAAGGTGATGGTGCTATTGAGAGCTTGCGAGGTGATAATTTTCTTGGTGACGTTGCTGCATCGTATCAGGTTGACAATGATGATTTCGTACGAGTAAGGGTCCAATTGATGACCAACAAAGGAACCAATATCTGACATCAAATGCAGTGCTTCTAGCGCAACTACAGTGCGTAAACTGTGAAGCTAAATAATAAAAATGTTATGCGCATGAGTTAGCAATCATGTATTATTACATTTTATGACCCTAGTCTGTGGACTGAATCCGGGTCAGGGCCCTTTTTTCTGTTTTCCTTTCAACTTACTGTTTTCACAAGATTAGCAATGATATCGTGGATTCCCTTGGCGACCACATCTTTCCAAGTGGTATTGCATTCTGATTGTAAAATTGAGCGTAATCGTACAAGGCATTGTTGTCGTTCTTCCCAGTTGGTTTCTGTTTCTTTATGGTCAAAGACGCCGGTCATATGGGCGAATTCTCGCTCCACTTCTTTTGCCGAATTCAGCTACACAATAGATTGGAGTTAGCCCAGTGCACATTTCTATACACATGAAGGAAAAAGGAATAGAAATCATACGTTGCATTCGCGTATATTTGTTGAACCATGAGGCTTGCTGAAGCTCATGACCAGACTTGCAGGAAAAAGAAAGGGGAAGCGGGTGGGGGTGACTGTTGATCAGAGCGGCAACGCGAAAATTGGGTCCATTTTTTTTATTTTATTTTTTTTCAAAGTGCGAGTAAAATCACACTTTTCTTCTATTGAACCTAATAATTACGAGGAGACAAAAATATTTTCGACTTGTCAATTCCATGCTAAATTGCCAAAAAGTGTTTTGTTCAACATATGATGCATGAAAAAACCAATGAACTAGCTTCTAATAAGAGAAGGCTCAATAATAATCACTGCCTACCGACCTTGTTCCATCAATGCCGTAACACAAAAGAATAACATTAGTGTATGGGACTAAAAAGAGCTCAAGTGCCGTACTGAAGAGACTTGCAGAGGTCGGTAAGCAGCATTTTGCATACTCATCGAAGCAGTGCTAAGCCTTGTGTTAGATAGAGCAAAGAGAAATGAAAATAGATGTTTTTATATTTGACTAGAAGATTCATGGAAAAAGGATTCTTGAAGAAATTGCAGTTGTAAGACAATGACCAAATCTGGGAATTTTCTGCTGCGCAATGCAATTGTGTTTAAAAACTTGCTTCAGCCTTCTCGGTTTTTTGTCCACTTTTTGAACTGCTTTCCTTTCAAAAACTCAAAAATGTCGGAATCAACTGCCAAAGGACTTCGCCATCTCGTTCACACCCCGTTTTTCACGTTTTTTACCGTAAGCTATCAAGTAGAATTCTCACGTTACTTACTTGCTGCTATATTGAACCTCGCACCCGCCACTTGCTACTGCAGGGTATTGTCGACTCGCATCATGTGGCGTCTCAACACACCAGCGGGCCATTGCGTCTTCTTGAAGTAGGCTGCGGGTAAGTGTTTTCTTCTCCTCTCTTAAATCCCAGGAAAAAGGATTTGGTACCAACAGATATTTTGGCGCGACTTAGGTCAGGCGAATTTGCTCAACTTCTCAAAGAGCATTATCAAGAAAAGATCATTATCACTGCGATTGACCCTCACTCTCATGCTGTTGAGAAAGCCAAAACGGCCCGGTCGCAATTCGGTATCCGGTTCGAGAATCTGAGTCTTTTGGAAGCCGATGCATCCGAAAGATATGACATTATCTTGTTCACAAAGTCACTTCATCATTGTGAGCCCCTTGAAGAGGTAAAATAATTCTGCGCAGTCCTATCGATGACAGTAGTAAATTGCTAATGAGGTTACTTTTTTTTTTTTGTTCTAGACTGTTGTACGTGCTTACGATCTTTTGGATGAGCATGGTATTTTTGTGGCGGAGGAAATGAACCTCGAGGCTATGAATGAAGCAACCGCCGGTTGGTATTTCGGACGTCTTGACTTGCTAAAGGCTGCGGATCAACTGGACAAGTTTAATAAGCATGCCATCGCCGCCGTGACAAATGCGTCTTCCCTGACCCCCATCGAACGCTGGAAATCGATGTTGATGCATTCATTGCCCTCGGCGGACCTGATCATTAAACTTATCAGAGATAAGTTTGGCAGTGGCAACACTCGAGTGACGGCCACCGCCCCCTTTTTACATCAATTCTTGGTGGAATCTGGGTAAGCCGGGAACGTCAAACCCGTTTAGAATATGGTAAACTGATGATGGTATGATTTAGCTTGAAGGATACACCGGTGGGAAAAAACGTGTTGACTGAATTTATGGCACAAGAAGATCAGGCCATTCGAGATAATATCATCGCTCCTGTCGGAATATTTATCGTGGCCGAGAAGCGTTAGAGTGAATCTCTATAAATGTTGGGTTTCGTAACTGCATTGTATTATTCTTGTTCTTTTGTAAGAAGAAAAAAAAAATCTCTTTGCGGGGAAATTGTTCCACTTTTTTTTTTTTTCTTTTTGCACCGGGTAATTCGATGCCACTTTCAATAAACCAATGCCATGACGACTAGACATGTTCCCGACGATCTGTGGAAGCGACTAGGACCTCATCATATTGCCCTTTTCGTGTGGCCAGCTGCAAGTGAGAGCGTGTCCCATGATACCCAATGGCGCCATGCCACCGTCGCGGATGCTTCACCCCAACCGGAGGGTCTTCACGTCAAGGCAGCGAAGCGCATACCATCGGGGACCGTGCTCTTGCAGGAACGGCCTTATGTAAGCGTTCTGGACAAACTTTATCGCACGCATCACTGTGCTGCTTGTTTTCGGTCGGTTTCGCCGACGGAGCCTATTCGGTGCTGTCGCGCCTCTTGTGCCTGGCATCTGTTCTACTGTTCATCGACATGTCAAATTCGGCATTGGAACCACGGTCACCGTTGGCTTTGTCCTTTTCCCGAGTTGCTCGAGGATTGCGACAATAGCGTCTTATTGGCCTTTCAAGCTTTCGTTGCGGAGGCTTCTAAAAAAGGTACGAGAAAGCATGATGAACACTTTATGCACACACAAGGCAATACTCACCCTAGTAAAGGACGGTACAGTGAGATCGCTATTCCAGGTCTGATAGCCAACTTGGACCATCATCCGGCAAGCGAGATTCAGGATTACCGAGAGAAAGCACGACGCATAGTGCGTTTATTTTGTATACCCGAAAATGCAGTCGAAGGATTGATCATGTTGCAAGCTCAGATTCGATGCAACAGTTTTGCTATCCAACAGCATCATGCGTCCGTTGACCATACCACCAACTCACCCACTATTTCACAAGACATGAAGAAGCTGGGCAAAGGTGTTTATTTGACCGCGAGCCAACTCAATCACAGTTGCGAACCAAACGCTGTAGCTCTTTTTGGCATGTCTAGTGCGGATACACCAGACGATCCATGTGTAATTCAAATTCAAACTACTGCGGATATCCACGACCATCAACCGATCTGCATCAGCTATGGACCACTAGCAGCCAACATGCCGGCAAAGGAACGACAACAACTATTGCAGAGAAATTACTTTTTTGATTGCAACTGCAGTGCCTGTTCACAAAAGTAGGTTCAAAAAGGTTATCAGCCTGATGATGATAAGGAATTGAAACTAAGCAAACGAAAAATGTCGTTCTTCCAGAAATGATCCGGCGCAATGCGTCTATCGATGTCCTTTTTGCGCTACGGGACGTCTATACCGTATGCAACAATCCTGTTTCCAATGCGAGCACTCCATAGACTGGCAACGAATTCTCAAAGTAAGTAGGTTCAATCGGATAAAGAAAGACTGGTAGTTAAAAGAGAATCTAGCTACAAGACAGGGCTACAGAGTTGATGGCATATGGGGCTTTTCTGGAGGCACTATCTCTCCAAGAACAAATATATCATCCGCATGCGCTCGTTCTAGGTCAAGCGTTCGATCGACTGGCACATCAAGCAGCTGTAGCAGGAGAATTCGTGCAAGCCATCAAGTTCTGTCAACGATCATCCGACATTGTACGACAAGCTTACGGATCGAGCAGTATCGAATACACTGAAGAAATGATGAAGTTATCAACGTTGATGAGCAGCGCGTAACCATCCCATTTATTCAAAAAAGTTCCCTTCAGAATACTCACTTTTTTTTTATTGAAATTAGATGCATGACAACTGGCCGTCCTGGGAAGCTCCCAAAGTTGGCACATCAACAAGTCATGGAGACCATCCAGTTATACGAAACATTGGGCTTGCAACGTCAACGGCAAGACGATTGGCAAGAGCTGCAAGGCATGAAGCAGTGGCTAGCTTCTATGAACGATAATAATTAGCAGAAACCTCGGAACCAACCACAAGCAGTCTTTCTTCATCCATAAACCCTTTCTTTTTCGTTCAATCACCCCTCCCGCCCGCACACCGCATTCATTTCTAAATAATCCATTCATTTTTTGCAACCAACCGAGACAAAATAAAAAGAAAAACAAATCTGTTTGTGTGAATGGGTTGTCAAAAGATATTTTATATGAATAAAATGTGGTGGTGATTATAATATAAAAAAAGAAAATGATGATCTACATGAAACATTTTTTTTTGTCTAGAGCAATTTAAAGTTCATCCTCATCGGACCAAACTTCTTCACCACGCTTTCTGCGTTCCATGCGCTCCTTCTTCTTCTTACGGAGTTCACGAGAAGACAATTTCTCCTTCTTCTTGACAGCCTTGATGGTATTACCCTGGGCATCGACCTGGTCTTCTTCTTCCTTCTCCTCAATGAGAGTGGTACCGTTACCGGAGACCCAGTTGTGACCCGAGGCAACCAACTCACCATTGTCGACCTTCCAGACTTCAGTGCAAAGAGCTTCAGAGAATTCACGGTTGTGAGTAACAATGACAACACCACCACCGTAGGTCTTAATGGCACCAGCCAAAGCACCGAGAGATTCACGATCCAAATAATTGGTAGGTTCGTCAAGAACCAACATGTGAGGCTTGTTCCACATGGCAGCACCAATGACAAGCTTGACCTTCTGACCACCAGAAAGACCACGGATACGAGAGTGAGTGGCGAATTCGGGTTCAAGACCAACTTCGCTCAAGTGCTTTTCGATTTCCTTGGCAGTAAGGGGACGGTTAAGACCCAACTTGGCAGCTTCAAGAGCATCGACTTCAGCAATCTTCTTGGCGAAACCCATGGTTTCCAACTTTTGACGGGAGATCCAGGTGTTCTCGACCGAGGACTTGCCAACCCAAGAGACTTCGTATTCGTACGACTGCTTCAACTTGCGACGACCAACGATCTCGTCAACGACACGCTTCTCACCTTCGATGACAAAGGTCTGGTTCATCTGCTTCTCTTCTTCTTCGGTGATGACACGGTCAACCTTTTCGAGTTCTTCACGATCTTCACCGGTAGCGTAACGCCATTGGATATATTCGTTGGGAGTGCTGTCAAGGTGCTTTTCAATATGGTGGAAAGCGTGCTGGGCAACGTAAGCGATACGCAAGTTGGGATGCTTCCAGACGGTACCAATATCGGATTCGATTTCACCAGTCAACAACTTGATCAAGGTGGATTTACCAGCACCGTTGGGACCGATGACGGCAACACGGGAAGACAAAGAGCACTGCATGCTGATGTTCTTCAACTGCTTGCGGTCGGTACCGGGGTATTGGAAGTCAACGTTCTTCATCTTCAAGATGGCACGTTCCTTGGTCTTGATACCTTCGAGATAACCGGGCTCAGGGAAAGCGAACTGGATCTGAGCGGCTTCCAAAGAGTAGTAGGAGGCGGCCTTGGGGACCTTCTTGACGAATTCGGACAAGTTACCTTTGTAACGCTTGAGCTTGTAGTTGGCTTCATAATGGATGATGTCGGAACAGACATGGTCCAAGAAACCGGAGTCGTGAGAAACGATGATAGAAGTAACGGTCTTCAAACCCAAGAGGTAGTTCTCCAACCAGGCGACATTGACAACGTCCAAGTGATTGGTAGGTTCGTCCAACAACAAGATATCGGCGTTCATCAACATGGCACGAGCAAGAGCGAGCTTCATCTTCCAGCCACCAGAGAGGGAACCAATGGGCATCTTGGTAACCATTTCTTCGGTGAAACCGTATTCACGGAGGATCTTGGCAACCTGGTCACGGTCCTTGGTTTCAACACCTTCGGAAGAGATGATGAAGTCAACAAGGGGAGTATCGGCTTCGGAACCATCAATGTCGTGTTCGACGTAGACGGTCTTGAGCTCAGACTTGGGAGGGAAACCATCGACCTGTTCGTTGGCAATGGCGCGCATGAGGGTGGATTTACCACAACCGTTGGCACCGCAGAGACCATAACGACGGCCACGCTTGAGACGGAGAGCGGTGCGGTTCAACAAGATCTTGGCACCATAAGCAAGGGAGAATTCACAGTTGCAAAGATCCTCACCCTCTTCGTCATCTTCTTCAACGTCCTTGGGGGTAACAGCTTCTTCGCACTTGTCCAAAGCGGAAGAGGTGAGCTTCTCAGCATCAGCCTCGGCAAGGAAAGCCTTGGCGTAGGGAACCAAAGTGGCGAGCCATTCGTTCTTGAAGAAGTTCTTGGCAACACACAAGTGGAAGGCAAGGTCAGCAATGTACTTGACGATGGGCTGGTAGACGGCATCGATGTTCTCGGGCAACAAGTTCTTGAAAGCATCGGCGACCTTTTCGGCCTTTTGTTCCTTGGTGTAGATTTCACCGGCGGGCTTACCAGCACGGGCCAAGGTGGCAAGGGCCTTCTGAACGACACCACGACATTCGGGGTCGGCAACGACATCCTGAACCTTCTCAAGGGCGGGCAAAAGAAGGGGCAAGAACGGAGCGGCGATCTCGGGATCATCGACGAGCTTGCACATGTTGTCAATGATAAGAGCGGACTTACGCTTGATGGGAGTAGCACGCTCGTTCAAACCACGGTTGAGAAGGGGAACCATGATGGAAAGAGTGGCGGAGTCGACTTCCTGAACGAAAGTGGTGGCACCGAGCAAATGGATGGTCTCGGGGACATTCTCGGGGTGGTTGATACAACCAATGACAGCGGGAATGAAACGTTCGATATCCTTGTTCTCGATCAAGCCACAGATGTTACCCATGGTAGCGGTGGCAGCCTTCTTGACATCAGCCTTGGTATCCCACATACAGTCGGAAACGACGGGGATGATATCGGGAATGCAGACGAAGAACTCCTTGGGGTTCTTCTTGGTCAATTCGTCCAAAAGAGTCAAGGAGAGCATCTTGGTTTGCCACTTGCAAGAGTTACCAAGACCTTCGAGGATCATGGGAACCAAGACACCGGTGGCGTTGGCGTTGACCTTGAGAGCCAAGTTCTTGGCGGCTTCCAAAGCAGCGTTCTTGACAGCAGCCTGCTTGTCAGCCTGGAGTTCCAAAAGGTTGGACAACAAGGGAAGAATGTAGGGCTCAACCTGGCCTTCCAAGCTATTATCATTGAAATGACAAAAATGGTAAGTCAAATATTCCTCCAAAAACCAGTCCCCTCTTATCTTTTTTTTTTCTGTTTTTGGTTCCTGTTTTTTTTTTTGCCTCTCCTTCCCCTTGGGTACCCGTTCCTTTATATAGATAAGAAAACTTTACCTGTTGTTGGTGAGGGCCACGATGGCGGCAACAGCGGATTGGCGAGCACCAGCGCTCTTCTTGTTGTTGAAGTCCTTGACGATAGCGTCAACAATGTTGAACTGCTTCAAAGAACGAACACCGTTGGCAGCAACGAAAGCAGCGAGTTCTTCGGCGACAGACTCGCGATCAGCATCGGAAGCAGCTGAGAGCTTGGAAAGGATTTCTTTTGCCTTCTTGGTCTCGACCTCACTGGGAGACGAGCTGACAGCCAAAGCGGTCATCTTCTTGGTCTCGATTTCGCTCTGAGTATTCTTTGCGGCAGCAGCGGCTGGCATATTGATTTAAAAGAGAGAGTGGATGAGCGATGGGGGGAGAGAAAGAGAGAGGGAGTCCACAGAGGGAGCGGGTGGAAAAGGGAAAAATGAAAAAAGGGAACAAAAGTTGTTAAAGAGAAACGAGAACAAAAACAAAAATCGGGGCTGCTTTTATTTGATCTGGCAAAAAAAATTTTTTATGAAAAAAAAACATGTTTTATAATACTATTTGTACGTGTGCATTTGTCTTGGTCCCTGAACCAAGGAAATTGTGGCGGCATTTGAATTAAAGGACCTGCGTCACTGCGGGCTTATCGACTAAGAAGACTATTTTTTTTTTCTGTAGTTATTTTTTTTTTTTTTTTTTACCAATGGCACCATTTGGTTGATGTCCAAATATGAGATTGTCCACCTTTCCTTTTATTGATATACAAAATTTATTTTTATAGCTTTATTGTTACCAATCGAGAATGTCCGTGAAGAGCTTTGTCCTTCACCACAAATTTTTTTTCACGCTACTGGTCAAAAGTTCCACCAATTGAAATTGTCGGTTAAAAAAGTTTTTTTTTGGGAAAATGTTTCTCTTTATCAATGCTTGGAAGATCCCTGATTCAGATCTTTCTCTACGAAATTAAAAAAAGGGAAATTATCAGAAACCGCATCAAAGTACCCGCCCATTCGCCCGGAAAGCCTTCTTTTTCTGGGACGGGGCTGTAAAACATTCAGCCGTCCACTCAGCTTACCTATACCCCAGATATGTGTCTTCAATTCCAGATGTTCCAAATTCAAGGTATCCTATCAGATTTGATAACAAGTATCCATTATTACCCATGATCAACAACATCCACCAAAGAACGCCATATGGGGGATAAACCACTTGGTAGAACGAGGTAAAAAACCGGGAAGTGAAAAAAAAAAAAAAACCAAAAACCACTTACGTATAATTTTCGGAATTCGGCCCTTAATTCATGGAGTTGTTGCAGACTGGCGGTGGATTCTTTGAGTTTGCTGACATCGCGATCAATAGCTTCAATTCGACGAGCATAGTTGCGTACCTATCAAGTAGTTTTTTTTTAATCCCCCACCTTTCAGGCAATAAAACTCTTTGGTCGTTTCTCTCCCTTTTCACCATGGACATACTTTTTCAGTAGATTCTTGTAATTCATCAACCGACTTGGAAAGCGCAGCCGATGCATTGTTATATTCTTCCAAGAGATAGTAATAACCTGCTGCACCAGTGACAGTGACACCAAAGAGGAAGCCTAACACACTGAAAATATCTCACTGTGAGCAAATTTTGTTCAGCATTTTGTCCATGGTCTTCGGGGAGGACTTCTGGTCATTTTTACCCTCCACGGAATGTCGTCATTTTGCCAGTTTCTTCGGCTTCGGTAGAGAAGGCGCGTACGTTGCGTCTGAGAATGGGGGATCTGCTGGTAAGTTGGACAAGAAAGCTCATGTTGCAAGAACACTGGTAAAAGGGGACTTGGTAAAAATGGAGTATCGTAAAAAGTGGCACCCTAGTGGCACCGGACCTGAAAAATAGACTTGATGGAACAATGACTGCTTTCGGCCTTGCGATTGACACCTCATTGTTCACAAGCTCTTTCGATCCTTATCCAGCTCTCTCTCAAAAATATCAGAGATGCAACAAACAGTAAAGTTTAGTGGCCTCGTTGGATGGTAATAAAATAAAATGATGAGGCTCTCCATAATAAATACATACTATGATGGCATTATTACCCTAATATTTTCCATCCGAAGAGCCTTTTTTTTTATATCCCTATTACTATGCGTCTAATTCTTGGCAAACTGAACGTTTCTTCTTTAATGTTACAGAATGCAGTCCAGGTCCCGATACTTTAACACTGTAGGACTAGCATGCAATAGTGTCACCGCTACCCCGTGAATATCGAGCAATGCGGTACTTTCTTGACATGAAAAAATCTTCTCCTCCAAGGGTTGGTCCGAAGCTGTGCTTTACTTAAATTATTGTAAGATGCATCGAGTAGCGTTGTCTTTACTGGCAACATTATAGCCACCTATTTCTTTCAAGAGCAGATCCTTCTCTGGTGCTGGCAAATACATGTTCGGTCTTGAAGATCACGATTGTACATATAAACATTGCCTTATTCGTCACGTCAAAGGTCCATTGTGGGATTGAGCCATCACCGAACTTCTCCAAAAGCGTACCATCTCTGCGGATGCACAGGTTTTGATCATTCTGTTAAATAGAATACCAGCATGCTACCACTTGCATCCTCGGATATGTCTAAGTAAATATTGGATGAGCCGTCAAGAGTCAAAGTACGTAGATTGCTTGTCGATTAAGGAGATACCGATAATAAGCTTCACGGTAAAGTCACACAGCAATTTAACCGCTGATGGTTATCGGTTGCGGCCGGTGACAGCTTTCTCCGAGAAACCATCGGTCCATGTCACACGAAACGATTCGGAAAAGGTTATCAAAAATCAAAAGTACCCTTTTACACAGTAACACAAACAGTCTGTGGAGGATCATTGTCAGATAGTGATCATTTCTTTTTAGATATGCCCAATTAAAGGACCGCCTGTGCCTGCAACACAAGGAAACAAAGGGTTCATGCGATAAATAACGTTGCCAACCATGTTGAAACGATAGAATGGTTTTTGTCAGTATATCACTCTCAGGTAAACTTTTTACTTTCTGTTGTATGTATTGTCATTGATCAATAACATAGTTAGAACTGCTGGATTCGTATGATCAAGAAGATTCAACAACCAGTGATCTGAGATTTTATGAGTTACTATTGGCCTTTTCTATTTATTGAATTCTTTTTTTAAAAAGTGATATTAGACGGAAAGGGCGTGGGGAATCATTTTTCCAGTTATTTTTCCAGTTTTCTCACAAAGCATGGATGCCATTTTCTGCTGGCAGGTTCAGCTGAGAATTCGAATGAACACAGTAACCTTTGGCTCTTGCACTTGCAGTAAGATTTGATGAAACAGCATAAGACATCATCAATGTTTATGGGATGCATTCGAGCTCCAGCATATCACGAATTGAGTGTTTTTTTTTGACTTTCAACAGACACATGGGATACACGCCTCAAGTGATTATAAATCGTTTCATGCCAAGTTTGGGATTTCACGTAACAATTGTTTCCATAATGATACTAAGAGATAACAAAGAAAAAAAAAAGAGTAATAATGAATGCTAGAATACAACAAACGACTAAATAAGCGAAAAAAAAGAAGGCAATAAGAGATAAGAGAAAAAGAACAAAAATAAAAAAGGGAAGGAATCGCTGCAAATGAAATAGTTACTAGTTATCTAACAGAAAAGAGAAAAAAAAAAAACAACAGAATATATATAAAAGGTGTTGGTTAGATCAGAGAGTCAAAAAAAAGGTGGGGGAAAGGGAAAAAGATGAAAGAAAAAATAAGCCAAAACAGAAAAAAGAAAGAGAAAGGGATCAGAAAAAGTAAAATTACGACAAGACACTAACAGGGGAAGAGAAAGAAAGAGATGCGATAACAATCAAATGAACAATAGGCGAAACGAGAAAACAGATAGAACAAAGAAGGACAAATCAAAGGCTGGAGTAAGAAATTCACATGCTTATTGGGCGTAAATCTGATTGAGTCTCCACACCGCAGCATTGCTTGTTTTTTTATCGAGCAAAGACGTGGAGAACAACTCGTCCGAGACTGCGTTGCGCATCAAAGCTAATGTATCGGGTGCATGTTCTGCATTGAACGAAGGTTGAAAGTTGACGGGATTCGCAGCGGCAAGATTTCGTGAAGCAAAGGTCGGATCAAGCGACGTTTGAAGCCCAGACATGGAAGTGAAATTTGAATAAGCAGCATTTCCCAACGAATTATACATGGTCGCTCCACTGAAAAAATTAATAATGAAAAGAACCCAATTCAGTTTCAATACATAAAACACAAAATGGAAAAAAGTATTTCCTACTTACCGAGGTAAAGTCAGAGCCGGCGCAGTGATCATGACAGGCTTTTCATTTTGTGATCGACCCCATGACAAACGAATGCGAGAATTACCAATTTGATATCCATTCATCTGTTGGATCGCCAATTCTGCGGATTGTCGAGAAACGTATTGAACAAAACCGCACCCTTTGCCTTGTGGAATCTTTACGTAAACAATCTCGCCAAAAGGACTAAAGTACTGTCGTAGTTCGTCTTCTCGGATAGGCGCCGATAACCCACCGACAAAGACCGTGGTATTGGTAGGATCGTGGTACATGGGTTGCTGAAGAGGCGAACGGTTGGGTGACACGGCCATGGCATTCATGGATGGCATAGCATTGTAAGATCGATTTTTCGGGGTGGCGACAGAAACACGAATTGGACGAGAACCGATAAAAAAGCCCTGCATTTCGACAAGTGCTCGTTGTTGATCTGCCTGGTCGCTGAATCGTACAAAGCCGTAGCCACGGGGCAATCCCGTGCGTGGGTCAGTCATGATTTTAGCCGACTTGCAGGATCGATAGCATGCTTGAAAAGCCGCCTGTTAAAAAAAAGAAACAGAAAATGAATCAGTACAACTAGCGTCCTTTTTTTTTCTTTTTTCTTATTTTTTTTTGGCAGTGGGTTGAACAGGCAAAGAAGAGGGATAGTTTCTCTTTTTTTTTTTTTTTTTTTTTTTCGCCCAAACTGCCAAATTTCCCACAGGATCTTGATTTTTCCTTCACTGTTTTGCCTGTACTCTCTGTATTTGCAATAATACGTACCAAAAGGTTGGCTTCAGTGCAGTTGGAGCTGAGATCACCCACAAAGATCGAATACTCTGGTTGTCTGTCCTCACTATAGAATAAAATGGAATAAGAAACAAAAACAAGAAACACACACATACACACACACAACACAGAAAACAACAGGGAAATAACGTGAGACACAGCAGATAATCATATGGTCACTTTTTTTCCCCAATCATCCCCATCCATCCCCTAGACCGACAGACCAAGAACGGGTGATCTGACAATAAGAAATTGAAAAATAACGTACCGTCGGTCAATGAGTCCACCACCGGAAGCCCAATTCAGTTTGAATTGCTTGTTTGTGTTGGGGATCATGGAACCGTTGTAAGTATGAAGTGCTCTTTGCGTACTGGCCGTACATCCAAAATCGACAAAAGCATAGCCTGCACTGGCTCTAATGGTAAACCAAAGAGGCGCAGTCAGTACGATCGGTTAAGAAACATGCCGGTTTATGCTATTTGTTTATTACCCTGTGAGTTTGTCTCGAATGACTTTGACCATGACCTTTTCGCCAAGGTTGAACCAAAGTTGTTGAATGTATTGTTCGTCCATCCATGGCTCTAATTCACCCATCCTACATTGGAAAAAATTCTTTTTGGTTAAAACCAAGCCAACTCAACTCAGAGTAAAATAAGGTTGTCAATAAGGGAAACAAAAGGAAAAAAAAGGGGGTCCTACCATAGCGTCGTTTTTTGTGATTCGATGGTTGCAAAAGAAGTGGATGAGGAAGAAGATAATGGCTGTTGAGTGAAATCGTAAGGAAAGGTCATTAAAGAAATAGAGTGTATTGCAAAAAAAAAGAGGGAAAAAGAAAAAGAGCAGAAGCTAAAAAAAATGGGAAAAAGGGAAAAAAATTTTGTTCTCCCCCCTTCCTTTCCCTTCTCTTGCCCCTCGTTGATACTTGAAACATCCATTATTCTCTCTCTCTCTTTTTTTTTTTTCTTTCTTACCTTTTTGCTCCATTCCAATGTTTGTTTACTTTGCACTATTATAGATCGTATCCACTCTTTCTATACCACACGAACTATGGATCTGTTGCTAGAGCTTTTTGATCCCTGCTCTTTACATCCACCCGCTCATTGTATCGATGAAGAAAAAAAACCCTAAAAATTACACCTGGAATTTTTTTTTTTGGGTCAACTCAGGTCGATCTCACATTCAGACCGATTTTAAGCTGCGATTAAAATGAACAAAAAGAACAAAAAAGCGCTTGGTAATCGGTTTTTTTCGCCAGGTGGCTCTTTGTATACGTCTTGCATTGTCGCCCTATCTCTTATTTATTGTGCATTGCAACTGATAGTTTGTGGCTTCCTCAAATCCACGGAATAAACTCAAGACTATTGATTCGTATATTGATGATGCCATAGAATAGTTTATTCAGCACCGACCATGTTCCTGCATCGTGCTCTCCGGGTTGACCTGCACTGCGTAGTTGCTTTTTCATTTTCTGTCATTTGATTTGAAGTCATGAAAATATAAAGTATTCTGAGCAATCCTCACCCACCATTTACCACGATCCGAACAACGCTTCACGATTCTTTTATTCACTCACCGAGCAGGATTTCCACCGCATACCAGAGTGTGATTCCCATAGCCCGTTTAAACGTGAATGCAAGGAAATGTCTTGATAATGATCCGATATCCTTATAAAGAGATAATGAACAAATATCACTCAAATCATGTCATATGAAAGGAACCAACACTGTACAAAAAAAAAAAAAAAAACGCCATTCCACAGTCAGGTAAAAAACAAAAATACAAATTCTATATTTCCTGCTCTTCTTTTTTTTTTTAAGAAGGTAATTCAAACGATCAACATGAATAAAGGAAGAAAAGGAGGTGGTAGGTCAACAAAATTAAAAAAAAAGAGGCAAATAGAGGAACGGAACATGAAGTTACCGGAAGATATGTACTATCTCTTTTTCAGATTTAGACCAAACCAGCGGCCTCCATAGCCTAGTAAAGTAACAACCAAAAGTTAATCATAAATTCACCATCAATACACCAGTTTACAGAATTTGATGACTTGCCTTCTTAAGCTCAACACCCAATTTGGCAGGAGAAGGTGTGACGATGACGCCAGCCTGTTCCAAAGCCTTGATCTTGTCCTGTGCACCACCCTTACCACCAGAGATAATGGCACCAGCGTGACCTAATAACAAAATCAACAGATGAGCAACCCATTTATCCAAAGGCGTCTGACCCTCTGTGTGTGTACATACCCATTCTGCGGCCAGGAGGAGCAGTCAAACCAGCAATGAAGGAAACGACAGGCTTGGGGTTTTCGCGAGTCAAGTTGTATTGGGTCAAGAAGTCAGCAGCCTCTTCTTCGGCAGTACCACCGATTTCACCAATCATGATGATACCTGCATAACGTAAAGGTAAGTGTCATGGTACAAATCATTTTCTGCAACACCCCCCATCATCCAATGTATAATTGATTCATTGTGTCATCCCATCATAACCCAAGTGCATACGAAAAAATTTCATGCTTTCCCCAAATTTACCTTCGGTTTCGGGATCATCCAAGAAGACGCGAAGACAGTCAATGAAGTTGGTACCGTTCAAGGGATCACCACCAATACCGACGCAGAGGGTTTGACCCAAACCAGTTTCGGTGGTCTGGTTGACAGCTTCATAGGTCAAGGTACCGGAACGGGATACAATACCGACCTTACCGCGCTTGAGAATGTGGCCAGGCATGATACCGATCTTGCACTGTTCGGCGGAAATCATACCGGGGCAGTTGGGACCGACAAGACGGGACTTGTCCTGAGTCATCAAAGCCTGCTTGACCTTGACCATGTCGTGCTGGGGAATACCTTCAGTGATGGCAACAATAAGAGGCACTTCGTTCTCAATGGCGTCCAAGATGGCAGCAGCAGCGCCAGGAGGAGGAACATAGATAACACTGGCATCAGCCTTGGTCTCTTGCATAGCCTGTAAAAAATAGCCATGACAAAAAAAAGTCGAATTTTAATGAAATGGGGTTCTTTTCTTCCCCAGAAAAAATAGCACCAAAAAAAAAAGAGAGTTACTTTACCTCACGGACGGAGCCAAAGACGGGAAGACCCAAGTGAGTCTGACCGGCCTTCTTGGGAGAAACACCACCGACCATGTTGGTACCGTATTCGATGGCTTGCTGGGAGTGGAAAGTACCCTATTTTGTCACCAAGTTATGAGCACGCTTTTTTTTTTTTTTTTGGTCCCGACCAAATCTTCATCCACGCAACACGGAATGACCAATGTACTTACCTGCTTACCAGTGAAGCCCTGGCAAATGACCTTGGTGTTCTTGTTGATCATCAAGTTCTTGGCAGTCGATTCATAGCCAGTGGCGAAAGCGCGACGGGCAACTATTGAGTGTCCCCAACAAAGAAAAAAAAAAAGGAATTCCCAACATGAGTCTTAATGTCACTTTTTTTTTTTTTCCTGACAAAAAGAAGAAAGTATGCTTTTAGTGTCATCTTACCAACGGAGCCAGCACGGAAAAGGTTGGAAGCAGCTTTTGAGGCAGGGAACATTTTTATACAACTGAGGTGTGAGAGGGAAAGGAAGCAAGACGCACTTTAGCTTTTCCCTTTTTCTCGGTGTTTGTTAAAGTTGTGACTTTTCTCTCTTTCCCCGTTGGTTCCCTTTAGGTCGCCCTATTTGCCCAATGCCTCGGGTAAGGCCGGGTCACGTCGGCGATTCATGTTACGTTTGAAATTTTTTTTTGTCTTATTAACTTTTTTTTTTGCATTCTGTCTTTATTGGGTTTCTGCGCCATTTGTCACCATGAGCTGTGCATCCAACCATTCTATTATGAATCTTGATAAAGATATATCACGACTCCCTTTTTTAGAAAACTCATCTACACACAGACTCAAGTCAGCATTAGACGATGACTTTCACCCATGGTTTGACGACATGAACCTTGAATATCAAACTCCGGTCATAAAGCCTGACCAAGCGCCGGTAACCAAAAAAAAAAAAAAAGAGGGTCACACTAAGGCGCGCCACACTCTTATATGATACCTTTCATAGTCAGGTATCAGCATCGACAGTGAAGCTACTGAGGTAACCATGGACACATGTGGGGACTGAATTCGTATTTACGAAAACCGACTTCATTTTTTTGTATTTATCATCCTCTATTACAATGTTACCTATTTACTGTCTCTCCTCTCTATCCAAAAGAATTATTGGCATACTTTAGTACAAGATCTGCAGAGAGAAAATGCCTCTTTAATGTTCTCCCTACGCGAGACTCAGGCAGAATTGGATCAATGTCGATCGCAAAAATATGCTTTGGAAGAAATGATGGAAAATCATATGAAAGTAACCAATGTCATCTTGACCAAATTGCGCAATGATGCTATTCAACGAATTCGAAAAGAAAAGGTGACATAGACACGTAGAAAAAGTGAAGCTCCTTAGAATCCTATAGTATCATACATGACACTAATGAGAGCCCTGACAGAGCCTGCGAACCGCTCGACGGAGTTTGGAGACGGAGATTCAACCCTCGGTGCCGGTTTCTTCATCATGGTGTGTCCAAGTTCATCCGCCATTTGAGCAAGCACCCACCATGCCAACCACGGAAGATAAAGAGGTTCAGACGGATTCGTCAAACCTAGCGCCATTAGCGATATCAGATGTGTGTTCCAAACAATCGAATGCGTCCCCGTCTGTGTCGCCGGGCTTTGTGCCTGAACGTTCATTTTCTGTATCGGGATCATTGCATGAATCCTCTTACGAAGATTTGCTCCACGAAATACAAAACTTGCAACAACAAAGACTCGATCTAAGTAATCCTATCTGTCTCTCTTTTTTGTTCTGTTGTAAAAAAGGATAACCACATGAATTAATTGACTTGTCTGTTTGCGATATAGTGTTTCAAAAACGGTACCTGACTCTTGTAAATACTGCATTGGCTTCTTGGTAATGTCCCATTTTTCCTGCTTGTTTCCTACACCATGGTTAATTGACTTGAATAATGATCCAATATAGCGAATCTCGATCAATGAAAGTCTTTCAAGCTCTGGGAATAGCTTCGAAAGACATCACGACGCGGTCACCTCGGCAGAGATGGCGTGCATGCTGTGTGGCCATTATTGCTATTTATCGTCTCAGGTACGCATACGAATTTGCATCCTATTATGTTTTATCTGTCTCGAAAATTTAAAATGGTTTCTTTAGGCGTTCAAAATATTCGGAATAACGTTCTACTACGCGCACTCTCATTGTTTTGCATGCCATAAGCTTTTTATATCTAAAAGTACAGCCAAAAAGTCCTTTGCAAATAAAACGCATCAACCAGTAATTGCATTTTTAAGAATGGAACCAGCTAGGCGCGATCAGTGATTACAAATGCTTTCCATTATTCTATCGATGCATTCTGGAACTTCATTCGTGCCCGAAAAAAAAAGAAAAAGATCTTTTGCTCACGTGTTCGACGCATGGATCAAAATGACATGAACGAATTGGCGGCTCAGTGGCATGAAGAGCATTTTTCTAAATCAATTAAATTTTATTGTATTTATCTATAGCATCAGTCGATAGATGTTCTCACCATGAACTAGGGAAGAAAAAAGAAAAAGAAAAAGAAAAAAGGAGAGTAAAGGGAAAAAGAAGAAATGAAAAAACAGGTGAGAAAAAAGTAAGCGGTCTGTGATGAATAGGGTATGCTATTTTTTCCTTTTCGCGCAAAGAATGAAAGAAATAGACAGAGGATGTGATAAAAAAAAAGAATAATAAATGAGTAAGGGAAACAAGGAGGGATTGACGTTTGGATATGACAAAGAATGATAAAAGAAAAGAGGGGTTCTTTATATGACAAAAGGATTATGAATAAGGATGGGACAAAGCATGTAGATGTTGAATGTGGAGTAATGCATGTTGCTCGTGCAGCATCGAAACGGATAAACAGGTCAGGATTTGCCCACGGCCAAATCTCGCGTTGTCAGCGAGGTAATTTCATCATCGTCTTCGCACGAATCGCTGATTTTCTTGGGATCCAATGAGCATATCTTGTCCATCATCTCATCCGATCTGATTTTTTGATTTTCCTCCGCGCCTTCCTCATCCTCATTCTCCTCCTCATCTTCTTCTTCCTCATCATCATCTTGCATCGACAGTTCTGCGAGACGTGTTTCTTCGATCAACTCGATGATGTCTTCCGCCGTGCCCACAGATCGTAGGAAAGGATGCTATCAAATTTTGAAAGGGTCAGCAGCACGCACGGTCAATTTGCATTATTCTCAGGCTCAACTTACTTTTAGTAGAGTGGCAGCATCCGGTCTTTCGGCCGGGTTTTCTGCAGTGCATTGCTGCAAAAAGTTTTTCAAGTCATCTGACCACCGATCAGGTTCCCGCAAAGGCGGAAGACCATTAGACGCGATCAAAAACAAAGCCTACCAAGGAAAATAGTATTAGCCATTGGGCCTTTGCATGCATTCCATTTTTTCATACTCACTCTCAAAGGTGGGTATTCTACATAAGGAGGATCTCCCTGAACCATTTCTAATAGTAATACACCCAAGCTCCAGATATCCGCCTTGGAGTCATAATCAAGACCTTTGATCACCTCGGGTGCCTGTATCGAAGCAAAGGAGATGAATATCCGGAAAAGACGGTCCATCTTTTTGGGTTTCTTCCTGTGACCCCAACTTACCATCCAATAAGGTGTGCCAACCACAGAATTGCGCTTGGGATTCCGTGATGTTAATTGTGCACAGTGACTAAAATCGGCTGTGATGAAACACGTCTCAGTAACGATCTATGGAAGATCTGACCAAATTTCCTCTTTCATGTTATACTTACCTAGTTTGACTTCGCCACGCATGTTCAGCAATACATTATCACTTCGAATATCGCGGTGAATTCGGTGAAGACGATGTAATCGAGACAATGCTCGAAGGATGTCACGTGCTACACGTCCGATTTGATGTTCTCGCATACGAGGTTTATCATCCGCTTCAACGGAAATGATGTCCGCCAAAGAGACGTCCATACATTCCATGACCACCTGCAATTGCAATCGATCAACCCGACGTTAGTCCCAGTTACTTGCTCGTGAGACGATCTCAAGCAATTTTTTTTTTTTACCCAAACTTCGTCTTCGGTCATGTAGCATCCAATGTACTCGACAATATTTGGGTGCCGGCTCATTTTCATAGTCGTTAATTCGTTGCGAATTTTATTCAGCTTTTGTTCGGCTGAGCGGGATATCTTTTTGATCGCCACCTAGGTCATGACAAATTGTAAATATGCGCATGTTCTAAGCTCATCACACCGCAATTGCTTCTCTCTTTTTTCTTTTTTTCTTTTTGGCTATGCTTACCGTCCGATCGGTGGCGGTTTGTTTGGCAGCATACATGGGCCCTGATTCGCCTTCAGCAATCAATATGAAATCAGTATATAATCTTGTAGGGTCAGCATGATCGACAATATCATCTATTACGACGAAATAAGTTTGCATGATTTTTATGTAGAGGTCGGATGCAAGGCGCACTGGCTTACCAATAGAGCTCGAGTCCAATGATAAATGTGTCTGTGATCGTTCAATCGACGTTGTTGAAGTCGTATCTTCGGTGCCTAGTGAAAAACCCCCACCAAAACGAAATAAAATAAAATAAATGAGCCGACCGGGGTTTCCTAGCTAATGGTGTCTCGGCGACCGGGAAACCCAGCGAATAAAAGAGGAGAGAAATGCACAAGGCGTACCTGTATCAGATTCATTATTGACCAAGGGATCCGAGGAGACGGATAAATTCATGGACTGCGAGGGCGGTAAATGGATCAGTTTGGAGTTTCGAGCGCGGGAAGGAGGAGCGTAACCGACGGGCAGAGCGGATGGATGGGTTTGTTTACTGGTATCGGGACCGTTGCAACTGATGGTGGCTGAATGAGGGGAATCAGGTAAGGAAGGCATGGGCTTAGGTTTTCGTTCTTGTTGCAAAGCATCCGGCATGCGTACGTGCATCAGTCGTTCCACCGTTTTCGGATTCGCTTTCACGACATCATCCGGGATACCCGAAGCTTGCAATATCTGCTGCCATTCCGGTGGTAATCCTTTGAATCCGTAACTGTCGACTTGAACGTGAATATTGTGCTGGACATTGTACGGTTTACCAATGATGGAGGCTTTCTTCCCCAATGCTACACAACAACAAAAAAAAATCGTTAATAAGAACCTCCATGGCTCGCTCCACAATGCTCGTGCCCGGTTAGACTAGCTTACAACGAGAACACACGGTGGAAGGAACTAGATTCGGGTTAATGTAGTTGGTGTTTAAAACATCATCGCTGGGCAGGGTTGATTGCCACACATCCGGTAATCCCTGTGAGATGGAGTTACAGTTAACACCATGAGAAAGTGAAAAGGCGAATGCATTTTTATTGTTACCATGAATTTGCCATTGTCTTTATTGTATTCAACGTGAATTCCATGTTCAAACTGGGTCGGTTTACCGATATCGAGAACTTTCTCGGGATAACCTTGTCGTCGACTGCTCGCTTTCGATATCTTTGACGCCATGGAAGTGTTGGACTGATTGGGGTGATGGTAGAATCGGCCGAGGCTCGATAAAGTGGAAGATGAGTCGATTTTTCGAAGACTTCGAGTAGATGAAGGAAGCCCGCCCGTCGATGGTCGTGAATTAGGGGGATACTCTCTTCCTGAAACAGACGGGTTGGACACCGGGGTTGCTATGGTATTTCCCATAACGGAATGGTATATATCACAGTGGGAAAATATCAAGAACAAGAGACCCAAGAAACCCTACACCGAGGAGGTAAAACTGGGTGGTGGTGGATTTGAAAAAATTAAAAAAAAAAAAGTTATGTGAATGAAAAAGGCAAATGGCAATCCGGGATTTTTGCTCCTTCCAAATTTGCGATTGGGCGAGATTTATTGGCTCGCCTTGGCCAATGAAATCGAGGTAATACCGGAAACGCTTCATCTTAGGGTTTCCCTGTTCAGGTCCTGTTTCGGTTTTGTCTTGTTCTTTGCCATGGGAACATTCATAGAAATTGCAGTCGTCAAGCCCTCAATCTTATTGAAGAAAAGCAACATTATCAAGCTATTACTCCCGTCAAAGCTGTAACGGCGTTTTCCTTTGCATAGTTTCTGTCGCAAACCGTCGCTTGAGTCGACGATACCAATCCGTAAATGCAAAAAAAAGAAACAATTAGAACTCTGCAACCAATTATATATCTGTTTGCACAATGTCAGGGAGAGTTGTTGGGTGATTTGACACTCTCTGAAGAAAATTGACCGACCGAACAGCCGGTGAAAAAATTCCTGCGGCAAGCCAAACATCAGCGGAAATAGTCAAGTCACCGGTGACACACGAGAGGAGCCAAAACCGGCTTTCAATTCCATTATAGTAAAGGGTTATTCTTTATCCGTTTCCCACCGTTATGCAGGTCCATACCCTTCTGTGGAGAGGCTTGCTAGGCTTCTTCCTGAGCTTGACCTTTAGTCATGCTATTTTTAGACCCGGATGGCGCTTACAAAAGTAAATGAAAGGGCAAACACCCATGATTGTGCTCTCGACCCATAGATAACTGACTGACATGCACTCATTGTTACAGACATCACGGTTACGTAAAAACGTTGGCTGGAACGACCCAACTGGACCCACGTTATGGACCATTCTATTTCAATCAGCCTATTGACCACTTTACTGCAAACTCCCGCACTTTCAAGCAGCGCTTTTGGGCTAATACCGACTGGTATGAGCCAGGCGGACCGGTTATCTGTAAAGCATGATCCATGAATCGCTAGGCGACAAAATTTGGATCACTAAAAAAAATCAATGGATAGTATACAACGCTGGCGAAACAGCTGCTGATGAACGATCGGCCTATGTTACCAATTCATCCATGGCGCTGTTGGCACGTGATTTACGAGGCATTATCATTGTTATGGAGCATCGCAGTTATGGACGTTCACAACCTGGCACGGTAGGGGGAACATATTGCAGCATACACTGTTGGACATTCTCTGTCCTCACAAGCGCGTATTTCTTAGGATTATTCAGTGAAATATTTGAAAACCTTGACTACGGCGCAGGCCTTGGAAGATATGGCCAACATCATTCGCACTGTCAAGGTAAGCAGAATGAATCCAACTACAATCGCCATTCTCCTTGTAAAGGGTACCAACATTTTTTTCCTTTATTCAGTTACCGAATCTTGAAGGAGAGCTTCCACCACCTCCCGCCACACGATGGATCGTCTATGGTGGAAGCTACAGCGGCAATTTGGCAGCGTGGATGCGCGAAAAGTATCCCGATCTCGTCTTCGCAGCGGTAGCATCCTCGGCTCCCGTGGAACTACGCTATAACTTTTATCAATACTTCCAAGCTGTACAACAGTACGCGCCCCGACACTGTGTGCACGCCATCCAAATGGTGATGCAGTACGTGGACCATATTCTTTACGGTCCATTTGAGAGTGGCAAACGAAGACTCAGGAGACGTTTCGGCGTGGAAGAACTCGAGCACGATGATGACTTTGCCGAATGTAAGTGAACTATCCCACCCCCAACTACATGAGACCAGGTAACCCTAATCCGTCCATCGTCTAGTGCTGACCTATCCTTTGGGATTATGGCAAGAAATGTCACCGGATGCCAATCCGTTTCAAGACGAATTTTGTGCTATTTTTGATAACGCTTCCAGCTTCCACGGTTACTTGGATGCTTATAGCAACTATATCAAGGGGGCTGTCAAGAAAGCATGCGGTGATCAACCCATCAATGAATGTTTGGATACGCACGATCCTCAGTCTCCCATGTATCATGATCTAAAGTCGGAAAGTCGAGCATGGTTCTGGCAAACGTGCCTTGAAATGGCCTATTGGCAAACCGCGCCTCCTTTATGGTATCCAACCATTGTGTCGCGAAAACTCACGACAACATGGTACCAACGCCAATGTCCTTTCATGTTTGGAGACGCTGTGCCAGAGGTCCCGGAATGGCGCCGCATGAATAAAGACTACGGAGGTTGGGACGTATGCCTCTCACGGACCTTCTGGGTCGACGGCGAATGGGATCCTTGGCGAACGTTAAGTGTGCAAAGCGACAACGCGCCTTCTCGCTCCCACTGCAAGGAAGACGCCTACTACGTTGTACTTCCAAAAGCGGTGCATCATTGGGTAAGTTTATAAAGATAATAAAACGGTTAAAGCAAAACTACTTGCTCAATATATCATGTTACAGGACTTTTTCATCTCTGAGAACCTCGACCCAAGCATTAAAATTGCCCAGCGCAAAATCAAGCAAGCACTCGTCAAGTGGCTCATTGAAGCGCAAACAGAAGTCCACGCTACACAGACGCCAACGCTATTATATCAAGCAACGATCAAAAAATAAAAGAAACTACTGTTTGAATCTACTCTCTCATGTCCCCCCTATGTTCTTTTATATGCTCTGTGCTTGGACATGAACCATCAATCATCACTTTCTCATCACTTCTTCCATTGAGCATTTTTTTTTTGTATCCTCCAATTCAAAACTAGTTGAGGTTTATTTGCATTGGACTGATTTCGAAAAAACAGTAAACAAGGTAAATAGAAAAGTACCCGACACTGTTTACTTGAGGGGAACGAATCGGGAAGAGTGGGTGGCACCAATACCGGGACGACCGTGACGGACGGGCTTGTAGGTAATGGAGAATTCACCGAGGTAGAAACCGACCATTTCGGGTCTGATTTCGACCTGGTTGAAGGTCTTACCGTTGTAGATACCGACAACGGAACCGATCATTTCGGGAACGATGATCATGTCACGGAGGTGAGTCTTGACAACGGCGGGCTTCTCGTCAGCAGCAGCTTCCTTCTTGGCCTGACGGAGCTTCTTGATGAGACCCATAGGCTTGCGCTTCAAACCACGCTGGAATCTTCTGCGGGCACGGCAGTGAACCAACTCCATGAACTAATAAAATGACAATGGAAACAGAAATAGAATTGTCTTAGCAAACCCACGTTTTCACTACACTTGGTTGCCATAACTTCAAAAGCTGAAACTAAGACTCTACCTGTTCAGAGGACAAGTCCAAGAGTTGTTCGAGGTCGACGCCACGGTAGCTGAACTTGCGGAAAGTTCTCTTTCTCTGACTCTGTTGATCAGCCTACATTGGGACAAATAAAATGCATGAGTTTCCCAGTCCATCGAAGCTGAAATGCTCGTTCATCATCTACGCAGAACGGTATGTAATAGGGAGGCCAAAAAAAAAATGTTGCATCGATTTGTATCGATCTGTATCCCATCATCCAGCATTTCCCATCCGCCCATCCGTCCATTCATCATGTCTCTATGATCCATCCACAGCCCTTCCAGGTGCTACATACCATTGTTAAAAACTGGGAAAGGAAGGAATCCTGTGTCGGCAACTGGGACGTCAAGTATGAGCACGCCTGAGCGGAGGGACCCCCCACTGCCCAAATTTTGTCCGGGACATTGCAGTAAGCTGGATTTTCTCCGGACCGAACCTTTCCAATACATTCTCCGACTGAATGGCTTGAGTCCCTCCCTATATAGAGTCGTTCAACGCAAATTCGTCCCATAGATCCTCTGGGTTCATCATACATGCTGGCTGTTTGCACGTTGAAATTATGCGTGGCTCGGCTCTTTTTAAAAAATATGATACGCTATTTATAAAAAGCCTATTTTCCTTTCTTCGGTTATCGCAACTTTGGTAGATGGAGTAGAGCTGTCTCTTTACACGATTTTTATTTTCATCAAAAAAAGGTCACATCACAGGAATAGGGGATAGACAAATGGTACAAAAGAAAGGGAGAACAAACGGATGTGAGGTTTAGTAGGCTTGACGGTTGACATTGATCTTGACGGTCTTGACTTGGATGTAGTTGTCCAAAGCATATTCACCGTTTTCACGGCCAATACCTGACTGCTTGTAACCACCGAAGGGAGTCTGATAATCAAGTTCATTGTAGCAGTTGACCCAGACGGTACCGGCCTGAAGACGGTTGGAAACATCGACGGCGCGAGCAATGTCCTTGGTGAACACGGCGGCGGCCAAACCATAGGTGGTATCGTGAGCCTTCTCGATGGCATCATCGACATCTTTGAACTTGCAGATAGCGACCACAGGGCCAAAGATTTCTTCTTGCATGATGGTCATCTTCTCAGTAACATCGGTGAAGATGGTAGGTTCAATGAAGTAACCCTTGTCACCCCATCGCTTGCCACCGAGAACGCAGGTAGCGCCTTCCTTCTTGCCGGCTTCAATGTAGCCCATGATACGGTCATACTGCACCTGGGAGACTTGGGGACCCTGGTAGGTGGCATCGTCGTGGGGATCGCCTAACTTGGTCTTGCTGGTGTAAGCCTTGAACTTTTCAAGGAACTCTTCGTAGATGCTCTCTTGGACATACACACGGGAACCGGCACAGCAGCACTGACCGTGGTTGAAGAAGATACCCTTGTGAGCCCAAGCCACAGCCTGGTCCAGATCGGCATCATCAAAGATGATGTTGGGAGACTTTCCACCAAGTTCGAGGGTCACCTTCTTGAGGTTGGATTCTGACGAAGCTTTCATGATCATGCGACCCACCGCGGTGCTACCGGTGAAGGCCAACTTGCTGACCTTCATGTGGCGAGCGAGAGCATCACCGGCAATAGCACCGTAACCAGTGATGATGTTGATGACACCAGGAGGAAAACCAGCTTCCTTGACAAGTTCAGCAACCTTGAGTGCGGACAAGGGAGTGAGTTCCGAGGTCTTGACAACGACGACATTGCCTGTGCAGAGAGCGGGACCCAATTTCCAGCCAAGCATCATGAGGGGGAAATTCCAGGGAATAATAGCACCACAGACACCCAAGGGTTCGTGACGGGTGTAAGACAAAGCACCATCGATTTCAATAATCTTTCCGTGGATCTTGTCGGCCCAGCCGGCAAAGTAGCGAAGCGTGATGGCGATTTGCTTGGCATCAAAACCACGAGAGAAGGAAATACCTTTGCCATTGTCAAGAGATTCGATCTGAGCCAATTCTTCATTGTCACGATCAATGAGATCGGCCAACTTGTTCATCAAACGGCATCTTTCCTTGCCGTTGGTCTTGCTCCAGACATCGTGGTAAGCCTTTTCGGCCGCGTTGACAGCATCATCGACCTGCTTGGCCTCGGCTACATCACGATTTTTAGTCACACAAGGTTCATTGGTCCAATTTTTTTTTCTCAATTAACATACCAGCCTGTACCGCGGCGATCACTTCACCGGTGGCGGGGTTAATGGTGTCAATGGTATTGGCACCAGCAACGAATTCGTTGTTGATGAATAAACCCGTGTTGACTAACATAATGTTTTTAGGTAAGCAACTATTTCCCTCCCTGCAGTGATACATTGAAATTGAACCACGCGCCGACTGACAACCATTTTTTCCCCTCCTCTTGTGGCATCCGCTTACTTACGTTTCAACTTGAAGCCTTTGGGAGTAGCGGTTTCGACAACAAAGTTGGTCATAATGGAATTTTTTTTTCTGGTACAGATGTGGAAGAGAGAAAAAAAAGTTCTGGTATAAAAGGTGTGGGAATTTGAGCGACTTTTTATATGTTGTGCGAGAACGATGTGCGGGCGGCAAAATGCAAACTTTATTTCGTGTTCTGGGGTGGAAGAGTGGAGCTTCATTCTTGACTATACCGCTTTCGGCAAGTCAACCGTAAGGCGGCGAACCAACAACGAACGTTTACCAGCTTGTTATGAGATCAGAATGACACGGAACTTGAAACTTTTACAATGGCTATCCAAGCTGAATAATACAATCGGGAGAATGGATGGAGCATAATTTCATCGTGTCATCCAATCAAAGTATGTGCCTTGGCTGCCATCAAAGTGGACCCCGCAGCAACGCCTTCTTTTTTTTTAAAATTCTCACACCTCCCTCCAACTTATCGCTATGGAAAATTATTGTTTATTTTTTCTTCTTTCCATTGGCCCAAGCGGCTTTTAGGATATTATAAAAGCGCACTAGGTTAGACTAACAATGTAGCGATTTTTATTTTATTTTATCCTGGATGAGGAACCGCATGGAAAAGTGTGCTACGATGTAACCATCAGCTGAGTGTACATTATCTTTTGCAGGAATACAAGCTTTATGCATGCAACAGAAAGCCTGTGAATTGGCGCTATCTCATTGGAAACATAAACACCATTTCACCATGGACTTGGGGTGTGCGCGTTCATGGAGCATTTATTTGTAATTTTGCATTTCTTTTCGTACACGCTCAGGGTGGGCTTTAGATCTCTGTCATACTATGGATGTATTTTCAGCAGATAAGAAATTTGACGGCATTAGTCACTCATTTGACTGTGTATCCAAGAGTAGCCATCAATCTGGGATTCCACTCCAAATGGTTGGGGATTGGCGTTATTCGGCATGTTTTGCGTCTAAGCTTTGAATTATATGAACGACAAACAGAGAGTGATGAAAAAAAAGTTTGCATGTCAATTTTGGCTTGATAGAAGATATACAAGGTCCATCCTTCATCAATCAACTTTATATTGCTGTTGTTTGCACACAGGCCCCACTGATGCGGAAGTCGGCAAAGCAACACGAATACGTTATTTCCCACGTTACGTGAACAAAAAAAAAACTGATCTTCAAGGGAAGAAGATGAAAGAAAAAGAAAACCACATACAGATTGATGAATCTACTTTCTCTATAACGCTTATTACATTTCCCAAGTTTCCGTAAATCCCATCGTCAGGTTCGTAAAAAGTAAATTATCGGACTCACAGGGGACCCATGAATTGAAACTTTAGCACTGTGGGAGAACGCCCTAGAAATTTCATGCGCAGCGGGTGGCATCGGTGCATACTTGTTCTTTGCTTTGTTTATCAACAACTTTTTTGGGAACAAATTTTTTAAATATGGTAAAGTGCAATATTCAACAGAAAGAAACAGAAATGTCGAACGAGAAAATAGAAGAAAAAGCGGGGATGGAATGAGAGAAAAAAAAAGTGGATGGGGAACGCGTAGTTTTCTTGACAAATGATTGATGAATTGGAACGTGGCATGGTTATTTTCTTTGCTTGCCTTTCATTTTTGCTAAGCAGTTGTTGCAGTACCATTTGCCCTTGGGTACCTTGTTCAAGTCCACACATGCTAAATGGAACCATTCAATTTCGCACTACGCAAGAGGGTCAGTTTTGGGACGTGGTGAAGCGCGTAATCCATTTCTGCAAAAACTTACATCAGCATTGTCGCACGCTACCATTTCACCGTATGAAATTTGTTGACAATAACAGTACAGCGGTTCGTTTGGATCAGCATTGGCATCCATAGGAATCACACTATAGAAACAAAACGATGTGAGCACTCCATGACACGGTGGTAGGAACAGCATCCGCATAGTGACACAAACGTTTTAGATTTGTTAGTTCCATTTTTGCCTGTGAAAAAAGTAAAATAACAGTTAATTGATCACGTTATTTTTATAAAGGTAAACAATCCATTACCAGAAGTAATCGCATTCTTTGATTTCTCTTTTTCCATATGATGCTTCATCCTCTCATTCTTAAACGCTTGTGCTCGTAATGCACTCGGCGGTGGTGATCCACCATCTTTCAATGCCTTGCGCTCTGGAGAAGAATGGCAAGACAACAAATCAAACGGCAATCAATACATGACCATCGATCGATTTTTGTTTCTCCAGTGAAAACTTACTTTTTACTGTGAAAAAAAAAAAAGAAAAAAAAGAATGATGTGAGTTTGACCGACTCTTTCGTCTTCTTAAAACGGTAAAAAGTGACAAGTCACTTACCTCGTTTTTCAATCTTGGCATCTTTACGTTCTCGTTCTAATCGTTTATTATTTCGATCCCGCATATCGGCTCCTTCTCGTAAACTACGCGCTGAAGGTTCTAAACCAGGTTGTGCTGTAATTCTGTAATCGCCAATGGTTTGTTCTTCTTCCAATTTCACCAAATCAGCATCAAGACGATTGCAATGACGATCTACCTACAAGATGTTGGACCCCCCACAGAAATTCCCCAATCAGTGGATGGTTCCTTTGTGTTAGACCGGTTTTTCTGTATCTGTCCTACCGCATCAAACGTTGATTTTGCGAGGGCTACTTTTTCTTCACCTCGCTTCAGAGTTTCTTCCAACAAACCGCCAAGATTCTGTAACCTGTCAATGCGATCATTCGGATCCATCTCCAACACATCGTCAATGAGTTTGATTGCTTCCTTGGCCACCGATTCCATCAGTTCTGTGCATAAATTGAGATTGTGTTTATTAAAAAAACGGAAAGCTGACATGGATGCTTGTTGAAACTTTGCTGTACCTTGAGCGTAACCATCGAGTTCTCTCATCAGCGTGAAATTTCTTTGCAGTTCCAGAGGCAATGCTTCCACCGCTAGAGAAAGACCGCGAGAGTGAGTTTCCACTGGCTTTCAAAGGAGAGCCCATCTGTCAGCAATATTTTCCAATACCATCGAGATAATCGTCAAGGTAGATAAGATTGTCGAAATGTTTGCTGACGGCAGGTGGCTTCATTCTGAACTCTGCACAAAGAGGAAACGACGAAAAAGAAAAAAGAAAAAAAAATGCTAGACGAAAAGGAGAATAAGGGAAAAAACGTCGTGCGAGAACGAAAGCACGACACCATGGAGCCCAAATTGCAAGTCACACAGCCCGTCGGGATGGGGTTTCCATTCTTTTTTGCTTCTGACATCCCGTCTCTTTTTCTTCAAGGCATGAAGAGTTGGCATGTGAAGCTATGTATCGTTATTTTTCTCTTTATTGGTCAATGTTTGGCCTCGCCCGGTGATTTGCAACCTTCTTATCAAGACTGCATAAAAACCTGCGCACAAGAACATTGCCCCGCACCTCTTCCTTTAGTGCTTCGGTTAATGCAATGGACATGGTAATCTTGAAAAACCGACGGGAGCTTGATTGAGTTTTTCTCCACGCGTAACTCACTTTTTTTCTACTATTGTTAGCCCTGAAAATTGTCGTTATACCTGTATGCAAAAGCTGACGGATAAGGCTATTGCAGAATCCAGTCGCGTCTTGCAATATCACGGAAAGTGGCCTTTCTATCGATTCTTGGGGGTTCAAGAACCTGCATCGGTTGTTTTCTCCATTGGCAATGGACTCGTGCATTACAAGTATTTCCATGTGCTTCAACAGCAGATTCCACAGGCTTATTACTTGAGACCTTTTATGCTGACTTACGCCCTCGTGGGCATCAATACCTGGATTTGGAGCACCGTGTTTCATGCGCGCGATTTCCCGCTGACGGAGAAGCTGGATTATTTCTGTTCGGGGTTGTTGATACTTTACTCGTTCTATTTTGCCTGTTTGCGCATCTTTAGGATTCGTCAAGCACTGTTCATCCGGGCCCTCAGCATCCTGTGCCTGGGGATGTTTCTCGGCCACGTTTACTATTTATCCTTTGTCACCTTTGATTACGGCTATAACATGTTGGCTTCCGTGTTGATTGGTACGTTACAGTTGACATTGTGGGTGGGATGGTGCTGTGCGCAATATGTGAAACCGGAGAATGCCAGCCGACGACCGTACGCCTACAAAGTTTTGGTGTCCGTTCTAGGCGTAGCCGTAGCCATGTCGCTCGAACTGTTCGACTTTCCACCCATCTTTCGCATATTCGATGCACACAGTCTCTGGCATCTATCCACGATCCCTCTGATGGTGGTATGGTACCAGTTCATTTTGACCGATACCTGGCACGAACTGCACACAAAATGGAATCCGGTCGCCGCAGTCTGAACGAGTCGAACAGCAAAGCAGTGGGCACTAATTTGTCTTTTTCCAATTGTATACACCATTACCTACTATGGGTTCTTTGTATTTGTAGCTTTCAATATCATTTTTGTTTTTCAAAAAGATTTAGAATATATCGCATTACTATATGTCTGCATTTGAAGACTACTTTTGATGGTTATCATGGATACAGTAGCAGGGATCGGATATGACATCGGATTTACCAAGAGAACAAGGACTCTAGGCGAAAGAAATTCCACTAGAATTGATGGGGACTCTCTAGTAACTGAGAGACATGATTATTGGCTTAGAGCACATTGGGGCAAAGATTATGAGTGGAAACTTGTGCGTGATCAAATTGGATCAATAAATATGCCGGCTCAAAAAAAGCCGATTAGACGGTGGGCCTAAAAGGTACAGAAATTGTACGTGAACAACGTTCGTTGTTATTCTGCACGAATCATCAGATAAAGATTTATCGAATGGCCTTATTTCTTTCTTTTAAAGGATACAAATTGGGTACAGTGTATACTTCATTTATTGAGTGGATATGATAAATACAAAATGGACCATTCAAACGATATGTCTAATGGGATCCAAGGCTTACCAAAACGAGAGGGCGGAAGGAACACAAGCACTGTAGGGGGCCCATAGTATACCGGACCTTTCACTGCCACGACTTCTCTGTACTTCCCGCTTCATTGCCAAGCCATCCATGCCCTGTATGTGGGTATGGATTTTACTCGGCTCGGCAGGACTTGTATAGGAGCCTCAACGCAACGGCTACGGGCGCTAATATGCTACGGGAAAGAAGAATGTAAGCCGGAGAGAGAGAGGGATGAGAACTTGCCTCAATTGCGGATCCCAGCAGTCATGCGGAGGTATTGGCCGGATCGCCATCGGTCGTTTCGATGATCGATTAGCTGGCAACAGTTTGCCAGCCATCCACTTTTTCTGCGCGCTTGCTAGAATAAAAAAAAAAGCGAGAGATAAGTAACTAGAATCCTGACAGGTTCACCCCATTTTGTGAACACTTACCGGTTCAGCTTGATGTAAGCAGACCTTATGCCAGCGCTTCGTTGGCAGCGCCGGCCGTCACCGCCCGAGAAAGGTGATTCTTCCGTTTTTGGCTTGGTTATGGATTATCGTTTCACCACCGCATTGCCTTGCTTGTGGGAAGCTATGCGAGGGATTTTGGGCTTCTGGGCCTTGAAAAGAAAGAAAAAGAATGAGTAAACAGTAGTTTTCAAGGATGCGGCGACCGTACCTCGATTCAAACTTGACAACTCGACAAGCAAGAGGGTAAGTGATTGCTTGAATTCTTGGTCAACGGAGTGCCGATATCGTGTTGACACTCCCCTATGCCACGGTTGGATGCGGCACCGGGATTGTCACCACAATTGCAGATGCCTTGATACCTTAAAAAAAGAGATTAGCATAAATGCAATGAGTAAACTGATTTTGCCTGGTGTACTTACTACTTCGGGCATGGAGAACGCAACCGATGTCCTCCGTGATTATTGCTTGTGCCTAAAAATCATGTAATAAATGAATTTGAGCGATCATCCTCTGTAGGTTGGAGAGCAATATTGAATCACTTAACTGGGGCCTGGGGGGTTTGTTCGGCGACCTGGACGGACGTCGCCTTGGACGAATGTCTAATGGTCGACATCCGTCTATTCAAAGAGCTCGTCGGGTCGTCAACTTCTTCGTCGTCCAGAACTTCTTCGCGATCGTCAAACTCATCTTCACCGAATGCTTGCTCCTCTTGTTGCTGCTGTTGCTGTTCTTCTTTGTCTTCTTCTTCGGATTCTACGTCATATGTGTCGTCATCATCTTCTTCATACTCGTCTCCTTCGTCAAACTGAAACGCTTCTTCTCGATACTCTTCTTCATACTGATCTCGGTATTCTCGAACATCTTCCACGTCTTTATAATCACCCCTTTCGTCATTGTACTGATCTTTTCCTTCTTCTTCTTCTCGATACTCTTCTTTGTACTGATCCTGATATCCTTCCACATCGTCCACGTCCGCATAATCCTCTCTTTCGTCATGATAACCTTCTTTTTCTTCTTCTCCGCACTGTTCGTCGTACTGATCGTGACCTTCTTCAACACCGTCAACGTCTTCATAATCGTCTCTTCCGTTATAGTAATCATCTTCTTCTTTTCCTTCTTCTTCTCGGTGCTCTTCGTGATACTGATCATGGCCTTCTTCAACATCGTCAACATCTTCGTAATTGTCTCTGCCGTTGTAATATTCTTCTTCCTTGACATCTTCTTCATACTGGTCATCATCTTCAAGCTCCTCTTCTTCCGAATGATCCTCAGCTTCATAGTATTCTTCTTCTTCTTCTTCTTCTTCGGCATTCTTTCTAAAGACACACAAACCATACGATACACATTGGAATTCGAACTATTAGGCCTAAAAAAAATACACTGCTTACCTGGTTTTCAATTTTTCTGCGGCGTCAACTATCGCTTGCAATTCAACCATTTCTGCCTCCACTACTGGCATTTGCTCTTGGTAGTACGCAGAATTGGGATCAGAGGTGGCAAGCCACTGAACTTTCCCGGCAAGTTGGAGAAAGAACTTTTCAGCCGCTTTGAGGGCTTTTTCAAATTCGTCGTTTTTCCTAGTTAAAAAAACTATTCGTTAGAGAAATGTCGATCAAAAAAAAAAAGCACAATTACTTTCGAGTTAACTGAGAGGTTAGTGAAGACTTGGTTGAAAAGAATAAGTTGATCGTGGATGGAAGAAAAACGTTAGCATAACATATTCTACAAATGATGGCATGGTATTTTGCATCACTTACGATTGGCGAGGTAAGACATTTTAGGAAGAAAATATTACCCTCAATAATAGCCCTTTTGTGAAGTCCCTCGGATATGTATGCCTTTACTTCCTCAACGATAAGATGCAATATAGGTGGAGCATATATATAAAAAAGAAAAAATAGGGGAACCCGTCGCGTTTGGCCTTTTTATATCGATAGCAAAAACCGAGTCACTCAGGGTCCGACAACAAAGCAAAACAGTTTGCCCAAATATGGATGCTATTGATTTCCCAGAGCGTCATACGGTCTGGATATCGGTTTTTCCCGGGTTTGCCCCGTTGAGCAAAGTCGACATTTTAGTCACGGGTTCATGCGTTTCTCCTTTGTGTAACGTTGGTTATTATGCTCAAGCGTGGTGCGGTTTGGTTATCTGAAACCTCATCACGTCGGCTTTACAAAAAGGGGCAAGTCCTGCCAATACCATGATTTGTAACTCGGCCCCCTTTCGATATAAAAAGACGCGGAAAGTGGGAAACCATACGTAGTTGATGTCAAGGGGAACGACGATGCAAAGAAAGTCATGTGTCAAGTTTAAAGAAGCCTTTAGAAGGCCGTGATCCGATCAGCGTGAAAATAAAGTTTAATTGGCGAGTGTGGCTAAAAAATGCGGGAGGAATTCCGTCATGCCGATGACACCATCTTACACGGATGTATCCGATCCCAAGTTCTTACATCGAAAACTTTCTATGGCAACAGAACAGAAGGTTCATCCATCGCGTATTTTACCAGGAGTTAAACAACACTCCTGAACATGAAAAAAAACCACTGTAAACTGGAAATCGTTTAAGCGTCGTACATGCAGGGAGTAAATAAGTTCACCGAGTGGCGTCATCCACGGATTCTTTGACTTTTTCTTCATATCAGACCTAAACTTTATTTTGAGCACTGATCGTATCACGGCATTTCCATAGCTTTTTTAAGCTTGACACATGACTTTCTTTGCATCGTCGTTCCCCTTGACATCAACTACGTATGGTTTCCCACTTTCCGCGTCTTTTTATATCGAAAGGGGGCCGAGTTACAAATCATGGTAATGGCAGGACGTGCCCCTTTTTGTAATGCCGACGTGATGAGGTTTCAGATAACCAAACCGCGCCACGCTTGAGCATGATAACCAATATTACACAGAAACGCATGGACCCGTTACCAAAATGCTGACTTTTTTTAACGGGACAAACCCGAGAAAACTCATGTCCAGCCTTTATGATGCTCTGTGGAATTGATATCATCCATATCTGGGCAAACTGTTTTGCTTTGTTGTATGTTTTCATGAAATTTAAATAGTCTGCTGATTCCGAAAACTGTGACATATGGAGTTATGCTATAAATTAGAAGAGAACCAAAAAACAAACAAAACCAAGCAGTTTTCTCTTACAATCCAGTTATTGAAAATTTGAACGAGTATTCTTTCACTCAACCCAACAAACCCCTTTTCCATATTATTTACTTGATTGCAAACGTATTTTACGAACAACAGTCACGACATATACGGTATTAACCATGAGTGACTTGGTTTTGGAATCATTATAAGAGCGCCAAACGCGACAGATTCTTTTTTTTTTCCCTTTCCTCTTTGTCTTTTGACTCCCTAAAATGTCTAAACTCGTTGATCGTAAGTGATGCAAAATGCCGTGTCCTCTTTTATTAAATATGGCGTGCTGACACTTTTCTCTTCATCCACGCTCAACTCACTTTTTGTGAATCCAATCTTCGCGAAACTCTATGTTGAATCGTAAGCTTGTGTGCCTTTTTATTTTTCTAATCGACGTTCCTCTAGTAAACAATTTTTTCAAATAGGAAAAACGAAGACTTCGAAAAAGCGCTAAAAACTGCTGAAAAACCACTTTACGTCCTGACCAAAAAAGTGAAATGGATTGCCACCAAGGGCCCCGATTCTTCGGGATTACAAAAGGTATATGCCCGAGCTTTTGAAAGAAGTTGGAGAGGTCCAAGCATTGGCTGACCATGCGGAAAAATTGCAGATCCGGTGAGCCGTGTATTTTTTTTTTTTTGAAGTCTACTAGTTTCAGTTCTAACGTGTACGGTATGTAACTTTTTAGCAAGAACGAAGAGAAGGCGAAGATGAAGATGAAGACGAAGACGAAGAGAAAGAGAAGAATCTGACGATGATGAAGATGTCGAAGTGATTTACGATTCGCATGAAGAAGTTCGTCAAGACGAAGAAGATAGCGACGATAACGAGGGTGATGAAGACGTCGAGTGTTTTACGATTCGTATGAAGATTTCTGTCAAGAAGAAAAAGAAGAAGATTTTTCTTCGATGACGATATCCATGGGATGCTTGTAAACCCGTTCGACATTGATTTTACCTTGCTTGAGAGCGTTCGGCGGGCCTTTTCCCTGAAGGTTGAATTCGGGCGTTTTTCTTTGTGCTCAGGACCGCCGGTGCAGAATGGCAACGGGGATCGTAGTTCTTTTCAAAAGAAGAAGGTTGATGTCGAAAAAAAAAGGAAAAGCATGAGTGGCTTCGATTTTTTGTTATTTGGCTGGGAAACCTTGATGAGGAGACGTCCTCGTCGCCACGTGCGCTTTCCTTGTCAATTGTCAGAAAGTGCCCAATTTGGTTACCACCGTGACTGGTGCCATTATGCGGATATTTTGATATTGATTGATTGATTGATATTGATATTGATACTGTATATTAAAAATCTTCGGGAGTTATGCCCGTTAAATTATGTGCACAAGCTCTGATTAGCTAAAAAGCAAAAACAATAAATTTGATTGGGCACAACTGTGTAAAAAAAAAAAAAACCTGTTCTTCCAAGTCTAACCAAATGTTTGATTTGAAGATGTACATGTTCAATCGCATGGATTGCTGCCAATTGGTTGAAATCAAGTGTGTATGTGTGTCCCCTTCGTTTTTGAACAAAAGAGAAAGGAAGATTGTCTTCGGCTTTCTTCTACTTTTCATATATCCGATTTTGTTTTTAGTCCAACTGCCATTTATGATGAATATAATTTGTGCAAGTTGCCGTCAAGCAGGCCATGCTAGCTCTACTGATTTTGGTCAAGTTATTCCAGTGAACCCCAAAGCAACCAGGCCCCAAATTGTTGAACAGTGTCTAAATAGGGCCTCTTTCTGGCCATCTGTAAGGGGTCTTCGATTAACGACAAACATGCGTGTAGAACAAACTCGCTTAAGCAGTGGTGTGGATGCTAACATATTGGATCAATTCGCCTCTTATCTTTTGCGCATTAGTAGTGGAACAAAACCGTACACAAATGGGAACTTGGTGTTACTTCCACCCGTGATGCTGGTGCCTTCTAATGTCGAAGATCTGATATATGCAGTATATGGCCATTCTTTATCAGAAATGCCCTCGAGAGAATTCTTAATAAGCCGTGCCATCTTGGCTCCAAAAAACAGACATGTGGCCTTTCTCAATGAGAAGCTGCTGAACAGTTTCCCTGGAGATGTCTGCGAATACAAATGTGCTGACAGCATGGACACAGAGGAAATTCAACTGGAGCACACTAATTGAAATTTTGAACTCTATAAATTCAGCCAACCTGCCACCGCATTCCCTTAAATTTAGTATTGGCTGCCCAATCATGCTGCCTAGAAACATCGATCAAACAAATGGTTTATGCAATCCGCACACGTTTAATATGCTGATCTTTCCATCTGCATATTATCGAAGCAGAAATTGCCAATGGAATCAACATTGGAAAACGTGTACTGCTATCGCGCATAGCAATTATCAATGATTCTGATGAAAAAGCAATTCCATTTAAACGAGTGCAATTTCCTGTACGTCTTGCCTTCGCAATGACTATAAACAAAGCCCAAGGTCAGACCTTTGACTCCACTGGCTTATTTTTACCTGAACCGATATTTTCCCATGGCCAACTCTATGTTGCCATGTCCCGAGTTAGAACCCCGAGCTCCATCAAAGCCATGGCCTCTCATGCGTCCCAAGATATTGACAACGACATTTATACTAATAATATTGTGTATACTGAAGTTTTGTGATCTTCAAGATCACACGCGCAACCAGTTAACAATATCTTTGGGAAATTAGCGATTTTGTAAATCACATGATCTACACTAAGTTATCAGGGCCTGTTAAACCTCTTTTTTTTATCTTTCAACCATGCCTCGCTGCCTACTTCCACAATAATAGGCGAAACAATCAGCAGCAAGATGCCGTTTGCGCCATTTATGGTCAAACAGAGTATCGCCGTCTTTCACATAAAAATGTGAGTAGAGCTCTTTTTTAAGAAAGATGGTGGATGATGTCGATCTGGGTGTTCTGTAGCATCGTTTAATTTGGGTTTTCTGTCAGTTATACTGTTTATGCCCTTTCATTCTCTTCAGTTTTCGATGATCGAGTGATACATGGAGCAGACGTGCTTCGATCTATGAATTCATGTATCAGTGGGGTGACTATCGTTTCATCCATGGGAAATGCACATATTTTTGTCTTCAATTTTTTTCTTTGTCTCTGATTTACCTCTCTCTAGAGTAAGACTTTTCCATGTAGCTGATCTGACGATATTTCTCATCATTCTTGCATTGGCAGAGTGACCATTGTTTCATCCATGGGAAATCCACATGTATTTTGTCTTCGTTTTTTTCTTTTTTCTTTGGTTTTCTCCTCTATCTTCTGTTAACCTGAATAACTCTCACTATCATTGCATCCCCTTGCATCCATCATCCATCATCCAGATTATGGTTTATCCCGCGTGTATCTGTAACCGGTCAAGTCGATTAAATATCAAAAAGGTACCTTTTCTGTGATATGACTATCCGTTCTTCGACAGAACAAAACGTACGTTTTTTTTTTCGCTATCCCTTCTTTAGCTTTTAGTTTTCTTTCCATTTTCTTTTCGCTCTGGCAAGCCATCCATCCTCCAAGTATTTCTACTTTGTTCGCACACCAAATGTGGCCAATCCGGTTTTTGTCGTCAAAGGGCATCGTCGGCGGTCTGACTCTCCTTCTTCATCAGAAAGTGCTTACACTTCCTCCTCAGCTTGGCTTCACCTGGATTATTTCCCGTGGTATTGTCTTCGATATTTCTTCCCGACCATTTTATTTTGTAGTTTGTAGTTTGTCGTATGTACTTTGTATTTTTATTCGATAGACCTTCTTGCAGCCTTTTCCTCCTTTTTTTTCCCACAGGGTTTTTACAGGGTTTTTACTGACGCACCTATTGTTTACTTTTTTTTATATTTGTATCGTTTCTTTTTTTTTTTTTTTGTCGGGAAGCTCTGGATATCTGCTACCTCACATAACAAGGGTAAAATATCTTGACGACATTTGAATCAATCAAAGAGTTTACTAACTCATTTTTTTAAATACCCAACATTCCCACACAACATTCTAGATCTATCATAACCTTGGGCGGGACGGGACTGAGAGAGTCAATAAGTGCTGATGCACACATGTTTGAAAGTTATGATTGTACGGTATGCCAGGGTATTGACATTAATATACCAAAGTTCCATCAAGAGTCTTGCCCAGGTTATGCCGTATCGCGTTAAGCTTTTGTCTGACGAATGTCGCTCAATGTAAGGGGGCGACGTCCAGTAGCAGGTGGCATCCATTGCACAGCGGGTGAACAGCTTGTTATTTCATCAAATTCATGAATGTCACCATCATAATTTCCGCTGCACAACGCCTGACTCATACGTGATGAAAGAGCCTTTGTTCCTTATCGTCATAGAGAGACTTTCTGATTCGGAATTGGATCACAGTGTGGGTAGAAATCAGCAGTATAACAATTTTTGAACCTGCTTCAGTTTGAATGTCTTTGCCTTGTCACCAAGTTATATATCCGGTAAGAGCCACCTTGGTAACGAAAGGTAATGCCAATCAACGGATCGAGAGGCACATCTGGGCGACGCGGGCTGCAACGCCACCCCCGAATTTGTGTGTGACAGCTTTTCGTTGTCAAATCGGAACCCGAACCTTGAATCGAAAAAAAAAGTTCTGGTGTTAAAAAAAAGAAAATGTAAAAAAGGGTCAAGCACTGTTCGGTTTCCTGCATTCACCAAAGCACCATGCCAGCAGAACATTTGCAAGCGAAAGAAGCACTCAAGCCCAAGTTGGAAATCGAATTGTACGATGATATTGACGATTACAACGAGGAAGAGGAAGACGATTACGATGATTATCTCGACGATGAGCTGAACGACACCGACATGTGGGATAGTGTGACGGGAGGTTTGTAGATGCTGATCATACCTGACAATCTTGCAGCAAAGATTGCTAATACGAGTGACATGGTTGCTTTAGATTTCACAAAGCAATACAACCGATTAAGGCAACAGGTATCTCACAATACTGTCACACCCTCCTCGGCACCTGCTTCGTCAAAGCCAGTACCGGCATCGAATCAGAAACCGGCACCTGCGGCGAATCCGAAAGCTAAAGAAACCGCCACAGTGGCGGCGAAAAAACAATTGCTGGAAAGTCAAATTGAAAGTTTGGGACGATATGCCAGTCGCATTCAGGTGCGCGCTTATGAACCACCACCACGAATTTCGGCTTCGGTTGCCAGTGATATCAAATTAAGTAGCAAGAAGGCGAGCGGTGAGAAGTAAGTCCCATCAGTTCATTGCTACCCGCTCCACTATGCGCCAGTGACTCATCAATCTTTACAGAAACACACAAAAGGATAAAGCCGATCGTGCGACGGTCGAACAAGTGCTGGATCCTCGTACCCGTATCATTCTGTTCAAAATGTTAAATCGAGGCATCTTTTATGAGATCAACGGTTGTATCAGTACCGGTAAAGAGGTAAGCTGGGAGACTAGTGATGGCGGTAAAGACATTGGATGACTTATATTGGAAACGACAGGCCAACGTGTACCATGCAGTTACAGAAGACGGCAAGCACCGTGCCATTAAAGTATACAAGACGTCGATTTTAACGTTCAAGGACCGTGATCGCTATGTCAGTGGTGAATATCGTTTCCGACATGGTTACAGCAAATCGAATCCTCGTAAGATGGTCAAGGTCTGGGCCGAAAAAGAAATGCGTAATTTGCGACGACTGCAGCAAGCCGGTATTCCGTCGCCCGAAGCATTGGTGCTCCGTATGCACGTGCTCGTCATGGAATTCTTGGGTGACAAGAACGGCTGGGCCTACCCAAGATTGAAGGATGCGCAAATCGAAGCTTCCAAATTTCCTGCTCTCTACTATCAATTAATCAAGAACGTCCGTACCATGTATCAGGTCTGCAAGCTGGTTCATGCGGATTTGAGTGAATACAATTTGCTGTAAGTTGTGCTAAAAAGAGGCAACATCATGCTGATGATGAAGACGACGTGACTGATGGTTATTTTAGATATCATTCGAGAACTCTGTATATCATCGATGTTTCACAATCCGTTGAGCACGATCATCCTCACGCTTCTGAATTTTTGCGCAAGGATCTGTCCAATGTTACCGACTATTTTGCCAAGAAAGGCGTTCGAGTAATGTCCCTGATGGACCTCTTTTCTTTCGTCACCGATTCATCATTCAGTAATGAGGAGGCTGCCGTTGATGATGCTTTGGAAAAGGTAACAATGGGCGAACAAGTCAATTGCAACCCGAGAAATAGAAATGGCTGACGGAAATACTCGCTGTGTAGATCAAAGCTCGCATGGACGCCGAGCCGGAAAAGGAGCGTAATCTTCTGGAAGAAGAGATTTTCATGAAGTCGTACATACCAACCACATTAGACGAGGTGATTGATGCAGAGAGAGATACCCTGCTTATTGCTGAAGGCGGTGGGCAAAACCTTGTATATGCGAATCTGCTTGGAAGTGATGCATTGAACGAAGTAACAGCATCTATCAAGAGCATGGATATTAAAAACCACGCACCCAAAATCGCAAATGTCCAGGATGAAGATACATCCGACGTAGATGAAGAAAACGACGACGACGAGGATGACGAAGACAGCGATGAGGAAGGCAGTGATGAGGAAGGCAGTGATGATAGTGACGATGAAGGGGATCGCAAAGCCAAAAAGCCCAAAGGAAAGAAGAATGAAGATAAAGATGCGAAGAAGGAACGCAAACAGAAAGCAAAGGAAGAAGCACGCGAACGACGTAAACACAAGCTTCCAAAGGCTGAAAAGAAGAGAAAGATCAAAGTCAGTCGCAAAAAGAAATAAATAAATCTCACATCCTTTGCATAATCGATATACTCTCTTGGAAGATGTCGCATTAGCTTGGTTATGAAATAGTTTAGAAGCACAAGTATGCAGGATATACAGTAGTCATGGCCACGAAATTCCACAGAAATAACATCTCACGAGAATCGTTTACCATGTATATGATGATTCTATCTGAATGAAACATTTGGGATCACAATTAGAATGCGCTTATCGTGCTGTATACGTTTTTCTTTTGCCTAGATTGACAAAATACAAGATGTTCAATTTTGCAGCCCTCCTTCAAGCTGTTATTTTATTTTTATTTTTTGGCCGAGTTTGATGTGGGTCTTCTCATCCCTCGCGAGGGCAAGTACATCCTATTTCTTTTAACAGCGGAACGATCGCAATCAGTAGTTAGTAAATGGGGAAAAGAACCGAGAGTAACAAGTGATTTTCTCAAGGTGACCGGACCGTTCGCTCGAACCAGTTATCATCGCTCAAATTCACACGGTGATACAGCTTTATCACAATATTGTCTTCAAAATAACAAGCCGTACACCCTCTGTGCAATGGCCTGCGGGCTCGTATTGAATTCGTAATGTGGTTCTGGCTCGCTCATAGCTTCTGCGATAAATGGCCATCTGTTCTCTAGTCAGTCTGGTCGATTTTCGGCGATGATTGCTTGAAATGCATCTTGAGGACGTGGAACGACAAAGCCATCAAAATCAGTCAGTGATCTCGATAGTGTGCTCAATAGGTTTTCAATCTCCAACAACGCACGATTGTACACAGTCTGTGATGGCTCTATTGCCCTGTTTCCCTCTTGTGTTCTCCAGATATAAGCATAATCTTCCGCTAAATGATCACGTGATTGCAACCACAGGGCAAAGGGGTCGGCAAGCTCACAGAAAGTGATTATAGTTGCAAATAGTCTTCGAAGTGATGATGGCATCTGATAAGTTGTTGCTTCTTGAAGAGCAAGTTGCCATTCGCTGTCATCTGAGAGCAGGCCGAGTTGTAGTGCTGCAGCCTGGAAAGTTGGAATGATGACGCCGTTAACTATGCGAAGATCTTGGAAACTTTGCGCACCTGCGAAGCTATACAACATCATCCTTAAATAATATTTTTCGGATTGCTTGGTGACACAGCGTAAATCCGGCCGATTGCACCGTCAAAGCGTCGTTGACGTCTTCTCCGTGTTCGTGTTCTGGTGATATACGTGTTGCGATGGGAAATCAGGGTAAAGTAGGCTCGGGCTTGAGGATCCGTTCTGTTTTTGGCAAACCATGCTGTCAAAATGAGCACGTTCTGCCACTATTTGAGGATTCTCATCTTCGGAAAATTGCACCATTTCCTCATTTTACAAATGGATGGCCAGGCGTTGAGTGTTGGGATATTCAGAGTGCATAGGAAATGAAAGTAACCGATGAACGTTCTTCCTGCAGCCGAAGAACAGGTTTTTTTACACAGTTGTGCCCAATCAAATGTATGTTTTTGCTTTTTAGCCAATCAGAGACCGTGCACATGATTTAACGTGCATAACTCTCAAAGATTTTTAATATACAGTATCAATATCAATATAAATATAAATATCAATTCTCTAACTGCCGCAATACAAAAGAACTTAATATGTTGAGGAGGTTTACAAGGATTTTATTTTCTTCATTCCCACACGGAGGGATCATAATTTGTGACCAAGTCGGAGCATTTCATGAATTGGGCGACCCATGACTGGAAGCCACCGCGCAAGACCATGACCTATCATGCAAGGACCGTATATAGCAATTAAACATTTTTCTGATGATATACCGAGCTTCCTCTTCTTACCTTTTGTGACATGTTATGGTCATCGACATACTCTTGATAGATACGCGCTGCCTTGGGTCCTATTTGCTTGCTCAGTCAAACAACTGTTGGGCCATGTATGCCATGTCCAAAGGTGCTCATTTACCTCGTGTTTGTGATTGCATGCAATGGAAAAACACCAACGGTACGTGCCCGTATTTCTTGGCAAATTCGGGCAACCCGTGACGAAATGTCTTTGAAGGCAAGTTTATGGCGTTGACAATGTTACCACCCTACGGTTTCCAAGCAGTAAGTTTTATGCACGGGTCAATGACGGAATGACATGGCCCTTTTTTCAAGAAAGCGTTGGGATTATCAGAGACCGTACCCGGTAATCATGATCGCGCACATCAACTACAACATAATCTTGGCCAGCTTTTTTCGTTTTATCCTGCATTAGCTTCACCAACACATCGCTATCCACTTGTGGCACAGTCGACATTGTGAAACCAAAAAAAAAGAAGCGATTTTTTTTGAACGAGAGAAAAAAAAAGGTCGTGAATAAATCTTTTTGTTTACGATCAGTCGGATAATAGACGATGTGTAGTTGGGGAGGGGAGGTGTTTGATGAAAGTTTTTGTAAGGGTAGTCTTCTAATCTCTATGCTGTTAAGATTTTTTTTTAAAAAAAGGTGATTCTTGTATAGTCTACGATCTCCATCCAGCGGAAATCTAGATTGGGCTTTCTTTTTTTTCGAGTTGGGAATCGGGAAGCGGAGAGATCATGTAACGAGCAAATGGGTCATAAGGGGATATTGTTTAACCATCAGAAAGGGAGAGTCCGAGGGTGGTTCAAAGGAAAAAGAAAAAGAGATTGATTGACAGACGTTCAGCGAAGAATCAACATCTTTTTTGTATGTGCAGTGGATGGGCGCGTGTGTAGAGTTTGAGCGGAAGCTCGGAAAATATGTCAAGCGATATGTATGGCGAATTTTCGACGTTGGAGGTCAATGGAGGACGATGATGAGGATGGTTCAAAAGAAAAAAAAATAGAGCACAAAATAAAAGGAAAGAGGAATCCAAGCTGGGTATTGCGCTTTTGCAGGGTCGATACCAGGTATCTTACATATCCACGATACGTTGTACCTTGCCACAATCTGGTAGATGTTCGCCTCTGTATTTGATCAAAAACTCGCCATTATCCTTCCAGGTAACGGTCTTGTTGACAGGACAACCCTACAATAATGAGAAAAATTACATCAAACATTAGTACGAATACTCGAGACGATTTTTTTTTTCACATCGATGAAAACGAATCACGTCACAATATCATCCATCATATCGAACACAAAAAATGATGAGTTACCTTTGTACTATTGGAACATTTGTAATAGACACTTTTATTGCCTGTTTTCTTTTGTATTGTGTTGCCGTTATTTTTCCAAAAGTAACCATCCATATATGGATTTTCACGCGTTTCCACGATCTTGGTGATAGCTTGCATCTCTCGTCGTCGTCGGGGACGCTGAGAATAATGATGCTCATGACGTAGTTGCGCCGATGGTTGTTCTACGCTGGTGCAACGTGGAGTTTCCGATTGGAGGTGCATTGAGGTGCCCGAGAAAGGTACTTCATCCATGTAGGACGGCGATAGCGGATGTGGTTGCTTTAGCGACATCAGATTTGGCGGAGTATAACTATGAAAGGGGAAGGACAGGCCCAAAAAAAACAACACGAGATTAAAAAAAAGATTCTGACTCGGGAACGGAAGGTGGGGTCCTCAATTTTTTTTTTTTTTCGTTTCTATTTTTTTTTTCCTTACCTGCCCATTTGAAGTAAAGTTCCCGCGGTGTTCGATGTGGGGATTGGAGAAAATGTTCTGTCGTCTAATTCGTCAGTGTTGGCACTGCCACCCAAGGAAGAACCTAATGCCGAATCCCGTCGTTGCATGGTGGGTGCACATTGAGGCGAGGCAAGAATCGCATCCAAACTGGTTCTTCGCAAATGCAGAGGCTGTGACTGGGTCATGATACGTTGATCAATGGAAGAAGTGGTACTAGGCGGAGGTGTAGGTTGCATTCCAAAATTGGCGAATTGCGTTTGCGAAGTTGAAATCATGGAATTACTGGTATTAAACGACATATCTGCGGGGATGGAAGGTGTGTGGGGTAACTGTTGTTGTTGCAGTAACAATAGGTCCAATTCTTTCGCTCTCAGTTTAGCTTCTTCGGCTCGTCGTTTGTCTTCTTCCAATTTGCTCAGCAAAATTAAACGGAGCAAGTCTGGTTGATTCTGGTAATAGAGAATGACATCTTGCAAATCACACGAAGCAGGATTGGTCATGGAATTCTTTGCCCACGGATCCTGAGTTTGTTGTTGTTGCTGTGGCTGTGGTTGTTGTGTTGTTGTTGTTGTCGTCGTCTGTTGCAGTGCTTGCTGTTGCAATGGTGACGAAAGAACAGGGGTAGTCGGTTGAAATTCTGGCTGTGATTTGGCATGGGTCGATGGTGGTCGAGAAAAAGAATGAAAAGGTACTTGTTCATGATGATAAAGTGGAACGAATTTAGACGGATCCTTCGTCATGGAATATGTGTATTCGCTCATGGGCGTGAAATGGGGTAGAATTTGACAAGGCAGAAAAAAAAGAGAGAGGGGAAATCAAAGCGTGATAGAATAAAAAAAGTAAGAAGCGAGAAAAAAGAAAAGAAGAAAAAGAAGCTTATTCCAAACCTTTCCCGTCCGTTTTTATTTAGTGGGGAAATCCGCTCTTTTTTTTACATTTTTCTCAAGGTCAGCTACAAAAAAGACCTTTTCCCCTCGTTAGCTTAGTAGAATATCATGTGTGGGAGGTGGCGGTATTTCACTCTCGATTGTTTGCACAATGTTTTTTTTCAGTGCCTTTTTTTTCGTCTTAACATTTAATTGAATTACGCGTTCGCTGGTCACACATCAACGATGCGTCTATTGGGTCAATCCAATCGCTGGCAGCAGCCCTACCCTTATTAGCTTATCCGGCCGTTATGACATTTCACATCAATCTTCCCAGGAAAGGTATAAAAGAAGCTACAATTTTACCTATGTCGCAAGTACCATGGTAATTTTCGACCTATCGCTTCACTCTGATACGCGAACTACAAATGTTTCACCGATATAGCTTTTTTAACACTTTCTATTAATCCTTCCCATCAAGGATCATCGAGCGCTAACCTTTGGCATCTTGAGAATCGACCATCTCGTTCCTTTCGAGACTTTCTATCTATCCATTCCATGATAAGCCATCGCCGTTTCAATCCCCTTGGGAAATTTTCAACGTCAAGACCTTTCATACAATCCCTTTATCCACAAAACCACTTGGCATCACTGTGAACTTTTTTTTTTTTTTTTTTTATTTGCAATGAGTTTTTTTTTGTTCTTTTGTTTAATATTTTGCAATCTATAACCCCGGGGTGAAAAAAAAATTCATGTATATGCAGTCTGTTGGATTGCAATGAGCCATTAAGATTTGCTGTAGCGCTGAAAATGTGGGGGAATTGAAGACATGGATTGTGTACTTGATTACTACGCACTGTACGCTTCGGATCGTGAGTCTAATGTTTGCTACCTCATTTGGATAAGTTCACATAGTATGCTTTTGGGTGATAAGGAATCTCGAATGACGATATAGGCAAAGATGTTATCTTGATAACGTATCGCTCTTTGTTACAGTGATATCTAGATGTTCTCACGATAATGCTGATCACGCATTTCCTGTTAGACCAACCACTTCAAAATAGGAAAATGACAAGAAAGTTTTGTCATTTTAATTATTAGTTGGTAACCATTGAATGGCTTCGAGAAGCGTCAATGAAAAAAAAAAACCTATTCAAAAGCAATGGATAAAAGCGGATATGCCGTATATGAGCTATTGCCTATTTGCAGTAAAATAAATGACATGATGTGCAATACGTTGAGGTCTCGAAGTTCCCCCGCATCACACTAAACTCTAAATGGGCAATTTCTTTTTCGGAGCTGGATAAACGGAATGTTTTTGGAAGCATTTTCCCCGCTTCGCGGCGTTGAAAACCCTCATTTTGTTTTTTCGTCCCCGGTCTTAAAAGATGAAGAACAAAAACACGACAAATTTTGTCCTTCGTAGACATCACAGGAGCCTTGATAATGGGGGTGAATGTTTGTCAATAATTGATTGCAAAATTTCAGGCACGCTCCAACAGAGGGCATACAATTTTGAAATGAGCCGCCGGCGAACCATTTGTTCGGAGAGAACCATTGAATGCTGTGGAGAAAATGATCCGATCAAAAAGGGCTTTTGGGGACACACAAACAAAAACAAAGAGAAGCTTCTTCGACTTTGCAACAATGAATATTTACATAGCGGCAGAAACCTTTTTTTTTTGCCGTACCTTGTCACAGAAAACCCTTGGGGACCCTGATATTTGCTAAGCGTTGCGGTAAGTATCATGGAGCACGCGGGTAAAACGTGCTCCGGATGGCAGAAGCGGTTTGTCATATGTAAGTGGCGAGCCCAGTTACCCCATGATCCAATCAATAGCTGCAATGGCGGTCATAATGGCCAGTAAACTGGTTTAACGTTATAGCAAAATTCCCACTTTGGTACATGGTACATCAATTACACAGAAAGCCGAGGGATTACCCCTATGCGCCTGTAGTCATATCATTTGCCAACTTGAATTTGACTGTGCGGAAAATGCGAGAAAAAAAAATTACGCCATGTGGCCGAGTCGCGGAAGTGGGAGATCGTCGGCTGTCGCGGAATACCAAAGGAGAGGGCCATGTGGGGAAAATGGTGACTTTAGCCTCAATAACTTTTATTCTATTTCCGTTTTATTCAGCACCCGATCTGTGCAACAATGTAACACAAGATGCTGGATGGATTGTGTGGGTAAGAAAATCGATCCATCATTTAATACACCACCTGAAGCGTGCTTTTTCGTAAACTTGCTTCTGATTGGATATTTGGTCATATCCTTATTACTGATTTTTGCTTCATAACATATGTCATATAACCATTCTCGAACCATTGATGAATCCAAATGCATCCAGTAGATCATTACACCAACTTCTAATTGCGGTAGCCATTGAGCCAGCCTTTTACCTAATGCTTAGGACGTGTGTTTCTGAGACGCAGCAACACAGCCTTTGATCGAATTCGGCGTGTTGAATAACTGCAAGTGGAGACATCGTGGTGGGGAGAGTACGTTATATAACTGATCACCACTCTCTCCCTGGCGAAAAGTTATGATTTTTTCCCATTATTATCTGCAATACGGGCATCATGAGCAGTGATCACTCCAAAGCGTGGCTGCGATAATGCAGCTATTCTAATGTCAGTGTGCTTATCATTAGTTCGAATCAAAGAAAGAACGAAAATTGCTTCTTTAGATCCAAAGATAATGACAGGTGATGCGTGCACATCTCTGTTTCGCAAAACGGCAATCTACATCTTCATGCATAATGTCATCATAAGAACGAGCGTCGATATGTAAATTATGTACGGGAAACTGTAATCCTAAAATGTTGTTGGTGCGGTTTTGCGGAGCAGCCGATCTGTCACGATTCTGTAAAACATGCCATCCTTATCGGTCAACAGTCCTGGGAACCGATGTCAATGTATGAACAGCCAATTCGGTAAAATGCCACGAATTAGCCGCTACCGCCAGATCCCGCTTTCTAGTTGCTCCTTTTTGTCCATTCTTTTTAGTCAAACTGATCGTTGACACGATCAACCCGTCGGTACAACAATCCATAAAAGATCTCAGTGCTCAGCACATGGCACATGGCACAAACCGATCACTTTTTGTCCAGTTATAAGCTCCCTGTCATTTAACCAAAAAGCTAAATCCGCGCAAATATCTTGAGAAGCTTCTTTTTTCCCGAACCATGAAACGAAACATTTAAATAACAACCCTATGAGTAAAAGGCTCCTCACTTTCTCTAATGACTGATGTGGTCCTCCTCTCGAAGCATTTACGAGATATCTCAGAGCATCATAAGAGCTGATTTGAAATGATAAGCTACATGACAAAGTCTGACGTTCTGAAGCCAAATATGTAAAGTTGGTCACACAATGCCACTTGTCCTTAGTAATGATGCATCAGCCCAAATGTGAATACGAGCCCAATCTGATACTGCAGCAGTAAAAGGTCTTCAGGAATGAACTTGGCAGACAGCCTTTTTTTTTTTTTCTTTTTGTTAAACTCAGCTTGCATGTTCTGTCAAGGTAAATATCACACTCATCCATTAGATAGCGGAATCTTTACGGCTAATCCATGGTTGAGCCATGCATGGTACACCTGCGATAGAGAGGGCCAATGGACTTCTTACTATTGATCGAACATTTCCTATTCCATGCATAGAAATTGTCTTGGTATCCTCAGCCACGAAAACACATACAGCTTCGATGCGCTTGCTCTAAATTACAATAGTCGTTATGGTACTGAATGCTTTGATTTCCATGAAATTTGAAATAAGCAACAATATACCTCTTTCAAAAGAATATCTTAGGAGATCAGCTTACAGCAACATGACAAAATTAGCAATAGGAATAGAGTTCGGGCAGCGGTTGTTGTCGTTGTATCGGCTTGAAGTTGCGATTTGTATGGATCCAGCTATATTTTGATGAAGCCGACCACACAAACCTATGATCCTACTACACTGGGCCGTTTCCTGATGTGTTACTATTTGCATAGCAGAACGTAGCCAAGGCGATATCTCATTTCATTTCGATTGCTTTTCGTTTTCGGCTTTTGAACCGATTTTTCCTGTTTGCCTGCTATTTACGATAATAGCACATCGAGCTTTTGCTGAGAACTATAGCAACAAATTTGGTAGTTGACTGTTCTAATGATATATTCGTGGATCAAACCCTACATAGACGAGTACACGTCAACTGAATACTGAAAATATACATTGATACTCGAGGACTCAAGGACTCAAGAACTTAAGAATTTCAGGATGCTTATCGTTTCTGTTGATCCAGGAACAACCCAAGTTTTTTTTTAAAGCGCTCCAGTGGCGCTTCCTGGAAAATTTCCTCAAGTCACGCCATTCTTTGATTTGATTGGCTGACACGAATTTTTCGAAAATCAGCTGGCCGGGTGCGGGAGGTCCGGACAAACGCAGCCAAAGCGGGAACCCAACAAGGCAGCCTGTTCCCGATACTTCGTCTCGTTCTCTTTCCCTTACTGGTCAATTCGTATGTGTCAATAGTCGCAGAGAAGTATACATCCTGCCATCATCGATTGATTTACGACGTGGACGATCATGATGGATGATGGAAAATTACTTTTCATGGATGGATTTGAAGCCGGATTACTTATTATCTGTTGATCGATTTTTTTTTTCTCTTCATTGTTGGGACATGCTCATTGTAGGCCATGGTTTTGAAGCACAACAACCAGTTGCCCAACCAGCATTTCCGCAAGCAGTGGGATCGCCGTGTTAAGACCTGGTTCGACCAGGCCGGTCGCAAGAAGTCTAGAAGAGTTGCGCGCATCCAGAAGGCTGCCCGTATTGCTCCCAGACCCGTTGATGGTCTTCTTCGTCCCGCTGTCCGCTGCCCCACTCTTCGTTACAACATGAAGTTGAGATCCGGCCGTGGTTTCACTTTCGAAGAACTCAAGGTAAATTGGATTGATCGGTTACGCCAAATCCAGCATTATACAAAATGAAGGGTCAAGTTGGAATGGGAAAAATGCTAAATGTTGAATCGCCACTTTTTTCCCCTCAATTCAATCTTACAGGAGGCTGGTATCCGCACCAAGGAAGCTCGCACCATTGGCATTGCTGTCGACCACCGCCGTCGCAACAATTCTCAGGAATCGCTCGAACTCAATGTTCAGCGTCTTAAGGCCTACAAGGCTAAGCTCATTGTCTTCCCCCGCAAGGCTGGTAAGGCCAAGAAGGGTGATGCTGAGGTAAGTTAATTCGTTCCTATTCTCATTTTCATGGTGGCGTCAACCGTCACGTTATGTGCATTTTGAAGCGAAAAAAAAAATCTCACTATTGTATTTCACTTAGGCTGCTGAGCTCGCTTCCGCTGTTCAACTCCGTGGTGGTCTTCTCCCTGTTGAGCAGGTCGCTGCTGCTCCTGAAGCTCGCGCCATCTCTGCTGATGAGAAGAAGGTCAACGCTTTCATGCAGCTCCGTTATGCCCGCTCCGCAGCTCGCACTCTCGGTGCCCGTGAGAAGCGTGCCCGCGATAAGGCTGAGGAAGAAGCTAACAAGGTAAGTTGCTCTTTTTGAGAGATTACAAAATTGGTCAGTTCCAATCACAGTGAATTAACATACGTCTTTTTCCGGCTTTTTGTAGAAGAAATAAATTATCTCTTTTCCTTCTTGTCTGAGATGGACATCAACATTTATATAAAAGAAAATAAAAGGATTGGCAATTGCGTTTTTGACTTGTTTTTCAACTGTTGCACAATGGTCATGCATAAATTGGGAAAGTTAGTGAGTGATAATGCTTTTGCATTAAACTTTCGTTGGAGACATTTCGGTGCAGTCGAATAACGTTTATCCCTTTTTTCATGGCTATATTTTTGGACAAAATTATCAAAAAATGAAAAGAAATTTCGAAACTGTCTCTGCAGAAAAATAAAGCTTTCATTTCCATTTTATTGATTAAAAATCTAGTAAAGGCGGGAAAGGGCCTTGACTGGTGCAGTACATTTTAACCGGTTTCGGAATTGCTTTTAAACGCTCCAGTAAAGTTTAAAAAGAACAAAAAGAACAAAGGTATTATCTAGAATCATAACATGGCTGCAATTGAGCATGAACGTACATTCTGCGAATGACGAGCAATAAGGCGCAAAGCTCCCCCTTCTCATTCTGTTGTTCAACAACGTATCGAGTTCACCGGTCAACAGGATTTACGACAGAATAAGCTGTGTCGTCATGGTTTAACAAATCAGCAAATGAAAGATGAATAGCAGAATCCAGATTGGTTTCAGTGGGTCATATTTTTTTGTTGAATGTTTCGCACCTGAGTTTTGGTTTTTAATGCACTGAGCGCCCGGCCTCGAACGGGGAATCACTTATTACTCTTCTTTTCTACCTGTTTCCCTGTCAGCTTTTTAGTTTTTATCACTCACAGTTTATATCACAACCAATGGATGGAAACTTTAGATACTTTGCCCCCGCTCAGGCGGATTACGGCAAACCCATGTTTGAAAACCGTGCACAGCCAGGTACCTTTTCCTGGCATCCTTATGAAAATCCCGGATTTCCTCCTGGACCAACTTCCAATGACGTACCACCACCACCTGCTTCTCTCTCTGGCCCTCCTTCCGAACCTTGGACCGATAGACAGCAGTGCGTAGTACCACCTTCAATGCAGAACCAACCAGTGCCGTTTGCCACAGTATCGCCCGAACTTATCCAGAAGCAAATGCCCACATCGTACGCCTACTATGGTTCTCCTGTTCCCCTTCATCCAACGGCGATACCACCTTATACAGCGGTCATGCAACCAGCCTCCACTGGGATACTACCTCCAGGTAAACTTTATCCTATCATCACATGATGGTTGAAGAAGTTTTAACTAAAACAATGGTTTGTCGTTTTTTCTCCAGGATCGGTTACTGTTCGAGCACCAGCACAGGACTCCATCCCTCAGGCACCATACCCTTCCATGACAACCGAAGCCGTCAATTTGCCAACTCCTTCCTTGACACCTTCCACTGCATCTCCCACTTCGTCTTCCACCATTTCTTCTCCCGTCACACCTCGTATGCGACGCAAGCAATCAGAACAGTCACCACAATCTGAAAAATCGGGGGACGACAACACCGACGATGAGACGCGGCGACAGCAGTTCCTAGAAAGGAACCGGCAAGGTAAATAAATGATTCTTCGGCTCTGCTGACAGTTATGCATGCGCTGCCTATGATTTCAGATACTGACTTGTTGTATGATAATCTAGCTGCTCTGAAGTGCCGTCAGCGCAAGAAAGAATGGTTATCACGTTTGCAGTACAATGTTGAAACCCTGAGTGTGGAGAACAATGTATTGCAACAAGAAGCGACCATGCTTCGAGAGGAAATTCTTAATCTAAAAACGATGCTGTTGGCTCACAAGAACTGCCCGCACGCGCAAGCCAATGGCGTCAATGGTCTCGACAATGCCATGGCCGTACCGCCTCCCGCTTACCGTTTGATTAATTAGAATTTCTGCCCTTTCTTTGTACTATGTTTATTTCTCCGTTGGTAGGCATCTCCAACCCAACGGTCACATGTAAGATAATATAAATAAAAAGTATAATAGTTTTTTTGTTTGGATATTTCGTTTCCTTGGCATACCACTTTTTTCATTATACAGCCATTATACAGCAAATTAGGATCGCTTCAAATTCACGGAGAAAGCTCGTTTTAATTTCTTGGTCAAGTTTTTACGTTTCAAGGTTAAACGCGATGCAGTACGCTGCAAGGGCTTGATTGAATTATCAAGCACGGACGACGCTGAGGTGGATGGCACAGAAACGCTCTCAATGGTCGTGCTGGAAGGTCGTTTCTTGGATAATCTTTTTGACTCTGTGATGACTGGTCGAGGATGGCTCCAACTTGAACGATGGCATGATATATCTGGTGTCATTATTTTATCATTGCTGGTTTTGTTGCTACTTGATTGCGCTTGTTCAGTATTCGGTCTGGATTCGTTAGCTGAGCTTGACGAAGAAGCGGGTGACAGGGTGGATAAAATCTCAACGCTTGATGGTGGTTGCGTTTGTTTCGTCGGACGCGCGGGTTCGTCAGTGGGATGAAGCACATCTACATCTTCTACTGAGCCCTTTTAGTACCATACTGATAAAGCGACCTACTTTTTATGATGGAAAAAGAAAACACAAGTCAATTAACCTGCTAGAATAAGCTGTGAACAGCGATTACACAGTGGCGGCGAGCTATTGTTCCGCAATGCATTGCTTCTTGGTTGAATTGGCACACATGGATGAGGTCGCAACCATAATTTTTCCATGTAAACGAGGGATCGTAAGCGATGCATGTATTTTTATATGGCCAGAGAAAAAGGTAAAAGAAACCCGAAATCAATTGATAAGTGCACTGATGATACAAAGAAGAAGAAGAAGAAGAAAAGTTTATTTGAACAAGAATAATATAGGGGCCATTTTGAAGGAGATGGTCGAAACCGACACAAAAGTCCATAAATGATCATTGCTTATTCTCGATCATCTGCTCACAAGCTCACAAGATGTGGCGCCTCTGCTGATTTTGGGCTGATCGCCCTAATTACAACGCGAAAATTTTCTATTACCGATGATGATGCTTATCTTTTCGCTCAAAGCTTTGAATCGTTGACGTGGAGGAAAAAAGTCGCCTTTTCGACAGAGCCACAGGTAGCCACCTACCGTGACCTGCCTCATCCCGACTGGTGATCCTTACTTTATGACTCCATAGTTTTCGGACTTTATTTTCTTTGTCTCCCTTTTTTCGCACTCCTCGATTGATTATGTCGTCTTTTTGTTTCAAAAAAAAAAAGCCACAACATCATTGATTCGTTCATCGACTGCTTTCATACAAAGTATCATAGCTGCTGGGATGATCGATAAAGTAGTGAGATACGTTGTATTCCGTGGACAATGGGGCGTTGTTCCTGGAAACATCAAGTTGATCGGTGAGACAAATGGTTAGAACATGATCGGAAACCGCGCCAGTTTCATTCAAGAATACGGTCATCCTCCGTACCAAATGATATCATACACAAGCACAAATAGGGTAGCCAATTTAGTGTCAGCTTCAATCACTGGCTGCAGATCACATCAGGTGCCTTGCCGCTGTGCGTTTTCCTGGCACTGTGTGACATGACTCACATTAAAAGACCCCCTTCCTCAGATTCACTAAGGAAAACTTCATTGGTTCGAGCATCTGTTTTTCTGTCATGATATTGAGACTTGCAATTGACTACAGCCATCGTCACAAAAAGAAGGGCTAGAAAAAACGACAACCTGTCTGGGATATGTTCTGGACCGCTTCCTTCAAATCTTGTCTTGTGAAAGGCGAACATAGGAACCATTGGGTCAGCCGCAGCCAAAAAACGTAATTGCAAAAAAAAAAAAACCAGAAAACCAAAAAACCAAGAAAAAATATATATATCCTTTGACTCCAATTGGTGGTTTATTATGCCTGTTTATGATCCTCTATATCTTCCTCCATGTGCTCGTCTTCGTATTCGATCTCCATAGAATCATGCGAATATGTTTTGTGAACCATCATGAGTGCCAACAGCACCGGTAAATGGATCACACTGCCAAAAAAGAGCTGACGACCGGTCTTGTCATTGCTATTCAAAGGGTCAAAATTCAGCATTTGAAAATTACACTTTCAGCTGCTTGATTTGAGTCCAAATACCTATTTCGCCAAAATTTCACGGCGCCCCAGATGAGGGCTGCGTTGATGACAGTGGAATCGAGAGCAAAGAGGGGTGTTGTGATGCCAAGATAAGGTAAACTGAGACACAAAGGAACCATGGCCAAGCTGTAACGAAGAGAGACTCTGGCGTTGAGTTTTGGATCCGTCACAGCCATCATCCGGTATCCAGCCTTGGAATAGTCGGCGCGAAGATTCCAAGCTAAAGCATTAAAATGCGGAAATTGCCATGCGTAGAGAATAGCTCCCAAAACCCAAGCACCCGGATCCAAGGAATTCGTCACGGCTGCCCAGCCCATCATTGGTGGAATGGCACCGACGACAGCGCCTGCCCAGGTATTCACGATCGATGCTCGTTTCATTGGCGTATAAATAGCGGTGTACAGAACGATATTGGCCGCTCCCAGAGCAGCTGTCAATGGATTGACCATGGCGGCGAGCATCGAAACACCGGCTGTGCCTGTCAACACACCAAAACCAAAAGCGTGAAACTGAGATAATTGGCGTCGTCCAAGGACACGGTTTCTGGTACGCAACATTTGTGCATCGTAAGGAGTTTCGATCCATTGGTTGATAGCATTCGCCGAGCCGATACATAGTGTGGTACCGACGGTGGTGTAAAACAGAGTTGAAAGAGCCGCCGCACCAGGGGCCATGGCGTAACCGCACATGGCTGTCAATGCTACTAGACCTGCCAGTTTCGCTTTCACTAATTCTTTGTATAATTTGGGCATTTGTTGCATGGTCGGCATGGTGATTGGTTTGTATTTTGTCACTTGACTTTCGGGAGAATCTTGATTTGGGGTTGAAGTGGTATACATGGCCAGCCTTTCAGGCTTTAGCTTAATTAAGCTCGTTTCCATCCGACATTTAGGTACCAGAGTGTGCGATATTCGTCCGTGCAAAGGTGGCCACCGCACAACGGTATGCAATCGAGAAGCTGATCGTATCATACTTGAACAACAACCACGATCGATCCCGTGTTGTCTGTCGCGCGGTTATTGTCAAAAGAACGCTTCGATTTTCCTTTTTTTGTCCATTTTTCCCAGAACGACTCGAATTTTTTTTTTTTTTTATTTGTTTTTTTTCGAAAGTTGCTTCACGGCTCACCAAATCCGATTGAAAAAGATAAAAGCAACCATGTTGCAGTTGCTCTCCTTAAATAAGAAGCTTTCAAAAAGAAACGTACTTATCTTTTGTCAATACCATTTTTTTACCCCTTTGCCTGTGTCTGTTTGTCGAAATATATGACAAAAAAGTGTGTTACGTTGGTATGCTTAGACTCATCGATATTATACTCTCTCTTATAACTGGTAATTGAAGGACGTTGGTGGCATTAAATCTAAACATATCATTGCTATCGTCACATAGGAGTTGCTATATATCGATCCAATGCTATGCTCTATGCGAAAAAATGATGGGGATGATGGTATTGAGCCAGGGTGAGGTCTAAATTTCGCAGTCCCATTGTTCCTGCGAATGATGGGTCATACACAGGATTTTTGCATCCAACATCTGATGCGTGCTACATCGTCAGTGTGTGCTCTATACTAATACGAACTAAAATGTGGCACCTTATGCGCGTCTGTGGTTCTTATAAGCGACCAGTAAATTTATGAATAGGGTGCACTCGCGAATCCGCAAATACTTGCCATTATAAGCATGATTCCTTTGGAGTGGATATCACAGGGGTTTAAGTTTATACTACTTTATACGTATGTCAACGTTGCAAATCCTTGCTTGCAATTTAAAGAAAATGGGAACATCGAGAAAAGCACGGGGCGAAGATTCCAACCATATCATGCGTCGTATGATGGACCATTGTGACGGCTTTCATGTGACGCGGGCGGGCTTCCCGTTTTGGACAAATCCAAAGAAACGCGAAATTGGCAATTCATTGTGTTCAACCACGACTCTCTCAACTCCACAGCTCAAAAATTGCGTCAAATCAACCATGGTAAACGTCAAATGAGATTTTTTTTTTGGACGGCATAGACTATACGTTTGCGATTATGGTACGATTGAAGTGTCTTGATTTAACGGTGATCCCTCCCGACAGATCACTTTCAGACTACCAATCATCGTTGATCTGCATTCATAGTGTGTGTTGCGGCTAATTTGCTGGCTGACCCTTTTCTTACACAATTTGCCTCTCCTAGTCTTTGCGGTCCGATATTCCGTCTACCGTGTTGAAGCGAATCATGAAAGAGATGCAACAACTTGAGCATTCGCCGCCCGAAGATATTCAAGTCATTGCCAATGAAAACAACCTCACTGACATTCAAGCTTGGATTCGCGGCCCCAGTATGTCTTTGAATCGATTGTGAAAACCAGAAAAGAACTTGTAGCGATTAAAAGTTTCCTGTAGATGGCACGCCGTATGAAAACGGTTATTTCAAAGTGCGTTTAATGCTGGCGGATGGATTTCCGGATCTGCCTCCCAAAGGTAAGGAGTGGTTCAGTGATCCGAATTTTAAGTGGCATTGATTCCTGTGTTTAATATCGCTGCTTAGGACATTTCTTGACCAAGATATTTCATCCTAACGTGTCCGCTTCCGGGGAAATCTGTGTGAGCACGTTGAAAAAAGATTGGAAACCTGATCTGGGCATCGCGCATATATTTCTGGTACGAGTTCATGCTAACAATCATTGACGCTGAGGTTTGGATGCAACAGAATACTCATTATTTCTCGGTAGACGATTAAATGTTTGCTGATCGTTCCTAATCCCGAGTCGGCACTCAATGAAGAAGCTGGGAAATTGTTGTTGGAACACTACAACGATTATGCTCGGCGAGCGCGTTTGTACACCTCGATCCACGCCAAAAACGGAAAAAATGAATACCAAGCGCTGGCACAACAGCGCGTTCAACCAGACGAAGAGAAAAAATATGATACCACTCCGAACGCTTCCGAAGATGGCGAGAACCCCGTGAAGAATTCGGCGATAAAACAGGACGACAAGTCTGCGATTTCCAGTGCCAAAGCTTCGTCAGTGAATGTGTTGACTACTTCCGCTGTCAGTAACGCTGCTGTATCTTCTATTCCATCTAATCCGGAGCTGAAACGTTCCGCAAGCAAAGCCCTGGGCGATTCTGTAAATATCACCAAGCAACCGCGCACAGAAGACATGATAAAAAAGAAACCAGTCACCGTAAAAGACAAGAAGAAGAGCTTACGGCGTCTGTAAATTGTAGCCCTTTGGCATCTGTTTTTTTTTCTCTTGCTTTATCAACATATAGATCCAACACAGTATGATAATTTGTAGGTTGGAAACATTTCTCACTCCCTCATTCATTTTAATGGATGAGCGGGTATCTCAATTGCATGTTACATCGGGTGCATTTAATATAATTGTTTCAATTTTTCAGGTGATGTTGACTCTCAACCGTGGGATGGTTTCTGGTGCATAGCGACATTTGTACATGTAACTGATACATAACTAGCAAAATATACACAAGTTTACAGCACGACGTGCGGGAAATCTTAATGCAGGTTGTGTTAATATCTTTTACTGCAATAAACAGGAGAAAGGATATGAAATGGAGTTTTTTGTGACGGATATACAGTAATGAAAACAATATGTTTTGTACAGTATAAGACGCTTATGAGGATCTCATACAGGAAATGGGGTTTCAGAGTAAGTTTAAAAACAGCACGTTTTGTAACCGGTTACACAGTCTTCGCGAAAGTCACCACAGCTAGAAGGACATACCGAAGCCAAATCTCGATTATTAGCACGACAAAAACGAACTAGACCTTCAGGACAATTCGCTACTCGAGTGGGACAATGTGGGCCTTTGCCTATCCAACCGCCGGCCAGTGCTGCGTTGAAGCTACCGAGCAAAACAAAAAGAAGGAGCAATACTTGTTTCGCCATGTTGAATGAGGGGTGGAGATCTTTTGTTTGGTTTTGTTGGGATTTAACTACTCACGATCAAGACATTTATATCCTATCAAAAGATTTGCCGATATTGTTGCCGGTGCATCATAATCCGGGTACATGTGCGAACAGCGTTATTTGTTACAACGGTAGCAGTTATTCCGATCTTGAAGCTAAATGAGTGGACTTGGCAATTAACAGGGGGTTATTTTTCAATCAAGTCTAGCATCCATATCCATGTGTTATCTCAGTCAATATCGGATGCAGATCACTCTTATTTTAATTACGCAAATGAATATTACACTTTTCGCAATTGAAGATGGAACTGGACCTCAGGCTACCAGCTCTACCAAATATCTCGGTGATAAAAGGTATCAAGAATTTCCATTACAATAATAACATTTAAGCATAGGCACCCTAATTGCCCCACGTTGATGCCTATACGCGCCATCCACTATTTGTAGGACGTAAAAATTTGCTTCAACGACATAACAGCAGTGCCCCTTGTTCAAGTCATAAAATAATCTCGGGAATAAAAAATAGAAATAAAAACTCCAGAACAGCATCAGGTCAACTAAGACAAAGTTCGAGAATAATAAAGGCTCCTCGGGAGGCATACGTCAAGGTATTACAGTATGGCTTTGCTGAAGTTACATCTCGAAAGCCGATATACAATGTATGAGTATCTCCGTTGACAATCTGTGATTCTTGTGCGTCCCCAAAGATGGAAATGCAGCAAGACAAATTTATCCTGAGCATGTACGTATTATAATGCAAGGTATTCTGGAAACTTTTCGGGATAGAACTAGGAGATAACGGAGATCATTAAACGCCACTGATCTTTGTCGAGCTGTTGCATAGACGCCTTCCGTTCGCTCTTGTAGCTGTCTTATAGCAAATCATGCTTAGAGTTATACTGTAGTCTGCTTTCAAATAGGAGTCAGGATAATACTAAAACGTATTAAATATGACCTATCAGCCCTGTCTCGATCATAAAACTATCCAAAAGTCATTATGGCGAAGCAAACGTTTCTGATCCTTTTTAGCCCCCTCAGCCTGTTGTTCAACGGATCCATTTGCGGGTGATCAGATGATCTTCATTCTGCACTAGGATAACCGCATGCCCTGGTGCGCAAACTGTGGTCTGTACAGCCAGAAACTGTGGGATCGCTTCTACTGAATATCCTCTTTGGTGTGGTCCTTTCAACGGACCGCTGTCTGATTGGGAGCAAAACGTGCTTTTACCATCATTGACGGGTTTTTACCATGTATTTTTATACGTCTATAAATATTATCTTGAACATTGTTCATAGTGCTTACTATTAAAGTGACCAATATGCTCTCATATAATGTCAATGATAGAATTATGCTAGCCACTTTTTGAGACAATCAGCAAATAAAAGGTAAATCAAAGATAACCCACGATGAAAACCCTAAGATCCCAACATAGCAACATGCTAATTTCTATTGAACGGCTGATCAAAATGATCAATTTCTTGTATATTTGTATATTACCGAATTTTTTTCCTCAATGATTATGACAGTGCCTCAAAAAATTTTTATGGAGTTAATGCCAATGGGTTCCATCGCCAAACCGAAGCGGTCGGTCGGTTGCACATGTGACGTCACGAATTTTTTTTGCTCGGTGGTCGGTCTTTCCTCGTCTGACACACTCTTTTTTCTCTGAGGGCGTCCCCAAAGAAGGTTGGTGACAAGTTTCAGAACTATCTTCTCCCCTTTTTGCCTTTTTATCGCATACCCATCGCTGTGTGTGTCTCTTGACTTTTGGCGTTAAGCTTTATTTATACTTACAAGACGTACCATTAACGCATACGCGCAGCGTTTACAGAGAAAACACAAAAACTATGGCTGGATTCTATTCGTACCTTCTCGGGACAACTGTCTCTTTTCTCTCCATTGTGGGATTGTATATGCTTCTTACAGGCACAGGTGAAGCATTCAATGTCGGCAAACTTCTTCAAGAAACATCACCTTATGCTTGGGCCCTCATCGGTATGGCGCTTTGCATCGGCCTCTCGGTCACGGGCGCTGCTTGGTAAATAGTTCACGACTAAAAAAAAGGATACCCGGGCCGCCAGTGAAGGGCATCGCGTTACTCATATAGCATACGTTGTTCTTTCCTCATAGGGGTATCTTTATTACGGGCGCCTCGTTATTGGGTGGTGCCGTCAAAGCTCCGCGTATCCAATCGAGAAACTTGATTTCTATCATTTTCTGTGAAGTCGTCGCTATCTATGGTGTCATCATGGCCATAGTTTACTCGGCCAAATTGAACGAGGTGGCCGCCGATGCGTTGTATACGCGATCCAACTACTTTACTGGTAAGTCGGTGTTTTGTGGTCTTTTTCTTATAGTTCCATGTTGACTTGAACGGAAACGAATTTTATCTGCACTAGGTCACGCTATCTTTTGGGGAGGATTGACTGTGGGTGTATGTAACTTGCTTTGCGGCGTCTGTGTGGGTGTTACAGGTTCCAGCGCAGCATTAGCCGATGCTCAAGATCCTCAACTGTTCGTCAAGGTGCTTGTGGTTGAAATTTTCGGATCTGTTCTTGGTCTTTTCGGATTGATTGTGGGATTGCTGACCGTAAGTTCTCGGTTCTCGGATATCACGTTCACTTCTAACATTTTGTGCATAGACTGGTAAAGCGTCCGACTTTCAGTAGAACGATTCCTCGTATATACCTCCTCATTTCCTCTTTGTCTGATTCAATAAATCTCTATCCACACAATGCTGCTGAACCGCTCTTTTCATGCAGTGTTCCAACCCTCATTCCAATCCAGCGTTATTACAGAATGATAACCATTTGTATATTACGGTGCAAATTTCTATACGAAAAAGTTGCTTGCCATAGCAACTGTTGTGTAATTTAATCGCAAGGGACTTTTTATGAATGTTTCAAAAGAAAAGCTTTTCCGTTTCTATACCCCAGCGAATAGTGACAGTGGAGGCTACAATATTATCCCAGCTTTTTCCTTTATTTGCCTTGCGCGATGCCACAAGGCGGCCGTGGGATTCTATCAGACAGTGCGAGGTGACGCGACCTATGAACCTATGAGCCAAGATGAGTGAAAGTTGATGGGTAATAGTTGTTTGGCGGAAAGAAATCTGTATTGGAGAATATCTCGGCACGCACGTGCAAGTATTAAGAATCAAATCTTGTATATTGCTGCAATGATATGAAGGGGCCAATTTTCATTCACAACGGCACGGCTACAGCCTTGCAACTTGATCGCGTTTTTTCATGCACAAAGGAGGGACACTTAATCCAAAATATATAAGTGGAAGAGGATACCAGCAAAAAAATATGTATATAAATCACACAATACAATTGTATCTATTTATAAACATATATATTTGCCTTGCTTCAACAATCAATATGACAGGTGAAGGCATCCATTTGTTGGCTTTTGTAATGTGGATTCATTGTCTATTTGAAGGCCTCTTGATGATCTCTGCGACCGAATTTTGAACCTCAGACGGGCTGTGACGTCCATAATTTCCTTTTTTGGATAATAGCGAGAAAAAAGGCCCATGGTTCTAAATTTTATTTCTCTTGGCTCAATTTGCCGTGGTTTTCTTTCTTTCTCGACTTGTTCCGATCGAGAGCTCAAATTACCGCCTTTTCACTAGATTTCTCGTTATTCAAAAGAGGATGCCGACTGTCATTGATGCTCGAGGCACGCCATCCTCACAGCAGTCTTTCCTTTACCAACAGCAACCTCCGCCATCACCTATCGTCACGCCAAATATTTTATCTCAGCAACAACCGCAGCAATCCCAACCATCACCTTTACCATCTTTATCGTCTTCACCACAACCTCAGCATCATCGAATGAGTTATTGGGACGACGACCAGGAAACGGAATCGCTCGGCTCTCGCTACGACGATGCAAATCTCGATTATATGGTATCGCCTAGACCTTCTTCTAGTCGCTTGAATTCAGACAGCAAAGCACATAATGAAGACTCGGCGACCATGGGTCTAGACTCTTCCAACGGTCATGACGCTTCCGTGAACAAACGAAAAACAGCCTCATTATCTAGACGACAAAGTTCCTCCAACAGTATGGTCAAGCTGTCGAAAGTCGATCCGATGCTCAATCAAAATATGAGAGAAACATGCACCATGAGTCACGGCGCTATCAGCAATCCCATGGTGTGTCAACATTTTCAGTGCCATATGAAGCAGTCCAAACATCACACGAATGCCACCACGTCCTTATCCTCCCATGCCGTTTCTCCGCCGACGCAGGCTTCCTCGTCTTCGGGCCCTACCGCCACTTCCCCGATACCAACTGCCCCTCACACTCGCTTCAGTAAAAATAACAAACAAACAAAATCACAAAAAAAGGAACGATTAAAACTGGCCAAGAGTGATTATGAAGCGAGAATTGAACGTTACTTTCACCAACTGACGGTGGGATGTGGCCAATCCGACTGCACTAACCGATTCTGCGCAACCGGTCGAGGTAAGACACACCCGGAAATCTTAAAAAGGCTCATGAAATAGCTAAAAGTGGCAATTAACGAAATTTTTGGTAAATGAACTAGGTGGGATCCTTAGTACAAATCCGCAAGCGACCTTGATTATTTCAATCCAGCTGGCTTCCAAGCCAGAATCTCGATTTTGTACCATGAGACAGAATAACTCGCACACCACGTGTAACAACATATCCTCTTGCTCCTCGTCCTCCTCCTCCTCAGCTTCATGTTCCTCCGAATCACCGGGTTCAATAGCTCACGTGCTGTTGGAGAATTTCGAAAAGCGGAACGTTCGTCCTGTAAAACCTTTTCTCCAGTCGCTTTTCACATCTGCTGCATTTTTATCCATCTTTGGTATCACGCCCAAGCAAGAGAAATCACATGTATCATCAACCCGTCGACGAAAATCGTCACATTCATCCGCATTTCGAAAAAATCATGTTTTTGGTAAGTCTTTATTGAGGAACAGCGGTGTATATCTCTGTATTGCGTATTCCTTTTGGCGATGCGTCGTATGCAGGGTTCATATCAATGTTTCAGTGGAGACTGATTGTGAGCTTAATTTCTTTATTTAAATTTTTAGATGAAACAAGTCCTGATCAAGCGCATTGGATCTCTGAGATTTGGTCGATGCTTGGTTTAAGAGGAAAAGAGCATGAAGTTTCATCGCATGCGAAAAAGGCACAAGAAACAGAGGCCCGTAGCGCGGATGTGGATGAAAGCTACTATGAACTTGATAGCGAAGGGACGGCGAGTTCAGCATCGTTATCTGTTCGTTCACTGGACAGTGTTGACGATTCCGATACAAGCGATGACGAGATGTTGCTGGCCATCCGTCCCATTTCCGTTGGCCTGCAAGGCGCATTGAAACGCATGCAACGATACTCGGAAACAAACAATGTGGATCGTATGTCACGATGGTGTCGAGGGATTTTCCAAAATTGGGAAGGCATCGGCAACAGCTTTCTCACGTCAAAAGTATGTGATATACCCCGTTTGCCGTATCCTATCCAACTGGCGAATTTGGCCGATGTGTATTCCTTTTACAATACGTTGCTGAATCGTTGCCATCACCACGAGATGCCTGACAACGATGGTTGGAACCAATTACATGGACGAACGGTGGAAGCGGTATCTGAAAGTTTGGAAACATTATTGGATCGTATGGAAATGAACGTCGACAGTCTCGTGGAGATCACCACAGCCGAAGAAGCTGATCCCAACCATTTACGGATCATTATTGAATGGTGTCGTTCGTTGATATGTATGATTGCCTGGATCAATAGCCAACGGCAATCCACACGCACGGGAAACCAATACGCCGATCCCCTATTGGCATCATCATCAAGGTCATGGACAAAGAACGCCAGAAAAAATACATGGCCTACAATTTTGTCATCAAAGTTCATTCAAGTAATGAGCAAAATCAATGCAAGTCGAGATTCGATGATACGCCACATTCTTTTGCAGTTAATGATGAAGTAAGTCTATTTCGTTCGATAAATGGATCCATTTGCAAAAGATGGGAAATTTATGTGTGCTTTTTTTTTAGTGTGGATGAACGTACGATACACGATTTGGTGGATCATTTGCAACAGCATTTGGTAGATCACTTCCACACCGGTCCGTATAAACATGGCGAACGTGATACACTGATTATGACTGTCAAGTGCCTCGAGCTTTTTTGTAAGTAATGATGTGGTCTGGCTTTTTTTTTCTTTTTGTGTGTGTGTGTGTGTGTGTGTGTGTGTGTGTGTGTTCTCCCTTGCTCATCCACCTTTTTTTGATGATCCCAAAGATGAAGCCAACGTCACGTTTTCCATTATTCCCTTGGACGTCTTTTACAACAACGAAATCTGCAAAAAGTTGAATGTGAAGGATGAATACCGCATTTGGAAGCGGGTGCTGCAGCATGGTGAAGGACGACACTCGGCTTCAGCGATTGCTTCAATGAACTCACCTGCAGTAGAAGCGTTCGGTCATCGTTATCGACGATTGAATGAACAGCAACGACGAACGTGTCTGTTTTTGACGACCACCTCCACTTCGTCTTTGCTACCATATCCATTTGCGAACGAATATCAGTTCTCATGGTTCAGTTATCCGTTCCTGCTACCTCCGTCCATCAAGCGCAAAATTTTACACATTGATGCCATGTCCCAAATGTCGTTGGAATACGAAGATGCATGCGTCAATCATACCCTCGTCGTGCACGCGCAGCGACTGTTATCGGATGCACCACGGATGGTACGCAATTTGGAAGCCAATTTAAAAAGCGCGACATGTCCCTACTTGTTGCTAGAGATTCGTCGCGAACATTTCATAGATGACACGATAGCGCAAGTGTCACGTAAATGGGGCGATCTGAAGAAGCCGCTCAAAGTCAAGTTTGTGGAAGGTGGCGAAGAAGGCATGGATCAAGGCGGTGTACAAAAGGAATTCTTTGGTGTCCTATTTGAACGGTTGGTGGATCCCACGCTTGGTTTATTCGAGATCGATCCGGAAACCCGATTATGTTGGATTCGACGCATGGTCAAGCCCGATTTACGAATGTATGAAATGGTGGGGGTTATGATGGGATTGGCCATTTATAATGGCATCATCATGAACTTGCAATTCCCAAAGATTTTCTGGAAACTGGCCATTTTGCCCAATGAAGCTGCCATTGAAGAAATGATGCATCGCGGCACGTTATTTACGCTAAACGATTTACAGGATGGGTGGCCCGAGTTGAAGACAGGATTATCCGCACTTTTAAATTGGGAAGGCGACGTGGAAGACGTGTTTTGTCGAAATTACGAAATGTCACTTGATGTATTTGGCGAGGATATAGTCACTGTGCCGTTGACCCAAGGCGGCGAGGCGATCCCCATCACCAACGAGAATCGGGAGAGTTACGTGCGCGATTATTGTAAATATTTCTTGTATACATCGCAGCGTGAACCCATTCTTGCGCTTCGTCGTGGTTTGTGGAGCGTGATCGGCAGCACGGCACTGGATTTGTGCACGGCAGACGAGTTGGAAATGGTTGCGTGTGGTTTACGATTGGATCTGGATATGGGAGAGCTGGAAGAAGTAGCCGAATATGATGATGGTTACTCTGCGGATCATCCAACCATTCAGTAAGTTTTCTCAGAATAGATGACACAAATAGCAGTAAGAAACTGACAATGCTCTTTTTATGGGGTTGTTAGACGATTTTGGTCCGTGGTGCATCGGGATCTTACCGAAGAACAGAAGCGAAAGCTTTTATTGTTTGTGACGGCCAGTGATCGTGTGCCCGTGGGTGGTTTGAAAGAGCTTACGTTTGTTGTGCAGCGAAATGGCCCGGACAGCGATCGGTTACCTACGGCATTGACGTGCTTTTGTCGGTTATTGCTGCCAGAATACGTGTCACGCGAGAAGCTGCGTGATCGTTTGATTACTGCCATTGAAAATGCCAAAGGGTTTGGACTTGTATAAACACACTGGACAATGGAGAAAAAGAATAAACACCTTCCTTTTCTTTTTCGAAAATAAACAACATTTAGACGGAAAATGCTTTAAATTATCATCATTCTATTCCAGTAGATCCTTTTTTTACCACCAAGTTTCCGTGAGTTAAATAGCATTAAATAGCATCAAATAACAGATTGCTTCTCTGTCTTCTGATGAAACCGGTCGTTGAATTCGGTACTATACGATACCGTCAATTGAAAGAAAGCAAACGTATTGAATGCAGAAATGATGAAACAATTAAATAGGAGAGCAATTACAACAAACATAAAGCTGTGTACAATTAAAAGATTGAAGATCAGAGTAGGCTAAGGAACAAATAAATAGAATGAAATAGAATAGCAAGGGAAGATCTTTTTAGTGGGTAGGATGAATATAGGGTTTGGGAGATTGGCTCAAAGGAAGCACGGGTGATTTGCCGTCGTCGGACGTGGGGTAAGGCGAAAGTGAATCGGGTGGTGTATTTGGAATGGCGGAGATTGAGGCTGAGAGGAACGAAGGGGAGGCTGACAGGGGCGAAGGTGAAGACGAAAAAGAAGAGGTAGAGGAGGAACGTGACGAAGCGGAAGCTTTCATGACAGCATGTTGGCCTTGCCCACTTCCAATCACGGCTTGCTTGACATGTACTCCCAATACCGGTGCAATGGGTTGCTTACACACATCTTCCCACCACTCCTCCAAAATTCGCTGAACCAACTTTTTGGTTGTGGCATCAATGGACTTGTGCATACACGGGGTAATCAATGAACACAGTGTACGGTATATTTCATTTTGTTTGTATGGGTTGAGTCGCAATTGTGTGTTGATGAGCATCGGCCGCAAAACTCGTAAATAGGCGTCTCGGAGCTAAAATAAAAAACAAAAAAAAACCATGGAAGGCGTGCGGGTGTCAGAGAAGACAAGGACCGATCAATTGATAGTTGCCACTTACAGCTTCTGATTCACGTTCATCCCCTAAATTACACAATTCTCGCAGAGCGATATCGACCAGCACGTAAAGGTCATTGGTATAAAAATATTCGTGTAACGCAGGTAGGGTGAATACTCCATAAAGCAACTTGAGAATCAACAGTTGTACACAGGCGTCATCTGTCACCATAAACAGCAATGAGATGGTTCGGTCCAGTCTGTGGGTACTTTTTTGAACTAAAAATAGCGACAATTTACCTGAGCGATTGAGCATGAATATCAAATTTGCACTGAATGTGTTGGTCGTGCCGATACGATGAGTAAGTTCCGTGAGCACGAGATTGTCGCTGTTGGGTGTCATCATAAATTGCTCATTAAAGACTAGCAAAAGCTGGATTACGTTATAGTTGAGAGTTTCCTCATTGTCGCCACGAGTGTTTTCCACGAGATTAAACAAGTAATCAAGGTAGTTCACAGTGATCAACGCTACAGAATTGAGCATGTTAAATCAATATTTTTTTCTTTGGTGGGGACGAGGGAGCGGGGATTGGATCCGCGGGTTTACCTAGATCATTTTTGCGTAATTTGGAAACTTTACACATTTCAAACCCAAGGTTCGTCATGATGCCCATCAGCTTCTCGCCTCCCAAAGAATCATGAATTTCATGTAACAATTTTCGAAATAACCGGTTTTGCTTGTTATGTTTGGCTTCGGAGACTATGTATTCCATCCATCGAGCATCTTCTTTCCCCGCCAGCAGTAAAATCGAGTATACCACCACCAACTCATCAGGATTGCTCGAACTTAGCGCATGATGGCACAGGATGTGGGTCAGGAGGTTCGTACTGTATTCAAGGTAAAGTGAAGAGTCGAGTAACGCATAAGCCACCAGGGCTAGATCGGATGTTGTCTGCACGAATTCATCTAGGAGATAAAAGAGTAACGAGATCAGACGCAGAAATAGGGAAAAAAAATAACAAGCAGAAATTGAATGTCGAGAAATACAGAATGGCCAATTTCGTTGTCTTTTCGGCAGAAATAGGAGGAGAAGAAGAAGTAGGAGGAAGTTGTTGAAAGGGGAGATAAAAGAAGGGACAGCCACACTCAAGTGAGGGTGATATCCGAACTTACGTTGAAAGCGCATAATAAAGCGGATATATCGGCTTATTAACCGTTCAGCATCCTGGCAGTTGTGATATGGTTGGTGAAGGATATCTTTAAGTTCTGATGAAAGTACGGAACAAATCGCAATAGGTTAGATTTCGCTCGTTTTGAAGAAATCGAGGTGAAACAATATAGCAACAATTAAGTATTCTTTTACCTGCATGGAAAGTTTCAATATCGTCAAAATAATAGTCGATAGCATCGTCTTCCATGGCAATTCAAGATGCAAAAAAAAAGAGAATGGAAGGACAAGTATAAATAAAAGAGAGAGAGAGAGAGAAAAAAGAGAACCCCGCACTAAAAACAGAAGGGTTTGACTGTCCAAGAAAAGAAAGCAAGAAAAGAAAAAGAAAAAAACATAAAAGCGGAAAAGCGCAGAAAAAAAAAAAACCCTAAAAAAGAGGGCAAGCAATCAGAAAACGATAAAAACTTTGAATCACCGCTTTAAAACTTATATTTTTTCCTTTTTCCTCTGCTGCCTTTTTTTTTCGTGTTGTCAAAAAAAAAAAACCATGAATATTACTGCGGCAGTCTCCCATCTATCAAACCGATGGTTGCCATCCATCGACGTTTGGTCCTACGAGATCATGGCCTTATGGGTTCCTATTGCCGTCTATTGGGTTCAGTGTACTGTGTTTGAGCTGCTGATGCGTGCCGAAATTCCCTTTTTTGAAAAGTATCGTATCCATACATCTGAAGAGCGCACCAAGCGGAACAAGGTGTCATTCACGAGAGTGCTAGTTATGGTGGCATTTCAGCAAACCATCCAAATGATGCTTGGATACATGCTGATGAAACCTGTGGATCCCAAAATCAAGGCCTATGAAGATCAAGTAGCCTTGAATCACCTGACGGGCCAGATGCTAAGCATCATTACTTATTTTACCAACTCCCCCTACGCCGTTCAGTGGGCATCCTCCCTTGCTTGGTTAACTCAATGGGTGGCTATTCCTGCTTTGAAGTTTCTTGCTGGCATGTGAGTTATACTTTTTGGTGTGCCCTGCAACCCGAAGATCCGTGGCTGATATGTTGTTTATTAGGGTGATCATGGATACTCATCAGTACATCTTGCATCGTATGGCGCATCAATACACATTTTTGTACAAGAACTTTCACTCGCACCATCATCGGCTGTATGTCCCGTACGCTTTTGGCGCTCTCTACAATCATCCTGTGGAAGGATTTTGTTTGGATACGGTGGGAGGTGCATTATCGTTTGAATTGACACGCATGTCGCCTTTTCTTGGCATGTGCTTTTTCACCTTTTCAAATTTGAAAACAAGTAAGTATGCTTTTTTGTCTCTCTTTACATGGATGTTATTATCCAATGACCCTAGTATTTACGTCTTGCTCCTTTTTTTTTTGTGACAGTCAACGATCACTGTGGCTATGCTTTTCCCTGGGATCCTTTGAATGTGTGTTTTGGCAATAACGTGGTGTAGTAAGTGTGCCTTATCAGTATACGAGGGATGAAGGAGATTCAAGGAAACTAAGTGGACTCTTTCAATGTTTTTGTAGCCATGATATTCATCATCAGCCCTATGGCATCAAGAAGAATTTCAGCCAACCCTTCTTCACTTTCTGGGACAAGTTGCTCGGATCGCATTATGATGGACCTCACAAAGTGACCAAGTCCAACTAAAATGCTTTATTATTCATTTCGTCTCTTTCCATGTATTTCCCTTTAATCTAATTACATTTCTCGCTTGTTGAGCTACATCTTTACTCCCTCCCTCCTCTTGACTGTGTTTCTTTTCATATATTTTTTATTTCCAGTTATCATGTCTAGTCTACAATAGTCATCTGCACCGCTTTTACTTCCCAAAAAGTGGCATACTTTTGGTTTTTTTTACTTTTTGGAATTTATATTTTATTTGAACACAATACAACCAGAAATATTAAATCATTCATCTCCTGCATTGGGCTTTTTTTTTTGGAGTTTTGCTGTTCTACACCATGTCTCCGAGCAAAGAAATGAAACCATCTCAAAGGCATGCCAACCAAAAAAGAAAAAGCTTTCTGTGAGACGACCTATATCCTTGTATTATTGGGTTGTTGCTGAACTAGTCATTTCGTGTCCTTTTTGATAGATTAAATGAATTCGGCAAAAGACGACCTGCGATCACTGCTGATCGATTTTTTTTTCTTTTCAATGCCTGCAAATTCTATGGGTTCTTGATGCAGCGGGATTTGAATTATGCTTCTCCGTGACTGCTTCTTCAAATCGCTGGGCCGATAATTTTTCGGCAGGCAAAGAAAGAAAGATACGAACCAAGAAACTTTTGTGCTTTTCGCTCTTGTTTGTCCTTTGTTCATGCCACCTAAACGCAAATCGTCATCGACCACAGCAAAGAGTAGCATGCCAACTACAAAAAAAATACGCACTACCAAGAAAACTACCACCTCCAGGGCTTCCAGCAAAACCACGTAAGTGTCATAGTGCGCAAAGCCCTTGTCATTTCAACTTGGGCATTTCTCAACCGTTGTTCTTGGAACAAGAAAGAGTGATAACCATGATGCAATAGTTCGCTCGAGGTAATATTGGAAGGCTTTGCATTGAATATAAATAACAAATGCAAATTGGCCAAAATATCAATCGTGACACAATAGTCGACGGATCAACGTTTTTCGTCCAAATCATGCGAGGCATGGTTTAACCGCTACAAGGACCAAGACGAACAAGAAGAAATCATCACCCCTGAAGGCTGCCAAGCCTTCTTCATCGATCTAGATATTTCCATTGAAAGTGTATGTGATTGACATATTGCGTCAGCATGTGGTGGGGAGCGAAATCTGTGATCTGATTTCGTGCTGATACCGCGGTTCCTTTGTTGGTAGATTTATCCTTTACTTTTAGGATGGAAACTGAATGCGAGCCGAATGGGTAAAATTCCAAAATGAAAGGATGACCAAGTAACGGAGACTGATATGCGCGACTCATGTTAGGCTACTTTACAAAAGAAGAGTGGATGAACGGCATGAAACAACTGGGGTAGGACAACGGTGCTTGAAAAAAAAGACGACGACAACAACAACTGATTTCGCATGGACAGCGTGGATTCGGCAGACAAATTAAAACAACTCATTCCGAGCTTCGAGCTCGCTTTGGCCGATCCCGTTCTTCTCAAAAAGTTCTACCTCTTCACATTTCCTTACGCGAAAACGACAGGGCAAAAGAGTATGGATGTAGACGTAAGTGGTTATATTCATCGTTGTCTTCATCGTCAATGACCTGATGTGCCATGGTGTTGTTTATAGGTCGCCATCGCTCTTTGGCAAGTCATTTTCGCGGACAGATACCCGCATATCCCAGCCTTTATACAGTTCTTGCAGGTAATGAAAAAAAAGTTTTTTAGGATAAAAGTCGCTTGAGCGCGATGCTCATTTAGCATGGTTTTCCATAAATGGCATTAGGAAGTCAAACCTGTCAGAGTGATCAATAAAGGTGAGCTGGATCCGAAAAATCAATGCACACACAAAAAAGATAATTAACAATGCTTTAGATCAATGGTCGAGTCTCTTTGACTATATTCGATCGGTTCCGGAAGATCTAACGGGTTATGACAGTTCATCATCATGTAAGCGAGACTTGTTATTCGTCTAGGGCATAAAATCTAAACTATGTTTTGTTCTGCTCCGTTAGGGCCCGTCCTGTTCGATGATTACGTTGCATGGAAAAAAGGCAATCAAGACTCAATGTAGACACACCTGTATCAATAAAATGAAACCATAGTAGCATCCTGTAGTATATGATTCCCCGATGACAGGTTCTTGACAGATGAATAATCTATTTGAAGGATCGGAGATGACATACTAACACAGCATCTAACCGAACTGCATGATCCAGTAACTACGCTTGTCGACGGGTAACAAAGGTTTGAGTGGGTACATCAACATATCCTTATTCAAGCCAATAGAGGTATCTCAGTTTTTCAATGGTTGTGGTTTTTTTTTTGGGGGGGGTGTAAACAGAGGGGTTAACACAATTCAGGATACAAAAAAAGATACGATTACACGGACACCGTGTAGATCCCGTCCATCAAGATCGGAGTGGTGGAGCTTTTTCAGTGATATCCAAAAAAGGCAACAAGCGAAGATGGAGGGGTTTTTTTTGCTCAACTATATATTCAAACACCGCATGCCATGACTGTTGATTTATCGCATCTCTATCGCTTTTGCCGTATAAGGAAACGAAGGATCTCTTTTATAATGCTGGCTAAATCCGTCGTGTCAATAAGTTTCCTTCAGCCATCCTTCTTCTTTACTTTTTTTCCCTTTTGTTTCATATTCTGCACATCTCTATTTCATATTTTCACACACAAGAAGAATGGTGAACGCCAATACCAATCACATCGATGCGTGGAAGGCTCGTCTGCAGAATCTTTCCGATCTGCTGTTGCCAACCGATTATCCAAGACCACTGCCGCCTCGCACCGTCGAAGAAGTTGAGGCTTTTGAATTGCCCGAAAAAACTTTGTTAAGTATCTTACAACTGTCCATGGCCAAGGAATATGACGGTGCACATCCTTCGCCGTTTTCGATTCTTTTGGCGGCATTCGCCGTGTTGTTGCAGCGTTACACGGGCGACGAAGCATTTGCTGTGGGCTCGTCTTCTCCTTCCGGCAACCCATTGGCTTTACGGTTAGACGTAGATCCATTGCAATCATTTGAACAGATCTTGGATATGGTCAATCAGGTAAGATAGGATCCCCGATGAAGTGTGTTATGAGGATCATGGAACTTATCAGAGTGATGGTATGACCCGTGTGTTTGTGCGGTGTATAGGTGGAAGCTGAGGCTTTAGCGCAAGAAGTTCCCTTTGAACAACTTGTAGAAGCCGTGGATAAGGGGACTGATCCCGACAGTCGTCGTCCTTTGTTCCGTGTGCGTTTCTACAACGAAACCGATACTCCCTCCCCCACTCAGTTGTCCTCCACTTCAGCAAGTACTGATTTGACCATCTTTATCACATCTCCCGAAGCTTCCACTTCCTTGCGTACCGCTTTCTTGCGCCCTATTACCATTCGTGTGGTCTATAATCAGATCCTTTTCACCTCTCGACGCATCCATTACATTCTCTCTCAATTGAACTCTGTCCTTGACAACGCGGCTAAGTCCCAAACGCTTCCTGTGGGTCAAATTCCACTGACGGATGCTTCTATCGATCCTGCTCTGCCCGATCCTACCACCGATCTTCATTGGTCCTTATGGCGAGGTGCCGTAAGCGACATTTTTGCCAGTAATGCCGAGAAACATCCCGAACGAACATGCATTGTCGAGACATCTGAAACGCCTGGTGCGCCCCAGATTGTCTATACATACCAGCAAATCCACCATGCCTCCAACTTGGTCGCCCATTACCTGTTGGACAACGGTATTCAGCGTGAGGATGTGGTCATGATCTATGCTTATCGCGGTGTCGACCTTGTGGTCGCCATCATGGGTGTCTTGAAAGCGGGAGCTACCTTTAGTGTCATTGGTAAGTAGCCGACAGGTTGATGGGAGTGCATCTTATCGCATCTTTGGTGTAACCCTCAATCTCTGATTTCCTTTTTTAGATCCTGCCTACCCGCCAGCACGTCAAGAAATTTATCTCTCTGTCGCCACTCCTCGTGGTCTCATTGTTATTGACCAGGCAGGCCAGATCGCACCTTCCGTACGAGAATACATCAAGAAGGAGCAGCAAGTGGTTTGTGAAATTCCCAGTTTGAGAATCCAGCCCAACGGCCATGTATTGGGTGGTGCGGCTTCCAATGGCCAAGATATCTTTGACGCCTCGCGCGATCGCGCAGCTCAAAATACCAATGTGGTGATTGGTCCCGACAGCATCGGTACGCTCAGTTTCACCAGTGGCAGTACGGGTATTCCCAAAGGTTGGTATTCAATGATTTTATCTTTATATGGTTTTTCGAAAACTCGATGCTAATCGAATCGATGAACCCCCAGGTGTCCGCGGTCGTCACTTTTCTTTGACCCACTTTTATCCATGGATGGCCCAGGAATTCGGAATTTCCAGTGAAGACAAGTTCACCATGTTGTCCGGTATTGCGCACGATCCCATTCAACGTGATATCTTCACCCCCTTGTTCTTTGGTGCCGAATTACATGTGCCTACCAGCGAAGATATCGGTGTTCCCGGCAAGTTGGCCGAATGGATGCATCGTTCGCAAGTGACCATTACCCATTTGACTCCTGCCATGGGTCAGCTTCTTTCATCTCACGCTCAAAACGAAATCCCCAGCCTTCGTAATGCCTTTTTCGTCGGCGACATCTTGACCAAACGTGACGCCGCTCGTATTCAGAAATACGCTCCCAATGTTGCGGTCATCAATATGTACGGTACTACCGAAACCCAGCGTTCAGTTTCTTACTATGTGGTCCCTGCTCGATCTTCACACCCGGCGTTTTTGAGCTCGCAAAAGGAAGTCATTCCTGCCGGTAAGGGTATGGTCAACGTCCAATTGTTGGTGGTCAACCGACACGACCGTACCAAGATGTGTGGTGTGGGTGAAATTGGTGAAATCTACGTACGCGCTCCCGGTCTGGCCGAAGGCTACCTCCGTCTTCCCGATGCAACCAACGAAAAGTTCATTCCCAACTGGTTTGTCAAGGATCCCAATGCCCAAGATGAGCACATCGAAGCAGTTGTCCAAGGAGATGCCTGGAAGGAGTTTTACAAGGGAAAGCGCGATCGTATGTATCGCTCGGGTGATTTAGGTCGCTACCGCCCCGACGGCAATGTGGAGTGCACTGGCCGTGCTGACGATCAGGTGAAGATTCGCGGCTTCCGCATCGAACTCGGTGAAATTGACACGCATCTGTCGCAACATCCTCTGATTCGTGAAAACTGTACGTTGGTGCGTCGTGACAAGAATGAGGAACAAACCTTGGTCGCCTACTTTGTCCCTGAAAAGAACGCCGATGCTGAGCTTGGCAGTGCCACCGAGAATGATGAAGAAACCTACAACGAGACCGACGTCCGTTCTCGTCGCCGTTATCGCAAATTGGTCAAGAGCGTGCGTGATTACCTCAAGCAAAAGTTGCCCTCGTATGCCATTCCTTCGGTATTTGTCCCTCTGGTTCGCATGCCTTTGACTCCGAACGGCAAGGTGGATAAGAACGCACTTCCTTTCCCTGATACTGCTCAGTTCCAGTCCAGTGCTTCGCCTGCCCCGGCCGCGGCTCTCTCCCAGCTTCCTGAAATGTCCCAAAACGAACAGATCATTCACAGCATCTGGCAAAAACTGCTCCCCTCGCCCGATCCCGTCATTGGTTTGGATGAAAGCTTCTTTGACATTGGCGGTCACTCGTTGATTGCCACACGTCTCGTGTTTGAAATCCGCCAGCAGTTCCAGGTCGATGCCCCGCTTGGATTGGTCTTTGCCGAACCTACCATTCGCGGTTTGGCTCGTGAAGTCAGCAAGTTGCAGGACAGCGATCTTTTGCTTGATAAGGACGAGGAAGCCGAGAAGCAACCTGTTCCCGAGAAGGAAGCCGTGGATTACGCTGCCGATGTCGAAAAATTGGCGGCTGAGTATTTGCAGTCGACCTACCCCGCTCTTGCCGCTCAAAGCAACGCAGAACGTATCATTGTCTTGACTGGTGCCACGGGTTTCTTGGGCGCGTTCATCTTGGCTCGTTTGTTGAGCTACGAAAAGACTCGCGTAGTGTGTATTGTGCGTGCCAAAGATGCAGCTACGGCTCACGATCGTGTGAAACAGACGGCCGTCAATCATGCTGTGTGGGATGATGCTTTCGAGAGTCGTATCGAAGCCGTGTGCGGTGATCTGGCCAGTGAGCGCCTTGGCTTATCCAATGCCGACTGGGATCGTCTTGCTCAAGCGGATGTCGTTGTTCACAATGGTGCTCTGGTCCATTGGGTGTACCCTTACCACCAACTTCGCGCTCCCAACGTTATCGGTACTCTGTGGGCCATGCGCCTTGCCTCGGATCAAAAGCAGAAATCGTTCCACTTTGTCTCCTCCACCTCGGTGCTCGACAGCAACTATTACGTAGAAAAGGGCTCCTGCGTGTTGGAATCCGACGATCTCGAAGGATCGCGTACTGGGCTGACGTCGGGTTACGGTCAGAGCAAGTGGGTGGCTGAAAAGTTGATCATGGAAGCTGCGCGCCGTGGTATGCCTGCCACCATTATTCGTCCGGGTTACATTCTTGGCGATTCACACACTGGTGTGACCAACACCGATGACTTTATCTGGCGCTTGATCAAGGGTTGTATTGAATTGGGTTACGTGCCTGCCATCTCCAACGTCGTGAACTGTTGTGCTGTGAACTACGTTGCTTCCGTGGTGGCCGGTGCTGCTTTCTATGACAATCAATCCAGCCAGCTCGGTGTTCTCCAAGTGACTCATCCACTCAATTTCACCTTCAACGACTTGTTTGCTACCTTGTCTACCTATGGTTACAGCTGCCAACAAACCGAATACATCGACTGGCGTAACAAGCTGATGGATTACACTTTGCAATCACAAGACCATTCTTTGTTCCCACTGCTCCATTTCGTCCTGGATGATTTGCCGACTTCCACCAAGAGCGCACCATTGAGTGACCAAAACACGCAACAAATTTTGGCTCAAGACGGCATCCAATGTCCCTTGATGGGTGACGATTTGATGGGTCTTTACTATGCCTATCTTATCAAGGCCGGTTATTTACCCACCCCTCCCAAGCAAGGCCGCGCTTTGCCTCAATTAGATATTAAAGTCCACTTGCTCAAGCGTAGTGGCGCTGCTTAGATTACTCTCTTTATTACATTCCCTCTTCTTCATTGTGCTTTCTTATTCATGTTTTGATCTTCCTTGTTGATATTGTCATAAAATATAAATTCATGTTATTAAACATACCTTCTATAATTTGACTGCAATTGACTCTTGGCTTTCGTATTCGCTCGATGCACACTAATGAAATAGCTGACACTGTGAGTAAGGCCGTATAATAACCATACAAGCAATTATGCTACGTTAACGTCATACTGTATGCCTGTGTCTCTAAAATTTTTGAAGGGATGAAGACTCAAGAGATGACTTTTTTTAGTGAGGTATCTAGCCATAGCTGTCATACATCATCCGAACAATGAACTACAAGGGAAACAAAGTTAAGAGTAGGGCCATGGCTCAATTTTGGTATATGGAAGTCTATTATTGAAGGACTTGTCAGCTTTTCTACAGACAGTGAGCTTTTAATTTACAAAAATCATGTACAATTGGGGTCTGAGGATACAGATGCAACGGGCGTCAAAAAGAGTATTTTAAGTTTTAAGCACCTGTTCCTTTTGCGTTTGAGAATCCGGATTGGTGATATGTTCTTTGACATACTCTTCTTGCTTGGATGCATTATTGAGCCAGCTAAGGTAGGCATTCCACAAAATTCCGAGACTGCTGACAAAAGGTAGTCGATATTGCAGCGGCATAAACTTGAAATTGATAAATTGGACCAGTGGCCAGACTTTGTAGTTGGTGATCAAGGCAGGCACAAACGCGTCTTCGAATTTCTCTTTCACACCTTCCCATTTTCGTGTCTCTGCAAAGCCCATGGCGGTAAAAAATACCACCAAACCTGCCGGTGCAAACAACGCTTGATCGGTTACCTAAAATATACAATAAGAAAAGCGCTCGACGTGAGACATGTGGAATGGAGATGCAGCATGACATTCCAATACTTACCATTCGTTTGATTGCCATTTTGTCTCCTTGACGCTTAACAGCTATTTGTGCGGCCTTGGAAGCCACTGTAGAAGCAACAGGCATGGGGAAAAATTTGTCCAGAAACATGTACCATTTTCCGGCGAGAGGCGCGACGCAGAAATTGTAAGCGGCAAAGCGAAGCGTGCGGGTGATATCGTATTTGGGTGTAGGAGGCCATAAATCTTCGTGCTCTTTCAGTTTGTCTGGAAGATGTTTATCCAATTTGTTGCGGCCTTGCTCTGATTTGGCTTCATAATAGGTGATAGTTTGGGCAAGGCCATCGCTAAATACGCCGAGAATCCCGTTGGTCACACATAAAGTAAGGATAGGCCGCTTGTTATAAGATCGGTTATAAAAGTCTCGAAGAGCACGCAGGCCACTCATGAAGATATGAAAAATATGAAAATGATGAAATGAAAAAAAAGTGGAACAAATTGTGCGTTTATATTTTGAAATTGCCTTTTCGCTCCTTTTTTATTACATCATTTTCCGAGGCGACGCGGAGTCAAATTGCATTGTTGCAATCATGACAGCAAGGTCCAAACCTGGCATTGGCAAAGGAGGCAAATGATTGGTGCGGAGTTACTAGTGTTTCGTTGATATCGGTTCCAAAGGCACCACGGAGTACCACTACCCCACTTGTCAAACACATTAGCGTTATTTTTTGATCTGAATTTTATTGTGTGCATTATTCTGCTCAAGTCCATTTTTTTGTCTCTCCCTTACGGTAGACTTCTCAAAAATTGACAGCCACAAGGCATTGGATAGGTCAAGGATAGCGTTTTGCACATAATCACATCGTAAAGGTCGTTTGGTCAGGTCCCAGCACTGTAAAAGCTTCTGCTTAAGACGACTTTACCAATTAGAAGTAACTTCTGTATCCTAGGAATCGTGGTGATAATCCATGGAGTCTGAAGCTTCTATTTCTATGGAATTTCAGAAAGAGATGATGGCTACTATCCAATTTCAAAGAGTTAGCGCAAACGGAAGGGAACTGAAGTTCACGATAATCGGTGCTACGTGAAATGCGTGAAGGCGTCCCATATGTTTGTTGTACGCCAGTTAGTGTTTGGTCTTGCACTCCCCTCGACGAGGGTCCCCATGTGTGTTATCTTCCTCAGAAACTCTATTCAAAACATCGACGCGCTACAGTGGTTGAGTATGAAGAGAGTACATTTGTTGAACAAAGACAGCCGCTGCCGCAGACAATGAGGGTGACCGGTCCCATGTAGATAGAGTTGACGAGCTGGATCCCCTCAAAAGATCAAACCAAACCGATCCATTGAAATGAACAGGAAAATGATCAAAAACGGCGTTATTCAGACCTGTTAATTGTGTCGTACTTACTCTCAAATATGGAGACGCATGTTACAACAACAAGCCAACTTGATTTCTCAGACGTGCGTTCTTACAGTATGATACTATAAACAACGAGCCCGTCAGTTGAACATCGGAGAGAATAAAAGCAAGGCTGTAACAAAATGGCCAGATCCTGACAGTCCTGCTCAACGCCTGAAAATAGATTCAACATGAATTGGGCTTCCCTCTCTCCATCCACTTGCTTAAAAATGTCCTTTGTTTTTATTGATCCAGTCGACCAACTTTTTGGATTTTGCCCTTCGTCCCCGAGCTGTTGCAGTCTCTGTCTCATGTTGCCTTTCTTCCTTACCTGTTGATCTTTTATCGATGGGTCCCAGATGTAGGCGACGCCACGATCGTTTTGGCGAGGTGCAGGCGGAGCGATTCCTATCCATACGCTTCATTCCACCGTGGATTTCTCCTGAAGATTCGTTTATAGTAGAACCTAGACTGACCTTCACTGATCACCCACTTTCCTGTATCAGTGCATTCCACAACCAATTTCAACCCGCCAAGTATGATACCATATATACACTGCTGTATCGGACCAATTGGATAACTGTTTCAATAATCTCAATACGACGCCAAACATTTAAGTGGTACACAACATATGGAACGCTGTCGCGCATATCACGTGGAATTATTTCATTCGTAAATTTTAGCTCGTGTGCGTACACTAATCGCTGAACTGGCGTACTCATCATCTCTTTTTGAGATTCCATAGAAAGAGAAGTGTCGGAGTCCATGGACCTGAATATAGACAGGCCGTTACTATGGCCAATACTATGGACACGAAAATTCGCTGAACAAATCATTGCCGCCACAATTTTGAGAAACAGTCTGTGAATTAGCTTGAATAACGGCAACCAGCGTGGAAACGGGAGAGAAGGCCCCAAATACCACCAGTCATGATAGGATCTAGAAACGGCTTGTCGGTCATTACATGTTCGCCCACTGCATATCAAGGATGGCAAGTTACAGAATCTCCGAATTAAACATTTGACAGACCGTCACAGCTGCATGACCGCTGGCACGGTGCATGTTGGGAGTGCCCGAACGACTTTGGCGTACGAAGCGCCTCTTTTACGAAACAATGAATCCGGACGCTGTAGTCGATCAAGCCCTCACCGAAATGAGGGAGTCCTCAGAAAAGCGTCAGCTTTTACTGGCGCAAGTCGAAAGCGCCACTATGAACCAAATGCTCAAGGTAAATAAACAGTAACCACCAATTTTGCAAAGCGCGTAGAGCTAATGAGTCTTCGTTCGAACAGAACTTGCACGCAACTGATGGCAATAATGTAGGCAAATAAGAGTTATTATGTTTGCTTAAGTCTTATCTGTTTTTTATTTTTTAGGTACGGCGGTCGAAAAGGTTAAAGACGACAGCTACCGACGCCAAATCAAAGAACGTAATAAGTCAGTTCAGAATACGGGGGAACAAAAATTCTAACTCAAACGTATTGAATCAGGATATCGTTGCCATGGACAACCTCATGTATGAAGGAATGGAAGGTAGCCTTGGTTTCAACCTTCAAAAGTATGCAACAAGCGTTGCCGCGATTACTTGGAAACAAAAGTACTTTCATTTGTAAGTCGTTTGAAGCAAAAAGCTTTTAGAGTGCTGGCGGCTGATCAAATTTTGCAATGTAGTACTTGTGCAAACGGTATCCTTGACATATCCGATTCTTCGCGCCTGTCATTTCTCAGAAGTTTACCGAAAGAGGTATCGATACAGATGTTGACCGAATTGACCTGCGCAAAAGATACCGAATATGTGGACTACAATTTGCCTATCCAGCAAATATTTAAGCAGGTACATGAATTGGGGGTTTTCTTATTCGCTTTCACAACTAACCTGCTTTTTTCATTAATTATGGGAAAGATAAATAGCAACAATAGTTTTCAAAAGATTTCAAAAGCGATATGCGACTTCGACTGTCACAATGATGAACAGGAGAGTGTACAAGAAGTGTACAAGTTCATGTATGTATCTCCACTTCATTTGCGTGCACGCGAAAGGGAGCTAATGTCATACGTGCTCTTTTCTTTTAGCTTCAAGATGCACGAAAAAAAGGCCTTCATATTCCACCAAGACCGCCAAAAAATGTATTCTGAACAAGATTACATTGTGAAGTTCTGGGCCCCTGTTTTCGAGACTTTCTTTGGTCAGGACGAGCATATTTTTTTACATTGGCAAGTACAATTATACTGCACATGTATATCATCGTGTTCTCCGCATAACATTTTGCTTTCTAGGGGCGATACGCAAGCTCAAGCTTGCAAAAAGAACGATCTCAAAATGAAGCTGGATATGAGGGTCATGCTTATGAAGCATGGCCATTACGTCATGGAAGGCAGCAGTTGCGAGTACGCTGCCAAGGCAACCTGCAGCAAATTGTATAAAGACAGGTTGAAACTTGTGTTGGGCGCGAAAGCTTACTTAAATGAAATCATCGAGAATTGCCCGCACCTAGACGACGATGACATCCGTGAAATCCGAATCCCATATATCCAAGTCATGGGCTTTCAGGCGGTGTTGTCTGTACTGTCAATTAAAGACAAGGGAGTTTACATTGCGGAAGAAATTTCCAAGTTTGACTTTCCAACAACCAAGAAGCAGATACGGAAAGGTCGTTTGAGAGACCTTGTTAAGGCCCTGTCACTCCTAAAGGTATGATGCGGTCAATAATCTGAAGAATATACAATGTATCTAAAATAACACCATTAGCATCTACTGGATAACCTAAGTTGCCGGATCGAAGAAGGAAAAGTTGAACATGGTGGCAACAAAATGGCCCGTATCATTGAAGAACAAAAAGTAAAGAAAGCCACGAACGGCCAATGGTTGAGCAAGCTTAAACTGCCATCTGTGCTAGATGAGAACGATGATGACGCCGACGAGGATGACGATGACGACGAAGATGAAGATGAAGACTAAGACAAAAACAAAGAGAAGGAGGAGGGGGAGGAGCAGGACTATGCTTCATGTAAATGCAAATATTGTATGTCATAATAAGGGCTTATCTAAGAGGTTCATGTAAATATAATCAAGATATGGAGGGATATTGAGCATGCAATAGTTCATAACGAAAATTGATCACCGTAAATACAATTGGACTTTCTGCTAAATTCCACAAGATTCCGTGCGTTAATGCGATCGTGTGAAAAATAATAATAATAAAAACTGGATCAACGTTAATAAAGATAATAATTGACTGACACTTGATTTGCATTGACATTCAATCAACCAGGAATGGCAGCAGTTTTCTAACTGATTAAAGGAGGCCGAACAAATCCCTCGTTGTTTATCATTTTATCATCGCTACAGCATTATATTATTCAGTTAATGGAATTTAATCTGAAGCTTACGAGTTAATTAAGTGTAGATGAATAACTTTATCCGATACTGTACGTATAAATAGGGCTGTAAGGTAGTTGTAGACATAATGAATTACCGTAGTTGCGCAGACTACGATACAGACATTATAGAAGAAATTGACGAGGCACTTCTTTATAATCCTCATCTTTTTGTAACATCTTCATCTTAAGACAAATATATTCAGTCTCACGCTAGTCAACGTCTCATAAGCTAAAGGAACAACAGATCCCTGTCCTCATATTTCTATACTATTAACTGAATGAAGAAGATAGCAGCCAGTGTATACATTGGCGGTTTGCAAGACTATTTTCTAACCTTGCTGCCGTCGACAAAGTCATAAAACTCGACGGAAATTGTAACGTTGATCAACATCCATGATCCACTTCTTTTCTCTTCTTCAATCGCCTTGCCGATCCTTTGTTTGCTTGATTGAACGACCTGCCATGCTGTTGATTTGTGCCCGATGCATGCTACACTCAATTCTAATCCCGCTTTGCGGCCCGTTGTCCCGCGATATCTTTTTCCTGGAATCTCAACCTTATTAAAATGTTTGACATACCTACGGCTCAACCAGACGAATCTGCGAACAGATCTGTATCGAGGTGTCGTAGATGCAGTAGAGCTGGGTGACAATGACCTTTAGAGCGTCGGGCAACGGGTGATCTTGCCGTCCACTTTCATTGGCAGCCCCAGGCACATGCGCCAGCTTTACCATGATTCCATGAACATCGTACGTCGATGCGGGCATCCCGATCTATTCATCACTTTCACTTGCAATCCTCAGTGGAAGGAAATACAGGACGAGCTGGCTCCTCTCCAGGAGCACAATATCGCGGCTACTGTTTGGTGTGATCGTGCTGTCTACCAGGATCACTCCAACTTCGCTTGCGGTTGGTGCATTGTACCAGCGAGCATCAGGCGTGTTTTCCGCGCTTATGAGCAGTCTCACATCTACAGCTCCGTCCGACTCACGTAAAACATGCGCCATCGATAGCAACAGCGGAACAAACGGGTTTATTTCCATGAGCAGATCTTGGAGAATGAGCAAGGTTGCATTTCGCAAATATGGAGCCACAGCGTTTCGGTGTGCCAGTTGGGTGTCGGAGTCGTATATGTACAGCTGAGCAAATGCAGGAGTCTTGTTATCCGTTGGTGGAAGCAGGCCACCGATCCGATGATAGATGCCTCCTTGGATGCGATAACAGTAAGCTCCACTGCGATTGTTGGCCACTGACTCGTCAATTTGAGCACCTAGGGAAGTGAAACTGAGATTTGTGTTGTAGCCGCGGATCTGCTCACGGAAATCTCCTCCATTGTCGGTGTTGCTACGAAGAAGACGCGCAATTGTAGGAGGTGTAGGCTCCAAAGGCGGAAGCACAACGGAACCTTGAGCACAGCAGACCTGGAACTGTGGATTAGCGATGGATCCAGACATACGCTCTTTGAGCCACATGTGTGCCTGGCAGAAATTGCACACGGCATCCATGCGTCCCAAGATATGTCTCTCTGGAAGTTCCCACTCGTTATTTCGGCCACTGTTGAGCGTTCCTGATTGTTCACTTGACAGCGTATTAGCATGATGGTCGAAATCTGCTTGGGCAACGGGCGCAGGTAAAGTACGAATACGTTCCGTAGTGTCACTTTCTCCAGCCACCCTCATAGCCAATCTTGCTGGATTACGGGCAAGCGAAATGGTTGGAACGCTGGTGACCCAGTTGTTGGCAAGCTCCGCAACGGACTTCGCTTGGTCCTTGGGTTGTAGTAACTCTACTTTGTTGGGCACGTCGGGGGTTGTTGGGGCAGTTGCGGTTGGTGGAGCGAGCATGTCCTGGCAAACTGCAAGAAGCACAATAAAGGTTTGAAGATGACATTGAATTAGTTTTCAGAGGAAGAATAAGAAAGAAGAAAGGAACAGGCCTGGATAATGCAAAGCAATACGATCTCTTGCATCCGTGTATGATCACGGTCTATCTATTCACAAAAGGAAGCACATCCGTTGTTGATCGGCCCGATCTTTGTGCGCGAGTTTCAATATGAAGCGTAAAGCTCTGCTGGAAGATCTAACGAAGAGCCATATTCTGGGAAGAGTCGTTGCCCATGTACACACGGTGGAGTTTCAGAAGCGAGGCTTACCGCATCTTCATTTACTTTTGGTGCTACATCCAGACGATAAGCCGAGAACACTTGATGACTATGATCGTATCGTTTGTGCCGAACTTCCGGACAGTGAGAGACTTCCTGATCTCTACGAGACCGTCAGCAGATGTATGATGCACGGTCCGTGTGGAACAACTCATCCGAGGTCTCCCTGCATGGAAAACGGCTCATGTAAAAAGCGCTACCCGCGCTCCTTTAACGACGCTACCATCGAAGATCCCAGGGGCTACCCTCTTTACCATCGCCGCAATAATGGAGATGTCGTTCTCAAAAACAATGTTCAGCTGGACAACAGATGGGTCGTGCCGCATAATAGATTTCTATGTGCGAAATACAACGCTCACATCAATGTCGAAATTTGTACTTCCTTGGAAAGTGTCAAATACTTACACAAATATGTATACAAAGGCCATGATCGAGCTGCAGCAGCAATGTATCGTGCCGACAATGACAGAAACGTCCGAGAGCAAGTCGATGAGATCACTCGCTTCATTGATGCCCGGTATGTATCCGCTGCCGAGGCCGTTCACCGGTTGCTGTCGTTCACAATGCATCGTGAGTATCCGAGCACACAACGCCTCGCTATCCACCTTGAAAACGAGCAGATTGTGCAGTTCCGAGAGGATGAAAACCCGCAGATCGTTGCAGATCGTCAGCACGAAACCACATTGACTGCGTGGTTTGCGCGAAACCGACTTGATCCTCACGCACGTACTCTTCTGTATCCCGATTTTCCAGAACGATACGTCTACCATCCTAGATCCCATAGATGGAAACCTCGCCAACGTAGATTTGGTAACACAATCGGGCGCGTCTACGCTGTTTCACCGCGTCAAGTAGCGAAGTACTACCTTCGAATGTTGCTATATAGCGTCCCCGGAGCACAGAGCTTCGAACACATTCGAACAGTCGATGGCATTGTCATGCCCACGTATCAAGCAGCTGCGCGAACGTTGGGACTTCTCGGAGCGAATGACGAATGAGAAAACTGTCTTCAGGAAGCCGCGAGTTATCAAATGCCGTGTGCTCTTCGATTTCTGTTCGCCATCATTGTTAATGAATGTCAGGCTCCTGATCCGTTTGAGCTTTGGATGCAGATTCGCCAGCATTTGCCAGAAGACTATATCCATTTTTGGAGAACTCAATCCGGGCGACGTCGGTCAAGTGGAGGCACCACAAACCGTGTACGATCGCGGGTTACTTGACATTGAAGATCATCTCAACGGTCAGTCAACTTCTTTGCTCAACTATGATGGTTTTGTTCTCCCTGCTCGCCAAGAAATTGACAGAATGGGACGCCGCTCTCAGCTTCGACTCATAAGAGAACAATACGATCTTATCGCAGATGCCGCCAACGCACCTGAAAGTCATGAACGCTTGAACGAAAACCAACGTGCCGTATACGATGCAATCATCCACAGTGTCGCGCATGGAAGCAATGCATCAGCCCGATTGTTCTTCGTCGACGGTCCTGGTGGCACAGGCAAGACCTTCCTCTTTGAAGACCTTCCTCTTTGATAGTATCCTTACTGCAGTACGTCAACAAGGCAGAATAGCTCTTGCTGTGGCTTCAAGTGGCACTGCTGCATTATTGTTGCGCGGCGGACGAACGGCTCACTCACAGTTCGGCATTCCGTTAAAAGTAGACCAGCATTCAATGTGCCATATCCCGCGACGATCCGAAAAAGCAGAGCTGATGTATCACGCAGAGTTGATTGTCTGGGATGAAGCTACAATGATGAGCCGACACGTTTTCGAAGCCGTTAGCCGTACATTGCAAGACTTGATGGCAACCAGAGATCCCGCTCTGCAGCATATTCCATTCGGAGGAAAGACTGTCGTTTTTGGTGGCGATTTTCGTCAGGTTCTTCCGGTCATTCCGAGGGCAACGCGTCCACAAACTGTCGAGCAGTGCTTGAACAAAGCTTCTTTTTGGTCTTCGGTCGAAATCCTACGCTTAAACATCAACATGCGCTTTCAACAGGCACGCTTGGTCAATAACGAGGATGCAGAGATTCTAGAGAACTTTGCCACATACCTTCTGCGCATTGGCAACGGACTGGAACCGAACCATGGAAACAGGGGCATCCAAATCCCAACAGAAATGTTATTGCCATCCTCCGATTCGAGCGACCTCATTAGTGCAGTATACGGCACCAGCATTCGAAACGTTCCGGCAGCCGAATTCTTTATTGAACGAGCTATCTTGACACCAAAAAATTCAGACGCAGCTTTTCTGAACGGAAAAGTTATCAAGAGGTTTCCAGGTGAAGTGCGTATCTATCGAGGTGCCGACAGCATGGAATCTGAAGAAGAGCAATTATTCCACCAAGTGGAAATTCTGAACTCCATGAGTCCGGCGAGCCTACCACCCCATCGATTGATCCTCAAAGTCGGTTGTCCTATCATGTTGCTACGCAATATCGATGTCACAAAAGGACTCTGCAACGGAACCCGATTGATTTGCCGTTCATTCCAATCCCATGTCATCGAAGCAGAAATCGCAACTGGCGTGAATGTTGGAAATCGCGTGTTCATCCCTCGAGTCATTTTGACCAACGAATCGGACGAAAATGGAATTCATTTCAAGCGACGCCAATTTCCCATCCGCGTCGCGTTTGCAATGACAATAAACAAGGCACAAGGACAAACGTTCGATACTATCGGACTATTCCTACCGGTTCCGGTGTTTGCCCATGGGCAGCTATATGTTGCTATGTCACGCGTACGTAGACCATCAGCGATAAAAATCTTGATCGTTCGGGATGCAAGCGATCGATCTACAGAAGTATGCACCAAGAACATTGTCTACCGCGAAGTGTTTGACAGCCAACAGCTGGATCGTTAAGTCCTTGAATCACGCACTGCGCTATGGTCCTATTTTGTATCCTCATTTATGTATTTTATGTTTCTTTATGCCTTTTATTTTGTGTTTTTCATTATTTCAGTACGTTTGATTGTATGCTTTTTTTTGCCTCATGTTCCTTTACTTCTATCCTTATGTCTATTGTTTTTTTAAAATTATCCTTTACCCCTATGTTGTGTTTCTATCATTCTTTTATGGTTTACTGTATGCTTTTTGTCCTTATGTTCCTTTGATTTTATCCCTATGCTATGTTTTTCCCAGGTAATGATTTTTCTGTTATCTATTTTTGTCTCTTCCATTTAATATTATATGATGTCTAACTATTTCCGTTCCTGACTTTGCATACATATTGTTGTTCCTCTGTCGTGGATGAAGAAAATGATCGTTATGTGGCGGTGGGTCAGGGAGGGCAAGCCCCCCGGGAAAAAGGAAAAGAGACTGGGCATCATTGAATGCGCAAGATTTATGAGCACATCAACTAAATCTTCCCGATAAATCAACCCGAATGGAAGCTTATTGACAAAGATTAGAGTTAAGAGAACATCATCAAGCGGGACCTTTGGATACACAAATTCGAGTGCGGAGTTTTGAATTTTGCAAATGGAATATCCCATTCCAAACGCATCTTTAATCAGCTACTATTCCCACTAGCCTCAGATTAACAACAAACTATAGACCGAAAGAGCATAACTTTGTGATCTTTAAGATCAACAGACGCTACTAGTCTACATAATTAAAATCTTTGGGAAATTAGCGATTTGTAAATCACATGATCTACACTAAGTTATCAGGGCCTGTTAAACCTCTTTTTTTTTTATCTTTCAACCACGCCTCGCTGCCCACTTTCACGATAATAGGCGAAACAATCAGCAGCAAGATGCCGTTTGCACCAGCTGTGGTCAAACAGAGTATCGTCGTTTTTCGAATAAAAATGTGAGTAGAGTTCTTTTTGAAGAAAAGTGGTTGATGATACGACTGGCGTTCTTCTGTAGCATCATTCAATTTGTTGTTTTTTTTGTCAGTTATACTATATATGTCCTTTCATTCTCTTTCAATTTTCAATGAATCGAATAATACATAAGCAGACGTGCTTCGATCTATGAATTCATGCATCAGCGGGGTGACGATTGTTTCATCCATGGAGAATCATATATTTTTGTCTTCTTATCTTTTTTCTTTTGCTTTTCTCTCTCTCTTTCTGTTTGCTTGATAAACCCTCACTATCATTGTATCAAGATCCCATCCGCATCCATCATCCAGACCATTCTTATCCCGTGTACCTAACTTGGTTAAATTGACCACCATCCTCAAAAAGGTAAGCGTCGAGTGGTCTACCATTGATTTTGCTCCGGCAAAACAGACTCACCTCTCCTTTGCTTCCATCCTTCTTCCAGCTTCCGGTTATCTCCGTTTTCTTTTCGCCTAATAAGTTCTGGATACTACAAAATGACTTTCTCTCACCATCCATCCATCCATCTGGCGAAACCGGATGACGCCAAAGGCCATCGTTGGTGGTGTGGCTCTCTTTTTAATCAGAAAAACGCTTACGTGTCCTCTTCATGTTCCTCTCTTTTGGATTGCTTCTCATCATATGGTATTCGAGATGTCTTCCCGATTATTGTATTTTGTAGTTCATAGTATGTATTTTGTACATATTCTTTTCGCAGTCTTTTCCTCTTTTTTTCCCTCATGGTTTTTTAGGAGTTTTTACTGACGCGACCATTGTTTTTTTTTATCAATATGTACTTTATTTGTTTTTCTTTCTTTTTATTCGAGGGACTCTCGATATCTGGAATCCAACTCGAAATTACCGTCAATTCTGGCCACGTCAATATTTTTTGCCTGCTCAAGCTGACACCACCGATCCATCGCTTAACTGTCCCTGGAAGCAATTTTATTTTCCGCACCGAAGAAGAAGCTTACCTGGCGGTCCATATTCATCTATTTTTCTTCCGGTACACCGTTTGGTTCAAGGCAAGTCCAATTTTCTTTTCCTTTGCTATGATGTATAATGAACGTATACTAATTCAAAAATTTTTCAATGTCATATAATCCAAGTCAATGTCTAGCGATTAATGGCTATTGCAAACTCAAATAACAATATCTTGACGAACATTTGAATCAATCAAAGAGCTTACTAACTCATTGTTTTAAATACCCAACATACCCACACATCTTTCTAGATCTATCATAGCCTGGGCGGGATGGAACTGAGGGGGTCAATCAGCGCTGCCCTGCGCGTGTTCAGAAACAAATCATGTTGCAACGTATGCCATAAGGTTGTCATTAATATACCGAAGTTCCGTCAAGAGTGCTCGCCCAGGTTATGCCGTGTATGCGTTAGGCTTTTTGTCTGACGAAAGTCGCTCAATGTAAGAGGGCGGCCTCCGGTGGCAGGCGGCATCCATTGCACAGCGGGTGTACGGCTTGTTAAATTTAGAATTAAAATTACACAAACCCCCATCGCTTCATCGATACAATGGTAAATCTGCCCGCACTGTATTATCATCCTATATGACATGTAAAAAAAGAATACGTCCAATATCTTCCTTGCAAACGTTTGGTGATGGGATTATTATATGAGAAATTCAAAACCTTCTTCCTTTTCTTGCTTCACTTCGTCTTCGTCGGCAACGTCGTCTCCGGTTTCCGCTTCATCATCAACTTCGTTATCGTCAAAGTCAGATGGCAATTGAACCTTACTCAACCACTGATTATTTCCGACTTTTTTTGTGCTAATTCCTTCAATGACGCGTGCCGTTTTGTTGCCACCATGGTCAACTTTTCCTTCTTCGGTACGGCTATTCAGGTTCTTCAGTAAATGCTAATGAGAAACATTTTAGATACATGTATATTGTCCAATTAGCGGTTGCATCATACTTTCAGCAACGACAGAGCCTTAACAAGGTCTCCCAAATGACCTTTCCGTATCTGCTTCTTGGTTGTTGGGAAGTCAAATTTGAAAACTTCTTCCGCAATGTAAACTCCCTTGTCTTTGATCGACAGTACAGACAACACCGCCTGAAAGCCCAGGATTTGCAGGTATGGAATTCGAATGTCGCGGATGTCATCTTCGTCCAAGTGCGGGCAATTCGCGATGATTTCATTCAAGTAAGCTTTCGCTCCCAGCACGAGTTTTAACTTGTCACTGTACAGTTTTCTGCCGATTGCCTTCGAGGCGTACTCGCAGTCGCTGTCCTCCATAACGTAACGCCCACGCCTTATACTGATCAACCTGTTATCGAGCTTCATGTTAAGACCATTTGTTTTGTAAGGTTGGGCTTGTGTATCACGCCTAGGAAGTGAAATGTTATGCGGAGAACACGATGATATACATGTGTAGTATAATTGTACTTGCCAATGTAAAAAAATATGCTCGTCCTGACCAAAGAAAGTCTCGAAAACAGGGGCCCAGAACTTCACAATGTAGTCTCGCTCGGAATACATTTTTATGCGATCGCCATGGAACATAAAGGACTTTTTATCAAGCATCTTGAAGCTGAAGGAAAAGAGCACGTATGACATTAGCTCCCTTTCGCGTGCACGCAAATGAAGTGGAGATACATACATGAACTTGTACACTTCTTGTACACTCTCCTGTTCATCATTGTGACAGTCGAAATCGCATATCGCTTTTGAAATCTTTTTAAAACTATTGTTGCTATTTATCTTTCCCATAATTAATGAAAAAAGCGGGTTAGTTGTGAAAGCGAATAAGAAAACCCCCAATTCATGTACCTGCTTAAATATTTGCTGGATAGGCAAATTGTAGTCCACATATTCGGTATCTTTTGCGCAGGTCAATTCGGTCAACATCTGTATCGATACCTCTTTCGGTAAACTTCTGAGAAATGACAGGCGCGAAGAATCGGATATGTCAAGGATACCGTTTGCACAAGTACTACATTGCAAAATTTGATCAGCCGCCAGCACTCTAAAAGCTTTTTGCTTCAAACGACTTACAAATGAAAGTACTTTTGTTTCCAAGTAATCGCGGCAACGCTTGTTGCATACTTTTGAAGGTTGAAACCAAGGCTACCTTCCATTCCTTCATACATGAGGTTGTCCATGGCAACGATATCCTGATTCAATACGTTTGAGTTAGAATTTTTGTTCCCCCGTATTCTGAACTGACTTATTACGTTCTTTGCTTTGGTGTCGATAGCTTCCGTCTTTATTCTTTTCGAGTGCCGTAACTGAAATACATTATTGAGTAAGGTCAACCAAATCTAGGGTCCCGTCTATTTTGTCCTTCTTCGCTTACGTGGTCGACATTTGCCTCGCGCAGCTTCTGTATCAAATCAGAACGCAATCAGTTCTACGCACTATGTAATAACAGAATAGAATGTAACGCTTTCGTACCTTCAGCATCCGATTGACAGTGTCAAGTTCAACATGAGCCATTAACAATTGGCGTTTCGCAGAAGCCTCCTTCAACTTGGTGAGGGCTTCATCAACTAAAGCGTCCGGTTTCATTGTTTGTTGTTTTGTTGTGATATACCGACCGCAGAAGTGGGAGGTTCTAAGCTCCAATAAGAATCGTTAATTTGGAGTCGGTTATCGTTCCACTTACTTGTAGTTGAGTGGGTCCGCTCAAAAGGACCGTTCAAAGGGTTGTTGAATTTTGTGTGATGCTAATTTTCAAGCCCAGACGTAGAAGAGCGCATGATATGAATGCTGGATTCTTCATATCACTTGGCATGACGTAAACTTTTTGGCTCACAAAAATTTCGAGGGACTTGACAAACGCTGTGTGGGCGAAGCTTCGCCACTGCAAGCATCAAAGCCTTCGAACTTCCCAAGCACTTCTCTGCACCACTGGTAAATGCAATGCTACAATATTTGCAAGCTTTTGGACGCGCTAAATACTGACAACAAAAGAATGTTCTAGGCAATTTGTGGGGCCTCCGTATACAGTATGCTACTTTGACGGCAAACCGTTAAAACCAATCTCCTCCGGTTTTGCACGCACTGCGGTGGTAGATATGCCTATTGAGACTCTTTGAACCATCATTCAAAGCAGGATCTTAGGCTGAGAAACTAGTCTCTGTGACGCTGACAAGCTGACGATATCCACAGAAGCTGCAGTGTGTGCTCCGTGGCGTGTACTGTGCTGTAACATGTGGGTCGATAACTGAAGGGTTGATAGGGCTCTTCAGTGAAGTCTCTAGTTGGACCGTCTTACCTTTGCGGGTTTGGGTCGGCTCTACATGTTACATCCGAACGACAACGCTGGCGCTGTATGGGTATGTGTACATTTGTAGTTGAATTCGATCTCTGTTCTAATTCATGTTTTATTTCACTGATGCTGCCACATCTTTTATGGCCTAGCTGCAAGACTGAATCTGCGCGCACTGCGGTGGTGGATATACCTATTGAGACTCTTTGAACCATCATTCAAAGCAGGACCTTAGGCTGAGAAACTAGTCTCTGTGACGCTGACAAGCTGACGATATCCACAGAAGCTGCAGTGTGTGCTTCGTGGCGTGTACTGTGCTGTAACATGTGGGTCGATAACTGAAGGGTTGATATGGCTCTTCAGTGAAGTCTCTAGTTGGACCGTCTTACCTTTGCGGGTTTGGGTCGGCTCTACATATTACATCCGAACGACAACTCTGGCGATGTATGGGTATGTTTACATTTGTAGTTGAATTCGATCTCTTTTCTAATTCATGTTTTATTTCACTGATGCTGCCACATCTTTTATGGCCTAGCTGCAAGACTGAATCTGCGCGCTCTGTGGTAGTGGATATACCTATTGAGACTCTTTGAACCATCATTCAAAGCAGGATCTTAGGCTGAGAAACTAGTCTCTGTGACGCTGACAAGCTGACGATATCCACAGAAGCTGCAGTGTGTGCTCCGTGGCGTGTACTGTGCTGTAACATGTGGGTCGATAACTGAAGGGTTGATAGGGCTCTTCAGTGAAGTCTCTAGTTGGACCGTCTTACCTTTGCGGGTTTGGGTCGGCTCTACATGTTACATCCGAACGACAACGCTGGCGATGTATGGGTATGTTTACATTTGTAGTTGAATTCGATCTTTGTTCTAATTCATGTTTTATTTCACTGATGCTGCCACATCTTTTGTGGCCTAGCTGCAAGACTGGATCTGCGCGCTCTGTGGTAGTGGATATGCCTATTGAGACTCTTTGAACCATCATTCAAAGCAGGATCTTAGGCTGAGAAACTAGTCTCTGTGACGCTGACAAGCTGACGATATCCACAGAAGCTGCAGTGTGTGCTCCGTGGCGTGTACTGTGCTGTAACATGTGGGTCGATAACTGAAGGGTTGATAGGGCTCTTCAGTGAAGTCTCTAGTTGGACCGTCTTACCTTTGCGGGTTTGGGTCGGCTCTACATGTTACATCCGAACGACAACTCTGGCGATGTATGGGTATGTTTACATTTGTAGTTGAATTCGATCTCTGTTCTAATTCATGTTTTATTTCACTGATGCTGCCACATCTTTTATGGCCTAGCTGCAAGACCGAATCTGCGCGCACTGCGGTGGTGGATATACCTATTGAGACTCTTTGAACCATCATTCAAAGTAGGATCTTAGGCTGAGAAACTAGTCTCTGTGACGCTGACAAGCTGACGATATCCACAGAAGCTGCAGTGTGTGCTCCGTGGCGTGTACTGTGCTGTAACATGTGGGTCGATAACTGAAGTGTTGATAGGGCTCTTCAGTGAAGTCTCTAGTTGGACCGTCTTACCTTTGCGGGTTTGGGTCGGCTCTACATGTTACATCCGAACGACAACGCTGGCGATGTATGGGTATGTTTACATTTGTAGTTGAATTCGATCTCTGTTCTAATTCATGTTTTATTTCACTGATGCTGCCACATCTTTTATGGCCTAGCTGCAAGACTGAATCTGCGCGCTCTGTGGTAGTGGATATACCTATTGAGACTCTTTGAACCATCATTCAAAGCAGGATCTTAGGCTGAGAAACTAGTCTCTGTGACGCTGACAAGCTGACGATATCCACAGAAGCTGCAGTGTGTGCTTCGTGGCGTGTACTGTGCTGTAACATGTGGGTCGATAACTGAAGGGTTGATGGGGCTCTTCAGTGAAGTCTCTAGTTGGACCGTCTTACCTTTGCGGGTTTGGGTCGGCTCTACATGTTACATCCGAACGAACGACGCGGGCAATGTGTCGGTAAGTTTGCACTGTTCCTATATGCTTTCAATTTTGATTATAAACTTTGGACTGATTAACGTTGACCTACTCTATCTGGCAGTTACAGAAAGCAGCAAGTTCAAAACAGCAGATACGAGCGTTGATGCCGAATACAACAAACAATGTAATACGTTTATTAGTTCGGATATGGGGAGATAAAAACTCTGACTCAAAACGTGTTGAATTAGGATATCACTGGAGGAACCAACCTGAAGTATAAAGGTATAGGAAGGCATCCCAAGTTTCCACCCTTCAAAATATGCAACGACCATTACCACGATCGCAAGAGAAGTATCTACATTTGTAAGTCTTTTGAAGCAAAAAGCTTTTACAATGCTGCGGTCTGATGGAACTACTTTGCAATGTAGTACTTGTGCAGACGGTGTCCTTGACCTATCAAATTCCTCCCCCCTACCATTTTCTAAGAAGTCTACCAAAAGAACTATCAATCCAGATGTGACCGAATTGTCCTACACAAAAGATACCGACTATGAAGGCTGCAATTTTGCCTGAACTCGATCAGAAGCACAGCAAGAAAGCTTCCATGCGAGAGGTAGAAGATTTGCTTGCTGGTTTTATCACATGCATAGAAGCAAGTCACCAGCCTATGTACTGCGAGACCATTGAAATACACGCGCGTCACATCGCTTACAGTATGGGTCTTAGAGTTGACGGTGACAATGCTACGAGCAATTCCGCGAGAGGTCGATCACCAACCGAGCAGTGTTATGGCTTACAATCACGGCTCATGCATGGAGAGGCTGGACCCGCTGACCTGGACACGGAAGTCACACAACAGTCTTTTATGGCGATCAGATGAGAATCGCAGATTACGGTCCTATTTGCATACACTTGGTTGAAACTGTTTTTACAAGCAAGTTCCCAAGCGCGCAATAGGCAAGCAGCTGTTACCGGATTGAAGACTGACAAGGCTGGAATTCTCATTGTTCTCGCGTGTAATGCCGATGGCTCCGACCGTTTGCCCTTGTGGTGTATTGGCACTGCCAAAGCCCGGAGAACCAGGTATGGGTCTTATGAACAGTAATGCCGGTACAATACTCATATGACATACATGTAGTTGACAATGTATGTTTTCCATACAACAACGACGCCAAGCCGTGGATGACAGCCAAGATCTTCAACAGCGTCTTGGCAACTATCGATATTCACATGATAAACATGAACAAGAAGATCCTCTTGTTGATGGACAACACTCTGTCCCACAAGTGGGCACGATCGTAAACGAACGTGGAAATTTTGCGTTCGCCACCAAACACCACGTCGAAGCTCCAGCCTGTGGACGCTGGCATCATCCGAAGCTTCAAAACAAACTACAGGTATTGCATTTTGAATGTAAATCATCAGAAATTCAAGTCATCGTTACTAATTCAATGAAAATATATAGAAGAATGCAGTACAACTGGGCTCCAGTCAAGTACCGTGAGGGAAATTTGCTCAATCTCTATCAAATCGACCAGAAGGTGGCAATGGGCTTTCCCCGTATCGCCTGGAGACAGGTGATAGGAACCACAATCGCCAACTGCTTCAGGCATACGGAACTTTTCGGCGAGGCTTCCGACATCAATCCAATTGATGAATAACGGGGTACAAGTGCGATTTGCCTATGCGACTTCAATCGTCACACCGTTGAACCTGAGATTGTGCAAGAGATCTACACATTTATGTAAGCGTCCCCACTTCACTCGCGTACAGGCAAAAAAGAACCAATCTGATTCATGTTCCTTCCCTTTAGCTTCAACATCCACGGTAAGAAGCCATTCATGTTGCACCAGGACCGCCCAGAAATGTATTCCAAATTGGATTATTCTGGGCCCCTATCTTCGAAACTTTCTTCGGGCAAGATGAACACATCTTCTTACATGGTAATGCAATTATATTATAGATGTCATCATGTTCTCCTTTTAACAATTTACTTAGGGGTAGCATGGAAGCCCAAAAAAAGACCTTAGAGTGCTCAACATCCGGTTAATGGAGGGCAACAAACTGCCAATATGCACCCAAAGTAACCTGCAACAAACTGTACAGAGACAGGTTGAAACTGATGTTGGGCGCAAAAGCCTACTTGAACGAAATACTCAAGGGTTGCCCACATTTGGACGAGGATGACGTCCGCGCGATTCGAATACCCTACCTGCAGATTATGGGCTTTCAGGCGGTGTTGTTCGTTCTCTACACCAAAGATAAGGACGTTCACATTGCCGAAGAAGTTTACGAATTTGACTTCCCAGCAACAAAGAAACAAATACGGACAGTTCATGTGGAAAACCTTGATAAGGCTCTCTCACTCTTGAAGGTACGTTACGATCATTATTCGGAAAACATCCATTCTAGCTAAAACTTATTTTATTAGGAGCTGTTGAAGAACCTGGAAGACCTGATTGAAGAAGGAAAATTCTATCATGAGGAGGACAAAATGGTCAGCATTATCAACGAACTCAGTGAAAAGAAAATCAAGAATAACGATCAATGGCTGGGCAAAGTGAAGTTGCCGTCCGAGGTGGATGAGAAAGACGGTAACAGTGACGATCACGATGACGATGAAAACGAATACTAAAAGACAAAGGAGAAGAAGGAGGATGCAGATACGTTCATGTAAATATTGATGTAAAGATGACACTTCCATTATGGCAACAAGCATTTTTAAAGAATATATATCCTTTCATTTACCGCTTTTTTTTTCTTATTTGAAAATGGGATCTACTCCAGAAAGTAAAATTTAGCGGCCAGTTGTAAAGACGAATAAGAAAAAGCGCAGTTTTATACCTGTTTGGACATAGGCAATTGTATTCTTCCTACAATATTCGGTTATCTTCTACGCGAGGACAATTCGGTTAACATCTGGATCGATAATAATGGTGAAGGGAATTTTCTCGTTTATCCGCAACCCCATTCACAGCCGGTTAAAGGCTTTTTTGTTTATTGACGCTGTATGCTTGAGATTATTTGGTTTTACTCAAGAACGTCGCCCAACCTCTTTTTGCACAGCGTTCTCTTTTTCATCTGCCTTTCCTTTGGAGGACAAAGGATGGCATTTTCAAAAGCATACTTAAGTAAAAGTCACATATTACTGTTCATAATTTCTTTCCGTTCCATCAGAGATCTTATATTGAGGTGCTGTATTTGCCGCAAACTTTTGAGCAACGATCCAAATTTTCGTCAGTAATTGTTTTTATTCTGAGGCGCAAGTCAAGTAGAGGCACTTAAAAGAGTTGAGACGAACTGCGCGCCGCAAGTAAAATATAGTACGTTCTTTAATCATTCGATGGTGGGCCAATAGCGTACGTGAAAAAAATATCCCAATTCTGTAGTAGCACTAAGAGTTATAAGGGTTGAAAACTGGAAGTGACCTAAAATAGGGAAGTTCTTGAGATCGACATTGTTGGAAAGAGATGCAGGCTGAACCTGAAGAGCCAGTATCACCAAAAGTACGTCCATATTTATCACACACATGATCTCAGCATTTACATTTGCCCGCCACTTTGAAGAAGGAAGCTTGATGACATTCCAAAACATTTCATATGTTAAATGACAGTACATGGGCCGGGAAACGGAGGAAACACGAAAATGCAGGATCGCAGACAAAAAAATGGATCGAATTTGGAGCCCTGAAAACGGAACGACAAGCAAACCAAAAAACAAATCAAACGGTGATACGTTACCTTTGTCGCACCTCCTCAAGTGAATCGTGTACGTTTTGAAAGTGAATTGTTTTGACTGCTTGAGAAAGAGGTCGTAACATTTTTAATACGACCATGCGATCTTTCATTGAGTGGCGGAGTGGGCAAGGAATCGTCGATGGATGATCAAGTCCGCTGATGGACTTTTTTATTTTTGCAAACTGTAAATCGGGAAATTGCATGTGATAGAGAAGGCTGGCATGGCATATCCGTTTCAACTTTGTCCATGTTTCGAGCTTTTTTTTTATTTCGTTCTCCGTCTTGGACGGAAAAGGAATAAGGCAAGATAAAAATATGGGATGAGTTTTGCTTCAGGTACCATTTACGATCTTTTTTCTGTTTTGTTTCTATTTCCTTCTTCTTCTCGGTAAATAACTTTTTTATTCTTTCGCTCTTCCGTTCGAATTTCACGGCGTTTATAATGAACGATCTGCAAACAAATGCAATGAACACGAGCCATTTTGGCACTCCATGCATGAACAAAGCCAACCATGGCTACGCCGAATATCCCGGGTTTCCGTTTCACGGCCTAACATGCAATTACAGTCACGAAGAGAAAGATCCAAACTTTCCACCCCCTTTTTATACCTCTGGAAAATTATCTTATTCTGAATGTCATGAACCAAAGGAAACAGCCGACTACTTTAACTTTCGACCACTAGCATCTCTACAACGCAAGGACCGCTGTGAGAAAAGAGAATCGTATCACTGGAACGAAATGAACCCACCGAAACAAACATTCTCAGACGTTTCTCCTTTTGATATAACCAACACATCGAGAGAAGAACTGATTCAACAAGCGGTGTGGCGATTACGCGGTCGATTGCTCGAAGAAGGACTCGCGGATATGGTCAGCCAAGTAGTGACGTTGCAAGCCAAATTGGAAACGTTGCGTTTGGAAGCATCCGCCAGCTTGGATGCGATATATAACCTCGATAAACGAGAGTGTTCACCGGGACAGTTGGATGTCTTTGAACGCCGCTTATCAACCCATCAAAAGCAACTTCGAGAGTTTCTGATCAGCAACCCGCATAGCAGTATACAACCGGACACACCCGCTTTATCGTCGACAGCATACACACCCTCGGGATTTTTCACAAGATTATCAAGGATGTCCTCCCTATTCAGTCGGAATAAACGCTCGGAAAGCGACACGGGAAGCCGTTACCAGAACGACGATGCTGTGTCCAACACATCATACGAGACAATAACAAAGAGTGAAACAGGGAACAACCATCACATGTATGAACGAAAGGATGACCGTCGTCAACGAGTTAAACAGTTCCGGCAACAATATCAAACACGAACACGAACACGAACACGAACACAAACGTCCGACAGCATAGTTTGTCGAGATTTGAAATGGCACGAAGAAAAGATCAGCCCTGTTGTAAAGTCTTCCGACAACGCACAGATGCAATATACCCCTGAAACTCCGGGCCCTACGAAAAGTAAAGCCATTTTTCATGATGCTACGGAAAGCTGTGAGACAGATGACGACTCCAAAATGGACATGCAATCATTGTATTCTACCGACATTCCAAATTCCCCTATTCCGTCAGCCCTTCCTCGATACTGTAATGACGACGCAACTTGTCGCAAAGATATGGAATCAATGGGAGCAAGTTATCACTATAACGATTCGATTTCGTTGGAGCCGTACCCGGAGGAAGCAAGTTTTATCGGAAATGGTGGTGATTCAGGCCTTTCACTCATTCATCCAACGATGTGTTCTGTGTCGAAACATGCTGGATCGGAGGAACGAAATGCACTCGATGAACTGCTAAGTTTCTTGGACCAATACAATCTACGTGATGAACACGCATCTTTCTATGAAGCATCGATCCTTAGAAACGACGATAGGCCTTCCCAAAATTATAGAAATTCGGTTCGAGGTTCTCGTTTGACGGGAAATGAGACTTTGTTTGGTGGCGTCAAAGCATGGATCTGGTCATCGTGTATGTCGCTCGTCAATCGAAGTCTAATATGGTATCGATTCCTTATAATCCTAAGCGTAGCCTATACTATCAGCTTAGTGCGGGGTCCCGGTGACCTTCAGTGTGGGTCACACTTCATCTTGTAACCTACGCGAAACACAGCTACGTCAGACCATGCCTTGTTGCGAGGAAGATTTACCATTGTTTTATCATTTGCCATTTATCATGTATCTATACCATATCCATCATTCTTCATCATGCCGTAACTGAAAAACATCTAAAATACAATATTGCCGCATTTATCATAAATTTAAGCATCGTCACCAAAACATTTGCAGGGAAAAAATGGCCATTTGGTTTGCGTTTAGATCCGTTTTTTTTTCGCGAAGGAATCGACTGTTTCACTATTATGTAAGCTGTTGATTGACAATAACCCTTACTTGATGTATTGCATTAAGAGTATACATTATCCGCATTACTGTCGGGTTTTTCAAGTTACCAGCATTTGCATCGTTCAGTGCACAGCTGAGAAGGAGCTGTTGATTGGATGTGTGCGATCAACTAGTGCGGCATTTGAAACAGAAGAGCCTATTGTATGGATCCGCAGCAAAAAAAAAAAAAAAATTCTTTTACGGACGTGTCAGGGTGTACAAGGCAGAGATGATAGCAGATAAGTATGGAAATATCACGAGCTTTCCTTCAGTAATAGTTTACAATAGAAAGCTGGAAAAGTATCTTGGAAGGCGTTTCCCTCGGGCAATGCAATGTCTGTGCACTTGAACAGAAGCATGCGCTCACGATTCACGGAATGTCTAAAGAACGACAGAAGGACCTTTTTAATCCCCGCCGTCCGTTGTCCGGACCGAACACGGTGTTCCAAACGGAGTTGGGCGCCAGACTGATGGAAAAAAAAAGCTGCCGAGAAGCTGGGATGGTGTGAACGTCCTCTCTCTCACATCTTCTATCTCGTGTATCATGGTACGGCATCGAGATCCATCCATCCATGCATCCAAACGTGGATACCATGCATCCATCCGTTATGATGATAGCTAATTGTAGTTCTTGTCATTTTTCCATAGTCTCACAGAAAGTACGAGGCTCCCCGTCACGGTCACTTGGGTTTCTCTCCCCGTAAGAGAACCAGATCTCACCGCGGTCGCTGCAAGGCCTTCCCCAAGGATGATCCCAAGAAGGCTGTCCACTTGACCGCTTTCATGGGTTACAAGGCCGGTATGACCCATATTGTCCGTGATCTTGAACGTCCTGGTTCCAAGATGCACAAGAAGGAGATCGTCGAAGCTGTTACCGTCATCGAAGTTCCCCCCATGGTCGTCATTGGTGTTGTTGGTTACGTCGAAACCCCCCGTGGTCTCCGTACCTTGACCACCGTCTGGGCCGAACATTTGTCCGAGGAAGCTAAGCGTCGCTTCTACAAGAACTGGTACCGTTCCAAGAAGAAGGCTTTCACCAAGTACGCTCAGAAGTATGCTGAGGGTGCCAAGGACGTCACCCGTGAACTCGAACGTATCAAGAAGTACTGTTCCGTCGTTCGCGTCATTGCTCACACTCAAATTGGCAAGGCCAGACTTGGTCAGCGCAAGGCTCACCTTATGGAAGTCCAGCTTAACGGTGGTAACATTGCTCAAAAGGTCGACTGGGCCCGCGAACACTTTGAAAAGGAAGTCACTGTTGGCTCCGTCTTTGAACAGGATGAAATGATCGACATCATTGGTACTACCAAGGGTCACGGTTTCGAAGGTGTCACCCACCGTTGGGGTACCAAGAAGCTTCCCCGCAAGACCCATCGTGGTCTCCGCAAAGTCGCCTGTATTGGTGCTTGGCATCCTTCCCGAGTCATGTACTCGGTTCCCCGTGCTGGTCAGCGTGGTTACCATCGCCGTACTGAAATCAACAAGAAGATTTACCGCATTGCTAACGGTGCTGACAAGAAGTCTGGTGCTACCGAATACGATATCACCGACAAGAACATCACTCCCATGGGTGGTTTCCCCCACTACGGTATTGTGAACGAAGACTTTGTCATGATCAAGGGCTGCTGTGCTGGTGCCAAGAAGAGAGTCTTGACTCTTCGCAAGTCTTTGATGGTCCACACCAAGCGTTCCGCTTTGGAAAAGGTCAGCCTCAAGTTCATCGATACTTCTTCCAAGTTCGGTCACGGTCGCTTCCAGACTGCTGCCGAAAAGCACCAGTTCATGGGTACCCTCAAGAAGGATCTTTAAATGGATTGTTCCTCATCTTCATTTTCTGTAAGAAAACGAAACAACCAATAAAATCTCATAATCATCACATTTTTTGCATGTATCTTACATAAGAAGAAAAGTAAATACGTAGTGTAGATCGTAAAAAGTAACTGTTTCGATCTCAGTTTCTGGTGTAGACGTGGGTATGTGTGTGTTCTCAACGACACAGGTGGATGGACCAATGGTCTTTCATTTTCATGCTTGGTTTATGGTAACGCACAGGGCAGTGGGGTTCCGACAATGTGGAAAGTTGAACATTGTTGTGTGAGAGAGAGGTGCACTCTATTGGTGACACTTGAAAAAAAAAAGCATGTGATCACAAGAAAAAAGTTACTTGTATGCAAATTTGTATCATGCACTTTTTTGGGCTTTTTTTCGCCTTTTTCTCAGAAGCCAAAAAGTCTAAACGGTGTTGGTTACGTTGGAAAACTGTCGCGGAGAGGTAAACCCTAAATTGAAAGAAGAGTATAGTAATTATATTTTGACCGGATTACTATGACGATAGTAGTCATTGCAATACTTTAGGTGGATTTTGATGCGTTGTTCATGTCAGGGATTTTAATTTTTTGCGGTGATTTTTCCCACCACACATGAATAAAAATAAAAATACCTTTTTTTCACATTCACCCCCTTTTCACCACCCTGTCTCCTTTTTTCTAAGTAAACTTTTTTTTTTCTTTTTTATTCTGCTTCTTCTTTTTAACCTTTTTTTTTTCTTTCTTTTTCCTCTTTCTTGTCAACTTTTTGGTCACCCTTTTTTGGCATTTATATTGCTCTATCCAATCATTATAAAAATAAGCTCATGTCGACCGAATTGGCTAGTCTGAAAGAAGTGGAACCACCGTTACAGCAACCACAGCAAGAATCGTTATGCAGCAGCTTCAAGACAGACATGTTGTCGGAAACGTCCTCTAATGGGTCACCTACTACGCCCAGTGCGAATGCCAAGTTCCATTCGTACGTGGATCCTCCTCATCCGTGGATGACCAAGCAAGAGCCTACCCACTCTTCGGTCGATTGGTTTGATCCGCCCACACCGACCGAGTTGCCAACTACGCACCAATCCAATGCTTCATCGGTTCGTCGGGGTTTCTGCGATTTCGAACCACCAGACGAACCGTCGCTGGAACCTAAATCAGAACGCCGACCAAGTGCTTCCATGGCTCACCTCAGGTCACCTTGGAACCATAATAATATATGGTCGGCACCTCTTACGTCGCCATTCAAATGTGATATTGAAACAAAGATAAACAATGCTTCGCATGGACTGGAATCGGCCTTCTTTTCACGTAGGCACAGCTTATCAGCTGCTCCGCCACGTTCCTCTGGCCTGTCCCAACCTTATCGGTCTCACTTACCCAGTACGCATGAAGAAGATTATTTCAACGGTTGGGATCAAAACGGTCGTAATTCAACCAATCCATCTTATTCGTCTTTAAATTCAATCTGGTCGCCTATACCGCAACGGTTCCAGCCATCTCAGTCACCCCAGCAACATGTGCATCAACGCCGATTTTCAGTCACCGACAACTTGACGCAAAGCGATTATTGGACATCGCTCGTCACGGATCATCACTCGTCCATGTCAAAGTAGGTTCAAAAAAAAAGCTTATCGATGGCGAACACGGGAAAAACGGCGGACAGGCGGACAGGCAGGCGGGAGGGTGGCGGGTTACCCATTGAGAACAAACGTTCACAACGTGGGTTATGGAAAGAGAGCAATTCTCATCATATTCTAATTTTTTTTTTTTCGTTCTCTTTTTTTTTGTGCTTGTGCAGGTATTACGATGATTTGGGAGCTACTGCCATTGGACGGCGTCATTCGGTGGCGGGACCTTATTTGTCGAGCCCATCGCCCGTCCCAGCCAAGGTGAACAGCTCATTCGGATTTGAACCGTCAGCGGGAGAGGGCTATCCTGGCCAATTCAACGACGGCTTTTCGAACGCTTACAGCCGCCAATGTCAACAACAGTTGGATAAGGATATTCGGGACCATATTGACGAATATTTTGGCGAATTACGTATCACAATGAATCCAGCCAACGCCACCCCCGTCAACTACTCTTCTGATGTCAGTTGTCAGACCGTGGGCAAAGGTGTCTCTTTGCAACATTTCGTCGACAGCGGCATCCCCCTTTACAAAGTTGCATTTAAAGCTGGACGATCCGAATTATGCTATTTGTCGGACAAAGATGCGTGGATAAGATTGCCTAAAATGGGGGATCTGGTCATCATTGAAGCAGACCGGGGCCGTGATTTGGGAACCATTGTTGCTGATCGAGTCAATGCGTCCGAACTTTGTGGGAAGGAAGAAATAATGTCACCTCCTGCTGATCCTCTCTCGGTCACCGACACCGGACGCATCAATCCCAAGGACGTGTATGTGAAGCAAATGTTTCGATTAGCGGAATCGGCGGAAATTGCCAGTCTTGCCACCAAAAGCCAAGATGAAGCCAAAGCATTGCTCGTATGTCAGGCTAAAATTAAACAGAAGGGATTGTGCATGGAAGTTCTGAATGCTGAATATCAATGGTAAGTTTCCTACGATCAAGCATTTACAACAACAACAACAACAACAACAGTCCATGGCTCACAAATGATTGTTCTTCGTTAGGGATCGGCGTAAGCTGACTTTTTACTTTGTGGCCGATCAGCGTATCGATTTTCGCGAATTGGTGCGCGAATTATTCAAAATCTACAAGACACGAATCTGGATGTGCGCCACTAAACCGGTTTGATCAGCCAACCTACTCCTTTAAAAAAAAAAAAAAAAAAAAAAAAAAAACCATCCCCACTCTGCTGGCTCAGAAGCCGTCGTGACAGCCCAACTTTCGGTCATCAGCTTACTTGTTCAGTCTTTCTCCATCCTCTTACAGCTTGCTTTACTTGTTGTCAACTTTGGTTGTTGTCAGTATCCCATATTACAGTTACACACACTCCCCGAGTAGATTTTTTTTCCAGCTTCTCGTTCCTGCCATTTTACCGTCCGGTTTATTCAACTTCGCTTCAAGCAACTATTGCAATACCTCTATTCTCTCTATTCTTTTGCTTGTTTTTCTTTATACCTTGATCATTCCTTTCATATTTCTGGGCCTTCCCCCTCTTTTCCTCTTTCTTTCTTTTACTGGTCTGTTACACTTTACGATGCTTAGATTATCAATTTTAGATGCATAAGAATCCTTGTGAATATAAAAAAAAGAGGCCTTAGCAATTTCTCAAAATAAAACAAAAGGATGCATGATAAAATATGGAGTTTTCTTTTTTTATAATGAGAAAGAAGCCACGGGTGTACCAAACTGCACAATGCCTGCACTGAGCTTTTCACCATCGTAGGCCTCCAATGCTTTCAATTCCTGTCTGATATACTGAACCATGTAAGCGAGATCCGTACCGCTTTCCGAGGTAGGAGCAAATAGATTTCTACACCATAAAAAAAGGATCAGATGACGTTTATCCTGCTGCCGAGCTTGTTTTCCCACTGAATACCTCCATAATGCTGCTGCCAGGACCGGATCGTCTTTACACATGCCTTCGTCATAAGCAACCACACCACCATGGAACTGAGCCAGTAAATCCTTGATGTAACTGTTGATCACCTTTTGTTGTGTAATCTATCATTTCTACCATTAATATATTTTTTTCCAATGACGCTAGTAGTCACTCTGGTCAACCTACCCCATGTTGCTCACGCATGCGCACTTCGGCATCTTCGAAAAAGCGATTCACCAATTCCTGAATATACAATTTTCCTTGTCCGTGCGCTCGTAAATGCACCATCAACATCCACACGTGAAGCTGGGTCACAGCAAACCAGGTTTGGAAATTATCAGGCAACTTGCATTCTATGAACATTTTCCGTCATTAACAAAAGGGATGCAGCAAAGTCACAATCGATCGCTTTTCGCCTTACCTTCAATGAAAAAGACTTTGTTCTGCTCCATTTGCTGAGCGCACGCTTTATAGAGACTATGGCTGGATCGAATGGCGGTGGAATTTTTTGAATAGTAACCCATGATTCTCGCCAATCCATAGACAATCTTTTTCGTCGTGCTAGAATATTTCGACTTTACAGGCTCGTGCGTGCTGGCCCATCGCGCATTCACGAGGCTCCATGTCGGTTGCTAATCAATATCATCATGTTAAAACACAAGCCCTACTGTCAGTCTCCGGAATCCAAAAGTACGTACAACAGCGAGAATTCTAGGTCGGTTCAAAGCCGAAGCACGCAATAAAGTCTGAGAGAATCGATTTTACCATACGGTGAGTTAACTGCCCATTGGCCAAAGGTGAAAAATTACAGCTTTCTTACATTGCGAGTGGCCGCTGTGATGCCCAATGTGCGTGACAAGGAAGCCATGCCGGAAATATCTTTTTTTTCTCTTTGACTGAAGTCAATAGCTCAAGGCCTGCCGTATCGCTTTATTTTCTGTGTTTTGACACAAAAACGGCAGGTTGAATATCCGAAAAACGGTCACAAAGAAGTTCAAGTGGAGCATGTGTCAAATAGCAGCAGTGACGAAGGGATCCTCTCCTCGTGCATACTATGAATCATTTTTTATTTGGTTTGGTCCCAAAGCCTTACAGCCGAGAACATCACCGACATTTTTCGATACAATTCCCCTTGAACAACTAGGCATACATTGGCTATCGATTGGGTGCTCCAAATCACACATTCTTTTATTGCAATAAAAAAGTTATATACAGTACGATTCTCCTTGGTGTAAACAAAATAAAAAAAAAGCCAAAGGCAAATCGAGCAATGTGACGATGCCCTTGTCCTTCAATAGAGTATTGACATCGTTTAAGGAGTGGCATACTAATTATTTTTCCCAATGAGATATTTGATTTTTTCAATACCCGACAAGTCCATCACCAAGCTCACCTTTTTCACATATTCCTTCGCCATCTTGTTGAATTTTGGACGGTTGGTATTGTACACTTCGGCAATGGAGGCAACAAGGGGATCCTCGGGGTTGGGTTCCTGTAGCAGCAGACTGATGGAAACCAGGACTATCCGACCATCATCATAAGTTCGCATATGATTTACCCAATATCGCCGCTATTTCACACGCTTTACCTTGGGCAATCTTTGTAGCTGGCTTCCAGACATCCGGTTTCAATAAATCTACACATATACTGCCATCGTCATCGATATTGGGATGATAAATTTTGGTAGCGAATTTAATCTGGAGAAAAACATAGTTAACATGAAAGTGTCACTGCTTGCATCATTTTTTTTTGTTGAACTTACGGACGGAGGCTTGAAAGGATAATCCACGTTAAAGACGATATCCAACTTGAACACACCACCGGCATAAGGGCTATCTTCCTACAAGGAAAAAAGAATAAACGAGTTCACCGTCAGTTGATGTTCAGCATCCTCCCAGCTATGCAAGCTTATTGAAAACGTTTGGCTTACAGGCCCCAGTAAGGTTCCTAGACAAACAGCAATATCCTTATCAGTCAGAGGCTCCGTATCGTATGAGATTCTTGCACTCACCTTCCCATTTGAACACGTCGTCGTCGGAAGCTCTCGCACTGACACCAGCAGGAGGATTCTTTGTCAAGTCAGCAAGTTCCTAAATGAAAAAAGCATGAGCTAATGTCACACTACAACAAACCCCTTTAAACCCGACTGCTTTAATACTTGCTCTTTGAATGCGTTTTAAAGCCATTTGTCAAAGTCCACAATTTCAAGCAAGGATAGAAAGAAAAAAGAAGGCTGGCAGCAAACACCAGCAAGTGGGGGTGAACGAGATCGGGGTTGCAGGACAATGGCGGACATTTAATCAAAGTTTTACCAGTCACAATATCGATTTCCATTCTGGAATTTTCACCTCAGGCGATCCGAGACACCGCCAGAAATGATCATCTGACGCAGAATCCCGTTTGTGGCAAAGTTGCAACTTTTCCTTTGATAGGTAATATTGAAACAAAAATTTTTATTTTCATCGCTGATGATTGGGATGTTTGAATGGATAATGTGGCAGAAAATGCATGGCAAACCACGGAAGGATCGGATAAATAACGAGAAGCAGAATAAGAGATAATCTGCATATAATAAATATGTGGGGTGAAGCGGCTAGCCATGTTGAAGATGCACTTTTTGTATGGCACACGGAACGTCGGCTTTCATTTACCCAGGCCATCCATGTACGTCAATTTATAAATAACTGAAAAGAATTGAAGCGCCAAATCTCAAGATGGAACTTATGCCGCACAACGTTGATCGAATGTTAACTTCAAATTCAGCTTCCGGCCCACCTTTCCCTGGAAACGCATGCCATCCACTATCTGCAGGTGGAATCCTGCAAACATGAACCAGCTAATTGGCAAGGCCACTGATGATGAGCACGTTGGCACGGTTCATCTTGTGTGACCTAAACTCTGAAGCTTGACTTGAGCTCCGTCAGTCCGTGTCCCATGCGCACAAGCTCGTCACTGGTCACTGCACGTCTGCTATTCTTGGTTCCTTGTCTGCTGGACTTATTTATCATTCTGCAAAATATGTGATACTGATTATTTTACCGGACCATTTATTTCATTCTGGGGTATCAAATGAACTCCCCGGGGACGGGAGAAATAGGTGTTTATTTGTTATGATCGTTTGCGCAGGAGGTCAGATCTCGGATCTGACTTATTTGAAATATTGCATACAGCAGTTGTGGCAATATCCTGCATACATAGTATGCTTATGTAGCTTTCGATGCATGGATTGCGGTGCAAGAGAGTTCGAGTAGTTTCTTATGATATGCTCTTCAGCAGGGGCCTCTTTTGTGGGAAACATAAAGGTGCACGTGATTGATATCTTGTATGGCATCAACTACTGAGTGTTGATATATCGGTAAATGTGTTCATCAGTACTTCTTATGAATAGTAAAGGAAATCAAGAAGTCGATTATTGGAGTTTACTTTTCGTGACTGGACATGTTCACCCACCCGAGCTTGGCATCCGGAAAAACACAATAGAAAGTAGCCCATCCATATATGGCTATTGTTTTGATACCAGATGCACTCGGCTGTTACTGTGAAGGGTTCTTTTTTGCACAATATTCTGATCAACCCGTTTTAATTACTTTGTTCCATCGCCTTATTTCTTGATAATTATTTTCAATGTCATATGAAGCGGCTTTGGATATGTCCCTGCCATCATGTAAGCAGCATACCGTAGACGTTTGAGTTACCAACCACCACTGATTCGCCCTTAATTTTCCAGTCAATCTGGCATTGCAGACCAAGAATACCAAAAAGACCCTTCACGACGTATTAGACTATTCAAATTCGGCCGAACTGGATTTGCTGGCGAGAGTAAAGTGCTAAAAATATTGTCATTTTGGCTGTAGCGAACACGACAGTTAAAGCTTGGTATCAATGTTTTTAGGAATTGGATGATTTACGAGACTTGCGTGAAGCACGGCGTCTTTCATTATACCAAATATCAGCTGCAACAAGGGTACATGCCATCTTTCATGGTGACTTGGATAATATACGTTCATCGGATCAGGCCTCGCGAGGTGACGACGCACTTACCTCGGCTGAAGCTGATACGCCTCATTTTCTTAAAAGTGAACCCTCCGATACGGCGAAACAATCTTTGCAAATCAATCCGCCTCCTACTCTCCAGAGTGTTGGCAAGTTGAATTCACTAAATACCCAAGGAAAAGGTCACGATAGTGAAAAGTGAGTTCTCGCTATGCAATATGTTTTTTATGTTCACCAGATACTGACCGGATGATGATTTAGAGAACGGATGCCGGCGAATCACGATATGGCACCAGGCTTATCGAACAATATACTGGCTAAAAATCGCAAAGAAAAACGTGAAAGCAAAGATGGCAGTTTCAGCATCCCATCACATATCACACAAGAGCAGGCTACTCCAACACAGGTGCGTAATGCAGCTTGGCATTTTGCCAATGAAATTATCCTCATTTTTTTCACAATCTCAAGAAAACAGGCCGAAAAAGTCCAGAAAGCAAACCTTTGCTGTGCTTGAACGACTCAAAGAATTTACAGCGGACAAATGCATTATGCAAGCGGTTCGAGAAACTTGAGGTGCGCCCTCGCTTAATACAAAGTCATGGAATCTTAGTTTATTATTGATCGCTCATACGTAAATCTACACAGGAACCCGCCAATGCGGTCTTACAACAAGCAAGGAAAAACCTTCAGTCATTCACGGGTATACAAAGGACGCCTTCCCCAGCGAAAAAGCATAGAGACGATGTGAAGGAGAGACTCATTCCAAAGTCCCGCGGTCTATCCATGCCTTCAAATGAATGCACTGGCTCCATCACAAAAGCAGCAAGTAGGCTCTTGTCAGAGAATTTGGATCCGCCGCAAGAGGTCACCTCCAAGGTCAGAACCGGCAAATATAAACAAAAGAAGACCACATCTTCGATACGGGGCACCAAAGGTAAAGTGGTAAGTAGAAAAAGACACGCTCTATCCACACGCATCTACTTAGTCCTATCCCTTTATAAAGTCCTCCTTCATTAATGTATTTGAGGCCTCCAAAGGTAAACCCGAAGCTTGGCGAAAATCGACCGGTAAGTCACCAGACCTGTCTCCCATGTATCAGTGATGCTTAACCAAAAAAAAAAAAAAAAATTGTGGATTTTGTTGTATAGTATCACAGCATCAGAAGAACGTCGCCAATACTCTAGGTAATACATATCCTTTTTTTTTTTGCCACTATATAGCCTTATTCATTTATATATGTGCATTCACAGAATCAAACAGTAACAATGACATCCAAAACAAATGCATCGAAAACCCATCCCCCACTGCAAAGCCTGATAAAACAGAGGAAGCATCAACAAAGTGTTTGCATTACAATGACACAACAACGATAATACCCGCTGTATGCCACGCCCTAGGCGAGGAAGCACCAGAGAGGATGTGCGCAGACAATGGACCAGAACCAAAAGATGAACCTGTAACCACTGCAGAGGAAATTGTACGGCTGCCGCTGTATCAACCCCAGCTATCGCCACCCATCTTGGAAAATGAAGAGAGCATTTTGGTCATGCAAGCGCAACTGTTTGGATTCCCATCCGGCAGACCAAAATGCATGAAAAAGGTATCATTTTCCTCCATTGTCACGACGATACCGAGATACGATGATCATGATATCTCGGAAAAAAATGTCCTCAATGGTGCCTCATTATCGACTGGAGATACCTCGGTCCAAACGACACGAGGATTCTGGGAAAAGTTTACGAATGAAATAGGAAAGAAACATACGGATATCGAAGCAAACCATAGACGAGGAGATCGATTTGTCCCCTCCTCATCATATCCTCGCCAAGATGAAGTGGTCTCACGTAATTGTTCAGAGCAAAAGGAGATTGTTCGACCCAAAAACAAGTTCCTGTACGCATTGAAGCAAACCCTGAATTCCAAACGCATCAATACCGTATCTCCCAACACCACGAATATCCATGAAGGCCATCTTACTCCAAACAGTCCCAAACAGATGCCTATGGCTGCCGGTCGCGAAATCATACCCTCACCCCCTCCTATAGCCCCTGTGCTAAAGCGAAAGCAGCAACAAGTATCCGGTCATCCATTATTACCACCAGTATCTCAGGGACCCATACTGCATCATGTAAGCCGTTCATCATTCTACATAAAGCAAAATAGTTACTGAAGAAAAAATGTTCCTTGTAGCCGACAAAGCACCGACCCAAAAAACCCGCCAGTTTTCGCAAAAGCACATTTGCCCGTGCACGGACAAGTACAACGGTTCCTTTGACAGCCCTGCCACCCGCAGCACAGCCCGCATGGCGATAATAAAAAAGTGTTTAAAATTGATGTAAAATCGTACCTGAGCATTGCAAAATAATACAAATAAAATCATCCCTCATCAACGTTTGAATACCAGAGGCCTTTTCTGGCACTTGGCAAAAGGCCATTTATTTACAAGAAAAAAAAGATGGAGCACGGTTACCCAGGGTTACTAAAATAACAAAGCAAGGGCCAAAAAAATTATGCCTGGTTTTCTTTCGTCACATCTTGGACACCAGGAAGGGTGTTGGGCATGGGAACATCACTAAAGTCGTCCTGCTTCACGGCTAACAAGGAGTAGGCGTCTACAAATAAGCAATTAGACCTGTTGTGCCCAAACGCATGTGTGGCACAGCACGGCCAAACTGTCACTGTAACTTACAAACACCTCCGGTGAAAGTTAAAAGACCGGCCAATGTAAGGACATTGCGCACTTGGAAAGGCTTGCGTGTACGTTCAAGGGCAGGAGTGAATCCGTAACCTTTGGCTTGTGAGTAGATTTTGTCTCTGGTGGGACGATTCATGTTGATATATGAAGAGATCGGGAATGGTTTTCCTTTTTGAAACGGAGGTCCAATGGCCCATTTTTCCCTGCTCTTTTTTCTCTTTTCCCTTATTGAGGAGGGTGGCTTAGCCTCATTCTTTGTTGGAGCGCTTTTTGGACTGCTGAGAGACACAGAGAGAGAAAGAGGCGCACGCGTTCATTTTGCTTGAAACTTGGGTGGGCACACAAAACGAAGGCCTTTTTTATATATATAGTTTTTCCAACTCTTTTTACGCTTGAAAATAGTCTATTCATATGGCCTTTTCATTTGGTACCTCCACTGCTAATCCCACGCCATCATTTGGCGGTAATGCAGGGTTTGGATCTTTTGGTCAACCTGCGGCTTCTGGAAGTACCTTTACTTTTGGCAATCCAGCGCCTGCCACTCCTTTCGGCACCAACACCAATACATCAACGGCTCCTGGAACAAATACCACGCCATCGACCAATTTGTTCGGTAATACCTCTGCTCCCAGCAACACCACCACGATCAATGCAGGCACTTCTCTCTTTGGCAACAATGCCACAGCGACCAATACCACAACCAATACAGGCGGGTCATTATTCGGTAATGCGACCACAGCCAATACATCGGGAAATTCGCTCTTTGGCAACACCAACACAACGACGAGTTTATTTGGACAAAAACCAGCTACTGGCACCACAGGGACCACAGGCGGTTTATTTGGACAATCCACCGGCGGTCTGTTTGGTCAATCCGCCAAACCTGGCTTGACATTAGGTGGTTTCGGAAGCAGTTTCAATGCAGCAGGTGAGTACTTCATTCTTATACATGGATAACCCGGTAGCGGTGGTATTAAAGCAATTTCTAGGCAACAACAAGCAGGCACGAGACAAGCAAATCTGGGAGTTGTTAATGCAAGTAGAAAACGAAGAACGACAGAACAAAGTCAACGAAATGTTGAGCGAAAAAGACTTTAAACCTGATTACATTTGGCAAGCCTTGGCATTACTGAAAGCGAAATGGGATCCATCCTCGCCTTTCTGTCAATTCAAATATTACTTTTACAATATGGTGCCGCCACAGGAAGTCCATCTGTACGTCAAACCGCCGAATCATGATACCAAAGCATGGGAAGATGCCCAAAAAGCCAATCCTGATCCGTCATGGTAAGTGGTTTTGTGACCCGTCCGTTTGTTTTGCTTGTACCGTCAACTCAACTTTAATCTTATGAACCATAAAGTATGGTACCAGCATTAGCAGTAGGATTCGAGGATTTGAAGAAACGCATTGACGCGCAGGAGAATCAAAGTGCAGCACATAAAGCTAAATTAACAGTAAGATCTTACATCCATGATTCTGTGCGAATACACGACCTTGACGTTTTTTCATCCATAGGATATCGAGACAAAGATCAAGCGATTGCAACAAAAGGAGATGCAAGATACATACACAAAACTATCCGAATACAAAAGACGACACATGGATTTGGCGCAGCGTGTACTTAGAGTAAGACGATAAACAAAGCAGTAACTGGATACGAAAAAAGGAATTGGGAAAGCTGATGAATTGTTTTTCTCTGTTACCAGTTTCTGAAGCATGCGCAGGTGCTACGCAACAAGGGATTATCGATCACACCAGAGGAGGAAGCAATGCGAGTTCAATTCGAAAACATCCAAACCCAATTACTACGATCGGATCAATTCCACGGTAAACTGAGTCAAATGTGGGCTCAGTTACAACTGATTAAAGAATCTGGACGAAAGTACGGCAAGATCGACGGTGTGGATGAATGGGATGCAGTGAGCGATGAGCATATGACGCAGATCACGAATATTCTTGGTGAACAACAGAATGGCATTCAACATGTCATTGAGAATCTTCAAACCGATATCAAAGAAATAGACACCATCAACCAGGTATATCATGCACATCGTTCTTAAAAACTTAGTCTGGAAAGAAAAATAAAACGAAAAAACCCAGTAATGAAATATCACGCTTACATGTTCATTTTGTATTCTATACAATAACGGATCATGGAGAAAAAGACAAAAAAAAAATATTGTGATTCCCCCCTTGTCGCTTGTTTTTCTTTTTACTTGATATTTTGTGATTATTTTTTTTCATAAGGTATTGCAAGTATCTAACATGCTCTATTTCTTTTTCTTTTATTTGCCCAGTCTCTTTCTCAGTGCTCGGGTTCTCTTTCGCAGTTTCTTGTGCTTGTGTTTGTTCATCTTCAATCGACGTTTTCTGAGAACGCTGGTCATATACAATGTTTCGCCATCAGCGACAGGTGAAATCATGGGCTGTTGTACGGGGGCAGGTGGGGCGGAGAACGGTCGAAGTCGTGCCATGTGTTGAGCGACAGCGTCAGTAACAGAAGTTTCAGCATCTATTCAAAACAGAACGAGCGTACAATAGTGACGGTCAATATAAAGAATATAAAAGGTCGGTCGAGAGAATGGTTGGAACCATTCTACCCAATTTTTGAATTGGCAACGCTTACTCTGGTGAAAGGTGAAAGGAAATCCTAAATTAGAAGGTGGATGGGTGACGGTGGATGCCTGTCGTTTCCACGCGAAAGGAAGTTGGCGAGATGCTATTGATGAACGCGCTACGGTGACGTGGGCTAATCGTTGTAATCCACGGAAAAACATGGCGAGATCTCTCCGTAAGGAACAAGCGCTTCAGGAAGGGAAACAACAGAAAAAACGGTAAAACACCAAGGGCTCCCAGACACAAAAAGACCGCTCAGCCACCTGGGCCTGTTCGGAGGCAACCCTGGGGGCGGGGTTGATCATGTTCGGACCGGAATTTGTCGCAGGGCCACAGTTGGTTAACGGACCAATCCCATTTGTCCCGTCCGCCCGAGGTGGGCCTCCATAGGAGGATACCGTGTAAAAACGTGGATCTTTCTCTTTTCCCTGCTTCATCGTCATGGTAAGTCCATTCATCCCAATGATTAATGATTCCTCTTGTCATGTCCATCATCAGTGTTACCAACATGGCAATGATGATGATGAACGGATGGATGGATGCACGGATATGATCGTTCGGTACTGATTTCTTTCTTCCTCTTTTTTTTCCTTTATAATGCTATAGTCGCTTGTTGTCCCTGAGAGGAATCAAGTAAGTAAATTTCTGACAGATACATTCCGAACGCCATTTGCTCTCATGAAAACTACCACGACATTGCAGTTGCTTACAGACGTTTTTCTTTTTGTGAATGTAATAGTTCCAACACATTATCCGTCTTCTCAACACCAACGTTGACGGCAAGAACAAGATCACCATTGCTTTGACCTCGGTCAAGGGTGTTGGTCGTCGTTTCGCCAACATTGCCTGCAAGAAGGCTGATGTTGACCTTAACAAGAGAGCCGGTGAATGCACCAACGAAGAATTGGAGCGCATCGTCACCATTCTCCAGAACCCCGCTCAGTACAAGATTCCCAACTGGTTCCTCAACAGACAAAAGGATATCATTGACGGCAAGTACTCTCAAGTCATCTCCAACGTTCTTGACACCAAGATGCGTGAAGATCTTGAACGCTTGAAGAAGATCCGCAACCACCGTGGTCTCCGTCACTTCTGGGGTCTCCGTGTCCGCGGTCAACACACCAAGACTACCGGTCGTCGCGGCAGAACCGTCGGTGTGTCCAAGAAGAAATAAGTAAGTCGCGTTCTTTATATCCAAAGAAAGAAAGAAGGCCAGGAGCAAGCAACATAGGAAATGATGAATTTATAATCATTAACCTTATCTACATTGTCCGATGATTTGTGTGGACACCTTTTGATTCTGATTCTATGTTTTTTTCGCCTCAATCTCTTCTTTCTTTTTTGTGCTGCCAAAAAAAAAAAAAAAAACCAGAGCATTAATCGATTGTCTTTCTTATAGATTTTCCTTGTTGGCGTACCTTCATTATCTCTTTTCTATGTATATTTGGTTGGCTGCATAAAGGGGAACTATCAAATAAATGTACGATTATCCTTTCTTCAACATTTTTTGTGTGGCAGGAATTTAGAGTCCCTATCATTACTTTTAGTATTTTGCTTCTGATGGTTCTCTAAAAGGAAATGAACTTTTTCTTTTTCTTGCGAGATATTTGTGTTATGACCTGAAAGAAAAAGGCATTGAATTTTTTTTTTTTTTTTTTTTGACAGCTGGAGCTGGTCATGGATTAGAAGCATGGTTCGGCTGGATACTGTTCGCATTCAAAAAGGAAAGATGCTGGCTTTGATTGGGTAGTACATTTTGATTTTTAAAATTCCGTCTTGTTCTGAATATTTCTGTGTGCATTGGCCTGCCCCGCCTCGTGAAAAAAAAAACAACAGCCGTATATCCATACCCAACATTTCCACCATGGACGGACCAACTATTCGGGATTATATTGGTAAGATCTCGTATTGACTAGAGAGTACTCTGTCTCTGACTTATTATGTTGCCGTATCCTTAGATGCTCGAAAGAAGAACGGCATGAGCTGGTATGTAGTGCACTGTTCAGCGAGAGCGCTGTAAAGATCAGTCGATATTAACGAATGCCTAGGGAAGAATTCCGTAAATTGAAAGAAGCCAGAGAAGGTCCTGGTGTATCAGAAGCGGCCATGGCAAAATATCGCCAACAGTTGGACGCGGAAAGAGAAGCCAAACTCGCTGGGAAAAAACGATCAAAACATGACAGTAAAAAGAAGAAAAAAAAGTCCAAACATCGAAAGAAGCATCATCATCGTCACAGCAGCAGTGACACGGACAGCAGCGAGTCATCCTCCAGTGAGGATGAACGAGACTCGGTAAGCAGGGATCCCTTCTTTATTGGTATCCCATGTGTTGAACAATCAAAAAAGACAAATACTGACTTATCAATATTGTTTTTTTCTGAAACTTAGCATCATCGTCATCATCGTTCATCGCGTAGTCGACGTAGAAGTCGATCTCACGACGATAGAAGTCATTCTCGACGTTCAAAACACCGAAGCGCATCAAGGTCACCTGAGGTAGGTTTTTTTGATCACCGGATTCCACTTTCCTGAAAAAAGTGTGGGAAGGATGCTAACTCGAAAGTCACTTTGCAGCCTTCTTCACACTCTAGTAGACGGCACCGACGACGACGATCATCATCTCCTCGTGAAGACCGTTCAAGGGAGTCTAAAGAGAGAGACAGAATACCAAACAAGGAAGAAGAACAGGAGAAAGCGAGAGATGAAAATGATGAGCAAACTACCTCCGCGTCATCAGAAACATGAACTCCATAGAAAGTAATAAAACTCCATTTTTTTTGTTTTTCGTCGATCCAATCTACACAGGGAGAATCAGAGTTGTTTTTAACTGCAAGAATAAGCGCATTAATGTATCTTTTACAAACAGAAGGGGTATCCTAAATTTGGGTGTTCCTATTTATCAGGCCAAAAAAAAAAAAAAAAAAGACGACTTCAGTGGGGTTTGTTATATCAGTTGTGACTTGAAAGATCCACCGAATTAAGGCGCGTCTGTTTGCTACGTATGACTGGTCCGTTTCTGTATCTTTTCACTACCTCATGCCGCTCTTACTCGACTGGTGCGATCACTTGAGGATCTATTGGGATTTCCTAAACGTCACTACTTCATCCTACCATGCTGCGCAAACCGCATTTTTGGTCGCATTCGGCTCCATTTATGCATTGTTGCTGTTATCACATGGTTATACATCTCTACTTTTTCTGGCTTTAGGCTTTCTGCTCGCCACCGTCTTTGGTCGCTCGGAGCCCATCGCCCTTCAGCCATCGCAGACCATATCACCATTACCATCGTTTGCAAGCTGGGAGTCGGATGACGCAGAGGTAAGACGAAAAAACATAGCCTTGGTCCCACCGGCAATCATCAGCCTTGGGTAGTGACGAAGGTTTTCTTGTTATCACAGACAGAAGTTGAATTCCAGGAACGATATCAGATTTTGAATTTGTCTTTTCCATCGTTACTATCGGCCGTGGATCGTCTGCTTGGCCATATTTTGCAGGAATATGTTCTTAGCTGGTGGAGGCCACTCAATACACATCACAGTATGCAGTTCGAAACCGCGGTACGCACACGACTCAATGCAGCGGTCTCCAACCTGGAAAAAATGCTTTTGAAACAAGATCGTAACGATATCGTCATGTCATCCGTTTACGGTGTGGCCAACGCTTTAATCATTCACATGGTATTGCTTTCAAGATGGAAATATGCATATTCATCAGCCTCATCTCACTGTCCCGTTTCTTATGTTTTTTGTTCGGTCCCGCAGCGCGAGTGCAGAGCATTTGAAGATTCTGGCATGTCTCTCGAAGCGTATACGCTCCATAACCCTCAATCTCCCTTTGCTCAGATGCTCTCCATAGAAGAACAGCAACAGCAGCTTCGCGGTCTTACGAATACAGTCATTAAACGACTATTACCTCCCGCGGATATCGCCTCACCATTGGTATGCATTCTCCTCAAGGAACTACTTTCGACCCACCTTTTTGGCAATATTCTCGAAAGCTGCAGCGATCCCGACTTTATCAATTCTCAAATCATTGATCATCTGTCCGAACAAGAAAATACGATGGAAGAGAGTATGAATCCGACTTTGGGCGATTTGGACGGATTTCGTAGCGTCGTTGAAAAGGCGACAGAGGAAGCCATCGCTTTGGAGGATCATTCTCCCTCACCTATCCAAGAATTACCCCAAGAGTTACCTCCAGCTCCCCATCCTGCGAGTCCGCCTTGTACACCGCGACCTCAACGATCCGCAAAGACTAATGTTGGTTACACGAAAGAGGGGACAACCCGTCCCTCCTCCACCACGGCAACGATTGAACACACGTCGCCGGGGAGCCACGACGAAGTTTCCAGCCGACCTACCGTGGATACAAGCATCAAGACAAGGTCCGAAGAAGAGGAAGCGGCTGCAGAGAGTCCAATGTTATATCCTCGCGGCACTGTGTTGTTTAGCGTCATGGACATCTCGGAGCGTCGTGCTTCTACTGGACTTCCCGATAAAAATAAACTGGCCTTCATTATCCAGATTGAGCGACCCGCCATGCACGGGCAACCGGGATCCGAAGGAGGAGGGTACGTGATTACGCGAAATTACACGGATTTTGAAGTTTTCCAATCGATCATGGCTGCCAAGCACCCCAAGCATGTCGCACGATTAAACCTGCGGTTACCTTTGGATGCCAGCCGGTCCTGGTTGAAATCCGCCACCACCGCACCGACGAACGACGCGGAAGCCATGAGTCGAAGTCTGGAAAAATATTTGCATACGGTTGTGCAGGATTCGGAACTGGGACGAGATCAAACCATTACAGCTTTTCTACGAAAAGAGCGACGCAACGATCAGGACGCCGATAGCCTCACGTTTGCTGACGAATACAGGGATCAAATTAACGCTTACGCCGCACTGGCGGAAAAACAAACGCACGCCTCACCCACCAGTGGCGTCGGCAGAGCCATGTCACTCTTTTCACGAGGGCCAGCCCGTCATCAGCCAACAACTACGACAGCGGATGCTGGAGCGCTGGATCCGCTTCATCCTGAGGATGCCACTACCACCACCACCACCAGCACCCATTCACCCACCGAACCCTCCAAACGTTGGTTTAAAAGAAAATCGACCCGTGAGGGTTCAATATCGAGCTTGTGGAGCAGTAATTCCAGCAGCAAAGAAGACACCGAGGATGAGCATGATTTCAAAGAGTTTCAAGAAAGCACCATACCCGAAGAATCTGATACCAGTCCTTCCGTTTCATCCATGACCACATCACTCGAAACATTACCCACTGCAGCTACTACTCCCTTGAAAATCAATCCAGCCATAGTCCCTACTCCATCACCAGAGGCACCGATATCTTTGGAGGCATCCACTCCGGCTGATAAACCGCGAAAGAAAACATCACTGTCGGCGGTCGATGTCGAATTGTTGATAGAGACCACCTTTGCTCTCGTCGTTGAGATTTTTGATCTTACACGCACCAACAACAAGGCATGGATGCGACGATCGTTGCTCAATTTACTACGCGAAATCGTTCGACGATCGTATACTGAAATCATCGCCAAAGGATACGACGACTACATGAACGAATACCTTTCCCCGGATGCTATTGCTCAGTTGATTGACAAGATCAACGATCAATACTGGCCCACAGAGAATAATGATAATTCGAAAAAGTCGTCGTCCTCGTCACGATCAATCGAGGAGAAAGAAAAATGCCGACGACAAGCACGGATGATGCTAATGAATCGAGCGATTCCGGGCGGGCTGCGCCAATTAATTGGTGACCAGAATTGCAGTGCTGCTATGGATAGATTATGGAGACGATGTCAGAACCCAGAGCTGAATCGTATTTTAATGTTGCAAATTTTAGAACGGATCATGCGACCTATCTTTGTTTAAAGAAAAACAAAACAGAGAGGGAAAAACATGGCTCTTTATCGGATTAAAAATGTATCACGTTTAGAAAAAAAAAAAGCACAAGGGTTGGGATTGAAAATACATATATACACTAGCTGCAGGTGCTCGTTTATTCGGATTGAACTGCGATGGAAGATGACAGTTTAAATGGGTGAGCCTCCGTGCTAAATACGTAATCATCGAGTGACAAGCACTCCTTGTCGACAAATGTCAAATACAGGTATTTCAGGGTTTCAGCAAACAGGAAACTACATTCGGGCATAGTTAGTATGCAGCGCATGAGAGAAACCTGTAACAAAGGACACACACCTTTCTTGGAAATCGGCTTTTAATGGAACGTCAGTGTCCATGCTCCTCAATCGAGTGAAACCAGCATCTGTGCGGGTATGCTCGTTAATTGCCTCGAAAAGTTCCCAAGCAATATCCTAAGTAATCCATCACTGAGTCAACCAACTATGGCCGTGAGAGAGAAGAAGAATGTCACCCATGTTTTTACCTGGTATTTGGGATCTCCTGTTATGCGATAAAAATAAAACACACTTTCAAGAGTCTCTAGAAAACAAAAAGAGTATCCTGTTGAGCGTTGTTTTCGTCTTGCTAGGATGTATCAAGTCTTACCAGGACGTAAATCATACGAAGAGTCGATGATGGTGAACAAGTCGCTCTTATTACCCGATGTCGATGGTTTCTGAGGATCCCATGACCACGCTTCGGGTGCGATACCGTGCGGAGAATGGGTCCAGACATCGAGACAAGAGGTTAGCAGATCGTCTGCCAGCGTACGGAAGCGTTGCTGTGTCGAATCATTTTCGTGGCTCATTAGATGGACACCTAGCAAGATATTTCCAGGCCAAAAACAGATCAATTCCCCGGATTGATATTGTGGCTTTCCTCTACTGATCTCCCCTGCGAACTTGACGCTGGAATGCTGAGTCGCCGGACTTAATAAGTAGTGCTCAATGCTGTCCACGGCTTTCACCCACGCTTCCATTAAATGACTGTCGCTTTGACCCAAAAGAATATAATTCTTGACCAGGTATTCATAAAAACTGTCAGCGCCTCCGCCGATAGAGATCGCACCTATTGAATAAAGTATGTTCAATTCCTCTGTGACATTTTATATTTACAGTCAAGGCATTCGTTGCTTACTTGACGGCAGAGGAGTAAATGTCTTGATGTCCCAATCGATGGGATAAAGTCCAGGAATATCGGATTGCACGGAAATGGCACGATCGATCAACGAATTGGACAGATCGGCGTACTTTGAGTCACCCGTCAATTGAGATAATCGTGTAAATTCCAGTGAGTATGTGCCAAATTCCGCCAAATTGATCGAAGTCGTCTTTTCGGGTACCATTCTACATATTGATCGAGTTGCTCAGGAACACCATAACGATTTACACATCCCTTGCGCTCTTACTTTGTTAAATCCATATAAGTGTAGGGAGCCTTGGAAGGCGAGTCGAACAGCGGTAGTAATACCGTGTCGGTGAGCTCGACGGCTTTCTGAAGCAAGATGGGGTCCGGTCGCAAATCATAAGCGGAGAGCAAGCCTCCCAAATATCGAATATTGGTCTCAAATCCCTTGACTGGATCATCAGAAACACTGAAATCAACGTTGGCTACAAATTCCAGCGAGCGCTTATATTCGTCCTCTAATCCCATCACGAGCATCGTGTCTAGTGCATCAATGATACTGGCTATGAACATTTTTGTGAGTAAGATGGATGCATGACACTATTTTGTCGATTCGGTCGTACCTCCCCACTTATTTCTGATAATCGTACAGACAAAGAAAAAATGATTGAGTTTCAAGGCCATGGATCAGTTCCCTGATTCCTGCCCTTACCTTGAATCGGAATAACCTTTCGATACCGGCAAAAGTTCATCATGACCCCACGCATAGGTTGAATAGCCTTTAAAAGCATGCTGAAAAGCGTTCCGTATAGCTTCCGACCGGTTATTGGTGGATTCGCATACTTGTAGTGTCGACGAGGATACAGGCGCACCGCTGGCCAGTTCCAAGCACAGGGATAGCAAGGACCAGGTGAAAATCCTACTTTGCAGAAGGAGCATGTGGATGTGATTTTCACGATTGAATACTTAAAGATGGCCTTAGGTTTCCGATCAAAAAAAAGAACAGTCTGTGCTTTTTGTCGTCCCTCATTTTCTTAAGATGGATGCATATATATATACGCTATGCATCTTTTCAGTACCTCCTTTGACTCGGGGAGCATGATCAGCTTCATTATTACTTATTAGGTGCAGGCCACGCGTATGGAGAGTCCATGCAGTGATCTTGTAAATCGATTCTATCCGAACATGGTTTTGTATATGCAAATTTGATAATGGAGAGCCTGCGATGCTGACTATGACCTGACCATGGCTAGTCAATGGGTGGATACAACGAAAGATTCGGCTCAAAAAATGCAAGCTATTGACACGACACACATGGGGAGCTTCTTTTCTTTCCATTCTCGCATCGAGCGACCCGTGCGATATGGTCTGACTACTCACTAACGATCACGAACATTAATACGATAACGTCCAGCATGGCCATGAAACATCAGCTGTCATCAGCACAGCGTGATAACGTTGTGGTTGGCAGTCAGGCGCTATCAATTTTAATTTTTTTCGGTAAATTATCGAATGGTCATAGCATACGCTGCTGGACCGGCCTGCAAGAAGAAAAGAAAACGTGGTACATATCGGCAATCTATTCAATGCGGCCCTGCCAAGACAGCCACGCCAAGCCAAAAAAAAAAAAAAAAAAAAAAAAAAAAAATAAGAAAAAGTCCACTTACTGGAAACGTCATTCATAGCTACAACAAGACAAATTCATGACTTTGCATGGCCACAAGGCATCAACGTATGGATCTCTATTCAGCGGACCCTGAGCAGGTTTTTTTTTCCTTATTCTGACATTTTTTCTTAGAACGTACGTGATATTAAATTTTGGCCATTCTCGATGATTCGGGATTTATGCGAGAGAGAGAGAAAATATGTTGCCAGAGCAAGCTCCGATCGGTGCACAGTGCGACCCTCACGAATTTTTTTTATTTTAGTCTACAATGTTGCATGGAACAAAAACGAGTTGCTCCTAAAGGCATCATCACAGACACTCAGACAACATAATATGGTATCCTTTGAAATATGTGACTAAGGATTCAGCTCGATCAAATGCACAATGGGCAGCATTTTAATTAATCACAAATTTCACCGTTGCGGATGTCAGCGCACAAAGCGGAGAAGGGGAATTTAATTTCAAGTGGAGATGGCTTGCCCCGTCCTGCAAGTCATCCGATTCATGCAAAAAGCGCAGCACGTTGCATAGTCAAAAGAATCAAAGTCCTAGCATGTTGCTACTGCGTTGACATACCTCAGATAGTCATTGGAAGTGACTCGTAGATACGATGCTTTTGCGGTGCAGTCAACTTGAAAAAAGTCCTCCCAATCACTTACATCGCTCATGGTCCCTTCTGGGTTCCATCGCCATTCCGACATGGCACATTGACACTGGTGCACCTGATTCCGCGGTCATAGCAGCATACTTGACAACCTGAGTCAAAGAGAATAAATCTGAGACAAAGGGGCAGGGCAACGTAGGGAAATTCCTTATCATACAGAAATTAAAGAGCAACGTTAATTCCGAAGCATGTCGCATCAACGGTCAGTTATAGGCTATTGCACGTTAAAGAGTGACTATAGTGCACATTTTGTTGCTGATGACAGCATGAGTGAGGCGGTCCATTCCCTCTTTGCATCGTTTTACGCAAAAGAGAAGAAAAGGCGACTATGTTGGTGAGTTTTTGTTATGGGATCGAGCAAAATGAGGTGCCTTCGCAGTCAAAAAACCAGGATCATCAATCGGACCTCCGCAATAATTTTTGAAAAAGATATAAAAAGAAGGGCGTTTCTCCCCATCATTTTCTCCCCAAGACGTCTCGTTGGAGCGATCAGGCAGCTTTAATATGTGACAGTCTGGTTTTTGATCGTGTTCAGATATGAGGCTGGAGAACCGCAAAACTAATCTTCCTGAGGAAGGCCACTTGGGAAGGGGATTATTTTCGTTTCGCGGCGGTCCTTAAGGATGCGGCTGCTTTTCAGTGCCATAGTCTGTGCTTTGAATGATGATGAGGCAGCGGCCGTCTGCATGCGTTTAAAGGATGCAACCTGACAGCCCGACCAGAAGGATGGGATCAATAGTGGTTGAAACAGTTAAAAATCGAGTGGTGAAAGTTCCGTTTGAACGGTGAATATGCATTAATTGACATCTCGATTATGAATGATGAAGCGACCGAGCATATAAAATAGAAAAAGAAAAGGATAATACAGGGATAGATTCAATTTATATAAGAAATGGTTGTGTGAGGTATGGTTTTCAATGGTGATCATATACACAGCGACACTGATGCGGCTATCATTTGGATTCATTTTATACAGCAGAGAAATCGCTCTTTTTCTTCTTACTGTCCTTGGATTTCTTCTTCTTTGTCTTCTTTTTCTTTTCTTTCGCAGCTGTGGTTTCCATGGAAGACAAAGGCACTTCGGATGTAATCTAAACAATATGTCAGAGGCCGTGAGTGGATATCCCAGTAAAAACCACGGTTCTTTTTTTTTTTAACGACTGACATACCTCATATTTTGGTACTTCCGTTGTCTCACTCTCGTCATAAAATGAAGCGTTGGGTGCCTCGGAAGTAGTTTCTGAAAACGGTGCTTCGTAATTGGAGGGTTCACCATGGGCCGACCAAGGATTGTCGTCGTGACCGCCAATCTCTTCATAACCACCAAAACCAAACGGTGAAGATCGATCGACAGTGGCATAAGGCGGGTCAATAAACGAATCATGAGACCGTAACACGTTATCCTCATCTTCACTATCCGAGTGGACAACCGTCGCTTCCATCTGTCTTGCAGCTCCCCAAACGCCGGATAAGTCGCTCTTGTAGATGGGCGGTTGATGGGATTGATCGTCCTCCGAATGATCCGATTCTTCAGCGACGGGTTCCGGGGCTTTCAAGGCGGGTTTCACGATTTCTCGCTCCTGTTCATCGTAATATTCAATCGATTCCACATCCTCATCTCCGGCAACCATAGGGTTGCCTGGATTTTCACCATCCGAGTCGTTGTTATAGTGAGTTGAAAGGGAAATTGGCAAATTCTTTGTACTAGGCTCGTCCTTGAACCAATCGTCATCCAGCGTCTCTGTTTCTCCCAACTCGACAGCAGGTGGTACATCGGAAATCAGAGAGCCTTTGCGCGTTCGCCCGTCCGCAGGCGCTGCCGGTGGAGGCGGGGTGTCGGCACGATAAAAAGAGGAATCAAGCACGGTATCCAAAGGAGATGGATCTGTGATGGATAGAAACAAACGACAATTCATTAGCGTCTCGTTCACCGCTTTTTTCTGTTCTCTTGTGATCCCTTACTCTCTGCAGCAATCATCTCCAATTCCTCGTCCCACGCTTTTTTCATGTCATTATGTTGTTGCGCAAGATGTGTGTCAGCGGCTACAGGACAACTCAAAGTGTTACAATTTTTTTTTCTTCATGTGAAAAACCAGAAACTTCAGGCTTACGTTGATCGAAATTGTCTTGACCTCTCCTTCGTCTCATCACCGAGGGTACGTCTTCCTCGACATCCAAATCCTCCAATAAATCCACAATTTCTACTGCTTTAAGCTCGAGTTGTTTCCGCAAGGACTCCATCTATGAATGTGCTGTCAACGTGAGCAACTAAAAGTATGCACGTGAGAGTGGACACGGCACGCACCATCAGTTGCATGAACGGAACGCCAAGATAGTCATAGATAAATTTCAGACCGAGACCTGTTTTCATGCTTGCTTCCGCGTAACGGATGAGGTTCGGCTTCAGAGCCCCCTTATCAATCCGCAGTGTATTTTGATCGTATAAAGCAGCATGAATCTCATCAAGAGATACTTTTCGCTCAGCACTACAGTGAGCTAATGGTTAAGCATGTCATGTCCCTTTTCTCCGATTGATCGTGCGCATTGTCCCGCTTTACCTCTTGTCCGAAAAGTTGCCCTGTATACATCGAATAACGATACAAAAAGATGATTAGTTATTGTTGTGTGGAATTTTTAGCATCACCATAAAGTAGAGTATTGATAATACTTGCAAGGACCAAGACCGCCACAGTTTCTGGTACGTCTTCCAAATTTCTCTTGACATAGTTAAATGTCCACGGTTTGGTAATGTCAAACATAAAGATAACAGCATGGCTGTTTCTGTAGACGTTGACAGTGGATGCGTCAAGAGCTAGATCAGATTGTTCTGTCGTTTCCTGAGGTTGTTTCTCGACACGCGGTGACTGGCCCGATGGATGATGCTCCAACTTGATCCCCGATTCACTTTTCTTCGTACTGTTATTATGCGCCTTATCAACAACGTCCCATACTTCGATTTTGACAATATCACTGGAATCTGATACAGCAAGGTGAACAACTGTATACACCTTTTCTTTGCCGAGCTTATTCTGCCTTGCTTGCGCTTTACCTTTATAATGCCAAGGAATGTTAGCCACCTGAATTTGCGACGTGGACGAGTACGCTTCTTCATATTCAGCTCCCTGCAATCGATTAACTGTGGTAATAAAACCCCATGTGAGTGAGTGAGAACGCTTTATCATGACCATGGCATTCAGTTCGGAAAGCTTACAAAGCATGCTTTTTCCCGTCATGACATCACCACGAATGACAATCTTCACTATCATATCGAAATGTTAAGAAACGGTATAGCACACCACCACTTTCATGCTTTTTTATTTATCGCTTACTGTTGTACTGCACGCCTTTACGAAAGGACGTGCTCATGGCTTTGAAAGCCGGAGGGGACGGCGTTGGCAGGACCACCGGGGGTTCCTGTGAGTCACCATGGCTACATTAGGCAATGGACATTTTTAAATATGGCGACAAAGCGGTATACTTGCTGGTTTTTTTGATGAGCCAAAGGACCATAGAAAACTCATAGTGCTAGTGATACAATACAAGCAGGGAAAAAAAAGGGCAGCAATGGCTGAACTTGAAATGAGAAGAGAGGGGGGAATCCCAAAATGGGACATGGTATCTTTTTTTTTTTTTATTTTATTTCTTGCGAGGTCGCAGAAAGACGTGAACGTGGGGTAGTTTGCGAACACTTTGAGTGATGGGCGGATTCACAAAGTAAATCCATTCCCATGCTTCACTGCCGTAATGATCTTCTAATATTTCTTTCACGTAGGTTTCTTGCAAAGGAGCACGAGACCAAATCAAAATATGCTCGATGCCGGGGGCGGCGGGATACCGAAAATCATTCGGAAGCACAATCACAGCAGGGCGATCAGGATCGCCATCGTGGGCAGGAAAATGAAGCTTCTCCTTCAAGAGAAAGTTTTCAATGGAGCCGTAGGTCTGAAGAGTGTCTTGTATCCACTTTTTATACACTTGTTCCTCTTCGTAATTGCGACGCAGACTGGTTACTTGGTTGGTCGCTGTCAAATATAATAGGTTACCATGACTGTTCCAAAAAAAAAAAAAACTGAGAATATGAGCAATGTGATAGTTACAGACATAATGACAAATATCCTCCCAAGAATAGGAATAGGCAGGTTTGACATTGCTGACATCGACAGGTGGCGGCATGAGTGAGCTGTTGAGATTGGTCTTTTTGACCCTATTTCAATCGAAATTTTAAACATTTTTTGTATTTCCTTTTTCTTATTGGTTGGTTCAAGTTGTGTGACGCTTTTGCCAATCGCATGGAAATGCCGATTGCTCCTGCTCCAAAGCGGCTATTTCCCAATTTTCTATTTTCCGTCAGCCAACGGTTTGCGTCTACGAAATTAACAGCATTGGCAATGGATTCCGCAGCGGAAGAGCATCCTGACAGAGAAAACGTACCCGAAACACAGACAGACGATACGGAAACAGCAGGGGAAACAGAGCCTGCTGTTTTCGTTGAGCGTAAGAGAAGTCAGTTTTCGTACAATGCCAGTGCGCTGAGACAGAGAACGAAATCCACCGACAGCAAACCGACATCATCACGTTCATCGAGTTACACTGCCGATGCCGGTACCACCGGGGCAACATCCACAGGAACAAACACAGGAGGTGGTGGTGGCTTCTATGAGTGCAATATATGGTAAGCCGTCCACCCGTTCACTTTTGAATTATTTCATTTTTTTTTTTCTGTCACTTTGCAGTCAAGGATAACTTACAATTGCTTTTTATCTAGTTTTGATACCGCGATTCATCCTGTATTAACACTGTGTGGTCACTTGTTCTGGTAAGTGGAATCATTGAATGGCAGCGCTACTTGGTGCTCTCTCGATCTATGCTTACTAGCGTCTTTTCCTCCCATTCAGCTGGTCTTGTCTTGGTCAATGGTTATATGCGCAGGCTCGCAACCCAACTTGCCCAGTGTGCAAAGCTGGATGCGGCAAAGACAAGGTGATTCCCATATACGGTCGCGGTCAAGAAGAAAAAGATCCTAGGTAACTGCTCGCTGTCATGGTGAGGCATTCGGAAATCACAGCCACTGACCCTTGGGATAATTGTATATAGGGAGGATCCATCGATACCCACTCGTCCTGCAGGACAACGTCCACCACCCGTCCGAGATCCCAATCGACCAGCTACATCCTTTTTTGGTCAACCATTACGGGGGGCCACCTATAACGCCGGAAACGTATCCATTGCAGCTGGATTCGGATTATTTCCCTTTTCTATTGCTTTTGTAAGTAGCGTCCTTACATCAGTTGAGCAGAAAGAAACTGGAATTGGTTTTTAACAACGTATGACATAGAATTTCCCTATGAACGGTGCGAATCAAGGAACGCCTCAGAGTGCATTTATGTCTCGATTAGTACTGATGCTTATTATGTTATTTGTTGTTGCCGTAATTTTTGCCTGAAAAAAAAAAAAAAAGAATGAACCCAAAATATTCAAAGAAACGAAAAATTAAGAAAAACAAATTTGTTCATATGATGAGGGATATTTTTCAACGGCATCACGGGTGTTCATGCGTGATGTCACATTGGCATGGTGGGTGGAATAGTTTATACAGCATCACGGCTGTTGATGCTTGGTATCGTTGTTTCGACTTTTTCGATTTCATCAACCTTCAAGTGTCCACTGCGGACACTGTAGCTTAATTTCTGTGCTGGTGTTAATTGACGCTTACTCTTTTTGGTCTTTTTCTGAGGACGAATCAAAGCGACTGGGCTCGGCGAACTGTGAATAAGCGACGTTGAAACACTTCCCATCAACATTCTAAAGCAAACCGTTGAGCAACTTAAGGTGAACTGATACGAAAGAACAAAAAATGGGCCTACCCTTTGAAAGCACCTCTATCTCTGGCGCCACAGATAACCATTGTAACGGGAAAGCTAGATATCTTGATGGATCATCACTACGTTGCTACCCACATTGACCATCTTTTTCGGTTTCTTACCAAGTCCAGTAGCATTTCTTTGACGGGACCTGCCATGACATGGACCTTGATACTGATATTATACAGTAGCATGGTGCCCAATATTTCACGCACCTTGGACATGAGCCGCTTCGAGTTCCGGTCAAGCTATATAGGATGGTTATAAGAAAGCGATCTTTGCCCAGATCATCATGAAAACAAAAACAAAGCAAAAAATACAAAATACCCACAGCTTGCCAAAGCCGCTTTTTCTCGACAGGGTTTAATTCAGCGATATCTTTGTCTGTATGAATGACGTTGGCCAAATGAATTTCATCGCCACTGCGGAGTAAGGTGCCCATCGACCATTGTGTTGCATAGATACTTTCATCGCCAAAATCATAAGCGATCAAATACTTTCTCGATTTCTTTACAAATTTTTCAGGAGCGTGGCCGTACGAAAAGCTGACAATGACTCGGTCCGGCAGTGTCAATACCTCGGTTGGATCGGTGAAAACCAATTCCGAGGGGCGCTTTGTGGAATTGGTATCAACGGCCGGCGAAAAGTCCAAGGCAGATTGCATATTGAAGTCATTGTCCAAGAGAATCTGGCGATTCCGTTCTGTGGTTCGGAATAACTCTGGATCGCGTAGATAGAGATCTTCTTCAAACTCATCGGAGCTAGAGTCGTCGTTGGCTGACTTGGCATCGTTGAGCGTGTTGGGTTCCGGTTGAGCGATAATAACGGCTGGTTTTATGTTTTGACCGTTTTTGGTATCGCGGTTAAGGTGAGCAATTTCCTGGGCCAGCATGGCATCCAATTCCAGGCTCGTTGTGGTATTGGCATTCTGTTCGAGAATGAGTTGTGTCACGACCATCTGGCGCTTGCATGGAGGCGCTTATGTGTCTCTTACCTTCATTGTCTCAATGAGCAACACGAGAAAAACAAAAAGTGTGCCTATTTCGATAAAAGAGAAAAAGGACACCAGGAAAAGAAAAAATAAGAGAAAAAAAAAAGATGATAATGCGCGTTTATCAGGAATACCCCCACCCCAGCAACGCGTGCTGCTCTTAGCTGCTATTATCGTAATAAATAGAGTGTCACCGATGTGATTGATAGCAATGTGCTTAAAAAGGACAAGGACGAGACCAAATCGCGCAAAGCTGACAGTTCCGTGGAACGGTCAATGACTTCATCGTCCAGTGGCTGACTGACCCGTCAGCTAATCATATGAACCAAAAAGGAGACGAAACATATTATTTCCATTTTCAGTGTAGATCAGAGATCTATGCATGGACTAACAAAATGACTTTCGACGTTTTTACAAGCACAATGATAAAACGACCCTTTGGTATAAAGTACCCATTTTCAGGTACGTGGACGGAATAAATTCCGCTCGAAAATTGTCTCGTTTTACCGATATCATGCAAATGTAAAAATTACCTCACTTCCGATCCCTGGCGAAAGAAATGACCGATATCTGTAAACCGGGTTGTTTATATTAAACGAAATTACTTTGCACCATGACAGACTATTTGTGCTACAGATGAGCCAGGGAAACTCGTCCGCTGTCATTCAGGCCCTTCACACATATGTTAGATGATGTAGTCATGTTTCGGTGATATGTGGTATCTGTTGGCTTTCCTTGTGAACAATAAAAAATAATAAACTTTGGAGCTGATGCTTGATTAGGGCAGAAAAAGAAGATTCATCTGCTTAGTTTACTGTGAACGATTATTGTTTTTTGGTTTTTTGAAAATGAAGTATCATGCAAAAGCACCATTTCGGTCTGCGCCATTCCTTTTTTCGGAACAGCTGTCATATGACCACAGCAAATTTCAATTCTCATGCGGTCGGTTTTTTTCTTTTTTTTTTTTTTATTCTTCTCCTTCCAGTTTACTTTGTCGAACTATTTTTTTTTCCCTTTTTCGCTCTTCTTTTTTTTCCGCTTTTCCTCCTCAGTCAACATATCTCTATTGACCTTTGTACTCTGGAGCTGACACATAACCTTGTTATGGGGTTAAAATACCGTACCTATCTGGAAGGCATCACCATCTATGGATGTCACAAGTGCAAAACACACCTATCAACAGAGGAAAGCATCATATCCAGTGTAAGCTTGTCGTCAACCCCCATCAACCGCAGCATCCTCCATATAAAAGATTCGTTCATTACCAACCATCCCCTATCCGTCGTTTTTAGCAATTCCAAGGCCAGCACGGACAAGCATATCTCACCGATAATGTGTACGGATATTCCCCCAGGATTACGAGACTGATATTTTTCTCGATGAAGTTGTGCTTACTGCTTTTCTGACCTACTAGGGTGAATATCACCAGAGGCAAAGCTGTGGATCTCGCCATGGCGACAGGCATACATACGATTCGAAATATTTCATGTGCAAAGTGTGATACGGTGGTAGGATGGGTTTATGTAAGTACAACGTTTAATCTGATGGCAACCATGTCGACGGCTCTCATCAGTGATAGATCAAGGCGTTCAATGAAGAGAACCGATACAAGGAGGGCAAGTTTATATTAGAATCTAAAATGCTGACCACAGTAGACTGAACAATAGAAAAAATGACGTGGGAAGGGGACTCTTTTTTATGTACACGACTTCTATTTCCTATTTCTAGCTTTTTTTTATCGCTCATCTGTTGGTTTCCAACTTGCACAGTTTGTTGATGAACTGTTCACTTTGTATTTTTTTTTCAACTATTTTCTTTCAATATCCAAATGCATCGACCTCTACCAAGAGTTGGCTTGTTCCACTTCTTCCAGCTTTTTCGCATGTTTGTTTACCGCCTGCAAAAGATGTCCAATTTTCAATTTATCGCTGTCTAAAGCCAGCTTTTTGCCATCGCCTAAAAAAAAAAAACTCATCAGCTTTATACCATTCCGCATGCTTATCTGGTCAACTTACGATAAACAACTTGAATGTGGGAAGCTGCCTTGGGATCAGGCAAAATGTCGGTGGTGATTTTCAGGGTGGGGTTCATTTTGCGAGCTTCATTGGTATTAACTCGATTGAGGAACAATCTGTTACCCGGATACTGTTCTGTTAATGGACCGTTGTGAATGTATCACATAGTTGGTTTTTTTGGCATTACCTGGATGATTTGGAGGCAACGTTGTAGGGTGATAATGCCACCTTGATCTCGTTGATGTGTCTCACCAGCATGTCGTTTGAGCTAACCAGGTTCTCCTGGCCTCGAAAACTTTTTGCTTGAAAGTAAAAATTAATGGCGGAACCTGAATTGGGGGTGACGTTGAACAGGGTGGGTTTGAAGAGGTGCTTCCCTGAAGGTAAAACGCCGCTTCATCCAATTGCTGTACATACCATACAGCACATAGTTCCTCCCATTTTTTGGAAGAGGAGTCATTGGGTAAAGCAATCCATTATGAACAGGACCTCGATTTGCCGGTGATCCCCTCTCAAGTATGAACTGCGCTCCTTATCTGAATACATCAATAGAATAGGAACGGTCTCTGTTGGTGCTGACAGTTGGAAGTACGAATCAATTCAAAGAAGGAAAAGCTGCTGCAGCCTTTTAGCATGCAATTAAAGATACAGCGCAAGCAAATGATGCTCCCATATGCGTCGGTATTGCGCCTACAATAAACTACATGATGTTTATTGAGCTTTTCAAAAAAAAAAAAAAATTGGCATTGTCGAGTTTGCTATTATCAATCAAATCGCTTTTGAAGTTTCATTAGACTCTATAACTTTCACTCGTGTAATTCCATGGCAATAGTATTTTATACGACTTATCTTGTGCGATCTTAAATATAAAGATGGCACTGTTGCGAAACGATTCTATTCGGCTTCTGTTTGTTTGCTTGTTGTTTTTATGCTACGCAAAGCCTCAATGAAAGTTGCGGATTCTTTTTATTGCCAAATAAGTACCAGAATCAGCCAAGGGCTTGGATGAAATCATTGTACCTGAGATGGTGCATTGACATCATCTGCCAATTTCCAATCCCAGCAAAAAATAATCGGGCTCAGTAACTTTTTCAAGTTTTTTACTTGTTCGTCGCAACCGGGTTATTTATTTTTCTTTATCATCAGATCAATCAGAAGGAATAAACCCCTTTCAGATGCCGGGATAATCGGAGAAAAATGAATGCTGAGCCGTAGTCTCGTAAGGGTGCGGATCCCGCTGTGTAGAAGCCATAGTTTTCCCGAAATTCGACGTGGCACTCTCATTGGCCCAAAACCATTTCACGCTTTGACTATTTCTTGCCATGCGACCCAAAAATGTAACAGAATCTTGGCGCTTTTGAAATTGTATTGGCTTTTTGCTCGAGCCTAAACCGCTGTAAATTTTTTTTTTAATTCTTTGCTCTTTTCTTTTCTTTCCCTAATTACTATGGTTATGTACATCAATATTCTTTGGATAATATGTTTACTCATATTTATCATTTCTCTTCTCTTACTGGTAAGACGAAGACGACAACACCGAAAAGGTAAAATAGGGGCTCTCTTTTTTTCTTAAATGGCATAACCAGCATTACTGTGATGACTCATGGACTTACCATTTTGTCACGTAGCCATGTTACAAGCGAATGCGGCAAGCAATAATTTCCTAGTGAACCATACAGTTGTGAATATGCCCAACGGTGCGATGGGAGGTTCGTCGTTACCACCTTACAATCAACCGGCACCATACCCTAGTGGCTATTATCCAACGCCACCCAATCATTCGACATCGCAAACAGTGTACAGCCCACCACCGTTGCCAGCTACCAGCCACGACCCTGAACTTGCTCCACCACCGCCATCATATCAAGATTATACAAAGGACACCCGCATATAGATGAATGGGCAGATACATTTTCATACCAGTGACCACTTGTCGGCAAAATGGTTATGTGACCTTCATATCCTTCACCACAAAACATCATGCATCCCCCCTTTTTGCATCACTTGCACTACGACTACCGTCTGTTTTTAATCCGTTGATGGCAGTATCCGTATATATCTATCTCCCTATTGTAATATTATTTATCTTGAATAAAAAGGGTTTCTCTATCTGTAGGAAAGCTTACCTCCCTACTCTCCATCGTTCGTTAATTCCGTCGCCTCAGCCATCACCATTTGAATCGCATTGCACCAATGGCACCTTTGCAGCGCCACTGAAATAGCTGGATGCCAAAATCTAAATTATGGCATTGTGTTTGATAGCCGCTGCGGTATATAATATATTTTCGATCCATCACTGCGCCCTGCATACAATTGCATGAAAAGAAAAAAAAAAAGAGTGGCAAAACATGATTTTATCACCTGTTATTTCTGTGAACTGCAGTATATTCTGTGCGTGTCATCGATGCTTTGGACCACATTGGTGCTTGCCTTGCTACGCGACATAAATGAGTGGCTACCAAAACCTGGACAACAGCGTTTTCTCAAACTAAAAATAATATGTATCACGTCATGCGACCACGTGAAACTGATGACCTGATGCAAGTGTGTCTTGTCGCAATGTTAGCTTGCGCTTTTTGACTTGTATTATTTTATCACCAAAATACCAATTCATTTCAACGCTTCTTATGTCAATTTGACACGTCCAAATAGCGCTCAAAGAAAGGCAATGAAGGAAAAAAAAAACGACTTCTGCAACCAGCTGAAATCGATGGTTTTATCAGTATAATTGACGCCGCCTTCGGATTTATATTTCTTCTTGAACTGGAAAAGAAAAAGAAAAAAAAAGAAAAGAAAAGCAATTTCGAGATGGCCGCGCAGACCATTTGGTAAAGAAGCTAAAAGAGTACGGGCCCACTGCGGCGCAAACACGCATAGAAAGCGTCGGTTGTGTGGGTGTGGTCACTCATCGTTGAGATCTTGACTGTGACTACTGCTCGAATACATTGCAGGTGATTATGTCTCCTCGCTCTCATGCTGACTCTCCCTTTGCAACCATGTCTCAAGCCAAAGAAGAAGACAGACCTGTATGTCATTGGAACGATTGCTCGTTAAAGTTTGACGATCACACCGCTCTGGCGACTCATTTATCAGAAGGTACAAATTTTTTGGACGCACTTCTCTTCATCGTTGGATGTTATTGTCGTAACGAAATTTGTGCAGACCATGTCGGTTGGAAAAAGCCAGAGTATGTTTGCGAATGGACCAACTGCAGTCGGAAAGGCATGAAGTGCCACAGTCGATTTGCCCTCATGATGCATCTGCGGATACACACAGGAGAAAAACCATTCGAGTGCACATATCCAGGTTGCGGCCAAAGGTAAGACGGGCAATAGAGTGGGTCAAAAAGCACCCCAACTTGGACTTTTTGAGCCACTAAGCGTGAATGTTTTTGGGGCACTGCTCAGCTTTAGTCGCCAAGATGCGTTGATGAAACATCACCGTAGCGAGCATAATCAAAACGAACCATTGTCATCACAACAGAATAGGAAAAGAAAGAGAAAACAGAGACGCGAAGCATTTGAAGAAGATCCACAGATGCTGTTGCCCCTATCAAGTGATGATGAATCGTCCGCCGCCACCGAAGAGCAGAAATACAAATTGGCGAAAGCCAAACTGCGGTACATCCTCAGAGAGCATGAAATGCTAAGCGACGAGCTCACTTCGGCACAAAGAAAATTGAAACGGTTGCAGACCGAACGAAAGATTCTGTTGGAGGCATTGGTATCGGCCGAACACTCCACAGAGGATCACGATGATATGGATGAGGAGCCATGATTTGATGTTTAAATGAGAAAAAAGAAGAATCTGTCTATTTTTTTTTCTTTTTGTAGAGGAAAAAAATAATAATACAAGTATACCATTCCATATAACAGTAAAAACTAAAAAAAAAAATATGAAAATGCTTGAAGAAATGATAACAAAACATGAAAAGGAGGTCTATGTTGATGATGATTCTTGCTGTTGTTCATGATGAGCTTTGGCAAAAGTGGCGGCGACAATGAGAGGAAAGACCAACGAGGCTTCAGCGTACACTTTGACCATGCGACTGCCTGCCTTGATTTTACCCCATGACACGGCTTCATCTGGACGAGCGCCGGCGTCACTGCCATCGTATTCCTGGGCGGTATTAATATATACGGCAAAATCCGCCCCGTTTCGCATCAAATTGGCATTGCAAATGTGATGCTTGATAATACCACCTCCCAGAATGATCATACCCGTCTTCTTGGCGAAAACGGCTTCGTTGTTCATATTGCGAATGTCCGCAGCAATATCCACAATCAATCCGGGATTTCGGAACGAATGAAAGTAAATCATATCGCCGAGGGAGCCATCCGTAATAGCGGGACAATACACAGGGATATCATTCTTTGCACACCAGTAATAGATACTGGACTCGTCATTGATTTCCTCGCCCAAGCGTTTGATCATGGCGGAAGGCGTCCAAATCTTATCCTGTATCGATGGTGAGGTGAGTTTCTCATGCAAACCGAAGGTCGCCTAACGTGGCCAATCTTTTACCTGTTCCTTTTGTTCCTGCAACATTTTATCCAAAATGGGAATGATCCAATCTTCGAATTTACAATAGTTGTTGTTGGGCACCAGCAAATTGCCAATACGGTTCAGACCCTGTTTACGCAGTTCGCTGCCTTTGAGATGAAAGTCGCCCAGATAGGTCGGGGCAAGGCATTTGATGAAATCCTCCTCAACGCCACCGGCCGTGGCCACCACCACATCGACCATCTTGTGCTGGACCAAGAATTTGATAATTTCACGCACACCCGAAGACACCAAGTTTGACGTGTAACCGAGAAACACTTTACACTTTGTATTCTTTCGCACTTGCTCATCACGGTAATCTTCAGACTCGTCTTCCGCAATCGGCTCGTCCGACAAACGCCATTTACGCTAACAAAAAAATAAGCGCCATAAACATGAATATATAAGTCATACTTCCTAATGAATTCAAGTTTCTGTGCTCACCATGTTCTCAATGATATCGATAGCTTCACCCAAACCACTGGCCTGGAAGCCCATGGCTCGGTAACTGCCCAGGAGATCCGTCAATGACAAGCGCTGGTTGAAATCGGGACCGGTGATAAGCACTGCATCGTCGGGCATCTCGACCGATTTCACAAACACGGCATCCTCGGCACCCGTGGGATTGCCCGAGGCGGCATTATTGGCGTTGCTGCTCATTGAGATGAAAATTGAACAAAAAAAAAAAAAAAGAAATGCTGGGTTTTTTTTCTATTGTCCTGGAAATCAAATCACCCAACTGTGACCGCATAATTTAAACTTGCAAACTTCAATAATCGAGTGATCCTATTTGTATTGTTTACATTGGGCAGCACTGATCATGTCGACTGAAAGAATAGCAAAGAAGTTCCAAGTGTTTTTGGTGATGATTGATCAGATATGCTGCGGGGCCATGCACAGTGCAAAAATGAGTACGATAAAAAAAATGACAGTATGGCTGCCGCGGTAGCTTTTGAATTTCCTTGATCTAATCTTAATACGACAATGGCCTTCTCCACAATCATGATGTTGCATGAATTCATCAAGTACCATATAAACAGGTCCCCTGGCTGCTTCATTCATTGCTGTTGACTCTATTCATTCTAAACAATGTCGGTTCTGATGAAATGGAGATGTTTTCCTCAACAGTTTTCAAACGCCGACGGGTCAGTCACTGACTGGCCACAGCACAGCGCTTTTTTTTTTCTTCTTTTCGCGCACGCCAAAGCAAACCGACCAGCCCAGTTAATTTGAGGGGATCTACAGCAACATGGGTATCGTGGAAAAGATTCAGGACATTGAGAATGAAATTAAGCGTACTCAAAAGAACAAAGGTGAGAATGGAGTCGATGTATTCGTGACTTGCACACTGTTGCTTACCCTACATGGAATCGTACAGCCACCGAGTACCATCTCGGTCTGTTGAAAGCCAAATTGGCGAGATACAGAGTGCAGTTGATCGAAGGCTCAAAGACAAAGTCTGAAAAGGTACATTTTTGCAACAGCTTTAAATCGCCCAAGTCGGGAATGACGGTCCTGATAAACCAGGTTGTTGTAGGGTGAAGGTTTCGATGTCATGAAATCCGGTGACGCTCGTGTGGTCATGATCGGCTTTCCTTCGGTCGGTAAATCCACGCTTCTTTCCAAGTTAACCACCGCCGAATCCGTTGCCGCAGCATACGAATTCACCACGCTTACCTGTGTCCCCGGTAAATTCACTTATAAGGGGGCCAATATCCAATTGCTCGATTTGCCCGGTATCATTGAAGGTGCCTCCCAGGGTAAAGGTCGTGGTCGTCAAGTCATTGCTGTCGCACGCACAGCCGATGTCGTTTTAATGATGCTCGATGCTACCAAAGCTACGCCTCAAAGGTGAGCGTCATCTTCTTTTTCAATAATGATCCATCGTTTCCTCGCTCACGCTGTCGTACTTTCTGTAGAGAATTATTGGAAGCTGAATTGGAAGCGGTTGGTATCCGATTAAATCAAGGTTTCCCCAATGTTTCTTTCAAGATCAAAAAAGCCGGCGGTATTAGCTTCAACGCTACAGTAAAACTTCACTATCTTGATCAAAAAATGGTGCAAAACATTTTACACGATTATAGTACGTCCTGCATATCGGTCAAAAAAAAAAAAAAAAGAAAAAAGGGCAAACACTAACATTGGTTTTCTTTGACTGAATAGAAATTTTCAATGCGGATATTGTGATTCGCGAAGATATCACTGTGGAACAATTCATTGACGTGGTGCTGGGCAACCGACGATACATCAAGTGCATTTATTGTTACAACAAAATTGATCAGATTACCATGGAAGAAGTGGATCGACTGGCGCGAGAACCCAATACAGTGGTGGTATCTTGTGAAGATGATCTCAATTTGGATTATCTCGTGGAACGCATCTGGAAGGAGTTGAACCTGATGAGAGTATACACCAAAAAACGAGGCGACTATCCCGATTTTGAAGATGGTTTGATTGTGCGTAACGGAGCTACCGTTGAACACGTTTGTCACGCTATTCATCGAAGCTTAGCAAGCACTTTTCGTTACGCTTTGGTCTGGGTAATTTCTTTTGTTGTCAAAAATGGTATTGTTGGATGTACTTTGACCGATTGTGTTCTTTGGTTTTAATTTAGGGTACATCAACCAAACATAATCCTCAACGAGTGGGTATCAATCATCAAGTGCACGATGAAGATGTTGTTCAAGTGGTGAAAAAATAAACAAGTACAGTAATATAATAATAATAAAAAAGGAAAAATGGGATATTATATTTTACTATAAATGTAATAAGAAAATAGTAAGGTCGATGGATATCTGGAAAGAGAAACATCTACTTTAGTAAATGATTGATTCGTGAATAACAGTTTTGCTTGCAAAAGGAATATCTTGATGAAATGCTGTTTCAATATATGCAGTTCCGATTATGCTTGAGAAGCCATTTCAGTCAGTACGACGACTTCTTGATGTTGTTTAATCTCGAGCTTGACGGGTTTATCACCATTGGTTCGTTGCAATGCCTTTTCGGTGCATTGAAGTTCAGAAGGATGCGTAGTGACTATTTAAAAAAGGGAACCAAACGTCAGTACAAACTGATCAGTATTTCTTATGGAACGACTTACCCCAATGAATAGCGCATGCCACCAGTGTTGTATCCTATTTACCATTATGAGAAACCAAAGAAAAAAGACGACATTTATAGAGTGCGTCCACTTACCAAGGTGGACATGGTAAGAGCAATCAAACCACGTTCTGCGCCCTCCATAACAACCATCAAGATGTAGTTAGCAGCGACGGTGATCAGAGAAATAAGAACAGCGATGGTGCTGCGCTTGGCCATGACGTGAAGCGAGGAGGCGTGGCGTGTGGTTTGCTGGGCTGTATTGGGGAACAGGCAGAACTTGATAAAGATGCCCAAGTACAAAAAGTTCATGAGGATATCGTAGCTTAAAACGGAGATGGAGGCCGGCAACTGGAAGCCAATGGTGCAGTGATAAGGGAACTCATCATGGACAAGAGCGACGCGATAGACAATCATCAAGATCATAAGACCGAGATACGGCGTCAATAAAACGAGATTAAAAATATACAACGGTGATTTGAATCGGGAAGCATTCGGTACAGAAATAATGTAGATCTAAAGGTCATGTCAAAATATTAGTGTGAGAAAAGAAAGAGGCATCTCCTGAAAAATAGGTTGCTTACCTTTTCGATAAAGTAAAGGTACAAGATCATTTTGGTAAGAGTATAGACAAAGACACAGTTGAATAAACCAAGAATGCAAGAGATGTAATTTCCGTTATTGGTACTGATGAGCATACAGCTGATCAGATTGAAAGCCCAAGTAAGACCATAGAGCACGAGAAGCAAACTTCGGATATAAAGCACAGGACCATCGATACTCGCCACTTTCCGGCCAAACACGAGAGAGATGGCAGTGATACAAGCAACACTGACGATTTCAGAAATAATTTCCTGATTATCCGGTGAATACATGGTCTATATAGATTGTATTGTGCGTTGGACTTTAGTTTGGGTTCTTTTCTTGATGAAATCTGAAGAGAAGCAGTGGGAGGATGGGCGTACGATCGATTGGCATTTTCTCTATTTTTAAAAAAGAAAAATGACGGGACTATTACGTTGACTCCTTTTTTTTCCAGTGACAAGGAAAAAATAAAGGGTACACCAAACTAGGGAGAATGGAGATGCCACCAAAGAAAAACACAGTGGGGAAATGATCCGGTGTGCGTTTTCGAGGGTACCGTTACAATTAGGAGCGGACAAGGGGGAAAGCACAAGGGAAACAAGGGGAAAGAAAAAATGGTGTGGGGAGCACTCGAGACACACTCTGTCTCTTTTTTTTTTACCTTATCAGACAACTGTCGATTGTTGCCATCAAACCTTAAATTTGGATTTTTTGATGACAGCTCAATGCTGAAAATAAAAAGGTACGCAAAGTCCCTCATCTTTTTTTTTCTTGCTGCAGGAAGTCCATTACAGAAGGAGCATGCTTACAAAACTTGTAATTGTTCTTATCATGTCCTACTACAATACTTGAGTGGTGTTTCAGCTTGCTATTGTCATGGTTTCTTGTTCCTCAGACAGGTTTTTTTTATTTCTATTTCTTATTACAACATGAATGCTGTACAAAAATTTGGCACATTTTTCCCTAATTTGATCTGCAATACCAAAATGGAAATCTTTCGAATTTTGCCTGTGTGACGTGCATTGATTGGGAAAAAGGGAAAAAAAAAAGGCACCGAGATGGCGCAATACAATTTGCAGTTTTTTTGAAAATGAGTCTGTGTAGAGATAAAGTGAATGTGCTCTTTGTGTGTCTAGGTAAGTCCCTAGTGGAGAATAAAAGGAAAAACATCATGTTGATTGACCGACGGGTGTTCATGAACAGGCAACATTTGTCGTTCTCCCATGGCCGAGGCGGTGTTTGCCGCCATGGTGAGGCAAAAGAACTTGCAGGACCGGTTTGGTGTTATTGATTCTGCAGGCACAGCAGCGTATCATGTAAGTCACACTCCACAAAAAGGGTTGATAGTCCACTCTTACCAACTTGATCGACTCTTTGCTAGGTTGGTGAAACGCCCGATAGTCGAAGTGCTGCGACTTGCAAAAAGCACAACGTACCTGTCAATCATCATGCTCGTAAAGTGCACAAGTCAGATTATAATCGGTTTGATTATATTTTGTGCATGGACACATCCAATCTCTCGGATTTAAAGGTAAGGAGAAATAAGCATAGACAACGAAAAGAGACGATGTGGGTCCGTTTGACTGATGATCTCTCTGGAATAGGCCATGGCTCCTGCCGGCACCACAGCTGTGATCCAATTGTTTGGTGATTTCGATCCCAACGGAGAACGGATCATCCAGGATCCTTACTATGGTGGTAGAGAAGGATTTGAACATAATTTCCAACAAGTAACAAGAGCCAGTGAAGGGTTTCTGAAGTCGCTCCGGATGTTGTAAAAAGAAGTCCATAGAAAATTTCAGCCATCCCCTCCTGAATACAAAAAAGGGATGGATGTCCAGAAGGGAGTTCTAGTCGCCCGTCTATGTCTGTTTAAACAGGTTCATTCCCGTGAGAAAAGGCAGTATTTTTTTTTTCCAAGCTTGCGCTTTCGGTTCTCCTTGAACTATAGAAAAAGAAACGCAAGATCCACGACAACCGAGAATTCACAAAATAAAGGGAAAAAAAACCAGAGATCTCATAACACTTCTATTATTCTGAAATTCAAAATGAAAACATGAAAATACAAATATACAGCAAAAAGAAATATCCTTAACGTTTGACCCTAAAAAAGAAAGAAATTGGAAAATGTGAATAAAAAGAGGCCTCTTTCTTTTTGGTGTTGATCCACTTACCAGGTATACTTCGCACGGGCCTTTCGCTGACCTTCCTTTTTACGTTCAACCACTCTTGGATCACGCGTGATACAGCCAGCTATCAATTTTTGTCCCGTTAGTATTGATTCGCCACATCAACCTCTTTTTCCCCTTTTTTTCTTTTTGGCAGCTCTTACCTTTACGTAAAGTAGGCTTTAATTCACTGTTGTGAATTAACAGCGCTTTGCCGATACCCAGCTTGATGGCTTGTGCTTGACCTAATACCGAACTTTTAGTTCCATCCTGTTTTCAGGCACATACAAGATACTTTGCTTCATCTTGCTTTTTTTTACACTCGAGGGTTTTTTTTTTTTTTTTACCTGTACTACCGCCACCGTTGACGACTACCCATACGTTGTATTTATCCATGTTTTCAGTGACTTGCAAAGGCCAAGTGACTTCTTCACGATCGACGGGGCGTTTAAAGTATGAATCGAGTTCCTGTCCGTTGACCAAAATCTTGCCTTCACCTTCGACGACCCAGCATCGGGCGGTAGACTCCTTTCTTCGTCCAGCGGCATAAGCTCGACCCAATTCATCCAAGGTGCGTACTTTGGCCACCTTTTCCTGAGTCGTATCGGAACGAACGTATGTATCCAAGACAAGTTTGACTTCCAAAGGCAAAGGCTGAGGCAACGATGCCAAAGCGTCGAGGTGACTGGTAATTTTACGCCACTGTGATGTCTTTAATGGAATGCCGAGCATTTCCGACATTTTATCGCGCAGCTTCCAAGCGTAGGTGGTGGAGGTTGCATCAGCCCCTCCCGAAGGTACAAATGAGGAAGGCAACGAGGCTTCGACGGGCTTGTGGTTGATGTGGCGTTTGTAAAGTACATCCAGGTCGATTAACAGATCGTTGTACTTGTAGTTGCCGGTAAAGTAGGAAAGGGAGTGAGGCTTTTCACGAAAGGTGAGCAAGTCATCCATGCCGTGATTGGGCGCAAATGTCGATGCTTGGGTGGTGGCATGACGGACCGAGTGGTTGGAAAGAATGGAGGAAAAAGCGTAAACGGTAGGAACGTGGAATCGCTTGGTGGTGGCTGGAACAAGGTTCGCAAGACCTCTTCGTACAAAAGCCGATGTGGCCATTCTTGTTATTTCTTTTTTTTGTTTTTTCCAACAACGAGGGGAAAAAAGTCCAACCAGGTGTGTGTGTATATTTTTACAGTTCCGCCACCCAAAAAGCAAACCCCCCACCCAGGGAATCCAAAGTCACACTTTTTCGGTGGCTTTCCAAAAATTTTGGGCAGCCCACATCGCTTGGAGGCCGCAGCTGCAATCTATCAGTTCATCATAATAGGCATTGAACGGATATGTCATATTTTATCAGGACAGTATTCTGTATTATTAATGTTGACATTGACATAACACATTTATATTGGTTTACAAAGAACTCCAACTGATCATTAAAGTTGAAAACGGTAATTCAGGGACGGTTTTGTTGACTGAGATGAAAATGCACCATTGGATATTTTATATTTGCCAAGTTAAAGATAGATAAAATGGCCTATTCTCTCTGAGCAATAAAATGTTGACCAATGTACAGCGCAACTTTAAACTTATGGCTGTGGGCTCGGTAGAGAAAAGCAGGCGGATGATGCCAGGCATATGAGTAAATGAAAAAGGTACTATAACAACTGCTAACAGCTGTAACTATGATACGTATCCAAGACTGTATGGGAAAAAGAGTGAGTGATAAATAATAGGAAATATTTACCCAGGAACAGTCCAGTATGCGTGAATAAATGTTAAATAGCAACAGTTAATGCTGTCAATAGTGGAGATCCTTTTAGAACGCCGCTCACGTAATTTTTTTGTCTAAGCCTGCGACCAGCGAATTTTCAGGAAAAAAGAGGCTCGCTTCGAGGTTCTGCATAGATCTACCTGAAAGGATATGCGTCCAAAGACACTGCGATCGTATAAACGCACCATGCGTGCTTACTCCACCGGTTTTGGATTTCGATCGCCTTACCAGATCTTACGTAACGTATTTCCCGCGCTCTTTGATTTCATCCATTGCAAGAAAAACTAATCCTTTGGCTTCATGTAGTGGACGGTGATTTTTGTCAGGCCGGTTTGGAACAAAAGATCTACCTCAAGGAGGAATTGCCGACAATTCTTTCAGATAACACAAGACCCTGTAAGTTGCTTTTCATGTAGTGTCAAAAGGTTCTCCTTATTCAATGGACTCCTTGTTGTAGTGGTGACCGAATGTACGTTGCAGGAATTACGAGACAAAGGCTCAGCTTTCACCGGTGCGGTTTTGGTAGCCAAGCGATTTGAACGACGACGTTGCAAACATCGAACACCTGTACCCAGTGCCCAGTGCATCAAGGAAATCATTGCCAAGGACAATCCCCACAATTACTGCGTTGCATCGCAGGACCCGGAACTTCGCAAAGCATTGCGGGAAATACCCGGTGTGCCTTTGCTCCACATCAAACAGAATTTCATCGTTCTTGAACCGCTCACACAAGTGACTCGCGACGAGATTCAAAAGGTACAGTTTCATCTTCTATCAAGAATTCTCTCCGTGGTAACAGTACTTAACGTTGTTTCTTTGACTACCTGCAGCGAGAGTATGAAAAGACATTACCCAGTGCGAAAGAGGCCGAAAAATTGAAAACCGCCAAACTTGTGGTGGGCGACAAACCACCAGAGGAAGTGGCGGCCGCGGCCAAGGAAGAACCCAAGCCCAAAAAGAAAAAAGTAAAAGGACCTAATCCCTTGAGCGTGAAAAAGAAGAAGAAGAAAAACCCTCCTCCACCGCCATCCAAAAAGAAGGATGGTAAAGTGAATGAACGAAAGCAAGTGGAACCCAAGAAAGACGCCGCCGATTCGAACGAGGGTGAAGCTAAGCAAGTGGAGACTTCCGCAGCTCAGCCAAACGAAAAAGACACATCAGAGGAGGCTAAAGTTGGCGAGAAGCGCAAAGAAAGCGAGTCAACGAACAACGTCGAAGGAAACGAGGAGCATCAAGTGAAGGATGGAGAGGCAGCGAAAAAGAAGCGTAAGCGTAACAGAAAGAAAAAAGCATCTAGCCACCAAGAGGATTCCACCAATCCCGATTTTGGCGCAGCCGGTTCGGACAAAGAACCTCCAACAACATTCACCAATCAAGACACTGTACATGAACAGCCATAATTCCAGAATACCATCCTTGCATACATATAAAAAATATAGATATTTTGACATATTAAAATTACATCTATGGAAATCTCTAATCAAGTGAGCTACCGGCCGTTCATTGTCTTCATTTTAACGAGATGAAGAGCTAATGCGAGAAGCGATAAACACACCGGCAATCACCACGCCAAGGAAAGCAATACTGGCTGGTAATAACATGTCTTTGGGTAATCCGAGTACAGAGGAAGCATCGTTGGCATCGGACGATGGCATCTCACGTGTATGCTGCGGCTGCGGCGACTGTGGCTGTTCCTCTTTGGGTTCTTCTTTTTCCAATGGTTTAGTTTCTTTGACCTCTTCCTCTGTTGCCGTCGGTTTTTCGGTGAATTCGGCAGGGGTAGGTGAAGGAATTGGGGTCGATGGAGGTTGTTCCTTGATGGCCGCACTGTCATGAACAAACAGTTTCACTCGGTCGCGACCCATCTTGCGCGCCAATTGCACAGCATCACGGATATCTGCATCGGAGGACATCAAGACTTCGTCATCTTCATCGTCCAAATAAGAGATGCTCAACCATTCATTGGATCCGTCATCGGCAGTTCCTGTAAATGCTAAATGTTCGGCAAGCACTTTGTGACGAACGATATCGAGTAATTGTTCATAATTGCCTGCAGGGGCTGCGAAGCGATGTGTTTTGCCGCCCATGGAGGTGAATTTGAAAGCAAATTCCGTGCTTTCTTTGGGTTTGGCCGAAGTCACTTCGGAATGCGATTCTTCGTGGTTCACCATGCTGGCCGATTCATTGGGCGTGATTTCGGAATAATCTTGAAGTTGTGAAAAGGAAGCAGAAGGTTCGGGAGAAATAGCATTGGTCGAAGGCTGAAGGGACGACAAGGGATCAGACGCCAGCGATTCTTCTTCACCTTGTTCCGCAGCACCAAAACTGTCCCAGAAACGACCCCACATCGGTCCTTCACCATCATTACCTTGGATGCTACTAATCTAAAGAAAAGAAGGCGTCATTGATAAGACCGATAAAAATGTTGCTCTGTTGGTAACACTTGAGAGTTTTACCTGTTCCAATGTGGCATAGGTCAACTTGAGGACGTCCACCACGCCGAGAATCGTTCCATTTTCGATAATAGGCAAGTTGAGGTAATGGCCATCTATTGGAGTCAGAATTTGATAAGTTCTTCTGCTTTTTCATGCCATCAACTATATGCTTTATGCTTTACCGTGCATGCGTCTCAAGGCTTCCATGATCGTCGTCTGAGGTGTAGCCGTGTCAGGATGAGGTGTCATGACGCGTACAACGGAGCAATTCTCTGGGTTCAAACCAGCTGCAATCACACGAAGCACCACATCCTTTCTATTGAACAGCGAGAAAAAAAAAACGATCAGCTTGTTTCCATTTTTGGTGGGGACATTCGCGCGCAACTCCAAGGGAACGTACGTGGTGAAGATGCCTGCCAGACCTTCTCGATCGGTAACGAGAACGGCAGTGGTGTGGTATTCTTTCATCAGACGTGCGACGTCTCGGACATTGGTTTTTAAATTGACTTCGGCAGGGGACGAACCATCCAGGACCGAGTTGATATCAGGGCAGGACATGCGTTCCCGCAAAGCCTCCATGTACTGAGCCAGTTGCACTGAGCTACCCGACCATTCCTTTTCCACGCCTTCCAAAGCGTCGTACAATTTACGTGATGATCCAAAAGCGCGTTCCATCTTATCCAAGGCCTCGTACAAACATTTCGTAATATCCAGCAAACCGAAAATATCGCCTTCTTCATTACATACCGGCTGCGGAATGAAATTAACGAAAAAAAAAAAAATGTCAGAACAATTTTTGTCAATCGACATGTTTACAGAGGTATGATTACAATGGCTCGTTTTTTGTTTTCACTTGTCACTTACCAAATGTCGGAATCCGCGCGATACCATCAAATTCAATGCATCGGTGGCAGAAGTATCTGCCGTCACGCACATGGGACCTTTGGTCATAATATGTCTCACCATCGTATTTCTGGACATGTTCACATAACCATGAGAAACAAAAAGGCCAGCAAGTATATTATCCGTGCAAGCTTACCGAGCATCGAGTGATTCGGCCACCATTCTGTAAGCAAGGTCTTTTGCCTAGTGATAAAAACACACATTAGTCTTACTGCGAGGGTTGTTTGGTTATTGTCAGGGGCGACTTGCAGTGAAAATGCCGCTCAAGTGTTCGTCTTCATCCACCACGAGAACGCAATCGCTTCGTTTGGCCGCCATGAGTTGAGCCGCTTCAATGACCAGCATGTTCTCCTTCACCGTCAATGCTTGAGCCGGTCGCAGAGCAGACACTGTGCCAGCGATTTTACGTGTTTGACGGATGCGCGTGGAGCCGGGACGCTTTTTCGACAGTTCTTGCTCCAACTTTTTACGGATAGCCTATCATAAAACAAGCAAGAGCATTAGTGGGATAGTATGCAAATATTGAAAAAGAATATAAGAAAGCAAAAAACGCACTTCGTCGCGTTTTGATTGACGCTGACGACTACCGTTGGTAGGGCTCTCGGAATGGTCCGTACGTGAAGTGACGGCGGATAACCGCGAAGAAGTAGCCCGTTTCGTTGACATGAGGGATAAGGTTCCAATAAAGCTACGCACACACGGATATACAAGCACACGTTATTCTTCGGTATTACACTATTTTTTTTTCCATTCGGTGAGTGGCTTGATTTGGTGCGACGGGAATAAGGGACCATGAAATCATCATTGCCATTCGATCGATTTTCGAGTGGCGACAGAACAAAAAAGAACCCATAAAGCAACCGAAATGAAAAAAACGTGGGGTGCTCAAGGATCGTCTTGCTTTGCAAGATGGTTGGTTGTTACAGGCACAAAAATACACATCTTTTTTTCTCTTTACGATATCCTCAGATACAGCTTACATATTGTCATGGTAATCTGTTGTTATTTTTATTATAAAGTGTGTCTTGCCCAAGTTTTCTTGGGTCCTCCTGGACAAAAGGGGTTCAAAAAGTAATATATGGGTGGTGGAATAGAACAGCAGGTTGTGTCAAATAAAATAAAGCGTTGTTTTTTTTATTTATGGTCACACAGACGAATCTTTCTTCTTTTCGTGCCTGGAAGATTACCTAATGCAAACTAAACCATGTCCTCGCAAGAAAAGAAACTACAAAAACTTGTCTCTCGATAATTCACCGTTGATATCCATTCGGCTTGCGGAAACCTCGGCGAAACAGCAAGAGTATGACAAGTTGTACAAAGAACTCAACGATCTCGAGATTGGTCTCGAACTTCGTCTCGATCTACGTGCCGAAGATCTCCAGACCCTGGATGAACTGGGATCTGGCAATGGAGGCACCGTATGCAAAGTCCTTCACATGCCTACCAAAACCATCATGGCGAAAAAGGTAGGCCCAAAGAACTAACCGAAATTCCCAACAGGCAACATTGGCGATGTTGATCTCACGAACTTCACATCAACCCAATCCTCTTTTTGCCACGGTAGACGATATACCCGCAATCGCAGTTAGATGCTCTTGATACCCCGCAATCACTGCCAACGTCGCAGTTGTTGAATCGCCTCCCTCCTATGCCCATTCAGCCACCCTCGTCCCGAGGTTTAGCCGTTCCTTCCAAACCTGCCAAATCCGTATCATACCACTTGCCGGGATCCAAAGTCGATCCCCCGCCTAACAGTACCGATTTCTCCACGCAACGGCACCCGATCCTTTGTTCCCCCGAGAAACGTCCCGTCGTCAACCAACGAATATCTGTGCGCAAACAAATCATGCGTGAAATGCAGTTCCTGCATGACTGCAATTCGGAACATATCGTGAGCTTCTATGGGGCTTTTATGAGCGGTGATGACATTTCCATATGTATGGAGTATATGGATGTCGGGTAAGACGAAAAGAAAAAATCGATTGCAATGCTAGTCCAATGATTGACCATGCCATGCCATACCGTAGTTCCTTGGACCAAATCTACAAAGCAAGTGGTCCCATAGAAATGGATATACTGAAAAAGATTGCTTATGCGGTAACGTTGCCATTCACATTTATTTTTCTGAATCCGGCAGCAACAGGAAACATTGATTAAAAAAGCGAGTTTAGGTGGTCGATGGTTTGATGTACCTTTACGACTGTCATCGTATCATTCATCGCGGTAAGCAGGTCGATTCGTTTCAGTGTATGAAATTCCTTTTTATTTAACCAATCCACAGATATCAAACCATCCAATATTCTTGTTAACTCTGCTGGGCAAATCAAGCTTTGCGATTTCGGCGTCTCGGGGCAACTGATCGATTCCATTGCCAATACCTTTGTAGGCACCAGTTCCTACATGAGTGTACGTATATTTTATTTCCTTGTACAAGCACTATTCATCACCAACGTTAAATGGTCGAAATTTGTTAGCCTGAACGCATTCTTGGTTCGCCTTATTCGGTGAAATCGGATGTGTGGTCGATCGGTATCACCCTGATGGAATTAGGTTTGGGCCAATTCCCTTTTCTTTCTGCAAAGTCACTTTCCGTTTTCGAATTACTGCATTATATTGTCAATGAACCTGTACCCGCGTTACCGCCTCATCAATACCCTGCTGATTATGAACAGTTTATATCGATGTGGTATGTTCAACATCGTTCTTAAAATAATCTCGCAAAAAACGGGTCGGTAATAACTGATGGTTCTGTAGTCTTGTCAAAGATGTCGACTCACGTGCAACACCAAAAGAGCTGACGGTAAATAATGGCTTTCCCGTTGATGATTTTGCAACGTTTCTTATTCGCATTTTTATCTTTCAGCACACGGCGTATTTCCTGTCAGCCCAGGAACTCAAAGTGGATCTTCGAGCTTGGGCTCAGAAACACAAGCAATGAATAGGCTGGTGGATGGATTGACCGTCACATTTCGATTTTTTGATTTGTTGGGAAAAAGGCAGCACACACCCAAAGTTTCTTGTTGATTCCGCCGCTGTCCTGTAAAATTCACAGAATTCCGGCTTCCTCTTTTCTTTTTTTTCCCAGTTTCCCTTTTTCCTTGTCTATATAAAACATCTCTCACTTAAAAAAGCAGCATGGATTTCCAGAATCGAGTAGGAAGCAAGATTAGAAGTGGTGGTGTAGCGAGCCATTCCGAAGCCAATGTGGATCGTCGTGAGCGACTTCGCAAGCTTGCAATGGAAACGATTGATTTGAACAAAGATCCGTACTTTATGAAGAACCATCTTGGATCGTACGAATGTAAACTTTGTCTGACGCTGCATACCAACGAAGGCTCGTATCTTGCGCATACTCAGGGTAAAAAGCATCAAACCAACCTCGGTCGTCGTGCCGCCAAAGAAGCAAGAGAATCGGCCATTACGCAACCGGATGTTGGACCTGCCAAACCGGCCGTAACCCTCAAACGCAATGTGATTAAAATTGGTCGACCAGGTTACCGTGTGACGAAGATCCGCGATCCTGTTACCCGTCAGCTTGGTCTCTTATTCGAAATCCATTACCCTCAAATCGCTGCCGATGTTATTCCCCGTCACCGTTTCATGTCGGCGTACGAACAAAAGATTGAAGCACCCAACAAAGCACATCAGTATATGATTGTCGCCGCCGAACCTTACGAATCTATAGCATTTAAGGTACAAAGCAAGGATATCGATAGAGCTCCTGGCAAATTCTGGACACATTGGGATCAGGACTCCAAACGATTTTCTTTACAATACTTTTACAAGAGCGATAAAGGACCTACCATGTTTGAAGGTGTCACTGCTCCCGGATCCAACCCACCCAATGTCAACACTCCCTCCACAAACGCTCCCAGTGCAAATCCCCCCAGTGCAAACGCCCCCGGTGTGGCGCAGCCTGTCAGCTAGACATCTCTTTGTATCTATCACAATAACGTCATAATAAACCACAAGGAAAAAAAGAAAAAGGGAGTATATAGAGTTTCTTGGCACAGCACTCATTACGCAATATCAAGCAACTGGCAATGTCAAAGTTGTATTATATGCAGAAAAGTTGCATAATCGTCATTGATGCCAAGGTGGATAAAATAAGGTGGTCAGAGATGTCAATTCTGTTTTATGTAGATCGCTTCATGGATTTAATAAAAAGATGCCGTTGTCGAATATTCATTTGGAATTGTTTAAAAAATGAAGCATGGCTCATAAGACGAAAATGGTGTAATTCGTTGGAGCACCTCCACTGCTTGTGCACTAACCCATCATCCATGCAATGTGCTCAGATCGGTCCTGCAAAAAAACATGGTTAGAAAAATTTCCCTGGTGGACTGTGTTTTTCGAGAGTCCAAAAGCCTGTTTAAATTTCAATCCTTTGAGGCTGCTTGAAAAAGCTTGAAAAGAAGCCAAAAAGATCAACTGGGTCAAAACGCCAATCATGTCGCATCAAACTTTGGCTACAGGATGCTCCCCCGCTGAGCTCTTGACTCATGTCCTGACTGTTATCAGCAATGACGAGAAAGCCAGTCACCATTTACCGTTTGTCCTCACTATGCTGGTCAATCACCGTCTTCTCTGCGACAGCAGTGAAGCGGCCGAAACCGTGCAACGCAAATGGACAGTACGATTAAACGCTTTATTACAATCGAAGCAAGCTTCCACTCGGTGGGCGGCCGTCACGCTTGTCAAAGTGACATGTGAACAATCCCCACGTTTATATATGACTCACTTACGATCGTGGAGCGCGCAATTGCTTGGTTTTGTTGCTGTAAGTTGTGTGCGCTTTCGAATACGCGCCCTCAGTGCGCGCCATGCTACAGTTTATTGACCATTCTTGTTGCTCAGAAACCGGAACCTACCATGATACACGCCGAAACGATTCGTACCTTGTCTTGGCTTTTTACGCAAACCGTAGATAAGCCCGAGTTGCAGAGAGAAGTCACGACTCCCAACCTCCCTCGATTTAATCAGGCTCTACTGACCCTCGCTGGCAACGCTGAACTTTTGGTGCGTAACTATTGGATCACAAAAAGTAAAAGTCAACTTTAGCTTACTGAATATGCTGAATGAAATTCAATGTAGCCCACCGTCTTGGATGCATTGATCCAGAATATCAAGCATTTCCCTTCAGTATCACGACATATTACCGATCCGTGTCTGAAGCTCTGCCTAAGTTGTTTGGAAGGAACCGTCGATCTCGAATCCGCTACGCTTGAAAAGGTCGGCCAGTGTCTTGCGTCGCTGTATCGAACTTCGGGTAAAACCAATATGGCTGAACAATGGAAAGACACGTTAATGCGTTTGATCGGATCGATCCACTTGAGCTTGGAGCGTTTATTCGATACGGTTGATGAAGGTAGATACAGATATGGTTGATGGAAATATGAAAAGCAAGAGACACTTACATTGAAATCTTTAGAATTTAATGTACAAGAGAATTTGCCGACTTTTACTTCGTCTCCTTTCCCTCGCGATCCCCTCGAAGCTTTTCCTATCCTGTTAAAACGTGTCCAAGCGCTTGGTCAGTGCATTACCACTTTCTTGAGGTAGAGACAGCGCGTTTTTGGCAACTAGTCAATGGGAATTCGATACTTATTCATTCAACTTTAGTATGGAGACCGCCATGGCCGTGTCTGTGCCTGTTGTCCATCTTATTGACCTGTTGTGCCGCATTTACAATGTCTACGAAGGCACTCTGGTAAGTTGGAATCATCCTATACGGGGTCGCTTTCACGCAGATCTATTGATTGAACATACGATAGATGCGTGAATACAAAGATAAATCAGAATACAGCTGCCTCATGGGCTGCTTACCGACATTACACTCAACGGCAAATAAGATTTTTGCCAGTCTGTTGTATTGGTAAGCTCTTTTTACTTGTGTGGTACCGTTGGACATGATCAATAACCGGTGGAGCATGATAGTTCTGGCGCCGAATTGTCGAGATACAGCAAGCTTTTCTCTCAAATTCTTCTCAGATTACTGTCCGAACACAAACACAAGCGGTAAAGTAATCCTTGCATGTTCCTCAGCTCAGGCTGTGTCTCATTTTTTTTTTCTCTCTTGCTGATTAGCACCCTCAAAATTTCGACCTACAACCTTGTTTCCTTGTGTCTGCAAATGTGTGGACTCACTTTTGGTGAAATCATTTGCAAACCACTGTCTACGAGAATCATTGAAGATATCACCATCAATGAACAAAACTCGTCGGCCCTTGCCTCCACAAATAGTTTCTTAAAGGTAATCTTTGACCGGCGATCTCTCCTTTTTTCTTGAAAGGAAACTTGGTTCACAGTGTATTCGGGTTTTTACTAATATGTGGATTCAGAGCAAATCCAGAAAACGAAGACATGATGAATTGACGCATTCTGACGCATTAGCAAATGAGGATACCAGCTCTTCAAGCCAGTGTGAAGTGCCCTTGGCGGCTTTGGGGGCATTGGAACAGTTGTTGAATGTTTACGGATCGTCCATGGATCCGCAAACTCGATCCGCGCTTGACAGCATCATTCTTTCCCGACTTTTATCTTCTATTCATCCCGGAAAAGCCTCGGCTGAGATGATTAACGTGACCAAACATCAGCTATACAAGTGCTTGTTATCCTCAGTCTTGCATCCTGTCGCAACACAAGCCAGTATTTTGCCTCATGCCATGCGCTTATTCTCTTCTGGCCTTAATGAAAGCAACCATGAGGTAAAAAAACATTACGGTTTTTCTATTTTCATGTGAGCGAAGAATCTAACCCATATCTTCCTCTTCTGCAGCTTCGCTCTACCTGTTTACAGGGTATGACGATTTGTGAATTAATCATTCATCCTCGTATGCCTCCAGTCCAGCGCACGATGCCCCGACCAACAGTTCCTGTCAATTTAATGGATGAACCTGAAATCGCCGCTGTTATTGAATCAGCAGATACCGAAATGGCCTCGCCACCCGCGGATATCCCAGCTGCCAAGCGTGTCGAAACGTCGATGCCTGCCGCAACATCGATCGCCACATCGAGCTTCACAGAAAAAATGGAAACAAGCCAAATTTCTACCGCCGAATCGCCAGCAGCGATAACAGCAACCACCACCGAACCAGTGACCATGGAAATTACACAGTCAGAGCCAACTTCCGTGGCAGCAATTCTCGATTCGGCAGAGGCCAAATCAGAGGATAAAACTGTGGCAAAGGATACATCTGTAGCCGAGGAGGCTGTAGCGTCGCGTCCTGAACCTGCTGTTCCTGCGACGATCGACATCATGCCAGCTGTGACTTCCTCCGATATCGCGACGGCGTCGACATCTAAAACCAAAACCACTGTTGCCCCGCAAACCAGCATTTCAGATGATGATTTGGACGAAGATATGGAAGGCATGCCCGATATCGATTTGGCAGGTCCAGATACGGACGAGGACGAAGATTAAAAGAAAATATCCCAACTATACATTGGACAGATCATCTCGGGTCCTTGGCATTTTGACCTTTTTCCATTTTGGCCTAAATCATAGACATATAGAAATCATCAAGCTGAAAAAACCTCTTCAACGTTGAACCTTTTTTCATAAAGAAATCATTTTATATTGACAAAGATCTAATGAAAGAGGAGTTGTGTGAGAGAGAAAAGAGTCGACATTATGCCGAATGGCAATGTCAAGTGGAATGAATGATCAACTGACTTACTTTTTTTTTGGAATCCCGCTTTTGCTTTCCATTCTTTTGGAGCGCAAAAAGGGAATTCTGTAAACCCTGTGCATCACACCCGTTTCGTTTCTTTTTTATTTCTCCAGCCAAGCTATTTGCTTTTCGTCAGATTCCATGGCAGGCAATACTGAAAGCTCATTCCGTGATTCACTGCGCAATTTCAAACTATCCAGATCATCAGCGGCACCGATATCGCTACCGACGACGACCGCCAACAGCCCCGAAAACTCGACCTTTGCATCTTTCCGTGATAACGCCAGTAATCTATTCTCCAATGTAACCCACACTGTTCAGGGATACATGCCCGTAGGCTTCAACGGCGAGGAAGAAGAAGAAGAACCCTGGTATCAAATGTCACGGGTGGAGGTAGACTGGAATTTTTACATTGCCGTGTCGATTATGAATGCGACGGTAATTTGGGAATCCTTTTTGCATTTTAGCGAGTCATGGCTTTTGCTCTTTGTCTGGCCTTAGGTATCGCTTGTTTCTGTCTGGTATGTACATGAAAATAATCAAGCAGCATCGAATGCATGGAACTGACCCAGTAGTAGGCCATCTTTTTGTTTCTGCCGATGTTTGCTCTTGCACCGGGAAAATTCGCAGCCACCTTTACACGTAAGCTTCGTTTGTTGGGGATCATGTTCCAATTTCCATGTGTCACAGTAGCTGATCCATGGTTTCCATGATGATAGTTGCCAGTATCCTGGTACTTGTTAGTATCGCTATGCTGAGAGGTCCGATGGCCCACTTGAAGCATATGATGTCCATCGAAAGAGCACCCTTCACCATTACTTATCTGGGCACAATGGCCTTGACCCTGTATTTCTCTCTCGGTGTAAGTGATGGTAGCAGCCAGGTGTTCCATGCCTGAGATAATGCTAAACACAAAACTGTCTATTTAATTTATAGCCTCACAACTATATCTTGACTATCTTATTTGCCATCATCCAGCTCATTGCCTTGGTGTGGTAAGAAATGAGATGAATGAATGCTGCATTATGTCGACCTTGCGCTGATATTCATACTATCTCGTCTAGGTATTTTGGATCGTACATTCCAGGTGGAGTAGCAACATTACGTTACGGCACTGCCTACATTGGACGAAGAGCCGCTTCAGTATTGCCTATTTAATCGTCTTTCTGCATTCAACATGGCTATGCCATTGTGTTCGTTCTTTTGTATACTTTAATCATTCCCTAAATGTAATATTGCTTAAGTAACTTGCTTCTCATCCGCATTCTTTGTCCACAACAATGATAATGAAAATCAGATGATCGATATTAGTTATCATGCCAATGACAGTAAAAAACTAACTGTCAATACCAAAACGCCGAAGAAAAAATCTACGGGATGACGCAAAGCAAGATCTCTGAATGTTAAGAAAGAGCCAATGGTAATACAAGAGATTTATTTCAAATAATCAAAACAGAACGAAAAACAAAAAGGCAAAAAGAGAAGAAAAAAAAAACAGATTACACAGAAACAAAATAACGGAGAGCGAAAAAGACAGCGTGAGGGAACTTTTTTTAAAACTTAGGAATACAAGCAATATAAAAAAGGGGGGATTACAGCATTTCTTGCTCTTCTACGGGTGTACTGGAACCACTGGCGGGCGCCGGTTGAGGACTTCGAGGTAAGCCTGATTGCCAGGTTTTCCCGGTGAGCATGTTCTTCAGTGCACGAAGAGCAAATACCGTCAACCCAATTCCCGACCAGTCTTCGTCATGCAAATCGCGCAAATCGCCCACTGTCATAATATCTTGATTTTGAAGTTTCGTAGCCCACTGCTTCGCCTTTTCCATGCTACGATTGGTAGCCACAGCTGTATCAATGACAAATTTCTCGATACTGGTATCATTGGCATATTCTACACCAAGGAAAGATTTATCAATTTCCCAGTCTTACATTCGCATGAAACTGTCAAATAAAAAGAAACTTACCGGCCAAAACATGGTCCATGAGAGCGGAATGCGTGGCAGCAAGCTCAGCTTGATCTCCCAAAACGCCTGATGATCTACTCAGGGTATCGTGTGTTGGTGACAACTTTTCAAAAGTTGCAGCAGTTTGTTCTTGTTGTTGAAGCTTGAATTGCTCGATTTTAGCCATGGTTTCTTTGAAGCGCTCTTCCGCCAGCAAAGTACGCTGTTCCAAAGCATCGCATTTCTTTTCCGCTTCAATGGTTCTTAATCTCGCCATATCAAGCTCATATTTGGCCTTTTCTAGTTCGGATCGTATATCGTTCTCACGACGCCATACAATTCGCTCATCTTCTCTCTTGTTCGAACTGTGCTGCTTGTTGATATCTCTTAGAATGCGATTGATTTCATTCGTGATCAATTGCTGATAACGGTCAGGCAACACCTGTTCTTCAATCTGTGATCCAGAATGAAAAGAAAAAAAAACGATGAGTAAGACAAATTATCACGGTAACCTCCAATGCATCATTTTCCACTGCCCACTGTAATAACTGTAACATACCATTTCTGCTACGACATCCTCGGCTGTGTCAGTGTCAGAGTTGAACTCGAATTTCACAGACAACTTGTCCATTCCCTTGAAGACCACTTGCAACGTCAATAGCTTTTCCGTCATGTCTTTTGATAACAAGACTACTTCAGGCTCCACAGCCAGAAATGAATGCTCCAAGATTTCTTGAGCGGTCATACTAGGTACAAAAACAAAGGTTTCAGCAAAACTACGCTCGATGGTTGCCTAACAAAAACATCGCCATTTACCGATCATTTTCCGTTGTGAGACAATTGTTGATAAGAGCCAGGACGTCCTCATTTTGAACGCGGGAAAGACATTCTGGTCTGATGGTCTGTAACAAGGATTATATGAGCCCATACAGAACAACAACTAGCATACTAAAAACAGTAAAGGAATAATCCACTTACTCTTGTCACTTTTTTGAATACTTGGGCTGCATTGGTACATTCGCCGTAGGGATATTCGCCCGTGACCATTTCGAGGAGACACATGCCGAAAGCGTAGATATCGACTTTTTCACTGTACCCTTTTTCTTCGTACATTTCCGGTGCCATGAATTCAGGCGTACCAATCACGGTATATTTCTTTCCTATTTTCATCTCAGCCGTACCCATATCACCAATCTTGATTTCACCGTGAGCTCCATTGATGAAAATATTGTCACACTTGATATCACGATGAATAATAGGCGGTTCATGGGCGTGAAGATAGACGAGACCTTTTAGGATCTGACGGCACCATCGCTTGATGATCTTCATGTTCAGAGAAGGCGATAGTTTTCGAATATACTCGCGCAAGGTACCCGATGTCATCAATTCTGTGATAAATATAAACTCGGTATCATTGTACCAGGCATCGTGGAAGGTAATAATGTTTGGATGGCGCACCGACTTTAGAATTTCAATCTCATGACCGAGATCCTTGAATTCCTGTCGTGTTGCCTAACAAACCAAAAAAAAAAAGTAAGTTGGGTTTATAGCTGTGAAAACAACCGTTGCAAAATATTCCCCAGTAATGCCTGGGACTGCGAGACAACTTACCTGGATCACGTTCCAAGCAACCTCATAACCTTCTTCCCGATCAATCGCCTTGTAAACGACCTTGTATGCACCTTTACCAAGAAAAGTGTTGAGTTTGGCATAACGACCGTTGGGAGCAACTTCAATGACTTTTTCAGCATCAGGTTGTTGTGAATGATCCGCCATTTCCTGATTCGGGTTCATCCATACACCACCAAAAGGGGCCATTTGCGACCGGATGTGAGGCGCTCTTTCGTACTCGGGAAACTGCGCCGCCAATTGGCGCATGAGCGTTGCACTCCCCGTTGTTCCGTGAGCATCAGCGTGATCACTATCGTCCTGAGAATGAAGCGTGTCGGATGGAACCGAATCGTTCATGTCGGATGGCGGTATTTGATACATGGGCGGTAGTTCTGATGTCTTTGATTATATATTTTTTTTTGTTACTTGCAACAAACAAATAGTCCGATGGGTGGGCGGTCTGTGTGTATGGGTGTGTATGCGTGTGTCTGTGTCTGTGTGTATATGGATGCGTGTAGGTGTATAGACGTGTATGTTGGGTGTGGATGTGTATATGCGGGAGTGGTTGTCGTGTTGTAAGTATAGTTAGGATTTAATAAATCGATTACCAGGCCGACATGGCGTTTCCTTGGGGATGAATCTAGATATTGCAGAAAACCAAAGAAGTCAAAAAGAATCAGCTAAATAAATAAGCCCTGTCTCGGTACCAGATCGTCAGAAACGAAGCAAAATTTCGAATTGCTTACATGGAGGTTGCAATTATTCGTTTAACTATGAAATGTAGTCTAGATTTAGAAAGCCTGACGGCAAGAGATAATGCTCTCAAAGAGAGCAAAAGTGCTTTTCTTGGTGTTTTCGTAAATAATGATAGTGGCCCTTAGATTTTTTTTTCTTTGATCTTTTCTTTTTTTTTTTTTTGGTCTGGGAGGGACAGGTGGGGGCGGCCGGCCATGGCGTGACTGGAATAATTCAAACGGCGCCGGTGCCCGATGAAGGAAATTCCCCAAGGTTGAGCTCCTTGACTTGCTCTTTACGACCATGAAAAAAAAAAAAAAAAAAAAACAGCGTTTAATTAATTGAGGGAGCTGTCCTTCATAACATTGTTCAATTCACAAATTCTGTAGCTATATCTGTATGTAACCAGTCCTTGTTAATCATGGACATTTAGCCAACGGGTTGCTATAGCCAATATCAAACCCATCCGCCCAATCACGTCGCTTTAACAACAGAAAAGTAGAGAGAGGGAAAGTAAAGAAAGAAAAAAAAAAGGCGAGAATGTCAGAAAGGTACAATTTTTCAAATAACATTAGTCCAAGTCAAGTAAGTTGACTATTATTTTTTTTTATATATTTTTAAATATGCTTTACATTAAAATTCGCCCTTTTTTTCATTGCATGCATCGCTATCCTACATCTTTGGAGGATTCAGTCACTTGCAGGCTTTGACAGGCATCGGCCCCTTAGTCATTCGCGCTGGTGGATGTGGCCAGTCGGCGTTTAGAGGTTTATTTTTTGCTAGATAGTTTAAAGGAAATACTGAGATGGGATAAAAGAAAGCCCACCTTGCCCCTTTTCAATTCCTGCGATTAAGAGAGCATACGCAAAATCCCATCTTGAATTCGTTTTGTTTTGTTTGTTTTTTGTTTGTTTTTCTACTTTCTTCTTCTTCTTTTTCTTGCTCTTCTTTTCATCAGGCATTAAGATTTTGGCGATCATGCATTTTAAAAAATCTCGACTAGTTTATTTATTATTGACAGTTATTATAATCCTTCTTCACAGTGCAGAAGCCGATTTATTAGGCGATCTGTTAGGGACCTTGAATCCACATGATCCTCCACCTCCATCTTATCGACCTTCACCCCAAATAGACTGGCCATCTTCCCCTTCCACATCGTCTTCAAAATTGCATCACCAAGAATTCAGTACTTCTCTCAATATTCCATCGCCCTCTTCATCTTCTTCTGCTCTCACTACTGCCGTTCCCAAGGACTCTGTAAGTGTTCCTCATAAAGAAAACGAAAGATCCACATCTATCCATGCCAATACCTCTCCGAAGCCAGGATCGTCCTCTGCTGCCACTACCACCAGCACCCCAAGTAAGCCACCTTCCAATGAAAACAAAGTGGAAAGTGCCACCAGCGTAAGTCACTCGTCTGTCGCATCTGGATCCGCAGCGTCAACACCCACCAAATCAACAAGCACTACCACCACGATCACACCTAAACCTAACCCCGCATTAACTCAAGGGGATCGATCGGCCCAAAAACCGCTCGGTGCCGGTGTTCTAAGCAACACTGGCAACCTTTCGCCATCAGCGACGGAACTTGCCAAACCAAACGAGAAAAAGACGGAAGAAAAATCGAGCTACACAGCCGCAATTCTTGGATCCGTGTGTGGTTCGATTGCTTTGATTAGTGCCACTCTAGGCTATGCTTATCACCGAAAAATGAGACGTAATCGTATGAATGCCGATCAAGCGCGTTATCGATTCAGCGACCATCGCCTATCGTCGTCGGCTCTCGCGTACGATAACGCTTCTGGTTTGACACCTTCCATTGCTGATAACTTTGGCCATTCAGGAGGATATCCTTACGATAGTAATCAGAAATATATGCGTCCCTTGTCCCGTCATGACACATTGCATTATCAGCATCCTTATACGACGGCCTCCACCGTGCCTCAATATAGCGTGGGCCACACCGCGGGATGGCCAGCCACCGATACTTCCACTGCCACCATGTACACATCGGATCTGTATCCATCCATGAGCCAACCTTACACAGCCCCTGTGAGTAACTACTATGAAGCCATGGACAATCCTCCAACTTTATATCATGATGTCACAAGAAGTATGACACGGTCATCGAACACGGGATCGGTGGCTGCGCGTCCCATTTATTCACCTCCCAACACATACAACGAGAAAGATCTAAATTTTCCTGCACACAAGTAAATTTATACACATACATATGCACATTTCTATGACTTTTTTTTTTCAAATAAAGATAATTGTAGATAAGCCATGTCTTTATTTGCACAGACTAGGCTACAAATTATAGCATGACCAATTTTCCAATTGCATTATCTAATGCAATCGACCCTGAAAATCCCATCGACACCTTCATTCCTTATGTGATATTGTTTGTAATACGCTCATCAATGAAACTGTATGGCTTGTTCGATGAGGAAAAAAGTAAAATAAAATACAAAAATATAAAAACAAACCGATACAAAGATGCCGAGTCGCGTGTCAAAAAACATATTTGCAGAATCAGTTTTTCATTGGATGATTGGATTCAGGGCTCCAAGTCACTTGCATCAAGTATTCAAGTCACCTTGTAAATCTCAAAGGATGGTGTGATTTTTCTCCCTTGTTATGTATTGCAAACGCGTCAAGGCGAGATGAATTACCGCTGTGACAAAAAATAAAATAAAATAAAATAAAAAATCCAGGGGCTGGTCACACGTGCTATGATAGGATACATCGCGCTCAATCCTCTCAATGTCATAGTAGAAAATACAGATCATTATTTTTACATTGTACATATTGTTGAGGAGAGTATAATAATGAGTGATCCTTGTCGGACGTGCGGTGAGCGATAGATTAAACATAAAGTGAAGCAATAGAAATTGATACAAATGATTTAACCTTTATTTATACCTCGTATTTGTGCGACATAGTGGTATCTTGGAGCAACAAAACAGGTGTTCTGAGTGTGGAGAGTCCAGGAATCCTTGAACCTTGTATTTTGATTTTAGTTGTGCAATATATCATTTCGAAAAAGTAAAGTCGTCGTTTGGAATCGGATGCCGTGCCAATGGAGTCGCCACCTTCACGCAGCTCGCGCCAATGTAAAATAACAACCACCTAGGACATATATTGTCTGCTGTGCCGCTGTCCTGTAGTGCTAGTAAGCTACATCCACGGATTCCTTGGCGTCAAAACGAACGCGAACCAAGGATAGCGGAGAACTGGCCAAAGGCGAGACGCCTATGGAAAGGTTCAGGCAGGATTCTCTTTGAAACGATCGACGCAGACGACGCGCAACAAGAAGCCCAGATATGGAATGATCGCAAACCTGATTCGAGCAAAATCCTCACAATAACCTTGATCGCCCTGTTTACCATGAAAATGCGGCCCACGACACATATGCTTGCCGCATTCAGAGCGGTCCTTATCATCCGATGCGGTCTTTGCTTTCTCAAGACCATCGTACCAGTTGTAGATTTGTAGAGGAAACTCCAAATTGGAACAGTCTGTCATCTTGACTATATAAAAGAATGATTGGAAGTTGAACAAGCATTATGCAATCTGAACACAATGGATTTTTCTGGATCATCTGACAATTTTTTTTTTTGGCACGATTATCCAATATCGCGACTTTACTTTTTAAAATGACGGTGATACATAGTTCCTTTATTGTTATATTTTTGTTGCTTAACAACAATGACAACTAGATAACCGCAAAAACGTATCTATGATCTAGGGCCACACCTGTTCCTGGATTATCTCATTGCAATAAGGATGCCATTGCGTTGCCAACCATTTCACGTGGATTCACATGGCGACATGGATTCACAATCGACTAGTGAAACCCCGTTTGGGTCAAAAAGAAAAAAACGTGTAGAACAAAACTGACTGAGTCCCAAGCTAACGTGTTCAGCTTTGCAAAACACGGTGCGTGCGAATGCGACCTTTTTTTTTTTTTTGGTTCAGCAAAGAAAAAAAAAAAAACCAAAATAATGACGTGAATCGGACGGTGAAAAATGCCTATAAATATTGATCTCCTTAACAAGCCCTTTTTCTTCTTTGTGTCCCGCTGTTATCTTTTCTGTTAGATAATGATGTTGCGTTCGCAGAGTCAACGCGTAAGTTACTCCTCCTATAGAGTTTATATGCTTCTTTTATAGAATGTGAGAGGGACAAAGAAGGGAGGAAAGTCATATGAATGAAGGAGACAGCGATTCGGCATTGTGAGCCCTGGGATTCCTAGCTCTACCTTTTTTTTCTTCTCTCTCTCCCAATCCCTCAACAATGAAGCATTAGTTCATGGACTTTCTTGTTCTTTGTTCCTAATGTTTATTATTCTGTCTCGTACTGTGCAAAGCGTCAATACTCATACCGTTTTTTTTTCTTCTGTATCCATTCGTTCTCGCCCTGATATCTATCGGAACAATAGTCCAGTAAATGGAAGTCGTCTGATACTCTGCAAAACGAGAGCGAGAATACCTCTTCTAATGGACCCCCATCTGAAAATGGCAAACCTTTCATCGCGTCAGTTGACGATGCTGTGTCGAATGCAAAAACGAAGACAGCAGGACTCCAAGACACGCGTGCCGCTCTATCCGACAAGAGTAATATTACAAGACCACAGTTGGTAATGCTTCCATCCACTGATCACGGCACCCTTTTTGCCACTTTGTCATTACCCATTAACCCAACTGACATTGTCCATTCCTATTTTTTTTTCTTTCCTCCAGCGATCGGTTTTGGATAAAAAATCGGCCGTCATTGTGAAATCGGATACGCAGGTTCATGTGGACGTCGTGCAAACCACACCCAACGATAATATACGACTCTCATCCTCCACCACAGACAATGAAAACGTGCAACGCCCTTTAGAGAACCCGACAACAAAAATAACAGCCACCACCCACAAGGAAAAAACAGCCGATGAGGCCCTTGTAAAAGATTTCTTTGATGATAACAAGACCAGATATCCACGTTCGGCCGCAGAGGAAGTTGAACCTACCCCGATTCTACCCATCATTGTTCCCGAACGATTGCGCCATCGTTTCCGCGGCGTCGTCGCTTCCGGATTAGGTGACAAACGATCATCAGAAACCATCGTCGACCACGACAACGACCACCCCCAGGAATCCAAGTTCCATGGAATCGATACCACCAAAAAATCGAAATACGTGCATACCACCTCCAATACACTTCAGGCTTGGCCTCAAACCTCCCGACGCGAAAAGTTCTTTGCTGGTAACAAACACTTTGAACCTCTTGTATTAAAGGCTTACCCAGAAGCGCTGGAACGTGAAGCCAAACTGGGGTCTTATCGTCATCGAACGGAATCCAAACACGACGATTGGCACGATCCCATGCTCGCGTCCGTGTACGTTGATGATATATTTAACCACTTTCTGGAAGTGGAAAAGGATGTCTTGGCCGATCCGTTCTACGCGACCAAGCGACAACACGAAGTGACGTGGCGCATGCGTAGCGTGTTAATGGATTGGGTGGTGGAAATCCACTTCATCTTTCAATTGCTTCCTGAAACCTTGTATCTTGCTGTAAATATGATTGATCGATTCTTATCCGCGCGCCCTATTGCTCTCGGGAAGTTGCAATTAGTCGGCGTCACCGCACTGTTCATCGCCACCAAATTTGAAGAAATCGCCGCACCCAATGTCACGGAATTCCTCTCCATGACCGACAAAACCGTGAAAGCGTCCGATTTGTTGAAGGCCGAACGGTTCATGCTCCAGGTCCTGGATTTCAAGCTCTGTTATCCTAATCCTTTATACTTTCTTCGACGTACCTGTGAAGTGAAAGACTTTGATGTGCATGTCTGCACTCTGTCAGAATACTTTTTGGAAGTATCCTGTGTTGATCATCGCTTCATCGGCTATCGTCCCTCCCAACTGGCGGAAGCCTCGGCTCTGTTAGCAGAACACATGTTGACCAAAAAGGACTGGGTAAGTTTTTTCTCTTGTGTATTACTCAAAAAGTTTGTTAAAAAAACACCTATTCTTAACACGTGGATGTTTGTCAGTCTGATCAAGAGCTTCAAAAAACTTATGATTACGCCGAAGGCGAGGTGAAAACCATTGTTAATTTCATGCTGGATTATCTCGCGCAACCAGTTCAACACGATGCATTCTTCAAAAAATGGTCCTCCCGACGATTCATGAAAGCAAGCGTCTTTGTTCGTGATTGGGTCAATCGCTTCTATATGAACTAAAAAAAAACAACAAAAACAACCAACTTATTTTACATCATGCAAAAACTCATAGTCTTTTTTTTATATACTTTGTTATCTCTTTTCTTTTCAATGTCTTCAATACAATACAATCATTTCACACGATCATTTTATTCGGATGGTTTACATTTACAGTTTTGATGCGCTCGACAAAAAAAAGGGATGGTAGAAATGAAGCATGGGTTGTTGGTCATCGTGCGGGGGGGGAATTCGGTCTTGCAGGTAGCTCCCACTTTCGCGACTGGATTTTTGGCCCTTGTTGGCCATGGGTGATGTACAGGAATGGATGAATGGAGAAGAGCAAATAGACATAAAAAAGGAGAGGTAACGATAAGACGCAGCTGGGATTTTACGGTTGCTTGATGACTTTGATGGTACTGGACGGACTGCGGTAACGTACTCCACTGGTTAAATCACATTCCAATCCGAATTGCCATGCATTGTCTTTTCCGTTGCACGGATAGCACATGGCACACACTGAACTTGGTTGTCCGCATCGCCACTGTCCTCGCTTAATTCTTAAATACATGAGCTCCATATCTTCGGTGTCACATGGCTGCGCAATAAGATCCTCTTCACAAACATCCTTTCGATCTTGGACTCGAATATCATGAACCGATGACACGTTATAACCAAACAACCACACGGCCATACTTCGATCATCATTTTCCAGCATTCGATGCGGCGTTGTGGAGTGAACAATCAGTGATACAATGTCCCGCGATAAGATGGTTAAAGTGCCGGATGTAAATGGTGGAAGAATCGGCATGGTATACTCTTCGGCAGGTGTCAGGAACCGGTATTTACGAAGCAGGCTCACCTGCGGCATATCTCTATAGAGTGCATACCATGCAAATCCAATTTCAGTAACGCGCATCGCAAAGGACTTTTTCAATGTGACTGTGGCAACGCGACCCACGTAACGCGTTTCATTAAAAACGCGCTTAATTTTTTTTTCTTTTTTGGCGTACCTGTAAACCATACCGCGCCAGTAATTGGGCAAAGGTCCCAAAGCTTCCAGTTCGGCCATCACCGTATCCCAGCGCACAAAGACATCATCCCGTGTCTTCACAAGATAGTCATACTGGAATTGAGCGGTCCAGTGCAGTGCCTGAAGCAGTTTGTGGCTTTGAGCGGACGTCAAGTCGGAGGAAGGCACCATGAGCAAGTCACCGTGGAGTTTCGATTCGCGTAGTAACGCGTTGCCAGACAACATTTGAATCCGCGCCGAAGGAGGTTGCCCGATCACAAAACGGTAAACGACTTTGTCTCGTGGCAACCAGTGAAGCACGGTGTTGCGTAAGATATGGCGACGATGGGCATTGGACCATGAAGAAAGAATCAGTACCACAATCGTCGGTGCCTCCATCGATGATACGGCCGAGTTCAAACTGAATGGACTGTGCAACAGTTCGCTGGTGGTATACTGCAATTTCTCGATTTGGCAAAGAGCGACCAAGGTGGTTAAACATGTGACAGCAAACAGTGGAAGTACCAAGGTTTTCACGACTTTGGATTTCAGATTGATCCTCGGAACGAGTTCCCACCGTTTGCGATGGTATTCTGCTTTGGAAGCAAATCGTAAACGAAGAAGATCGGTCACCAACAAGATAACACAGTTGGTGATCCATGACTTTATGGGCTTATCTGCATTATGCGAATTAACAAAGAACGAGATGGACCAGATAATCACCGTCAATGTAATCAGTCGAACCATCGCGCTTCCGATTTCATAGTGGTATATCCATCTCCTCAATAATCTTGTGGTCACAATCCAGCCCCAATAACCTGCAAGGGCGCACTATACAAGAAAATGTATGGTGGGTTTTTCATAATCAATCTCTTTGCCTCTCTTTTCCCCCCGACCATCTTTCTTCGATTTCTCTCTCTCTCTCAACGCACACACGCAAACAGAGATTTCCCGTTCCATGTCATATAGTCGAAAAAGGGGTCGATAGTCTGTAAAACAGGATCACCCACTTACCCAGATATTGGCCACCCAATAATCCATTTGAGTACTGTGAAGGATAACGGCGCCACCTGCGTCCCGTTCGGCTACGTTCAGGGAAGCTTGAATATTATGAAGAGCACCGAGCGGTGCAGGTATGATGCTCAAAACGCGGATAAGGATCAGTGGGACATGGTAACGGCGAGGAGCATTGAGACTGGAGATAGTTTTGGGTTTCGTCTTCTTTTTTGAGGACGAGGAAGGAGGGTATTTCATGGCTATGAATAGGATGGGGACAAAATGGGAATCAACGGTAGCAAAATCGCAACACCTAGATTGACTGAATGGAATTTGGCAACACAATGAGCATAATCGACGCTTATCCAACCGACTCGAAAAAAAAAGGATCTCCAAATGGGAGGGCGGAGTTGCTTCAGAAAAAAAATTCGCCATTTGTGTCACTTTTATCAACATTTGTCACATCACATTCATCAAATATGCAGACACCCTTGTTTTCAATATAAAGCAATTTTAAAAGGTGATAAATATGCAAATGATCATTATGGGGGAAAATAAATGACGAATGGTCAACCGGAAAAGCAATGCTTGGTTAGTTCCCTTCATAGATACGCTAAAATCATATCCGTATCCGAAAATGTTCTTCAGTTTTCGCGTTACAGCTTATACTTCTTTGAGCTTGCTATTATCGATTTACGATTCTCGTCCTTGAATCATCAGTCCACGACGTATGGGGACGCTATCCGTCACCTACATAGTACCGTGGGTTAATTCAACAAGTAAAAAGACAACGCGCGTTAGTGTTCAATGCTCCGTACCTGATGACAACCCCAGACTTTCACTTGGGTGAGCAAAGGACATCCGTCCATCAATGATTTCAAGACAAAGTCATCCATGGAACGAACAAATCCACAGTCCAAGTACTGCAGATTTTTCAAGCCTTCTTTTCCACTCAACGCTTCAAGCGCCGAGGCTGTAATATTTTCCAAGCTGTGAATGTCGAGGTGCTCGAGACTTTTGTACGAGTGTCTGACAATGGCCAGTAAAGCATCGTCTTCCAGCAAGACACACCGGGACAGATCGAGGTACTTCAATCCTTGGCCTGGCCATTGTGTTTTCCATTCGGTAAACAACGTCTGCACACCTGCCGACGTGATCGATTCGCACTGCGCCAGCTTCAAGGTATGCAAGTTCGGGCAATGTTCACGAATCGCTTCAAGTACTTTATCGTCCACCTCCGTGCAACCGCGCAAGGCTAATTCGGTCAACCCATTGCCAACGGCTTGCACAAGTTTGGTAATAGCCGCCGATGAAAAGTTTCTCTCGCTTGACGGCCAAGACAGCTCCAGAGTCTCGAGGTGTTTCAACACATGCAGATCGTCTAACCATGTATCCTCCATTTTCACCAACCGCATCAATCGCAAATGCTTCAGCTTCCGGGCATGCTTCGTCAAGGCTTGCAAAGAAGCATGCGTGAAGCGCATCGAATGGCTGATGGAAAAGCTTTCCAATCGATCGCCGGTTTTTTCAAAGAACGATTCCCATGCTGCACTCGTCACCAAATAAGAACCTGAAAGTTCAAGCGACCGTAAATCCTTCAGTCGATCCGCATAAGCATCGATCACCGCATCGGTTATCTTGCCACAATAGATCAATTTCAGTTTCTGGAGTCGAGGACAGAACTGGGCAATATTCATCAAGCCGGTTTCATCAACACCTAATCATGGATGATAATAAGCCCAACGCGCTACGTTGATCACATAGAATACAAGTTATTTTCTTACCTGTACAATCGTAGAGAGCGAGGTCACGCATCACTGGTTCCATAAACAAACGTGCGGTATGGTTATTCAATTGACGATTGCGACAGATGATCTTGGCGAGTTTATCCATATTGATAAAACTAATATCGCCCAAGGCTTCGACATTTTCAATATATTTGGCAATGACCTAGCCAGATTCACGAAAATAAGACCATTGAGCCGCGATATTCTTTTGGGGGGAGGAGAACTTACGTCGATACACAAATCTTGCAAGGTAGGGACAAGGTTTGCATCGCCTTGCTGGTTGCCTTTTCTCTGAACGGCTCGCTTCTTTTTCGGCCGTTTCGATTTATCGATGGGCTTGTTCTCGAGACAGGAGGGGCAAACGTTTTCTTGACCCGCCGCATCGTCGACTGCGCGGGCGTAGCGTCCTTTACATCGGGAACAGAAAAATATGCGTGTACGACCTGCCTGGGATCGTCGGGAACTGGAAGGTCCAGCAGCAGGACCGCCTTCATCCTCGTCTCTGTAATCATCGTCGGAATCATCATCCTTTTTCTTTCTCTTCTTTGCTGCTTCCACAATCGCTCGGTTAGCTGCTCCAGAAGCTGCACGGCGTTGACGACCACTGGGTGTATATAGAATGGCGGTAGTGGCTTGCTGATCGGTGGATTCCGCAGCAGCATCGTCATTCGGGGTAGGTGTATTGGCTTCACTGGCAGAGAACGCCTCGGCCGCAGGTTGTTCTGGTTCTGCGGCTCTTTCCCGTCTAGCTCTTCGGCTTCTGTTTTCCACTCGAATGCCATGTTCCTGTCAAAAGTGTCAAATTATCAGTGACTCTACTTTAGATCGATCGAATGTACGAGCAGCAACACTCACCCTCAGAAAGCTACTAAGAGCCGATGTAGGACCTCTAATTCGGTTCGAACCATTGCGACCTTGGTTATTGTTATTATTATTGTTACGAGACGACATGACACAATGGAGCCTTGATCAGAAGAGAGAAAAAGGAAAAAGGGCAGATCCTCATCCGCAGCAATGTCGGCTTTCCAATTTGACAGCCCAACGAACTAACCGGTAACCTATCCTGTGCGGCATCACGACAACAGTCACACGATGGTTCGCATTGTGAGCCTCTTCTCTGCATGGCTAAGAACCATTAAGCAATTGTAAGCACGCATCATACGCTGAGAAAAAAGTCCAACGTTCACAAACTAGTGAGAAGCTCTTTTCCTTTTTATTGATAGTGCATGATTTTTTCTCGTGTTTTACCTACACTTTGACATGCACAGTATAAAACACACTATAAAGGTTGGAAAAAATCAAACAAGTAAAAATCAAATGTAGTAAATATCAAGCAATAACAAGATAAGTAAGCATAACGTGGTGAATTGAAGATACTCTGGGATTTTATCACTGGCGATCAAGACGAAATGGGAATATTTGGCATCCCGGATTCCCATAATAGGTAATTTCCCGGAGAAACAGCTTTCGGTGTGTGTGACTGTAAAGTGCCTTCTCCGGAGGGCCCCATCCCATCATACCATCGGCTCACCGAATCCTCAGATCCTTCCTTTTCATCAACATCCACTATGGGTAGGCATCCATCCATTATCGGATGAAGCAATTATCGCATGAGATCCTATTTTTACGATGGTCTAACGTTTATATATTCGATCTGTCTTTTTTTTATTATTTTACCTGAAATGAAGGTATTAGCCGTGACTCCAGGCACAAGCGTTCGTAAGTTGAACATGGGACCTTACCATTTCACATGAATTGTAACATGAAACTCATTCATTTGCCAATGTTATACAGCGCTACCGGTGCTCGACGTGACCAGTACAGAAAGAAGAGAAAGTAAGTTGGCATAATTAAAAAGGACATGGTGGATTCTAGTGAGAATGGGGTTTCTGATCCGTGACAATTTTTTTTTGTTCAGGTTCGAATTGGGTCGTCAACCCGCCAGCACCAAGGTCGGCAGCAAGCGCATTCACTTGGTTCGTGTCCGTGGTGGCAACTACAAGAAGCGTGCCCTTCGTCTTGAATCTGGTAACTTTGCCTGGGGTTCCGAGGGTGTGTCCCGCAAGACCCGTGTCTTGACCGTTGTGTACAACGCCTCCAACAACGAATTGGTCCGTACCAACACTCTTGTCAAGGGTGCTGTTATCCAGATCGATGCCACTCCTTTCCGTCAGTGGTACGAATCTCACTATGCCCTTCCTCTTGGCAAGAAGAAGAACAAGAATGCTGTAAGTGGATTTACTCGAGTGTTACTTCGATTTTACGTGCAATGGCTAACGGAGGGTTTAAATCAATAGGAGGTTGAAGCTTCTGCTGAAAAGAAGTCCAACAGCGTTCAGAAGAAGCTCGAAGCTCGCAAGTCTCGTGCTGCTGTTGATCAGCTCTTGGATGACCAATTCGCCGCTGGTCGTCTCTATGCCATCATTGCCTCGCGTCCCGGTCAGTCCGGCCGTTGCGACGGTTACATTCTCGAGGGTAAGGAGCTTGAATTCTACATCAAGAAGATCAAGGTAAATATCACACGTAAACCGGTAAACACAACATAAAGATCATGATGTACTCACATCTGTCTATCTTTTTTCCTTCATTAGTCCAAGAAATAGGTTACGTGTTGTGGAGATTTACGAATAAAGATAGAAACAAATACAAACTTACCGGTCCAAATGTGTGTGTGATGTGACGATAGGCAGAAACGGCTTGACGTGCATACTAGGAAGGAGACATGTCAGGCATGTGTAAACCTGCGTGTTCATCCATAGAGTTTTGTGAAACATTGTTCGTTTCCTTGGGGAGCACCGTTTACATCAAACTAGATTCACTATTAATTCACAGATGTTTGCCTTCTACTTAACTGATATCACCGTGATGTCTACAGGTTGTATCACAAACAAGTGTATTGGTCAAGGTTTTCGATCTAAAGCACCTTTATAAGTGTGATGTCATTATCATTCTTCAAGTTTTCGTACATCCATCTTTTAATAGGAGCTTTGGCACCTTTAAACATTGGTGAAGAAAAATAAGTTCTTCAAAGCAGGCTGGTCCCTTATCACAGAAATATGCGATCCTGGCGCATCTCAACTTGAGGACTGCAAGATATATTACTGCTTTGGTAATGTATATGATACGAGTCATTTTTTGATACCGGTCAATACATGAATCCACAGTCATCTGTGAGAAAAGATTCTTAGTATGATAAACGCGATCAGCAGAATAGGATTACCTAAAAGGGCTCCAATTTCCGACGATCCTTCCCAAAAACAGGGAGTTTTCTTTTTTTTTTTTTTTTTTTTTTTTTTTCTTTCGACAGAATACTGTATGATTACTTGTCCGTTCTTCCCGTCATGACAAGAGGATATGCTTCCCATGTCGCATGCATAGTCATACTTATGCTTGCAATGAATGTGTGCTTTACAACAGCTTCTATTCGAGGTTTGTTCGGCACCTCAGCCCACAAACGACAGCTGCGTGTTGCTGATGACAAGCGATTGATTGGTGATGTTAGAGGATCTCGACACCGTCCGCTTAATGGACGACCTCACAACAAGCGAGGGGCAAGACACGAGCTTTTATCAGTGGCTAGGCGTTCCTGTAATTACCGCCATCAAAATCAATGGTTTCAGGCGTATTAACCTGTATCATAGTCGAGTGCATCCTTGGCGGACATTGGTCATGCTCACCGTCGATTAGCCGTGGAATGGCAGTGAGTAAACGCTGAAAGATAAAGTCCGGATATACCACAGCAATAACGGCAGTAAACTAGTCCGTCTGCTTACGGAGGAGAGCAGAACCAGGGAAACTATGATCGGTTAGCTCGAGTGATACGAATTCTTCGTCAGCCTGTTCGTCGACAACGCTATGACCAGTTTCTAAGCAAGGGATTGCCTTTCTGGTTAAAGGCGGTTCAGCTTACTCTTCATTATCCAACCAGCTTTGGTGTGGTCATGCTTGTTGTGGGCGTGGGAGTCATGGAATATTTGAAAGCGTGGACGACTTACTTCTCGGAAAGACATAAAATTCGACGACTTCTTCAAGATGCAAGCTATGCAATGACCAAGTTACCTGAACGTTATCGCGAAGCTCACGTGCACAGGACGTTTGTAGAGATGGATGGGCAGCGATTTAAGGTGGAATTTTCGGATACGGAAGGCGCGATTGTTTATAATCATCAAGGCGAAAGGATATCCTTGGAAGATCATTGCGCGCCGGTGCCTTCACTTGGACGCAATATATTCTTTATACGATGGCTCACCTCTAGCAAGAACCGAGATGAAGTACGTTATAGTTCCTCCGCCTCACCATCAGCGAATTCCAACAAAAATACCAGATTTACTCGTTGAAATATCCCAAAGTTTTAAACATTTATCATCTTATTTTCTTGCATTGGTACTTCTTGACAAAAGGGGAGAAAAAGGTCAAGAAAAAGACTTTGCTTTTCTTACTCACTTTGTCGATTTTTGTGAGATTTTTGTCAATGCTATGATACCTTCATGTAGCAACACCAATCAAAATCGGGGGTTCCGGTCAAGTGATAATTATCAAACTGAGACGCCAGTGTATAGTGGTTTTGATGAGGCAACAGGGAACGCGCCGTCGGGAGGGGTTTAAGTGCTTCTATGCATGCAGGATTGGAGGAAGGTAAAAGGAGAAAAAGAGGTCTGAATGTGTAGGCCGTGCGTTTTTTGTGATAATCAAAGGTATAAACAAATGCATGTGCGTTATGATCTTTCTTGCTTTATTGGATGGACATGCCAAGCCCAAAATGAGCATAATTATGTGGCTTTTTTTTCGTGGCATTGATTGGCAATGGTTTATACCTTTTTTTGATTGGTGTTTCTTGCGCGACGTGACGGTAACAGAATGAACATGACAGAATGAAAAAGATGATAGATGACAGCAGTAAAAGGGATAGAAGTAAGCTTGGTGCATCGACAGAATGACAATATGAAAAAAAAGGGAGTCAGGGATGGTCTGTTTCATTGTTAGACTTTTTTGGGTTCTTTTTTCGATCACAGACGGAAAAGCATAATGGAATTCGTCATTGAAAAGCGAACATTTTTTTTTTTTTTTTGTGTTCCATGCAAAGCTGACTTGTCTGCTTCCAAAAAAAAAATCCGAAAATATACTCTTTGCTTGCACAAAACACTGACGCCAACTTTTTCTTTGTTCCTTTTTTTTTTTTTTTGTAAAAGCATAAAAACTAGGTGAGTCCTGAAAGGCAAACCAGGAACCCGCACTTTTCTTGTTTTTCGTAACTGACAATGTCGTATTTTCTTTTTGCCATCACCATGGTTGCCATTGTTACCGTTGCTCTTCATTACAGTACCTGGCTCACCGGGCCATTCCAAGCCCTATTTCAGCGAAACTCATTCAACTTGTTATCCTTGTTGCCATGCTGCTAAAGGCCATTATTGTCAGTGACGCGCCCAAATTAGCGACATCCAGTTGCATCATTCAAAGAAGCTCGAGTCGTCGAAAGCCGCTGTCAACTTCTTCCGTCCCTCCTCGAGCCTCACGAACCAATGTCGACAAACAGACAACCACGACGGACGGCGACTTTTACCAAGTCCTCCAACGCTACTCGACATTGTACCGCATCGTCTTGGCCCGGCCCATGAGCAACGGTTTGATACTCGACGAATGGCAACGCATTTACATCCAGGTGGTCAACGAACTTGGGTTGCTCCTCGACGGAGAGAAAGCGAAACAGTGTTGCATGCGATTATCTTGTAGGTTGTTGGTGAAAGGCCCTGAAGGTTTTGTGCAAGATCCCAACTATCATATGGAAACGCGTGGTTCCCTTTACGATGCATGGGAAACAATGGACGGCCTCACTTCATCCAATTGGCCGGGATTTTACGACAGTGGTTCAGGAAGTATCGATGTTCGCATTGTCGCCACCCATAGTAAGGTCAGCCAAAAGGCGTGCTGTCCGCCAAAATCGATCTATATCCATATTTCTCCAGTATTTGAAGAGCCGTATTCTTTCCACGCGTTACCGCTCGTGATAGGACCCGTCGAAGTCGAAGCAGAGAAGAGTGCACGGACAAATGATACCTGGGGTGCCGATAGACAATCCAAGGCAATGCATCGCGCGTTTTGTTTGGATCAGACATCCATGTCGGTTTTCCTCATTAAAGAAGGATGGATGTGCGGAACACCGGGGAAAATGTGGGATTCAGCTCTCGTGCTCTCGGATATGCTGGTCAATCGGATCCGTCATCAGCCGCAGTATCTTGAACACCGTCGAATCATTGATCTAAGCGCAGGGTATGTCCTTGGATCTGAGGAATTCTTGTTGCACTTCAAACTGATGACTTGTGTTATTGTTTTTTCTTGCGGTCTTTTTCTTACAGTACAGGTTCGGTCGGGTTATTAATTTCCAGTATATACCAACGATGGTTCCCCGATCGGATGCCTCAGATCACCCTTACAGATTTACCTGAAGCGCTTTCGCTGATTGAATTTAACAAGAACCTCAACTTTAACAGTGACATCAACGCCAACGTGCGCATCGAACCACTGGAATGGGGCAACATCGATCATACCACTCACATTGCCAACTCTGGGCCTGTGGATCTCATTATTGCCTCGGATGTCGTTTATAACCCGTCATGCTTCAGTTTACTCGTACAAACATTGGAAACCCTGAGTACTCCCGGAAGGACCGTCATTTACCTCGGATATAAGCGGCGTGGTTTGAAGGAAGAAGATGAAGATCAATTCTTCAAACTTTGTTCAGCGAACTTCCACATTAGTTTGGTGCAAAAGAACCAGATGTCCGATGGGTTTGGCGACTGGGAACGAGAACAAGCACCACTCGTGAGAGATAGCGATGATGGTAAAGGATGGATGGGAATCTTGCCTTCTGGTCGTACTTCTTCTCTGGGGAATCCCCAAGAAACCGGTGTCCGTGTCTATCGCCTAACCAAGAAAATCAATTAAGCCCTTTCTCTTGGATCCTCCCGCTATCTATCTATCTATCTTTCTTGTGAATTTTTTCCTTTTCTTTTGCTCCCTGTGCTCTCGCTTTTCCCCTTTGCTTTGTTTTGTTTTGTTTATACAAATTAACACCAGTCTCTCGCCTTTTTTAGATTAATATCTCCAATAAAATAGATCGTAATACATGTAAATATCAAGAATTCGGACTCAAATTCTTCCATCACAGCGCAAGTCAGCAAGCTCTTAATGAAAAATGGTGTCATTTTTCAGTAGTATTTTGGTGGTCAAGGACCAAAGACGTTGGCGTACAGATCAATATCTCCGGTTTGGTTTCCTGACTCTGCACCAGTTTGGACTTCAGTTGAAGAAATCCAGAAGGAACTCTCTCAAAATGCATCCACATCGTTTATTGGAACACTGGTCAATAAATATAACGAAAAGCACTGCGACCACTTTTGGGATCATGCAGAGCGCTACGAACGGAAGCAGAAAAAGCTCGTTCATCTGCCATCTATACAAAGACTGTGCAAGAGGAAAAAGCAGCTAAATTGATTGATCAACAGAGTGGGATAAAATTTGCAAGACACGAGTAGGTGATCCTTGCGCATGATTAGTGATTTGAGAAAAAATTGTGGACACATTCGTTGCGGTGACAAATGGCATAGAAAAGCTAGACTAGCACAAGCCAATAGCAATTACGGATGAATACAAAACGAGCGAGTCAATAGTCCGTGTTCTATCCTATTATCAAAGAAAAAAATTACTCAAAAGGAATTCATCAGAAACAGAAGTTGCTTCAACAAACTGTCAACGGGTTCTGCCAAATGATGCCGCTGGTGAAAATTTGTGTCAACAAAAGTGCATCGCACGAGTAAGTGGTGTCTTCCACTTTTTCTTCGCAACGGAAATCATTCTTGATGCAATGGGATTCCCATCTAAAGTTTGGAGATTGCTGGAAACCCCATGGATATGCGGCTTGTTTTCTTTTTTTGTGTTGTCATGTGCTTAACAGAATAAGCTTTTCAACTACTGTGGTTGTTATGCAGAGCATATCGAGCGAGCTGTTGTTCAGCTGATGAAGATCATTCATTCATCCATTCATTTTTTTGTATTACCATTTGTTTATCCGTTAAAAAGCAGGTTCACATATTTCCCGACAGTATGCATTTGCATAATGCCCTTCAAGTGACTAGAATTTATCAGACCATTGGTGGCACATCCAACGAGGGCTCAATTTGGGTCGCAAACACCAGCCTTCTGAGAAAACAAGTCAAGAGGATCAGGTATGACTATCAGTGGAGTGAAATAGGGTGCAATAGACTACCATTGCGGGTCTTCACCATACAACACTGACCCTGTAGCACTTTTTTAGGTGGGCAATTTTTGACATGGCTCTTTGGAAAGATCCTCGAGAACCTGAAACATCTCAGCCATTCTTCGCAACAGCAGTTGCATGTTTGTGTAACGCATGTGAGTTCCAAACACATAAATGACAACGACGTCGTTTTCCTATATTCCGATCAGCAACATTAACTGGTAAATGATATGCACGTCTGTTCGCCATATATATTTTAGACAAATTAGGACTCAGTCATGGATCACTGCTCTCCGTACTGTCATTTGCACCTTTCTTTCTGGGTCACTGAATTCTTTGTTCAATTGTTTAGTTTCCATCTATGATAAGTATCAAACAAAAATTCTTGGAAATTCCATTGACAAGGCAACATGAAAATAATACAGTATGGGATGCTAAGAATTTCTAAATGTATTATACAAAAACATCAAACATGCTAAGCAAAAAAAAAAAAAAAAGGGCGCAAAAAAACAGGGGGAAATATGCGGGAAAAGGTATATTACATCATATACGGGTAGGAATGATGCATCATATATGGATTCCACTGCACCAATGGTGGCTGTGCTGCAAAATTGCCATACATCATCGGATGTTGAGGTCCCGACATTGACCACAAGGGGGACATGGGATAAGGTACATGCATTGGCATTGGTGCTGGTGGTGGAGGAGGAGGAGGAGGGAACGAAGCAAATGATGGCATCATCATCATCGAAGGGTATCCGCTGGGCATCATGGGCATGCCACCGTAGGGCATTCCATTCATCGGTGGATACATTGTCCACATATCGTTGACAGGTCGAGATGAGCTGGGATCAACAATTTGAGGATGATACTGTTGTGGAGGGTAATAAGGAATCATCTGCTGTTGCTGCGGCAGTTGTTGTGGTGGTTGCTGTTGTGGTTGCTGGGGATATGACATGGCCATGACAGGAGCGTTGGCTTGTGCTTGTTGTTTCGCAGCTTCGTGTTCTTGCCATTTATGAATGGCATAAGCGGCTGCTCCTGCTAAACCGGCATCGCGCCAGATTCGTCGAGGTTCGTCATTGGAATCTTCATGGCGATGCAATAAATGCTCGGCTCCAAAGAAAGTCGCAGCATCCAGTAACAAGCTGCGTGCATTATCAAAATAGGACATGGAAAACAAAAAAGGTTTGGGTATCAATTTATATATATATATATATAATAAGTCAGTTCTGGTTCCTTGATTTTTGTTGTTTCTTATTTATTGTTTTTTCGTTGCTTTTTTTTTTCTTCTTTGTTTATTTATTGTTTTTCTTGTGCACAAAAAAAGGAGCTGAACCATACGATAGCCACTTTCCATATTTATAGAGGTTGGACAGTGGGTGTTATTGAATTGCTATTTTCTGTGTCTATTTCGTTCTTGTTTTTAAGCTGTCATGGATGAATCTGACATCATGCAATCTAACCACAAGAGGGATTTGAATGGATCGTCTGATGGAAAAAAGGCAAAGCAGGGCCAAATATTCAACTCTTTTTAGTGATCAATGAATAGGTGTAATAGCCAATCCATTTTTGGATCATCGATTGTTTTCCCACCTAACGCAATGCTCTTTTTTTTAAAACTCCCGCCCACTCCGAATGTTGTGCCGAAGCAAGGCAAAAAAAAAAAAAAAAAAAAAAAAAAAAAACGAACGGATTGCATCCCCGAAAACAAAAAAACTTGTCATTACCCAGAGGGAGTTCGGGAGCAGAAAAATGAAAAAAAAAAAAAAACGATTTTCCCTTTTTGCCCTTTTAACAAAGCGTTGAGCTGACAGTAAAAGATCTTGTTGCCTCCTTATATTGCAAAATAAAAGACCCATCAATCGTTACATAAATTGCATGTATTGGCGAATGGTAATTCTTTAATTCACCTCATGACCTACCTTGTGGCATCCCGATCAACCTTTTTTTTTTTGCGTTTCTTTTTCTTGATATGATATGTTTGGCAAACATAGAAACTCAGCCGATATGAAGCAGTCATGATCCTTTGCCGGTGTCATGGCAATGGCGATGAATAATCTTATCCTCATCCGGAAAAATAGAAAAAAAGGGGCGGTTGAGTGTTGAGGAAGGAAAGAAACTGCCTATGAAAATAGGCTCTCAAAGAAATGAATCAGCTCACATTTATCTTGCAGGTAGGTGCGAGAACGGGTTTTTGTTATTTTGTCAAGTGCTCCGTTGGTGCAGCACGCAATATAAGCTACAGAAGGGAGAAAGGGGGTTCTTCCCGAGCGTCGATCAGTCCACTTCTTCCGTTTTTTCTTTGTTTGGTTTCATTTTGAACCAGGTCGATCTTTCGAAACCGGACACTTCTTTTTCAAACCCCGCATAGCACTAACCAAACCAACTCCTTTTTTTTGGAGCTCTTTTTTATATTTCTTTGCTCTCTTTCCTCTTCTTTTTTTTATGTTTCTAGTTTTCTAAACGGTTTTGACTTCTTCTCTTATGATGCAAACAGAAAAACCCAGTCTGCCTTCCATACAATTCCTCCTTCAACAACACCCTCCAGACGAAGGTATCATGTCGCTTATTCAGTCCATATTCTTTATTCTTTTTTTTTTTCCTTTATATCTCGTTCATCCTTTGCCTTTATTTTCTTCTATCCTCAATCGCTTATTCACATATTTTGATCCAATTTTTTTTTTCAACAATCTCATGCAATGTCTTCTTTTTTACCTTTTTATTCTCTCTTCTTTAATCAGTGGATGGATTGACATCATTGTTTCACATGGTCTTTCAAGAAAACAGAATGATACTGACCCTTTGACTTTTTTTTCATCAAAAAATTAGGTACGCTTTCAGTTACTTCGGAAAAGCCGGCTCTTCCAGACACAAGTGTACCGGCTTCGTCGACGACCAATACCCGATCATCCCTTGGACATCGTAGCAGTCGCAGTATCAGTAGCCTTCCGGCCGAGTTACAAAGTCTCTCGCTTTATGCACCCACACCTAGCTCAAAAGACGATTCTCACCTTTTTGGGACATCCCATTCGGCATCACAACCTATTCCCAATCACCTGCCATTTTCGTCTTGGCGGGATACCAAGGCTCCTAGCTGGATGTTACCCGCTGACCATGGACCTGTGTTACCACCTGCCCATTCCCCTACCTTGACCACCGAGTTTCCATCTCGACCAACCACCACCACTACCACCACCACCACTTCCAGAAGACCCCCTGGAGCCACCCATGGGCGTTCCATATCCGAACTGTCAATGCCTTCGCATGCGTCTTCTCATGCTCTTCCCATCTTACCGGCCCCTTCAGCACGAACATTGCCTACAGAAGTGCCATCCCTTCAAAAGCTTAAAGCTCGTCATTTGACCCATCGAAGAGCGGTTTCTGCCAACACCGTTGATTTCATGATGGGCCCTCCTCCAGCATCCGTCGTCGTCGGTCATCGAGCTCAATCTTACAGTCCCACTGAGCAAGAAGAGGAACAAGCCCATTTGCACCAACCCACCAAGGAAGTATTTTTTGAAGCACTCGATCAGCGATTTGATCCTGTTCAACGTGATGCCGGCACTGGTCGCTATGTCTGTCCTTATTGCCACAAAAAATTTTCTCGACCTTCTTCGCTTCGAATTCATACCTATTCCCATACCGGCGAAAAACCCTTTGTCTGTACCGAGGAAGGATGTGGACGTCGATTCAGTGTACAAAGTAATATGCGTCGTCATCTCAGGGTACATCGGCTGGGCCGGAACGTGAAAGCAAATCCTATCAAAGAAGACGAGTAAAACAAAACCAGAAAAACAAAAAAAAAAAAGATCCCAAAAGTTTTGTACCAAATCATCTCCATATTCCAACCATCCACATCCCGTTTCCCACCTTTCTTTTTGCTGTTACCTATCAAAAGTGATAGGATAACTTGCTTTTATAGATTCTTTGTCTTGTGTACATGTTTTTTCTTCTTTTTCTATTTCTTTCTTTTGCATAACTTTTTTTTTTCATACAGACAATATATACAGTATGGCGATGCCTGTAGCTTTTTCTTCCTCTGTTTTATTTCTGAAACCCGAAAGACAATAAAAAAAAATGTATGACGCGGTGGTGACGTACAAAAGATTGTCGTTTGATGCATAATTTTTTTTTTTTTCTGCATTCAAAATTTAGTATACTCCAGTTTTTTTTTCCACCACTCTCTTTATATCTCGCCTACCCTCTTGTTGACAGACAAAGAGAGAGAAGAAAAAGATGAACGAACCTAGGCATCCACTATCAGCAACCCCTCCAGCAAGTGCAACAATGGAATCACCCGCTTTGCCCGGTGACCAGCATACAAATTTGCAAGCTGACCGAAATATCATGTCGGCGGCCACTACACGATTCGAGCAGGTACCTCCAGACAGTCAACTGTTGCGCGGACGATCCAAATCTTTGGGTCTGGGCTCCTTTGCTTGGACTTCCTTACCCCCTCGTCTTCCCATGGATTATATTAATGACACAGTCTCTATGGCGACGGGGGTTCCGTACAAAGCAAGATCCTGGGAACCCACTTTGGAAAAGGCCATCAAGGCCATCGTCTCCATTAAAGCCAGTCATGTACGAAGCTTTGACACCGAGACTTCCGGTATCGTATCACACCACACCGTCTCACTATTTACTGGGTCATTCATGCTCAAATAACACTTTATTATGTTCCATAGGCGCCTACACGGCCACAGGTTTTATCGTCGATGCTGAACGCGGCATCATTCTCACCAATCGCCATGTTGTCTCGCCAGCTCCCATCGTAGCTCAAGCCGTTCTTACCAATTATGAAGAAGTGGATCTCAAACCTGTATACCGTGATCCTGTTCATGATTTTGGTTTTATGCAGGTGAGTGAGGAAAAAGCGTGCAGCTTTGAAAAAAAACCATGCGTACACACGGTTATCAATGACTCAAAATCCCATTCTTTTTTCTATTTCTTCTACTGCATCTAGTTTGATCCTACAAAAATCAAATTTATGGAACTGGAACAGATAGAGCTTAGTCCAGAACGTGCAAAAGTAGGCTTGGATATTCGTGTGGTTGGGTATGTCAATCTGGTTTATATTCTTTTTTCCTTTTTTTTTTTTTTTTGCAATCATGACAACGGCATTAATCTTTCATTCTCCGCTTCACCCCAGTAATGATGCAGGTGAGAAGCTCAGTATTCTGGCGGGGACTTTAGCCCGATTGGACCGACGGTAAGTCTAAAATGGGAAATAGCATGGCGGAATTCGAATTTTGGGAAAAAACTGACCAAAGGATTGCCATAGTGCGCCTGAATACGGGATTGGCGAATACAACGATTTCAACACTTTTTACCTCCAAGCGGCCTCGGGCACCAGTGGTGGCTCATCCGGTAGCCCTGTGTTGGATATTGATGGTCATGCTGTAGCTCTCAATGCTGGAGGAGCTAGCCGCGCTTCTTCCAGTTATTATCTACCTTTGGATCGTGTCAAACGCGCGCTTACCTTTGTGCAGCGTGAAGTTCAAGTACCGCGTGGTACCTTGCAATGCGAATTCGAGTATCTCCCTTACAATGAAGTCCGTCGCTTAGGTTTGAAAGCTCATATTGAAGAAAAAGTGCGTCACAAGTTCCCTGACGAGACCGGCATGCTTGTCGTGAAATCCATCCTCCCCAAGGGTCCAGCCGATACCGTCCTGGTACCAGGTGACATTATCATTGGTTGCAACGGCAAAATGGTGCCCCACTTTATCGCCCTCTTTGAAGTCATTGATGATTCCGTGGGCAATGACATCAAGCTTACCATTAGCCGTGGCAAAAAGGTTCAGGATGTGACGGTCCGCGTGCAGGATCTGCACAGCATCACGCCTGATCGATTTGTCGAAATTGGTGGCGGTATCGTGCATGATTTATCATACCAGTTGGCAAAATCATACTCGCAACCTGTATCCGGTGTTTACGTAGCCACCTCGGGTCATATGCTGGCAAGTGCAAGTGCGTGGCGAAAGAGTATCATTGTGAGTGTGAATAACATTCCCACACCCAATTTGGACGCCTTCATCGAAGCCATGAAAACATTGCCCGACGGTGCACGTGTCCCTATTCGGTAAGTCTCCCTTTGCGCATCTCATGTTCTTGAAAGAAAGAAAAAAGCTCGACAACTCGACTGATCATGGTCCTTTGACATTTTTTTCATTCAGCTTTTATGCACTCCATAAAGCATACAAAGATAAAGTCATGATTATGCAGGTCGATCGTCATTGGCATAAATTCCGATTAGCTACCCGAAACGGTAATTGGATCAATCCCACTGTGTGTCTGTGTACATGCCATCTCACTCAATGTTTTTTGCATGACATGGTATAGATCTTACCGGATTATGGGACTTTGAGGACATGCCTCCTCCGCCGCCAAGACTGTCGTACACACCTTCGACAGCCACTTTCCCGACATTGGATTCCTCCTTGGCTCTGGCCCAAAAACTCATGCCGTCCTTTGTCGCCATTGATTTCTACCTTCCATATCTTGTGGATGGCATGAAAGCCACCCAATTCTACGGCAGTGGTTACATTGTGTCTACCAACCCTCCATTGATTGTTTGCGATCGTGACACCATCCCCATTGGTTTAGGCGACATTTTCATCACTTTCGCCAACAGTATCATTATTCCGGGCAAGTTGTTGATGTTACATCCCTTCTATAACTTTGTGCTTGTGACCTATGATCCATCCTTGATTGGTCAAACCACTGTGAAGGCCATTGAATTTACAAACGAGGAACTGAACCAAGGTGATGAGACCCACTTTGTTGGCATTGGCAACGATCACTCGATCATTCAAAAGAAGGTGACGATTAGCTCTGTTTCCAATGTCGGTACACGTGAATGCTCGCCTCCACGTTGGCGCGCCATGAATGTGGAAGGCATTTCCGTCGATGATTCACTTAATTCTCAAGGCGGTCTATTGACCGATGACGATGGCAAGGTACACGCCCTCTGGGTCAGTTATTCGTCTCAAAACGACAAAGGCAAGGATATCTCGTTTATGTCTGGCTTGGCCAGTTGTTTGGTCCAACCGGTCGTCGATAAATTCCTCAAAGGGGAAAAGCTTACATTCAAGGGTCTCGATGTGGAATTGTGGACCATGCGTATCGCGGCGGCGCGTACCCTGGGCTTGCGCGATGAATGGGTCAAGAAGATTGAACAAAGTGGAAGCAAACGACACACTTTGTTGTACGTGCTGAATGTCTTGGACGAACGTAGCGCGTGTGCCAAGGTGTTGCACGTCGGTGACATTATTCTTACCGTCAATGGTGAACTCATCACACGCATGTCACATATGAATCAAGTCCATGAACAAGATAAAATCAATATGGTAAGCCAATTCGAGTGAAATATGAAAAACTAAGATTTTACTAAACCAAGTCGTATTTTTAGGTCATTTTACGTAATGGTCAGGAAATCGAAGTTGAAGTACCTACCAGTCAATACAGCAGCTACGAGACAAAGCGCGTCATCGGATGGCAAGGTGCATTGATTCAACGTCCTTACAAGTCTGTATTGGAGCAAGTTCGCAATGCGCCTACTGGAGTCTATGTGAGCTGTACCTTGTACGGTTCACCGGCATCCAATGTCCTGCGACCCGGTGTATGGATAGTGGAAGTCCAAGGCAAACCGGTCAAGGACTTGGATTCATTTTTGGAAGTCGTGCATCGTTATGAAGCCGAAATGTGTCGTCGCCGTCGACCCAGTTACATCCCACCCGTTCGCCGCTCTGTTGAGGAACGCGCGTCGTTGACTTTTACCGATGAGGATGCGCTGAAATCCGATGACACTGAAGAAGACGACGATAACAATGACGAAGGCTACATCCGCATCAAGACAGTCTCTCGTAATGAAACCGTCCGTGTGGTCGCCGTAAAATTGGATTTACACTACTGGGATACTTGGCAGTTGTTGCAAGCTCCAAACGAAGAGTGTGGATGGATCTGTAAAGACGCTTAAAAACACCGAAAATTTTTATCCCAAAGTTTAGATACAGTTTGCTTTTTTTTTGTTCTTGTTTCCCATTATATTGTTATTGGTTGACTCTTCTTCGTTTTTCTCTTTTTCTTTCCTTTGTTTATTTTTGTATAAAGTATTCGACGTTGCTCCTTTTTGACATGTAAAAGTTGAAGGTGTGGAGCTACTTTTCTTTTGGTTGGTTTATGATGATCGTTTCTTGAGAGTGATGTATAAGTAAATGCGTTATCGTTCGCGACGGTATCTTTCATGATCGTCGTCATCGCGACTTGGTCGATCATAATCTCTACTTCGATATCTATCATCGTCGTATCTATCGCGGCGGCTTCGATATCGATCGCGACTGTCATGTCGTCGGTCTCTATCGTAATCTCGCGATCGTCGATGCTTACTTTCTTCCCGATCATCGTATCGTCGTCGTTCGCGTGATCTGTCCTCGCCTCTAACTCGTTTACTGCGATCGTCATCGGACAGTTCTTTCTCTCGTTGACTACTTCCGTGTCGTGTGCTTGGACACTCTGTCGGTGTGTTAGAACGACCGGATCGTGGCTGATCTTCTGGTTCACTGTCGTCGTGATGCTTTCTCTTTTTTTTCTTGTCCTTGCTCTTCTTCTTTTTGGATTTCTTTTCCTTCTTTTTGTCTCTAAAGTAGGCAGCCATGGGATCCTCTTCATCGATATCATTCTTGTCACTGTCATTGTCGGACGAAGATTCCGATCGTGTGGATGCTGTTGTTGAAATAAATTACAGTGTCCATGAGTGATGCTGCCGTCATATGACGCTCCTTCCCAGAGCACTACTTACTGGGAATAAGCGGTGGAGCAGCATTCATCTTGAACTCCAGTTCAGGTTCCTCTTCTTCGCCTTCTTTCTTTCGCTTCTTGGGGCCATATGAATGATCCACTCGCAATGTTCGATTTAAAACCTGATATTACCTTTGGCGTCAGTTTACGTATTCTCGACATTTATGCCTGCTTTCTTCGTTACCTTTCCTCCATTTAAATTATCCACTGCCAATATGGTACTACGCTGATCTTCATATTGGATGAATGCGAATCCCATGGATTGTCCTGTTTGCTGGTTGCGAATAAGTTGGATATTGATAATTTCGCCATATCTGCCGGGGAAAAAGGATGAGCAAACGGCATGATGATACCACGGACGTCATTGGACTTACTGAGAAAAGATACAAAGGATATCGCCTTCCGTAAGATCAAAAGGCAGATTGCCAGCAAAGATCCAGGATGTGTTTCGATACTGATTATGCCATGATGCATCAACCGACCATTCACCGTTGATAATTTCTCGTTGATTAATTCGCTGAATCTCCTTTACAACGCTAAAGTAGGGAACTTGAGTTAATGTTCAGTTTTCTCAGTACCATTGATATTCTTTTCCCAGACTTACTTCATAATTATCAAAGACACTAAAAAATGATGGTTCTGAACGGGCCAGCAACTTTGGGGATTTCGAAAAGCAAGTCACAACCGCTCTCAGCAACCCATTTATAAAATGCAAGACCTGGCATGAGTAACGGTTCATGGATTCCTTCTCAACGCCAGTTCACTATATTTTTTGAACTATTCTCTCTGTAGGCATCGGCTGTCTGTAATGATATAAGTAGTATTCCTATGCTAATTTAGACGAAACACTATAGCGTTACTCAAGAATGTTGACTTTTGCATAAACGTAGGAACAACTCGGACAACATATGCGAAAACTAAAATAACGGTCATGGAGGATATGCATTATAAGAAAACATCTGCTGGTGCCACATGTAGACGCGAGATAGCTATTGAATTCCTGACCCAGTACAAATCGCTTTTTGTCTGCTGTTGTGCCTTTTGCGCTCGTCGATCGTATATGCTTTCGTTTAACAGATTTGCAGGATTCAGCCACTATTTATTTCTTGTTGTAATAGTGAACATTACATAAAACGAACTTTAATGCTGGGAAACGGACGATTTTTTGGTGGTGGCTTGCTTTGCGGTCGTGTTCTTTGAGGATTTCGGCAATGGTCTGGTTTGGATCTGAGCGTGGTATTTCTCTGCTTCTCGTGCGTATTCTTCCCAAGCCTTTTTGGCCATGTCATCGAAAGGCTATATGTCACAAGGACAAAAGGGTGAGTTGGGGGGCATGTCTTTTTCCATGTACGCCGCGCCGCCATTGATTTACCTTCTTTTCTGCGGTGGTCAAACTTCTGTACATCTTTGATCCGCTCGTCGATTGTTCCATGGGCAAAGCCTGTTTGAAATCCTCGGGACCATTCTGGCGCAAATGTTCCATGTAGAACAAATAACCGTTCTTGGGTCGTTTGGGAGATTTGGGATCTTTCAGTAATGGCAATTTGTACTTTCTTCTGAGCAAATTTTCGTCGTAAAATTGTTGAGGGGTAGCATTATCCAAAGCCTTCTTCAACGCCATTTCGTGATCCTGCACAGCTTTTTTATACTTTTCTTCATAAATCTACAAAGAAAAAAAAAAGACATAGTATAAAGTAAGTACCAATGTTATTCATCATCCATAATAAGATGATTCGGAACCTTTTTTTCATGGTCAGGCAAGCTTTTCCACTTGGGACCCAACTGTCGCGTGGCTTCTTGGGCTTCGATTTTGCCACTTCCATTTTTAAAGTGGGACATGTTTTCAGCCAAATACAGTTGCCATGCAGAACGCGGTCGAACAGGGACATCGGCCAAAACTACACAATGAAACGACACGGAATTAGCAGGCTGGCAAACCGGTGCGTCACATTCAGGAGAAACACTGTACTGCTGGTAAATTTGGTAGGACGCAATTGCTTTACAGCGACAAAGGTTCGTTGAAAAGAAGCATGAGGCGTCTTGAGAGAGAGCTTGCTGAATTGAGATAAAAGCGACATTGTAGGATACAACACCAAGAAGGAAGAAAAAAAAAATAGTCAGAAAACGCGGCTCACAGATAAATTAAAAATTCTTTGCTTACCTGGTCCCGCATTTCGTTTCCGATGACGTAACTTTACTGGCTCGCAGTTCTGCATTGATCAGGGAAAAGGGAGGACAAGCTCACTTCCAGTTGGAAAAATAAAGTGCAAGAACGTATTTGCTGGTTTTCATGGACGCGCTCAGATAGTCAAGCTTGAAGCTTGTTATATGAATCTGGTTAGATAGAGCATTGGACATGTGTTATATTGAAACACAGCATATTCATGGAAACGCGTAAGTCGGAATTGTGTAAGCTGAGTGGTACTTTTCGTAACCCCACCATTGTTGGAGGAGCCGATTCCATAATTCTCAGAGACTATAAAAAAAAAAGCACTTCCTCAAGCTTGATTTCTGGAGCGACAACTACAGCGGGAAAAGTGAGTTATTCAACCATCAAACTCTAGTTAGCCAAAAAACCTCACATAATTTATCGCGTGATTTGTGCTCGTTTTATTCCGGTTTCCCAGTCTTTTCGACTAATATTGCCTTTATTTTGTGAATGGATCGACAAGGAGAACTGACCAATCGCATTGGTATGACTGTTTATTATCACAATGAGGGAGATGTATTGAACAACACAATGTGACATACGGAGCTCAAGTGGTGCCTGGCTAGAGCCAATGTTGACGGTTGCGTATACCAGCATAGTCCTACAAACATGACAGTGCTGCAGGCGACGACTTTGCTGCCGCCCGCCCCTTTTATTGCAAAAGGATCATGTGACGGATAATAAGTCACTTTGCGGCAGATGAAATTTTGCCATTTGTGAGGATGCTCCAAGGATGACAGATGCCACTGAAGCAGTTTCCATACATTCGAGGCTGCAAGCTCATGATAAAATATTATACACATTTACGTCGAACAAAGCCATCAATCGTGAAGCTTTTTTTTCCTCCCAAAGAGGAATCATATTTTTTACCATTCCTGTTGTTGACCGGTCTTGAGATGATATCGTTGAGAGAATTTATTCTTTCCGCAACGTCCATATCATCCATCCAAAGCCAAATTTGACTCTTTGGAATGCCTATTCAAGGTAGTGACTACTGTCATCGAAAAGTTACATGTTCGGCCTTTATGATGAATTGCCGCAAGCCAACAGTCAACATCCATATTCTCATCTTTGTTAAGTATCTAAATTTGGAAACTCCCTTTTTCCCAGGAAGGCACGGATTTTTATACAATGACTCGTTGCATTTCGGCACCAAGCGAAAGCAATGGCTTGAGCGTTGACCAGACGATCCGTTTATCCCTGTGTCTATCCATGTGATCCAGCTAGAAAGAAGAAAAATTTATTGATAGACGATTGATTAGGGTCAAATGAAGGCAATAATAAGGTATAATAAGACTTACAATGCTGCAACTGATGGAAATAAACTGAAAATGTGATCATGATCGCCCCTCTTTTCCGTCAAAAACAAACAAACCTGAAAAAATCAGTGAATTGAATGGCGGCATGAATATCCGTGCCATTTCCTGGGAAAAAGCGGAATTTTCAAATTTGAGTATTTACCAAGGATGAAATCACGGAGGTTGGATGCTAGCATGAGGCACTCTACCAAGGAAGCCGAATAGACCTATTACCGTAATCATTCTTGGTACGGAAGCATATGCGCCACTCGTAACCTGTAGCAACTCAAATGTGGCAAAGGGACGATCGTGTGGCAGCATTTCGATCAGTGGCAACAGATGGGGGATCGACTATGGCCGAACGTGTAACTGTCGGATGAGCAGTGGTGACTACCTCGAAAAGACCTCCAAAGATGACGGGATTGGCTTTGAATGGGCGGTATATACGATGTCGTAGGATCAACTCTCTGAACAACACCGCTCAAGGTCCCATCAATAAGAGGAGCGATAAAAAACTTTATTCCTCTTCGGGCGGAAACATGTCCCACAACAGATTGCTTTGATTGGCGACGGTGCTGCTGTATCAGAATGGTCATGGGCTTGCAGCCTCAGAATGTGTGGAACCTCCTTATGTCCCCTTTGTCAGCTGTCATCTATTCAAGTTGGCCAGATTTCGGCTGCCGCAAAGTGACTTAACCCCATCATGTTTCATGATACGTATGCAATAAAAAGGGTGCTGCGCAACAGAGTTCCATTAATCACCTTATTCTTCTACTTCATCAACATGTGGTGCCCAGACTGTCACAAGGATCACTCTCACGTCCTAATAACCGCCCTTCTCTCAAAACCTTCAATCCATCACAGTTACGAACACTCTTGTGCAGGTGTGCCGCAGTGCCACCTCATCATGTAGTCAAAATGGGGTCTAGACAGGGTTACGCCCATTTCGGTAACCCGAATGAGGCTGCAAAATTCTTTTTTTTTTCACGCAATCAAGAAACAGCCTATTTGTGGCAAGTTTCCAGATATCCGAGCGCATCGTTTCAAGATCAACGATCATTATATTCAATATGTAATATGGCTTTAACAATGAAGATATAACGTTTGCAACTGACCTTCCTCATACTCACAGGACTGCGAGGGTTTCGGCGACTTGGTCGCCGATTTGTCTGCGCTTGCTTGGTGGAGAAAATCCATCACCACCACCACCACCACCATCATCATCATCATCATCATCATCATCATCATCATCACCATCATCATCGCCATAGCAACAACAGCTAAGTTATAAGGCAGATGTTCACATTAGAGTCACAACCTGCCAATAAACAATGATTAATCTGGGGGAAATTAGCGATTTGTAGATCCCATAAAGCCTGTTTATCTTTCAACCAAGCTTCGGTGCCAATCCTTGCAACGGCAACGATCATCAGCACTTTACAAATCTTCATTGCCCAAATTCTGTCCACGAAACACTACCAATAAATAATAGGATGCCCTGTTTGATCACAACTGGCGCAAACGGCACCTTGTTGCTGATGGTTCTGCAATGTCGTTCAAATAAAAATGTGGGTAGAAGCCAGTGCCTACATGTCCGCGGCATTCTTTGAAAACATGTAATCCATGCAGTGATGTTTGGATGTTATGTATGTGCTTCGAAGCGTGCTGAATACAGTAATAAGGTGTCAAATGTCAACTATTTGAATTATATGTGTCAAAGGATTTTGGCCTTTTTAAGGGTATTATACCGCCGTGCTTTATCCTTGATATGATTCATGGATATAACTCATAGATATACGGGCGATCTGGCTCTTCAGACTGCGGATAAATTCATTCATGTGCATGACGGAGGCCATTATGGTGTCATATTAATGGAAGAATTATTCATCGGCGGATCAAGTCATTAGTTGCCAATATCTTTGAGCACAAAGCACTGTTAACCTTACATGTGACAAAAAAAAGCTAAAAGAAACTTTTATTGCTCACAGTCGGTAATGAAATTTGCGAGTTTTAGTCTTTTGCCCAGCAAATCTACGAATTCTTTAAATTCGCCACTTCGGGGCTGCATGGCAGCGATTTCCTTGTCCATTTCATTGAGGCTCTGCTTCATCAAATCGAGCCATGTTTTCTGTCTGGAAAATTAAAGACACGTAAGCATGAATTAACCACTTGTCAATTCTTCCATACGAACTTGGGCTTATTATCGTCCACATCTGATATTTGAGTCGTTTCTAATTTACGCTCCGAAGTATCTTCAGCGTGACCTGTTTAGGATTAGATTGTCAAAATAGCAGTGAATAAAGCGTGTCATACTAAAATAAGACTTCCAAGAAAAAAGAAGAAAAGGAAAGAAACTCACATAAATCGTCATCTTTTTTGTGTTGTGTACGGGATGAAAAAGACATATTAGGAATGATAAAAAGTTGAACTTTGGATGTCTCTAGTGCGACACTGGCTCCTTATATACTCATCTCCTAGTCGGGGGTTGAACATTACAAAAGGTGATCGTTTTGACTGGCAAGAAAGTTAACACCGATGCTTTCGCGGATATTGCATAACACATTCGTGGTCTTTGCTCCCTCGTTTCAGGTTTTAAGGCGGGCATAACCGAGATTATCTGGCAACTTCTTTCACCAAACGTACGCCACACTATTGCAGATACTCGCATGTCGACGTCAACAACATGGAAACTGAAGTCTGCAATGAGAAACTTCGTGGATCGTACGCCGACAAGGCCACAGATCATCAAGTTTGCTCTTTCCACGAAAAAGGGTTGCTTCATTGAAAAATTGGAATCGAGACAACAAGGTAGTACAAGCTATGCCGCCATCAGCGGAATTAAAAACCCAAAATGTGGTAGACGTTGTTTTTCCTCAAAAATACCAACAAATAAACCCTGAAAAAAAAACATCAAATGACTTGTCCCCCCTTTTTTTTGCCAGAAAGGTGTGAAACAAAAATACGCTGAAAACCTGCGTATCTCTGAAAGGGACTTGGGAGCTTGCTGTTGTTGGAACATCATTACGTGCTCAACTTCCAAAGATAAACAATGACGAACGTATCACCTTCATGAAGTTTGTCATAATGCCATGGCTTTTTTTTTTATTTATTTATTTAGATAAGCAAGTGCGCCTTCATTTGACACCAATCAATCGTTTATCAATACATTGTTCCTCTTTCTAGCTTAGTCACACGCACGAGGAAGCATAAAATAAATAAGAGAAACGCGGATAAATGGATCGTCTGGTCAACTCTCAAGCCATCCATTTCGCTTGGTGCCGAAATGCAACGATTCATTGTGTAAAAATCCGTGCCATTTCCTGGGAAAAAGGAAGTTTCCAACGACAGGAATGGTAAAAAATATTTGGGTGGAAAAAAAGCTTCACGATTGATGGCTTTGTTCGACGTAAATGTGTATAATATTTTATCATGAGCTTGCAGCCTCGAATGTATGGAAACTGCTTCAGTGGCATCTGTCATCCTTGGAGCATCCTCACAAATGGCAAAATTTCATCTGCCGCAAAGTGACTTATTATCCGTCACATAATCCTTTTGCAATAAAAGGGGCGGGCGGCAGCAAAGTCGTCGTCTGCAGCTTTGGCTTTTTCTTTCGTTTTCATATTATTATGTTTCCTCGAATTGGCACTGCCTGTCATAAACCACGATGTCAGCTATTGATTAAAGGACAAGCAATTAAAGTCCTCGAAAGATCATCATTATATGAAATATTTAACAAGTGCGCGGCAACAAAGCCGCAGCACAGCGTAAAGAAACCAGGGCTGTGGTTACAGCTTCTTACATTTTGTGAATGAGCATGCGGCCACGCCATTCTATTTGCAACATGCGATCCGGAAGGTACCCATTTGCGCAAGGTTGCCGGGAGTAATAGTCCGGCCAGCAAGTGAGGGTGGGCGGATAGTAGGACATGTAAGTCGCATTCTATATGAAGTGGTAATATTTATAAGCTTAAGATGCCTCATATTTATAGGATTGGCAAGTTTTCGAAGATTTACCAGCGCAAAACTTGTGCTCTTGCAATGATTATCAGGACGTGCCCCTTGAGCAACAACAGCAACAGCAACAGCAACAGCAACAGCAACAGCAACAGCAACAGCAACAACCACAACCACAACCACAACCACAAAGGTAGTGTTCTTATTGAGATATTACTGAGAAATGGAAATTTGTTCTTATATGACCTTGATTTCTTAGCGAACAAGCATGGATGGCCTCTCTAAAGCAAGTCGAACAAGAAATAACAAAGGAAATTGAAGCTTTGGGCCAGGAAAGGGCCATGTTAAGAAAAATCAGTTATGATTAATAAAAGTAAATACATGTTCTTTCTTGTCCTCATATCTTTGTCTTCAAATTTGAAAATTACAATACGTATGATTGCCGCAAGATTGTGCAAAGAGCAATAATGAAATCTATTCAAAACGATACCGGTAAATAATAACATTTTAACTGGTCATAGACTTGCGTAAGTGTGATACTCACTGTAAATCTGCGAATTGTTTGAAAACCAGCTTCCAAATTTGAGAGCGATGAGGGATCGAGTATGAGGCCCGCTCAAAATTCATCATTTGCAAAAGGCTGATAATTTTCCCTCCTTTCGCATTTCCACTCTTATACAAGAAGCCCGTTACAGTAACTCATTGGCCTTTGAAGTTGATGCTATCTATGCTAGGAATGTCTGCGCTTAAAAGGACCACTGGCAAGAGCAGCTTGCCGTGCACCTGATTATCTTTGTCCGGTTGTCATATCTTTATAGACATCGTTGCCAATCAAAACCTCGTTCCTCCGTATTTCCTGTTACTCTCTGTAGTTCATTCCGCCATTGCTCATAATGTTGGACATTTCCGCTCTCGCTCGGTGTACGTATTGATATAAACAAAATCTGACATTCGGTAGCATCGGTCCATTAAATCGTAGTACAGTATCTGGGCTAAGTATTGTACGTACAGAACTAGTAATACCTTAGTTTGGACACGGTTTCTCCAGCAAAATTTGTTCAGCAGGTCGTCGGTCATACGCGCTTGATGATCCACCTGTCTGTTTTTTTTGTTTTTTTTTTTTTGTTTTGTTCGAATGGCTGATGGCACCAGTATACCTATAGTATACCTTCGTGAATACCATTTTTTTGTCTTGACGCCGTTCACCGTCATGACCATACGAAGCTGTAAAAGCGTACGTTAACCTGGATCAGTGTCACATAAGAATATGATTCGAAAAAATTTCTCCTTGGATAGCGCGATCCGAATGTTGGTGGCCTCGCAAACAGCTTGGCAACAGTATCTGACAGCGATTTGACCAGTATGCCTGGAGCTTGGCTATGACTGAGGATCTGTAAAAAAAATTCACCAACCTCGCAAAGAACGATTTTGACTAAGGGTTCCAAATACAGCGAGAGTCTATGTCTGTACACAGAAGGACAAATTTGGTATACGCAACCGTCAAGATTGGCTGTAGCCAGGCACCAGTTGAGCTTCGTATGCCACATTGTATTGTTCAATGCACCTCCCTCATTGTGATAATACACAGTCCATGCCAACCAGATTGGACAGTTCTCCTTGTCGATCAATTTTGGCGGATATGAATAAACTTGTCAGTGACTTCCTATCCGCGGCTTCTTTTACAAGCAAATGTAATCCTTAGCGATGTTTGGACGTAACCGAAGCGTGCTGAATAAAGTGATAGTTCTCTATCTGTCGATGGATTTGTTTGTCGAGGGTATATTGTACTCTGCGCTTTGTTCTTGATATTATTTATGGTTAGGATCTCATAAATATACGGACAGTCTGACTCTTCAGATTGAGGTTAAGTCCATTCATGTGTATAATTCAGATCATTTATGTTACCAGATTAATGTCTAAGGTACCTGACCTACTTCCTTTTGCCTAAAAGAAGCAGCTGCATCTTATCGTTTGATGGCCGTAAAATGACTTCTTTGGACCAACAGTCCAGAGTTTTATACCGTAAAATGACTGAACGCTAACCCAAGTCAGAAGATTGCTATTTAGTCACCAAGGAAATTAAGTGCCTGTTACAGTGAAAGATGAACGGAAATAACTCTGTCATAATTCATCTAGCAAATACAGTAATAAAAAAAAAAACCAGGAGCAGAAAGACGAACCTATAGAAGTAAAGAACGAATGATTTCTTCCCATACCGTACTTACCTCCATATGTTGACTGTATCATATAGTAAAAAAGCGGCTTACAATTACCGTCAGTGTGATGAAACGCATTTCAAGCGGGCTTTATTATCAAACTTGCTCTCTAAATCCCAACCCGGCGACTGCTGAAAGCTGTGCCATGAAATTGTGGAGTTACAGCCCATCCGTAGACATAACAAGCCACAGCGTCAGAGATCAGTGCCCGCGAGGCTTCGCAATTCTGTCATTGCAGATACAACACTGTACAAACAATGATGCTGGTCTCTAATTATAGTATTTTTCGGCTTTGAACAATAGAAACATACAATGTATGACTTTTATCAAGAAGGAAAAGAGCCGTCGATCATGCCTAGATTGCTTGTCGTAGTTGACTGACCAATTTTTTGGCATGATTTCTTTGGGTTTCATCGTGCGGCGTCTCTGCGCGCGAAACTTTTCATTAACATTCAGCGAATTTCTGTGCAGTCACCCCGCAACAAAAAAATGGATTCCATCCACAGACCGTGTCTGAAATGAAACCAGATGCGTACATACATGGTATATCAGAACCACATAATTGAGCGTAATAAGGCACGTGGATAGCTACGTAAATTGCGCCACACAGTCAACGGTGACAATGCTGAACGCATCCTGAGCAAGTGGTGGGACGTGGTTTGAATCGCTGCAAAGGAATAATTAAAAGTCCGCACGACACTGGCGTCATGCTTGGTTTTTTTTTTCCTTCCTTTTTTCTCCACAGAGAACGTTTTCCCGTCTTCTTTATTTTACAGAACAGTTATGGATAATAATCCTTTTCGCAGCACGCCAAATGCATATAACCATCCTGGCAGTACCAATGGACCGTTAATGCCGTCCATGCAATCGCCTTCGGGTCCATCCTTTGGTGGTTATCAGAATGCCCAGTCAATGCCGCAACCGCAATCGTACCAGCAGCAACCCTTTCAATCGTCCTACCAACAACAGCCGGCACAGAATCAATACATGAATAGCCAGATACCGCCTTCGTCGTCGTCCATGTATCAACCTTCGCAGACGGGCAGTAACTTTTACAATGGCACCGGTTATGCGCAACCGTCTCCAATGTCGACCTCGGGTTACAATCAACAAGCATTCAACCCAATATCGTCGCCTGGGTTCTCCGGTCTCCAACAACCTAGCATGACCGGTCACTTTAATAATCCTAATAATAATGCAATGGGAGCTTCCAACTATGGACAACAGCAACAACCGAATTTCACACCCGCCACGACTTCGTTTCCCAACAACAACATGTACCAGCACGCTCAGCCGTTTTCATCCACCCCGTTTTACGGCCAGCCAGGTTCCGTGCAACATGACCCCTCCAATTTCTATATCCCGCCTAATTTTGGACAATCCTCCAATCCACCGTCGATGCAATCGCAACGTCCCAAACATCCACCGGTCGATGCAAGCTCTTTATTAAAAAGTGGTAAAGTACGACGAGTCGATTGCCCTGTTTGTGGAAAAACCATTGAAGGCGACGATCCAGCAATTAACCATCACGTTAATGAGCATTACAGTTAATGGGTATTTGTTTTATATAATAACAATGGGCTATTCTGCTTTTTATCCTTTTACCCATGGTGGTGATCCGTGGAGAAGTTGGGGTTGTGTCATGTACTTGTTTAGTCATTCAGCAAAGGAATTGAAAAATGCAACATGGGGAAACGTATGCAGTCGTGGACGAAGATGAGAGGAGAAAGTATGGTGCATTTGAATGAACAAGGTCAATGTGTGGGCTTTTGTGCGTCGGCGACTCATCAATGATTACCAAAACGGGATAAAAGCACCGATCCAGGCGCTGTGAGTAATGACTGCGCAAGTCATTTAGGGATAGTACTTTTCGGTCAAAACATTTGGGCGAAATATTGGATAAGGTGATTTTTGTGAGTGATTTTCGGGCAGTGAACAAGAATTGATGTTTTGATTCGATGCATTGGCGATCATGCAAATACGAAGCCTTCCGAATCATGAGAAAATGGAGTCACAAATTTATGACATCCGATCAAAGCCCAAGCGTGTTTGTTTTTCGACAGCTGTCCAACTGTAGAAACACCATGGAAGCCGCCGATTCACCTCGAAAAGATTCACCCGCCACTCCAGAAGAGAATAGCACTAAAAAAGGTCTTCGCACCGTGAACGGCGTGCAGTACGATTTCAACGATCCACGATTCGCCGGCATGGGCACTCGTGCCATTAAGCGCCTTTTGAAGCAAGAACATTGGGAAGCCACCCGCGATGAACGTACGAAAATCCAGCGTGAAAAGCAAAGACGTAAAAAGGAAGAACGCCAAAAACTTGTCGAAGAAGGGGTACTGGAACCCCGCCCCAAGCGACAGCGTCACCAAGAAATGTCGCTAAGCAATGTTGGTGTTGTGATCGACTGCGCTTTCACTTCCTACATGAGCGAGAAGGTGAGCGACATGGATCTTGAAAATCTGGAGTTGGGGCACGATGCTGATATTCGAAACGGATTAGGAACTGCACTCGATGCAAAGTCAGATTGTTCATTGTTACAGCAAGAATCGAACAGCACCTTTATCGATGAAAACCAGCATCACTTCCTTTGACGAGGCTCTTCGTACGACCTTCGATAAAAAGACTTCCAGCTGGACCAATTGGAAAAACGTGGACTTTTTGACCGAGACTTACGATGAAAAGTTTGACAAGGACAATCTAATATACCTTTCGGCGGATTCCGATAATGTGGCTCATGAATTAGAAGACGGCAAAACATATATTATAGGTGGCATTGTCGATAAAAACCGTTACAAGGTAAGGCGACATCGATTGGCCGGTTAAAAGCGAGATCTGTGCTGAACGACACTGTATTAGGGATTATGTCAGAACAAGGCGGTCGAGCAAGGAATCAAAACAGCCCAACTACCCATTGGCGAATACATTCACATGGCCAGTCGGAAAGTGTTGACTGTCAATCAAGGTAAAAAAGAAGGTTGCAACACTTGTTGCAATGAGAATGTCTAACAATGCATATACTTTTAGTCTATGAAATCATGCTGAAATGGCTGGAATACCGGGATTGGAAAAGAGCGTTCATGGATGTGATTCCTCTGCGCAAGCTGAAAGAGAGCGTGATTGTGGATCCCAAGCAAGAAGAAGCAGGATCTGAAGAGCAGAAAGCCGAAAAAGGCGAAGCAGAAGAGGCGATAGATGCCCCACAGGCGAATGAGGATGATGCAGATTCAAAAGAAAAAGAAGCAACGACATAATAAAGACGCAGTACCGTGTCCTTACTTGAACTTGTACATGTTAGACAACGAAAAGTGGAAAATGTTACCATCTTGGAACCTTTCGCTCGATAAGTTCACGACAACGATTATCACATTTATGGTCTTATTGCGTGGATGGATTCATATCAGGCTTTTATTCGATGCGAGGCTATCTGAGATTATGGAATGGTCGATAGCCTATCCAAAGTTGGGTACTCACATGTGGACGATGAATAACCAGAGGACTTGGCTGACTGAGGTATACAAGCTTGTTCTTGAACTATAAAGGGTGTGGGTCTGGAGACACACAACAACGCGTTGACATTGCCGTGGGTAAGTGCTTCAAGCAACTGGAAAGGACACGGAAAAGTTTAGAGAAAGGGAACATCTTCTGATAAAAGCTTGGGATTTGGTGGGCAATAAGGTTATATTGCAAATATTGAGCAAGTTTGGATTACTGACTCCGTTCATTGCACAAGCTGCAGCTTTCATTCCTGGATCATCATTCGATCTCGGTAAATATGCACAGCGCCCGAGCAGACAAGATACCTGTTAGAAGCATAGAATCATCCTATAAAATCAGCCTAATTAATTATTTTACAAGCAGGCAGGAAATGTGCCAATGCTTTTTTTGTGGTTGAAGGGGATGCACATACTCAGTGAAAGAGCTGTCCCCGTGCCATGAAAAGTCTATTTAGACATCGGGGTTTTAAATCGAGGGTCAAGTTTTTGGAAGGTCAGCCGATCCAAGCAAGTCGGGGTTTCCTTTATGCACGGCCACCCCACTCTCGAACGATGCCAAGTGTGCTAATGAGTGACGCCGGCGGACTGAAAGCTGTCAAGTACAGTGCGGTGGGTCTGTTAGTGTTGATGGGAGGCTTACGCTGGCCGTATGCTGTTCACGCACTATTGCGGATCGCACAATGGGCCGCCGCAAGCATTTGCGCGCTGTTTGTGTTGAACTTGATCGTCTTATACATCTATATCAAGTACTTTGTTTCGCCTGCCAACGAAAGCCAGGACCGTCGAAAATACCGTCAAGTGGAAGAATTTCGACCTCTGCGGTTTGTCCACAAGTCCATATGGCCGCAAGTCCAAGAACAACGGCGAAAGGACAACACGCGAGAAAAACCTGCCCATGTCTTTGCCACAGCGGCCGAGTCGGAAGCCTTCGAGGAACTGTTGACGTACGTTCTGAGAGACTTTATCGACTCCTGGTTCGTGCACATTTCACGATCCACCAGTGAAGTCTCGTTTCCAAAGTCGGTCGATCACATCATTCGATCAGCAGCCATAGCGTTGAAAAAGCGAGTCGAGGAAACCGATCTACTTACAGTCATTGTCAGTCGAATTATCCCCAAAGTCACCTCGCACGTCTCTGAATTCCGTGCCGCCGAGACCGCACTTCGAGGCAAGTCCTTGGAACGATCCGTCACTCAATCCGACGAACTCGATCTACTCTTGGCATCTCAATTCCGAGGTGGCAAGCTGCACTCGGCATTGACAACCGCGGCTGTCACGACGAAACCCACCGAAGTAGCCTACTTGAGACACCTGGTGGAACGAGTCCTGCCTTTTGTTATTGACGAAAAGGAAATGCAAAGTGGACCTGTTCGAGTCATTATTCGGGAAATGGTGACCTGTGCGGTGTTGCAACCGGTCGTTGACATGGTCGCGGATCCCGATTTCTGGAACTGCACCATTGACAGTTACGTAAGTCACCTAAACACACGGTTGTTAGCGATGGAAACCCGATCCTAAAATCCATAACTAACCAAACAATTATAAAACGGTGATTTATATAGTTGGGGAAAGCCTTGCGAGAACAGTATGGGGTTGCATGAATAAGGAATTTGTTAGATCAGGCGTGCTTACCCACGATTTTTTCAATGTGTAGGAAAATGGTCCGCAAGTTGCGAGAAGTACTGAACCGACATTCCAATGCCATGGATGCAACTATGGATCCCGAGATGCCAACCACGGCGACCGATCCCCTAGACGATGAGACATTGGTACCCCATGATACATTCAAACCATCGAAACGATCGTCGTTTCGGAAACAATTTTCGTTGACGTTTCTTGGCGCTGTCAAGGAAACAGACAATGACACTGGCCTAGATCCTCGTAAACAGCATGAGTTTGGAAGCAGTAGGATGGGCCGGCGAGCGTTTCACGAATTTCTTAAAATGATTGATGAGGAAAAGAATTTGTTGGATCTGAAGCGCGTACGCAATGACATCGTCACGCAAATCCGGAAAAAGAAAGCTCAGATTGGTATGTGGTACAATGTAACCGTGCATCATTCGAATTAGTAATCTGACTTTATTCTTTTTTCTGATCCAGGCGATCGTGATCCAGAAGAAGTTATTGATGGAGAAAAAGTCGAGGATGTCACCGTGTATGTCAATCGGCTCAGTGTAGCCAAGAAACGAGTCGACAAACGCATCGCCTTTCTCTCAGGAGAGAAAGAGGAGGTGGTAAGCGGCGCACCATCTCAAAATGTTTTGACATTGGACTAACAAAGGAGGTGCCCTTTTTTGTTCTGGCTAGAGGACCTCTTCCTCCCATTTGTTTAGGAATCGCAAGCAGAGCACATCGATTGCGACGCCCACGTCGGGTTTTACTTTGGAAGAGATTTTAAGAAACACGGCAGGATTGTCGTACTTTATGGAATTCATGGATCGCCGGCATGATATGTTTAAATTACAGTTTTGGCTCATTGTGGAAGGGTTTCGAAGTTCCCCAGTGAGCAATGTGTACGAGCAACGGCGCGACGATCGTACATTTTTGCAAGACGTCAAAATGGTGTATGATATGTACCTGTCCTCGACCACTCCACACCGACTTCCCGTCATGGAGCCGCTCGTCAACGAACTCCATCAAGCTATTCGTCATGCCGAAGGAATCGAGGTGTCGTCGGACACGGATGCCTCCTTCTCGGCCGAGGTACAGCAAATCCGGGAAAAACTGTACCAGATCCAGCAGCATGTTTTTTGGCAAATTGAAAAGGAGCACTTTCCTTACTTTAAGCGGTCGGATTTGTATTTCAAATATCTCGCATCTTCCCCCAATCCTGCGACAGAACCCGTATTGGAAAGACGCAGTTTGGATGAAACGACGTGGTATCGACGAACGCCATCCGTACACAGCGAAACAGATGTGGCTAAAAACCGTCCTACTTCTGCATCCATGGAACGTACCGCCTCCGATCATCTACCACAGAATGATACGTGGGATAAGCCCGACATCGCCAAAGCCGAATCGGATACCGAAGTGCTGTCCAGGGACCCAAGACGAAATCAAACAACGTACATCACGTTTCCCAGAAGTCTGAATGCTGGGTCAGCCGAATTTTCCCGTCGACGCGGTCACGTACGGGCTGCATCTGACAATAACTATGCGTTTTCCCGATTTTTATCATTGAGCAAAGTCCTGGGATCGGCTAATGACTGGTGGAATATGATGGACGGGCAAGGCGGCCGTACCAGCCGGCCGGCGTCCATCAATGAGACGGCGAAAAAGCGAAACTCGACACATGGATCTATCAAATCCACCGACACAGAGTATCCGGAAACCGATTACGAGGATGATGGCACAACGACGAAATCGATGCCAATCATAGCGGAACCTGATCGTGCATTGCTATCGGAACCTACCACTGCATTGGCTTCCGAATCTTCCTTTGTTCCCTCTCCCATGGCACGTCAACAGCTCGCGAGACGAAACACCGTGGACGCCGTGGAAGCTGAATTGCAATCGATAATTGATGATGACAAAGGCGGTATCGATGTGCTACACGAAGAAGATGATGATTCTCAAAAATCAGAAGAGCACCCCAGTTCTTCCAAAGTCGAACCCAGCACCTCCAGCAGCTCCACCACCGCCAATCGACAACGACCGAGATCGCTCTTATTGAGCGGCGCTCATAATGTGAAATCATCCATGGCATTACCGGTTTCCAGTGTCGATACGCTACCTCAATGGACCAGTTCAGGAGGCATTAATACAATCTCTATCATTGAGCACAGCGAATTCAACGATCACGCCGCCAAGAAATCCGATCAAACCGCCATATCTGGGCCTGATTCACCCAGCACAAGCATCGCACCGGAAAAGACCGCCGAAGAAACAACCAATGTTCATCTTGCGCCACCGGGAGATCTCATGCTAGCCGACAAGGTAGCCAAGCTTACGGAAGAGATGGAAAAACTGATCCAGCAGGAAGCCATTGTGGATGCCCTGATCCAAAAAGCGGAAAGCAAAAATAAAGTGGAAGAGCTACGCATTTTGAAGAAAAGCAAAAGCATGTTTCGTCGCGAGTTGCAACAGATCAAGTATCAGCGAAGTCAATACGAATTGCAAGAATCAGAAAACGTGCTGATGCCGGTAATTTTATATTATTTAAGCATATTCGGCTAGAGTTATAGCTCACTTTTCTCTGTTTTACCTGTTTTTTTTCCAGGATCGCACAACGGTCAGTATTACGAGTTCTACCATTGGTTCCGACGATCACGGCGATTTCGCATTGTATGTGATTGAGATTCAACAGCTGGGCTTTGACGGTAATTACGCGTCGGGATGGATCGTTGCACGACGATACAGCGAATTCTTTGCCTTGCATCAGAAACTCAAAACGCGCTATCCCGCGGTCAAGCTCTTGGAATTCCCGTCCAAATGGCCTTTGCTGAAATTGCAGAAATCGTTTGTGGAAGCAAGACGCGTCAATTTGGAACGGTACCTGAGGCGCTTATTGGAAGACAAGGAGATTTGCAAAAGCGAAGAATTGCGTATTTTTCTGTCTCAGCAAAACATCTTTGTGCCTGGTCCGGATCAATCCGTCTACAGCATGAATCCTGAAAACTCAGCAAGGCCATCCTCCAAGAAAAAGAAATCGGCAATGCTGACCGACAGAGGCACTGCCGATGCGTCCCTGGCCATGCATTCTTCGTGTAGCTCATCAACTGTGGCTTCTACCCAGTCGCGATCCATGGTCAATCTTCAGCGATCCATAGCAGCCGATGCCATGAGTGATGCCGCGCTTCACCGCAAACCGTCCAAGGGATTCATGAAGCACATCTATAAAACTGTCGCTGAGGGTATCGATGATATGTTTATTGGTCCATCCATGTTGGATTTGATCACCCAGCGTCTAGGTGAACAGCTTATGGACTTCTCAAATGATACCACCACCACCACCACCGACGTCCTGAATGACAGCCCTTCGCCGAAACCGGTACGATCGGCGCCAAGTTCTTCCAACTCGTCGAACAAAATGATGGTAGGAAACGAATTTGCGCCAGACGTTCCTGTGGAATTCTCTACCGAATCCCTAAAGAACATCGATCCTGAGGGTGTGACTCGGCTTACCGAACCTTTATGCGACTTGTTCATTGAGATGTTTGAACTCAAGGAGAAAAATAACTGGTTACGTCGACAAGCTGTAGTCATCATTCTCCAGCAAATCCTAGGGGGCACCATCGAAAGGTAAGACTTTTTTTATTGATTGTCGACCCCAGTACATATTGGAAATGGAAGGTCTCGCGAATGCATGATCTCATTTATTGCTGAACAGAAAATTACGTGAACTCATTCGATATCTGGGAACGGAACCTATGATGGTTTTCTATCTTCGACGTATCATTGATAGCCTTTGGCCTGGAGGTGCGAGCATCACTTTTAAACCGGCTCGACAACCGGAAGAGAAAGCACAAACTCGTGAAGAAGCCAACCGCAAATTATCGGCGTGGTTACCAGGTAGGATATCAAGGTAGCAACAACGGTTGGATTCTTTGCAATTAACGAGTGATTATTTTGCGTAAAGATCTCCTGGGAAACATGGTCGGTCGTCAGAATGCTAGACGTGGCGCCAGACGACTTTTCAGCGTGCTACAAAACAAGCGACTCAATCAACATCTGGTGTATACATTACTGGACGAAATCGTGGCGGCTTTGTTTCCCGATGCTTCACTCGAAAACGTTAGCCAATCTCGCTCCTGAGCATTCATGCCCATTCCATCCTCTTTGTATCATAATATTCCCTGTATTATCTTCATCATTTATATACATATATTTATCTATCTACGTATGCATGCTATAATTGTAATATTGTATTACGCACACCGAAACACCCCCTCTATTAAAAACATTAGGATCGAAACACTGACTATTTTCATATCATAACTCATGAAGAAAGGGAACGGTTGTTTTTTATCGACTTTAGAATTTTTTGATTTGCAAAAAAAAAAAGTTGTGAGAGGGAACATGAAAAAGGTTATTGGTGGGAAAAATGATTGGTTGATAATAGGGGGTTCCGTTGTGTCACATAAACAATCAGTTCAGATCCAAGTGGTGCTCATTATTGTGGATCGGGCCCGATGATGGCAGTAATGGAATGAGTTACCATGATTTGCTAGATTCAGCTTCCATTATATAAAAAAATGCTGTGTTGATTGATTTGCTATGCTTGTTCAGCACCAAGTTATTGACGAGAAAAGCCAAATACTGTACCATATTGGCACTGGATAATGAACTACAACTTCCAACAATCAAAGTCATCTACTTGAGAAAACTTGCACTAGGAATTTCGCATGTTTGTTTCGGCTGCAGAACAGGTTGGTGTCACGCGTGAGACTGCTTTACAAGTTCAAGTATGCGTTTCAATCAATGGCGCATGCATTGGAGCTGCTATCATTTCTCTTTCCATTTTCCTTCTTTCCATTTTTGCTGCGTCTAATTCAGTGTATACCCCATGGCTAGCCACAATTGCAAAGGGAAAAAACGCGCGACTACACCCCCATCAACTGGTATGGGAAAGATTATTTCGGATTCAAAAAAAGCTGTCTGAACATTTCTTGTTTTTCCAGATCCAAACCCGACCTTATCTGACGGCGGTTCCAGCCACTGCTGGTGATCTCAAAACATAAAGCAAGAGTCAAACCTGCTCACGCCAAAAAAAAAAAAAAAAAAAAAAAAAAAAAAAATAGACGAAAACGATGGAGGCCAGGGTAAGATTACAGAATACCATTGTGTAACGCGATCTCACTTCTGCATTTGACCACTTGCAGCTCCGACCTCGGGCCAAAAAGCATCATCGTCTACAAAGAAAACCAAGAACGAAATCAAATTTGAGCATGCCAATGCAAAACACACTGCTAAACAGGAAGCAAGAGCGAAAGATGTGGAAGAAAAGCGACCAAAAAAGCAGCGAGTGGTATTGCAGTTGTCTGCGCGAGATACAAACAACCTGACCATAGCCGCTCATCCAGCAAAGCATGCCCGAACTACCGTCCCAAGCGGATTCACGCAACTACAGTCCAGCGAACATCGATCATAAAGACGTCGCTCAAAAATACGTGCAAGAACGAAAGATACATTGCCAATTTACAGAAAGTCGTCGGACATGTCCGTGATGTGACTATGTTCGATCGATTTTCGTCGACTATCATTTTCTACGATGCGTTTCCCGGCACCATATGTGACCTCCATTTCCGCAAGACTCTTTTTCCAGTTTTGCCACCAACATGGGAAAAGGCCAAAAAGCATTGGCCTAATTTATCAAGAACTGTTGCCGTAATTTCCAGAATGATGTCGGCAGCTCTCATTTCAGTCGATTCAAATCGCAAGGGTACTCAACGGTAGCGAGCCAGGTCGCCAAGCAATACAATGAACTGGTACGGAATCATGTGGTAGCCAACTTTGAACCCAAAACGATTCGGTATTTTTTGATACGGTTTGCTGATAAGGAAGATTCCGCTTTCTTGGAGGAGATTTCTGTGGCGCAACGAAAATTGATTGCGAACTACGTATACAACCAGGCAGCTGACGATGGTTGCAAGACCTGGACGTCTTCAGTGCCAAAAACCAATGATTTAGAATTAAAAATCGAAAACCTTATCCAGACCCTCCAGCTTGGACCAAAGCAGATCAACGATATCACTTTGAATGCCAACCCGCACCTATACATACCATGGTGTACCATGTGTTTGAACAAATGGAACGGGAAGCATTTGTCCAAGATATCATGCCCACAGACGTTTGTATCGTCGGCATATGTATCCATAAAGGATCCACAGAGCCTTCAAATTTGCAGCTCTTTGCTCAGTTTGTGATTGTCGAAAGCTCTGTCATGCGCAGGCGTACGGACGGAAATCTGAGTTCGCTCTGGAATAATTGCCACAGTCATCAATCTTATATATATGTTCACTATGGCCATTCAATTGGATGGGCGGTGTGTACTGTCATGAAAGGTCGTTCCGCCAAACTACATACAAGCAGTAACGCAAAAAATAAAAAAGGGTCCGTATTTTCTATTTTGTAGTAAAGATAGACAAGATACTTAAGAAAAAATGATGTATCGTGTAACTAACTAGTAGAAGATACAATTTGCACATGCTCACTTTTTATCCTCCACTCCTCAGCTTTGGTGGTCAAAGTTAGAGTAATGGATGTCAAGACGTATTTGCTGTTAAAAAAGCTTATTTGTACTCTGAATTTTCATTGAAAGTGTGCAACGGCATTTGCCATTGAAATGGATTGTATAATGCTGGCGTTATTCCATCTCGTGGAATAGAACTTGGTAGATTATGAGGGAACAAGTCATTGGATAGCTCCTTTCCGAGTATTAAGGGTGGCAAACGAGCACTCTTTGTTGCAAATATAGTCATTTGTTGTTGGCCACGAATTGATCCTGATCGCTCTCTCACACACATTTCATAAAGCGCAGTATGGATTGCGACAACGAGGAGGCTATTGCATTTCAGAAAAGGAAACCAGCCAATATCGTTTACCCGAATTGCTTACGAGCGTGAAAAATGATATGGTGCAAGTTTTTATATCCTGTAGTAAGTTTCCACGACCTGTTGCAGTGAAGAATTGGGAGCTATGTAATTGGGTTCCGTATCGGCAACGGTGGAGGTGCCGGTCTCTGTAGACTGCCTGCTTGATTGCTTGGAGGCTTGCGAAGGTGAGGTCCGGCGGACTCGAAGATCATCATCGTCATATTTCATATCCTCTTCCATCACCGCCCATTGTCCTCGGGAATAGTATAAAGGTGCAGATTTGCCCTCGACCACGTCCTTGGTAATAAGAATATGACGAATGGAAGACGCTGGGGCTTCGTACATGGGTTCCAGTAGGATTTGTTCCTACAATATCCCGCAATGTGATTATGAGAAACTGAAATAATGCAAAGGACGTACCATGATACGACGCAAACCACGCGCTCCCGATTGCGTTTCCAAAACACGCTTGGCCGTTGCTCGCAGGGCTTTCCTAGTGAATTCGATCGATACGTGACTTAATGCAAACAACTCTTTATATTGTTTTAGCAATGCATTCTTGGGTTCCGTCAGTACTCGCAACAAATCATCTTCCGAGAGCTGGTTTACGTTGGCAATGATGGGTAAACGACCGATGAATTCAGGAATCAGGCCGTACTTTACTGTATCTTCTGGCTCGACAAAAGACAAGGCGTTTTCTAGAGTCACGGAGGTCCCGGGTTGATTGGAATCGGATCCGTCCAACGAGGCGTCCGGTATTCGCTCATCTTCGCCAAAACCCATCGACTGTAACAACAATGATACATGTTAATACAAGCCTCAAAATCTTTTTCTGCCAAGTTTTTTACCCCTTTGTCTAGACGATCCATGACTATCTTTTCCAATCCAATGAATGCGCCGCTCAGGATGAATAGGATATTGGACGTATCGACAGCATATGTTTCGCCTGGAGGAGGTGCGAGGCCTGTGCTTCGCAGAATGGAGGATGGAGATGCAGTGGAAGGAGATGGTGAGATAGAAGAAGAAGGGGGAGCAGGCAACGTTGAAGAGGGTGCAACCATGCTTCCGATCATTGTTCCGCCTGTGAGGATGGGGGTGGGTCGTTGTGGCGATGAAGAGCTAGAAATAGGCATTCCTTTGTCGGTGATATGAATGACAGTGCCTTCAAGCATACGTAACAGCGATTGTTGAACGCCTTCTCCGCTCACGTCTTTGGACCCTATGGATGGATCCGATCGTCTCGCAATCTTGTCTATTTCGTCTATAAAGATGATTCCTGTTTCTGCCCTTTCCACATCGTAATCACAGCTCTAAATTGTCGCAAAACGCACATTGTCAATACACATTGTTTTCCACTGGATTATGATTGTGGTCCGATACTTCTACCTGTAATAGTCGTTGGATCACCATTTCTACGTCTTCACCAACATAGCCTGCTTGCGTAAATGAGGTGGCATCCGACATGGAAAATGGTACTTTCAGTATATTGGCCAGCGTCTTGGCCAGAAGGGTTTTTCCTGTAAAGTGTCATGAGATCGCGATTCCATGTCACGGAAGATGACCTGTCAAAAAATTACCAGAACCGGTAGGACCAATCAAAAGAATGTTGCTTTTTTCTAGTACTGTCGACAGATCTTTGGCGGTGGAACCCGGAGATTGGCCAGTGGATGCTTGATCGGATAAGAAAGATTCATGCGTATGTTTAAGGGGCGCATACTGATTTAGCCATGACGGTTGTCCAGGCGCGTTCCCTAGCGATCTCAAAACGGCTTTGTCGCCATCAGCTTCTTAGTGGAAAACTACAAAATAAAAATATCCACATTCTACCTTGCTCTGACGGGACATGTTCTTCTGTAGTTTTATCCGGTGCTGCACTTAAACTGGATTCGTTGGCGAGACTCGTGCCTTGCTCGTCACGACTCGCTTCGTTTCGTTCCAGCCGCTGGAGGTTAGCTCGTATGCGGTTATAGTGATTATATACAGCGACAGAAAGGATTTTCTTGGCTCGTTCTTGTCCAATAACATGATCATCGAGAAGTTCGGCAATCTGTATAAAAGAAGTCAAATTAGAGACCAGCCTGAATCTTTCGATCCGTCATTAAAGCAAAGACTTTCCACTCGTGGATGGACTGACTGTGCAGAGTAGCGACGAACTGGGTGTCTTGCACTGTAATGTATCAAGTTGGTTCGCAGAAAAGAGAAATGCGTCAACATTGTCTATAAAATGACGGGACAGAATGTGTCGAGAATGAAAGCAAGCGTGCTTTTTTGTTGGAACAGCAATTATGAAAGGGTGAGAAACAAGAACAACGAACTGCATGAAATAATTAAGCTCCGATTGACTTTTCTTATTTTCCTTGCCAGTGCCGCACACGATCATAAGAAGAACACAATCATCAGTTTTTATTGATGGAGGGCTTATTTCACGGTTGTACGCACATAAAATAGATTATATGCTGCTCGACTCTGTTTCATAAAAGAAAGAAAAAAACGTAATTCGAATGAATATACTCATGTCCTTGCCTGTCACCGATACTAGCCATATTAGGCACACTCTTACCGATACTTTGCTTTGATCACAAACAGAAAATCGTGTATCATCAAAATTGTGCCATTCTCCTCGATAGCCATTGCGCACACAAGCCGTATCTAGACACCAAGAGTGTTGTTAGACAAAGATCCAAACTGCCGCTAATACATTACTTACAGTGTCCACCAGTTAGTGATCCGTAATGATTCTGTAAAATATCAGTATCAGCAGGAATGTCACTCCATTATGAAACGGGAATTGAAAAAAGGGAAAAAACTTACCGATACACCATATAAATCGTACTTTAAGGATTCGTGTTCTTGTGCTTTTTCGGGTGAAAACATGGATGGGGGTATATAACGCGACAAGTCGAGATCCCTTTCAGAGAAGTGTCAGCATGACGGGAAGAAAGCGGGTAGCCGTTAGCCGTTGTTTCAAATAAACTTACCGAAGAGGATAATCTACTGTCGTTTCGAGCTTATTCCTGAACGGTCCGTCATAATAGAAGCGTTTCAGATGAACCAACAAGACATCCGGCAATCGGGACAGAGTCAGTGCTTTACTTGCACGGCGAGGCTTTTTACATCTCGGACAATGCCTGTACAACAGAAAATTAGGAAACAGTCTATTGTGGACCTTTGACAGACAAAATGACGTACCAAGCATTATCGAAATCGAGAATCTCCTCGCGAACAAACTCGTCTAAACACTGATACAGCGATACCTTTGATGGATGGTTGTTTTTAGCCGGAATCGGCAGCGATAAAGACATAAACGTGTTATAAGTGGTAGAAGTCTAATCCCAAAGGAGTCAGTGCCATTTGAATTCTGTGCTGTTTTGTTTCACAGCGAGGGAAGTTACCTTGTGACAAGTCAAGCACGTCAACCGACTTCTGTATTGACCCTGGAAGAGGCTGACGATAAAACTGGAATTTCGTTCCAGATACCGTTGCCAGGCAATACTGCTAGCTTGCCAATCAGGAAGTCGTTCGAATCGCTCTTCTTCCTCGGCGTCCTCGGGAGGTGTGGGAGGCTTCTTCGTTACCATATTACAATCCTCATGGAGTCCATCCAGTAAAAATGTCAGGAACTCTTGGGAATCATGCTGCTCAGTGCCTGCAAATTGAGGTGCAAACCGAATAATCGCTTCCTATAAAAAGCGCAAGGTGCAACACATTCATCATGAGATTACCGGGAATGGATCCGAGTGTTTTGTCCACTTACTCGAAAAGATACAGGAGAAATAAAGTTGTATGCTTCACTCCACATGATTCTTAACAAATCGGCAAAACTATCGGCCACAACACCGCCGGTGCCCAACGGATTATGTCGATTGATACTCTGTTTATACATGCCAGCTAAAGTAGTATAGCACGCATAACGCATTAACCTCTTTGCAATCACCATATCGACAAGTAATTTGATCCACTTACATGTAAAATAGCGTGCCAAAGGAGCGGTGCCACTGAGACACTGAAGAATCGAATTCATGAAGCAAGTATTGCCCAGATTTTTCAGTCCAGTGGCGCCAATTTGCATCGCGCCAAGTTGCGCGAATGAGTTATTTGATACAGGTGCAAATCTTGTGTTTTCACCTGCGGGCGGTATTCTCAAGTTGGGCGGTTTGGCAGGAAGGGAAGGACGAACGGGAGGATGAGAAGCTGGTTGAGGGCTGGTAATAAACGGTCCACTGGAAGGTGGTTTTGATGTAATTGGTTCTTTGGGTGGCAGGGGTGGGGTATCAAACATTGGATTGCTAGTGGCAGTGAAGCCATGAAATGGGTTATCGACAAAGGTCGTACGACGTTGCACGCCATGGGGAAGCGAAGGACGACTGGGCTTTTCTTGGGATGAGTTAGGACGGATTTCTGGGTATTTATTTGCAATTGTTTCTTCTGTCGGCGTGGTGGTATTAGGGAAAAAGGGTTCCGGCACAGGCATCGCAAGAGACGGTGACACTTGTTGATCGGAGCCACTCAGTGAATTGGCAAAAATCCCTTGCACAGCTGGATACTGCTGTGCCACCGCGTTTTGGGTATAGGGTATACCGCCATGCGTAAACTAAACGCGTCCCGCAGTAAGTGAGTGACATGATGGAACAAATTACTAGGATATCTGACTTACATAATCATAGACAGATTGATGCATGACACCAGATTCCGAACTCTTGCCCACGACGTCATGCAACCAGTGCTTGGGTCGCTCTGGCTTCTTTTGATCCAAGGTAGCGTCTTCTTCTTTGTCGTTCTTACTGAACCGATACACACCACGATCACCGTACACCGCCTTCCAGGCGTTAAACCCTCCCAAAAGCATGACAGGAACATGAGGCAAAATAGTGGAGAATTCTACTTCATAAATGGCTCGTTTCAGGTACCGTAAAGCGTCGCTAGCATGCTCGATGCTGGTGGAATCCTGATCGTAATACACCACAAGATCAAATTCGTTGCGTCGCTTGAAAAGCTCTTGTTCAATATCCGGGTTCATGACCAACGATTCATATATCCTGTGAGATGATATACTAAAACAAGCATTGACATTTGAGTATACTCAACAGTAAGCGGTCCGAACAAGATTGTATCACTTACTCTTTTCGTAGTACCAAGGGTTCTACTTGGGCGATCCAACGATGCTTGATACATCCACGGTTATAAACTTCTCTCGGTCTTACATCCAGCAACAGGATACTGGCTGGATTATTCTTCTTCAGTAACCAATCGCCCAGTTCCTTGGGTTCCATTACCATGGAAGGAGAAAATTCATTGTTGGATCGTGGCGGGATTTGAAGTGGCGGAGGCGAAAAATATCCATTGGGTTGCGCATGAGGTGAAAGTTGGGATGGCGCTGGTGCTGGTGCGAGCATCTTTGGTTTGGCTGGAATCGGAGGGGCGGATGGAGCAGTTGGAGAAGGTCCTGGTGAGGTCACAGGCGGTGATGGTTGAGGAGTTGGCATCGACATCTTGCGAGTGCTGGGAACATGCTGCGGAACAGGCGGCAGGCTGTCTAACGATAATGGACTGGTATCGGAAGCGACCCGATCGTTGATAGAACTCCCACTCGAGTGAAGAGCTTCGACGGACGGATATTTCTGCAGAACGTGATTCAGATCGTCACTTGCTTCGACTTTGGTATACTCTGCGAACCGTCTTTCAAGTTGGCTTCGAATATTTTCGACTCTCGTCATTACCCCATCGATTCTCTAGTATTTATGTCCCGCTCACATTAGCTTGTCGTTCACAGATGGGGTATATCCAAGAAAAATCAGTAATACCTTTAATAAAGATTGAAATAAAAAATCTCTTCGCGCTTCGGAATAATCTGGATGTTGTTTGATGGTTTCCACGACAATACTAGGATCAAGCTTGCTTAATACATATATTCCTCCTCGGTGAAGTGAAAATGTCCACTACGTCACTTACTTCAACCCTCTTAAATAATGGACATAGGCATTCTCTAAATGTTCCAGTTTAAAGTCGTAATCTCCCTAACGTATGAACAGCATTAGTCATTTAGGAAAGTAGCGTCCGATGGAAAGCGGCCGGGTCGTACCTGCTCAAAGAGTTTATTGGCGGAGGTGATCCAGGTCTTGACGGCATATTTGCCAATATCTGCTCCGTTGACCTCAGCCTGTTCTCGCAGTTCAGCTAGCGATCGTGGTGATGAGGACATGAAGGAATGAGGAGATGGAAGAGGTGAGGACATGGATTTGTTCGGCTTCTGTCAGGAAAAGAAAAAAAAATTGGAGCCGTTTTCTTCTCAAACAGAATAAGATCGGCTGACTTTAAAAATGTCTGGGCATTTTTCTTTTCTCGGTGCTTCAATTGCTTTTAAATCTGCTTTGCTTCTTTTTCGTCATGCGTTCGAAGAAGAATTCTGACAAGATCGCTCAATGTGGAGATGGATATTTTCGTCGAACGTCCAAAAGGCGGGAGGCGCTAAAGTATGCTCTTTTTTATTATGAAATTGCGCCCATTCTTATTCCTCCCCTCGCTTTCTTCTCGATAGTGGGGTGACGACCCGCTCGAGCAGCAAAGCGTCTGCAAACACCGACAAGACATCCACACGCTCTGCTCCTGAGAAGCCAACCAAATCGAAAAAGGTTAAAATTGAGAAGCAGTTCTCGTTTGTAACGGTCCAATTGATTTCGTTGTTAGGCTGTCAAACCATCGAATACCACGGATGTAGGCAGCCAACCAAGTGCTGCAGCCATTGATGCCGCAGCAAGTGTGACTACCTGTGGAGGCGTAGGGGTCGTCTCCCCCGTCATTAGTCGCCATTTTGATTTTGAAAAAGCAGTGGCGCATTTGAAAAGCGTCGATCCAAAGCTGGGTGCTCTCATGACTCCAAAATCTCTCGTTGGATTTGAGGAAAGATTGCTACAAGCGGACGGTTCCAATCCGTTTAGGTAACGTCACCGCACAATCATACTGTTTGTCCGTCAAACCATGAACTGACGATGAATGCCTGAAAAATATAAGAGCCTTATCGTCATCCATTATATACCAGCAGATCAGTGGTAAAGCCGCCGCATCAATTCGCGCCAAATTTATAGCATTGTTCGACGCACCAGTTCCCACCGATGAAGGAAGCACATGGTTCCCAACACCTGAAATGGTTTTGGACAAAACACCAGAGGAGTTGCGATCGGCAGGTTTGTCCGGGAGAAAGGTGAATCGATGATTTTGGGAAGACTCTGCATGCTTGGAACTCATGTAGGCTTACAGGCGGAGTACATACGAGACTTGGCTATCAAGTTTGTTGATAAAACCATTCAGCCCGATCTATTGGATGCCATGTCTGATGAGGAAATTTCAAAACAGTTGTGCAGCGTCAAGGGAATCGGACAGGTACGAGGGATGGATTGAATGGTTGAAGTGAACACGCATTTTGAAATACTGAACAATGTCATTTTCTGAACCCTAGTGGACCGTGGATATGTACCTAATGTTCAATATGCGTCATCCTGATGTATTGCCCGTGACCGATCTTGGTAAGTCAGCAACCAAGAAATCGTTCATTCTCTTACATTATTCTTCATTTTGATATTGATACTGCGTCCACTTTAGGTATACGAAAAGGGTTGGCGTTACACTTTAATATCCCAAAAGGGACGACCAAAAGGGACACATTGCCCACACCAGAACAGATGAGACAAGTGACAGAAATCTGGAGAGTAAGTGACACCTGGTTTCCTTTTTTGGAATGGATCGATTTTTATGCTCACCCCACTTTCCTTTTTGCACAGCCATATCGCACCCTGGGTTGCTGGTACATGTGGTTATTGACGGATATTTACACTGTCGCGGACTAGGAAGGATGGCCAACTTGTGTGTCGCAATAAATTTTGCAGGGTTTATTTTTTTTTGGTGAAACTATTTTTTTCAATATTCCATTCTGCATTGTTATCAATTTTGGTTATCTTTGCAATGCTTGGTTTCTACAATATTACATAGGATAGTGAATAAAGGATAGATGCTAACTAATGCAATTGAAAAGCATATCGGGTCATGGTATCCAAATGATCTGACGAAAAGTGAAGGGAGAGAAGGATGAACTTGTTGGCCATGTGGGGTTCTTCGGTCAACATCTTATCCAGGGAGGCTTTGGTGAGTTTCCAAAGAACCGAGTCTTGTTCAGCAACCATAGACCGTGTGCGTCCGTCGCTTCCTGTGAACAGACCAAGTTCACCCACAATACTTCCTGGAAGAATGCTTTCGACGGTGACGTCCTGATGATTGACACGCATCAGACTTCGCAAACAACCTTGCTCGAGCACAAGCATGTAGTCGCAGGGGTCCCCTTCACGATACAGGACTTGGCCACGCCTAAGCGTCATTCTTTCAAAGTACGTCGCCAGTTTGTGATAAAACTCTACGGGGACCGTCTCGGAACTCAGTTCACTGTAAGTCTGAACAAGAATCATCATCGGTTGTGTCATGTTGGAATGAATCACTGGCGCTTGTGATTCTATAAAATGATGCCAAAAAATGGATAGAGTAAGAGACATGTATTTTTTTTTCTCCTTTTTTGATTATGATAGCCTACCTTCCAATATATCCTTCACTGCTTTGGTTAGCATTTTTTGACGTGGTGAGGCCACAGAAGGCAACGAGTCGGTCTGGGTGACTTCTTCTCCAGTGAAACGAGGCATTGACGCAGTTCCTTTATCTGTAGCGAAGCAGAATTAGTCACCAATGAACAGAACAAATGCTTTTGGTATCAGAAACTTACAGGATCCACGACGCTGTGACATCTTGGCAAAATAAGACTCCAAGAGTACGTTTTCACACCATTCCAACGCATCGTTGAGGTACTGGAAACATTTCAAATCTGTTTGCTGACTGTTATCTTCATCCATCCACATGCCGGATTTTGCCAGGGCCTTTTCTTCGTCCGACTGACGCGCTACATTACAGATGATCATGTACACGTCTCGACTTCCGAGCAATCGACGAATACGAACAAACGCTTCGGCGGCGCTGAAATCCAGTCCTTGAACAAGTTGCATGTCAAGAATCACGAATCGCACCGGCGTCACATCCCACACCCGTTCGTCCAGCATGTCACGGATCGCTCGTTCGACTTGGTTGATGGTGCCAAAGAACAAGTATCCCTGCAACTTGATGACCTGAATCTGGTTGCTCACATAATGTAGAAATCGCTGCTGTCGGTACACCCGTCGCACCGTGGATCGCATGAATCGACCAGAAAGGCTAGCACGAATAGCTTGACTCCGTCGGGCTTTTTGCACGACAAAGAAAATGCAGGCCATGATAATGCCGACCAGAATGCCCTCCACAAATCCGAGAATCGACATGCACGCGATAATAGCACAGATCGTAATGTATTCCAGATAATGCACACTGTGCCATGTATCAATGAGAGCTTCTTTGAGCAGATCAAGACCCAGATGGAAAATCAGACTGCCTACAACCATGACCGGGATGTACCCGACAATCCATGGCCCAATCATCCACACGATGGCCGTAGCGCCCGCCAGCATGAACCCAGCCAGTCGACTATCGCCTCCGGATCGAATAAACAGCAAGCTGTTGGTATAGACAAGGTAATCTGTGGACATGATCATTAGCGTTTCTCGTTGTGCAGAGCGAATGATCCATTCTCATTCTCTTACTTTGTACGGCGCCCAGACATCCAGAGATGGCATTGGACAATCCGTGAGCAACGAGTTCTCGGTTGACATCTACATCGTCCTTGTTGGTCGATACGCCCAGAGCTGGTACATTTATGGGCACATGAAGAAGTCCTAAACAAGGACCATGATACGTTTCAATCTCGGGTCGCACAGTATGCCTTAAAAAGGCCATAGTAAAAACTGACTTACCAAAAAAGGTCAATGCGAGCATGGCCGGTAATGTCTTGAGAATTGCGCTCCAGTCGACCAAGGTCAAATCGTAGTAAGTGTAAAAGTGCCAGAACGGCAAATCGCTTTCCACAAGCGGGAAGATCCATCCTGCGTCTCGTACGTGACCGATATCCAATCCGAAAATGACGCACACGAAATAAAACGCAAAGGGGAGGATCATGAAAAACGCTGGAACGACAAGCGGGCTGGATACGCGATGCTGAATAATACGTAACAGGATGGCGACCCCGAGCGAAGAAGACCACAATGCAAATGTATGCGTATCCAAGAACAGTTTACGCAACATTGGTAGGTTATAGGCGAGATTTTCGGTTAAACGAGCCGACACTTCAATACCGGTAGCGACGAGAAACCAGCCCACACCACCAATGGTACCAACGAGAATGTGACGCGGAAAGAATCCGATCAACGATCCTAGCTTTAAAGCACCCAACAGGAAAAACGCTAAACCCGTCATCATGCTGCTAATAGCAAATGCAACCACCGTCGACGACACAATGCGACCTGGCTCATCTTCTCCAATCGACTGAATAATTTGCTCCGCACTACAACCACTATCAGTATCCACCTACAACCCACACATCCTATTCAGTAAAACCTACATGATGTGAAGAAAAGGGACCACTACACATTGGATGGAAATTTTAATTGTGGGTAAAACGATTTTGTCTCGGTTCAAAAGTAGGCTTACCTTCGATCATCATGCTACATTTGTCAGGCAGAAAAAGGAAATAAAAAAAAATAACATACTAAGTCCAAATGAAGCATACCAGAAGGAGGATCCTTTGTGTTTGATGTAAAACCACTCACCTTCCGTTACCACCTTCAAAGCAGCTACCACCACCGGAGTAGACCAATTGTGCGACAATACAGCTAATTGGGAAAAAAAATCAGAAAAATTTGTGTTCATTGCATCATTTTTGTCAATTTCTCAAACAAAATCATCCACCCTGCATACCTCACAAAAAACATTGAGATACCATCAGGTCCAAATGCAGCGAAAATAGGGTTATTCAAGGGAAATGTGATCATGCCTAAGTAATAATGCACTCATCCGTAAGTATTCTTGCATCATGATGTCCACCCCTCCCCCCCCCCGAATCCATTTATCAATGACAGCGGGCGTACCGTAAGAAATAGCATCAAGAAGATTAAGCAGCAAGCCGAGAATCACGGCGGGTATGCATTCAATAGGTCGTTTCACCATATTGATCCATGTGTCAGGATCCTTGAGTGATGTGAAACGTGTTTTTTCAGACACTCGTCCGCACAATCGGGACCAGAAGGGCTGATACCGACCCGTGTCAGAATAAGATTTCACACTGCCTCGCCGATCTCGTGCGCTCCGTATACTTGTTTCATCCGTCCGCATGGGAGAAATGGTCTGGTATTCCACGGATGGTGAGGTTGATGACGGTAAGCGTTCGATAAGCGGACTTCTTTCATCGTTCGATTTGCTTGCTTTTATGTCTGTTTCCTTTTGATTCTGGTATTTAAATAGATACGATAAATTGCTACTGCTTGTATTTGGCTGAGTACGCGGAGAAGGGCTGATGATAAACTCGTCGTTACTCTGGCGTGGTTTGCCGATGTCGGGATCTGGACCTTCGTTCATGCCCAAATCGCCTAATGCAAGGGATTGAGCTCGGATCGATTCAATCGATGCCGAGTATTGCAGCTCTCCATCTACACAATTCACGGTCAGTACCGGTAAAGAGTCATCGCGTTGCATGATAAGGATAACCTACTCGTTTCGTGCTTAGCATGAGAAGCATAATAGGATCGGGAAGGTAGTTCTCGAGACGTTTGCCTTTGCAGTGACGTTTTAGGAGGAGACAGTGCTTCGTGTTGTGAGGAAACCGTGGATTCTTCGTCTGCCGCGATTATGCGCGGGCTAGAATGAGCCATATTTGCACAACAATACCAAGCACCAAAGGAAAAAGAGGAAAATCAACTCTTTTTACACCAAGAGCAAGAGAAAAAGCAATGGAAAACAAATTTGATGTTTGAAAGATCAAAACTCTGATATTTTATATGTTCGAGGCAAACCGTTTCGGAGAATCAAAAATGGAACGCTGGGACCACAAAAAAAAAAAAAAAAAAAAAAACTGACATGGGCCACCAAATAACCTCGACGCGGGTCCCTTTCCTCCCCAATCTGTCAGACCCGTCATTCTTGCGTTTCATAATAATGCGTTATCCATTAATGGTGAATGTTTACAAGATATAAAGAAAATAACTTTTATATGAAATGTAACTTTCTAGGGTGAATGTAAAGAGGCAAAGGCAAAAAAGAAAGAATTCCCATTTTCGTAACCAGATCATTGTGCATTCCGTTGGTATCAATTGTCGCACGCTATCGTCGGAGTTTATAAAAAGCAGTCCGTTTCTCGGTCGCCGTTGATAGGAAATCGAAAATCCGGTCTCTTTTTCGTTGCCCTGATGCCTGAATCCATGGACCAATTCATAAAGGAATTCAAGCCATTGAAAAGAAAGAAAGACCCTGAGCAAGCATGTCAACTACTTCATCGTATTGCGTCTCAGGTGACTATCTTTTCGATAACTGTCGTCGTTGGTTGAAAAACTCACCTGCCGCTATATATCAGGTCAAACCCATTATGAAGAAGCGATCTTGGAAGGTCACTCAGTTTTGTGAATTTTTTCCTTCCAATCCAAACTTACTAGGTAAATCTTTTGACCAATGATAAAAAAGAAAACATCGCAATGGCTGAAATGTGAAGTACCTTATTTAGGCTGCAATGTCAATCGAGGGTACAAGATCAATATCCGACTGCGGCCACATTACGATGACACTCAATTTCTCGATTACAACGATCTGTTGGGAACAATGCTTCACGAGTAGGTTTAAAATTATGCCATGGCTTTTATACGTGTGATAACTGACATTTCTTGTTTGTTAATTAGGCTCGCTCATATCGGTGAGTAACAATCAACATTGTTAGCTAATGCGGACTTTAAATACTCACTATCATGCAAACACAGTGCGAGGGCCCCACGACGTTCAATTTTATACCTTGTTAGAGGAATTGAACAAGGAACTAGATGAACTTATATTATCTGGATACACTGGTGAAGGATTCTTGGCTGAAGGTCATCGACTCGGTGTAGGGGTCAGTCATAGCGTCTCTCCTGCCGAAGCCAGAAAGAAAGCCCTGGCCGCGGCCACCAGACGGAAACAGTTGCAACAAGTGATGCTCCCCAGCGGAGGTCGACGATTAGGCAGTGGATCAGGCACTATGGAAAAGAATTTATCGCCTCGTGAGATGGCGGCCCGAGCGGCTGAAAAACGACTGCAAGATCAGAAGTGGTGCGGTGGATGTCAAACAGAGGAAGATCCAGATTCAGAGAGTCCCTCGACCGCACCGACCACACCAACCACACCAGTCACACCAACTACTGGAAAACGAAAACCGTCGGTCGATGATACGCGTGCTTCCAACAAGAAGGCGCAAACAATGGTGACCACGGTGGCTTCCAACGTTTCTGGATGGGCATGCCCGACTTGCACCTTTCAAAATCGGGAGGTTGTGTTGGCTTGTGAAATCTGTCTCGCTGAAAGGCCGCACGATAAAGACGCCATCCTTCGTACTGCGATCGGATGGATTTGTCCCCAATGCACGCTTGAAGTGGAAGAACAATGGTGGACCTGTCGTCTATGCAGCTATACCCGTCTTTGTTAACGACCTTTCTTCCCAAACCCATCGCCCCATCCCCCTTTCTGTACCCTTACTCTCATTCAGTACGCTTTTCTCCAAATCATTCATTCCAATTATATTTGCATATCATTCTACTAATCTTCGCACATCCATCTCTTTTTTTTTACTTTTGTAATAAATGAATCATATCCATTCTATGAACAGGCATATTTTTATTGTCAGGAAACATCAGCCCTTCCCCGTAATGCGGAACGTTTTGGGCGTCATAATGATAGAGAAAGTGTGTTCAGATTTTACATGATGAGAGGAGATTGCCATTATTTACAGAAAAGGACTACAGGAACATTTGCATGGTCATTGGCTTTCGTACAGCATTGGAAAAGCCTTCGTGGTATCTGTATGCGATTTGTATCTTTTCATCCAACCGTGCTTAAAAAGAAAAAAAGTCGTTCAGTACAAGCCATGTCCACTCTCATACCACTCTCATACCTTGTTCCATAGCCTGCTGTTCGGTTTGTGGTGATTCTTTTCGCACGATGGGACGTCCAAAGAAATCCTTTGGTATATTTTCTTTCTTGGGGTCTTTTAATACTTTCATGGCAGCATCCCTAAGATCGTATCGCATTTAGAGCCCAGTTCATGCTGCTCAGCATCGATCGATCGAGCACATTCACTTACATGGTGGCCCGAACTTGGGTTCTCAGTTTTTCACCTCCATCTTTGGCTGCTTTCGCGTGCTCGCGTCTTCGTAACAATTCAGTCTCAATCTGAGAAGGATTTGATCAGCGTCAGCAGTTCCGCTTTTTGACGTGAACGGACAATTAATCAACGCAATATACCTCTTGAGCAATCAACTGACGCACGGCATAGCGATTCGGTAAGATATTCTTGTTATTGACCGTCTGATATTGGATCATTTGTTCAATCGGACTAGAGAACGGCCCAAGGTTATACATTTTGTCTCTTTTTGTATCTTGAAAGCAGACTCTTACGGCTCCAATTTATAAACGAATTGCCCGTCGTCCAGTTTCTCTTGTAGAAAAGTCAAGCCAAACTCGATCATCACTTCTACCAGTCGAGCCAAGGTCGCTTTTTCTTCGGGTTTGATAAGTTGTTTATTGACCTAACAGTAAAGGTGAGCCAAACAAACATTCCGATATTTTCATTTTTTTTTCATCTGCAACTTACTGGGCGCACTTCCGGCGATACGATACGTAGTAATCGCGGTATTAATTCATTCGCAACCATATCTTTGTTGAAGAATCGCCGGCTGGCAGGAGGAATGCCCGCCAAGAAAATAGAAATTAAGTTTTCATACTGATTTTTCGTCGCAAACACCTAGAATGTTGATAAATATCAATTAGCGGGCTTTTGGTCATGCAAAAGTGGTTGGCCGCAGCATACCTCGTAATCCACTCTCGGATATTCAACTCGATGCTCCTGACTCACGGAGCCGGCAAAGAAACGATGAAAGTTCACAATCGGTAGTGGCAAATAGCCGTAGAAGCCGTATTCATGCTTGTCGTTGGTTCGATGATGCACATGGTCATAAAAGTTGAGCCATTCACTCATTTGAACGAATTTTTGAAGAGCAACATCGTGGAATTTCATGAGCGGATAAGACTCGAAGCAACCTACGCTTATCACAGTGAATATGCGAGAGCAATCCACGACAGTTTCCTATGGCTGACCTTGCATAATCTTTTCCATCTCGCCGTTTGTCATGATAACATCAATCATTCGTCGTAAATACTTGTTGCCGTCTACAGGCATCAAAGTAGTTAGAAGGACGCACGCAATCCAAAAGGCCACAGTACCCCTACCATTGGCGAATCGATCGATAGATGTCTGCCGACGTGCGTTTGGCGCACTAAATAACTCTTCCCATACTGAAAAGAGCGATTTGCCCATATCTTTTCTGCCGACTCCCGCCTGCTCCAGCATGTCACGGGTGAAGACATCGCTCTTGCCTCGAATAAACTACCACCATCATGCTCAGCTCTCGATTCATTACAAACCCCATTCTTGCGCTATAGTCGATATTTACCTGCAGTGTATTGAGACAGCTTCGAACATCGCCATCCGTACTTTCACCGAGCGAACTGAGAGTTCTCAAATCACTCTGCAATCCTTCGAGCTCACACACTTCCTGTAACCGTTTAGCAATCGTCAGCATCGATATCTTGCGGAACTGAATTGTGTGTGCAATAGCACGAAGCGGACGAAGCACCGGTGCGTAACTGTAAAGCAGATATAAAATCAGTAATTCGGGGAATATTTCCTGTAGGATTGGTATACTTTACGGGTCATTGCAGATGCAAATAATCGGTCTTAGGAGCGGCATGGGACCTTTTCCTTTCCCTGAGGTTGGCGTTTTAGTATTATTACCCCCCATGCAAAATCATGTTGATATTGCGCTTACCCTTTCGTCGTGTTTTGTCCGAATCTTTGTCCTTCACGTCTGCCGTTGCCAATTGCACTAATTGTTGGATAAAACTCTATCCACGGTTTGATCGTTGAATGATATTGAATTCGTGTTTATGCATACCGTCGACTTTTTACCTCTGATCCACCTCCGCTACTGGCGCCATCGATTTCATCGATAATTAAAATATTGGGCTTTTGCTGCATGCTCATAGTGCGTCCTTGTTTAGAGCCGTCGGAAGAAGCAGGTTCCCGGATAATAGCTTGCATTTCCAGCGCGGATTTGATTTTTGATCGTACCACATCCCCCGTACGATCATCGCTAACGTCGCGCATATTAGCCTTTGCCTGTAGACGATGATCTGTATTCAGATGGTTACCTAGCATTTACTTCAATGATATTATAGTTGGCATGCTTTGCAACGACATGGGCCAACGTGGTTTTACCGAAACCGGGAGGGCCAGAGATAAGCATGATCTACCATTACATGTGAATGCACAGTCTTGATTTAAAAGAATTTCTGAAGTAGTTGCCCCTAAATACCTTTCTTTCTGGGCGCAGTAACGGATCCGTTGGCTATAGAATACTTGATCGTCAATTTTTTTTCTTACTTGGTATCCTTTTTATCCCACAAGTACCTGTTCCCTTCTGTCCGTTTTTTCGAAACGTGCAGTGGTGCCAAAAGTGGACTTGTATTGCTTCATGGCTTTATCACGTTGTGTTTCCTGAGCTGGCAGTTTTCCAAACACACAGTAATCCCACTGCTTTACCCACCGTAGAACTTCACGATTCACTCGCTATGAGACGCGGTTAGACGAATGAACGTCATTGAACAAGTCAAAAGGGGTGTGATGAGTACCTGATCGCTCAGCAAATCCAGAAATGATCGTGGTTTGTATTTCTCAACCCAAAGGCGCTCCATCTCCAAAACGTTGGCTTTTTTCAATCTTTTAGGCTTATGCGCTGATGCTTCCTTTTGCTCTTTGATTAACGCTTCTGTTTTGGTCTTGCGTTCGTGCTCCAACTCTTCCAACATTTTCCAGATCGGCTTTCCCAAAAGGCTGGTAGAACTTTTGATGTGATCGATGGATTGTGTTGTTCGCTGGGTCGACTGAGGTCGTTTGGAAAAATAGAGCGTCCGACCGGTACGTGAGCAGGTGGCCGTAACGAAACTACCCGTAGGTGGTGGTTGCAGGTAGGAGGTCGGTTGATCGTTCTTTGTCTGCTGGACATTTGAGATGGAAGAGAACAAAGGTAGATCGTTAACTTCGTTGTCTAACAAGGGAATGTGTTCAATGTCCATGGCATCGACTTGGGCCTGCGTTGGCGGTGATTCGGGATAGTCGAGATCATCCAAGCCAAGGCTGTCGGAAAGGTGAAGATTGGCGAAACTCGAAGCCTGGCGATCGACGGCTTTCCCTTTTTCAGAACTTAAAGGAGAGTCGGTCGGAACATGAGCTACAAAAGGCAGGAAGCCATGTTAGCAAGAAAGAGATTTTAACGGTACAGGATAGTAGGTCAAGCATTGGGTTTTACCAGAGAATTGTTCCTGAGCCTTTTTTTCGAGGTAATCGTCTAGTGCGAAAAAGGAGGTGGACTGGTCTGCTGTGGAGTCTAAGAACAGTGCATCGTCGTCATCGGAATCGAAAAAGGTATCGCTGTGGAGTCGTTTCCTAGTGTCCATTCCCAAGTCTTTAAAAATCGTGGAATCAATGGACAGACCGTGGTAAGCTGAAATTTTTCTTTGAGCGAGGCGAGCGCGTTTCTTTTTCCTCTTTCAGCTCGCGACGCGTTTTCTCCGACATGGTCAAATTCAAACGCAGGCCAAGGCATACAATTTACATCGCATTTGGCGGCTTTTCACGTCGTTTCATCACATCACCATATAAACGCATCACATACGCATGCTCAACAGCAGTTGCAAAATACAAAAGGTGTTTAGATGAATAGATATTTACGTGCAAGAAGTTGACGTGCTTGTTGATCACTGTGGCCAACAAAAATCACCACCGACAAAAATCTGCATTTTTACAATCTCGCAATCGTTTTTTTTTCGGAACTTTCGTACTATATTTTCAAGAAAAAGTAAGTTAGTATAGCTGGTTTTTTTTTTTTTTTGCCAGACGTCAACCATTCTTTACAACCGACTTCCGCTTGGCTATTTATGAAGTTGCTATTGTTAATCGAATTAACCTCCGACAGTTGACGAATGATCCTTTTGTGATTGTCTGAAGAGGAACCGATTTATTTAGAAAACCCCAGTACATAAACCCAAAGTTACTATCTTTATTGCGAATCAGTTGTCACCAATCGATCTAAAGATAACCTTTTGCGAAAGTGGCTCACACTCAGCCACAACGCTCAAGTCGCATCGATTATTGTTGACCAATGGTTCGTCACGATATAAAAAAGTAAGAAGCAGTGAAAGTGATTAGCAAGATTAGTGGCAAATTGATCACTTCAATTGCGCAAAAAAAAAAAAAAAAAAAAAAAAAAAAAAATGTCACAGGAATGATACTTTATCTGGGCAGCCAAAAGTTGGACCTTGAGATGCTTTGACCAATATGAGCCATCCACAGCAACATGATTTCGGCGTTCGATCTGTCAAATGTGCTGTATGGACTACAATCTCTTACAAGAGAATGTACGTGAGCGCAAACATTGTTTTGATGTGGGCAGACAATATGTGTCAATGATTTGTGAATATCGATCATGTTTAACAAGCCGTACACCCGCTGTGCAATGGATGCCACCTGCTACTGGATGCCGCACTCTTACATTGAGCGACATTCGTCAGACAAAAAGCCTAACGCAATACGGCATAACCTGGGCGAGACTCTTGATGGAACTTTGGTATATTAATGTCAATACTCTGGCATACCATGAAACACTTTTAATGAACAAAGCAGCACTTATTGACCCCCTCCGTTCTGTCCCGCCCAAGGTTATGATAGATCTACAAAGATGTGTGGGAATGTTGGGTATTTAAAAAAAATGAGTTAGTAAGCTCTTTGGTTGATTCAAATTTCGTTGAGATATTTTACCTTTGATGTTTGATGCAGCAGATACCGAGGGCTTCCCGACCGAAATAAAGAAAGGATACAAATATAAAAAAAAAAAGTAAATACAATAGGTGCGTCTGTAAAAACCCCCTAAAAACCCTGTGGGAAAAAAAAGGAGGAAAAGACTGCAAGAAGACTATTCACTAAAATACAAAATACATACTACAACTACAAAATAAAATGGTCGGGAAGAAATATCGAAGGCGATACCACGGGCAGCAATCCATATGAGAGGAACCTGGGGAGGACGCGTCAGCGTTTCCCGATGAAAAAGAGAGTCACACCACCGACGATGCCTTTGACGACAAAAACCGGTTTGGCCACATTTGAGCGCGAACAAAGTAGAAAGATTTGGAGGGATGGATGACTTGCCTAGCGAAAAGAAAACCAAAAGCTAAAGAAGGGGTAGAGAAAAAAGAACGTGAGTTTTTTCTTGTCGAAAAACGAATAGTCACATCACACAAAAGGTACCTTTTTGATAATACTCGACTTGACCGGTTACAGATAGACGCCGGATACACCATAGTCTGGATGATGGATGATGGATGTGGATGCGGGTGAGGATGCAATGATAGTGAGGGCTTTTCAGGTAAACGGAAAGAGGGAGAAAACCAAAGGAAAAAGAAAAAAATTGAAGACAAAATGAATGAGTTCCCATGGATGAAACAATAGTCACTCTGCCAATGCAAGAATGATGATCAGGTCAACCACATGGGCCAAAAAGTGGAACATTTTCGGTTGGTTTACCTTTAAATCAAACATTGTGCCGAAAGAAAATATGTATACGGACCACACGTAAGCTTCTTCTTCGATGCGGAAAAGAAAATTGCTTGCAGAAACAGTTAAGCGGCGGAATATTTTTGGGGCGGTGGTGTCAGCTTGAGCAGGGCCAAGATATTGATGTGGTCAGAAGTGCCGGTAATTTCGAGCTGGAGGCCAGATATCGATAGTTTTCCCGAGTAAAAATTAAAGAAAATAAAACTTGCGTCAGTAAAAATCTCACAAAAAACCCTGTGGCGAAAAAAAGAGGGAAGACTGCGAAAAGAATACTTACATGAAAGACGATATCAAGAGTAGGAATCCAAATGAGGGCAACATGAGGAGGACGCGTCAGCGTTTCCCGATGAGAAAGAGAGCCACACGACCGAAGATGTCCTTTGACGACAAAAACCGGATTGGCCACAATCTGGTGCCCGAACAAAGTAGAAAGGTTTTGGAGGGATGGATGGCTTGAATGGCTTGCCAGGCAAAAGAAAACCGGAGAGAAAACCAAAAGCTAAAGACAGAATAGAGAAAAAGGACAGGTAAATTTTTTCTTGTCGAAAAACGGATAGTCGTATCACACAAAAGGTACCTTTTTTCATAATAATCGAATCGACCGGATCAGATACACGCCATAGTCTGGATGATGGATGATGGATGCAATGATAGTGAGGGATTTCCAGGCAAACAGAAGAGATGCAAAACTAAAGAAGAAGAAAAAATTCGGACAAAAATATGTGATTTTCCATGGATGAAACAATAGCCACCTCACTGATGCATGAATGATGAGCTACACAGATCGAAGCATATCTGCTCCATGTATCATTCGATTACTGAAGAGAATGAAAGGGCATATACAGTATAACTGACAGATAACCCAAATTAAATGATGCTACAAAACACCAGATCGTCGTATCGTCAATCACCTTTCTTCAAAAAAGAGCTCCACTCACATTTTATGTGAACGGCGACGATGCTCTGTTTAACCACAACTGGCGCAAACGGCATTTGCTGCTGATTGTTTCGCCTATTATCGTGAAAGTGGGCAGCGAGGCATGGTTGAAAGATGAAAAAAAGGTTTAACAGGCCTTGATAACTTAGTGTAGATCATGTGATTTACAAATTGCTAATTTTTCAAAGATTTTAATTATATAGATAACATTATTGCAATACTTCCTCTGCAGGAAGCTGGTCATTCGGTAAGTGAGCATGCGCCATAGTCATGGAGAAGAGGGAATATTATGTCAAAGGCGTCTTTTGCAGCCAAGAGTCATATTCGGATTTGCAATTACACGGCGATCTTGAAGTTCGCTTGGAATTTTCGTTTGTGGTATCGCATTAGGTCAACTGGATCCCTTGGGAATTCTCCGAATCGTGATGTAATATCAAGTGAGCATTGATCTAGTTTACACTGAGCTATTCTACCTATGAAAGCTGAGTGAAGTATCGCTAGTTTTACTCTAATGCACAAACGTAACTAGCGTGGAATGATGTATTTGCAATATCAGCTGAACAGTCTATATCGCGCCAGGTCTCGGTTTTTCTTTTGGGGTGCACTGACTATTTTTTTCATTTGCAATTCAGGATTCTGTTTTCTTCTCTTCATTATTTGTAGGGACCCCAAGGTTTTTCATGCGTACATCCCTTTGTTTTGAGTGGTGCAGCTTTCGTCTGTGAATAACATTGCAGTAACATGATCAAAGTTATAAACAGCCAAATCTCATGACCGCCATTTTTCTTTTCTGACAGCTTTGGATGGCTAAACCGATATGGCATAATGTGAATCAAGTAAACATCATTTGTTCTATCAAATGTGACATGAAAACATATGGCGTTAATGCAACCATCATCACTACATCATGTTCACCCTATTGATCAGAGTATGATTCCACCCGGATCTAAGACGAATGTTCCAAGTAGATTACGATCAAAAGGTTGAACATACAGTAGTTGGTCGATTTATCAGGATGTCATTGGTCTGACACCCAGAATTAGCGCGCAAAATCAGGTTAGGATACAAAACACTTACTCTTTATGTTAAATCCAGGAACTTACTCCGAACGCATCTCTCGAATCCGGCCTGTAATTAATGCAGTCAATGCTGGAATACAGCTCTTCGTCACAGGTTTTGTGTAAAAAGACAGGTTACTCATCAACCCATGCGTCCCCTTCGGTTCACCAATAATATGAAGTTTTTAATAATTTAACAAGTCTGGCAATCATCTATTGCTCCCCGTGTGTGCATTGTTGGAAGATGGAAAAAATAGCACAGCATTTTTCAAATATTTTATTTGTTCCAGTGATGATGATACACATTTTTAAGTTTTGTTGTATACCTCGTAGTGGCATTTTTACCTTTGACACGATCAATATTGAGACTGCAGCTGGCAGCATTACTGAGAAGGGATGACTTTATACGGATTCATGATACCGTTTGGATCGAACGTGTCCTTGATGGCTCGCATCATCTTCAACTGAGCAGGAGTCTTGCAGCGGGTCATATAGTTCACTTTGCTGATACCGATACCGTGCTCAGCGGTAATAGAGCCTTTATGTTTGACTGATATTCGAATGACAAAGTTTAGCGTTCGTGGTCATTTTAAGATTTTCGTACCTTGATAACTTACTAGCCCACTCAAACACAAAGTCATCCATATTTTCGTGAATTTTGGGATCAAAGTCTTTCACGTTGGCCATGATATGCAAGTTCTAGCGGCACAAGATGAGCATTGCGAAATAAGCCACGATATTTGTTACAATGACACTTACTCCATCACCGACGTGGCCAAATGCTAAAAGGTTGGAATACACCTTGCCTTCACCTAATAAACCACGCTCTTCAAAGTACTTCTTGCTGTCATTGACCATCTTGTAAAACAGCGGTACAGGCATGGCAAAGTCGTACGTCATGGCTGCGCCGAGATTGTTGATCGCCTCGGGGATCTTTTCGCGCCAAGACCACAAAGCATTCATCTGATTAAAGTAGGCAATCGAAGAATTCGTAAGCCGACCACGAAAGAATAGTATTCTGCATAAAATTTACCTGTTTTGCATCCTGGGCCATGACGCCATCCACGGCCACCCCAGCTTCCAAAAGTCGTCCAAGGTAACTATCCAATTTCTATACCGCCAGCAATATGAGTCATAACTTGATATTTTTTTATCAACATCGTGACGCAACGTACCTCTTGATCGTGTTCCTGATTACTGCCTTGCGATTCAAGCAATGCGTAAAACTTGGAATCACTGGCAATAGGGTAAGGGATCTCGAGATTCATGCCCTTCTTTACGACGTCAATAGACTCCTTGTCCCAAAACTCAAATGCTAAACGGTCATTTCCTTTCTGTCAGTTCACGCGCCACCGAAACCTGAGTGGAAGCCAAAACCGTCTTACCGGACAAAATTTCCGACAAATCCTGTTTGGCCATCTTGAACGCCTGTTGAACATCCTCAAAGGTATTCATGGCCACCATGACCACATTAGTGGACTAAAAAAAAAAGTCATATGAATACGTATATGAAGTCTTGTGAAGACGATAGGATCGGCCATGTTTACCTTGGGACGTTGCGGAGTCAGCAATGATACACCAGTGACAAGACCCAAAGTTCCTTCCGCGCCAATGAAGATCTGTTTTAGATCGTATCCCGTGTTATCCTTGCGCAAGGTTGATAGATTATCCACAATTGTACCATCTGGCAGTACCTGTGAGAGAAAAAAAAAGGATTTTTTTGTTTCTTGGTGAGTTACCGAGGAACGGACGAACGATCGAGGCTGAAAAAAAAAACCTACGATTTCTAGACCAAGCACATTCCCATGCATATTTCCATAACGCATTAATCGCAAGCCGCCAGCATTCGTGCTCACATTACCACCCAGCTGACAAGACCCTTTAGCGCCGAGATCGAGTGGTACCATGAATCCCTTTTCCGCCAGGTATTGATCCAATGCTTCCAGTACCACACCACCATCCACCACCACGACCCCGGAAATGTTGTCGAAAGAGCGGATATTGTTCATCTTACTCATATTGATGATAATCTCGTCAAATACAGGCACAGCTCCTCCGCTGACTCCTGTGTTACCACCTTGAGGCACCACTGCTAATCGGTTGGTGTTACAATAGCGTAGAATGTCCGCGACCTGTTGGGTGTTGGTGGGGTATAGACAGAGACTAGAGAAATGTAAGACGCGATGCTGGTAAGCAATGGGTCTGATAGAAGTTCGAATACGGTAGGTGAGAACACAGACGTTGAAGAACCCCGGTATAGATTAAAGAAATCCACATTCAAAGGCCAAAAGCTGGAACCAGGCGTTTGTTCGGTTGTATCGTGGAGAATATTATTAGGTGATAATACGGTGCGGAAATAATCCAAATCGTCTTGGGAGATCTTGACAATGAAAACGGTAATTTTGATAAAATAGCGAGGGTTATGACTCGAGGCCAAAAGGTATGTGTTTTATCGGGTGTGAGTGGATTTATTTACTTGTTTGAAGTGGTTGTGGCGTTTAAGTTCAGGACGTTTCGAAGTAGTTAATGGCACGATACGTCGGTTCCAGGAGGCCACGGATGTTTGGAAACCTGCTTTTGGCAAAGTGCTATGCATCCATACTTTTGAGCGTATGAAGCGTTTAGTTGAGGCTGAAAGTATCATGGGAAGAGAGTGAGAAAAGACGAAAGAGGAAAAAAAAAAAAAAAAAGACAAGTGCACGCTGTATTGGCTGTACAATTTGTGTGGTTTTTTTTGAGTTTTTGGGTTGTGACAGACCAACTCCGCATGAGATCCCATATTGATCCTCCGCTTGGACGGAAATTGAATCTTGCCATTTTTTTTTTCTGCTTCTTTTTCGCCCCTGACACATTCATGATATGCCCACCCAACTATTTTTTTTTTTTTTGGCTTGGTTCCAACCATTTAAAAAAGGCAATTTTCGCGCTTTTCTTTTCGTTTTTTTGTTATCTTGAAATTTTTTTAATCCTCTTCTTCCTCTTCTTTCTTTATTTTTCATTATTATCCCAATCTTTAAATGACCGAAAACTGTCCAACGGTCAAATCTGGTTCAGCCTGGCATCGCGCTCGACGATCGCGTGTTGGGATTGCCTGCGTCGTGGCATTGACGCTCTTTACGTATGGATCTGTTCATAACTGCCTGTGCAAGATCATTATGCGCTGAAGCGTTTGATGCGCCTCATTTCCTTTTAGTGATATGCTGGTTTATGGCGTGGTCATCCCTTGTCTTCCAGCTCTTGTCATTGATCGCCTCAAAGGCGATTCCAGTATGGTCGGCTTTCTGTTTGGTTGTTACGGTAAGACAACAATAAGATTGAAAGCCCTTCTTAGATCTTGTCATATGCTAACGAAATATGGGTTCTGATCCGAATTTAGCCTTTGGCCTTTTGGCAGCCACCCCTTTGTTTGCGGTATTATCCGACAAATACCAGAATCGCCGCTATCCAATGATGGCTGGCATGCTGGGATTGGCGGTCTCTACTCTCGGATTCGCTGTTGCCGATACCTACATACTCCTGGTCATGGCACGAGTGGCTCAGGGGGTAGCGGGAGGTGCATCATGGTATGAGAAAAAAAAATTAAAATATATTGAAAACAACTTGGTGATACACTGAAAAAAAAAAAATCAACCACCAAAATGATCTACGGTTGCTCAGAAAATGTTCTTTCGACTATTAGGACCATCGGTTTGGGAATGCTTGCTGATGTGTTTCCCACCAAGAGACTAGGCGTCGTAATGGGTACTGTTCTTACCGCTCACACTGTCGGTTTTGCCATTGGTCCCGCTGCGGGTGGATTTCTGTACGAGTTTGGAGGATTCAGTGCACCATTCATATTCTGTGCTGGGTTTGCGCTGATCAACTTTATTGCCATTGTCTGGGTGGCCGAACCCGCCCATGCCAACCGCACCGAGAAAGCCAACATGAAGGCTTCTGCTGTTCGAGAAGATGTGGAAATCCCATCCCCCACCGAAGAAACGCCCTTGATTACCGCCCAACCACCTGTCTCTCATCCACCAATTACCATGCTCAGTTTGCTTAAGAACTGGCGCATTTTGTCTTGCGTCTTGTGTGTGATTGTCAGCGCTTCTGTCTTTTCAGGCATTGAACCGGCCCTGCCCATCTATTTGCAGAAGCGATATGACGCCTCCACTTCCGTGGTGGGACGTAAGTGTTTCAGTCATGCACAATAACATGACGCCCAAATTATTCATTTTTTTATTTCACTTGCTAAATTTGTTTTTTTTTTATTTTTATTTTTGCAAGTCCTCTTTGTTGCCATGGTGGTACCAGCTTTTCTGGCGCCCTTAATCGGGCATATATCCGATAAAGTAAGTGGAACAAGGATAAAAAAATTCATAAATATGGGAGAAGAAAAAAGAACAATGAAAAAATAAGAAAAAAGAAAAAAGAAAAAACTTGGGTTCTGCAATAAGAAAAGAAACAATAGCACGGAATGGGATGGCTCATTCTTACCTGATTTAGATTGGTCGCCAAATCATTTCGGCTACTGGTATGATTATGATGGCCATCGCTTCACCTTTGGTGGCTATCCACTATCCTTCGATCTACCTCATCATCCCTGTTCTCATGATCTTTGGTTTATCGAGTCCGGTTACACTCACTCCAGTGTTACCTGAAATGGGTGAAACTGTGCACGAAATGGTAAGCGATACTTGGAACGTAAACTGATTGGTTCAGTGGCTCACCGTTTTTTGCTTGTTTTGAAGGGTGGAGCTGCATATGCACAAGGTATGATAACATCTCAAAGGGTGAAAATTTAGGAACTGCCGTTTGCTGAACTGTTCTTTTTTGGGCCTATAGTTTACGCCTTGTATAATATGGCCTACTCCATCGGCATGTTCATTGGTCCCGTGATCGCCGGTTTGTTGATGTCTAAAGCAGGCTTCGAAACCCTCATGTTGGTTTTCGCCTTTGCTTTATTGGCCTTCAGCCCCATCATGATGGACTGGAAAAAATTATTCCGAACCATCCTTGCTCGTTTCCGTTCATAATTCAACCTTACATCCTTCATTTTCTATTTTCAATCTGTCTATTTCATTCTCTATTTTCTTCCATTTTTTTATCACTTTACTGATCTTGTCTACAATACCATCATTACACAATCTGTCGATTACAAGTAACTTTTTTTTTATTTTATTATTATTACTGTAGTTTGTGCCTCGAACAATGGAATCAAAATAAACGATGAACATACATCCAACCTACTGCACTGTACTGTAATGTGGAAAAGGGAGGAAAAAAAAAAGAGAGTGAGTGATTGAGAGAAAGCGTGGAAAAAAAAAAAATAATGCATGCCGATGAAAGATGAATATGATATGTAGGATGGGATGCGAAAAGTTGCAGATGATATAAATGATCTATGTAATGCATAAAGTGTTTTCAGAAATCGTAGGGAGACCCGATTCTTTGATTCGCTGACATGACGCTTTCGCCCATTCGAAAACCAGGAAATTGACAGCTCCTGCAGGGCCCACCTTGAGCAATCCAGGAGCCAGCCCTTTGTAAAGTGCCAGGAACCCTTCCGTCCGTGCAATTGCCTTTGCACACCCGAATATCGAACGTCGTGCATAACAGGGAATGGAGGTCACAACGTAATCTGTGCGGTGAGGTCCTTGCAACTGCAGTCGCTTACGAATCACGTCCAATGGAAACACTCCGGTTTTGCTGATAATACTGGCTAACGATCCACAAGCCATGTCGTGGAACACATCGTACCTATTCGATGTGTAATGATGGTCCTACATCCAGGCAAAAATCATTGGTATGAGTAATGTTTATTTGAGATGATAATTCATTACATATATGAGAAAAAAGGCACTTTACCTTTAACCATTGAACTCCGGAACGTAACATATCATAACTTAAAAATGTCAATCCCATATATGGCATGATTTGTGTAATCGATGGCATCAAACCACGATACAATCCCGATAGGCCCTCGCTATGATAAATATGATGTAAGGCATGGCTGACGCTGTGGTACAAGGTCTAATGTTATTGTCAATATTAATCAATGTTTTGTTTCTGTTTCGTTCTTCTCTTTCTGTTTGCCTTTTTCCTCGAGGTTTCCGAACCACGTTCATTTACAAATAATCAACTTACTTTCTCGGAGCCTTGCATGGCAAATCGAGTACGTAACAGATCGAAAGGATAGGTAATTGTGGTAGCAATACTTCCGGCAAGCATACCCGAGACAAATACGCGGATCATGGACGACATTTGAAACTAAGGTTATGTTAATGATCCGTGTTTTTTACCGGAAATTTATCCCATTTTACAATCTTTGTCACTGTACCTTATCCAGTAGGGTGTCCAAATGATGATAAGCATAAAATTGCGTGATACCGTAAGATAGGTACAAATATTCAGCTGACATGTTGCCCTTGAAAAGTCCCTAGAAACCAGCTCGTTATTAACATTGTATCACTCAAGGGCTAAAACAAACAACATTGTCGTATAGTAATACTTACTCGGACACCCTCTTCTGTTGCAATCACCCGAAATGCTTGCCACATTCCTGTATACTTTACGCCAGAGGTCATTGTCGATGGTCTACTGAGCATGCTTCCTAGACTGTATGGTTGATTCTGCACCTGCAACCGGATTTTCACGACATCCAAAGGCGCGATCACGACTCTACTCGGTGACATTCAGGTTAGATCAAGCCCACTCCGCGCCACCATTCACCATTGCAACCACTGCAACCTACCTCGCCGTCGCTCCGGCTATTCCTCCACATAGTGCTGTCTCATTTGCATTGAGATTTTGCGTAATATGCGAAGGCATTCAAGTAAACGAGAAATACCGATTTGCAACGAAAAAAATCAAATCAAATCAAAAAAGAAAATTAGTCTGTATTGCGTAGCGCCAAAAAATAGGAAAGGGACCAATGGCAAATGGGGATGCTGAGTTTATTCAATGCACCTTCTTTCCTAGTCTGACACAACTATTCAGGGACGAGCAAAGGGCTGCCAATTTATAGCAGTTCAATGAAAACAACAAAAGACATTACGCATCCCCTTCTGTACATAGTTCAATGCTGTGCAATCTCGGAAATGCAGGTTATTTCACGTACTGCATAACTTGCTACAATTGCCCAATGGTTACAAATAATGTCGTGTTACTACATAATCATTTTCATATTATTAGAGCCTCGTGGAGCTGTGTCTTTCTCTCTTTTTCCTACTGGTAGCTTCTTAATGAATTCCAAAATGAAGGTACTACAGCGAGTTAGCTCACCTCGGCAATATTTAATTTTCTTGTCAAAAACTTTAAATCACATCTTTACACCATTTCCATCATGCGACTTAGGCCCGGGTGCACCGTAACTGGAAATGCATACTTTTTCCAAAAATTGCTAATAGAGCATTATTACAGTGACCTTTTGATGAACTCAGTCTTAGCTTTCCACCGAGAATCTCGTTGTAGATGGTTTTAATCAGTTCTTTTTAAATCGCGTATCGGTCGATGAGCTGTAAGAGTTTTTACAAGCGTCTCTTTCTCGGAATGATCCCACGGACAAACTTTGTCGGACCATTCGTCTGAGGAAGAGTGAGCATTTTTCAGAAAGATCTGTAATAACCGTATTCGCAGTGAAGAGCTGAATGCGATTAATCTTGTTTGATTGGAAGCTTGTAATAATCGGAAAAATCAACTTTATGCCAGAAGAACACACACAGCAAACGGGATCCAACGGGAAAAAAATGGTTAGCAAAACCGAATAAATGATCACGAACCATTGCATAAAAAAGTTACGAGAATCACTATGTAAGCGCTGTGCCAGAGTATTTTATTGACCGATTAGTAATTCCATGTAAAGCATATTGTTATGTTACTAGTAGATTATGAATAGAAACCAAGGCATGAGTCATCATGTGAGGCAAACTTTTGGAAATAAATAATCAACTTACCCCTAGGGCATCTAGGTGTGGGAACAGCGGTAACTGATCCGGATGATATCATGAATGTTTTGGAATCTTGCTAATCGAGGCTTCCGCTTCGGCCCGCTTCCTCTTGAAAAGTGTCGGCCTTTCGTTATTCTCTCGATGGCCAAACAGGATCTTGCGGAAATTAAGGACTGCAGCCAAGTCTCGATTTCATAATTTATAGCCATGATCGTGTTTACATTTTTTGATTTGTGCATCTAAGAATAAACGTGAGCAAGCACATTCAATATCAAATCCATTTTCATTCATCGGTTACCTTAACAGACCATGGCATAATACTTCTGGTTGCTTCGTTCGTCGGTATGGCCCGGGATTGGGCACCTTCTTGAATTTTTCCAACGGATCGCCGCAGTCAGGACAGCACGAGGACGTTTGAATTCATCGAGCAGGTACACCTCGAAACCTTGTTTTTTGAGCATCCGTCGCATGCCTACACCTCTGATCGGCTCATGGAACTTGACATTTGATGCGACCAATTTCCCATGATTAAATCCTAGTCCCATCCAAAGCACAAATTTATGGTTCTCGCCAATCGAGAATCTGCTTGGCATTGATTGAAATAGGCTGAGAGGCGCAGTTTTCGGAAAAGAGGGTATCCTGATAGGTTTGACGTCGTGTTCGCAGAAATTCGATAGCACCCGAGATACGCTTGCTGTTTCCCGTAGATTGCGACAGTACGTCTCGAGGCCATTAACTGAAATGGGATGTTGTGATAATTTCTCCTGCGCAGTCTTGACATTTGGGAATTGGCTGACTAATGTCTCTCTGATCCTTCTGTACTTTTTCGTCTTCAATTCATTCGCCTTCTGGCAGGAGGTGTAACGATAGCGAATCCTTGCGTTTGGTTCGGAGTACTCATGCATGCAGAAAAGCAAATCTCTTCGTCCTGGGTCGACCAACACACAGCGGCCCTCCAGGCATTTTTGCTCAATTGGAGCAAGCGAGTCAACGTACGGTACATCTTCGTCCAGAACCTTCGCCTTTTGTTGCCGGCCTCCTTTGCGACTTGCAAAAATTTTGCTTGGTGACACTCACCCCTACGCCATCAGTCTGCAGTGTTCCATAAATGACAATCCTTCGCCCTTCGTTTGCTTGAAAGGTCTGCTGTCGAGATCCACGACCCGGCTCCACAGATCAAGGTTGCTTAGCCCTTTAACGCTTCTTTGGTTCAGGTTGAGAATTTGCGTATATAGGATCTGCGTGTCAATCAGCATGTACCGCGGCGACCAGGCGGTACGAATCGGGAAGCAGGTAAAGGAGCGCCAACCTCGTTGAGAAAATAAGCAAGATAACCGATAAAATGCAAGAAAATGGTTTTCAGGGGAAGCTTTGACATCATAATAAATACTATCTTTCGCGAATTGATATGTCGATGCGTAGGAATTGAAAAATGGTTGCAAAAAATCATAGTGTGGTAGAAATGGAGGATCAATGTTGCGAATTTTTGCTTGCGATATCAAGCTTGAACTTCCTTGCGGGCTCGTAGATTTCTGTTGAAAGTCTCGCTGATATTTCACGTTGAGATAAGCCCTCGTTTTGCAATTGTGTTTTAAGGTTGTTTCGCCGGTTTTTTGATGGCAAGGAGCAGATTAACCAGGCGCCGCAAATGTTGTCCAAAGCGATACATGACATTGTTCATATATGCGGTATATAATGCTTTGCTTGATATAGTGCAATTTTCTGAGCGTTTGGTAGATCTGATGGCGTGAACGATGCGTGGTAGCAAAACGATTCGACATACGGATTGATCAGATCGCGATAGGTTCTGGTCGCCGCTCAGACGGTGCTGCTTCTCGTGCGTCTGTTTGTGAGCGAGAGGGAGACTTCAACGAAAAAGCCTTCTTGGACATAAGCGTGAAGCTCAAATCCATTTGACAACTCTGACAGGAAAATGTATTTCGCGAATAGAAAAGTGTGTTTGGTGAGGTTATGGACGAGAGCTACGAGCTCACGCAACGGTTGGATGAACTCTTCGCGCCAGCCGATGGCCCTGATGGAGGTTTTGATATATCAGAAACCTTTTTCGAAGAAATGATGAGTACAGTTCTAGGAAATGAGGAGATAAAGAGGAAGAGGAAGATTTACCAGAAAAGAAACAGCGTCTCATGCTTTACAGTATATCTATTCTGTGACTCGCAATCTTTGGATGGTCTGTGCTGTGGCAGCCTAGGCTGCTCACGCCAATGAAGCTTCAAGCGATAAGTCTGTAGACGTGAAGACAAACTAACATGGTGGATTTGCTGAGTTCATGGGGTATTCTAATATCTGGAAAGGACACCCGTTTGGTTCCAGACGTTGATTTTTTCTTTCAAAGGTGCTTTGGGCTGCGATGACGGTTGGCGTTGCTGACTTCGAATTTGCCATAATGCATGGTGAATCCTCCACCCAGACTGATAACAAAGTCCACTTTATCAATGCATACAAAACATGTGAGCCAGCTAGTACTGATAATTTTTTATTTTGATGATAAATATACCTATAGCAGTTGAGTTGCCCCACGCAACATAGACGACATCATCCACATTTGGAAAATGTCAAATGCATTTCATCGTCCGACTCTGCCTGTAGGTGACTGTCAAACGCGTGTTCAGCCATGAGGCAGTGGAATTTCAGAGTGAATCGCTGCATAATCTCGAACTATCATGGCTGGCAGACAACTATCGCTTCGAGCATTCTTCCGCCAATCGCCTAAATCACCATCCAAAGAAACACCGGAAGCAAGCTCAACGACACCACAACGAGGTAGGAGAACTAATACAATAAAATCAACGGACGACCGTGAGTGCCAATGCCGTTGCTTATCTGTCACACTAGAAGAGAAATCCGACTCAACGATTAACCTCAAGAGTACATTCGGATACAATGAGGAGCGAGCAACTGAACCCCATATCTCAGAAAAGGACGCCTCAAAGGAGAAGCGCCATCAACAGTTCGTTCAGCGATTTGGCTTACTCGAAGAACAAGAACACGCTGCGAAAAAAAGGCGCGTCGATGAACCGGACGATTCAATGATCCCGGAAACCCCTCAGCTAGACATATCCATGGAGGATGAAACCATGGGAGAACGCTTAAATGATGACGGCTACCCATCCACAGAAGCGGCGGAATATGCAGAATCACCAGAGCTCTCGAGCAAATCATCAATGAATCTCGCTCGATTCTCCAACGCGTCAAATCAAAAATCGAGTACAACGAAAAAGGGAAAAGGCACAGTCTCATCGGACAAGAAATACACGCCACTTGAACTCCAAGTATTTGATCTAAAAGAACGATACCCTGATGTATTGCTCGTCATCGAAGTCGGCTATAAGTTTCGGTTTTTCGGCGAAGATGCAAAGGTATACATACGTAGTATGACTATTGAAAAGCTAAATGCGCCTCTAACCCAAAGAGTCAATGCTTATAGGTTGCTTCCCGTATACTGCATATTGCCCATTTTATCGACCGAAATTTTTACACCGCAAGTATCCCTGTCCATCGGCTGGCAGTCCATGTTCGAAGGTAAAAGGAAAAACGGGGAATCAATCGCCACCGGCCAATACAAGAATTTATGGCTTACAAATTCCTTGAAGGTTAGTGGCAGCAGGATACAAGGTCGGCGTGGTGCGTCAGACAGAGACCGCCGCGCTCAAGGCGGCGGGATCCAACCGAAATGCCCCTTTCCAGCGCGAACTTACCCAGCTGTATACCAAAGGCACCTTTGTCGATGAAATGACCACTAGCGAGGTTGAAAATGAGGCTCACGGTGTTTCCTCCTCCAACTACTTGATGTGCATTGTGGAAGAGAACCGTGGCGGGACCGCCGCCGATGAATTAGTGAGAATAGGAATCGTGGTCGGTATTTCCAACCATGGGAAACTGGAGCATCGCTTTTTAATATTACTGCTTTTGTTCAGGCCGTACAAACCGCCACCGGTGATGTGATGTATGACTCTTTTGATGATGGCTACATGCGCAGTGAATTAGAAACGCGTATCTTGCATATCGAGCCATCAGAGATCTTGATATCAACGTCACTCAGTAAACCCACAGAAAAACTCATTCAGCACATGTTATTGCAAAGGTTTTTATGAGGTTTCTTTGATGTATTGACGGCATAAGATAACCATGCCTGAGTAGGACGGCATCCATACGACGTGATTCAGCCCGTATCGAACGTATGCCAACCAATGACAGTTTCTGTACAGATGGGCAAACCGCGCTGAGTTATGTTACCGACTTTTATATTCGACAAGGCAGTCAAGACTTGATCTCAGAAATAGTCAAACTACCGGACATCATCATGTAACACTCAAAAGAATGCGGCGAATTGCATAACCAGCGTGTTAACACTAATTTTCATAGCAAAAGTTTGGCGTCTACACTACGGTATCTCGGCGATTTTGGACTCGAGGACGCACTTCAGTTGACCAAATATTTCGTTCATTTTTCTTCCCGGAGTCATATGCTGCTCAACGGCAACACCTTGGCAAATCTGGAAATATATCGCAACAGCACCGACTACACAGAAAAAGGTTCCCTGTTCTGGATACTCAATCATACACGGACCAGCTTTGGCAAACGGCTGCTAAAAAAATGGATTGGTCGACCGCTTATTGATGAGGAGTAAGGGTTACCCAGTTACAGACGTGCCTGCATCGAAACTATGACTCACATCGTTCCCATAGCCAACTCAATGAAAGAATCAATGCCGTTGACGAATTGCTGGTTACCCAGAATCCCAAAAAGGCTGAAGCGCAGGCGCTTCTTAAGCAACTCCCTGATCTGGATAAAGGGCTATGCCGGATACATTATCGTCGAGTAAGTGTGTACTTCAGTATAATCATGGTTTGATTTATCTCATTTAACACAAATATGTATCTTTCAATAGTCGTCTCCTTCTGAAATGGTCCATGTATTAGATGCGTTACTGAAAGTCGCGAATGCGTTCTACGGGGTACAAGATTTGAACGAGCACAAATTTACGTCGCCTTTGCTAGAACGCATCTTTGCCGCGCTACCTTCTATTCGTGATGCCGTGATGGGTTTCCGATCCAACATCAATACAACCGCCATTGAAAAACCAGACTGTAAACTGCATCTGTTTAAATCAGAAGAGATCTGGCCTGCGTTGCCTGAGCAGAAAAAAGTAAGCTGCAGAAATCTTCCACCTACCTGAACTGCCCAGTTATAGACGTATATACTTGTGCTCCTTTTTTAGATCATCGCCGGTATCGAAAAGGAACTTGATCAATATTTGGAGGAAGTGAGGAAGAGCACCAAGATCTCAGCGTTGAAGTTCGTCACTGTGGCAGGCATCGAGGTATATAGGATAGACAGCGAAGCAAGAATACGGAGAAAAAAGTAATTTTGGACTTTTTGCATTGCAGTACCTCCTCGAAGTGAAAAACAGCGACGTCAAAAAAGTGCCACCACAATGGATCAAGATCAGCGGCACCAAGGCGGTGTCACGATTTCACACGCCTCATTTGCTGCAAATATTAAAGAAGCGAGAACGGCACCGCGAACTCCTTACCCTTGCAGCTGAAGAAGCTTATAAGAATTTCCTACAGTAAGTCTGATCTGATGTCGCTAGACAAGAACGCGGAATTCTTAACTTGGCATGGTTCTAGATCGATATCCGAAAAATATGGCGAATTCCGCGACGTGATTCAATATTTGGCTCAGTTGGACTGTTTGCTGTCATTGGCAACGGTAGCCGGTCTTCCTAACTATGTCAAACCGAAATTTACTAGTCGTACCCAACTCAAGGTCGTCAACGGAAGACATCCTATGGTTGAACAGTTTTTGAGTGGCTCCTATGTACCCAATGATATTGACTTTGACGTAAGTACTGTGAAGGATATTTGGTCATACGACGGAAAGAACTCTAATGGAAGACGGTTTTTTAGACGGATAACAGTCGCACACTGATCCTAACGGGACCCAATATGGGAGGTAAATGAAGATTGTCACCCAACTGTCGATTACAGCCATATTAAACAACCGCGAATTATCAGGAAAAAGCTGCTATATTCGCCAAGTGGCGCTTATTACGATCATGGGGCAAATAGGGTCCTATGTGCCAGCCGAATCTGCCGAGCTCGGTATATTTGATGCCGTATTCACGAGGTACAGAGAAAAAAGTGGGCTGAATGCAAATAACTTGGGAAAATGATGTATCGAATTCGTAGAATGGGTGTGTTGGATAACATGATGGCTGGCGAGAGTACATTTATGCTCGAGTTGCATGAAACATCCGACATTATGAAGCAAGCGACACCACGATCGCTCGTCATATTGGACGAGCTAGGACGAGGCACCAGTACTCATGACGGCATGGCCATCGCTTACGCTGTGCTGTATCATTTCATCACCAAAGTAAATACGAAAACCAATATTTATCGTCATGAAAGTGGGTATTAATTGTGTTGAATGTAGATTCAATCCATCACACTATTTGTCACGCATTATCCAGCTTTGGCAGAATTGGCTTATCAGTTCCCGGAATCCACCAAAAATGGTTATATGAGCTTTCTCGAGGATAAGGAAGGAGGTCAGTCAAAACCACATTGGGATGCGGCGCGCAAGTCGCTGATGTTGTTTGTATAGACATACCGAATATTGTGTTTCTATATAAACTTGTAGAAGGCATTGCTACGAAGAGTTACGGGTGAGTCATATTATCTAACCTACTACATAGCTCCCTATTAACAAACATGTGAAGATTGAATGTGGCTCGTCTGGCGGATTTGCCTCGTCAAGTACTAAAGACAGCGAAGCAAAAATCGGAAGAGATGGAAACCATGCTAAGCGAACGAATGACAGAAAGAAAAGAACAATTATTGCAGAGACTATTGAATTGCATTGTCACCGAGAACATTACCGAGGAGTTCAAGGAGAACGTTACTGCTTTCTTGTCATCTTAACAAAATCACGCCCACAACGAACCAACAGTAATTCCAGTTCCACATTCCCCTTTGTAATTTTTTTTTCAATGAAATGGCTTTATTATTGTGAATAAAAGTTGTGGCATGCATCCATTTTCCTTAATGAGCTTCGGCAGCGGGAGCTTCAGCGGCGGGGGCAGCGGCAGGGACACCAAAGTCCTGAGCAGAGGGTTCGGTGATGACGGACTCATCCTTGGGTTCGAGGATGGTGACGATATCGGGAAGGGTCTGCTTGGGACCGTTGCGGCCGGTAGGATCGCTGTCCAACATGATCTTGACCTTGATACCGAGAACACCCTGACGCATCATGACGTGACGAACGGCGGTGGTGATGAAATCGCGGGTGGGTTGACCAGAGTGGATCATGAAACCATCGCTGAACTTCATGGCCTTGGCACGAGCAGCACGAAGCTTACCAGAGACGACGACTTCGCAACCCTTGGCACCGGATTCCATGACGAATCGGACGACACCATAGCAGGCACGACGAACGGCCAAACCGTTGAGAAGCTTGAACTTGACGGATTCGCACTGAGCAATGGCGCAAAGACCGCGGTTCTGGACACGCTCGGCATAGAGCTCGACCGAGTTCTCAGAGAACTTGAAACGCTTCTGAACGAGGAAGGTCAATTCTCTGATGCGACGACCCTTCTCACCGAGAACATTCTGAGTGTGAGTAGCACGGATAATGATTCTATCGTAGATAACAAATTTCGAAAAACAACGCAAGGACAAATGAGTACTGTGATCCGTGCAATACTTTTTTTTGTCCATATTTTCTACATACTCGGTGCGGGCAGGAGTGACGCGAACTTCAACACCAGCATAGCCATCTTCGGCAAGTTCGCGGGTGAAGAACTCGTTAAGTTCAGCGTAGAAGACACCGTCAGCGACCTATAGCTGTGCATTAGTAATCTTGTCGCCCAATTCACTCAGTATTATGATTGACTACTTACGAACTATAAAATTCAACCGATTCGGGAAGTGCGAAAGAACAACGACGAAAATGGTTCAATGATGGAATATACAAGTAAAATCAAGTGGTGAGTATAAATGATCCTGTCACAGTCAACCCATCCAAAATCACTGTTGGTCATCCATCCAACCCCAGGTATCTATCTTATCGAATGTCATCTATTGCCATCGCAGCATCGACATACCTTTCTCTTCTTGGAGATCTGAGCTGCCATGGTTACGAAAAGAGGGAGATCGATAGTATGGCGACCCTCTTCCAAAGTGATCCTCCGTGGCGGATGTTTTCCGGCTGCTTTGCAATGTCCGGTTCGGAATATCTGGGACATTGGGAGCTTTACAGTTTTCAAACACCGAAATCGAAAACGTGCAATAAGCTGGTTATTTTTTAAGCCCTTCCTCTGTTCCTTTTTTGTCATATCATACATTTATTCAATGATAATCAAAGCCGCATACATGAACTGTTACCGCAATAGATTGAATATATCCTACACCCATTATTTTGTAGAATAAGACACAGATTGACGGTGGATCAACCTAATCCCTCGATTCGATTTACCGGGATAGATCAACTCGCATGTTCTTGACAGCAACAGGCAGACGCGAATCATGACCTGGAATTTTCTGAATGATGAAACCAATAACGAGCCAATGGAAGGATATGCTGGCCTACTTCCTTGCACGTTCCCTAGAAATGATGAAGTTAGCTTTTGCCAATCAGCATGAAAAAAAATCAAAGCGTGCTACTTTTTGGGTTATCCCAGATGCTTGGATTGTTTGCTGCATAAGTTTCATATTTTTAAGCAACGTCTCATCAGAGAAGACGGTTGACACAATGACCACCTAAATAATAGCGGCAATGACTAAGGTTATACCACTTGATATATGAGTGTGAATGGACGCTTACCAAACATAAATCATCTCGGTATCGGTAATCGGTCACGGTACCGTCGCTTAGACTGCATACCAGCACCTTGAAATTACTCAGCGCAAGGATAGCACAACCGCTCTCTTCTTTCTGTCTTTCGCTGTTACTGTCCGGCACTTTATCATCGATCGACAATCTTTCGTCGTCCCAAAGGTCTTTTTCCACCGAGTTTGGTATCTCATCCGCGAACCGAAGTAGAGATTCCAGTATACCAACAAGCAAGGTAATATGTTCCGACGATACATCATCGGAGGTGTAAGGAACGATTTCCTCCTCCAGTGAATTCTCGTTGGCCAGCGCACTTTGCGAAAATAAGCAAACCGACGGTAGTGGGAACACGGTCCCGTTGACCGTGGATGAAGACAACTGTCGCTGGCTTATTGTAGTTTCGTCGTGGATAGTATGTGTTCGTGCGCTTGTTGTAGCGGAATTTTCGGCTTTGGGATTCATCATGGCATAACCATGGCCGTGATCTGACAAACCGGCAAGGTTGCCTGGAATGTTACTGCTCGAAGAGGATGCGGAAGAAAAAACTGAGGCAGGAGGAATGGCGGTACAAGAAGCAGATTTGCGATGATGTCCCATGTTGGTGTACTGTACTCGGATCGCGGAAATGGCTTCGCGATAACGGACGTGGCGGTCCAGGGAAAGAAAGGGAAAAAAAAACCACTGTAAAAAACTGCACCTGCTGATAAATTTGTTATTACTTACTGTTTATCTCCACAACCATAACTCACCACAGTAGCGTTTGGTAACTCTAAAAAAGCATTTAGCACGTTTGAGGAAAGAGCAACTGCTTATAGGTTGTTGCCTATAATATTGTAGAAAGCGGATACTATCGCAACGGTTATTTGGTGAGAGCGACCCGAAAATCATGCGAAATCTAGCAACAAGTCGGTATTTTAATCTGCGTGTTATGGACGTTAATGAGCTTCGGCGCTCTTTTTTCTGAACTTATCCCGAGACTCACATTTATTGTATATGGTCGCCTATTTTGTACATATTCAGTACGTAGATTATTGATTACATTACGAGTGACATAAAATGCTTTTTGTCTGCAAGAATAATTGCTCTGGTTATAGGAAAAAAGAAACGACGACTTCCAAATGTCTACCGCAAATCAACAATGTTTATTGCAACAGTGAGATATTATTCACTCATGCACCTCTAACATCAGTGGCAGTAATCTTGGTAACAGCCGGTCTGTTACTGTAATTTTGACAGAACACTGAACGTTTCTCAACGCTTCTGTTGCCATGCGATCGCCCTGTCTTAATATCAGATGCTGTACTTACAGTACTTACTGGCTGGATTCCCTGCCGTACCTTGGTTACTATGTATACTACTTCTTCCATATTGCTTCGTCTCTATATTTCCGGTGAACATCCTTTGGAACACGGGTTTTGCTTGTAAATATACTCGAAGCATATTTTTAATGCTTCAAAGAACGGCTTCAGCCATTTTTGGCAATGCATGTTTTCCGCTCTCAGCCTTAGATCATGTCTTCGTAGTTAGATCAAATAGGGAAGGTTTGATATAATGCCTATACTTCCTACCATCCCAATTGCCTCGCTAATGACTATCATTGTCTTGTGCAGGTTTACCACATATCGTTATAAAAATAAACTATTAGCCTGTTTTGTTTTCGTTGCATCATAAAGAAAAAAAAAAAAAGATGAATTTTTCACCCAACCATAGACAGACTCTTTAATTAACAAAAAAAAAAATTCTCGAGTAATTCAGCAGACACCTTCCAAGCTCTTTCAAAAGGAACTAAGAGGCCCGTTGAAGTTTGTCAATACTAAATAAAACATAAAATAAAAAATAAAAAACACAATGCAGAAAAAGCAAAAAGGTATCCGGCTTGCCAGATTCGAACTAGCGACCTAAAGATGACAGTTTAACTACAGTCTTCCGCTCTACCAACTGAGCTAAAGCCGGTTGTTGAGTGCAAAATCAGCATTTCTTATTCAACGCAGAGGGTCACGTGACCAAAATGGGCCCTTCTGATTGGCTAAATGTGTTAAAGCCCGCTTTTCATTTTCGGAGGGAAGTTACTGCGGAATTAAGGGCTTCATGATGGGATGGCATCGGTGTGTCTTCCGTTGCATACGTTTTTGTTTTTTATTCTGGTTTTTATCTATTTATTTTTTTGTTTTCGTTAGCTTGTGCTATAACCATATTGTCGCATAAGTCTAGACGTTTGGATTTATGTTTAATCCTAATGGATACATCAGATTTTATTGTACATGCCTGTTATGTTTTTCGCCACGAAGTGGAGTTATATCTTGATGTGAAAACATTTTAGTCCCTGAATAAGCGTTCGTTCCTATCAAAGCGTTATGAATTAACAGTATTGGAAGATTATTCGGGCATTCAGACGTTTTGGTTGGCATGCGGGCGCAATATTTGTAGTTTTGCTGGCATCGTCTTTCAATGTATTAAAGGGACTCGTACCAAGCCTTCATAACTGTTCGACAAATACTTGATATCCTTGTTATTTCTTAAGTCATGAGATATATGCCGATACATTAAAATTGATATATTATTAAATGGGTTTCCAAACTCGTTTTCATATCTTTCGCTCGGCCTTTAATGGATGTTGTCCAAATGTGGTACGAACAGGCGTGGTAGCGTTGGCTTGATTATAGCCCGGTGTCGAAGCGACACTAGGTACCTGCATACGGCAGAGGAGGATGCTTGCGGAGTGGATTTGGTCATGGTGACCATTGTTACAGGATTTATGTTAGGCAGGAAGTATGAGGTGATTGGGTAAAACAGAGTTATACTATTGTCCGACGTATATCGAATTGTATGCGTTATTGGTAAAAAATAAAAATAAAGGGTGGAATTAGCTCCGAGGGATTCCCTGTGTCAATTCAAAGGTACAATAAAAATACTGCTGCTGTGAGGGTCCTAATTAAGATACATTTTGCAAAGAAAGGGATTGAATAAGATCGTTGTCCGTTCAGCATAATACTTCTTGTGCTGGTGCCTTTAAGGTAGCTATTCATTCAATGTCGTTCATTCAGTTCGATTTACAAAGTATTTAGACGATAATGCACAATCCGGAGGATGGTTCTCAGGTACAGAAAAATAAGGAGCGATGATACAACACGTAACTTCAAAGTGCGAAGGATGAGGGAAAATAGGGCAAAATCAAATAAAAAAGGAATTAACGTCAAAACTCGATGAATAAATGATTGTGACTGGAGAAAGGAAAGTAAGAGAAATCAAGGCACAAACGTCAAAGATTTATGGATGATGCATGCTTTCGGAAAATGAATTGCATGAAGCGATCGGTAGTTTTGTATTTCCTAAAACAGAAAATTAACATTGAAGTCGGCTTTTGGCATAAGAGAGAGGGAAAACAAGGACGATCGGCCAATAGGGGAACTACCAATTGCGGTTTGATATAAATACTCGGATGTATTTTTGGACTGGTGTGCCCAATTACCTTGGGCACCGTTTGGTGTTTCTATCACTGTAGAACCGGTCTTCCATGAGACATATCGAGAGGGTAGATCGGAAGTGCAAAGTGACTTATGATGAGGGACCGGGGTTTGCTAGTTGTTACCTGTTGCATAGTTTGCCACGTTTAAGCGTGGAGAGGAATTCCAAATTGATTTAATGCGTGTAGAGCAATGAACCTATCCCCTCCCCTTTTGTATTTGAATTTGTGAATATGCGGCTGGTAAATTCAAAGTCGAAGATCGCATGCTCGATAGGTCTTCTAGTAAAACAGATTGTTGATTCCTTGACGTTTGGTGTCGGCCCATGTTGTAAGGAACCTTTAAAACTGTATGAAGCGGGGTTCAACGAGCACACATGATATACTCCTTACGAGTCGCTCTAAGGGAGCCACCAACATAGAGAGATTAGTCGGCAATACTTTTGACTGAATATCAAACACTTTTGCTTGGCTTTGAATTAGCATTTACTGAGATTTCTCTTCAATTGCTAGGCTGGTTCAACATGTTGAATGTGAGTAAACAGCGTCACTTTTGCTTGTTCTTTTATTTCGGGCTGAATATTGCCGACACCTTTTCCTTTAAGTGCGTCATGATACAGATAGCAATGGTTTGATCTATAGACTTGTAACGGTGTTTTAATCAGTAAGAACGGCAAATAGTGACACGAAATAAATTTTTATCATTCATATCAAGAAACTGTCCTCATTTCTGGTTAACAATCCATTAAATAATCCCGAGGGCGAAAGTTTACAAGTTTCGTGCTTTTTATCGTCTTATACTCAAGGGAATAAACTGGTGATATTGAGCTGGAAGAAGGTCAATTTTTATTGTAGTGTCACCATTTGCTAGTTCATATTCCTTGCTCATTAAAATATTTTAATCAAGATATTCTCACAGCAGCTGTCTGGATCAAATCGCTTTTCTGATATATTTGAATGTAAACAAGAGTGACTGCCATTGTCTATCGTTGCTAGGCACCGAACCTGGCACTCGTCATTGTGCACAAGGGATTTTCGTTGAAACTGAAAAACACTGTAATCTTGGAGGTAGTGTCCGATAGGAAAATCAACACCAAAATGGAATAATCGATGCACAGTTGATATGAATACACCGAAATGAAGATCAAACTCTGCTCACCCACACACCCCTATTTAGTAGGCCTTCTCGTTCAAACACAACAGAAAAAAAAACGTGGGCATTTTCAGTCAGTTACTGCAGACCATCAACGGCTTCGCGCGGACCATTACTTTCTTCTGCGGGAAAAAGCGGGCTTTTAACACATCCAGCCAATCAGAATGGCCCATTTTGGTCACGTGACCCTTTGCGTCGAATAAGAAATGCTGATTTTGCACTCAACAACCGGCTTTAGCTCAGTTGGTAGAGCGGAAGACTGTAGTTAAACTGTCATCTTTAGGTCGCTAGTTCGAATCTGGCAAGCCGGATACTTTTTTGCATGTCTTTTTTTTGGTCTCTGGCTCCATTATATTTTCTCCATCGTGGGGCTGTTACATTTGCTGCAGTTTGGCTGCTGTATCTCAGGGTAAGTGAAAGATTTTTTTTACTTTGGAGTGGGTGAATAAAGTAAAATAAATTTTTTATTTATTTGAAGGTGAGTGAACCCACGTCCGTTGCGTATTATTGCTCGCCGTGGAAATTATGAGAAAATGTGCAATTGCAATTGCAAAGAAAATCCAAAATCCAAAATCCAAAATCCCACAAGGGAAAAACCAAAGGTAGAATTGTGCGTAGAAAGCATGAGGCGGAAGGCAGGCGAGAGTAAAAATAAGAAAAAGAACGTGAACCAGAGACTGAAGAGAAACTGAGGTCTTTTTTTTTTTTTTTTTTTTTTTTTTTTTTTTTTTTTTTAGCTTATCTCGGAAAAGCATCCCGTAAAAAGAAAATGGGACACCAGCTGGTAAGACTATGAAGCTGTTCAGATGCAAACGAACGTAGATTCAGCATAAAAAACATGCAGGGCTGCTATGAGGAAAAAGGTATAAGCTCTTGATCAAGAGATTAAATGAATTCAAAGCAAACCAATATACTCTCCACCAGAAAGGAGCCTTATGCCAACTGTCTCTGATCCTTAATCTTTACATGCAGAATGAATGAGAGGTTACCGCTTGCGTTTAGATAAGCCTCAATAGTAGACTTTGCTTGATATTGGCAATGACTTGTACGCATATGATAATGTATGAAAAGCGCATCTCTTTTTTGCCAATCTTAGATGAAGATTTGCTAGACCTTACTACGGTGCAATCAGTCAAATTTTCCAAGCACTTTTATTAATGCACATCGACTACCATATATGAGGGAAGCTGCCGATAGCTGTCTTATAATTGTCCATCTATTGCAACCGATGATTATATTAAATGGCATCAACAAGCGCTGCCATTTGATAAAATTCCATTCTCCCACAGAAAGCGCGTACCGCATCCCTCTCCAGCAGAATATATTTATAATTTTTTCATTTGGTCTAAACAGTAGTAAACAGCCCAAATAATGCTTTATCTGTCCAACTATAAAAAAATAAATGTAGTCTATATTGATTTAATGCTGAAAGTCTTGGGGGATTTTGGGCATACACTTTCACTGTATTCAATGGGTTGATTTTTATGGCTCAACAGCCAATCAGGTCGATTCTAAAATTTTCGAAGTGACGTAAAAAGCAAGTGCGAAATTTTGCAGAACTTCTCTTGGAGCGGCTCTTCCCAATTTGCAGTTGCTGGAAATATCTATAAAGACTGGAATATGAGCTCAGTCAATGCAAAGTCGCCCAACGTTGAGGATCGATCAGCGGTCGTGCGTGGAGAAGCTGAAACGACAGGCAAGGAAAATATAACACAAGTCCAGCGTGTGTCTGACGCAGAGGATTCAAAGGCTTTGGATCCTTCTCCTAGTATAACGACCGATCGCAATCAACACGATTCAAGTATTAAAGCCAGCAGCGCCAAGAGTACAACTATACCTTCCGCGGCCGATGTGGCAGCAGCATGGACTGCAGCATGGGATGAGAATTCACAAGCGTACTATTGGTGGAATACCATCACTTACGAAACGACATGGGATAATCCTACAAGTGTAACGGCAGAAACGGACATTTCACCATCTTCTACTCACGATACCACTTCTTTCCCCAATGATGCTCAACAGCAAGACAGTGACACTGTTCCTCCAACGGCCAATAATCCGCTCGACTCAATATTGGACAAAATTGACACGCAGGTACGAGGGAAGTTGGATGGTGAAGCTGCCACAGACAGTCATACACAGGTGCCCTATGCGTCGCTGTTCGATGATGATTCATACGGAAATAACGATGATCCATATAAATTTCAAGCCTTTTTCAATGCCAAGACAGGCCGATTCACGACGGCGAGTGAAGCTGAACGGCTGAACCCAGAAAATCTTTCTATTGAGAGTCGAGCCAAAAGACAGATGCAGTATTATTTCGATGTGGATGCTTACATGGACGAACGAAATAGAGAACGGCAAGCTGGTATTAGTCGACAAAAGCGGCCGCTGAGCAAAAAGGATATAGAACGCTTCAAAAGAGCAAAACAAGAGAAAAAGTCTAGACGAGCTAGAGAATGGCTGTGTGATTAAAAAAAAAAAATCATTGTCTTCAAATGCAATAAAATAGAGCAAGCCAAAAAATGAGTGTTGAACGGGAAATTTGGGTTCGCTCAGCGTGACTGTGACTGTTGTGTTTATCGTCTTTTGCACGTTGAGGAAGCGCGTTTCGACTGGCTTTCTTCCTGCGTCGAATACACCAACAGTTCCCATGAGGTAACGGCGTCTTTCAAGTTGGGTTGCTGTTTGTTTTTAGCTGCACCACTGATGCTGAATGGTTCTTAGTAAGAAATCGTTGAGATCGAAGAAAAGTGATGCCAACTTTCCGAATTTCGTTTTCAATCCAAGCAGCCCCAGCATCAACTTTGGCGGTAGTACACCCGGCAGCCCGGCACCTTCGATGACTGGAAGCATCAACTTTGGCGGTAGTCCTTTAGCCAGTCCGTCGCAATCGTCTTTTAGCTTTGGTTCGCCATCGAACACAGGCGCGGCTTTGAACAAATCCGCGTCCTTCTCATTTGGCTCTTCCTCAACGGGGTCTGGCAATAATGCGTCTGCCTTTAATGCTCCATTTACTTTCTCAGTTCCATCCACTCCGTCAGCACTGAATGCCATGCCATTTGGAAATCCTGCCACGCCTTCACTGAGACGTGCAGAATCGGAATTAACGCCTTCGGCCTCACCCAGTCAGTCCGCCTTGAGACGCTCAGTATCCGACATTACGGCGCCTTCTTCAGCTTTCAGTTTCGGTGCATCTGCTGGATCCAACACGCCAACACAGTCCAACGCATTTTCATTACCCAGCTCAGTTCCTTCAGTAACCCCGGCTGCTACCATGCCTACAGCTTCTGCCCCTGCAGCTACTATTTCGTTTGGTTTACCTAATGCTTCACAACCAACAATGTCAACGTCGACTTCAGCCACGCCCGCAGCTTCGACGGCTGCTCCTGCATTTAGCTTTGGTGCCACTGCTTCTGCCAATTCATCGCAACCTTCTGCCCCGAATTCAGCATCTGCGTTAAGCTTTGGCAAGCCAGCCACTTCCAACCCTACTACGAGTTCGACAACCACACCTTCGTTCACGTTTGGGGCTGCGACGACACCTTCTTCGACCCCAGCTTCTGCCCCTGCACCAAAATCAGCATTCAGCTTCGGAGCCGCTGCGGCGCCTGCTTCTCCAGCTGCTACGTCGACGGCAGGTACACCTTCATTTTCCTTTGGCCAGAAGAGTGGAACGGAGACGGCGAGTCCCGGCTTTGGAGGTTTTGGCGCAAAGAACACGGCAGCGTCCACCAATACTTTCGGTTCATCGTCTTTGACGGCAGCCCCTGCGACGACTACCAGCACCGCCTCATCTCTCACGTCAAGTGCGACTTCAAGTACATCGGCCACTGCTACAACGTCAGTACCTTCATTCTCCTTTGGGACGCCCGCAAAGACGACATCAACATCTACCAGTTCAGTCCCGTCTTTCTCATTCACAGGTTCTGCTTCTTCCGCAAGCAGCGCGCCAACCACCACAGCCAGTACTACGGCATCCGCGGCAACGACATCTGCTACAACCACCACAACCACAGCACCGATCTTCTCTTTCGGAAATTCGTCAGCGAAACAAGACGATAAGAAAGATAAGCCGTCATCTTCGTTTTCGTTTGGCGGCACAAACACAGCAGGCGCCACCGCAACGACCGGATCGGGAGCCGCAGCTCCCGCTCCTGCAATCAATCCCGCTCAAAGTTACGAGTGGTCCTTTGCCAAGGCATTGGATGATATGCTCAAGATCGCCAGTCAAGCGCCCAATCAGATTCACGCTACCTTGGTGACGCCATCACTGGCTGCATTACAGTAAGTGGTTTTCTAGCTTGCGACAGTAAAGTCTTTGACTAACGATGCAACTACGTATTAGGCAAAACCAAGTGGTTACCCATACGAATTTCCGAATTGATAACATCATGCCTACCAGTCGTTTCTCCGATCTTCCGGAAGCTGCTCAGAAGGAACTGGATGAGTTGGAACGATATATCCGAGGGGAGACACAGAAATGTGATTACATTGTCAAAAAGAGCGGTCCTAAGCATGTTGAAGCTATGGAACAAGCCAGAGCGAACACTGAGCGATTGTCACAGGTGGGTTCATTGGCTGAATGAGGGAAAATTGGAATGGCGTTGCTAATACTGTCTGATCATGTAGCAACTGGGAGCCTTGGCATACAGTCTGAAAAATCAGCTGTACAACATAGAAACCTTGTTTGAAACCGTGAAAGAGCAGCTTCGACATGCCTTGGACGGTAGCACTATTATTGAAGCGTGTAAACATCCTGGCAGCGCTCCTCAATGGATGTTTAGCTATGGTGCCGATGACGAGTAAGTCGACTGTTATTTGCGGATCTTTCTCCGTTCTGTTGATTAACAACGATGTCTAGTTACTTTGCAACACTCGCGACACAGTTCAACAAGCGATTAGAAGAATACCAAAAATGCATCTGGGTGAGTGAAAAAAGAAAAGAAGTCGCCATACATCAATTTGTTCAAACGACTAAAAATGTGCATATCCGCCCCGTAGGAAATTGAGCGAACTACACAGTCATGGACACGCAATAGAGCCCAATCCCCTCAAGGTATGTAAACATATGCAAGGTAAAAATCCGCGTTCTAAAGTATTATTTCTCCAGATATCGCGCGTATTATGCGTGTACAAAATCAGACGTTCCTCGCATTATCAAACAAAGTGGCCGCATTGCATGAAAACATGCGCTTGGAAAAAGAGTATTACGCACGGTATCTAAAACTGTATTCTTAGAGGATGTATTCCTGCATTCCTCGTTCATGATCATCAAATAATAAAACAGAGATAGCACGCATATTCGATAGCGAAGGTTTAGTCTTGGTTTTGGGTGATGGAAAACTCACGAGAGTAACCAGAATGTGGTTTGATAGCACTGTAGTATTTTGTTATCACTTGATGTTTGAATCGAGAATACATGCGGCTACTCACTTTGTGAAAGGTGCCATATGATGTCCAAAGTAGCCTAATCTGTAAGTTCCTGATGGAATATGGTTGCCGATATCCCATTCAATAGTAGCTTCGGACTGACGGATCAGTTTATACGTATAGCGCCAAAGAAATCTAATCATCTGGTCAGCCGATTCATCAAATGCGTGATATTCATACCTTGTGTCATAATCATCATCTGTTCGGATAACAATCCAGTTATCGTTTTCGTCTTTCCGCTCCACTGTCAAGAAGGTCTTGTCCAACATGGCATCGTTCCTCGGATTGCCTGCAACAAATACGGCAGAAACGGTTTGGTTTATGGAAGCGTCATAAAGAAGGTCAACGTCGCGCACGACATCACCAAATTGATGGAATGGTTTGCTAACGTCGGCACCATGTCTCGGGCTTAAATTGAAGGCATAGTTGGTAAAATTCGGTAATCGGACAGCGTCATCAACAATGCTATTGGTGGCCATTTCATATACTAGTTCCTTGAATATTTCCATGTATGCTTCCAATGTATGAGGACCGTAAGGAGTCTTGAAGAGGGTTCCTTATTACCGAATGCAGAATTGACATGTATTTTTTTGAAGGTTTCACTTACCGAAGCGCCCTCGTAACGTTGCATCTGATATTCTTCTTTGGTGGTGCAGTAAGACTATACAAGTTGGTCAGCTTACTGCGAGATTATCATATATTCAAAGGACCATACAGCGTAACTGTTAGCTGGTCCCGAGTAAATCACGATTGTATCTTCTCCACCGAGGCCGTACTCAATGATGGCGTCTTTTACTGATTTGCGCAAACGACGGCCACTCATCGTCGTTAACTCGGAGGGTGTAGCGATAATAAACAGCTTGCCAATACGGAACAACTGCACATCAAGCACTCGAGGTTGCCACTCGTAGGGATACGGAATCTCCCCTGTATCCAATAAAATGGGTTTCGGCTGCTGGCACAGAACCTGCTGTTCGCTCGGTTTGTAAAGCGCGTTTCGTACTAGATCCCAAAATACTGTTCCTTGGGTGGTATTCTAATTACGTGTTAGAATGATCAGGCCTGTCCTATAACGAAAAAGATGCTACCTGATAGAAACCGCGAAGAGCTGGACCATCTGTTGTTCCTGCAGCTATATATAATTGCGAATTACTGGGTTAGTCAATTTTAATTGAGAGCATTGCGTCAGTTGTTGGTACCGAATGCATATCCCTAACAACAGGTCAGTTTTAAGCTAGTTTATGACTATGCTAGAACAACAACTTACCATAGCTGGTTTGCACACGCGGCCAGCTTTCAGCTTCGTTTGGGTAATATCCCAATACTTTTGTCGGAAATCAACTGGACCATTGATAATCGCATCGTCGACGCCGTCAAAGAGATCTAACGCTTTGTATGCTTGATTCTGTCCAATGATACGGTTCGATTCATAGTCGCTGATAAGCCAACCAGGACCCCTATAAGAGAAGATCGAAGGGATAAGATTCAACAATTGAACGAGCGTGCCAATCGTAACATCATACCTTCCATAACAAAGTTTTCCTTTGACGTCTGAGCCATCTCTTGAGCCATCACATGGTATATCAGTGCCATGATAGTATGCACCAAGCGTATTCGGACTGACATCGCCTTCATTACTTTGGGCAAAGGCGGCTACAAAACGCCCTTTTCCTGAGAAACTGTCCGGATTCATGGTCTTTTCCGCGAGGTAGGCAGCATAGCCTTTATTATCACCATTGATCAAACGATTCGTATTGTTTATTGAGACCCCATGTACGGCGAACCAGCTGATTAACCCGAGGTTTTCATTTTGTGCATTTCGAAACTTCATAACCGTCATGTCTTTGTCCACATCATATGAATACTGGGCACGCTCCTCGGCTGGATTGAGAAGATATGCACTGGGTGATCGATTGATATTGGTGTCCAGCAGTTCCCCAACTGATAATGAAAGTATTCCCTCTTCCAAGTTATGATGGGCTCGTAGTATTGCGTTGACGATGCCTTGCACCATCGGCTGAACTGTTTCTTCGATCCATCCAAAAACAGATAGCTCGTACAACGCTATTACAATTTAAACACATTCATCTCCATGCATATTAAATTGCCGCTGTTGTTTGAATGGAGCTTACTGTACTGAAGATAACCGCCCATACCGCTGTGTGAATGCGTACTGCTGATCATGAGGTTTTTTTCGTTGTAGATATTGTCGCCTAACTGTAACAGTAAGCCTTGAACAACCCGTTGCTTTACTATGTCGCTGACCGATTGTGTATCGATATTGACAAACGCTATTCTGTTTTCATTGTCGTCCATGATGATAAAAGCACGGGCCCAAAGCCGCTGCAGTATTCCAACGCCTGTTTGCCCCGATTTTGCATACCCCATCAGCATGATGTCTACTATAGGGCCAGTGATATCCGCGATACCAGTGCCAAGTCTCAAAGCATTGGCCAGGCCTGTGCAAGCAACGAAAAGAAAAAGCAATAAACGCATAAGAGAAAAGGTAAAAAGAAAGGCTGAGATGCCAATGTCAATGATAAATGCCCGTTTTTAATAATATCGATATCCGCGTGATCAAATCAGAGAATTTTATTTTCCATCGTGATCCATTTCGTATTCTTCAGGCAACGTGTATTGCTGAGGGGCGAGTGCTTGACTCTCGCTGTCATTTAAATTCTTTTGGCCTCTGCCAAACACCGTTTCCCTATTTAGGCAATCTGATGATGAGTGGGAGGGTGGGATGAAGTTGTGCTCAGCATTTTCTTACGTGGTAGCTGAAGATGCCTTGAGAAGTTCGACAGCAAATTGCCCACCAGTTAGTGCAATGACCTATTTTGAGGTCAGTCAAATTTTCAAGCTTTTAACGGGCCATGTTTTCAAAACTCTACCATGACTATAAATAAGCCTGTGTTAAAGTACATAGCTATCAGCATATACCACAGCCGTAAAACCGTAGCCACACCAAAGAGTAGAGTACGAGTGGTGACGAGCCTCCACGATATCCTGCCTCTGCTGTAAGCAAGTCGATCGAGGTAATATGTAATCGCACGCTCTGACCAGCAGACGACGACTATAAATACGTAGCCAGCAAACAGCCGATATCGGTCGTTCAACTGAAAGGGTTCAAACAGAAGATGGAGATTCTGGACCTCTAGTCGGTATAAGTCATTGGAAAGAAACACAATGGAAGCGATGATTACCATTATGAAACCACCATTTCATAGGACTTGGAGAAGACATACTCGCGAGAAGAAGAGAAACTCTGGATTTCCGAACATACTCTTTTTAAGGGCAATGGGCGCTTAAACACGAAAAAAAAGTCGCCATTCCAGACGCAAAAGGAACTAAGAATCGCCATATATCCTAATTCGTTCAAAACCACACTTTATTCGCCATAACATTCTATAATCTCTTTCCTTCTCTTCTTAACTATGCTATTGTAAAATGAAAAAAAGGCACCACGCATCAGATGCGCCTAGCGTGAGGAAAAGAGGACTCCTAAAAAGACAGCGAGGTTGACGGTTGGGTTCGTGTCCAATCAAAGGATGGAGTGTTCCATTGCGGAGATCCAATCTATTACAGGTGTTGAGTGAGGAAAGGGCGAAAGCGTGGAAGTCCGATCTTTTTTTATTTTCTTCAGTTGTCACGAACTTTGGGCAGCGCTGCAAGTCTCTGCGATTCACCATTTCAGCATCTGAATAAATAAATACTATTAACACAATGGTACAGTATTCATTCTTTTCTGTAGTAGCCTATTAATATCATATTCCGTTCTACTGCGACCGAGGGCCGTTGGTTTTCGCGCCGTGTGGGCAAGAAAACCAACGGGACCGTGAGGTGGTAGCCAACAGCGGGATATTGGGTTTGGAGAAGATGAGAAGATATATAAGCATACTAATTTGATACTGGGTTTTAGGGTATGCGGATTGACATCAAGGTACCAACTGAGTAGTTCCCCATCTCTTCAACAGAAAACACTCATCCTCACCATAGCGTAAATTGCTGTCTCGCTCCGAACGAGTGAAAAGCGTCGATTTGCATCCTACCGAACCTTGGGTTCTTGCCAGTTTATACAGTGGCCACGTTTACATATACAACTACGAAACCCAGGTAAGAAAACCAAGATGACGTTTTGTTCTCAACGTAAAACGTATCAACGCGACTGTTATTTTCCAGGCCTTGGTGAAAACGTTTGAAGTGTCGGAGACACCTGGTAAAGAACTACAGATTTGAAAACAGCATTCGTTCTTTGCAGCCCATTTTGACGGTTCCTTTACCGAATAGTTCGAGCGGCCAAATTTATTGCGCGTAAGAATTGGATTGTTACCGGTTCCGACGATTCCCAAATCAGAGTTTTCAATTACAATACGCATGAGAAGGTCGCTGCTTTTGAAGGCCATCCTGATTATATTCGTTGCCTGGCTGTCCATCCTTCGCAACCGTTGGTCCTTTCGGGTTCCGATGACATGACCATTCGATTGTGGGATTGGGAGAAGGGATGGAAATGCGTGCAGGTACGAAAACTCTTTTATTTACCGCTGTGGAGGTAACGCTGCTAAACTGTGAAATATTAGGTGTTCGAGGGTCATTCGCACTTTGTCATGCACCTTAGTTTCAACCCTAAAGATTCCAATACTTTTGCTTCGGCTGGTTTGGATGGTGTTGTTAAAGTCTGGTCGCTTGGTTCCAGTGTGCCAAACTTTACATTGGAAGGCCATGAGAATGGCGTGAATTACGTCGATTACTATCACGGAGGTGATAAACCTTACCTGATTTCTTGCGCTGATGACAAGTAAGTGTTTGCTTACCTTTTTTTCAGAGCTCGAGGGGGCGAAATGGGTGTTGACCAAAAGTTACTAGTCTCGTTAAAATCTGGGATTATCAAAACAAGAACTGCGTACAGACTTTGGAAGGTCATAATCAGAACGTGAACTTTGCTTCCTTCCACCCAGAGTTGCCCATTATTGTGTCCGGTTCAGAGGATGGCACAGTCCGTATCTGGCATTCAGATACTTATCGCTTGGAAAATACCCTGAATTACGGTCTGGAACGCGCCTGGTGTATGGCGTATCAGAAGGGCGGCAATAATGTAGCATTCGGTTTTGACGAAGGTTCTGTCGTCATCAAACTTGGAAGAGAGGAACCGGCGGTTTCCATGGATGCTTCAGGCAAGATCATTTGGGCTAAACACTCTGAAATTCAAACGGCCAATGTCAAGACCGGTGTTGGTAAGTAAAACGACGCGGTTGGATTTCTTTATGACCTATATTTTAACTTGGTCGTCCAAACAGATGAGACTATCAAGGATGGTGAACGTCTTGCATTGCCGATCAAGGATTTGGGAAGCTGTGAGGTGTATCCTCAAACATTGCAGCACTCCCCCAACGGTCGATTTGTTGTTGTCTGTGGTGATGGCGAGTATATCATCTATACGGCCTTAGCATGGAGAAATAAGAATTTCGGAAGTGGTTATGAGTTTGTTTGGGCTGCTGATTCTAACATGTAAGTTATCAAATCATGAGTCGAGGACTCGTTACAGAAATATCTGATGTTAATGATAGGTATGCCGTGCGCGAGTCAACCTCCAAAGTGAAAATCTTCAAGAACTTTAAGGAACGTGTTGGTCTTTTGCCCAAGCTCAACTATTCGGCTGAAGGCATCTTTGGCGGAACGTTGCTCGGTGTACGATCGACCAGCTTTTTAAATTTCTATGACTGGGAGACTGGCGCGGTTGTCCGACGTATCGATGTGGAAGCCAAAAATGTAAGTTCAATAGGGCAAAGACATCAATTCATCGGTATTGACAGTGGCCATTTCAACAGATTTTCTGGTCCGATGCCGGAGACCTTGTCGCTATTGTCTGCGATGAATCTTTCTATGTTCTCCGTTACGACGCTCAGGCGTATATGCAATTTTTGGAAAACGGCGGCGATGTTGGAGAAGAAGGCGTTGAAGAAGCTTTTGAATTCGTGACTGAAATTGCGGAAACGTAAGAATGATGGGACCCCTCTTTTTTTGGTTGTCGGTATTGATTTGTTTATGTTTCTAGCGTTAAAACCGGAACGTGGGCAGGTGATTGCTTCATCTATACCAACAACGGTAATCGCATGAACTACCTTGTTGGTAGCGAAACCTACACAATCAGCCATTTCGACAAGTAAGTTAAATGATAACCCACGCTGGGACTGTCCGGGTTTTGAAATCATGGACTCATGGACTTTGCCTTGATTTGTAGGCAAATGTATCTCTTGGGATACGCACCAAGAGACAACCGTGTCTATTTAGCTGATCGTGTAAGTGCTCTATTCAGCATCAGCTTTGGTGATCTGATCTCTTGCTATGAATTTTTGTCTAACTTTTTTTATAGGATGTGAATGTATACAGCTACGCACTGTCTTTAACGGTCATTCAATATCAGACAGCCATATTGCGTGGAGACATTGAAGGAGCCAACATGCTGCTTCCTTCGATACCCAACGATCAACGAGGAAGAATTGCTCGCTTCCTTGAATCCCAAAATCTCAAAGAACTGGCCTTGGAAGTTTCGTACGATTCAGAGCAAAAATTCTATTTGGCTATTCAACTTGGAAAGCTCGATATTGCTACTGAAATTGCTCGAGAAGTGAACAATGAGCCCAAATGGAGAGCATTGGCCGACGTCGCCATGGCTGCATGGAAGTTCGATTTGGCAGAAGAATGTCTCATAAAGGCGCAAGATCTTAGTGGCTTATTGTTATACTATACAGCCAACGGAAATCGTAAAGGCATGCGAGAAGTCGCCGATCAAGCAGGTATGTATTTCTGCCCACACTAGGAAGATCGTGAATGGGTTGCTTACTTGGATTGAGTATAGTTGAGCAAGGCAAAAACAATATCGCTTTCTCTGCATTGTTTCAGTTGGGAGCTATTGATGAGGTGATTGATTTGCTTGTCAAAACCGAACGTATTCCAGAAGCAGCTATTTTAGCTCGAACATACGCGCCGGAACAGATGTCGAAAATCGTGCAATTATGGAAGTCAGATCTCGAAAGCCGAAACCGCAAGAAGACGGCCGAAAGTCTTGCGGATCCAGCAGAATATGCAAATCTATTCGCTGAATTGCAAAAGGTACCACACGCAGAAGATTGTAAGGTTCTGATTTTGGAAATGGTATTAAACTACTTTATTACAGACACCAACGAATGCGGTTGAGACTCCCGAGGAACCAGCATTAAAGACTCCGGAACCGAGTTCACCAGCCGAAGAAAATCTCATTGACACTGAAGCTTAGTGACCCGATCATAAAAATAAAAACTATATCAAGGATCTTATATAATTAAAAATACGGAATATCTAAAGTCTTAGGCGCTTCTTTTTTTTTTTTTTGGTGGGTCTTTTGAAACTATGGCGAAGCCGACGCAGCTTTCAGGCACGTAATTGGAACTCCGCGATTCCTTGGGTCCAAGTTGTGCTGCAATGCTTCTTTATCCATCCATCCGTCGCATCCCATCCATCCATTACAATCGCCATGGTCAATCGTCCTACCAACATCGAGTCCATTATCAGCGGTGTGGAACGCTACAACCCTGAAAATCTCTCAGCGTTGGAGGAATACCTTAACACGCAATGTCAGAACCGCGAATACGATTTGATGGCCAATCTTGCCATTTTGAAATTGTACGCATTATGATGACGAATTCAGAATAAATCACGAATGAGACGGATAACATTATCGATTAGGTATCAATTTGATCCTTCCTTGGCCAAAGAACAAGTCATCATCAATATTTTGGCCAAGTCTCTAACAGCTATTCCCGCACCCGATTTCAACCTTTGCCTGTATCTTTTGAGCGAACAAGCTGTAAGTTGATAACTGTCTGCTTTTTTTCTTTTTTAAAAAAGGACCGCATCCGTTGCTAATATTGAATCATACAAAATACACAGAATCTGGAAACAGTTAAACAATTGACGAGCTTGCAGCAATTCTTGGAACAGTCGCGTTACGCCAAATTCTGGGAAGCCTACGCCACTCACAAACAACTTACAACCAACGTCGCTGGATTCGAAGAGTCTATTCGCAGCGTCATTGCAAACGTCGTGAGCATGAGTCACCAAGTCATTAACAGCAAGGTGCTTCAGTCATATTTAGCCTTGGACGGACAGTCATTCAACGATTTTTGCGCTGCGCAAGGCTGGCAAGTGTCCGGTGATGTGGTAACCATTCCCGTCAACAAGGACAACGAAGCCAAGGCGGTTGTCATCACCGAAAACATCAAGTTTGAACAACTCACAAAGGTCATTGGTTATTCCAACGAAATGTAATTGAATTGCGACGTTATCCCAATTACTTTTTATGCCATGTCATCCCATCCTTTTTTTTTTTATAATTTCTTCAAGTCTTTCAAGTTTTTGATCCGTTTCTCTTTTCCCCAACAACAGCAATATACAAAAATTTGTTTATTTTGATCATCAAACGTCATCGCGTAAAACCGAACCACTTTCTTGTTGATATATCCAATGAAAGCAATCTGTAAGCGTCTTGAGGCCGAGAAGATAACCACCATCAGGGCCATCATCATTTGGAGGATAGGTGAAATCTTGAAACGATGTCTTGAGTTCCTGCTGAGTCACGCAGTGAGCGAAATCGATAATGCGAACATCAATTTTGCGATTCCAGTTGCCAGCATCATAAATCACTAGGAGAGAAGATGCATAAAATCGGTATCCAGGCATTGACCCAATAATCCTTGCAAGTCGTTTCAATTTGCGTATAATGATGGGTATATGTTGAATTTGGCAACCTTCGCCGTTGTCAAGGTATTCCATTAATGTCCGTCGAAAACCGTTGGCATCCAGTTGTCGGCCATAGTATTTGTCGCGAAATACAAAACGACGCTGGTCTGTTTTGTAAATCTGCACACGGAAGATTGGTTTCCAATTGAACAATGGATTATTTACATGATTGGTTTTAGCCATCTTTTACTTGACATTACCTGCATTCCACAAACTCGCACACCGAGTGTCTTACTTGTTGATCGCATACATTTGAGGCTTTGGCTAGCCATTTTGGCTGGCGTCGCATGAACTCCGTGTTGCCTGGTGCCCATTTTCAGGTCCAATACACAAGGATATTTTACATCATCTGTGAGATCTTCCAGCAAAATGAACTTCTTTACAGTTTCTTCCCCCGAATGGATTTGGCTAAGCGTCTTGTGTAAATCGCGGCTGTACACCTGCAGAGACCATGGATTCGTTGGAGCCCTGCGTGGTCGCCAGCTGGCTGGTTGTGCAGCAGGTTCTACGTAACTGTCGTCTGCTACGACATGATCTGAGGGTGTGTCGTTTAGTAGCGGTAAGCTGGCAACGGACGAAGTACGTTGGTCTAAACCTCTTGGTGTTTCAATCGGATCTGACAAAGGACGCTGTAAGCTGGCTTCGCGCATGCGCGGACTTTGCGGTGCCGATGTGGTGGATTGTATAATGGAAGGTCGCCGTGGTTGCACCGTTACAGAGTCAATGGAGGACCATATGAGTTTGTCATGCGACGCTTGACCGGCCTTGGTCAAATTGTCCATACTCTGCGAGTTTGAAAGACCTTGCGCTCTGGAGACTTCCCAATCATGCACTTGCTGTAGCCGCTCTTTCAGCGCTTTCGGTGAAAAAACTTCGCGTAGGACAAGTTCTTGCAGTTTTCTGGCGCGATGAATACTCGCTTGATTGTCGTGCGATGGAGGGCGGGTAGGAGGGTGCATGTGATGGTGACTTTGCAGGCGAGAATGATGACGGTAGGTATGGGAAAAGTGAGGTAGGTTATCATCTTCGCTTTGAGTGCTGCTACTTCTAGAAGAAGACAGTGACGAAGAAGGTCGCCGCACATAGCAAGCACGCCAGTCTCGTAGCAGTTGTTCGTTCTTGTCGAATACAACCTCCGGTAATAAGACATTGCAAGAGGTGCGGTAGGTAACATTAAGCGTGCCAAGGTACTGTGAAGTAAAAGGTAGTAGCGCATGATGGTGCGCTTCAAGATGTTCATAAAATTCTTGCTCTTTCTGCGACACAGGTTTGCAAATGGCTCGCTTTGAGAATCGGAAAAAGGAGGCATGGCCACCTACTTGATTTTGAAAAGGCAACAATGGCAGGGAGGTGGTGATTTGTGTAGGATCAAAATAACGATCGGGTATAGGATCCTCATCGAATGACCACGAATCTTTGTCTTTTCCTGCATGTTCTTCTTTCTTGGCTGCAGTATCCTCTCCATGGCCGTTATTATGCAACCATTCACCATTATCGTCTGACAGTTCTTCTGTTACAAGTGGACTTTTCCATGCTTTCATGTTGACAATGTGCGAATTGGGTTCTCAGCTTTTATCTTTTTTTTCTTTCTTTTCTTCTGCAGGTCTTTTCCTTCGCTTTGACTTTTGAAGAGGGAGAGTATTTTTTGCTTTTCGAGTTTTCCTCTACTATATTCTAATCAAGAGGAATTTTTAAGGAAGAGTTGTGGCGCTAAAAAAAAAAAAAGAAGAGAAAAATTGAATATATAATCCTTGGTTTATGTTTTGATAGTTGTGTTTATGTTTGGTTTGATTGAAAGACGAAAAAAAAAAACCACAATCATTTTTTTTTCAAGAAAAAACGGCATGCCGCGTCACAAGCCTAAATGTTCAGAAATGAACCACGTGCTCGCTAGAACAAAATCATTGTCGGAATACAGCCGTTTTTCATTACTTCAATCACAAGACCTTCATCATAACCTGTCAGATAAGTAGCCCCAAAAGGATTTTGTTCACTTGAGCCACGTGTAAGAATCACAGGCTTATGCTGTGTCGCCTGTGATTCATTCGGGGTCACTGTGACGGTACTGCTGGGTTTCCATGGAATATGCTTTCGCATATCCGAAATCTTCATATCGGCTACAACATGCAGAAATTGATCATCATCCAAAGCCGTGTCCACGTCCACCAGTAGATTGGGATCCTTCTCCGCGGCTATACCACAAGGTTAGAAATTATGCCGTTTATATGAAGCATTACTATCGCTTACGCCATCGGCGTTTTGTCATATCTTACCATCTTCATGTTTGAACTCCAATTGAAACCGGCAACGCTTGTATCGTTGAAAATCATAGTGTCCAGGAATATTTCCATGCAAGATTATCTTTTTGCAAACATGCAATGCTCCGTCCATCAGTATGTCAATACCCAAATGGAAGTAATTTAAAAAGTAATCAGTGGGATGAGCCGACGTTGAGTCTGTTTAAAAAATAAGAGCTTGAAACATATGTCCCTTTTTTTATTTATCTTTGTCACAAACCTTTGTCCTCATCTTCCAGATTTACAGTATGGACGTAGTCTTGTCGTTCGTCTTTATTGGGCGATTTCCCTAGCATTGACCTCTCGTCCATGATGGAATGAATCTTCATCTTATCTTCCTCCTTGTAGAAAATACGCGATGGTTTGCCCAGTTCCGCCAGAATATCCTGAGCCGAGGAACGATGAAGGATAATAGAAACATGGTTTACCGAGGTCGCCAGTATATTTTCATTTGGTTTGTTGGTCTCATGGAACGAATTATAGTTGGGGAAATGCAACGTGACACCTTGTGTTGGCTAATATTCAGCGATGTTACATTTTTGAGAAGGCTTTTTGTAGGCCGTTCGCAAACCTCACCTGTGCAATGATATTTTCCACCTCACGACGGCCTGGTTTGCCATATTTTACGGAAGTGCTTGAATTCTGCTCTGCAACTACTTTGGATAATACAGGAACGGTTGCTTTCTGCCAGCTGTTACCTCCGCTGTAGAGATAAATATGTGATGCAATGGCGGTTGTGCCATCGGGAAATTCCAGGGGAAGCTCTGGTAGATCGGAAATTGTATAAATGTCGGTGAATGAAAGCTACTATGCATTTGATTTCAACACCTTTCATTTACCTGATGATTTTGCATAAAGATCCTGATAACGAGTAGGTATCGGAAACATAAAAGAGACTCCCTATAGTTGATGTCATAATTTGATGCCAGCATATCAAGTAATTTTCATGAACTTACTGGATATTTGAGAATATATAGGCCTTTGAGGGGATCAAATTCGCCTGGATATGTGGGTCTGTTGAAAGGACCTTATTAGCATAAAAGGATTTGAAAAGTGATAAAGTGATAGATACCCGAATGATTTATACACCAAGAGGAACGTTGGAATAGTGCGACTGGAGCTAATTACCAGACAATCATTAGAAGCTGGCACCAGCAGCCCCTCGTCTTAACTGCACAACTTACCTGACATCGCTATTTTGATATACGAGCTTCACCTTGGACGGATCATAGCATTCCATCGATTTTAAACGCTGCAAAGCTCCATCAAACCGTAAATTTAGGCCATTGGATGGTAAAGCAATGATGAAATCATAGAATAGGGGATCCTACGTTATCAGAGGCAATAAAATCTGTGAATAGGTTTCTTCATACGCAATACAAATACATACTTCTTGGCTGTATTTGAGTTCTACAGTGGGAAAAAACTGCGGCCTATCACGTAAAAAGTAGATAACGTCCCATAATGAAGAACCTGTGAATGTTTAAATGGTCAATAGGTAGGTCATCCGTGCAACTTGTTCGCATTACCAAGTCGAAATGGTCCTAAACTTTTTCCAGGAACAATAATGAGCTCTATCCTCTTCGATCGTTGACGTTGAGTGTTCTTTGCTGAATCAATGGTCATTGTCGTTTGCATAAAAAGCATTGCAATATTCCTATGGAGCTCCTCGAGTCATGCATACAGTCACAGAGCGGCCATGTGATGCGTCCGATTTCCAAATCCAGCCATGAACAAGATTGACGTGCCGCAGTCATCAACGTGTCCTGCAAACTGAAATTGGGATCGCGGTGAACATCGCTATATTGAATACCGTGATTTTAAAACTAGAACCACATACCAGAAACTTTATTCAATGGTATCGCTCGGATTTGTTCACAATGAAATCATATCGTTCATATACAATAGAATTATATCTTGTTTAAGCGTGAATACGAGCCGTATGAGGCATGTAGAAAAGTAATCATGAAGCTTGTGACGAGTTGCACATTTCTAAGCAGAGCAAAAGTGTAGTCTATTCTTTGAGTGGATATCAATGTACAGCGAAAAGAACAAGCTTTCGGAATATGGAGATTCACGCTTGGATATTATGCGAAACGAATCACGGGCACATCAACAGGGTATGGGGAGCTTCTAAATCTGAGTTGCCTGGCTATCATCACCTTTCTCAAAAGCATCCCAATCAAAGTCATCATAATCCTCCTCCTGAGGCGAAGATGGAACCTCGTCCTTTTTGGTAGTGGTTGGGCCCTCTTGTTGCGCAAGAATCTCCTCGTACCTAGAAATTGGGGATATCAGCTTTTTTTGCTATTCAGACCAACTCAGTCACAGTATTACCATTTGAGAAGGAGGTTTTTCTGTTTAGTAGTGAAGCAAGGAACCTTCAGCGCATCCTCAATCAGTGGAAAAGCCGAGACACCGCCCGCAGTGGCATCACTAACCATCTCATTAGTAATATGAAGTATAATCACGCTAGTCAACTTATTGATTACGTTCTGTCAAAACACGTAAAGTAGGCTTCAATGGAGGCAAAGAGTTTGTTTTTCTCCTTGTCAGTGAATCGATAATCCTGCAGCATCTGTCTGAGCCATTTGAACGTCGTGGTCAACGAATAGGATAGTGCTCACTTGATTTTTGAAAATAAACTTCTTGAGTGTATTCATTTGCTTTATTTGTTTAGCAGTAGGCGGATTGGAAAGCGCTTTTGTGTCATCGTGGAATTGTTGGATTCGTTGCTCCATTAGAGTAAAAGAAAATATAATATAAAGAAGTTGCAATTGCTCCCCCGAGTTAGTGATTCACGGCAGTGGCTTTGCACTGAAATTCTATCAGCGTCTGTGGCAAATGTCAATTTACAAACGTGTGAAAGGCATTTCAGGTGTTGGTTGCAACCAGTTATCCGATGGATAATGAGCTGCGCCTTCAATGACATGGAAAGTATAAATAAAGCGCGATCTTTCAGAGTAGTTTGGTGCCGATTTATGGAGGACACTACCGTGAAGCAATACCAAAGTGCCTGAAATTTTCGGAAACCCCCAGTCAATTTGCGATATTTTTTGTTCGTATGGTGTTGGGTCACCCTACTGTACCTTGTTTCACTTCCTTTATGACATACTTTGATTCATCGACAGGAGCGGCATCTTCGCCAATAAACGTGGTACCATGACCCTTGGGATCCCGTACAAAACGGCGACTAATGGGTGTAGCTAAAAAAAAAAGGCGTTGCCTAAGCACCAGGAATCCACCATTGCAGGGAAAAATAATAACTTACTCTTATGCGAGCCAGGAACAAACCAAAGACAGCCGTTGTGTTCAGTACAGTCTTCCAAAGCAAACCAGAATCCTACAGCAGAAGTCGGCTCGGTATATAAGAAAGTCGAATCCTGGTGCGACGGCACTATTGCTCTTGTCAGTGACTTGGGAACATTGGTTTGCACAAAGATAGCAAGTGATACCTTCTCCACCAATATAAGGTTGCTACAGTGACAATCATCCGTGTCGATCATCGTTAAAATTAGCATGCTTCCCTTTTTTATTTACCAAATTGATCAATGCGTACCTTGAAAATGACCATAGACTGCAACACACGAGGGTCGGTAAACTTCAAGTCCTTTGCGATCCCGGAGAGCTTTTCATCCAGCGAAAACGGGCCGAAGACAGGGTCCAAAGCGTGGATACCTGCCATTTATCTGCGATGAGTCCTGCGAGTTTCAGCGGGTATTCCAATGTACAATTGGGCCTACCGTGACCAATTTTGTTGATAGCCCGCTCCTTTGGGACCTTGAGGTTGCCCTGCTGGTCAAAAGCTCCCTCCTCAAAGAAAAAGCGGATTTTATCTCCCGAATTCAGGAAATAATCATCACCGATATGATTATCTCCATCTTCATTACCCGTGCTGAATTTGGTCATAGGATGACCTTCCAAGGAAAAATTATGGAGTAACTCTTCCGCTCTGTATTTCAGGGAATTTGCAACGTCCTTTGTAAAGAAGTCTTCGATAACGAGGAATCTATCGAGGGTCGAATATAAGCAATGCAGGAATCCGGAGTGGAAAGTGAAACACCCACCCATCACGATCGAACTAGATGAGACTCTCACGTTAATGAGGGCATGAGCGCAATGTAGAAGTATGTTATTTACCTGATCCAACTGTTCTTGAGTAAGCACCATTTTTTCCGGGGAAAGAAGTGTGATGTGGTACCGATCATTTAAAATGTCACTTTATACTTTCCTATTCCCCGCGTGGGAGTTTCCCACCTACATCGCTTTATTCCACCATCTATCCTATGCGTACACGTCCCATTGACAATGCTATGACAGTTTATATCAAGCAAGTCGGCGTTGTATATGCATATGAAATACATTGCCCTTGTAGCGGCGAGGATGTTAATTCAGCCTTTATTATTTTCCTTGCAAACAGCTGCGTCTTGAGTCATTAGGTCCGAGATATTGAATGAGCGACACCCCGCTTGTCATCTGATTTTATTATGGAGACAGATATACGTTCGCAAATGCATCATCGTCTATGCTAGCGACCGACACCCCTTTACTGCGTAATTCATCCATTGTGGCATTGAAGGCTTCGGGAAACACTGCCCGCGTACCTTCCTTTACCAGAATTGTTTTAAAACCAAACTTGATAGCATCCAGGCAAGTGAGCTTGACACAGTAGTCGGCCGCCAAGCCCACTACAATCACCGTTTCAATCTTCTTTTGGTATAAGAGTTTTGCGAGTTCAGTGATCTCGAAATATTTGTTGTCCGCGAACGCGCTGTAAGAATCTACCATGCGATTGGTTCCCTAGGTTATGAGCGACTTGGGCATAAGCTGACCGAGAAATCGGAAGACTTTTTAATTTGCTGGTCACCTTCTTCACCACATGGCTAATGTCGCTGATAGAAATCTTTTCCGAAATAGTCGCTCCATAAGTTCCTTGCTGGATCGACTTTTGTTTGAATAATCCGGACTTTGAAGTAGTATACATATTTTATTTTTCCTTACCACGCAATGGTCGGGCCACAAAGTTTGTGATATCGCTTCATTTTCGTACTGGATGGTAATGGTTTCAAAGGGTTTGTTGCCTGCATGATTGGAACCGAAACTGACGTGGTCTTGAGGGTGCCAGTCCTATGATGAATATGCTAAGCAAACTTCAATGCTATCAGTATAGCAATATCAGTACCTGCGACGCGACAATCAGACCCCCTTTATCTTTCACAGCTTGAATCAAACGATTGACTGCAGGAAAGATCTCTGAAGCATGAGGTACAGCTAATGATCCCTCTTCCAAGAAATCATGCTGGATGTCAATTAGCAGAAGAGCTGTATTTTCCATCTAATAGTAATGACTTTTTATGAGAAACGGTTTGTTGCGGGTGCAAAGCAAAGCCAGTATACCATGATTTGCGGAAAACAAACCAATGGAAAGTCTGAGATTTCAAAAATGGCAAATTCAACAGTCTTTTTGGAAATCGTGCATTTTGCCACCATTCTTCGTTTCAGCCGCTGACAATGGAAGCTTTTTTTATGCAATGTCGTGATACCCTTGATGTCCACGTAAAAACTCTACCTCAACATCACGATCCACTACAATAAGGAAACTAAAAAGGATTTTTCTTCCAGCATGATAAGCGGGAACGTATCATCAAACTGAGCAGGTGAGAAATTACTCGGCTCGCGTCGTAGCAAGATCACTCAGTTCCGTCTAGGGATATCACCGCCTTGAGCAAAAAGCTCATTTTCGCGCTCCATCGGTATGAACCGACAACAGCGAATGCAACTTGTTACTTAAATTGACTTGGTTACTTAGTACTACACAGAACGAGCAAGCGAGTAAAAATGGATACAAGGATGCCCGAGCGAAGCAAGAAGAGATTATGCGCCTATTCAAACAACTCGCCCCGGAAGTTGAAGGCGCGAGCTATTACAGGTACGTACGAGACAGATGTTCCAGTTTTTGTACATCCATGAATGACTGTATTGATTGTTCAAACAAAGATATGCGCGGAGCTTCTCTGGAGCCTTTGAAGAATACGTATGTTATGCTGGATCGCAGGGCCTTGGCAATCTCGGTTTAATCCCACTGTATTCTTTCTCAGATTGAAGCCATAGCATTCTTTCATTACTTGGAGCACCAAAAGCTGATCCTCAAGTCTGAAATTGATAAACATTTCGTGGATGATGATGGTCAACCGGTAGGTCTTTGCGATTATAAAAACTGTCAATAATCTCATACCTTCTATATTTTACTGTAGTGGCTAAAAGTACAACAGCAAGATTATGTAAGTAATATACCGCGTTAATTTGTGTTACTCTTTGTAGTAAAGTATAACAAACCAATTCCAAAAGATCCTGGGTCTAGCTGATTTTACGGGCGAGCTGATGCGTATGGCGATCAACAACGTTGCCACTGGAAAGTACGATCAGGCCATGAATATTTGTAAACTTTTACGCGCCTTGAGCTCAGGTACGATGTATATGATACTATGTATTTCTTCCCTGTGGGTCATTGAAAGGGTGTTGTAGATTTTGAGTTGTTATCGGGTACGACTTTTCCTCTTTTAAACAAGAAAATGAACGCACTTCGATCAAGCCTGAATAAAGTGGAACGAGGTGAGTCACACGAAGGTTATATGCGCTCGAGGCCAATTACGAATTCTGCATGATTACACTCTAGCATGTTATACCTATCGAATTCGTGGTAGCGAATATCCACGAGAAATTTACGAAAGCATGATTCGCGATCATCATGCCAGATATGACGAAGAACGGCAGTCGGCCATGGCAATGAATGATGAATGATTTCTAGTTGGTCAATTATTGCATTGTTTTTAAATAAAATAATAATGGATGGAGAATCCTGGTCCGATTAACAACAGGTATTGTAGCATATGAAAATAAGTTCGGAACAGTCCTTGGATAAACTATGGATGATGTGATAAAATTACTGGGGAATCTAATACAACACCTTCTCTTGTGCTTCAGCTTGAACGACCACATTTTCATTAAAAACTGCAGCAGGTGCGGTATCCCACTTTTGGTCGCTGACTTTCTTCAAACGATATTCCTCGTCAATGTCATCGTAATGTCTGAACATGTAATAGTAGAGACAACCACACACAAAGGCACCTGTATCGCACAAAAAAATAAATCAGTCTCTGGAACAGTGAGAAAACATGGTGATGACAATTAAACTTACCGCAAGCGACACCGGCATAGACATAGACCATGTTGGGATCATGAGCAGAGGGTGAAATGGCTAGAGAAATCAATGCAGCGACACAGTTGGGCCACAAAGACAGGGCAGAGACAAGAGATTTCATGGACTTGGGAGCATGAGTGTAAGCGTATTCCATGGAGGTAATGGAAGCAAAGATCTCGGAGAAAGCGATCAAGAAGTAGCATGGAATCTGAAGGAAAACGGATACATTGGAGATCTTTTGTGTTTCAATCCACAAGGGATCCTTGTAGATATAGTACTGAACAACCGCAGCATAGACCATGGATAATGTACCAAAGAAGAAACCAACTAGAATGCAAATCATCGCCGATCAGGATCAATGTATGTTTTTAAAAAAAAAGGCATCATCCATAAGCAGTACTTACGTGTAATACGGCGTTGAGGGAAAAAGTTGATCTTGTACTTGCGCAACAAAGGATATAAGACGGTATCAGTGATGGGGATGAAAATGATCAACGCAATGGGATCAAAGTTGTTCATGATATCGTTGGGAAGTCCTGGAGGACGGTACATGGTACCAGCCTGAGAGAGAAGATTGTTGGAGAGCTGGTTATAGCAAACCCAGTAAATGGACAGGGGCACGAAAATCTTGCACGCCATGAAAGTTTGCTTCAATTCATCGACAAACTGATCATCCCAGCCAACCGTTTCGCTGTCTTGCACTGACCACTCAGCGACGCCATCCACGCCGGGGTCGCGCTTGGCGAAATTCATAACCTCCTTGCAGTTCTTGCGAGCTTCCTTGTTTTCGGGCCGCTTGGCCTGCGAACGGGCAAATTTGATGACTTTCCATGCCTTTAAGATAACGGATTCCGTAGGGCCAGGCTTATAGTAGAAGCGGCTGCCGGCGACGAAGACGCCAATGGAAGCGGCGAACATGCATGTAGGTAACAAGAAGGCGGCCCAGAAATCGACATTCAATTCCAGAAGAGGACAGATCACACCACCCAATAAGGATCCGACGTTAATGGCCCAATAAAACCTACGAGACAGAAACAAGATTATCATTAACGGAGATTCAGGCCCTTGATATTTCCTTTTTCAGCCCAATTTTCCTTATCCCGGTGTTCCATTTTCGCACGACACCGCTCCATTTTTCCCGCGATAATATCACATACCAGTTGTACAACCGTTGGATGCTGAGGTCATAATCGACCATCACCTTTTCCCCGCTCTTCGTTTCCTTGATGTAATTATCGGTTTTTCTGTATTGATCAGCGCAAAGCGTGGACACAATACCCTTGATTCCACCGGTACCGACTGTGGAAAAGAAAGAAAACAAAATCGATTAATACCCAAAAATGGATAAATTTAGAAACAGCCAAAAAAAGAAAATGCAGAAACATTTTAAAGTTCAAGATGAGATACGTACAACCAATCACCACCAAGGCAACAACGTAACCAGGAAAGCCACCGCCATTGGCCAACGAAGCGGGCGTGGAAGTTGCAGTCAGAATCAACCAACCAATCATGTAAACGAACGAGAAGAGAAGAATGGTTTTGTAACGGCCAAGATATTGATCAGCGACAAGAGCACCCAGCATTGGTGTAAAATAACAAAAGAAGGTGAAGAAGTTTTGCAATGCAGTTGCAACCGATTGTCCACGTCCCAAGGCACCGGCAGGATCTTCTCCTGGAGCGTTCTGCAAGTTCAATGGATCAGTCTCTGTCAATGATATTAGGGAATTCATCCAAATTCGTGTGCGTGCGTACCTGAACGTAATTTTGAAATGGTGTAGATCCACCATAATAAGCGAATCGTTCACTGAAGAAGAGGACATTTCGCATATTAGCCAACCTTTCATCAAAGGTGATGAGTCAAATGAACCGTTGATAATGTACCAAAATTCGTTGACGAGAATAAAGCAGGCTGCAAAGGGGATCCCTTCGCCCACACGTCGTAATTGGGATCGTTCTTGATCATCCAAGTAATCGAATTCGCTTTCCGATACCACTTGGATATCGCCGATGGCTTCGAGCTCTTTCTCTTTCTCAGTCATGTTGGAGTCCTGCTCCTAAATAATATAGGCAACCAAAAAACGAAAATGTAATTGACAGAAAAAAATTGTAACTGTCATTATATACAAAAAAAAAAAATCTGATCTTAAACTTTGAGACAAGAATATCACACGTGTTTTTTTTATTATCCAAAAGAGGTATTTTTTTCGAGATCTTGTGTCTCAAGAGGCCAGCATTGTTTCCTTTTGCTTCGTCTTGTTGGCCGTGGCTGTAGAAAAGAGGAAATTAAAAACTTTTTGATTCGTCACCTATTTCATATTCCGACGTTTTCGACCCTACCTGGAACATGGGTTGGCACTTCCGGCAGAGATACGCTTGTCGGTTTTGACACAACCGGGTTTTGAGGAACCTGCGGCAGCTCTGCTTCCAACTGTAAAGGAGAAGACAATAAAAAAAAAGATGAGCGGTTGATACGTTTGGTAGAGTGCGTGGGATATGTACCTCCTCCTTTTGCAGTGTTTCCAGTTCAGCCAAAATCTCTTCCTCATCTTCCGCTGTAATCTTATCGCTGAGTAACTCGTCGATTTCCTTTTGAAGAAAACGGGAAAAAAAAGACAAGATAGAACTTGTTATTGTCCTCATCGTACAAGCCGATCTTCGATCCAAACTCCTTACATTTTGGTATGCAATGGCGTCCGCAGTATCGTCCATGATACGCTCCACGTCCTCGACAGACATTTCTTTATGAATTTCCTTCAATACATCGTTGCCATGCTTTAATCCTTCCAGGACCTGCTTCTCAACCAAAGCATATTCTATTGATTGCGTCTACGGTATAATAAGTATGAGTCTTGCTGTTGCCGATATCCCACCAGTCATCTATTCGCAACCAACAGCGTACCATTCCTTCCAAAGTCATGAGTTGCTCTTCCGTTTTTTCCAGCAGCTGCTCTTGATACTTTTTTTTCTTGAGGGCTAGTAATGCTTTTCTTTTATCGCCTTGACTTAACGCTCGTCTTGCAAGCTCCAATTCTTTGTCCACGACGACATTGATCTGCCCCAAGCAACGACCATCGTTAATTTCTTGAATGCTTTGAACATACCCTCCATTTTGTACCTTTTTTTGATATTGTTTGAGTTTATCCCGTTGGACCTTGAGGTCCAGTATTGCTTTATCCTGAGACGTTATCTTCTGCTTTGACGAACCAGCACCCATGAATGATTTACTTGCTTTGAGGAATCCAGCACTGCTTCATTCATCGAAACTATGCTGTGTTCAAATATTTCCGCTGAATTGGAATTCCGCAACCGTTCCCAGCTGCTCGAACGATCGTTCCTATAACCGCACATGATCCTAAAGAAATGGCTTGTTACTATACCCTGCTTTACCAATAAATATATCAAATACTCTTATAAATAGTTTTATTACTGAATACTGAATGCTCTTGCTTTAGGGTACCAGTTTGGAGTTATACAGATAAAACTACAAACGTTGGCGGCATATGCAGATAAAGTTGTAAAGCAACGGTGACCCACACTGGGTTGTATGGATGAGAAAAAAATTCGCCATCCTAAAATTCCTTCTTCTTTTCATCGATGGAATATCCTCCAGGACCCACGCTTACGAGCAACAAAAATCCGCCCACGGTGGACAGAGTTTGGAAAAAGTCGTACTTGACATAGTCTCTCTGGAAATAACTGTGGTTGACCGACCAAAAGTTGTTGATCACGACGTTGAAGATGGAGAGGAAAAGAACGAGGAACATGGCGGACCATTTTGCCTTGAATCCCACCGCCACCATGATACAAGCAATCAATCCAAGCGCAGACACCAAGATTCGCGTAAACGACCAGTCACCGTGAAACGCAGAGCCAATAAAGAGGAAAATCAGTAGGATTCGACCACCCAACTGAAGGTACATGCGTCGATCATTCTCCGAAATCTGTGGAAGAGCTGCAAACATTTGCTTTCTTCGCACCAGCGAATCAGAAAGCACCATCACCAGACCTCCCATGACTGACAAATTGCGTAGGAAAAACGACATGTCGAATATCAAGCCATAGCCCAACGCCTGAGCAACCACCACACCTAATAAACCATACACAGCGTACTCTTGGTGTCGTTTCATAATAACAAGGCTTGATCCTACCAGCATCACCTAACCCCATGGAACCGTCAGCATTGTCGGAAACAAAAAAAACAAAAAAAAGATATATTGATGAGCAGTGACAGATATCACTGGCTATCGCGTTGTAAAACTCACCAACACATTAGCAAGCAGAAATAGATGGCTCAGACCCGTTGGAAAGTGACGCTGCTTTTGCATGTAATCCACTTGCTCAGACCATTGCATAATAATGCGTAGGGAATCTTCCAGAAACGTGGCGACAATCAGGAACCGCGCAATGGCAGGTATATAAGGTTTCAAAGGCTGTCCCACTTTGTCGACAATATCCTCCGCTTTGGAAGTGAATGTTTCCAGTTGTTTTTTGAAATCGGACATGGCGATGATGATATAAGTTAGAGTAATAAGAAGGAGAGCAAACAACCGTGATACTGTACAACTGGTGTCTGTCGCCAACTTTTTTGAGACGCCCAAAATTGAGAAATTCGATGACGTTGAGCTCCATGCGGTGTTTGAAATAAGCTCAGATCGCCTTAATGGCACGCCAGATTATTTTTATACGCGAATGATATTGTCAGGCACCCGCATGGAGTTCACATTGACATGGAGCCTGTATTCAAACGATTCCAATTTTCGTTAAATGAAGTTACATATCCGCATTGGCATGTTTTATGTTGACGCTCTAACGAACCACAATTTTTCATACGACCCGCTATCACAGTACTTCGCATCACAGTGAGGAGCCAGTTGCCGTTATAATTTTTGCTATATGCTGCCCGAAAAGAGAAAATAATAAAGCTATACCATCGATCCCACAGCATCTATGCTAATGCAGCTTTCAACCATTAATACTCAGAAAACAAATGGGGCACCCAAAATTGACTTCTTTTTCTTCTGGTATGTTGCTATCAGACATACAAATTGTGGCGCGGCCCAATTAGCACTTGAGAACGCGTATCTTTCCCTCATGTTCACTTGACGACCAGCAAACTTTCCCATGAAAGCCACTTGGTTGGTCACTATCTCGCCCGCTTGCTCTGTTAGCCGCATGTAATGATGACAAATCGAACAGAGTATGCTCCGTATGTAATGATGGATGTTCCTTTGTTGTTTGGACTAGCGACACTAATGAAAAAAGCATTAAAATGCGATGTGGCAACATGGTCTTTCCGCGGGTATCGGTACAAATAGGGAATTTCCGTGGAATTTAAGCCGATCACAACGAACGGATATTGGACACTTGCTGTCTTGGCAGCCGCTAAGCGAATGCTGAATGTTTTTTGGTCTCATTTTGACAGCGATCTGTTGGTCAAGGCGGTGCTCCAAATGGGCCGCCTATCGAGTCGAAATGACGTCAATTAACCTTTATAGGAAGGAAAAAATGACATTATTATGCAAATCGCTATGTTTCATTTGATTTTCATGCTCGAGATTCCCACCGTGGAATTTTTTTATATTTTTTTTACTGTATAAAAAGCAGGGTAGGTTGCCAAGAAAGACTAAAAAGTCAACAATCATGCTTCGTTCTATTCCATTCGTACGCAATTTTACCGCTCGCCGTGCTTTTTCTTCCAGTGCCGTATCGACAGCACAAAAGCAACCTCGACAATCACCCTCTTCAACACATCCTCAACAAGCTTACGACGATGACGGTCAATGGGAAGAGGGTCGGAAAGTCGTAGAAAACACCTATGCAACCGTTGAGAGCGATGTCCATGTAACCAACAACAGCAAAGCCGAGGAAATCATACGAGACATGGAGAAAAAGGATGCAAAGGATTTCAACCCAACCATCAATGCTGTATTTGATGAATAATGAAACAGGGAAAGATACACTTTTTTCATTCATCTGTATAACCCCAAAGACAGTTGTAAACACATGTAGATAATCTCACACTAAAACTGTCACTGTAAGCAATAAATAAGCTCCGCTTTGGTTAATTGCCATTAAAAAAAAAGGATTTCATCGTCGAAGCAACCATCTCCACTGAAGACTGACTTCATGAGTTGCGTTCTTGTCACACAAACATAGTATACAGGATATAGCATAAGCGCATATCCCTGGCAAAACCGTATATAGTGTCAACAGAACGACAGTGTTCAAAATTCCCATGATTTTCCATCTACAAGAACCATGACGAGCATCGACAGTAAAGCTGTATATCGGCCATTGACAATGATGTCAATAAGGGACAGTTGCATGCGATGAATGTGGAAAGCTAATGAAAGCCAAATCGTTTTTCAATTATAAGATCGGTTACCACGCAGAAGTTATATTTGTCGGTAAGCCGTCTGGTAAAGGCTCTTTGTCTGGGTCATAAACTCAAGTCGCTATTACGTGAATCTGCAAACGACGCGCAGGAAGACTTTTCTTGCTCGTTTACGTCAGAACCGAACTCGCATGGTTTGTTAATGTATATGACTACACAACATAAACATGCGCTGGTACTGCAAACCGTATTTGATTCAGGTGATACAGACAATCCCAATCTTTCCGATAACGCTCAACAACGTACTAACTCTTACTTAAACAAAAACTACGACGCACACAATAATAAATACAGAGTGTCTTTGTGTGACGAAATCAATAATCAGAAGGAACACGTCCCTTAGAAAATGGCTTCTTCACTCTTCGTCTTCGGATCCGCTATTCTTAGATACAATGTTGGCCAAGCACATACTTCCAAAGTCCCGTGGCTGATACGGCACATCTCACGCCAGAATGTCAAGAATGACATATAACAAAGCTGACCAACAAACACAGAAGAATAAAATTTGATTTGCTCCAGTGGGTCACTGAACGCTGGAAAATGTAATTGACGTGACGATGACAAAGAAGAAAACAGTATTCTCATTTTGACTCACGACGATATCAATGTTACTGTCTGCCAAATCAACGAAAAAAATATGGTATAGTCCGCCAACCGGGTCCAAGCTGTCAACTGATTCACCAACTGTTGCGTTCGGGATGGTGATGCATTATACAATATATCAAACTAAGCAGGTGCATTTCATACGCACTTGATATATTGAACATTAAATTGGCTCTTTTATTTTTCTTAAACAGCAAATCCTCGATGACCTTGGCAACCACGACTCATCTGGAAATGACTCGCGACCTTGTCTCTTTGCTAGACAAATATTGGTTACAGAATCGTTAACTCCACTATGGTTTGTCGCAATTGTTGGCTGAAGCCACCTTGGTGCAGATAGTGCGTTGCTTCTTCTCAACGATCACCAATTCTGTCAATCGATCTCTTCAATTTTGCTATCCCACTCCAAATACTGCAGTAAATTTGCCAACTATACGATCAGCGCTATAGAAAAAACAGGATCACGCAAAAAAATACATTTATGCAAAACCATGTTGGACGATGGTCCCATTTACGCTTTGCGGCTGTTCGGGCTTGGGCGGTTCAGTGGTTTGCTCTAACCTTTCGAATTGACTCTGACGTGTAAATGCAAACAGAACATTTTTTTTGACTAAACACTCAACAGCAATAAATACAATTTATCATTGTATCAACTTGAGCTTCTCGTTATTGCCTTGCTACAATTTGACAATCTCATTGAGCCATATACTCATGTTAAATGACCTACCAAAGATGGATCATCTAAATCATGCAAACTAAGCTTTAGATCGGATGTCATAATCGGAAAACCGGACACTTGAAATTTCGTGAATTAAGCATCGACGTAAAATTATTGCAAATAAAAAGCATTGGATTGGTCGAGTATACGCATAGAACTTGTAGGTTGTAAGTAGATTTCAGATAGTTAATCAAGTTAATCATCTATAGTAAATAACACAGGTTCTTTGATTCGAATAAAATGAACCAGCTATCTTCTGTATCGTAAACATATACAGTTTTTTTTTCTTATTGTAGTTCTTTTTCCGATCTATTCTTTTGGATCCCATTATTCTCGTTCACAGAAACTGTCAAATTTCCTTCATTAATCATTCCAGAAGCATCTGATATATTTCCAAACCAAGCGTTCCTATTCCTGTTACATTCATGTTTCCAGACAGGGTAATATTGTGTCTTTTCTGTTATCCTTCAGAACATTGGTTTTGATAATAAAACGAAAAAAAAAGGAATGGTTAAACTGAGTTTCTCGGAAAGTATTAAAAAAGATACATTAATAAAACCATGATAGTATAGACATATCCAGTGCGTATTTTTTAACTGTCAACAGCTTATATCTATGGTAACCTATGCTGATAATGTAGTAAAATACGAGCCTGTAGTGAAAAATTGACAGCCAACAGAGCAAATTTATAGCGGACATTCAATTTTTAAAATTCTCATTTATTTTTATCGACAATTTATTTTCATAGAAGCATTTATTTCTCTATGCCAAAAACATATTGTCTACTGGATTAAGTATATCACCTACTGATAAATTAGGAGCGTCATTTTCTTATGCAAAATCTCAAAGTTTTCGGCTTTTTGAATTCTGTGATCAAATACATTATGAAAAAATTTTCATGTGAAGTGTGGTGGGAGAGTGGTAACCAAATTGATGCAAGAGTAACCCAAAGAAAGAATATTCAGAACAGAGAAGATTAGCTTCAGAACTTCCATGGTTCTTCCTCCGAATACTAACTTCTTGTTACTGTAAATCCGAATAGGGTGATAGCCGACTGTAAAAACTATCAGACTATTCCAAAGAGACTTCCAAAAATGTAGGCGCTAGTCCAAAGTGTATCTTCGAAAAGATGTATTCCCAGAATAAGAGATCAAAAGACAAAAGCTTTAGGATATAGATACAGAAATTTCTAAAAGACATTTAAATACTTTCACCGTACTATAGTTTCTTACTAAGGGATTACATAATATGTAAGAACAATAGAAATAATCATGGTTTGAGTCATCGTCAGAACGCGTAATGATCATAAGATAATTTCAGATCGTTAAACGAACTTCACGAAAAATCGAACGGGACTTCCAATTCACACTCCGCTTCTGAAAAAGAAGGAACCGACAAATCGATCGATATTTCATCGCCCAAACATCATAGCACCACGGGAGAAACACCAAAAGAAAGGGAAAAGACCAACGAATTCAGGCAACCACAGAAATTAACCAGAACAAGGGAAATCCGAAAAAGGCAGTCGGCCGAGGCTTGCACAACTTTGGTTTTCACAAATACCCCCCTCAAGCCGAGGCCATATGCGGGTTCCTTTGGGATATCCAGGCTTTGAACCGTTTGTAGGCGGGCTGGACCTCTGGTACCATTCTTGTAGACTCGTGGTAGGGCACCAAAACGTCACCGTTTACTGCACCCTTCAACCGTTGCTGATTCCTTGCACCTTCCAAATGATATGTACCACTGTGAGCATTCACCTTCACCACCACAAATGGACCGATCCACTTGTCACTGAACTTGGTTCGAGGCGTCATATCCTTCATAAGAACGAGATCACCAATCTGGAATGGAGCTCTTGGGTAAACCGTTTGGTCATAGTACTTCTTCGCCACCAATTTTCTTGCGTCGGACCTTTGTCGTGCTTCCTCTCGTATTCGTTTCAAATCTTCATGAATGAACTCAATCCGCTTGGCCACGTCTTCTTCGTAGTCACCCTCGACATACCCATGTATTGGCGCCGACCAAGTCGCAGGAGTCTTCATCTTATACCCGAATAGAAGGAACGCAGGAATCTGTCCAGTCGCCTCGTTTTTCAACGTCCTTAGAGAGAGAAGTGTCTTGTCCAAGTAACGATCCCATTGATAAACGTCGTCCTTGTCGCGAGCCAATTTTGCCAAAGTGAACGCCAGTGTCTGATTCAGTCTTTCACACAATCCATTCGTTTGCGGGCGATATGCAGTTGTGGGGACATTTCGGCAACCAATAGCCTTCAGAAAAGATACCGTATATTCAGAGACAAAATTTGAGCCGCGGTCAGTTAAGAGATACTTCGGGACACCATAGGGAACAACCAATTCAGAGTACAGAAAATCCACCGTAGTTTTTTCAGTAATATCCTTTACTGCCTTCGCGATAGGCCATCTCGTCAAATGATCAATGGCAGTAAGGATATACTTGTTTCCTTGTTCAGTAACTTCCAAGGGGCCAATGGCATCGCAGCCAACCAGAGTGAAAGGCATCTCCGGGGTTTCCATCAATCGCATGAGGTTCGATCGGGCGATTCTTCTTCGTGCGCGGAATTGACAAGTCGTGCACTCCTTGACCAGTAAACGAGCCTTCGCTTGAACATTGTCACAAACAAAACTCTCTTGAATCCTCTCAGCCAACTTCCGGGGACCAAAATGACCTTCCGCATGGAGCTGCTCCAGGATAGACCGTTCGTTCCCCTCGTGCAAGACTTCGCGCGCCGAACCTTTTTCCACCAAACGATCCAAATGGATTTCGAACCTGTTCGCATGTCTTCGTATCCTTTGCTTCGTAACCCGGTCACAATCCAGAGGGTAAGCACCACCTTCCAGGTACTGGTAGAGAGCCAAAAACCAAGGAAACTTCATTTCTCACCATGAATTGAGATGAGATAAACCAAAGGGAGACAGACGTGCGAACCAAAAAGTAAAAATCAGAGTAAAAGCCGGTAACCAAAAATAAACCATGAATAGAATAAATTTATTCTCTCCATGTCAGCAAGGTGACATAATAAGAAACAATGAAGAACGAAAGTTCTTCGATCGCTAATCTCGAACCAACCGGGAAAGGGAGTCAGCAGGATTGGATTTTCCCTTCACGTACTGGATTTCGAAATCGAATTCCATGAGACAAGCGGCCCATCTCGCCAACTTCGAGGTCTGCTTGGTCGGATTGTTGATGTAAACCAGGGCGGCATGGTCAGTTCGCAGAATGAATCTTCGTCCCAAGAGGTAATGGCGGAAATGTTGAACGGCCCAAATCAAGGCAAGAGCTTCCAAATGAGTAATGGAATAATTATGTTCCGGACCACGCACCGTTCGGGAGGCATAAGCGATCACCCTTTCCTCGGAGTCAGTACCATCCTTGGATTGGGAAAGGATCGCACCGAGACCTTTGGTAGAAGCGTCCGTCGTAAGGATCTGTACCTTCTGTCTATCCGGATAGCACAAAACCGGGGGATTCACTAGGGCAGTCTTCAGATTTTCATACGCACGGGCTTGTTCTTCGTCCCATCGAAATTCCACGGTCTTCCGCAAGAGCCTTGTCAACGGTTGAACCAGGGTAGCATAATCTTTGATAAACCTTCTGTAATAACCGGCAATACCAAGGAATGACCGGATATCATCACCATCTTGAGGGGCTGCGAACTTCATCACCTTCTCGACATTATAGTCGCTGGGGAGCAATCCATCGGCGGTCACCACATGTCCTAAGTACTCCACCTTGTCTTGCGCAAAATGACACTTCTTTCGTTTCAGTTTCAGATTGGCTTTTTGGCACTTTTCGAACTCCAGTTCCAAATGATGGGCATGTTCCTCTAGAGATCGGGAGTACAGAATAATATCGTCAATAAAGACGTACACAAATTTACCAATATAATCTTGAAGCAACACGGTCATCATTCTTTGGAACGTAGAAGGGGCCGAAGTCAAACCAAACGGCATCACCGTAAATTCATATGTGCCGAACTTCGTCACAAAACCAGTCTTCTCAATGTCTTGACTTGCCATGGGTACCTGCCAGTAACCACTGGCCGCGTCCAGAGTCGAGAACACGCTCGCACCACCAAAAGAGTCCAGGAGTTCGTCAATTAACGGCAACGGAAAGGCATCCTTGATCGTAGCTTGATTCAGGCGTCGGTAGTCAATAACCATGCGTAATTCGCCACCCTTTTTCTTAACGAAAAATACGGGCGAAGTCCACTTTCCAGCGGAAGGACGGATGAGCCCCAACTCGATCATCTCTTGCAACTCCTTCTTCAGATGGTCTTCTTCTTTCCAGGTTAAACGGAAGGGCTTGGAACGAATCGGATGAACACTGTGGAGTGGAATTTCATGTTCCAAAACCTGGACTTTTCCTAGACCACTGGTCTCGACGAAACAACTATCATACGTGCGCACCACAGAGCCAATAGCCGGAGGCAACTCGGTCTTCTCACCTTCTTGCTGGTCTTGGTCGGAAACACCTTCTTGTTCGGTCACATCGTTCAGGTAAGGAACCAGTCGATCCTCGAGGTCGTTTTCCACATTGAAAACATCAGATGACGTCGGGCACACGGACAAGGCATAGGCTTCAACTTCATCGTTGTTTCTTGCTGCACCAGAATATTCCGTACGGCACCGTAGGATCACCACACCCTTCTTGCAAGGTATTCTCAAGGTATTATCTTGCAACGAAATTTCAATACCATGAGCATGGAACCAAGGGATACCAAGCAGGCAAAGGTTCTTCTTTCCTTTGGTCGTTTGAACACACATATGTTCAGGTCGTATCTTGCCAGCAACGCAAATGGGCACATCGGTCGTGATATCGCTGGGGTCCTTGTTACCAATGTTAAAACCAGACAAATGCATCTGATCACCATTCGTGGCCAAACCAAGTCGGTCGCTCAAATCCTTGCCGATGACGCTCACACTTGCACCAGTATCGAACACCGCTTCGACTTCATGACCATTGATGGAAATTTTTCCCTTGAGAGGAGACCCAACACGCATCTTGGAAAGATCATAAGGGTACGTCATATCGTTCGTATCGACGGAATCGGTATCACTTTCCCACTCCATGTCTTTCTCCCATTCCAACACATCAGATTCAGTTTCACTGCTGGCCTGGGAACCAAGATCGAGACTGTCTTCGGAATCAGAGAGCACTTCCAAATTGTTCACTTGCATGGAATTTTCCTTGGCTGGTTTTCTTCGCCGCCAATAACGTATACCCGCGGCAATATCGTTTCCAGCCTGTCGTTCCAGATATAGCCAGTCCGCCATGGTTAATCCAGCGTCGGTGTGTTGCAATTTATCCCAGATCTTCTTTGGAATAAGATCGATTTCCAACGTTCTCGGGGGATTTCGCGATTTTCTGGGCTGAACGGCGGTCTTACTTGTCTTGACAACTGTCTTGCTCGGTTCTTGATCTTCCACGCGTCGGCGTTTCTCAGCGGACAAAATGTCAACCGAAGGAACGGCCTCCACCAAATAAGCACCAGACTTCGCACCACCAGTTCCACCACCGGGCTTCAACGAGGATTTTTCTTGATACGGAGCACCAGTAACCTCGTTACTTACTGGCGCTCCAAGTCTTTTCCCGAATTTTGCGCGTTTTCATTGGAAGGAAAGTTCGTTCCGTTGGCCTGATATGATTTCCTCTGCGGACACTCAAACTTCTTATGTCCCGGCTGATTACAATGGAAACACACCAGTCTTCGATTACCATCGGAGCGGTTCGAAGCGAGACTTGCCTTGAGGTTGCGAATTTCCTTCATGAGATCTTGCATGGAAAGTTCTTGATTCTCACCTTCCGGAGTAACCGTGCGGGGCTTGACACCGATACCAAGATGTTGGCCGCGTTCCACCGCAAAAACCTCGGGATTTCGCTGAACATGGTAGCGATAATTGGAACTTTCGATGCGCTTGGCAGCATCCACCACGTCTTGATACACCTCAAGGGGAATCGGGCTGCTTTCAATCTTGTAGGCAATATCCGCATCGATAGCCTCCAAAAAGTACTTGATCATTACCCTTGTATTGGTAATTTCGCAAAGGTCAAATAGTTCAACGAGACGCAACGAGGTAGTCTCTACCGATTGTTTGGGATGTTTGCCGCTGCACATATCGTAAAGCTGATTGTGCCAATGGTCTTCCAATTCGTGAGCATACTTCTGCTTAAACATCTCCACGAATTCTTCCCAATGCGCAACACGGTAGCACTTCGATTCAAACCAACGTTCAGCGTCACCAACCAAATGATCCGCCGCGATAATTAGAGTTTCTTCATCAGACAAACCAGCCATGGAGCGAATTCTCTCGATCTTGCGGACCCAATGAAAAGGATTAATTCCCTCCTTGCCGGTCGTAGCACCAGAAAAATTTGGCAACACATTCATGAACTTCATAATCGACGGCTTAGGTTCCTTCACAACCGGAACCCAACTACCTTCATGTCGCTCTTGAGAACCTGCGACAGACGAGCCTGAATTTCTTGACATTTTAATAAACTTGCACAATTGGTTGACACCAGAATAAACGATGTAGAGAACCACGACACTTGTAACGTAGATGACACAGATATCTGGCAAGCCGGACCATGATGTGAAGTGTGGTGGGAGAGTGGTAACCAAATTGATGCAAGAGTAACCCAAAGAAAGAATATTCAGAACAGAGAAGATTAGCTTCAGAACTTCCATGGTTCTTCCTCCGAATACTAACTTCTTGTTACTGTAAATCCGAATAGGGTGATAGCCGACTGTAAAAACTATCAGACTATTCCAAAGAGACTTCCAAAAATGTAGGCGCTAGTCCAAAGTGTATCTTCGAAAAGATGTATTCCCAGAATAAGAGATCAAAAGACAAAAGCTTTAGGATATAGATACAGAAATTTCTAAAAGACATTTAAATACTTTCACCGTACTATAGTTTCTTACTAAGGGATTACATAATATGTAAGAACAATAGAAATAATCATGGTTTGAGTCATCGTCAGAACGCGTAATGATCATAAGATAATTTCAGATCGTTAAACGAACTTCACGAAAAATCGAACGGGACTTCCAATTCACACTCCGCTTCTGAAAAAGAAGGAACCGACAAATCGATCGATATTTCATCGCCCAAACATCATAGCACCACGGGAGAAACACCAAAAGAAAGGGAAAAGACCAACGAATTCAGGCAACCACAGAAATTAACCAGAACAAGGGAAATCCGAAAAAGGCAGTCGGCCGAGGCTTACACAACTTTGGTTTTCACATTCATATGAGGGGGGTTAGCACAAGTGGTAGTGCGTCAGATTCCAGATCTGAAGGTTGGGCGTTCGAGTCGCTCACTCCTCATGTTTTTTTATTTTGTTTTTTATTTTGTTTTTTATTTTGTTTTTTGTCTTTTGTCGTACTTCACTCGGATCTGATATACCGGCAAGATCACCAGAGTGGGAAACAAGAGGATTAGGGATAGGAAAGATAACGCTTTATTTTTGTCAATTATAAGGAGATATTTATATGTGCTTATTCGGTCTATGTTCTTAAAGAGGATACTGGCTGAGCGGCTAAAACTTTGATAAAAGGATGGTTGTACTTAGCAAGATGCTAAGCTGATTACCATTTTCGGACGTTATCCGCTTCAGCCACGACACTTTTTTTTATATTGACTATCGTTTTCCATTTTTTCGTGGATCTATTCCGTATACCAATTCCACAGAAAATAAAGTATCGTAAAAAGTAAAAAGAAACTTTTTTTTTTATTGAAAGTGAATGAACACATTTCCACTGCGGACTATTGCTCGCCCTGGATCGAAAAAGAACACGAGGTAATATAGAGGGTGAGGAGCGCATAGGATGAGAATATATACAGTACTTTTTATTGGAATTGATCAGAGGAAAATTATATGTTTTGGTCATTGTATGATGGTTTCCCCAAGCAGGGTTTGGTGGGGTGTTATAATTTCGGGCTAAAGGCTCAGCTTGTTTGCTAGGTCCATCGATTGGCGGTTCAAACCATTATTTCGATGGTCTTTCTTTTTCCTCAAAAATAATCTCTATTAGTCGATCAACATTCTCCAAGATATTGGCATTTATAGAGGTCAGTGCGAGCTAACAAATGACTTGTTATGCCGGAATAGCATAGAACCGAATTTGTCTTGTGATAAGGCCTGCTGGGTACTGTCTTGGTCGCAGAGAGTCCAAATAGATGCGGGCTGGTATTTCAAGTTCGAGGCCAACTCAGATGAGGAGCGACGCATGGCAAAAGTTGAGAGGCAATCCAAGTTTGAGCGGACTTGACGAAACATATAGATCGATCATGATTTACGATCGATTCAAAGAAATATCACAAAGTATATTGTACCAGTCCAAGACATATCTTGGTATGAGAGCTGGTATAAAAATGATCCGTCGCTGGTGTGTTTGTCCAGGCGCATCGACGCCGTGACCAAAGAATTGAACGCTCGCATTCCCACGACCATTTTTTTTTGCCATCTGATACTGACACGTAACCCATATGTTCATGCGGCCCAGGGATCACGCCAAAGACGTTCCCATTCTCCGGCTTGAACCGTTGCGACCGCGGGAGGTTGTTAGTTGCAAGATAAATAGCATCAACAGAATGCATGCGACCTATATCAAATCATGTAAGTTAATGAACATCAACCAAATCTAGCCTACCAGCTTGTAGGTTACCTGTGTCGAGTTCTTGAAACCAGTACCAGTCGACGTTCAACATCAGCAGGAAGGATCGCTCGCCATTCAGAAAACTGTTATTTTCGAGGTCTCTGACTTGAAGCACATACGGCCATCGTACACGTCATAGAGCACGTCGCTATCCCCTCTGTGAATCCTCCACTCGTTGATCGCTTGTTGAAGCCGTCGCGCGCAAACATCATCGCTTGTGCCGTTTTAATCGAGTGTAGGCATACTCTTTAGTGGGAACAGCCTTGTTTCCTGAGGCGAGTTTGAATCGTGAGTTTGAATAATCGGCTATTGCAAGAAGGACGTTGCAAAAAGTCGCGATATTGGCACAACATTTCATTAACGGGACCAGCAAATTCTTCGACACTGATTCATGCGCGTAGTATAGTGGCAAGACGGGCAATCGACAAACTTGATAACTCTTTGGCCTTCCCATCGACGTGTTGATGTGATTATGAAGTGTAGATACCTTTGCGGGAAGCCAAAAAGGAGCGTCACAGTAATCGAGCACTGCGTTCAGGAAAAGGAAGAGCAGTTCCATCGCCGATTTGGAAGTGTATCGCAGCTGAAAATACACGAGAATAGTGTGATAAAATGGCTGCCCTGCAGATGCAGTTGCTTCACCGTCCTCTTGCCAAAGGACTTTGTGACAAAGATATCGTCGTCCGAGTCGGATGACAGAGAATTGTCAACATTGGCATGCTCGTTCTCGGAATCGACGCCTTGTTCTTCATCGTCAAGAACAAGCTCTCCGAAAACAGCAACATCAGAGTCAAAAGATACGTTTTTCGTGATAACGACGTTGTCTAAGTCGTACTCGCATGTCAAAGTCATTGTTTGTCGCTGGTTCAGGAACCTTTATTATTGTTGACGAGGTAAATTAAAGTAAACTACTGTATCTTTTGTGGCATCAATATCTTTTTACCTTTGATTGGCAAGCAGGAGAAATGCCTCTGTCTCGAGATGTTCGCGTATATACTGTGCGAGATTCTCCGACCGGCGATAAGAACAGTATAATTCCGTTTGGCAGTGGTAAGGAGCGTATTCATTAGCAGCTGAGAGCGGCCCCTTCTTTGTTGACGGGCGATAAACAAGTGAAAAAACTTGCAAGTTTGAGGGGGAGAAAAAAAGTTGAAGAAGCCTTATTTTGGGGGATTTCGGGGTTGCCTTTTTTTTATTTCATGCTGAATAAAACACCGAAAGAGAGTGTCAGCACCACTTTGACAAGTACATCAGCGTATAAGGAGTCGCATAAAAAGAAACAAGACATATTACAAAAGCGAGAAAAATACACGGTCAAATATCCAATTGCCATGTTCTCATCAGGCACACCAATAAACGTAGAAAACAGGTGAGCGGTCAGTAAATCGCCGGTAAAGAAATTTTTGGCTGAACTTGCCGGCAATAGCGGCAAATTTCGCCAACGTTTGTATTACGGTTCATTCCGGTATTTTTCACGCACGTATGGGGTGGGTGTTCTTTTTGTGTGATTTATAATTCTAAGATACCGATTCAGAAAACGGAAACTAATCCAACTATACCATTCTTGCATCATGGCTCTAGCCAAATGGATCGACGGAGACAGAGTCCAGCAAATTACCACTGGCGCTTTTGAGTCCACGGAAATGGAGTATGACACCGACATTGGCTGGCAGTGGTTGCAAAAGAATGACGACCGTATCCAGGGTGGTGTCAGCGTTACCAAGCTATGCCTCGGTGCAGTGAAATGCACCAATAAAAATGCGGCAAAGTTGTCCGACGCGCATGGAGAAGCAGTTGTCGCAAAAGTGCATGTTCTGTAAAAAGGCGTTGATTCATACTCCGTGCGATGTGAAATTGAAATTCAAGCTCACTGGTTACGGTGGCAAACTTACCCATAAAGACCACCACACTCACGGTGCGTTTGTACCTTCGCATTATTTCTTCCGAGATGCTGAAGTCTTTTCGAAAGACCGGCTTTGGAGGACGAAAAAACGGACTTCGCAAGAGATTTTATGATCGGCAGCAGTGCGGTTCGTCCCGAGTATCCGGCGCGTCCTGTCCGAGATATTGACGAAAACTTGCACCGTCTCGGCAAGATTAAGCGTCTGAGACGTACTGCACTATTAAAAAACGGAAAACTCGGTTGCAATCAGGGACTGAATCGAGCTACGACGCATTGAAGCGCCTTACAGAAGACTTTCCCGGATTCCTCCCCTCGGTGGATATGATGCCGCGCAAATCTCTCAGCCAATCCAATGCTCACCGATGTTTCATACGGCTGCTTCGCAGATGGATTTTACCTCTGTACGACCTACATGTTTTTTGAGACCTGAACAAGTAGGCCGTCATATTTCAGGCAGTGTTGCATTGACTCTCCACCAGTCATTTCAAGCCTTAACTTCCTCGCCTTTTTCCGTACCTTTGACTTCGTTCTTGGAGAAGGCGATTTTGAATTGGAGAAGAGTTCTGCCTTAGTGATGGATTTTTTGCAGGCTCAGAGAAGTGGATCCGTTGCAGCATTCCAAGAGACGTTTTCGCAAAGCAAGCTCGAGGCGCAAAGCCTGCTAAAGGTCTGTTATTACCATTGGTGTCAGTCAGTCCAAAGGGTGGCCAGCAACCACGCGGTCGTTCCTCCTGGAAGTCAGATAGACTTTGAAGATCTCGCCGATCTGATGTATCATGCCAAAGGCGAGGCGGGGAGGCGGCGTACAGTCGAGCGGTCCGCCAGATCAAAGCAGACTTTCCTGATGCTAAACGCTGGCTGAAATGATGGACTCACGATGAAACTGCGGCGATGATCTTCCGTTCTCAGGGCCATCTGCTGGATCGCTTGAAAAACCACAGAGTACGCACGACCAATGGCGTGGAAGCATCCCATCGGTGTCTTTACCGGGTTATCGAGAGAAAGAAGCCCATCTTCGAGACCTTACAGCAAATATTTACGTACTTGACGAGCGTCGAAATGCGACTTCAAGCGTATCGATAAAGGCGCTACAATTGATTATAGAAGAACGCCAAGGTAAGTCTTATTATTAAATGTTATGGCATCGTGTAAGTTGGATTTGATGTTCTATTCCAATCTCATAGCAAGCCAAGAAGAAAAACGAATTCGTCAACGACGGTCGTGCACCTGATACAACAGAACTTTTACTCGGTAAGCATTTCATGTTCATAATTATTGGTGCCTATTTCGTCGCATAAACGTGTATATAGGCCATACCAGCGAAAGCGATCATCCAACTGACACGAATGATGATGAAATCCGCGAAGGAGTTTGTGGCGCCGATTTGACAAGCGAAGATGATGTGGACAATGAAGAAAGCAAAGACAGTGAGCATAATTTTTGCAAAGACAAGAAGAACGAAAACTTCAAAGCAGTGAAAGACGACAGAAACTTGCAGAAAAGCTTGAACAACAACATGCAACGCACAAACAGCAGAGAAAAAGAGAAGCTTTAGACCGCAATAAGAAGCGCGAAATAGATGTTGATGAGTCTTCATCCCGGTAAGGCAAAACGGATAGTGCACGATACAGGTGTATATAGACACTTTTTGTTTTGGCTATTTGTAATTATAGAAAGAAGCAGTCTATCAGACATCCTAGACTTTGAACTCCTTCTGAAGATGAACTGGAAAGAATGGGTCTTGGCTCGCACGATGTTTGTGGTTTGTATAAGCCGGAAGCAGATGGTAACTTTGGATGGCGAGCTGCTTCATATGTGATTCAGGGAACAGAGGAGGATTGGCCCAAGGTCAAAACTTGTATGAAAGAGATTTTATTTTTCTGATAAACCTTTCTGGTCTGAGGAGATATCTTGCCACAGCCTTTAGCAGAACTAGTGTTTTTCTTGTGTATTTGTACCCCTCTTATTGTAATTGTATTTATTGGGTTACAGTCTTACCGACGGATATTTGCCATATTTCTATCGTAAATTGTTTACCTTGGAGATAACATCCCCGTTTACACATATCATGGGGCCTCTCCCCTTTGATTGACTGGTAGATAATTATCTGCTCATTTTATCTTTTCGTGGTTCGGCATCCACATATGTACACACTGTTTTTCTTCTCTTGGCGAGGTGCGGCTCTACTAATCAAAAAATTGGCTCCTCCGCCGTTTCCGGCACGATTGTAAGTTTCTTTCTTTGTCTTTCCCGTATTAGGGCGTTCCTTTTAGTTTTTCCCTTAGATTTCATCATCATCTCTCGTTTGTACAGCTCATCTTGACGTGCACAGCGCCTTAACCCCTAAAAGAGTTCGCTTAGTTGTAAAAACCTGTGACTAGCGTGTTGCAAGAACGTACCACCGTGGTCGTTGATCCATTTTCACCAAATGATTCGATTTTTCACCTACAGAAATTCCTCACTCTCATCTTTTCTTTGCGCTCTACGAGAATCAGTTAGCGACCTTGACTAGTGAACCCTCATCTTCTCTCAGTGCGAATTTAATAAAAGTATTGTCATCAAGTGATCCTGCAAGCCCATCTCCTCTGCGTTGATGGTGCCAAGAACACTCCAGAATTGAAGGTCAACCTGTCCGGGTCCCAGGTCCCGATGTGGCGTGTGGATTGGTCCAGGCACGCAACGGCATTGGTCGTAAAGTCTTTCAAGTGCGTACCAGCCAGGCAACCATGGAGGGATTTGGTGAAGTCCAAGAGAACGACTCCATTTGGCTCCTGAAGGAGTATCTCAATTATGTGTTTCCCGAGGGCGGCACTTGCTCCTCTTGCAGCCCTGACATGATCCACCGATTGGAAACCGGAACGATCTGTTTTCCAGACAACCATGACCGAATTTCTGGAGTTCCACCAAGACCATCCTTTGGTTGGTGAATGACAGTTGTCGATCTCGGATCCGAAAAAGTATTTCCGGAGCGTGCCGGTGAACATCCGATTCCTTGGAGTCGTTACAAAGAGTGAAACGCAACCTGTATATATCAATAGCAAGGCCGTTCAATGGCAAAATCTTACTCTCGGCCCCGCTCGTTAATTCTGTCATTCAATCCACTTTCCCACTCCTCTCATTGCTGTGCCTTTAATCTCTTTGTATCCATTCTATCCTTCACTATATCCCTGACTCTCCTTTCTATGCCTATGCCTATGCCTATGGTTTTCGTTTTGTATATTTCTATCCAATCGAATCCGTATATCCTTCCTTTGTTATGTCTCTATCTACTCTTAGTTATGTTTATGTCCATCCTTCCTTATGTCGATTTCTATTCTTCCTTTTGTGTATATCCATTATCTTCTGTATCTATCTACGCCTACGCCTATGCCTATGTCTATATATCGTCACTGTATATTTTCCTTGTATTATACTCATATAAAATTTGCCTTTGTGGTCATCTATCTCTAGAATATAGTAACTCACCTTTTGCTGCGATAATGTGGGTAATTTATGTTCTCTCGAAACACGCTCTTCACTGTTGCCATGCTGGCCCATACGCTATTGTGAGTTTTTCCGGTAAGAAAATACAAGTGGAAAACCAGAGATCTAAAATCGGATCGATTCAAAAATTATGTGAGCACCGGATATATTGTTTGTCGATATGTATCAGATTGAGATCAGGTCGTCAGAACGTCTTTTCGCCTGCAATAAGAATCAAAGGGAAAGAGTAACACCGAGGGGTATCCTGTATTATCAAAAAGAAAAGAAGAGGTGCGCTATCAGGGCAGCTTAGAAGTCTCAACAGAGAGAGAAAAGAGAGAGAAGACGTGTTGGTACGTTATTCACTGTTTTATTTCGTATTGAAATATGAGGGTATTATATTCGGCAAACTATCTGAGGGAGGCAATACTTCGTTCATCGATGCAGAGAACATCTCAATGAGGAAGATCGCACACAGATACACCATAAAGTCGAAACATCGCAGAGTGATACATTCACGAATGGAAAAATCAGTATGACAAACATCGCAATTTCGATGTAACACACATTGCATCGTTGCAGAAAAGGCAACTGCATACTCGGAATGTCGATAGTGCGGAAAGTATGATTGGAGGGAAAAGAGAAGCGAAAGGAGAAGATTACTGTTTCTTTTAGGGGACAATCGGGAAAAAGCAACAATTTCCAGGTCAGCTTCAAATTGGTAAACGACGGAAATGGTCATCACAGTGTCCTTGACTCTTTATTTTTTCTTTTTTGCTTCCATTCTCGTTTCCAACAAATAATACATCCAACGATCTGATGTATGATACCTCAATCCCAGTATATCCCGTATGTCTTTATCCAGTATGTCTGTTGCTCACTTCAAAATTTCAAACTGAACAAATGCAAATCCCAAATTCTTTATCTCATCCCAAATATTACCTTCAACATCAAGGATGGAATATCATTTTATCCCTCTTACCATCATCACCAGAATCGACAGGTAAAAGCAGCGAAATTATATCACAATTTGGCAAAGTATTCTCATCGTTTTTCCCGGTTAATATCCTGATCCTATGCATAAAAACCAATTAATGATACTCCAGTCACGTGACCTGTGCTTGCGGCTTGTCAAAAATCTCCCAATTCCGAAAGACAAAAAGGGTCTCTTGGTTTAGTGGTATAATTCTCGCTTAGGGTGCGAGAGGTCCCGGGTTCGATTCCCGGAGAGACCCAATTTTTTGCTTTTTTCCTGGGCGTGTGGGGAGAGTATTTTTTTATTTATTTTTGGTGATATTTTGTTTGGGGTGTATTGGTTTTTATTTTATCGATTGTGTGTTTCTAAATAAATGTAAAAGCGTTTTTTTTATTGGGTGAGGCAGCACGCGTCCTTGGTGGAGGACTACTGCCCGCCCTTACAGGATCTATGGATGGGAAAATGTGCAATTAAAAGAACCACAGGAGGAAAAGGACAAACCGTGGGTAGAAAATAAAGCAAAAGATATTATTTTATAAAGGGTGTATGAACACGTGTCCATTTCGGACTATTGCTCGCCCTGGATCGTTGGAGACAGAAAAATCACATAGGAAGATAAAAGAAAGGGGATCGTGCGTAAAAAGCTTGGGACGCTAGAGGTCTATGGGAAAAGGTTCAATTGAAAAGAAAGCATAAAGGAAAACCAAAAGATAAATAGCGCGCGTAAATGCAAGTAATAACATGTATTCTCTCGGTTCACATAAAAATAAAAATAAAAATAAAAGCTTCCTTTGTTTTTTTGTGGTATGCCCATTTGAATGCACATCTGCTGCAGAAAGTTTTCGAATCTGTAGTAACCGCTTTTTGAGGAAATTGAAAAGCAATATAAAATCGCGCCAAATTACCGTGGAATATGACGGTCAAATGGGGTAAATCAATGTAGAAAGTAAAGTTGTTGTATTAACCAATATCATTATACCATTCTTACCTCCTATCTGTATGTATGATACCAGTCCATCATATCACTTGGCCATCCATGATCAATCCAAATCTCCCGATCTACAAGAGAAAATAATTACCAACGCTCGCGTAATCACCATACCAGTCGGATCATATTATTATATCACGTCAAACACGTCTGATCTACATGTCAGATCATTTCCGATTTTCTCTTGTGTGAATTAACTTCATATCCAAACGCATACCGCACGCACAGCCTATAACTGGGAAAGTAAATCATGATCGATGATTAACACTAAGCAGTATGAAAAATACAATCATTGATAAAGCTTCATGGAAAATACACCTTATTCTGTCATGGGTCGTACCACATCTAAAAATACCGATATAGTATAAAAGACATACCTTATATTAATTGCCGCTCTCTAGTAATATTTCTTTTTCCTATTTTGACAAAACACTCTCTCGGGAATCAAAGGATTCTCACCGATTTATTATTGTTTTTTATTTTGTTACTACTAATTCGCCGGCTCTATAGACTCCGGGAGGAAGACAAATCAAGACATGACGAAAGGATCAAACAAAAAGTCAAAAGAAGGAAGAAGTCTAAGCTAAATAAAAAAAATCAGATGAAAGAAAGATGTCTTTTTTTTTTCAGCGGAAAATCATCGCTTTTTTTGTATCTTTTTTTTTTTTTTTTGATCTTTTGTGCCCTTTGATTTTATTTTCTGTTTGGTGGATGGGCAAATGGGAGACTCTTGAAGCGTGGATACATTTGTGCGTCGCCTTGTGGAGCTTGTTGTGAATGATTTTGACAGCGCTTACAGTGGTAGTAGAAAGACGGCAGTGTTAGCATATTTGATTCAAACAAACGCAATTCAGGCACTTACTTTTGTGTAGGATTGAAAATAGATTCATTCATGGACAATCTATTTGATGTAAATAAGTATAAGTATAAGCTTTATTGCTTTGCTTGCGTGAGACTGTAAGCTTGTATCTGATTTTTTGAATCAGCACCTGCGGAATCTGTAGCTGGTAAACGGAAAGCCTTGATCGGTAATAGCTTATGAATTCCGTTCCGAATTTGACGTGACAGTAGGAACGCTTCGTTTTAACGATTTATTAGAGCCGAACTGAAGGCATGGTTGTGTGTTGTCGGCTGAAACGAGTTCAAAAAAGATTTAGTGTTTGGATTTCAATCGAGATGAATTTTCGTTGAAGCTTACCCTAGGTTCTGTATTTAGATTGGATTACGAAGACAAATTAAAGACGCCATGACCGATTGATAAAGCCGCTTGCAAGGCTTATAAAGTCCGCTTGGGATTTGAAGTGATTGCAGGAACGTATGCTATTTGAAAATTTTGTGAGATTCTGCTCAGAGAATTTTTTTTTGAACATGATGTCAACGTTGCAAAACTTACGTGTAAAAAAGAAGCAAAGTAATCCATTGAAACCTTTGGAAGTGAAGGCAGGGTTGTAGGGCACCAAGAAAGGATAGAAAAAAAATCTGGATATGTGGCAGCCTTCTGTAAGTGTGGATAGTCGCCTGTCCTTTTGGGAAAGGGGGCGCTTGGGAATTGCGTGTCCTAGCGATGTTTCAATTGAAAAAATTTGGCCAATGATGGCGGTGGAGGCTTCACTCGTGTGGCGTCATTCGCGTGGCGCTCGCAATGGGCAGCGGCAGTGACAGTTGTGCCCAGTTTCTTCGGTTCAGATCAGAATACTTGAGGCATTTTTTTTTTGTGCGTGAATATGAGTGCACCGATACTGAGATTAGAGTACCGCCGGTTGTTGAGAGTTTGAATGAGTACGCCTGACGTTGCTCTTTAGTTCTCAGGTCGCCGATTGTAACGGAAAACTGAGTGGCGAAACTAATTAAAAAATGTTGGTCAATGCGTAGGCAAGAGGAACAGAAACTGAAACAAGGCATAAATACCATGGATAACATCGGTCGATATTCGCCATAGGAATGATGTGGCAGTTTCAGCTTGGCCTTAGATCGTGCTGCGGAGTAGACGGTGGCGCGTTGGCTGTCAGTGCTAACACTTTTTTTTCTTGAGTATTTCGTGAGATTCTGGACATTGTGGAATGGAGGAACGATTGCAGGCCGCGTGTTGAGGCTTAACATTAGAAGAAAGAAAGGTTAAAGTGCTGTTGGCACCTCCAAAAATGGAGGGCACGGTCGGAGGACAGCAATTCTGCTGGAAAAGTGTGGAGAAATGAAAAGAGCTTTGACAATTCCAAATCACGCTTGATGACAGCCAGCTGTCTTATCGCAGAAAAAAAATGACTTGTTCTGGGCGTCCCGCCTAAAATCGGCTCCACATATCATAATGAATGTAGGTTGATGTTTACCGTTTTTCTTCTATCCAACTGGTTTGCCCTGACTAAAAAAAGACTCATGACGAACTTTTGATGCGGCGACAGGCGGATCGCCCGCCCACAGATCAGGACTATCTAGAGACAATGAATGTAGGAAAAACCTAATTTTTACTTGATACTTAAAAAGGTCGCGGTATGTTTTTACGACCAATGAATGCGGATCTCTATTAAGGCTCCCTCTCCCGTCAGCTTACAAGTATCGTAAAAGGAACCTAGAAAATCTGCGGTTGAAAACAATGAAATGTGAGAAGAAAGAATGGAGTTGAGGGAATTCATGTTAAAATATGGAGATAACGTGATATACTCTGTACGAGGAAAAGCATCGATGTATTTGCAAGTGTGGCTCGCACACCGCAGCATTTTCATAATGGAGCACAAACACATTACATTATTGCACGTTGCATTGTTACGATAGACTGCAGAGGAAAAGAAAAAGAACAGGGTAAATCAACCAAAATATTTCATTCGTCTCATCAATTTGGTTAACTTATAAGCAATCTTTGTCAGACAAGGTGGGGATGGGAATTTAAAGGTGCAATGGATGACACATGGTACCATCCATGAATTTTTGTTCTTACAACTTACAAGCTAATGCGATATTTTCAACGTGGGTAATTCAGAGACGTCGAAAGGTTCGGAATGAACCGCTGCGCTCGCCTACAGTATCTCCGTCCATACTTTGCAAGCTGCGCAGAACATCGCCTACCATATCTTGTTTCTGTTCTTCGTCATGCAGATTATGTAACGATCGGGTGTCAAGGCATATAGAGGCCGGTTGCCTTGCTCCATCAAAGGATAACCGTTCGCCGATATTAATAATGTTTGGAGGTTGTGGAAGTCCAAACTAATCCAGCAAACGAAAGAAAACATTAAAAATCAAAACAGACGCTACTCAGTGGACTACGGTCACCACTCGATTTCGGAATCATCCCAGGAACCACCAAGAATGATGTCTAAATTGGATATTCTAAACACAAATTTTGTTTAGCGTACAGTGTGGTAAAGTAATGAAAGTAATTCCAAAAGCGAGTGGATAACTTTAATGTTTGGCCAAGATGCATTTGAACCAAACGCACCGGCCCCACCTGTTAATCGTGGAGGGAAGCGGAGCTGACATAAATATGTATTGTTTTTTATCCGTGACCACGTGTTCGTGTGCGTGTTCTGAAAAAAGTCCTGAACCTCTGCCACTTTATTTTCAGCTGCCATGACATCTCTTAATTTCACCCAGGACACAGGCACAGAGACGACAGCAGTTTGGTTTGCCAAAAATTTGGATGCGGGTGGCTGGATCCCCTTCATATTTCCGATATGTTGCATGAATGATCATATGATTTTGATAAAGAGCTTGCTCTTGATTGTGAAAAGCATTTCTCATTAGGCCCTTTAGGGAATTATACAATATGCCGATGGACGACTGAATACTCTTTAAGTAGGGATATTATGTACAAAGACCCATGTCCCGGCCTGGTGATATGGGTCAAGAAGCAATGAGATTCAGAGCCGCAGTTTACATGAAGTAGAACACGGTGTGACACCATATTGATAAAAAGTAGAGCTTATGTCAAAACTGGCAGGCAAAAAATGCGCACATGAAAATGATAAATATAGACTCGCGTTGAAAAAATTTCCGAAGGGCCACATCGGCAGTAGCAAACATTCCATCTCGAAGAACTTGGGCGTTGTCATTTGTCAACGGCCCCCTTTTTAGTTCCTATAAAGGCAAATATTGGTATACAACAGCAGACACTCATGGCATCAGGTAAAACGTAAGAACGAAGTTCCCGTTAGACGGGGTTTATCTTGGTCATTTTCATGCATCATTTCATGTTAGCCAGTGGGTAGAACAAGAGTAAGAACTTTGACTACTTTTCAAAAAAGCTGTAAACCATTAGTCTAGAATACACCGTTTCTGCTAAACGATAACCTTTAGTCGTCATATGCCATGATTAGCTTTGTTTGAAATATTCATTCTTGTCCAGAGTGTATTGTGGAGGACGATTCCAAAGAAGAAGCAAATCTTCAAGGTGTATGATTTTGTGAAAATAGGACATGTGCCAGTTTTTGAGAGGTTGGATATAATTATGTTAAAATTCATGCAATGTTGTAAGCAGCCGTCGCCATGGAGGCGTCAACAACATGTTTCAGTTTTTTTTTTTTTTTTTGGGCAAGTGCATTCTTTATGCATTCTCAGTCGATGTCAGCTTGGCGTTGTTTACGAAACCTGAAAGCACAAATTCATGACAAACTTATATATTATCGCGCAGTAACACAAATTTCCAGCTTTCTGTTTCGCCATTGTCCACAATGTTGTTGCGCCGGACGTTGACCTCCATTTTTGTGCTGGCCTTGGCACTGTCCTGTACAGCTCGGCCATCCATGACCGATGATTTCCTACACTACTTGCTCAAGAAATTAGACCAAAAGTTGGATAACGATGCTTTGCATGATACTCAGAACGGGGCCACACCAGTTAAACTGAGCACCAATACCACTGGCACATCAAAAAACATTATTTCACCGACAAATAATACCCATAACGTCGCTTCAGCCGTCAAAGCGTATCATGTATGTATTTGATGTAGTAAGAAGATTGGAGCTTTACAACGATATTTGCGTGCAAGTGCTAATGATGCGTCAAAAGGCCGATACAAATGATAACTTGATGATATACTGGGGCCAAGGCGGTAAATCGGAAAAGCCTTTGGAGTTTTACTGCAAACAAGAGGGTATTAGTGGTATCGTTTTGGCATTCATTGCTGATTACGTTGGCGGCAAGGGTAAATCGCCGGTGCTCGATCTGTCGTCCCAGTGCAAGTCTGAAAGTGATTGCTCCAACGTCGCAAAAGATATCAAACAATGCCAAGACAAAGGCATCAAAGTCATCCTGTCACTGGGGGGCGCCTCTGGTCCGTACCGTAAACAGAAATTCGATCCAGACTTGTTAGCTTGGTGGTTATGGAACATGTTTTTGGGTGGAGACGATGACAGCGTAACACGACCGTTTGGTGATGTTGTATTGGATGGTGTTGATTTTGATCCTGAAGGTAACATCGCTTGATAATCTGATCAAGATAGCATTTGAATACTAACGCTGCAACTACCCCATCAGCGGCGGACTCAAAAGGATACGATCGACTGATACATGCTTTGCGACAGTTATACAAACTGTATCCACCACGAAAGTTTCTGATCACTGCCGCACCTCAATGTCCGGATATCGAAGATTATGAGGACAACGCAATGTACAGCATCCTGTATCCAAATCGCAAATATGACGCATATCCCGACCTGGTTTTTGTTCAGTTTTACAACAACGACTGTTCGGCTTCGGCGTTCAAAGAAAAAACTTCGACTCGCTTCAATTTTGATGCCTGGGATAAATGGGCAACGGAGAAGACCAAAGGAAAATCCAAGATCTTCCTAGGGCTCATCGCCAAGAGCACCAAGGAGGACAGTGGTTACGTACCCTACGAAAAGCTTACGTCCATCCTTGACGAAGTACATTCAACAAAGAATTTTGGCGGTGTGATGATGTGGGATGCTCGACTTGCCTACGACAATCGAGTCAGCTATTTGCATGGCACAGACTATGCTACCGCCGTGTCCAAGTATCTTCGACAATTGACAGCTGGCGGTTCGAAAGCTGCTATTGGCGCTTTCAACGCATTGGGATCGCCGGAGAACCATCATACACCCGTCCTCGTACCTATCAGCAACCTAACCAACTCTATTCCGGATGTGCTTGGATGTTCAGGACAGGCATTTGTCCTTTTACGACATGTGACTTGTCGAACACTTGCCGAGAGCTTTGGAATGTCTGGCGACGATATAGACAGACACCTAGTCAACATTGGCATTGACGTCAATGCCCTTTTAAATCCAGGGTCTCACATCTGTATGGAAGTCCCACCGGAAGAGGAGAATAATTATGGCCGTACTATGGTTTTAAGCTACGTCTATAATGCTACCATTTCTGACAGCTGGAAGATGGGAACAACGATGGTCAGAAATATCTAAACACACTGTGATATCTTGCACTTTATACATAAATAAAATTCCTGTACTTCTAACAAAAATCGCAGTAAACTTTGCGAGTTTCCGCAAAATAAATAAAGACGAGATAGGGAGCAGGAGGCGTGAGCTTAAAGAGCAAAAAATCAAACAGAAAGAAACCAAAAAAGTACGAAAAGATAATGAATGCCGACAGACGCATAGAAATAAACTACTTGGTCATAAATGCGTTCAAGAAATGATCCCATATTGTAATAGCACAAGCCGTATTTAAATATATAGTTAAATCAAGTTCTAGATGGTCGAGATCCTCAACAAATAAAAAGTTGCAAGAGAAAAAAAAAGATCACAGATCACTCGCGGATGCGTTTGTCTTCAATGACATCTACTATTTCTTTCTGCGATAGGGTTTCATATTCAATCAATGCCGCGGCTAGACGATGTAACTCATCCATGTGCTGTTCAAGTATGTAACGCGAACGATCCTCAGCATTCTATGGTACACAAAGTGAGTATATGGTCTACAAGGAAGAATAACAATACCAATCTTACCACAATCAACGCTTTTATTTCGTTTTCAATCAGCTGCTTAGTTTCGGCACTCAATAGTTGCATGTCTTCATCTTCATAATCGATCGGTCCAATTCGCTCGCTCATACCGTAGTGGCGAACCATTCGTTTGGCAATCTCCGTAGCTTTAACGATATCACTGTGAGCGCCGCTGGTGACATTGTCATCTCCAAAAATTAGTCCTTCTGCGATTCGTCCACCAAGACATATATCCAGCTGGGCCAAAAATTCCTTTCGGGTATATGAATCCTTTTAAAGGTTTCTTATCATTAGCCTCATATACGTTCACCTGCATTATCTTTATTATCATTTACCTTGTCCATTTCGGGCAACTGCACGGTCATGCCCATTGCTCGACCGCGCGGCATAATCGTAGCCTTGTGAAGGGGCATGGCACCAGGAGTGTAATAGGCCACGAGGGCATGCCCTCCTTCATGATAGGCTGTTAAACGTTTACTCTCGTCGGTGATGATCGCTGTTCTTCTTTCTGCTCCCATGATAATCCGATCCTTGGCAAATTCCAGATGAACATTGTCTACCTGCTTTTTGCCTTCACGGCTGGCTTGAATAGCCGCTAAATTCACAAGATTGGCGAGTTCCGCACCGCTAAATCCAGGCGTACCCCTTGCAATCACAGAGATATCCACGTCAGATGCAATCTGCACCGATTTCATATGATGTTTCAGTATCGCCATTCGTCCTCGTACGTCCGGCAATGGAACATTGACCATTCGATCGAATCGTCCAGGCCGAACAAGCGCTTTGTCTAATAACTCTGGAAAATTGGTCGCCGCAATAAAAACGACTCCTTCTGTTTGGGAAAATCCATCCAAATCCACAAGAAGCTGGTTCAGTGTTTGCTTGACATACGTGGAATCTTTGGGATTACGCTTGGAACCAATTGCATCCAACTCGTCTATAAAGACAATGCTTGGCGCTTTCAATCGTGCCGCCGCTACATACAAATAGCAACAATGATAAGAGGCATGTCATCGAAAAAATCTATAGGCTACATACCAAACAATTCTCGTATACGCCGCGCTCCAACGCCGACATACATCTCGTCGAATTCGCTACCACTCATGAAAAAGAAGGGCACACCTGCTTCACCCGCGACTGCTCTAGCCAGCAACGTCTTTCCTGTTCCTGGCGGTCCGGTAAGTAGGACACCTTTGGGAAGTTTGCCTCCGAGTTCAGTGAAACGATGCGGGTTTTTCAGAAACTGCACGAGTTCTTCCAGTTCTTGTTTGGCTTCATCGCATCCTTGGACATCATCAAATTTTATAGCTTGTTGCGTGGAGGGTTCGTACTCCATCTGGGAGGAAGCTGAAGTCTTTAGCAGTCCCGAATTCTCCAGCGCAAGAGACGCAATTGTAAGCATCAAAAACGCATAGGTGAACGTCACTGCGATCCAACGTAAAGCCCGCCATAACAAAAACCCGCGTGCTATCGAAGCAAGGGTTGGTTGTCTGAAAGGCATGGTTCATCCGAGTCTCCTTTTTTACCTTCTTCTACAATAACATGGACCGGTTCAACCTTGTTGCCAGAAAGTCCGATGCGGCCATCGTCATCAAAATGTTCATTAGCTGTACGACCCGATAAAGCACTGGATGGCCGTATGATGGATGTTCCCGCTATGACAAACTAGCTTAGCCACTTTCTCAAGAGGCAGAGTCGTTGTAGTTTTTACCCACTTTCGGCTGACTGCAATTTTCGTACGATATCTGGGAGCACTTTCTGCTGCTGTCCTGTTTCAACAAGGGCAGCGATATATTGCTTGTAACACTCTTCGTCTTGCGCAAATTTTCCACTTTCAAAGCGAGTGATCACCTCTTGCAATTTACGAGCCGCACGTAATCCCTAAAACAAAACATATTTTAAGAAAAGGTCAATAAAAGAGCATCGATAATAAGCAGGTCCCTTTTACCTTGTATAATTCAGCTTGACGTCTTGGATCGGAAGGACGATCGTGAGCTTGCTTTGCTAATTGAGCCAAAGACGCTTGTCCTCTTTGATATTCGCCGCTCAACCATCGCTGCTGACAATATTTCTGCCAGACAATTGCGGGGTTTTCAATCAAAGCTGCTGTTCGCTGGTCTTTCAAAGTTGTGTTGAAGAGGGATGCATATGCGTAATGTAACTGTGCAAAATAGCAGGTATCAATCAGCAACGTAATCAGGCATTGTGAGTCCTCGGCGAACCTTGCGCCCATATTGCAGCATGGAAGGCCTCATTTTGGAAGATATGTATTCTAAAAGGGACGCGAAACAAGTCAAACGCGGGAGAAGAACGTTGCGCGTGGAGGGTGTCCTGCGAGGTGCATAAATTTTGATTGCTCTCGCTTTGAATTTAATTAAAACCCCGCCGTCAAGACCATACCCACGCCATTGATTCACATGCATGTTCTAATGAAGAATGACTTTCTTACGTCCAGCAATAACAAGATAGTTTAAGAACTGTGCCAAAAACATGATACGTGTGTAGTTGACAATGCCCGCAGTGCCAGATTTACATATATAAAAGCTTGGAGAACACGTCATTTCACTTTCAAATGCTTCAATCGTTTGCTGAAAATATGATTTTATGCTTTCTATTATAGTGTATTAACAATGTACAAATGTGTTTAACGATCTCGACGTTCTCGATGATCCCGTGGTCTATATTCAACTTCTTCGTCCGACAAAAACTCGGCTTCGTTTTCAACTTGCGACAGATAGGCGTCTGTGCTTTCCTGCTTTATCCACATTTCTTGATACAGACCATCCGGCTTTTGAAGCAATTCTTCATGAGTGCCGGACTCGGCAATCTGACCCGATCGCAGAACAAAGATGGTGTCTAAGAAATAGCAGAATATTAGCAGATGGCCAAGAAAAACAAGCGACAACAGTTTGACTTACCAGCATCCGCAATGGTTCGTAATCGGTGAGCAATATGCAAGCTGGTCATCTGTGTATCACGCAAGATGGAACGGAAATTAGCAAGTAATGATTGTTCGGTATGTGTATCAAGGGCAGAAGTAGCTTCATCGAGGAATAGAATACGCGGTTTCTTCAGGATTGTGCGAGCCAAAGAGATACGCTGCTTTTCACCGCCTAGTCAGACGAAGACCCGGTCAGTACGCCTTTGTTCCATTTGACATTTCGTTCAAAATAATACCTGACAGCATCAATCCACGCTCTCCTACTTTTGTTTCGTATTTATCGGGTAGGGACATGACTACATCGTGAATGCGAGCACGTTTGGCTGCTTCAAAGACCTCTTCACGAGAAGCGTCGATGCGACCGTAATGCACGTTGTAATAAATAGTATTGTTGAACAAGCTAGTATCTTGCGGCACCACACCAATAGCACGGCGAAGACTGTCGAGGGTGACGTGCTTGATGTTCTGACCGTCGATATAAATATTACCAGACTGCGGCTCATAGAATCGGAAAAGCAAGCGCAAAATGGTGGATTTTCTATAGCACTGTGTAAGTTTACAGTAAATCATGCAATAATATCTCGAAACTTACCCGCAACCGCTAGGGCCTACAAATGCCGCCTTTTTACCAGGTGCGATAGTGAAGCTGGCACCGTTGAGAATAGGGCGTTGTGGATGATAGCCAAAAACCACATTCTCGAAACGAATTTCTCCCCCTTTGAAAACGAATTCTTTAGCATCGGGTGCATCTTCCACGAGAGGCTTCTGATTTTCCAAATTGAACAAGGTATCCATATCAATCAGAGATTGACGAAGTTCTCTATACACCGAACCCAAGAAATTCAGAGGCATTGAAAGCTGAAACACCAGCTGATTCACCATGACAACATCACCGACAGTCATGGTGCCTGAAATAAGTCAGCCAGTATCCTTTGAACCATGATTGATTATTTTCACGTACCTTTCATAACACCATTCGCAGACAGCAACATCATAATAGTAAGCGAGGTACTGAAAATGGCGTTTTGACCGGCGTTCAATAACGCGAGACTAGACGCAACTTTCAGAGACGCTTTTTCGTAGTCTTGCAACGGCTTATCGTATTGCTGAGCTTCGAATTTCTCATTGTTAAAATACTAAGGATCCAAAAAAAAAAGGTTATTCAACTGTTGGAGCAACTGCATCAGTGTATCAACCACTTACCTTCACGGCTTCAAAGTTGATCAAGGAATCCACAGCTTTGGACGCTGCTACGTTATCAGCTGCGTTGGCTTGCTTTCGAAATTGCGTTCTGCTCATTTTTGGTAAGTATATCACGCCGATATCCCTTTTATAACTTTTTTTACCTCCAAGCGGTTGTCATAACCGTGAACGCTGTATAGGTGACGATGGTACCAAGCGTGACAAGAGCGTACGATGTTCCAAATTTCCATGACTATCACATATATAGATCACTTAGTTCGCTTCCACGTACCATTGCTACGCAACTCAACTTACCAAAATACCGCAAACCATCGAAATTTCAAGAGCCGTGGGTAATACATGAAACACCATGGAGCTTACCATGAAACTGATGCCTCTATTTACAATTGATAACACCATGTTAAGCGACCATCACACAAACGCCTTATCCATTGCCCGAAGCGTACTTTGTACCACGATCAATGGCGCGATTCAGACCTCCCGTTTGACGACTAAGATGGAATCCGAGATCCAAGCGATGTAAATGAGAAAATACGTTTAAAGCGACTCTACGGATGGCCTTTTGAGCCACAGCAGCAAATACAGCATTGCGAAGTTCTTGGAAGGCACTAGCACCCAGTCGGGCCAAGCCATCTATAGAAATACCTTTTAGAAACATGGTTTTCGCCCATCAATTTCCTAGTGCGTATTACATCCAATAACGGCAGCACCACATACAGTCCACATGGTCATATCTTCAGGTAGACTAACATTGAGAGAATCGATGACATTCTTGAAAAAGAACGGGACTTGAACGTTGAGTAGCTAAAAGAAAGATCAATATCATGCCAGACAGTAATACAAGCTTCTTCAAACCTTTCCGCCGATCAATAATCCCAAAGCGATAACGACGCGAGATTTCACCCCGACGTCATTCTTTGGCCAGATATATTTCATCAACTGTCGAATGATTGCCCAATCAGTCGCATTACGTTCTTTGTTAGTTTCGGTAGCAGTATGTTGTAAGAGGTCTTTATTCGGCGGTTTCGAAGCACTCGGTTTGGCAGGTGATGATTTTGCTTGATGTGCAAAGACACGCCGAGCCTGAAGAAACGGGCTATTAAAAGCAAGCTGAGGCCGAGGAGGACGTGCAGAAGACTGGTGAAATGAGCGTAGCACAGTAGGTCGAACTATTGACGGTCTGATAATCGGCGCTACGTTCCATACTCCAAATATAGGAGGCTTAGTCGCCCTAAAACACAAAGTGTAACTTCTCGGCAACATGCAGGGAACCCGTCAGTTTTTGAGAGAAGACCAAACCCTTTTTTTTTTGTAGGGGGACCAGCAGGTCTTTTAATTTTATTTGAACGATCGGAGAATCAAATAGTACGGGAATTTCAAACTAGGAAGCGAGTGAAATTTTCTTGCGCGATTAACTAATGTATGGGCCTACAAATGCCAATTGGGGAGCAGAAAGAGTCCTGGTGGAAGGGAGCTGCGTCGAAAATAAAGCCTCAGTGGGCCAACCAGAGGTCATGCAAATAAAAGCAATGACAATATAAGAAGAAAACTGCAGAAGGGTGCGAGGGAAGGGGTGACAAGTGGGGTAGGACATCACAGTGATAAAATCTGGATAAAAAGGACTTGAGAGGCTTGACTAAAGGGATGATGCAGAGGCAAAATTTGATGTGATGGTGGCGCCGCATCATTGGCTAAAAATATCAGGAGAGGGATCATTGGAGACAATGCTCTCGAGGGAAAACCGAAGGACAAACATGGCAGAAGGCCAGTAGGAAGAAGGATCACAAGGGCAGTAATCCATAGCTTTGCAGAGCAGAGTCCAGATCGAGGGTCGAAATGGGAGTGAGGACGGATGTAATGAGAGGAAAGCAAGCGTTTTTGGTGAATATACCTAGTCGAATGAGATTCTGCGCAACCAAATAGTTATTGTTGGCTTCTATCGAAGATTTATCTCGCTGAAGCCTCGGCCAATGCCCCAAGTGATGCCATGCAATCCAGAGACATACGCATCTGGCCTGCTCCTGCTAATGAATATAACAGTGGTTGCTTTTGATTCTTGATTTATTGTGGCAGTCCAACGAAATAGTGTATCCTGCAGGATGTCATCAAATAAAGGTGCCAATGCCGGCTCCAAATACTGGGTGATGAGCTTTTGCTCCATTATTGTATCGCTAATACAGTATTTAGATGCTTTTGTATGATCATAGTGAACGACTTCACAATTCGATACTCCTTCCTTGAAGTTTGACCTTTTAACTGCATGATCTTGATAGTCGCTTCATCTCGGTCGATTTTGTTGTTAAGCACTCCTACATAGTGATAATAAGAACAATCTTGCAATATCAATGGTCTATTCTTTATGGAAGATTTGTATCATACTTACATCAATCAATGAAAACACTCTGCTCATATGGTCCAAGTTTATGGTATGTGTGCAAATGTCAAATTTCTTGGCCAAATCCTTTACAACCTTTTCAAGTACAGTGTCATAGATATATTGCACAAAATTGTCGTGAAAGCGTTTAGGCTTGACCAAAAAGATGGATGATAATAATAGTAATACATATTGTACATGTGATTCCATTTTTAGGCATTCGCCTTGAAGTATTCTCTTGTGCATAGAAACTTGGAAGTTGTAAAAGACTTTGGATATGTCAAATTCATCAATCATGAAATGATCGTCCGCCTTTGGTTCGTAGATATCAAGATTCATGCTTTTTGGACTAGTGGCCTAAGTTCGGCATTGTTTCTGCCGTCATTATGATTTGTGCTGCTAGTGGACGGTTTGGGCATAGTGGAAACTGCTTGAGGTAACGTTTGATACTGCAAGAACAATAGTGATTGTCTACACATATAGTGTGATATAAGAGAATTTAGAACCAAAAAAAAAAAAAAAAAAAAAAAAAAAAAACCAATGAGAATCCTTTGAGACTGTTGGATGATTTTATTTGTATTAATGTGATCTGCCTATTTATACTTTAGTCTCGAGTCGGAATTAATAATTGTCAGTGAGCAGTCCTCGGTTATATGGTGTATTAGGAAGGATCCACATGCTGTGATGTGACAGCTTTACCCGTATGAATTGATCTCAGCGATAGATCCAAGTTATGGATGAAGAGGCTGAATCGGGAGAAGCTACCTCAGAATGGGAACACGTCTAGATCCCGATCTTCCCTGTTTGGGAACACCAGTCTAGGATGGATAATACGACAAATAGTGGATATACCATAATTGTGTCGTAAAGTATAATGGAGGTTTAAATGGAAGAAGAGGTAAGTGATATGATAAAAAAAAGAAAGAATTGGACGCTCTATTGTGTTAGATAGTTGGTCAGTCACGCAGAAACAATTGACGATTTTGTATCAGGATTTTCCACTATGCGACCAATCCAAAAGTGGTTGGGTCGCCCTTACTAGATTTTATTATTTCAAAAAACGCATACATGAAGGTTTGTATTGGACGCTTGAAAACTACTGTTAACGAGGTGAGCTCACCTGCAGTTGCTCCTCCAGGCTCACAAATGCGACAGTGACTATCCTTGATTTACTACATTCAAACTGCCTGAAATGTAACCTCATCTTAGCGAATATTCTCTTTGACATCGTCATAAGACCAGTTCTTCTCCAGAGGCTTATGGACAGCCTCTTGTACAGTATAAACAATCGAAAAGCTATGAAGGACAAGATCTTCATCGATTCAGATCTATACTCACTAGATTTAATATTTAGTTCAATATCACAGATTTCAAGCTGTCATTCTCATTATCAATACAAAATACCTAATTGTTCTGTGTCCAATAAACTTACTTCCGTTATTATATTAGTCCGATCTGGAAAGACTTGTTCAAAGGTCAGGCTGAATATGATGGTCGAAGGAATCGGATCCTCTGCTTGCATTAACGCCACTGTGTGATCCAAAGCCACTTTCCTATGATATTCTGCTGTCACGAAAAAGTCGAGTTTTAAGACTCAAGAAATTCCCGAAAGCTTGCTCATCAATGTTACCTACAAGTCCAATACAGAAACAGACATTCGTGAACATACATCGTTAGCACTAGCAACATTAGAGATCGCCAGGATGCTTATATTAGGGAAGAAAAAGGAGCATTGTATGGATGGGTATTCACAGCTAATTGACTTCTTTCATCACGAGAGAGAATACACGATTATCCAGGTTTTAGAGCTGGATCCGGAACCGCAAAGCGGAAACCACCGATGTATCATAATCGGATCCGACAGTGACAGTATTACTCTGGAGCATTGATTATCATTTTTTTTTTTTCTTTACAAAAAGTTATTTTATGACGTTAATCGAGAGGTTATAGATAAATTTTAGTGGGCAAGCACTTACAAATTATATGAAAACAAATTTCGTGATAAAAGTGTGCTGGAAATAAAGCTGAAGTATGACAGGACGAGCGGATGAAGGAAGAGCGAAAAAAGGTATAAACAACATGCTTTGCTGCTCACCATAAGTGGCAATAGCAAAGTTGTACGTTGCTACAATAATTCATCTTTGCGACTATGGCCGCTGATTCTGCTGCCCTGATTTTCCCCATACGCCTTTTCCTGCGGCTGTGTTTGGTTTTTTCACCTGCCGCCGTACCATTTTCTATTAGCCGATTCATCATTTTCCATTGATCAGTCAACCAAGAAATAAATAGCCTCATATTTTCAATCCGAAATAAAAAACAATTATTATGATTTTTTTTGGCACTCTATCATTGGGCAACCATGGTCATGTGTCATGACAACTTCTTTTATACTTGGTGGCCATGTATGCAAGCAACAAGATTTTGCTGGCAAACAGGCTGTTCGAAATCAAAAATCTTCGCAGAATCCAGAAATAATATTATTGATTCCCGACCTGGTAGGAGAAAGATGATGTTTTGAGATGGGGTAAAATATCAAGAAGTCAGCGAGACTGAAAAGATGACTTTTATTTTTTATTACCAGAAATCAAAAACATGAGTCATTAATCAACTTGGGCAGTCGTTACCCATTTGGCATATGTGGTGTTAGGGACATCGATAACTGAGCCAGGAAAATGACTACCTGACGGTGCTGCCTTGATCAACTTCCTTTGGAGATTTGGCTAGTCTGGTGTATTATGTCGGTGGCCAAACGGAATACCCGATTGCCCATACATAAGCCAATAAATCATTTGTTTTTGGGTATTATTTTATTTTATTTTTTATTCAGCTTTCATTGATCCGACCATGGCATAAAGTACTTGTGACCGATTCTGATTACTTCGCCACTGGCCAATCACAATCAAAATTTTAAATTCATGTGATTTTTTTCCCGGATAGTCAATCACTTTCTTAGAAAGGTGCTTCAAAAGCCACACGGCAGCAATGATAATCAGCTATTATAATACCAAGTTCAGAGCAACTACAAACAGCTTATTTGGGTGTCTGTAAGATCAGAACTGGCATATGAATGGGGTGATCAACAATGTTGAGGCTCTTGAAGTGACATTCCGAATTTGGCAATGTTTGAAAGTCACGGATAATATTTGCTGGTTTCCGCATCTATGTTGTTTCAACGTTCTGCACCCTTCAAATTCTCCATGTCGCATACATTGTAAGCTTGTCTCCACATTAGCGGGAAAGACAGTAAAACTTACCGTGGTTTTGGCTGTGTGAAAATAGACAACTCGAAATCCCTTTTGAATCCGATCGTTTGGCCAACGTTGCCATGCGTGTCCTTAGTGTGGATAAGGAACTGAAAACCGACCAAGTGAAACGCACTTTATCAACAAACGAAGAAATGCTTATTGCGTAAGTTACAGACGGAGCGTGATAATCACAAGGAGAACACTACTCACTGAAGACCTGAAAACAGTCATTTTGATTGCGTTTCCACAAAGATGTTACGCGTATCAGTGAATTCATTTTTAGAGATGCTCACTATGGTGACTCGTACAGTGGATCAATTTGACCCTTAGCCACACTTTTTTCCTTGCATTTTAAACGTAATATCCGCCCATTTCATCCGTGCAAAATCAGATCCCTGCAGTTGTTTACCAGTGAAATATGTCATGAACAAAGAAAAAAAGCATTTGCATGTCCGACACCCTTACGTGTACGCCAAAAAAAAAAAAAAGGTTGCTTTTTTTGCATCTTTTTTTTCACAGTTAGAACTTTCTTTTCGTCTTTTTCCGTTTGGCATGCCGAGTATCACTTCAATGACTCCCAACTTGTCGGGTCGAGGCGACCTTGATGTGACGGACAGCTTTATTAGACTAGAGCAATTTTTAGAACAGAACGCGGCTGCGCACAAGTTTACGGTTGACGATGACAACCACGGCATGGGACTCATTTGCGCGCATATAGACGATGGTCGAAGAGCGACCAATGTCCGCTTGAATCGCTTTCAGATTCGTGATTTCATGGTCCACAATGGCTTCCAGTGTTCTCCTACGGAAGGCTTGACGGCGATCCAGTGTACTCGACAATGAGTTTTGGGGAAACTCAAAGGTCGCAGCGTATCCGGCGACAATCCAGGCATTTTGTGATGCTTCATGCATATCCGAAATAAATGAAACACAATGTTTTATTTGAGACAACAGCTGGTTGTTTCCTGACATTCTGGATACATTGTTCGGCAATGGAAAAACGGTGATGCAGCATGACACGCGGGGATATGAAAATTTCAGCCAACCTGCGAGATGTCGGAAAAGATCTTCCGCGAAACAAGCAGTTGGAACACAGTGGGTTACTGCTTCAGGTGCATCGCACGAGTTACTTGTTCCTCAGTTGATGCGGGTTATGATGATGGAAGCAACCTGAGAAAAGGATGGCCGTACGCACCACTCATTTTCTTAAATTACGATCATTCATATAGATTGCAAGTGGAGGTTATGTATCTGGAGCTGTCAAAAAGGACCTTTTGGCTGTTGCTTTGTTCACCTTAAATAATACGTCCACCTACCGCGATGTTGGAGTGCAAAAACACCCTATGTGAAATCAACTGCAGTTCAACTTTATTCGATTTTTGACATATGCGTTTGAAGTGTCTGTAATAGTAAGCATTGATGACCGCATTCCGTTTTGTTTCGTCCCACAGTGCTTGAGAATGAGCCACCATCATTCATGATTGGCGAGGGAAATGAAGATTTCAATGCACGACGGCCCTATGAATCGAAAATCACTGGCGGCTGGAATACACTGTGCTGTTGGTTCTGCGGATTTTCCACATACGGAACGGTGTGACAAAAAGCTTCTCTACGAGTGTAAGAGGACGGCTTACAGTGACAAGTGAACTCAAAATTGCTCAAATATCTTGCGAGTCATGTCATACCATTTCGGAAATGAAAAAATTGACATTTAGACACAAAAGCTGATCGCATGAAGCAGTAGTCCCATTACACAACTTCCATATATGGTAGCTGAACCACTTAGCTGCCTAGTAATCGTGATGGACATTGTGCTGTAGAGTGGATATGATCATTCGTCTCTTTCTTGAATATATTTTTTATTTTGTGGATTACTGTTGAAGCTAGTAATTTATTACAAGGCCACGAACACCGGGAAGAGAATGATGAGTTGACACTGTTTTCAAATGAATTTGAGGGCGAATACTAAACCTTAGGAAGAAAAACAATGAAGATAATAAGGTATATTCTATAGCTTGAAAAGAAAAAAAGTGAAATGAAGGGCTGAAAAAGGTCAAAGGGGGGGAAAAACAGATCCGGAACAGATTCAGGAATGAATGTCAAAGAGTTATTTACAGGAGATAAGCGGGTCGTGTGCGGATCCATATAGGTGCAGTTCAAAGTGATTGATATCAACTGGCCATTGAGAGTTTCGTATTGAGGGCTTGAACCAAATTCTGAATATCTTCATCTTCGTTCCTTATCTCATATTCATCCTCCTGTATATAAGATACTAAACGGGACATGGATTGGCCAAGACCATGGGTCATTTCCGTACCTAAAAAAACGGGAGAATAAGCATATTGTTTGTTTGCTTCGAGAGATGCTTGGTCCCGGTGATCTTACCACATTCCGCAATGCTGACCATTCCGTAAGCCATCAATGCCCACAGTAGGTGCATTACGTTTTTCGCCACCCCGCGGTTAAAACCCATCCCTACACCGACCCCTCGTCCTTCTTCCTCCAATCGATCAGCGCCCCAGCGGATCAATGCTAATGTGTCTGATTTGCTGATGAATACATCATCTCTGTCGGTTTCCAAGGATTGATGTTTCCGTCGTGCTATACTGTGGGTGATGGCGTTTGTGTAGACTACGATTCTCGTCATAAGTTCCAGGCTCGTCAATAAAAGCTCGGAATACAATGTGTTGCAAATGATCATTGTGTATTGGTGAAAAATAGAAGGCGACATCGGAACAGGCGTCAGAAATTCCGTCAAGTGATCATGTTCGATAATCGTCTGATAGGTTGTATCAATGGAGCATGACAAGAACGTATTTAGCAAGCTACGTGGTACGAAATATAGCCGTTAGATGATTCGAACCAGACGAAAAAAAAAATTGAGCAATGATAAAATTACACATACCGAGTTGTCTCCAACAGTACACGAGCATCGTTTTCATTCCACAGTACAGATCGACATAGCCGTAATACATCCATATCGTTCAACATCATAGGACCAATTCCACTGTCCCAATGACATGCCATATTCGCCAACGTTCCCATAGCCAATTCTCTTGTACGTGCACGTTGAGTAGTGGTGATAATCTATGGTTGAAAAAAAAAAAAAAGACGTTTGACTATGAACTTCTTTATGTGGGTACATCATTGAGCTGTATGGTCTTACCTTCAAGAGCAGGCGATGGAATTGGCTTGAAGCGACTACCCGAGCATAGTCCATTACTGTACATATATCCCATGCTGCACATAATGTTCGTTCATAAGGTGTGTCGTCGTTCGGATCGCTTCTGGCGGGTCTGCTGTCAATGTTGTTTTGCAAAAGATCGTCGACGAGCCTTCGTAGGATAGGAGCAACGACAGCAGCGTCCTTGTCGTTCACTTCAAATACAATCTCATTCGACGGTAAAGCCATGAACAGAGTAAGAACGGGGAAAAGCTAGGAGAGACACCAATTTTTTGCATGCAAAAATTTCAAATCATCTTGGGGGGAGAGAGGAGAGCGGTCACTAAAAAACGAGGCTGCACACATCGTGTCACTGCTCTCTGACACAAAAAAAAGGGAAATATGAAAAGGGTTTTACTTGTTGTCATCACAACAAAAGATAGTAATCACACGATCAACAACATACTGTTTTACGGTTATTATGATTCTTTGAGTACAGGGTATGCTTAAAGATCAGATCTATGCCTTGTACAGGAAATGGTCCAGACTCTTCTCTTGTTTAATTGCTTGTCAGCGGGTCCAAATCATGTGGCATGTTATGGGTCTCGACCTTTTTTTTTTTTTTTTTTTTTTGCTTGGTTCAGTTCCCCTTGAAAATAACAGTATCGATACTGTATGGGCGAGTTTCACCTTAGGAGATTCGAAAACCAAAAAATTCCGAGAATGGTATAAGGGTGTTACTCTTAAAGGAAAAGGGTAAGCGAACTATCATATTGTAAACTCTTTGAAATCGCGCTTTTTCTCGATTGAATAAAAACATCATCGGTGATCATTGGTATTGCCAAAGTAATTCAGTCTCCGCAAATGATTTTTTTAACGGCACGAAAAACGTTTACAAAAAATCGGAGGATCGCTTATCAATGCGCCAAACGCATGACACTCTAAATGTCTACTGTTCCAATGACAAAAGATGGCTACAGCCTTAAAACATTTGTAAAAACATTCAACATCCATGAGATTTGGCGAGCCTATTATCACATTCATTCGAATAGTCTAGATCTTCGCATGATCGGTCGTGTTATTCCCTAAGCTGTATGCATACCAGCCAGCATGTATGCCATGACGTCTTTCTTTAACTAAACTGGCAATAACAAAGTATTTGTAGTTTGGGCGTTTCTAGAATTTTCCTTTTGCGGTAGCCTACAGTTAGGGCGATTGGCGTCAATTAATCATACATTGGCATGGTGCGCCTAGAAAGACAGACTAGCCAAATTGCTGTAACCTATTTCTGTTGATGCTCAATCTCTGACCATTATTTGTTCCTTGATTTGTTTACTTGGGGAATGTATTGTTCAGATCGCACTATTTGATACTCTGTTCCCTCTTACAATTCTGCTACATTTACTAGTGCTAACGAATTATCATACACGCTCTATGCCAGCTCTATTCCGCCATTGATACCGGAATACCGTACCAAGTTTCTTATGTAACCAGCAGTAAATGCGCCCTTTGTGGCAAATTGAGCTTTGCAATTAGCGACGGAAAAATTGCACTTTTAAAAGAGGATCCGTTTTATTTGCATCCTTGCGATCCGTATTTCCCATTTCAAGTGCCACTAAAATTAACAAATCAAGTTGTACGTGCTACAAAGTACAAAGTTCCAAGTTTTCTCTTACCGGAATTCGCATTTTTAAAATGTCTTGCCAGAATGTAAGCTTTTTGTGCGCCCGGTGAATTAAATCTCCGCCCACTCCATTGTTTTGACCGACCTTATTATGGAAAAATGGGGATCTGCTTGGATAAGTTTGGCTGAATTAAGCATTCTGTCGATTTCTTTTTTACTTTTACTTCCATATTATGCCACAGAGACAACATTTTGCAGATAATTTCTGGGTAACCTTAGAGAAAAATTGGAAACTCGTAGAACTTTGGATTAAATCTTGGTGAGATTCGTAGGAATCCACCCAGCGAAACGGCGTCATTACGCTTTTTAAGCGCATGACGGACACTAAAGAAAACTGTCAAAGCTTACAAAAGATGTTTGAAGCTAGGTAAATAAAAATTGAATCATGTAATCAAAAAAGCATGCTTAACACAATATTCTAATTTAGGGCTATGGCCGAGGAAGAATACGCTAGCAACCTGTCACGCTTGGCTGACATGCTCGGAACCATCAAGGAAGATCGCACTCTTGAGACTACTCATCACATTCTACAAGAAGAGCTAAAGAATACGGCAGCATTACATAAAAAGTTATCAAAGGATATTTCTACGCACATCGCGGCACCACTTCGTCACTTAATACAGGAGCAGAAGGAGCTACGAAAGAGTGTAAGCTTTTTTCTCGCCGTTATCAGCAAATAGCTGGATCATTTACAGATGCTCATTTGTTTATCACCTCTTTAACACAGTTGCAGCTTAAAGTTAAATCACTCCACGATTCACGGCAATTACAGGTATTCTTCATGCCTTTACTTAACTGAAGAGTATCCTAATCTCCACGATGTTTGTTTGACCCTGGACTATTACCTGATCAGGCACATTGCGTTTTGAAAGTGAGTAAAGAGCGAATAATGCTCATATTCATATCTAACCACAAAACTCCTTGCTGTTGATAAGGCGCGTAACCGTTACAATAGTGAGTGTGCTAGAGCCAATGGACTTGTACGGCAGCAACATGGAAAACAGCGCCGCATGTCTTACTTGCGAGCCAACCACACGATCGAAAATTTCCGTAAGTGTACCTGATTGTATGGCGAAGACATAATGGAATGTATAAATGCTTAATTGTTCGTAGACAAAACATACAAAGATACGCTGGTCGACCTGGAAACTGTCACGGAACAATGGAATACGCTGTGGCGTACAGTTTGCGATGTAAGATACTGATCATCATCTGATCCCATCCTATTTCTAAACCGGATTTTCCAGCAATTAGAAGCGGCTGACGAGAACAGGATCAATTTTTTGAAAGAAAAAATGTGGCAAAGTGGTGAGATAATGACCCAGTGTCTGGAAGAAGAAATACAGGTACACTTTGTGATATGAAACTACATGTAAGCGCACCATCTCATCCTAGCTTGACACAGATCCACAGGAATACAGCCGAATGCTGTGAAGCAATTGACGTCGACGTAGAGTTAAACATGTTTGTTGAAAATAATAAAACAAATAGTGAGCCACCCGGTAAGCACCTTGCGAGATTATACCGAGCACTGCAACTTTACTAACTTGCCATTGTATAGAGGCAACCGAATACGTAAAAATTTGCGCGCTTCGAGAACACCTGAAACAACAAAGCATTCCAGATAATTTGATCGCAGAAGATAGCACCGGCTTAACGAAGGAGGCATCGGGTGCTGCGATAACTGCAGCAAAATCTGCTCCCGAGACGGATCTATTGCACATCAACGAGAGTCATCAACTTAAAGATGAATCACCATCCTCGCCCATGATAATAGCACGCATGGAGATCTATGGATCCGACGAGGAAAGCGAGGATACGGCCGACTCGGAGGAAGATATAGCAGTAAAGGAACTCTCCTCTCAATCGGAAACGCAAAGCTCAGTGCCAACCGTTTACAGTACCGATGAGTCATCAACCTCCCCAGAAAAACATGCTGAAGGCGATCCCTGCGAGTCTCATACGGATATCAGACCTCACCAGTTGGATGTCTCGCGTAACTCTGATTTCAGCAATAGTTTGCGCGAGGAAATAAGCGAGTTCGAATGCACATCTCCTCCACAAAAGACGCAACAACCGACTCCACGTGGCGTAGCCATGAACACCATGGGACCATCCTCTTTAGCAGATCGAACCGAAGGAAGTTACGAGGAAGATGCTTGTCAAAGGCCCCACAGTTTTGACCAATTCCACGCTATGAGTGATGCCTCAACGATAGAGGAATCAGGCGGTACATGGAAGTCTTCATCATCGATCAATGGCTTTGAAACGTGCTTTGGACAGGAAATTCTGTTGGATGATAACCACCATCAGAACTATCAGGACTATCAATACGATGGAAACAGCGGCAGACACAAAGAGAACTTTCATTCTATGGAAGCCCGGCTGCGAAACGAGGAAATCAGAGCAACAGGTCAACAAATGAGTACGCCTGGTCTAGCAAATCAGCATGATAGCAGTGAGGACGACCATGAATCTTTTGGTGTGCAGGACGAGCTGGAGAGCATGCTCCAGCAGCTAGAAAACGATAAGATGCGATCACGACGATCCAACCGTATCCCCTTGAGCGAAATTTACTATTCGGAAAACGATACTTTCGCATATCATCATGAAACAGAGCCACCCAATGATGCATACAATATCAAGGATACACGATCCGATACGTGGAAATACAGCATCCCCAGTATATCGGATACTACTGCAACTTCTCAAACTCGCAGATCGTTTGACCAGTTCTCTACCTTGTCATCGTCATCCTCTCGCCGAACCCCAATTATATCCTCTCAAGAGTCTCGGAGACCTTTAGGAGGGAATAGCCCTCACCAAAACGCATTTATGCGACGAGAAAACGAGGAATATGGTACGTCCTCAACCTAAATTAACATTGTCGAAGAAGAATAACAATTGTAATCTGATCTCTGCAGGATTTCATGATGATCCAACCCCGGTCCCAATTCAGGATTATGGTAAGTGTTGTTTAGATATTCCTAATGCGGAAATAGGAAGCTAATAATGTAAAATCCTGATTTTCAGCGGTGGCATTATTCGATTATACCGCAGAGGACGAAGATGAGCTCACGTTTTATGAAGGTGATATACTAGCTATCGCAAAGAAAAACGAGGATGGCTGGTGGGATGCCTTCCTTTATGATAACGAGCATCAACAACTGCTAGATTTTGGACGTATACCAAGCAACTTTGTATCTGTTACATCATCCTTTTAAATACGATTTTTCTTTTTGCCAATACCAAGTGATAATGAACATTTTTTTTGATCCATCTTGATTATTAAAATAGCGTTCAAAATTTCAGGTGGGAAGCCGCTGGCCCTCGTTGTGTGACTTTCATAACCAAGCCACACATAAACTCAGAACCCCTTTCATCCTGGGCCCATCGCATCGAATTTGTGGTAGTCATTCTCTTGTCCCCATGTTCTTGACAGCTCTGAAAGGTCTGGGTGCTTTGACATCCGCAGCAAGAGGTATATATTGGCAATAGCCGTATATTATTTTCTCGTCGCTCACGTATCTCGCATTCCTGTTATTTTTAGTTGCATCCTCAGCACCCGGTAAAAGTACGCTGCTGCCTCTCATATGCTTCGGTGAAGGAAGTTGACTTTACAGTTACTGACGCTTTCCCCCATTTTTGTGTGTGTAGCTTTCTTCCGTGGTGTACAGACAGCCACCACAGCCATTGATACAGCAACGAAAGATTCGGTACGAAAATTACGTGAGCAGCTTCGATACTATGCTGTTGCCGAGATTGCTGGACGACCATTCCTTATTACGAAAAACGACAAGTTGGTGGTCAACCGTCTGAACGATGTTAAAGTGGGCGATGTCCTCAAACTCGATCGCGTACGCGAACTTGGAAGCAAAGACTATACCCTCAAGGGTTCGCCTTATGTGAATGAAACGATCTATGACATTCAGGCTACGGTCATTGAGCAAACAAAGAGCAAACTGATCAAGATTGTCAAGAAAAAGAGAAGAAAGAACTACAAGCGAACCATTGAACACAAACAAACTCATACTGTATTGCGAATTTCAAAAGTGGATGTAAACGCATTGGACTAAAAACTGTACAATAAAATATAAATACAAGTCATTATCATAGAATTTTTTACTTTCACGAACGGAACATGGATCCCAGCAGTTTCGCAGCCACGCCCGTCGTTGGTCCATTGTTCCCCGCGGCAAGCTGTGGGATGTTTTGCTGTGATACACAGAATTGCTGATCTTCCGAGGGGAGACAGGCTACTTCCAGGGGTTCCGATTGATCGGAAAACAAACTCGGGTAGTGGTAGGCAACCCCGTTGCGAGGAAACACGACTATCGTGCCTGATAATTTGTCCTCTTTGTCAAGGAAAATGCTGGACGTACCGCCTCGATGTAACTTGCGTTGATTCTTCATGCTGAAAGCGATCCATAAGTTGTTGTTCTCTTCATTTTTCTGGCTGGCCAGATGGCTAGGCCGGTAGCACCAGATAGATCCTAGGCCTTTGAGTTGCTCCATTTTTTGATGGAGCTTCTTGGAACCGCGCCGTGAAAGGCCAGCTGCCCCTCTTTGACCGGCCGCTGGGAAGGTATCCTTCGGTTGTAATCCGTTCGGACCTCCGAGGACTTCATCAATAGGTACGTACACGGATCGATCCCATATATTTTCTTGATGAGATCTGCCACCACCGCCAAAAAGAGTACTGAATAGCGAACGGCTTCTTCCTAAAGTGGGTCGAGGTTCACTACTATCCATCGAACGATTGGCTACTGCACTTGGCTCAGCAGGAGCGGAAGGATCTGGCAGTGCCCCATCAGCTGCCGCAGGAGTACTCTCAGCTGCTGCTTCACTAGCTTCTTGTGTCGATTGACCTTCTGCTTGTGGTACAGGTGGATTCTCTTCTGGAGAACCGGCAGCACGCGCTGCAGTGTCACTCGTTGGAGCATCTTGTGTTACAACAGGAACCATTGGAGAGGATACGGGCATGTCGAACGTTGAGGTTGTCATGGGTCCGGAAGTGCTCCAGGGCAGAGGCAAAGGTGGCATGAAAGAAGAGGGTCCATGAAGTGACATCATTGGAGGCATCATCATCGGCATGGGCATATTAGTCATTGGTTGAGGGGGTCTTAAAACATGAGGAGGCAATCCTGGCAACTGTGGAGGCGATTGCGCTGGTAACCAAAGACCACTTGGTACGGGGTTTCTATCGCGGACCATCATGGGCGATCCAGCTGAGTTGGGAAGGGGGATCGTTTGCATAGGCATGGGCAGTGAAGTCAAAGGCGGAGGCGGTGCAGGAGCGGGCGGCATGGATGGAGGTAGAGGTGGGAGCATGAGATTTCGAGGATTGTGAACGGCATGTGGCTCGATAAACGATCGAGCTCTGCGTAGTTGAGGCATCCCTGGAACAGGTGGCGACACAATTGCAGGTGATACCATGTCATGCTGCGGGATAGTGTGAATTGACCGCCTGCGCACAGGCTTTGCGTAATTTGTACTCTCCTGAAATGCATACTGTGGCGATCCTGGCGCACTATGGGCTTGGCGATACATTTCAAACGGTGCCTCCTCGTCCTCAAGGGTTGGCACTGGTCCCGAAACGGGTTCTACCATCGATGGTACGTCATCGGCAACAGAGATTGGTGGTCTTCGATGCCCAGGTTTACCTGTAGAGTGTCGTCGTAAAATAGACTTTGGCTTGGGTGGCTCCATGACATCGTCCCAACGAGGGTGCATGACGGAATGGCGTTTGCCTCGTGAGAGAAGATGACGGTCATAATAGGGGATAGGCTCGTCCACGTGATCGAAATGAGAATACATCATATCCGATTCTGGATATTGTTGTCGGTTCGGATATGGATGCCCAGGATGAGTTGGTACAACGTTTTCTAACAATGTCATGGGGGCTTCCCAATCCGACATAAAGTAAGGTGTGCTGTTGGGGTGTCCGAAATGGGACGGTGGAAAAAAATGATGCATGTCATCCTCATTGTCGTCAACGAAGTGTGGGTCGTGAAGACTTGGTGAGAACCGTCTTCTGGAACTGGCGCCCACAGGCGATCTTAAATCATCTTCGAATGTCCTTTCGCGGGCATAAAATTGGTCTGGGTGTGATCCAGAAGGAGAAAAGGAACCCGGACGTTGAACAGAAGGCCGCGGCAGAGGTCGAGGCAGAGGTCTAGGCGAGAGGGACGGGAATCGGTTCAAGGAAAACGGACGCTCCCAGTAGCGTTGCGGCATTTGAGCATGGTAGGGCGGGCGAAGTGGCCAGTAATATTGTTCATCAGATTCGTCATACAAACTACCGTCTTCGGGATCGCTGAAGGTTTCTCTCCATCTGTACCTGTTTGAAGGGTCTTCATGTTGACGGAAGCCCGGACGATATCGATACGTTTTTCTGCGACGATAAGGTTGAGGAGAATAGTCTGCCGAGGCATAATCGTCTTCCTCGGTATCGTATGGAGAGTGGAACTGACGATGAAGCTTAACCATGCAATAAGAGTGATAGTATGCGCAAGTTGTAACGTAGCAACCAGAAAGAAATGATAAAGGTAGTCAACCGTATCAGCGCTCTCGCTAAAGGAATAAGCAAAACAAAGAAGGGAAGATAGTGTCGGAACAGAATGACAAGGTCAGTTTTTAACACAATTTACTGAGAAAGGTTTATTGTTTGTCATGGGATAAAATAGATCATACTGTGGTTCACCAAAAAGGTTCGTGCGACAACTTTCTGCTCCATCGGCTTCTCCACTTTTGGAAGTTTCTTGTATATTGAGTTTCTAACGGCTCTTCATGATGCAAAAAAGCTTGTTTGCTTCTGACACCGTGGGTCCGCTCAGATATCAATGCAAAGTGCTTTATCTTTTTTTTTTGTCTGCTTTTGATTTCACTCACGAGGAATGTATTAGCAGGAACCGTGCCTGCCTAAAAGACAACAAAAAAAAATTGGCTTTTTTTTTCCAATCAAAAGGCTGACTTCTAAACAATACGTTTGACCGCTCAGCTTTTCGTGTCGTGTTTCCTCAGTTCTTTCGCTGTGTAGCTTTGTTTTTTTTTTTTTTATACCAGCTGTCAAATCCTACTTTGCACATGACAAATATTTCGCAGACACCTGAGATTCAGCAGCTACAGCAGTATATTCTCAATATGCTGGCTCCTGTCAAAGGAGCGGATGGCTTACCGATCAATGTCGCCAGTATCATGAATGAATACCTGCAAGCATTTGGTGACCCAGAAACTGTCAGTCAGTTTGGTATTTTATCAGCCTCAAACAAGGTATAACAGAAACTCTCGATGTTAGAGGCTTCATCTTGGTCATGGGAAAAAAGGGCTAATGGACCGTTCCCAGCAGCAATACGAATTTTTTGGCGAAGAAGCCCTGAGATTCTCCACGGCGACCTACGTTCGCAACCGATTCATGAGCTTGGAAACCGATATACTTAAAAAGATGACAGATCTCATGATGAAGCGTCACGTTCTCATTAAAAGAATGTGTAAAAAGCTTGAAATGTCGCAGTATATTTTGGGAGACAATCCAAGGAGAACCGAAGTTGAAACTATGCTTGCTATATTGGGGTAAGTACGCGATGAAATAGACAGTGAATGCATACGAGCCGTAAGGGGTCGCGTTGCAATACTTAGGAGGAAGTGGCACGCGTAATTAAAGGTTATCAATTTTTTGTTCATGCAGGATTACCCAAGCATATTTCGGTTGCACAGCTGTCAATGCATTTATGGCTCCATTGTTTGACGAGTTCTGTTATGAATTATTTCTGCCGCTTCCCAAAGTATTGCGTACGTCTATTGGACTTGAACCATCGGCAATTTCCACATTGGGTCCTAGTTACGCATTCCAAAATTTCATCAAGACCACAGATGGCCGAATAGAATTTTCATACCACTCCACCACAGATAACCCCGCTGCATACGAAAACGCATGGAGTTGCACCGTTCGATACTCTCTCACGTCAAACTCGCAATGGTACTCTCATACCCGAGCAGCCAAAAACAAGAAAAAAGCACGAACTGCCATCTCCGCGGATATAATGCAATTTTACGAGAAACAACCCCACCTGAGAAACGAACATAAAACGCCGACCAACGAGCCTTCAACCACCATCCCGTTACCAATCGATCCCAGCGACTATTATCAAGTACCATCCACTACAGCCGTGTCTAATCCCAATCCTGCGAAAAACATGGATGAACTGATGCGATCGGCCAGTTCTTCGCACGTTTTCATTCCGGAAAAGCGCCGTGAATACGATATGGAGATGTCCTCCGCCGAAGAAAACGAACTTATCAATGCCTTACTAGGCAACTTTGCCCGCATGCATACAGACGATGACGAGTCGGACTCTTCCAGCTCAGCGAAACGAATCAAGACCGGGGAAGAAGCTTATGATACGCCGCAATCGCTACAGTCAGAGGAGCCCAACAAATCGAGAGAAAGTGACATGTGCTCTTTACCATCTCCCATCACGCCAGTTCCAGAAGACGATTTGGTGGAAGCGAATCCTGGCGGAAAAGACCGTATCCGAAAGCTCTTCAGGGGTGTTGCTAATGTCAAGCTCGTTGCCACCGATCCACAACAACGCCGAATGCCCAAATCCGCTTTGCTAGCTCTACTTCAAAAAACCAACGGCATAAAATTCATCACCATTTTTAACGAAAGCGGGCCCGCTCACTGCCGAATCTTTCAGGCTACGAGTACCCTAATCGCAGGAGATGACTATTTGCAAGTAAAACGCGCCAGCAGGAAGAAAACCGATTCAGAATCACAGGCTACGTTGGCCATCTTGGATATTCTGGCAGCTGATTCATGATCTTCTATTGTGGAGGACATTTTTTTTCTCCCCTGAAGCGTGAAAATCTAGAATTCGCGCATCCATTAACCTTTACTACGTTTTTAACCCTCGAATTGTATAATTGGCCTATGCGGATTCACAGCAGCACTTGCAATTTATAGAAGATCCTATCCCTATCCTCGCTACTTTTATCAAAATCAGCCTTCCGTACCTGAAATTTGGTTTTATTTTTACCAGATAGCCATATGAAGATCTTTCAATTAAGTCTAAAAAAGCGCAACCAGTAAAGCATATCGTACATTTCAACCTGCAAATCAAATGATTTAATCATGGGAATAATGTGAGCGTCATAGTCTGATTATGCTCTGAAAGACATTATAAATATGCAAATAACACATGTTTTTGCTGTGCTTTGTCTCCTTTAGTACTAGATCTCTTATGACGCTGGTCAAAGCTCAGCGGTTCCCCCCTCGGAAAACAAGGATCAGCATCATGATTAATGCAGCGGCATTCCTCGATGGAGTGATATCTATTCAAGGTTGGCTTCTGGTGAAGATTATAACAAATCATGCAAAAGGGACCAAGGTCAACCGATGAATATCGAATCTTGTCAAACGATAAAAGCCCTCAGAGAATAAAGCACCCAGCAACAATGAAAACAAAGGATAATAATACCCAACGCTGGCTCCTGCCGAGGAAATATGGGGACGGCTATAAGCTATTTTGCGCTCAGCCTATGATTGAGCAATTCGTTTATCTAAAGTACTGTATGCGTTCAAATATCAAATAAATGCATGAACTTTAAACAATAGCAAGCACTGGTTCCTTGTTGCTTCATTTTCATGACCAGTTCATTTCTCCTAAAATGACATGATTTGCCGAATAAGGTTTTTTACTTTAGAAACGTCACATGTAACTACAGCAGCCGTCTTCCACTAACTCTAAGGACAATCAAGACGTTTAGCGGCACGATATACACCAGTAGGAAAGAGTTGGTATTCTGGCGGTTTTCTTTGTAAAAAATATATAGAAATACTTGTTCATTTTTAATGAATAACACTACAACAAATAGGGCGGATGTATAAAGGGTAAGGTAAGACGCGGGAAAAAAGAAAGTAGATAAACAAGCGGAAATCATTTACATAGAATCAAGGTACAGCCCAAAAAATAAACCCAAGGTACTCTTAAGAAAAAAAAGAAAAAAAAAATGATGGTGTGTACAAAAGCATCGAACACAGTTGAAAGAAAACATATTACTAAGACCAATTTTGCGGCATGGGTGTAGTAGTGGCTAACGATGGATGGTCATGATCCATGGTATCGTTATGATTGTTAGGAGGACCGGACTGGGCTGCAGCAGCAGCAGCGGCGGCGGCAGTCGCTTGCTGAACCATTAACAGTCGATGAATTTGTTCTGGGGAAAAGGAAGTGACGGCTGGCGAAGTCGCTGTACCGCCAAAAGACGGCATCGATGGGAATGCTTCCTGCGGCGGCGGCGCTTGTTGAGCCATCATGCCCATCCATGACAAGTTGGGTGCGCTACCGACGGTAGGCAAAGGAGGTCGTGTGGGGTGCGGGTTATTTGTTAGTATGGTCCCTACAGTGGAGGGTTGCGGTTCCATCTTGACGTTGTTGAAGCCTTGTTTTCCAAGTAAAACATTACGAAATCCATCTCCTGGTATGACCTGGGTCGGCATTGAACCAGCAATGACGACAGCCGGTGAACCCGACTGCACGGCGCAGGCTTGCTGCGATTTCGACGTCGTCGTTCCCTTTTTGTTATCCAACGAATGCCGCCGCTGACGTTTGTTAAGGGTCTGAGGATCCCATCTGGAAGGAGCAAATGTAATAGGTCGACCATTCGAATTTGCACCACTCATTTGCGGATTTCCTGCGTTGTTGTTCATCATCGACGACGTGGAAACCCCTGATAAATGGCCACTATTGTCATCAAACGTTGAATGCAAGTTGACCATACCACATGCATTAGATCGCTTTCCAGTCACGCCATTGGTTATGCCTGCAGATGCAGCCGTGCCTTGAGATAAAGTCGGTTGGGAGAATGCTGTCACTGATTTATTTTTCGCCTTCTGATTAGACCCGCCTGAACCCGAACCAGCACTGGCACTTCCTCCGCTTCTATTGCGTTTCTTGATAACGTCCGTCTTCAGACTCAGTGGTCGTACAACGCCATGGAGCTTCAAAAATAATCCACAAGCATTGCAAAGCGGTTGGCCTTCAGGATTTCGACGCCACAGAGGGGTCGTTGTGGTACTACAATTGGTGCATTTGGTGGAGCTGTTATCCTTCTTTCCATCGTCTTGCTTTTTATCGTTTGCGGTTTTTAAAGTCGTCTGCTGCGGAGACGCAGGTTGAGTATGCTCAGTCGGGCGGGTTGGCGATCCAGTAACGGACGAATTGTTGTCACTGCTACTCATCATTCGTTGCTGCGGCGAAGTGGAAGGCAAGGGCATATCTACAGAATACCCACACAATTTAGTTTAAGTCGATTTTTTCATTGTTCCCATTAACAGAAAAAGAAAGAAAACTCTGAGCGATTTTCGTTACCATGTGTATGGGGTACAAAAATATTGGTGTTCCTTGTCGAAGTCTGAGTTTCATTGGCAACCAACTGGCGAGGACTGATATGAGTCAATGAACGGGACGGCGGTTCGTTCCGATTATTGATAAACGCCATTGTATTATTGGACATGGCACCTGAAGCTGCTGGACTCGTGACGGTAGCTTGTCCATTACCCCCAGTGTAATAAATGTTGAACAGCTCTTCAAAACTCATGGCACCAGCATGGACCGCCGCTGCATTCAAGTTCATCGGTGAGGAACCAGCCTCAGTCGCTGTTGGGAACAAATGCCGTGGTGAATGAGGATCGGTAGGACTCATGCTGAACATTCCGGCCGACGCAGTCTCATTGGCAGGGATAGTCAGATTCTGGAAATGGTGGTGATAATTAGGAACCGATTGACTGTAATGCTGCATGCCATTTTCGACGGATGACGGATGGAACGAAGATGGTGAGGACAAGGGAGATGCGGCGTCGTACTGTGAATTTTTTGTTTCCTCTTCTATTTCATGATATTCGTCCATATCTGAGTCTGTAGGAAGGTCTACAGGAATAGTAATACTATTGGCCGTAGCCGCAGATAACAGGGAAGTAGCGGTAACCTAGAATCCGATAAAAAAAATTCGCCAAAAAAGAACCCAACAGTTAGCCATCAGTGTCCTATGCAAAGTACGTGACATGAATAAAAAGAAAAAGCCTTACATTAGCCTTTGAGTTATATGCAGGCATAAGAAATTGAGAGTCTTGTGATGATGAGGTCAAGGCCCCACCTGGGGTTGACGCCCGAGTTGAGCCGTAAACCATGACATTTTTGTTTTGTGGATTCTGATGATGCGAAGCATGCTGGAAGGGAGGACCGTCGTTCAAAAAGTCAATCATGTAAGGGGGTGCGGAGGATGATAAAAGAGTGGTGGTATCATCAGGTGCTGGTGGAGATGTGCGCATCGATGGATTATTGACGTTGGTGTTGCCATTCGCTGCCGTGGAAGCCGTAGATGTGGGTTGAGCTGAGTTATCATCGCCCATCAACTTTGAGTTTTGCGCAAGATAAGAGGTGTCCATATTCATATCTGCATCGTCCTCTTGCATATATTCGTCTCTTCCTTCCGTGTCCTCCTCTGCATAACCTGGTGTAGTGGCGGCGGCAGCTGCTGCTGCTGCAGCTTCTGCTTTCTTCTTATTCAATGTCATGGCCATCATGCGCCACGTTAAATTCTCCAAACGAGAACCGTTGGGTAGCGCATCTTTGGCTTTCGTATACATTCGCCACACCTGCGTCGCCAAAGGATCCTTCCGTGATTTTCCATTATTCTCATCAGACTCATCTGAATCGGCCTCAGAATCATCATTAATGATGGCTTTGGGTTTTCTAGGTGGAAATAACGAGTCTTCCAAGAGAGCAGCGGCAACAGCGGGAGGCGTCTGTGGCGAAAAGCTGGCCGTAATATTTTTTGGAGACTGTTTTTTTAGATCTCCCAAGTGAAGATTGCTGTGCTTGTCGTGAGAAATGGTGATGGAGCTTTCCATGGCATAGCTCACAAAGGAGAAAAAAAAAAGCGACAAAGTATAGAAAAGGGGCGATTGACTAAGATAAAAAGGAAAGGTCGAAAAAAGAGTTGGAAAAAAACCATCACAGATGTACAAATCAGAAAAGATCGGAGATTCAAGCAAACTGCCAAATCCGGTATACCCACTGAACAGGGAAAAAAACGCCCCGTGCAACATGGCTGATGACGTACATTACACTGCCCAGAATTTGGGCTCTTTGCCAGAGCATGATTGAGTCTCGAGCAGTCAACCTCCCAAAAACCTCTCAAACTCGCCTGTCAAGATCAAGTTTTTCAATTTTCAATTTGTATTAAGCGTTGGTCCAGAAACATCGCCCATTGATGGAGTAGATAAGCCACATTTTTTAGCCTTTTTCCGATCGGGCGCCTGGCTTTATGTGACCCTGTGTAAAAAAGGATCTTCCAGTGTGTCAACCTCGTAATAGAGGACTTTCATGACATGTGCAATGGATGCAATGGTGTCCATATTTTATCATGCTGCAACTGGTTAATCATGGACTCAATCATGATGATCATATTAATTACACAGTTGCTTTTTTCATACAATGCACTTCAATGACCAGGTCTGTGACACTGGCCACAATGTCATCTTGGCTACAAGCTTATTTTTCACCAGGATCCGTGATACAAAATCCCTTGATTTCCATCTTAATTACCTCCGTTGTTAGAAGTAAAAAAAAAAAAAAAAAAAAAACAGGTTATATGTTGTCGATAACCATTTAGAGTAAAAAAAAAGTTGAACCCACATAAACAGCACACACAACAGTTGGGTATTGCTGCATTTTCCAGCGGTAGTAGGGATGGAGCTCAGGTCATCTTGATTGGACCATGACTTGAATCGGGGAAATCAGTGTCATCGGAGTCCATTTGTCACCCAAAGAAACATACGCTGGTATGTAACATGTGATTTGTTTTTTTCCCTGATTCATGATCAGGGACCAGTTGGCATTTGTACAAGTTGGGCTTTCTCTCTCCGTTGCCGCGGGCAAATCGCTAAGCGGACTTGTATGTAATAATAAAATAGTAATCAATATCCAAAAACTCTAAATGTTATACTGTAAATATATCTTGCTACTATTCCGGTAGCAGTTTTGCCGCCTTTCTGTATAACAGAAATGTCAATTTATTGTGAGGAAATGTTGTCCGACACAAAGTAGAATATCGGTGTCGATCTCCTACGCTAATATACTCTATTTTGTGTCCACGTTACTGGCTCCTCATTTTTCCTTCTTTCCTCATACAGTAAATATGCTCGGAAATCATTTGCTTATAGTATATCAGCTTGCCTGGACAACCTTCCCTTGGGCACAGTCCTTGAACCGGCACACGGTCTTTGGCCTGTGTCCGTTTTATGACACAGTCAAATTGCGATGGCGGCTCTTCACCAATGAGGGGTACACTGGATAAGGCGGGCAAATACCCTGACGCTCAGCAAATAATACGAGCGCCCATTGGCTGAGCATCAATATAAAGTATCCAATGAAATGGCACCCATTGCAAGAATTCACCTCCCGTCTCCAGGAACACGGCTGAGTCCACGGAACCGTTAGTTTCAGAACGTCGAGAACCAAAAAAAAAAAAATCCCACACCGTATAGAATGAAAGGATACATTGTTCTGCCAGTCAAAGAAGCATATCTGAACTTCACACAGAGATACAGCCGCAGTGCACAAGGATACTGCCTTGCTGCTGATGGACAGCCAAATAGCGTTTGTCGCACATTGTGCCGATTATCCTGTCCCGGCATTTCCAAAGCCAGCCAATTCCGGAGGTATCTGAAGAATTCCACATTTGACAGGTTTTTAATAGTTCTCTCAGAAGCTTAGCTTTTGAATTCCTAGATCTCTAAAACTCGATTGTTTTCCACAGACATGGCCAGCCAGCCGTTCCAACGTTATGCCATGACAATGTCGCTCAATAAATAACACATTGTCAAGGATCCAGTTCACTCATAATGGCCCCGCCGTTACTCATAAAGAGCGTAAAACCAGACACAGCGCAAGTGGCGCACCGTGGCAATCGTTGATGATTATGTTGAATAGAAAATGTTGGTAAATCTTGGTGAAATTTTCGCAAGGCAATCCCCTCCATACGGATATTATCAGGGACCAAGTTCCCTCCTTAGTTTGAGCTTTTCCGACTGGAAAGAATCAAGAACTTTTTAACCGATCATTTGGGGATTAAAGACTATAAAAAACATCTTCTGGGAGACATCTGGCTTGATCTGCATGTTGGCAACGGACTTTCAACGGCGTTGTCCCAGTCTCGAGCATCAACCGATGTACCTTACTGCTTCTACAGGTATGCATCTGTCTGCAAACGTTACCACAATGTGATCGACGCTCAAGATATATCAATCCGACTAAGCGATAAAATCACGAACTTGAACCCATGGTTTGTTAGTGAAAAATAATAACACTTAGGCTACTTGCCTACTGTAATGTCTTTCCAATATTCGAATTTGTCCTGCTTTACTTCCCTCACCTTTGGCAATATTTATCTTGTTGATTCCTTCTGTCTTAATATGCTGAGTTCGCGTGCAATTCAGCTTTGGATTCCAAATTTGCTTTACCTCTATAGTGCCCTGGCAAAAATTTTTGTAAACCCGATAAACTTGTTGACTTCCCTAATGTCTTTTTCATCTTTCAGTTTATTTTTCTCGGGAAATGAAGATATAATAATAAAATAAATTGCAAGGAAGCAAAACTCATGACTTGGCTCTTTATTTCCGGGAGTGAGGGTAGGATCTCCTCATATATATTTGATCTTGTAGAATACGTGCGTATCCTGATGGGGAAATTCGCTGAAACTGACGACTTTGTTCATCAACAAGAAGAGCCTATCTTCATGAGGATGACTTCTATTTTCAATATAAAGTGTATAATACGAGTTAAAAGATAGTTTAACGAGCCATGCATTACGTCTGTACCAAAGTTATGTGCACCTGTGTATCCGATCAGCCAAACACAAGAACACTTGAATAAAAACATCCCGATCTCTCTCTCTCTCTCTCTAACATTATCTGAGACCTGCTTCATGCAGCTATTTCATGCGATGAGGCCGCACTCTCTTATCAATGGATAAATATGACGTGAAGCGATGAGAAAAGACACATGGCGTCTTTTTCCTGCTTCATTATTGGGCAATAAAGGTTTTAGCTACAGTACGAGGAATCGCCTCTTTTTTCATGTCTGTAAAAGACGACGCATCTTCCATCCATTTTATTTCCTCTCATCACACGTCTATTTTCTTTTTTCTTGCGCAAAACCATCCATCCATTGCGCCATACATTTTTTTATTGCTCATTTTCATCAATATTTGCTCAAATCACCCATCCTGTACGTATACTCAGGATGACCACAACTGTGATATCAAAGCGACTGCACCTCTACATACAGCTTGGGCGCCGAAAAGCATTTTTTTTGTGGTCAACAAAGAAATTTTTTGTGAAAGGTAATGTATTTGTGCTCAAGTGCCTTCCTTACTTTTTGAATGTTATGCTGAATCACTTACTTGTTGTGTGTGCTTCTATACTTTAAAAACTCGAACAAAGCCCATGCCTTGGCGGTGTGCGGTGGCGGCTCCGCAATGCGGTGAAAACAGTTTTTTTTTGTAAGTGAAAACAAAAGAAGAGTAAGTGTGGCTTGTCTAATGCATCCATCTTCTTTTTTGTATGTCTTTGTCCTTTGGTTTGCTCTCTTATTTAGTTAAAACAACATCACCTTGCCTCTTTTTAAAATTTTTGATTTGTAGAATTGTTACCCAGATTTTTTTAATTAAACTGTATAGTAGTTATTTTACGCACAAATCTCGGGTTTTTCTTCGCTTATGTCTTTATGATTCCATAGCCAAGGATTATAATAGAGAGCAGCCCTATGGCAGGTAACTGGACATCTAATTTCCCTGCAGCGAAAATCCCGCCTTTTTCGCCTTCACAAACTAATTGATCTATGCAGCATCCAATCGATCCGATAACGATACCGGAGAGAAAGGTTTTTGATGCTGATATTTTAAATACATCAACGTAGTTCTCTGCTTTGCAATTATAATGTGGTCTTCCATTGAATGTGCTTAATACTTTTGCCAGCCATTATATGAGGGTGTTCCAGTCGATACGCATTTTTATGTGTGGCAATGCAAAAGAATGGGTGACCGGAAACCAATGAGAAACGAGTGCTCTTCCAAGGAAACGATGCATTCTGTTTCCATGGATACATGGCAATGAATAACGGAGCGGTCGTTTCCTTCACAAATTACGTAGCTTTTTATAACAAACCCCGCCTCTCATATTTTTTTTTAATCTGAGTGAAGCACACCATTTAGAGTCATACTGGTAACAAGATTGTTCATTGATGTAATGTTAATTATGACCATCCCACGCTGAATTACGTCAAGTTCTGTGGAATGTCTCCGTTTAATGAGCGGCGAACGGTAGTCAGTTGAAACATACGGCCAACATTCAAAATGTTTCTTGAACAGCAAGGCCATTGCGCATAATGCTGTGTTTATGATATTCCAAGTTTATGTCGCCGTCGCCATTTAGCATGAACCCCTGAGGTTCGGTCTTAAACAATGTATCATTGTCAATAACAAGAAGTCCGAACATTCATGTGTGTGTTTCTTCATTTACTTCATTTACTTCATGTTGCGTCCTAAAAGATCAACTGACTGTAAGCTTTTCTCCTTATCACTGGATATCTTCTGAATCACGATGTTCGCATTGTCTGAAAGGTTTTTTCTCGGTGTATGCTCTCTCTCTCTCTCGCTCGATTTAGTTCTTGTAAAACATTGAATTAAAATTGCGTGATAAAGCAATCTTACAGGCATGACCTATCAATGAACTTACAACATTTATGAACTAAAACTATGCGATACTGGAGAAGCTAACTGTACCGTGCTTCAAAGATAAAGCTATTAGTTCAACTGAATATTTGCAAAAGACTTCTCATGTCATTTATTCATAAGTCTTAGATCAATTCATAGTAAAAATATTCTAAAACCGAAAAAAAGTGGCTCCATTTTCAACAGACGATACGCTTAATCCCTGATAGACCCCAAGAAAGGGGAGTTGGACAATATCAGAAAAGTTGAGCATGTACGCGCTGATGTACTCAATATCTCATGATTCTTTATTCTGGAGTTTCTTTCGAGGATGTCACTCAACAAAAGTTTGCCCATTTGATAACAAATAATAGGATGATCAATTTTTTTCAAATGGGTGTTAGTTTTTCCTGCTATGAAAACAGTAGATCATTGTTTCAGACAATGGTTACTATGGATATAGTTAAAATACCATGAAGAATATCGAACGACCCCAATTTCATCAGTGTCACATCTGGGAGTGAACGCAAATGGATATGAAACGATCCAAAAAACATTACCTGGTAAGTTTTTGAATCATCAGAGTAATATGTTTGAATTTGTTCCATGATCCTTTTCCTTGCAAATTCCCAGCTGAAAAAAATCTGGTTGTCGCGGAGCTCGATTGCCGAGACTTCCTGATCACGATGAAAAAAAGATAGAGTTACCGCTTTGCTAGTTACCAAATCGGGGACAGAACGTTGCAATGACTGGAGTTACCAACAAGCGGACAGGTTTACGAGCCCCGCGATTTCTCCACATACCCCAGACAGTAATATCTGGGAAAGGCGCGGGGCAAGCTGGAAAACCACCCGAAAATGGGAAAGGGTGGCTGGAGACATTCATTCAACTCCGCCAAAAATGATGCCTTTTCAAGACATAGTGAAGTCCACGCTCCTTAACGTTGTGCCGAAACAAAGACGCGAACATCGACGACGGAGCGGCAACAATGATTCCAAACGAGAGAATGTCCAAGTTATTCGACGGGAAAAATCAATATATCTGTTTTCAGATTAGCATAGATACCAATTGTCCCGACCATCGGGTAGATAAACTTCACGAACGTGCTTTGTGTAAGCCAATAGTAACGTGCACACTCAAATGGTCAAGCCCGAGGGCTATTGGGCAATTGGATGATATCTGACAATTTGATATAGTGCCAAGGGCCGTCATCCTTTGCACCACCATCACCATTCGTTCCGAGACACGCAATGTAAACCAATTTTAGTCGTTTGTGACCGTCCAGTCAAAGCTAACTCTGCCTTCTCGTTTGATTGTCGGGTTGCCTTATCTCGATGCTGGATCTATTGGTGTTCTTATTTTATTCCTTCTTTTGTTGTTGTTGCGCATAGTAGTGTGTGTATCACGCTCTTGTGCGCGAGTTGTCGGCCGGGTTCTGAGTAAGTTCCACAAAAGGAAACCTATATTCTCCTTATACGCATGTTGTGAGGACAGAATTCTTCCTTCTATAGATACAATGGAAACAGTCTCAATCCATAGAAAATAGCTTATCTATTTCCCAAGTTGGTTTGGCCAATGATGGCAATCATGGGATACTGGAAATGTGTGATTAGTACGAATCAAGTAACGACCATAATTTTGGCGGCACATGAAGAAGGAAATTGTCACATTTTGATGGTAATGCATTTTTATTCCACTTGTGCCAGCTGACACGACTTCTTTTTTCCTTGAGATAACCAGATGATAACCGAGGCATTGAATAAAGTAACATAGACTAACAGTTAATTCTGCAATTGCAGACGTTGTCTACGGTTGGCAGCGTCTGTTTTTTTTTCCACAGTCTATGTCCGTATTTGGAATTAAAATATCTAAAAGCCGGTTATTTCCAAGAAATTGTACTCTTTGTATGCTTTGTGTAATGGACACAACCTCGTTTATCTCAACGACCCGATAATAGTATACAATTCGGCGATACAAGCCTTTGTACCAATGCATGACTTTTTCCTCATGTCATTATTTATAATTTTTGGGAGAATCGGCATATTACGAGGCGAAAAATAGAAACCCGGTAATCAAGGTGGGGTAAAAATACTATTGTTGTAAGTTATGCGAGTAGGCGCATAGACTACCAATGAAATGCTGAATTCCCTTCTTTGTTTGGAAGCACTACGGCTTCTACTTTTGGTCAAAACGTCGTGATCCAAAAAAAAAAAAAAAAACTTTCCCAACGTTTATGAACAATAGTTTTACGGAACGGATGCCTGGTTGCTATCATTTGAACAACAAGGTTTCCTGCACTTTATCATCTCAACTGTGCTTTCGTGCTGATATTTTTAGTTGGCTGCATAAGAACTTATCCTTTTCGAGTGGGCTGCATTATCAAGCGTGGAGTAATACAAACCAAAGTTTGGGTTTATCGCCGGCATTTTGTTCACCGCAACTGGTGAGAAGGGTAGAAGGAAGATAAAGCAATATGTGAATAAAGCATTGTAAATCATTTATCTTCGTAGAAAAAGGCAAAAAATAAATATTATTATCTTTCAAACAGAAGACAGTATGTAGTAATTTACACAGGGTTTGAAAAGGGAAGAGGATAGAATTAACACAAACATAAAAGAGATGTTCGGGAATGGTAGAGAGAAAGTAAGGATGGAAGGTGAAAAGAGATTTCTCGAAATAATGCGGGGAAGGTTTCTAAAGCAACATGCCTGCAATAGATGCAGAAACCCAGGTACTGACAGCACCGCACAACATGGAGGAAACAGCCAAGCGGGAAATTTCACCGGAACGCTTGGGAGCCATGGAACTCAAGATACCGATTTGCATGCCGACGGAACCCAAGTTGGCAAAACCGCAAAGAGCGTAAATGGTAACAAGATGAGAACGTGCGGTCAGTTCACCAGCCTCCCAGAGGTCGACCATGCGCTGATAAGCGACGAATTCGTTGGCCCAAATCTTCCAGGCCAACAATTGACCGACCTTGACGAGATCCTGGTTGTCAACACCAATAAGCCAGGCCACAGGGACGAAGATGTAACCGGTGATCAACTGAAGAGTCAACTCATGGATAGTGATGAAGTTACCAACCCAGGTTAAACCGGCATTGACGGCTTCCAAAAGAGCAAGAAGAGAGACCAAGTTGGCAATCATCAGCAAGACAATGTTGATACCAATAGCTGCACCACCGCCCGCGGCGTGAAGAATATTGGCGTGCTTTTCGTCACTGGGAGGAATACGGACCTCTTTGCTGGTCAAGGGTTCATCAACTTCGGGCATACGCAATTTAGAGATGGCAAGGGAGCAGGGAATAGACATGACACAAGAAGTCAACAAGGCGTCACCAGGAACACCCATGGCAATGTAACCGTACAACACGGAGCCAGAAATAGTAGCAAAACCAGAAGTCATGACTTGATGCATTTCAGAGGTGGTCAAGTAAGGCATGAAAGGCTTAATCAGAAGAGCGTTTTCACCCTGACCCAAGAAGGGAGAGGCGACAGCGACAACAGCTTCAGCACCAGAAACGTTGAGAACGGACTTGAAGACAACAGCACACTTCTTGAGCAACCACTGAAGAGCACCCATATAGTAAAGACACTGGACGGTGGCAGCGAAGAAAATAATGGTAGGGAACACGTTCATGGCAAAGACACCGGAAGCGACAGCAGCATCGCCAAAGACAAAGGATGAACCGGCCGAAGATTTTCCGAGATAACCTTGAGCGAACTTGGAAGCCCAGTTGAAGATATCATGACCAGGTTTAGATCTGAACACGAAAAGAGCCAACAAGAACTGGATAAGAATAGCGCTAGAAACAGTGTTCCAGTTGACAGCACGGTGATGCTAATAATAATAAAACCGATGTAAGTCAAATGTTTTTCATGGATTTTTCCATTTTCCATCATGGAGAAGAGACAAATGATAATTACCTTGGAACAAAGGAAAACGCCGCCAAGGAAGATAACCATACCAAACAATGCAATAATACGCTGGACACGGTTAGATTCAGGACGTTCGGGCATGGAGAAGACAGTGACGACGATCACGGCCAAGACAAAGAGACCGTAGGCAATCTTGCGGTACAGCTCAGGGATCATGTAAATTGGCTTGGCAACGAGACGGACGCAGAACATCCATGGTTTGGTAACAATGGTCTTGGGGACATGGCTGAAGAAGATATAGATGGTGAACCAGGCATAGATCAAACCAAGAATAAGATTTTCTTGATTGTAACCTTTGGGAACTTGCAAGACATAGGCAGCAATCAAGAAACCGGTGAAGAGGAGCCACATTACAAGACTGCAAAAAGCGGAGTTCATATTAATGATTGGTTTCAAAACGATTCAGATCATTGCAAGTGTTTTTTTTTTTTTGAACACCAGAAAGAAAGGGTCCAATAAACACGAATAAAAAAAAATTTTCACTTCTGATTACTTACTGGCACCAGAATAAGTACTTCTGATAGTACACACCGATCTTGCTTGGTCCCATGTTCTTTTCGTCGTTCTCAGCGGCTCTACGTTCAGCTGCTTCGAATTCGTCCATCTTTTCTTCATCGACGGGCGAGTGCATGTTGATAGACGTCGAGGTTTCATAGGTATCATCTTTCTTTTTGTCATCGAAGTTCTCGTACGATTTTTGTTCGGTGACATGATGTGTTGGCAAAACTTCCTCTGCGCCGTATTCGGAATCGCGAGGATAGCTGGTGGGTTTAGGTGAATGCTCCATGATAATGACAAGGAGGGGTACTTGTTGTTATAAAAACAAATGGAGGTAATAGGGGGAGGAGAGAATAAGATAAAGAGTAGTTAACTCGCGATGGAAGTATAACTGTAAAGATGGAAATTGACTTGATTCAGAAAAATAAGTTGAACTCAAAAATGCATTCAACAGGAACAAATACAAATGGGCAGGTATATATATGTAAAATCAGGATCGAGCGGGGAAAAACTATTCAAGGATGAAGGGAATAATGAAAAAAAAACTTGGGAAACGGGTGTAAAACCGTCCGAGACTATATAAGGATAAATCACGTGAGTCAATGGGTGTCTTGGTGGTCCGATTTTGGCTAAAATCGACGCTGGTTGGTTCTTCTGGTTTTACCAATGTTCTCCCATCCTTTCAACTGGTCCCAAAAATACCGCTCGTGAGAACCCATTATGGTGTGGCAGATTCATTTGTCCCAGATTTATACAATCGGCGCACCATTACTGTATTTGTAAAATAATTAGACAACTTTTTCAGAGAAGTATCTAGCTATCTCTGTTTCTATGCTACTTTGAAAATGGAGTCCACCCCGCGGTGGGAAATTGTACCGTTAAGCGTTACCCCACGGCAAATGGGTTCGAAGGGAATTTTTTCAAAAGGCCTTATCAACGTTTCCATCTTGTTGACACGCTGTTTTCATTTCCTTCTTTCGTTTCTTATCATCCTTGCGTTTCCAGATTAATCAAGATTCCCATTCTGAAAAAAATTTATGTTAAAGTTGTAAATTTTCTTTTTCCCTTATAATTCATTATCATCCAAGCCAAGTGAGCTTTGGTAAAACACCCAAAAAAAAAAAAAAAAAAAAAATAATCAGTCCATACCTGCACATGAACATTTGTAATCTCAAGCGAACGCACATCTGATACAGCTCAGAAACACTTTGATTCTCATACACCCGGCGACGTAGTTTTCGTATGAAACGATAAAAATCAGCCACTGCTTTCAGGCGGTTATAACATGGTTGATCAATAGTGGCCCATTGATCAAGATGTGAAATTCGAAAGCTATATTTTAAAGTCACGTCATGTTGATCCAGATCGCTCCTCCTGCCGCATGCGGGACAACCATGAAATCTGGGGGAACCGAATCTTTCCCATAAACTTTTTGTCACCTCACTGGATTGTAACTTGCGGGGTTTGGGTTCCGCGGAAACCCCAGTGGGACGTTTCTCCACAAAACAGGTGTTCGCAACCATCGCTTCTATAATATTTTTACTCGTCATCCTTGGATTCGGCCCAAATCGGAGACAGGGTTCAATGTCGGCAACGAGGCATTGCTTCATAAAAGGGTACTGATGTAGTTTGCGAAGCGATACATGGGGCGCGTCTTTGATGAACTGTTGAAATTCGGTAGAAACGGGAGTGTTCTCGGTAACGTCCAATGAAAAACCTACGGATTCATCTTGCATCATGATTGTCAAGTCGATATTGGCCCGCAACAAAATATTCTGAGACGGTAGCAATGAAAAACGGGAAATTGATTCATCTTTCTCCGCTTCAACGACCGCTTGGACGGGCTTGGTATTTTCCAGTGGGGGTTGACAGCACCACATTTGTCGTTCCTCTTTGGCGTGATACAGTTCTTCATTGGCTTGCTTCAGTTCCTCTTCCAGCCGCTTCTGTGCATCTTGAATCCGTTTTTTTTCCTTTCTTTCCTGTCCTATCAGCTTATTGGCTTCAACAAACAGTCGCTGACTCAATTCTTCCAGTTCACATTTAAGATTCTCTGTGGACTTCCTTATCTCCTCCGTCCGATACCGTTCCTCCATGTATTTACTGTGAAGTACAGACATGTCCTCTTTTAGTGATGATAGCTGCTTCAATTGCTGATCTAACAGCTGCCGCTTTTCCTGAATTGTCTTTTCGTACATCTGCTTCTCTGTTTCGTTGATCTGCTTCTGTGCCATCAATCGCTTCAGATGGTTTCGGTAGCGGTATTTAATCCGCAAAAACTCGAGGCGTTGGTCTTGCCGTTCCTTGAGCTGGGGTGATCGTTGGTCACACAATCCACAGTGCTCTGAATCCACTGATACCAGAACATGCCGACAAGCGCAAAGAACCTCCGACTCCGGGGTAACGTTACTACCGTTGCTGGCGGTGATGAAACCATCGGTGGAAGTAGACGATGCATCGTCGCTGACACTCATCGTCTGCATGCTTGCTTGAACATGGTCATGATCCATTAAGGGGGGCATGGGCATTGTCACTGCATCTTGCTGATCGGTTGGACAAGGAATAAATATCTGATACTTCCCTTTCGCACAGCAGATAGACTTCTCGAGCTGTCTGTAAAGCTGAGATATGGAATCTGGCTCATGTCCATCATAGCTCGTCATTACGAGTAAATAATAACAAATAAATATAACGCTTTTGGTAAAAAAAAAAAAAAGAAAAAAAAAAAAAAGAGAGCAACTTGCGATTCAATCCTTTTTTAGGTTTTTCGGTGATACTCTCTGTTGAACTTCTGATTACACAAGAAAAAAATACGATTTATTGGCACGTTCACATGCTAAAGTCAGAATCGTCTTGACAGAGACAAAGGTGATATTCGCGTTTCATTTCAGTCAGACTATCAAATATACTTCTGAAGTATGTTCTTTTCATGGAACGCGGTGAGAATGGAATTGATGGCCAGAGTATAGTTATGTCTTCGTTTCGTCCATTCGGTCTACAAAAAAATGAATCATCGAGTTAGTGTTGCTGAAGATGATTGCTGTCTGGAAAAAAGTGACTTACCTCGTAAGTCTGCATTCTTTCTTTCTCTGACCTGTCAAGATCCAACATATTTTGTTCATACTGCTCCACCGCCGAATAATGCTGTAAAAGGCCTATCACTGATGCACGCGCGGCCGTGGAGTTGGCAACAGCGGAAATCTGCTCCTGGTCAAGGCCGGTAAGATCTTGATCTGGTTCAACGTTGATAGTAAAGCCTCGGTCGCGAATTTGCTGATATCTTTGACGCCATTCTGTTTCCTCTTTACTCAATCGGTCTTCTATCGTCTGTTTGAGTCTGCCAGCATAATCAACGGCTGTTTCAAAATATAAGCGATGACTGCGAGTGACAGCAAGAAGATCGAAAATGATATCATGTTCCACACATCTGTATGAAAATGAAGAAAAAAGTAAATTAATGAATGCTGCATGCTGACACTATGATCTATCTGACTTACTCCTCCATACGGTGTTGCAGTATAGGCAGAGCGGCCGTCACCCAGTCGGATCCGGAATAGGAGGCTAAAATGGATATAATGTGAGCCTTGCATATCCAAACAAAACAAATACATTTTTGGGTTCCATTGTTGACGACAACAAACCTAATCGAATGGGCCGACTCTTCAAACTGTCCAGCTCCCAGACAAAGCCGTTGTAAGGAATATAGCTGATGAAATGGTAAAAGTCGTCATCCACCCATTTCTTGGCGTTTTTCTTGGTCTTTCGAGATTTGGTAGGCTTTTTGGACGCCTCTGTTTGAAGGTCCATAAGGGCTTGGAAACTAAATTAGAAGATGACGACGATTAGTTATGATCCATTCTAGTTAACAATGGACTGTAAAAAGGTACCCTGCTGCAGCGTCATGCGTGTTGCGAATCAATAGACTATTGGCAATGGCCGCTCCAGCAACCTAAGTCAAAGAAAATGTTAGAAACAACATTCTATTTCGCCTTTTTTTTTTGGGGGGGGGGGAACTCGCCTTAGCATCCATGCCTCTTGTAAATTCTTTGAGGTCTTGGATTTCAGGAACAAGACCGATATTCGTGTTGTTTAAAAGAACATGAAGCAAAGCAGAGGAAGCAGACACATTGCGAGTAATCTAAATCACAGATAAATTTTGGCAATTAGAAAACTTGGATCTGATACAGCACGAAATGCTCCATTACCTGACAAGAAAAAAACATGTCCCCTTTTGCGTCATCGTCTTTTTCGATATCCTCCGGCAACGGGTCTTCGTAGTATTTGTAGGAAAATATGAGGCCATAAATAGGTCTATGTGAAAGCTGTTAGCCTCTGCTCAGGTTAATCATGCGAATAAAGGTCTTACCCCGATCTCGAAATTTCATGTACTTCCGTTGTATGCAGTTCTTCCACCGTCACTGCAGATGTACAGTATTGTCCACACATTTGAGTAAAGACACCTAGAAGAAACAAAGAGAATCAACTCAGACACTGTTCAACGATAAAAAAAAAGGTAGGCCATCTTTTTGAACCATACCAGGGTCGGACTCCACGCGAGGCCAGACAGCTCGGTCTGGAAAAATCTCAGCGAGTTTTCGCTTGTTGGACTGAGAACTCATCGCGGGATAAACCTCTCTCTCTTTTCCTGCTTCTACGGAACCACCCACGGATTGACCTGAGAAATGGATATCACCACTTGTTGCTTGGAAACTTGTTGATTCAGCTGCGCTGGAAGTTCCCGATTGAGTAGAGGATGGTAAATGGCCGATCGGCGGTTCAGGGCTTTCTGCTTGAATCATTCAGCAAGAAAATAAAATAAAATAAAAAATCCGAATCCAAAAAGAAAACAATGTCTTCGGCAACTTTATACAAATGAGAAAAAAACGGCTCATAATGAACCGTGGCCTTCCGATTTGCTTATGCAGTCAATTCAGGTCCCAGACCCCGTCATATTGTAAAGTTCTTTGTGAAGCTTAAACCAGAAAAGAGTTTCCAGATGGACCCGATCCCTCTCCAGTTGTAAAAAGACCTAGATCCTGAATTGGCTGCAAATCCTAAAACTCCCAATTTACTAACAATTGCCCCGCCAACAAGAGGTAAATTTATGTAGTTGATCACAGTAAGGAGACCGTATTTCTCTGCTAAATCGTTTGTTCAAAGAAAACAGCGCTATACAAAGAATAACCTGAGGTCGAAATCATAGGCTCATCTACATTCTTTAAAATTTCTTCCCATACAGCTCCCCGAAATAAGTTTTTACATTATTCCTACTTGTTCCTACATGATATTGTATTACATTTTGCAGTCATCGTTTCTTGTGACTATTGTCTCCCAAATAGCGAACTTGTTTCCGCTCGCTGCAACGTCTATAGGCGTGCGTGACGGCGGGATCAAGTGTTGTCTTTTGTTTCAACGTTTAATTTGTATTAACAGACGGATTGCTATACATACGAAGATAATATTGACATAGCCATATCAGATCAAGCAGGCTAATCATTTTAAGAAGTAGGCATGGAAGCATACCAAGTCTAACCTTCGTCGCGGAGACCAATTGGACGTGATCACGTGTCGTCCCGAAAGCTTCTCAGGTCCATTGGCTGAAAAAAAAGCTTTCGAAAGCCGCCCGCTTTTTGTTATTTTCGCGAAGTGGTGCGCCCCAAGCTGGAATATTGTTGAAGGATGCCTCCAAAGAATAAGCGCCAAAATTTGCAAGCTGACGATGAAGAAGAACAACCTCTTCAAGCCGTTATTTTAACAGACAGCTATGACGAGCGCTTTCTTCCCATATCCCATGAAGTGCCACGGGTAAATGACAGGAAAAACTTTTTGTCTTTTTTCGATCATATTGGCTCACTCGCGATCGTGAAACTAGTGCTTGATGCCTCTTTGCAATATTCCACTCATCGAATACACCTTGGAAATGCTCGCGATTTCAGACGTTCAGGACGTCTTTGTTGTGTGCACATCGCATATCGACAAGATCAAGTCTTATCTGGAGTAAGTGATCAGCCATGTCATTTTGTTCTTATGCTGTGTTTAAGACATATTGACATTACATCGTAGGAACTCGCCGTGGATGAAATCCAACTGCCCGCTTAATGTTCAAATTGTCCAGACGCCCGAATGCATGTCTGTCGGCGATGCCATTCGTGAATTAGATGCGAGACAACTGATCACAACCGATTTCATTTTGACTTCGGGCGATCTCATTTCCAACATGAAACTCGATAAAGCGATCGAAGCTCATCGTGCACGTAAAAGAACAGATAAAAACTCTATAATGACTATGCTGTTGAAGGAAGCCTCTCCCACCCACAGCGCAAGGTACGCAAAAGATCGGTTGATTGCTATCAATTTTTGTCAGAAAAGAAAAGGGACAGTAGATACTGACGACTGTTACAGAGCAAAAGACGATTCCAGCATATTTGTGATGGATCCTCTGAGCGATCGATGCGTGCACTACGAAGCAGTCGAAGCTCTGCCACGAAAGCATAGAATTGAAATGTCACCTGAAGTGTTTGAGCGTCGCACCCAGATCGAAATCCGTAACGATCTCCTTGATCCTCAATTAGATATCTGTTCCGTGGAGGTATGTGATAGTAACACGAGACGGTTTTATGGGGATTTAAGAATAACCGAAATGGACGACTCTGTTCGATTTGTAGGTCCCTGCTTTGTTTACCGAGAATTTCGACTGGCAGCATCTTCGCAAAGACTTTGTCCACGGTATCCTCACTTCGGATATTCTGGGCAAAACTATCTATACACACGTTGTTTCTGATCCTTATATTGCCCGCGTGCAGAATGAGCAACTTTACAGTGTCATCAGGTAGGGTATTTCAGATCCTCGGAGAATCATTGAGTGTGCAAAAATTTGACGCTTGCCATTTAGCAAACACATTTTGAACCGATGGGTATTCCCAATTGTCCCAGAGACCAATTTGAAGGCGGGTGATGAATATGAATATATGCGTGGAAATATCTATAAAAATGCCGAGGTCGTGCTTTCAAGGTGAGTAAACATGGATTGTGTGCGAGAAATAGGACAGAAAGAACTGACAAGAGTATTGGTTCATGGTAGATCATGTATCATTGATGAAAATGTCCAAATCGGCAAAAATACGGTGATTGGCGAGAACTCGCGTGTCGGCAATTCCATTATTGGACGCAATTGTTATATTGGCGACAATGTGGTTCTGGAGGGTGCTTTTGTGTGGGACAATGTCGTTATTGGCAACAACTGTAAGATCACCAATTCGATTTTGGCACATCAAGTGACTGTCCTCGAAGGCACCACCATCCATGATGGATGTCTGGTTTCTGTTGGCGTAAGTATCAGGGAGACTGCCTGATTTTATTGGCGGGATGTACGCTTTGAATAACAATCGCTGACTGATACAATCGCACATTGGATTATTACAGACGATCATCGGTCGACAGCAAACAATTCCTAAATACTCCAAGCTCAGCTTATTACCTCAGCCCAAGACCAGCATGTTTGCCGATGATAGCGATGAAGAAAATGAAGGCGAAGAAGGTAAAAATGAATTCGTTTTACAAGGGCGTTATTCTAATGAATGTTGATTAGATCAAGAGCACGTGTTGACTGGAGATCACGAGCCTGTCTACTTCTGGAGTGCTCGTAGCAATGACGACGATGACACTGATATCCGAAATGTGTACCTTGGATCTTTAGCCTATGATATGGCCGATCTTGAAATTGCGGATCATGAACTGTCTGACAGTGCTTCCGAAGTGGGTGCTGAATCCGATGATGAATCTGATCTAGGGTCTATCACTGGCGCCTTTAATCTCGGCGGTGCTGGCACCAATTCGGCCAAACGTTCCGAAGAGTTCAAGAAGGAAATTGCTCAGACGATTGAGCGTTCACTGGAAGAAAATCACAGCGTGGATACAGCTGCGTTGGAAATCACGGGTCTACGCATGTCCAGCAATGGCACTTACACTGAAGTTCGCGAAGTACTGATCCCCATTCTGATTGACCGGATTGATCTGGCCAGTCCGGTGCCTAGCATGAAAAAAGTCTTTACCAAATGGGGTGATTTGGTTACCAAAGTAACTCACAGTCAGGACGACCAAGTGCACGTTCTGGAGATGATTCAGGTAATTTTTAAGGGATTTACTTATTTTTTTTTTTTTTTTACCCTGATATAGATTTACTCACGCATGATTTTTACAGAAACATTGTGCATCACAATCTGCATTAGGTAAATTATTCCTTGGCACCTTGCAGCTTTTGTACAATATGGATATCATTGAGGAAGATGCCATCATGCAGTGGTATGACAGCGAAGCGTCTCAGAACGGCTCAGCAGCAGAGATCGCTTTACGGGAGAAGGCAACCAAGTTCATTGACTGGCTTAATGAAGCAGAGGAGGAGGATAGTGATGATGAATAGTTTTATATACACATACACAGACATAAAAATCATCTTTTTTTTTTTTTTTTTTTTTTTTGTGTGGAAACGGTGCGGTTTGCCGATTGAGTGCTGCCTGATTTCTCACATCACCCATTTTATTTGAAGTGAGTGGCTTGAAATTTTGTGACGATTAACTCTGGCCAAGTTCATTCAAGAAATTCGTACTTGTTGAACACAGGTTTTTGATTCCCGGATTCATCGAAGCAAACTTGTGTTCGCCATGGCCAGCAACGAAGGTTCCCCCAATATTATCGGTTCGCTTATTTTCTGTCCAGAATGCGGCAATTTGCTCGATATGCCTGGCGTTGATGACGATATTCTCATGTGCCATCAGTGCAGCCATGCTTATAAAACAGCAGGTACATGTGACAATCATGGTCAATCGCGAACATATACTTAAACTTCTTGGCAGGATACGAATCCACCAAAGTGGTGACCACTTCTTCAGAACGTGCATTTCAATCTCCCTTGAAAGCAAAGCGTCATTTGGTGCAGCAGAGTAAACAGACCGAAGCCGAAGCTATGGTAAGACTTATACAATGGACGAATGGTTCCAGCGACAGTGAACTTACCGCATTGCTCCGTTTTTGCTTGCTTTGTTGTTATACAGATCAAAGAAAAGTGTCCGAACTGTGGTAATGATGAGATGGCATACCATACGATGCAGCTTCGTTCTGCGGATGAAGGTCAAACGGTGTTCTACAACTGTAAGAAGTGTGGCTACAAATTCTCGGTGAACTCATAGACGAGCAAGATCATGATTTTCCATTCGCTTCATCATGTAAATTTTTCTTGGTTATTTTACCCGTATCATTACTATACATCCATCATCTTTCCATTTTTTTTCTTCTTGTTTCTTCTTTCACTTTATTTTTTCTTTCCATTCGTACTTTGATAAACATTCTTTACGGATATGGAGGAAATTATTCATTGTCACGAATGTGATCGTTTCTACTCGCATCAAGACAACTTGAGCTTTTACATGTGCACCAGATTGCATATTACTTGCGAACTTTGCTTTACTGTTCATTCACGTAAGAACCGAAAAGTGAAAATGAACCATCCATATGATAATATAATCCAATCCTTCAACTCTGCAGACAGGTGTCCTCTTTGTAAAAGTAGTTGCCAAATCATCCAAATAGAAGCCAATGTAAATGATTGCTGCCCAAATGTACGCATTTTATTGCTTACCATTTGCAGCAGGCACCACCGACGATGGATATTTTATTTAAACCGGTTGTGTCGTTACTCGGAAATCTCCAACAGGTGACGCAGGTAAAAAAAAAAACAAAAAAAAGAGTTGATTTTCAGGTTATAGAAATTCAGATCTCATCCAAATATCAATGAGCAGTTTCAAATAACTAACATGCAGCGAGTCGTACGACATCTCAAGGCCAAAGTCGCGAAACAGAAGGAATTATTGGCACAAGCTCGAATCGAGTTGGCCAAAGCTAGAGACTATAAATGGTAAGTAAAATCCAATGTGCGTCGTGGTTAATATGGAAAAGAGATAGTTTCATGCAAAAATGTTTACTCAGGCAGATCCATCAACTTCAGCGTGAAAATCAAGTGCTGAGAAACCACATCTTCAATAAACCCTCGAAGTGACACAAGAATGCGAGGGGAAAAAGTCGAAAATCCATTACTTCTTCCTGTTGTCGCGCAATGGATAGCGTTTAACAAAGTAGAGAATGTGAGTACTGAAACCGCAAATCATATATGGCATGCTGCTCATCAAATGATTCGTTCAGGTTATTCATAAACATTTGATTTGTCAGAACCACAGCGAATAAAAAAGAAGCCAAAAGAAAAAAGCCCAAATTCATGATTCATTGCTCTGTGCATTCACTGTCCATCATGAAAACGAGCTAAATCTACTTATAAGAGAAGCATATGCTATTACTCAAGGCGAAAAAACCTTGTATGCTTAGAGAGGATTACGGTTTGCTTGGGATTAAGGAACGAAGCGTAGAAAACCAGATCCGACTTTCCATGAAGTCCTGAAGACCAATGAATCGCCTTGTCTCACCAAACCTCAAAATTCTGAGAAAGAAAAAAAAGCAGTCTGTTGTGGCTTCTGACATCACTCATTTTCCATTGGCCGATCTGAGTTCACGAGCTTTAGGTAGCTCAAATAACAAGAGCGACTTCGCAGTGACGAATTTTCGTTTCTTTTCTCTTCACAATTTTAGATAAACCAACACTATGGCTTTGAAGCGTATTAACAAGGTACGTTTAACTATCCGTGTCGTTAACCCCTCACGGCTTGTGTTTTCTCTTCCATCTCACTTGACCTGGGTTGTCATGTTGCCGGTGAAAGGAGGAAATGAAAAAGTGCAACGGTACTTGGTCCCTGTACGGATGACGATACTGAACTGTGCCTCTTTATTCTTAGGAATTGAAAGATCTCGAACGTGATCCTCCCTCATCTTGCTCCGCCGGTCCTATCGGTGACGATATGTTCCACTGGCAAGCTACTATAATGGGTCCTGTAAGTTGCTTGTTTTTTTCCCTCCCATTTTCCTTCTTCCTCTTCTTTGTGTGTTTCCTTTTTTGCTTCTTGTTGCCTGGCTTCCCCGGTGATGGCTATTTGTTTTACTGCTACAAGGATACTCATGGTTACTGCTGTATAATAGGAAGATAGCCCTTACCAAGGTGGTGTGTTCTTTTTGGCCATCCACTTCCCGACCGACTATCCCTTCAAGCCCCCAAAGGTAAGTCTTAGCTCCGCTGAAATCGTCAAAGTGTCGATTAGAGTACTTAATCGTTGGTATCTACTCTTTTTATCCAGATCAACTTCACCACCAAGATTTACCATCCCAATATCAACACCAACGGCAGCATTTGCTTGGATATCTTGAAAGATCAATGGTCTCCTGCACTGACTATTTCCAAGGGTAAGGATTATATTTTTTTTTTATTTCTCTTCATCCCCAGTCCTCCTGATTCTTGTATTTTCTGTATTTGCCGCTGTCTTTAGTTCTCCTGTCAGTTTGCTCCTTGCTCACCGATCCTAATCCTGATGGTAAGTCATTCATTCAATTCAACAACCCTCATGGTGTCAATTGTCGCTAATGGAGATTTTCATGTAGACCCATTGGTGCCCGAATTGGCTCACATCTACAAGACCGATCGTGCACGCTATGAGAGTACAGCAAGAGAATGGACTAGAAGATTTGCCAGTAAGTTAACATGCCGTTATTTTGATTGGATACAACTTACTTATTGAGCCTCTTTCTTTTTTTTTTTCCTTGTTTACAGTGTAAATTTGGGGATATAGTGTTTGGAATTGTACTTATGATAAAAGTGAAAGGTTCAGACTTATCCCACTATTCTAATGTTGCATTTTTTCTTTGAGTTTCTGGATGTAGAACGTCTACCCTGTTGCATTTGGTTTCTTTTGTTGTTTTTTACCTGTGCCTCGCTTATCTCACTTAGTTTTTCAAAGGTTGCTATAGGACCATGTTCAGTCGTCTTTACTACTAGACAGTCCTGATATAAGATACTTTGCAAATTTAGCGAAAAAAGGTATTTCCAAGCTGTGATATCTCCATAAGCCTTTGTGAACAAAAATGATGTGGGTGGGGTTGTGGAAAGGGGTGAGAAAGGTGACAGTATGGTCCCCCAACAGGAAAAATTGCCTGCTGAACCTGCAAGTCGCAAAAACGAGTGAAGTGACGCGGAAGAAAAGGCCCAGTAAGGCTCTTACCTACCATTGCAACGAAAAAGTAGATAACTTGCCTTGAATGACCTGGAATGACCACCTGTTCACTGGCGGAAACCAAAAAAAGTTGCTTCTCGTCGTCATCTGCACTGAAAATGATGTTCAGCACTTCAAAAAATGAAGTCGTAGTTTGAAAATTCAATTTCGCCAAAAAAAAAAGAGATGGGAGAACCTCCCACCTCAGCAAATAGGAAGCCTTTTGTGAAACCATCAGACATCAGGAGCTCATGAAAATGCCCATTTTGTAAAGTAGCGCCAATAGCCGGTCATCCCAGAGACACGAACCGATGTGTCATTTAATTAAGGAGTTCTTGCCCCACGGCTATTCTTGGAAAAATCTGGAAGATATTAGCAGGAGGAAAAGCATTGGCTCCATGCCTTGCAGGGATAATGAACATCTGCTATTCTGACTGACAATGCACTGAGGTGACAATGTCTTTTTCTAGAATAGTCAGATCTCCACAGTGGTCACGAACTGCTGTAAGGAGCCGTGAATGTGATGTCTCTTGCCAAAAGAACGACGACAAAAATTAGCAAATTGAGGGCAACTTTGGTCTATCAGTATACTTTGTCTCTTATTACAGCCTTCGTTAATCGAAGCTCCTCATGCCAAGAAGGAGCAATTGTGCTGTGGTGCCGCCATCTGTTTTGTTGGAGAATAGGCGTACGAGCATCCTGTTACCTTTTAGACCCGGCTTCTGAGGAACCACGGAAGGAAAGCCTTTCCTTAGTTTGTAATGACGAATTTAATTTGCCGATATTGCGACCTTGATCAGGATAGCCCTCCATAAAACTATTATATCATATGAGACAATATTATAGCAGACAACAGCGTTTCAGCCCGAATAGAACACTATAGTATATTCTTTAATTTAAACTACTATTCGATATCTAATGTGCCAATTTCCAAATGCTTCAATTTTGCTTCAATTTGTAAATGAGAGATATGGTTCTCTTCGAATGACATCACGTAATAGCATTAGTTCTAGGGAACGGAAAACTTGTGATCTTCACTACCGATTAATTATGAGCTTATTTTCTTCAGCACGTTATCATCATATATTTTGGATAGTTGTATTGATGGTTGTCGTCTCCGTGTCGCGTCTTGAGCGAATAACGTCTCAAAATGCGGATTACCGTAGCTTAGCTCATAGATAAGCATAATCATCTTATCAAGTCTTAGTCACTCAGCCCTTCATGCTAACATCTCACCATTACCCTCCTTAGATCATAAGTCAATTAAACATGATATTAATATTCTTTTATGGCTTTAAAAAGGACGCCTTTAATTCAGATTCAGAATCCCTTGAGCAATACAGCAATGCAAAAATAAAGAATTGCCTTCCCCTATCTTGATTATATTTACTATTTCCACGCTGAGGATTATGTCCTTAGATCACATTATGTGAAAATCCGACAAGATAAAAAAAAAAAAAAGGAAAAACAGGAAAAGCAAAAAAGGAAAGTGGGGTTTGACACCCTTGCTTGCTCGACCTGCAGTTCGTACCGCAGACCGAGCGTCAACCAAATTGAATGTTTGTCGATTAAGCTATTTCCTCTTACATTGTGCTTTTTCAGTTGAAAGATGAGGTGGAACGAGATTTTCCATAATTGGTAATTGGTAATAAGTGGCACAGGAAGCTGCGCCTTTTGTGGAGATTTCTCCGAAGCAGAAGCTAAGCCAATACCACCAAGCATAAAACATAAATCAAAGCCGATATACGCAATCGATCGATAGACTTGGTCTTTATTTGGCTCTGGAGTTTGAATATCTTATTAAACTTTACCTTGATAAATCCGTTTATCTCAAATGTTTGCCTCTACTTTAGGTCGACCGGCTTAGCCTATCAACGAAGCGTTGTAGAATTTAAAGGGTTTCCACAACACGGGCAGATCAAGAAAAACGAATAAACATGTTGCACTGATCTACAAAATTATAAAACCATGTATAGAAGATTTCTATTATTAAAAGACAAATAGTAACGACTCCATAGAAAAAAGTAAAACTTTTTTTTTCTTTGGATTTTTCCATTCTGCATCAGATAGTCGATCTCTCATCTTGATAAACATATTGATAGACCGATGTGCACAGCAGAATACCTCCACAAATCATCACACCATTAATCGACCAATACATCAGATCTGTTCTGTAAATAGCTCACCAAATTCGAGCATTGGGGGGAGGGGGGTGGATCGGTTTGGCGGTAATAGTGCGATGCATTCAGAACATTGACCGCGAGACGCGTGATCATCAATTTTTCGAGTTCAGTAAATTTTTGGTCTTGCTTATGAAGATTGCAAGTACTTTGAAGCGTCTCGGACTAGGACAATGCGAGCAAGGGGGAAAAGGACCCAATGAGTGTTCACCGACGATCATCAAGACCGTGATCACTTGCACAGGGGCTCTTGCTTAAAAGAGGTGACAATGGAGATTTTTCGGAGAAGGAGAGTTTATAAATTTTAAGTATATACAAACGCAATAAACGCAATCAAGAAAAAACGAGGATATTATCGGATAAGAGTGACGATCTTCTGAGCGAATATGGCATGCACGGTTATTTTTGCTTCGGTAATTCCAAAACGTGCTCTGGCATAACATGCTTGACTTCGTTGTTATCGTCTTCAAATTGTACTTTGTAGTTACCGGGATAGGCGCTGTCTTTGTTCTGGTTTTTTTCCCCACGAGATAATGAGGTTAATGATGACAGCAATACAGATCGGTCTCCTTTTTACCTTGCTGGGCGGCGCAATGACGGTAGCCTTGTAAAAACATGTGGTGCCTGGATATAAAGCCAGCACATCCAGCCCCGCACTTGTTTCCGGAAAATTACGCATTTCATCCCCATCCGGCACAGGAATCACGTTACGTGGTTGCAACATGTACCGCCTAGCAAACGTTTGAACGACGGAATGCAGCGCAACCACCCATTCTCACTTACTGTTTCTGCCCAAACTCGTCTTGATCTACATCTTCTACTTGGTATCTATCATAAGAATAAAAAAAAAAAAAGATCAGCCTCTTGTCAGACGTCTTCCGTGATGCCTCGAACGGATACTATACTTATTCTTATCTGCATGATAACTAATGACTACTGCCAGTATCCATTCCTCATTCTTGTCTTTCTGTTTAGGCTGCCGCGCAGCCACCTAACATCCGTCACCATGGTCAGCGAAGAACGTACCTCGTTGTAAAATGCATCCCAACTTACCGACGTGCCTGGCGGTATAATGCCACTATTACTTTGTTTCCATTGATGAAATAAAGGCTCACATTAGACAAACATGACAGAAAACCAATATTCGCCACCGAACCCAAGCTGGTTATTCTCCTTACCTCTTTAATTTCTTCCCAGGTGAACTTGCTTTGAGATCGTCACCTTCTGTTTTTCGTTTCTTCCGTTTCGGATCAATCACTGTGATCATCGATACGGATCAGACATGATGTTACGAAAGCCGCCCTTTCCATTCCGTCTCACTGTACCGTTGTTATACTCGGAAGCATCCCGTAAAGCGATCAGTACTGACACTTTTTCAATGATATCTGTGATTGTTCTGAAAATAAATCAAGGCACCACCGCCAACAGCACGTGAGTAAATTCCCATTTCGTGCTTCCATGGTGCATATTCTTACCTTGCTTCGCTCGACGTCAGGTCGATACCTCCTCGATAATACTCTTTAAGGCGTTGTGACAAAGCGGTGGAGATGCCTGCATAATGTCTGTTTTAGAATGGTGACTGACCCGCATCGGCGTTGGCAAGACAAGAAAGTTCCATGGAGATGGTTGTGTTGCAGCGACACAAAGCCTTAGCGTGGGTAATATAATGTACCTTCTTCAAAATTGACTGCCAAATGGAGTTTGTTGATATTGTTGACCACGACATCAGTTTCTTTTTGGATGCCTTCTAATTTAACCAGTGATGTGCAGATTTGTTTCCAAAGACTAAGCTCTTCGTTGGTTTCTTCCAAAGTGGCTGATCGCGAAGTCCGGGATTTACGATCCATCTTCGGAGAATAATCCAATTGTCAGTAATAGAATGATTAATAGATGAATAAATGCCAGAGGGTCCGTATAATAAACAGTACGTGGTGTCTAATAAACAATAAAGTCAAGAGACGTTCAAGTGGAAGATGGTCCTGTTGCAGTGGACCCTCTATTTCAATCTCCGAACAGCTAGAATCATCGATATGTGTTTTCGATCAGAAAACAAAATTTTTTTTTATCAAAAGATATGTTATCGCGCAAGTCCTCGATTCACAGCAACAGTCTTCCATCACAAGCCAAGGTCTAGTATTCCCGTGTGAAGGCAGTGATTGAACCAACTGATACAATGATTGCTTGTCAGCTATCACAGACATCGCTACAGAAATGGTTGTGATGGGCAAAAAAAAAAGCCTTGACAGACACAAGAAGAGGCGTGGGCAATATCAATTTAAGCATCTATCTCTCCTTTCGATACTGAAGTTCCGAGCGCGTTCGTTTGTTTGAAACCATGATCGCCTGCGGGATTGCGTTCTCCCATGAGAAATAATTGCTCCTCCTATTCTGTTTTGCCTTTTGATTAGATGTTGCGCTTTGTAATATTGGTTAGCACGCTCCAGCCACCCAGATCGTTCAAGTTATCTCGATAATGGCAAACTATATCCTGCAAACCAAGTATGATAGAGAAATGACATGCATCTACGCGTTTTTCAATTCCCGAGACATTCTTTTCTTTTTCAAGTAAATGTATCATGCAATGGAGGATCATGACAGAAACGATTCACCTATTCTTAGTTTTCTAAAAGATAAAGACGTAGCTATTTTTACAATAATATTCTTTTCTTCTGTTAAACATTTTCCTTTTCTAATCACTTTTCGCTCATCCGCTTGGTCTCTTTTCCCCCCACCCCCAAATCGAAATAGAAATTCCTTGAATGGTGTAGACTAAATAATAGAGCCACTTGTACAACCACAACTGTAAAGTTATTATCGGCAACTGTGATTTTTCTTAGGTTCTTTCCAACGGCGTATCGCTTTCTTGATTTTCTAATGGAGCCATCGTTGTGCCGTTTAAGCGTAAATGTTTAACCATTTTGAATTTCAGTGGGCGTGGTGGCATATCGGCTTAGGGATAAAAATACACCATATATAGGTAAATTTTCATAAATTGGGCTTGTGCGCCCGTATCACTATGTGGAAACGCGAGAATGATGTTATTTTCTGCCTTGTTTGTCAATCTCCGATTGAATGATGTTTGCAGAAATAGCTCGGAAATCCATTTGTGATGAAACAAAAAACAAGCAGAGCATATGTTATCTGGTCACCTGCAGCTGCAATGGCTTCGGTGTTGCAACGAAAATAATGGGAACATGGCGCCTCATTTAGATTTGAGAAACATATGCTGATAATGACGAGCTATTGGGCCGTGATATTTTCTTTTTCTTTTATTGTGTGTATCACTCCTATAGTGATCATCAAAAGGAGTGAATAGTTAAATACTTGGTTCCCGAGCAAAATATATTAAATCAACTTTAATCTGTTAACCTGCACAATTTAAACATGGAATAATCCATTTTCTTTTGAAGCAACCTTGCGCGCCCCCCTTCTTCCAGTTGACAATGACTGCTAGCGTGCGGAACCGGTCTGACCGGAAAAGAAGCGCCGCTGTAAACTAGGCATACTGTTTCTAAAATGAGCAGTTCTTAAAAAACAAAAACTCAGCTCCTGTGTCCCACCCCCAAAAAGGGGATTCCAATCTTTCGCTGGCCCTTGTCCCCCCTTGTGCAGTCGGAGTTGAGACCACTATAAATATGAGCGACTCAGTTCCTGGCAAAAACTCACATCATCTTTACTTCTTTCGCCGTTGTGAAAAAAAATGAAGCAGACCATCGCTCTTGGAGCGATCTCTTTCTTTATGCTGTGTGTCAATGCGGCCAATGTCACCTTCAAGGTCATTGCCCCCGGTAGCAAGACTGTTCAAGTATCCGTCAATGGTGTCACCACCAATTTGAAGGCCACTGACCCTGACGTGCCTTACTTTGTCGGTGAAGCCGACTTGAGTGGAGACGCCAAGTATAAGGTACTGATTACTCTTTATTTCTTTGTGCAATTTTAATGATCAAGTAAAAAAATCAACACATTGACTGACTTAAAAAAATAACAAAACCACCAACTTTTTACTTTCTTGTCCACTGTGTAGTATGTCGCCGACGGTAAATCGGAATCTTTTGATCGTGCTTTGGATCAAGGCCGTAGCAGCACTCGCAACGACTTCTTTGGTCGCGAAGTGACTTACGCCAATATTCCGGATTTGCCTCACCCGATCCCTGACCACGTAAGTGAAATCAAAAATTTCTATCTATTACCGTGACGACTTTCCTTTTATGGAAAGGGTCATTTTTCGATCATGAAATAACCGGTTTCTAATTTTCTTTTCTTTTCCATGACAGCCATGGACTCGCGAAGGAAATGAAGATGCCCCTATGTGGGATTCCAACTACATCCCTTCGATTTTCATCACTGGTGATTCATCTGATATGGAACATTTGGTCAAGAACGTCTCCAAGAAGAAGTACCCTGCCAAGTTCACCTTTATTGGTCCCGATCAGGTTCACGTTTTCGAGGTAGGTTTTTCCATCACACACCCGTAACCTTACTCAATCAACTGACGTGTTTCTTTTTTCTTTCCCGCATCGCAGAACATTTCCTTCGGTCTTCACAAGCCTGGAAAGAAGAAGAACAATTCCAAGCAGACCTGGGTCTGGCAATTGAACGGCGACGACCATTTGTACAATCGCAACTGGTTCAAGATCCGTCATATGGAAGAAGATCCTACTCAAATGCGTGAAAAGCTTTATGCCGATATTTTGCACTCCCTCGGTACCTATGCCAACCGTGCCAACATGGTCCGTTTCTTCATCAACGGTGAAGGCTTCGGTACTTTCAATATGCTCGATGATGTGATCATGTATTCTTACATCAACGCCATGTTCTACGACGGTAAACCCCCCAAGCAAATGGGTGCTCTTTATGACGGTTCTACGGGTGCCGACTTCCAGTACTGGACTTCGGATGATGATAACTACTGGTCCTTCATCCCAGCTGAGGGTAGCCCCAAGGATCCCTCCGGCTTGGTCCCTCTTACCAAAGCGTTCAACCAAACCAATACCAAGGATGACGCTCAGATTCAAAAGTTTTCCGAAATGTTCGATGTTGACCAGTTCCTTCGCTTCATGGTGGTGGAATACCTCACAGCTGACTGGGATGGCTACTGGTACATGCAGACCAACGACGGTGCTTACCAAGATCCCAACGATAACAAGTGGTACTACCTCGGCCAAGATTTCGATGCCACCTTTGGTGTCAACCTTCCTGATGGCAGAGACTATGTGAAGAAGTCCTACAAGGAATTCCCCAAGATGTATCCTGGTGCTGTCTTGATTAACCGCTTGCTTGAAAACCAGAAGCTCCAAAACAATTTCGAGACGTACCTCAAGAACACTGTTGAAATCTTGTTCAACAACGTCACTTTGACTAACCGCATCCTCAAGTATCACAACTTCATTGCTCCTGATCTTAAGTGGGATCGTTCCATTAAGCAGCAATCTCCCGGTATCGACTTCGGCTGGACTTACGATCAAACCTCTGAAAACCTGTGGCACGGTGTCGCCTCCCCCAAGGGTACCGGTGGCGGTGCTGGCTGGGGTTTGGTCGAATGGATCATTGCCAAATCCGACGCTGTTGCCAAGGAGTTCCACTTGAAGATCGTCGACAAGCCCGTCATCCCTGCCAAGAATGAAACCAACAAGCAGGACAATAATACCAGCAGTGCTTCTCAGACTGTTTCGGCCGCTGGCGTCGCTACTCCTGCTGCTTCCGGCTCGGCTCACGTTGGAAAGAACCAAGCTGACACTTCTGCTGACGCTAACACTGCTACTCCCTCCAACAGTATGGCCGCTGGTCTTGCTCTTCCTCAACTGTTGTCCACAGTTGCTATCGTTGCCGCTTCTTTCGGCATTAGCTCCTTGGTAAGTGTTCATTAAGCCGTAATCAGACCATTCAAGGTTCCTATTTGGCTAATCCCTGTTTCTAGTTCTAAACTTTTTTAGAATATTCCATACTCTTTTTGTTTTTTTTTTTTTTCCTTGTAATAATTCCTGTACGGTAAAATCAATTTATTGACTCGACCCTATTCGTAATCCATCTATCATTTGCCCTTGTGCATTATCCTTATCTTTTTTTTTCTGTGTGAGAATAAATCAACGTGAATAGTTTATTTCAAAGATGTTCATTGTTTCCCTTTTGGCCAGTCTATTTTTTGCTCAGCCATAGGAAAAAAACAGGAGGAGTCTGATTTTGACAAACCGGTTTTTTCATTATAGAATGCAGGTCCCATTTTTTGTTCTTCTTAGAATAGTAGGCAATTATTGGATTGCCGATTTCGGGAGAATATTCCTGTGAACTTTTCAAATGTCTCATATTCCGAAGCTGAACGCGACCAACGTGCATTTTGCTCGTTCCATCTATCCACGGGATCAAATACTGTATACCCAAAGAAAAAGTGACTCACCCCTGCCGCAGCGCCCCGTATCCAAATAATTGAAGTGCTTCAGCCTCACTATTGGTTCATCACCATCTTTTGGCCACCGTTTGGCTGCAAAGAAAAATCCAATCTTCTGGAAACGTGTTGCATCAGACACCTGGTTTCAGTTGCTTTTAGCATCCTGCTATCGGTGCAGATGACCCACAATGAGATACGATCTGCCAAGGTCTCAAGTGAAAATCAAACCGTGAAATGGCGCATATTTCAGAAACCGCACACCAGGAACTCGGGATGGCACCAAAACCAGGGTTCAATGGATGGATGTTTACCGCGGATACTCTGTATAGTAAACACGTTATTTTTAACTGATAAAAATAGCTACTGGTTTTGGTTGATAATGGTGGGCTGTTGTGTTGCTCCGAGGAAATTACTCGCAATACCATTCCTGATTACTCAACAGCGGTCGAGCTCAGCGTGGGAGTACATGCTACTATTACATACTGTCATCATCGGATACGGCTCATGCGCGGAAAAAAGAGCTTCGAGTAAGATTCGGAGAAAAATTTTTCATTGAATTTTATAACTAAACCGCTCCAAGAGTAAAAAGCCCGCCAGCGGATCTTCGATGTCTCGGGATAGGTGTAAGAATTTCGTAGAATGATTTGAACGGTGGATATGACAACTCTATGACATGCGTCATACAGTATGCGAATATCACCATCCACTGAACGATGTTCTTTGGAAGTCGTACAAGTTTAAAGCGCTCGCGTATCACAATGGATAAGATTCAAATGAACTGTTGCTAGAAATTGACGAACCATTTTTGTGGCAATGTTTACTTTAATCGGAAAATGGCGCTTTGGCTTGTACCACCTTTCTGAGTATGACATCCCATTTGCTTACTCATTGCAGTTAAAATATGGATCCTACATCAGTTAAGTCTTCTTACATCCAAAACCTCATCGAGATCAGCGGTAGTTTTCCGAGTAATTGTTCGAATAAAATGGGAATTCGTTATTTTCCACTTCCTCCACGCTCACTCTCATTGCTGTGCGTTTTTACTCGATGGATCGAGTGAATCACGTCCAACAGATTATTATTTTTTTCCGGCGAGAAATAAAGTAAGAAGGGACTATACAAACATGTGTTCGTTCATTGAGAAACAGCTCCAATGGTAATGTCCTATGCAAAGATAGATTGTCTACAATCATGTGCGATTTCTTTTTGGTATTCTTCACAACTCATGAATGCCGGAGCGATCATTTCCCGTCGTGCAAACCCCGCAATGGGCCTTGGTATAGTCCATTTTGAGCCACGGTCAGAATGTAGAATACAAGGTCGCACGCTTGTGTAACGGGAATGGGTCAATCAGAATGCCGCCGGTGTCTCAATGTTCATCAATGCCTTTCATCCGCGCATCCAAATAGGTGACAATAAATTACGTGAACGGAAAACGCGGACTGGTCTCCTTTTCGAATCTCGGTTTGCGTCCTATATAGACGCCCCAGATCACTTTACTGTGTCCACAGCACCAAGTTACCGACTCATTTGTGCAATGCAAATGGTCAAGAAGTTCAGGGTTAGATATAACCTGGAAATACTGCTAAATTGGATCGCTAACATGCACATTGTTCATGCTTTCGAAAACACTTTTTCAATCCGTCATTCAATGATATCATGGCAAAGTATCTATCTATTATGATTCATTCATTTGATCACTGTCAGTCAATGTGTTGATTTGCGATCAGCGCTAAACTTGTAATGTCATGTCAGCGGAACATAAGTTTAGCCTATAGAGCCTTGGTTCCAAAGTCAAGAGAATACCATGTCAGTTTCAAGTACAGGAATTCATTTCATCGAGCATGATTATGATACACTGATGCTAGAGATAAGATAAAGCATGTTCTAAATTTAAAAGACGAGATTCATTTTCGTCATTGTGAATGATCTTTGCTACGCTGCGACAGGTGAAAAATCTGATAGTGCCAAGAAAACGTAATACGGATCGTCATTCATTATCATGCAAAAAAGTCAGCATTGCATCGAATGGAAAACATGGATTCCTAAAAATGGATGGGCGTCAGTGTGGTGGTTACTTTGTGCTTATCTGATGGATGCATACTTGCCGCCAACCTTCGGTCATGTTTGTCCATAAATCAATGGGCATGAAGCGATTGGAGTGGTTTGTTATTGCCGTGCAACACTGCATGAAAACTCTTGATCTCAAATTATACATAACGAGCTAGAATAGCCCGAGAGTTCAAACAAAGTTCTATGTGGCGCAGAAAAAAAAAGTATCCGGACATGTATGTAATAGTCATTCAATTTTCTGCAATATGTGATGAATATTCATGTTCGGTTAACGATACGTGACGCAGCGACGCAGAATATAATTACAATGCTGATTTGACAATCTACACAGTGATAAATCATTAACATAATCGATTCCTGATGATAACATCGATATAGACAACAGGTCATCCGTTGAATGGCTTTATAACGTCATATAAAATGGTAATGCTAAGATCTGGTGATATAAATAGCGGGACCGAATGGAAGAAAGGTTTTATCAGACAAAATGGAAATACTGAATGATGGTGTAAAGAAAATGATAGGTCCAATGGCCTACTTGTTCAACTTTTTTGCAAAATGAGATGCAAGGGGATACAGTACGTGGATACAGGGAGTTCAGAAATCTTGTGAACAGAAGCAATACTCAGCTGACAGAACATAAGCCGAAGTGCATATGGCCCGTTCGTCAGGACTGCATATATCGCCCGCCCGAATTTCCTTTCATATTCTGCTCAGAAAAAAAAAGTATTTTCAGCAAAGAGTTTCCTGACTTGACCCAGTCAGGATGCTTTGTTTTCTCGGTCCAACATATAAGGACGATTCCGTGAAAGGAAACTGTCAAAGCATACGAAATGGATCACACGCTGCATAGGCGCCACAGGACTTAGCCGACAACCAAGTAAACTGTGAACATTTCCACCCTCTCAGCCCTATAAATGTTTTGGTTAACTACAAAGCTGAAACTAATAGATATTGTACTTTCTTTTTCACTGTAACTTACATATTCGCAAGGTGTATATGCAATCGAGATGTTGGCCATCACTATCACGCATGAAAAACAAAAGAGTCATGTGAATTGGAAAATACTAAAAAAAATCAATGATGGCGAAGAAGCCGCTAAAATAGAAAAGCGCAGACGACGACGGAAAACAATATGTGATTATGAGACACTAACGTAGCTGCAACTGGTCAAAGTAAACATTATGCTTTATTGATGTGAACTTGTCAGTACTGGGTGGGGCTGAGTATACAGGATGGCTGAAGAATACGCAATAGTCGACTGACCATCTACAAGCGAGCATAATCGAGGACTTGCATCTTTATTGTTCTCCTTGACCAACATTTCAATGCAGTCTGTTGAATAAAATAACATGCAAAAGAAAAAAAAATAACCCTCAACCTATAAATACGAACGGTTATTCAACGGATTTATTTACCCTGTTATTTTTTCTTCTTTATTTTCTTTTCGACACTTTCGAATTACTTTGCCCAAGTCATTGTACAATGATACTCATTACAGGAGCAGATGATTACATCGGCCATTGTGTTACGTCTCATCTAGCTCGATTTGAGCCTTTGCGATCGTCCTTGCGAGTCTTGTGCCAAAATACACAACCATGTCTTAATTTCGCAAAACACGGCATCGAAGTTCGACAAACGGATTATCAAAACCCTCACAACTTATCATTGGCAATGAGAGCGGTTGATTTGATGGTCATTGCAGTGGGTTACGAGTCTGACCGAGTTCATCATGGTAAAAGACTTATCGAAGTCGCCGCACGATCCGGCGTTCAGTCGATTATTCTGGTATCACATGTTGGTGCATTATCCTCAGAGCACGAGTCTCTGAATCACTATGCACTGATTGAAGAGGAGTTAACCAATGCAGATATTCCTTCATGGACGATTCTCAGGTAAGGATCCTTTCCATCGCTATAACAACGGAATAAGGTCGGCTCTTAATTGACAACTTCTTGTTTTCCCCCCTGGTTCTGCTTTATTTTTGGTTAAAGACCTGATTGGATACAGCAAAGTTTCCATTTGTGGACCAGTTACGTAGAAAGACACCGTCGATTTGCATTGCCTTTACCTGATGATACCGAGATATGTCCACTTGATATTACCGATCTTTGCGCCGTTATTGAAAACCTACTTTTGGACAAATTTACTAAACAACCGTTACCTATCATCGATGACCACCACAACGGACAGGTGTACACCCTCACAGGCCCAAAACCGGTCAACGGCAAAGACATGATCACATACATGCGCAAAGCCACCGGCTACTCCAAGCTGCAGTACACCCCCACTCGGTCCATGGATACAGCATTCTATCTGTACAACCTCCGCACCGATATCTGGTTCGATGCGCGTATAAAAGCCGAGAACCGAATCATTTATCATGATGAATTCGATACCTACGCCTACCGTCGTTATGTATTAGGAGCACCCAAAGGTAATTAGAACATGTGACGAACATAAACGATGATGCAACACGGCCTAACATTGATCCTTAGCACTACAAATAAAAACGTATATCGATTATTTTGACTGGATTCACAAGACGTCAAGCAGTATCTGTGTTTCGCATGCCAATATTATCAACGATTCACCTACTCGTGGCATCCAAGATTACTTCCAGGAAAATGCCAACCAATTCAAACCAAGAGTTTAGTATCCTATTCTATATTATCCGGCACATTGTGTAAATTTTTGTCATAACTGTAATCATCCTTGTTAGTATATCTTTCTAAACTTTCATAAATAGTATCAACATTGTTATCCCATTGCGGTTGTATCATCCGTGATTAATAGTTTTTATTGGTCATGTACGGCCAAGACCGAACGAGAACACGAAAGATTGCACGGTATGTTAAAACCGTCGGTTTAAACCAGTGATAGCTTGCCAAACCAAATTGCAGAGTTTGCCTTATTAGAGAAATGTCATTGGTAAGCCAACGCCAAGTCGTCAATTTCCTGGGATGCGTAATCTTACTCTGGTGATGTTACAGAAATACTAATTGGTGTTAGTGACTATCTCGTTGCAGGATTTCATTCACACTTTTCATTGGGCCCAGCTTTCGGACAGCTGATGACTTTGTCGTTAAATTTCCCCAAGAACAGGACCAGATGAGATCATTGGAAGAAACTCCAAGAAACATTCGCATCAAAAGAAAATCTGAGATACAAGCAATATCTTTTTGGTTACCGCATGTTTTTATTGTGTATCGGAAAAAATGGACCTGCATATCGACGTACCGTATTAGAAAAAAAAACACAACAACATCCCGCATCTCGATACAGAATGAAGAAAATGACAATGCCACAATAATGCCATGATCCGAGCAGTCAATATCCTAATATTAGGGCCTTTTTTCTATGACAGTATAATTGTTTTTTCTGCCAGCAACAAAATACTTTTTTCTTCTTTAGAACAAATAAGGCGAAGAGCCTGTCTATGATAATATTCATCTGTGACTCGGTAACAATAACTTGCATCGGTGAATGATTTGTGGTAAGACAGGCTTATCATATCAACTTCCAGTATGTACAAAAATCAAATAGTAAAGTTCATGACCTACTCGCATACCGAGCCTTGTACAGATCGCATGGAACCGCTTTACTATTTATAAGGATACGAATAACAAGATCTCAAAAGAAAAGTTCATTATTCGCTTGGTTACAAGCATAATAATATGAAAATGTTCGGAAATAGCATGGTACTTGAGCGTGATGTGCCTTGCCAAACATCGAATCAAGCGCAGATGATGCTATGACAAAGTTCAAATTTGCTTCCAAGAAGCCAACCGTGGCGTCTTCTTTCTTTTTCCATTGTCAAGATGTTGATAGGTTCTCCATCAGCCAAGTTCGCAAGTTGGGTTGGGGGTGACCCATTAAAAGGCAATAACAAAGACCCATGAAAATTCACACAAATGACTCATGAGCATTATAGGCAGTCTAACAGATTGGCAAAATCCCAAGCGCTTTGGTGTCTTGTCAACTCCTGAAAGAAACGATGTTCCACCGTCGACAACTCATCCGCCCCTGAGCTACTAAAAATCTATATAAAAAATAAACATCATTTTCAATGTGCCCCCTATCTTCTTTGACTTTTTGTTCATCATTGTATTTCACATATTATGTCTGTTTCCGAGCATCAGAAACCAAGCTATGGATTCTCCAAATTCTTTGAAACCTGGTTTGGAACCAATCTACTCCAGCGACGTGGTTCCCATGACGATCGAACGCATACTTGGTTGGAAACTGCCCCGAATCCAATTCCGTCCAAAAGTTCACCCGTTGCCCTTTCATCACCAGCGCTTGCTTTATCTTCAGAAACCGAGCTTGTCAATAAACCCGATATGCTATGTACATCGACCATACATCAATCCACTTCAACCTTGAGCTCCAGTCCATTCTCCTCCGTAGACAACCGATTGTTGGTCTCTCCATCACCAACGATTAGTAGCATCGATCCGAGCGAGTCTCCTCATCATTGTTCATCGTTTTCCTTCAACAGCGTTAGCAGCAATACATCGCTAGATAGTCTGGGATGCTATCAGTTTGACACGTACGAGAGCGAGATGGAATCCCGCCGCCCACCTATTTCAGTTCCGCCCAACCTGGAAAGGTGCGTTGTCCGTGTCCTACAGTACAAAAGCAACGGTCGCTTTAACAGTCTTATACTTAGAGACGTCTATGGTTTCAAGCGGGTCACATCATGGATCTCATTCCAAGACCTGATACGTTTCGACGATTATTATTATCCCATCCTGCTGGAACAAGAACAGAAATGGCAGCAACTTTTGCGTGATCATGACCAACGGTGGCCCTTGGCCGATAAATCTCGTAAGTCTGCGGCGAATCAAGCACTACATGCTGATTATATTTACCTTTTGGGTCGTTATACAACAGTACACGAATACGTCAGAAAAGGCGTTCCTTACCAACTCAGGGGAAAGGTGAGACGTGATGGGCGGAAAAGGTGTTATTTTCGGGTATGGCGGATATTGAATTTTTCTCACCAGGTGTGGATGCATTACAGCGGGGCCGCTCAAAAAATTGCAGCGAATGCTGGCTTATACGAGTCGTTACTAAAGACCGCAGTCGCCATGGGAGAACATAACGAGTACGCCGAGATCATAAGTCGAGGTAGAGCTCTGAGTTACATATTTTATGCGCAAAACAGCAGTTTATTAAACAATCCGTTTTCCGGGGCAGATCTTCATCGTACGTTTCCGGACAATTCTCAATTTTCCTGCGCAGTAAACAATAGCGACGGATCAATTTCCATGGTCCCCGACACCAACCCAAAGTTGCAAGCTTTACAAAGAGTGCTTCTGGCCTTCAGCATCTATTCACCGCACATCGGATATTGCCAGTCTCTCAATTATCTGGTGGGATTTTTTTTGTTATTCGTAGACTCGGAAGAAGAGGCTTTCTGGCTGCTTCAGGTCGTTGTTTATGATTATTTACCGGAAAATGTATATGACGTGACCATGGAGGGAGCCAATATCGATCAAACGGTGTTGATGTTGATGATCTCGGAAAAGATGCCAGAAATATGGGCGAAGATTGCTGGAGGAAGCTCCTTCTGGACATGTGAGCAAACCGATGGATTACCGCCGATCACTCTAGTGACCAGTCATTGGTTCTTGACCTTATTTATTAATATACTACCAGTCGAAGTAAGGAGAAATAACAGGGACTAGAGAAAGATTGTTTTTTCTTTTGGGGGGAGGCCCGGGGAGGGCGGGGTTGTCTATGAGATGCCATGTTTTCTCATATAGGCTTGAAATAGACTGTGCTGCGCATCTGGGATTGCTTTTTCATGTAAGTGTTCTAGTACCATATGAAATTGAGCTTTTAGTCAACGATATCGGTGTTTCTTAACTCGTTTTTTTTTATCTCTTGTTAGGGAAGGATACCATATTATGTTCCAAGTGGCTCTGACTATCATACAATTAAATGAAGAAGAGTTACGGCATTTGGACGATCCCATCGACGTTTTTCACATATTGCAATCAACACCTAAACGGCTTATCGATTGTCATTATTTCATGGAGGTAATTTTATGCATATGGTTTCAATAAACCTATTATTGAACAGAAGTGGAGCTGATTTTTCAAATGTTATTCTTATAGTGCGTATTCTCCAAACACGCATTTAAGGTAGATCTGGCAGATATAGAAGAGAGCAGACAGTTGATTCGAGAACGGCGAAAAGCGAAGCGTACACGCTTTCAAGAAAGCCAATTCGCCTCTGGCGGAAAACAAACACTAATGACGACAACAAAATAAATTCATGTAAAATAAATTCGCACCGTAGAAATTGAATCCATCTTTTCACTAGAAACAAAATTCATGCTGAATGAAACGTAACTTCATACGACGGTTCCAGCTGCAGCTCAAAGGCATAGGGAAGATGTTGCTATGGAGTTATTTTAAGATGATGCACGTTTTACTCTGATGACGATAAAAGCAGATTTTTTCATTTATGTTTTATTGAAATGCTCAAGTGCTTCGGCAGCTGAAGACAATTAGGTACTTTATATTTGATCGGTCCAGCGATGGGTCAAACATTATCGCGCAAATCTTGAAAGCATTTTCCACATGAATAGATTGCCATCGTATCTTGGGGAGAAGCATTAAATTAAAATAGCAATCCATCTGCTGTTGTATGAAGTGGCAAAAAAGTTTAACGCGGAACTTGTAGACCTTGACGCTTCTTGAGTGAAGTGGATAGGCATCCCAAATATGAGGGGACATTATCTCGTTATGGGTTATGCTACTACAGTATCCATAGTCAAATTGATGAGAAAAGTATATTAACTCTCGATGGTATCGTTGTTGATCATTCCCCATATTCTCCAGAAGTCTCTCCAATTGAACAATGAGACGATCAAAAAACAAAAAGACAAAGAGTATATGTAGGGATAAGCCCATGGACCTAGCACTGCAACACCAAGGAGTGTGCTTGGAGCAATAACGCACCTGGTTGGGGATTGTCACCAAGGTATCGTGTGTGAGGGAATGGTCATGGCCTAATACACACGTATTACAAGGTGATAAACTATGGCAATGTCAATAATGGCTAAATCCGATACATTATCATCGTATTATTGAATTCATCACCACATTAGATTTCTCGCCTACTTTAGCCTTTTAAGACTTGATCTATTTCTGAACGTTCCTAATATAATTCTTAGGCAGATCTATTGGTCTGTGCAATATCCAATTTATAAAGGGTCAGGGGCAAACTATGTAATCAGACTAGCTGAAGAGTTTATATGCATTTTGACATCAGAGTTACTGAACATAAAAGTTGAGTACCATCCTTGATCTTTACTTTTATAAATCCTTCGAATCAACAACATTGACCATATAAGCGCACGTATGGAGCTCGACCTTCGGGAAAACTTAGACTGGTGCATTGTTTGTGGGTCGCGATTCCTTTGGGGACCTATCGTCTGTAGACGTTGAGCATGAAGGCATAATCAAACCTTTTTTGGTTCGAATGCTTGTTCCAGCCAAGAAGAATCTTGGTTATCATCTTCTACATCATGCGTCAAAAGCTCCATCATGGCCTTCACAGCTTCCTTAGCTTTCCAAGCCATTACAAGGGCAGGCAAGAAAGTTGTACCAAATCCAGGCACATCCTTAGAAATTTCTAATGCATGTACTGTTCCACTTTGGTTCGCAATAGGGTATCTTGACAGACGAGTTACATACGAGCACGCCGGTGAATCCATAAGAAGAAATGAACAAGACAAGTCTACATATGCTTCTATGTTAAATACGATGTATACAGAAAAAGTGAGCGTAAGCTTTGATTACCGTAGTGCAAGTAGCCAACGATTTTAGATCACCAAGTTTTGCGTGGTCAATCTTGGATTGTAAACTGTTGAACATATCCCTCATCACCTTTGGCAACTTGATACCACTTTCCTTCAACACCTTCGTATCATTTAAATCTACAATGGACCCCGTTTCACCAGCACCATATTCTTCGGAGTTGGAATAGTTGCAATGAACAGAACGAATTATAGTCACATTCACTAAATTTTCTTTCGTACGTGCAGGCAAATAAGACATTGGGCAAAAAATCGCTTCTTACAACAACAAGCAAAGTAATAGAAGAATAGAGTCATATAGAAAGTAAACTGTTGATACCTATTATTAACGAAGTAGATGATGCGCATATGGAACGGGCAGCACATGTGAGGCGGACCGCGCAGTGTCACGCCCGCGGCTAGAATAGCCAGCCTCCCACCATCTCGCGTAATTGATCTCTTTTTCTACGTCCTGTTCGATCAGGGGATGGGGAACTTGCGCCATCGACGGCTGATAATAAATCGCCTAGTAACCATTGGTGTTTCTTGGCACTTTCAAGTAAGCCTTGCCATCCAGAAGTATTTTGATTTTGCGAACCGTGACGGAGATCGGCCAATTGAGCAAGCCCGAATTGAGATGTATCGGGTCGCTGGGCATCCACTTTACGCCATACATTCAGAATATCCGACACGTATTCCACCGGACTAAGGACCAGAGCCATGGCCAAAATGTCGAGACGTCGATCCAGATCTTGGTATACATCAATTTTACCGAGATTAAAGCATATCTGCCAGACGGCCTGATTAATTTCGCGTGCAGAGGCTGAGGTCTGATCCACAGTCGAATCCGATTGTGCTTTGTCTACCGCCATACGGCACAAATTGTAAGAGGTGTCATAGTCTTCGTCCACAAGAGCAGCACTGGCCAGCATGGCAAGTGTGCGAACTTCAACCAGTGGATCATTCTCAAAACCTAGTTTGCGAGTGAGTTCAAGTACAGTTTCGTGTTGCCGATAGATTCCACGGCGGGTATTAATAAGTTTCGATATAAGATCCAGCTTTTCTTTGCATTGGCGTATCTGGATAGGCATCAGGACCATCCCACTTTTATCTCGTATTTGGTACTCGGAAATCAGCATATGGGTTGCTTCGATCAAGTGCATATCTCGCTTGATGGCTTGCGTGGGTGGAAGTACTTTCAAGCTAGAGAAAAAGAGGCTGAATAAGGAGGCGACTGGACGGTTAATTTCCACCAAAAAGCCCTTACCATTCCATAGCCTGCTTCATGCTGCCAGCATGCATGTTGCCAGAAGTCGCATTATCAAAGAATTCGTGCTCAGCATCCAATACCAGTCGTTCCGCCGTTTCAATGTCAAGCGATCGATCTCGGTCGGGCCGTGTCATGAACTCTTTTGCTAAGCGGAATCCTGCAAAAATATATACACGGTCAATTGGCACCAATCATGACAAAATCCAGGCAATCATGTTACTTACGGCCACATCGCAAGAGTGAGCTAAAAAAGATTTCCAGGATTTCCTTGGTAGACAAAAGCCCAAAGATCCCTTGACCTCCATCATACAATCGCAGCATGTCATCCAGTAGATCTCGCCAATCGTCGTCATTATCGAATTGTACACCGCCGGATTCCACGCCGCCCGCGGCCTGGGATGCCATCCGAATACAGAGCTGGCGTTGCGATGCCGATGTTTGCTCTTCAAGGAACCATCGCAAAGGTACACTTGCATGATACCGGGCCAGAACTTCTGCCGATCCCAAATGCAGTTGAAGCGTATCCATCATCTTGGTCAACCCAAATGGACCTACGGATTGCAAAGCGGTGAATAGACCGAGCGCGGTGCCTGTTACAGGCAATAGTTGGGCCATGTCGTCTGTTTCGTTGTCCATTCGGTTTTGCTCCGGATTCTCAAATATCGGTAAACACTCAAAGGTACGAACAGAGTATTCAATCGAGCCTTCGTTGGAATAGAGGGTGGCGAGGGCTAGTCTGGATAAGTCAAGATCGTCTTTTACGATACGTTCATCCACTCCCATGGTCGGTTTGGAATGTTCAAAAACGACACAGCACCAATCCATATGCTGAGCGGACACGTCGAGAAGCCATCGATAGAGTAAAAATTCCACCCGTTCCTCGTCCTCATTCTCCTCCGGAGCTTGGAGCATTCGCTTGCGGCAAACCTCCAACCAAGGCAGTACCTGTCGATGCATGTCTTCCACAATCATTGAAGGGTTTGTCTGAATGAGTAGACCTTCGAGGACTTCATACGGTGCCAACGTTTCAAATTCTTGGAACGTAATTAATCGATCACTGACATTGACTGCGCCGGAATAGATAAATTTGCATAACCATTCAAATTTTGCTACGTGATCCTCAATGCCTGTCACGCCCATGACTTGTGCATAGCGAAGCAACTCTAACGCTTGGCTGCTTAATCCGATCCTGTCTGTAGCGTAAGCTCGATCCAAGTACCATTGAGCAATGACTTTGGCGCTGGTAGGGTATTCGACGGACGAAACGCTTTGCTGGAGGCTGGCAAGGTAAGCGGTGTGTTCGGGTACAAACTTTTCGATTTCCGTCCGTATTATGGGCATTTCTACAATATCTTTGTGCTGGCGCCAAGCTTCTTCCAGCCAACGATCTTCGTGATCCATGGAAGCGTGAGGCAAATCAAAACTACTGGGATCGGCGGTTTCCGAGATTTGAGATAGGATAAAGAGTCGCTGAGGTAGAATATCCGAACCGTGATGCATAAACAGGGCATCCAGCGCTTTATGTTGTCCAAGACGTGCAAATTCAATCGCTTGCGCAATCAGGTTAGCATCTCGAAATTGACCGTACGCTTCTCCAAACGATTTGTCTTTTGCAAGGCTGGGCCATATTTTCCGGAACGTGTAGAAACGGTCTTGGTATTGTAAAAAGTACAGACGCGTTCGCAGCCATTGTTTTTCGTTTTCACTGACTGTATGAATGGCCATATTATCGTGTATCAACTGCTGAGCAACGACCTCGGTTCGTTCCTCGACACGAGCTTTACCAAGGTCTAGTAATTGTAACTGTACGTCTGGGTCGTCTGCCAACGTCTCAAGGCATTCGCTGATTACCCACGCATCATCTTTAATTAACTGCAAATCAATGACATCCTGACGTAACAAAGCAAACTCGCGTTGTTGTCGACGTGCTTTCCATTGCGCCTTGTAAACGATGTCCGTGTCGAGTTGCAATTCGTTGCCAAGATCCAGTGCAGCCTGGTAATGTCCTTGATTCAAGTGGTCCAAAAAGTCTTTCGGCGTTGCTTGCTCCATTGCCACCGCTTTAGGCTAAAAAATATGAGTAGAAACAACAGAAGAGCCTGTGTCTATGCAGGTAAAGACGATGGCAAGTTGACCAAAAAAAAAAAAAAAAAAAAAAAAAGAAGAATAGAGAGGGAAAAAAGACCGCCCCCGTCTATCTGCTGTAATCGCCGTGACATCATTTTCAATTAATCATTTTTCTTTTCTTTTCTTTATTTTTTACTTTATAGTCTATTAATCAACAATGATGAGTGGATCCGATATTCGCGATATATTACAGATCGAGAAACCTACAGAACCGGTCGTACGGCGACTTAAACAACCCGTTGAGAAACGGCCTGGTAAAATTGACGATCCATTGGACATGCATAAAACCGCTCCTCCTCTGACCAGAGATCAATAGAGGGTATTAGTCGAGAACTCTACTCATTAATAGGAGGAACACCCTCTGTTGCCTTTGTACAGCCCGCCTTTCGAGGGAAATTCAACGTCAAAAAGAAAGCATTGCCCTGGTAAGCTTGGATCAACGTCCACGTCGGAATCGAGAACGAGTAGTTAATGTCAGTTTGCAGGGTACTACATCCATTTACAAATCCTGCGCGAGCAGACGAGCTTACCTTGCACCATTGGATCAAAGCGAACGATACCAAAAATGACGGTACAGTTTTGGAATATGTGGTTGCAACCATCACATCGCTGACCGGATCCAGTAGATTATCCCTTTGCCGTATTGGATGACGGTACCAAAGAGATATCTTATACCGCTGAAGAATATGATCAATACCTAAAAGGTGAATTGATTCATCGTGAAATTCTGGTTTTTTTTTTTTTTTCTTTTTTTTTGCAAACACTAATGCGTGGTCAAATCGCAGATCCGGACTGGACCAAAGAGGACACCGATTACCTCTTTCGTCTGTGTCAACAGTACGATCTTCGATTTCCTGTGATTGAGGATCGGTACGAGTTTGGGACAAAGAAAAGAACCGTTGAAGTAAGTTTCCCAGATGCATATAATTGGGGGTAGATTATTTGACCAAATATGGTATTTTGTTATGCATAGGACCTGAAAGCTCGATACTGCAACGTTTATCGCCAATTACTCAAAGCACGGTCCACATCCGACAACTGGCAGTCCTTGGCTCAACATTACCAATTCGACAAAGACAAGGAGATTGAACGAAAGGAAGCCCTGAATACATTATTTAAGCGAACCAAAGTGGAAATGGAAGAGGAGGAGGCCTTGTTGGTGGAATCCAAGCGGATAGAACAGAATGAAGCACGATTAAGAAAAGAACGAGAACATGTTCTCCAGTCACTGCAGTTGGAACCGTCTGCATCTTCATCCAATGAATCATTTCATGCTGTCACAAGTCCAACGGTTGCAGCCAGTGGTCATGTGGGTGTAACAGGCAGCTCACCGGCGGAGACAAAGGTGAGAAAAGAGGTTATTTACCAATTCTGTTCGTGTGGACCACGACCCTCGCTGAACCTTCAGGAACAGAAACGAAAAAAATCCAGTGGCGATGATGCCACCAGCCGAAAAAAGCGAAGCGCGTCCACTACCCCTGTCAGTGCAGTAGAAGGTAAGATGAATAACAGCTTACCCTTAAAAGGGCTGTGTGAAAATGACGGTAGAAACGCAGATTTTCATTGTACGACAAAAAAAAGTAGATGCCGTTCCAGACAAAAAGGAGAAATTGACGCCAGGTGTCTATTCTCTCAGCCAACGACGGACGGTGATTAAACCTGCGATGCAAGCCAAGGTGCTAAAAGTGCTGGAAGAACTTGGTATCGGTAAGAAATACACAATCTTTGTTCTCTCGCATCACCATCTACCCCCCCCCCCAAAAAAAAAAAGTAGCAAGATAAATAATGAGATGTGAATGAAAAAGCGTAAACATTGGTTTTCAACCGGAGTCACTAACGAAAATTTTCGCATGATTTGGGGCAATATCAGGTGCACGACCTGTCATGGCGACCGCGTCCGTCTGCCAAAATTTTGAACAGTTACAATCCTCGATTCTCAACATGTTTGAACTGAAGAAGGTGGTTGACAAAATGACGCTGCAATATAAAATCGAGACAGGAAAAGATCATGTTCCAAAGCCGCAGGAGATGCCAAGTAAGTTGGAAAAAAAAAGACAAAGCGGAGAATGACGAAAGAAGCAAGGCAGAGGAAAAAAAGGAATGCGCTACTGATGAATCTACCCAATAGAAACGATCGGCAAACGCGGCCGGTGGAAACGCGCCCCGAGAGAAACAGCGTGAGCCATGAATAAATAGGGTGACACACAGCGGAATAAATCACACAACAGTTGCCGAATATGAGGGTGGAGATGGTCTTGTTTTTTTCTGTGTTGAGCAGGCAAAGAATGCCTGAGTGTGAAAAACAATAACAATCTCTTTAGAGCCCTAAAAACAAAAACCTTTTTTTTTCTTTCTTCTTTTTTTTCCTGCTCCCTTTCTTTATACAAATTAACTCCCCTTCTTAACACTTTTTTTCTTCTTTATCTTATTCTTTTTTTCTTTTGGTTTGTCTTGTTCTTTACCAACAGGGTATTGTTATATATATCTTTGTAAAATATAACCATGTTCGTAAAGGAGCAAAGTCCGCCTCCTCCAAAGGCCGTCAATATCGTTCGTCCTTCATCGCCGTTATTCAACTATTTCAGACGTCCCATGTCGCCCCATCATGTCAATCAACCCATGCACGATGCTTCACACTCATCGTCCACGGCTTCATCGTCCCCGTCTACATTGTCTACACTATCGACCGCTTCGTCGACATCCTCGTCCTCGTCTCATCGAGTCCAGCCCACGATTTTCAGTCCTTCTAGTTTCTCGTCTGGTTTATCCTTCTTTAACCATACTCCGCCCACTTGGTCACCTTACGGATCAGGGCAATTTCCATCACCGCCGCCCTCCTCCGCCGCTTTCGTCGTCAACAAAGTCTCTTTGCCACAGCGACTTTTACAACGTCCTAGAAGTTATTCCAACCTATTAAAGTCCACGCTGCCCACGATTGCGCCTGCGGATACCAGTGATGATGAACAGGATCAGGAAGAGTCCGACTTGCAAAGCTTAGATGGTGATACAGACCATGACTCCACTCCACTGTCATCAGAAGAAGAATATAGCGAGGAAAAGGACAACGAGAGCGAAGACGAAGATGATACAGACAGTTACGATAATGAAAGTGAAGACGTTGACCCACCGGCAAAAACAGTCGTTAAAATCAAACACGGTACCATCATGAACGGCAAAGGTGAATTTCTATCAAAGGGCGAACCGGATGATTATGCAGCATGGTTGGATGAAGCCAGGGCTCATCGAAAAGTACGTACACAAAGTTCCTGAGATTTATGGCATACCATTTATCGATTTCTTCTCTTTACAGATCGCCGACCTCGAAATTGAAAAGACATCTCTCTTGGCTTTAAATACGACACTTGAAGCCACCGTACGACGACAGGCCGCCCAAATTACTGAACTCCAGAAGCGTTTGATGATGTAGGTTTGACGTCCGCCCTTGGACATGCTTATGTTTACAAAAAGACTAAATGTGTGCTACCACATCACAGGAATGACGGGCCGTTAACCCCAGTATCAGATAAAGCACCCGAGGTACGAACAAACTTTTTTAACTTGCCAACTTGATGTTGCCTTTCTTTTTTCGTCCCTTTTGTCCATTTTTTGTTTATATTCAGCGTGATCGATGAAAGAATGGTGCCTGACGTCTGTGCTTTATTTGTTTATAGTCACCTGGATTACCTGAAACATCCATGGCGTCTGACGTGTTGACGGATGAGGAAATAGAAAATGATCAAGTATTTCAGCGATTACGGTCCATGTTGCAAGGGTTGATCGAGCAAGCCGAAGTCGCGTTACTGCAAAAGACCAAAGCCAGTGGTAAAGTACTGACTCATTACGACCCGCATGACGGTGAAGAGTCATCGTACCCTGACAAACTCAACCGTAAGTGATTCGGTCACAAAAACTGATGTGACACATACTAAAGTTTTTTAATTTTTTTCTTGTCACCGCTTAGTAAAAGATCTAATAAGCAATGAACGATCTATGCCCCCAAGTATAAGCCCAGCTAACAGTACGATATCCAATCGTCAACAACAGCGACCTTCACGCCGTGGATCACAGGGAACCACACCGACGCGTCCTCGACCACAATCGCTTATTGCTCATGAACCACCCAAAAGGACCCCTATGCAACGATCGCTCTCACGTGCGTCCTCTCCAGCCATCTTGGTCACGACGACTCGTCCTTACAGTCCACCGTTGCAACGCACATCACCACGATCAACCGCTAGACCTTCACATCTGAGAAGAAGTCAAGATTTTGAACAACCGAAATGGCAGCATTGAAAATGAGTGATATCATGTTCTTCAGTTTCCATTTCCGGTTTTTGATGTCTTTTGTTTTTTCTGGTTGACCTTCCTGTTTCTACTTATAACGCTATGCCCATCGTTTATTTGCTTCATTTGTTGTTGTTCATTGATTTATTTCGACCTATTTGCCTTTTTTTTATGATACCCTTATTTCGCGCATATGCTCTTTGTTTTTTTTTTCCTTCTCGTTCTCCATTGTTCATTATTTTCAGGAAAATGATGTTTTTTATTTTATTTTTTTACTATACCCACCATTCCACCTCCTATTTTGCTCGATATCCATTCATTGTTTACTAAACCCGCATCACCATCCACTGTCCTTTATCAAAAAGCATTTTTCTGTATGCATCCACAAGATCCTCTACTGCCCTGTGCCCGTGAAATTTTTCACAACATAATCCGTCACGTGTAACCTCATTTTTTGTTTCCATTAATACATCCACTACTTCTTCATGCTCCGTTGTGTAGTTACAGTTTACTAATAGCATGGTCATCATAGTTTACCGGTTATCGTACTGTGATGACATCTTGCTTCCATTATATAGAGTATGTAAATGTTTACACGACAATTCGACAGCGCCTACCAGGCGTATCCATACTCATTCCCATACTATTTACATGGAAATGAGGAGATGATTTAATAAGGACTTTGAATGGAAATAACAGGGAGAATTCGAAAAGAAGAACGTGTACAACAAGCTGTGATCATGGATGGGGTGATAAAAAAGGTGCAGAAACGGCAAGCTTAAAGTCGGTTTTTTTCGGCAGACACGCTTTGGATGGGCCATGAATAATTCTTAGTGGAACGATCGTAACCGTAGGCTTTCACAAACTCATCGAGGACCGCGGGGCCTCGGCTTCCATAGTCATAGTGTTCAATGTGGATATTTGGATCACCTTGATCAATTTGATGCAGTAAAGGAGTAAAGATCTTCCATGCAGCGGCCAATTCGTCATCGCGCACAAAGTTGGAATGATCGTTACGAAGCACATCCAACAATAGTGACTCATATGCTTCCGGGATGGCCAGATCGGTATACCGGTTTTGATAGGTCAAATCGAGATCACTTTGGATGGTATGATATGAAAGACCGGGTTGCTTGTTATTGAATTTGACATACATGGCTTCATCGGGCTGGATACGTAGGACAAGCTCATTTCGGGGCGTACCACGGTACAGATTGCCTGCTACGTTACGGAACTGAACGCGCACCTCTACCTTGGCCTCATTGAGCGCTTTACCAGCCTTGAGAATAAACGGGACGCCTTCCCATCGTTCATTTTGAATCCAAAGTACCAACGCAGCAAATGTCGGTGTGACGCTTTGCTTGTTCTTCAATGTCTCATCGTCCAAGTACCCGGGCTTACCATTGGCCGCCACATACTGTCCCAATAACGCATTGTCAAGCGACACGGGTGTAATACATTTCAACACTTTCACCTTCTCGTCACGGATCGCTTCAGCTTCGGTGGAAATGGGTCGTTCCATCGCAATAAGGGAGAGAATTTGAAGCAAATGATTTTGCATGACATCCCGGATGATCCCGAATTCATCGAAATAGCCGCCTCGTCCCTCGGTTCCAAATGGTTCCTTGAATGTAATCTGAACCGAATCGATATACTTTCTATCCCAAGAATTCGAAAAAAAGATATTTGCAAATCGCACCATCATCAGATTTTTCACCATTTCCTTGCCCAGATAGTGATCGATGCGATAGATCTACATGAAACCGTATTTGAATCTCCTTTTAGAAAGCTGAATGGTTCACGGCCCGTTTTCGGTCATGACGGACGCATGGATTCGATTTTACCTCTTTCTCGGTAAATAAGGAGCCCAGTTCTTTTGACATTTCTTGATAAGACGCCAAATCACGGCCAAATGGTTTTTCCACAACGACGCGATTGATGCCTTCCTTGGCATAGGCATTTCTGCGAAGGTGTTGAGCTACAGGGATGAACACGGAAGGAGGCAGTGCCATGTAAAAGATTCGATGTCGACTACCGGGTTCGATATCGCGTTGTTCCTCAAGTTCTTTGATGTGCTTATCAAGTGCCTGGAAAGATTCATCTTGGTCATACAGTCCCTGATGGTAACTGAGCATGTTTTTGAATTCGGATAATTTATCGGACGACGGGGATTTGATGTAACCAGTAACTCGTTGGATAAAGTCTTCATGGCTTAGTTTGGAACGAGCATAGCCCACAATCCGTGTTTTTTCAGGAAGAAAACCGTCGCGATACAGGTTGTATAATGCTGGATAAGTCTTCTTCTTTGCCAAGTCACCTGATGCACCGAGAACTGATGACCGAATTCAAAAGCAAAATATCAAACGTTAAAAAAAAACGAACGATTGATCATGCCACCACTTTGAATATCCGTCCCCTTCTTTTTTTCTCACAGATGAAATTTCGCTGCCTCGCTCATCCCACCATTTTATACAGTATTATGCCTTTTCCGTTATGCTAAGCGTTTCATAACGTTGATTGTCGTTGAAAAGAGAGTCGATAGACTGACTACCTACCGACAATAGTGACGGAACCATGGAATTCTTGGCACACCTGCTCGCGCATGGCTTGGTTTGGATCCTTATTATTGGCGGAAGACGACATGATGTAAAGATAGAAAATCGGTAAAGAGAGCAAGAAATGTATTACTGAAAGTAGGGATTAAATAGAGCTATCTTTGTCCGAGCGCAAGTACCCATATTTGTGGACTGAGTATCATTGTTGCATTCACACTAAGTTCGAATCTCCGGTGATATACCAAATAAATCTCTACTCTGTCGCTTGTTGACCCAAGCTTCTTCCAAACATAAGAAAACAACGATGCTAAATATATTCTACTATCATATGCCTTCAATGTTGATTATGATCAGTTGGCATGTTTATTGCGAGTGACTGCATAACAGTGACCATCTCTTTTCTGGAATTTCGGGGTTTGGAAATATCATAAGCAGACTCATCTCCACCCGCAATATCACACATTACAGCTTGAAAGTGGTTCGTTTGTTTTATGATGATGATATGGAATGGACCTGTTGAAATCAGATTCTGCGATTTGTTATAGAGACATTGAGATTTTACAGCTCCTATAACAACGATGCTGTTCAATGTTTGTCGCACATGCATTTCACACAGAGATTCCGAGAAAGCACAAACCCTACGATTTGATGATAATCATTCAGCATAATTTAGTGTATCTTAGTCATTCAGAATCTCTTCCTCTGTAAGCATTCGAACCCTTTCATGTCAATCTGTAGGCTATCCAACATTTGGTCTTCAACGGTCAGGCTGATCTGAAATGATGACACGGATAAAAACGGTTTGTCACACATCGCTGATTCCAGGATTCTCCCGCCTTCGGATGATCATCATAATAGAAACAAAACACTGAAAATACGACTCGACTTTTTGCATTGAGAAAGTGGTCTTTCTGTAGTATTCGCTGAGACCTATTTTTTGTGTTGGGGGACCAAAATCTTGTTTGGAGCGAGCGTCTAGTGAGCGGCTCGCCCCAAAATCAGCGACAAAGCGGGATTTAAACAGACCAAAAAATCAAAATTATCTACACAACTGAAGAATAAATTTTTACTTCATGGCCAACATCGACGACAAGTTCCTTGACTTGCTTATTGGCTCCTATAAGCGGCTTCAGATCATCAGTGTTTTATATGATACTCTTCAAGGGGACATTAGGTCTGTGAGACTGTGCGTACTATTTTAGAGAAGAGAGAGAGTTACAATATCTAGACCACAATAAACAATATAGCTATCGGGCTTACATGAGATGGTTGTACAAGATGAGGATGGTTTCTATATAAGGAACTACTGCTTCAACCGGTATGTCTGAAGACTCGTCTATACGACAGGTAAGGCCACATAATCAATCGCAACTAGTCGTATTTTCTTCGGGACTTTGTGATAGTGTTGATCATACCTTGCGTGTTGCCTGAGCAACTGTCGAACTTTGGAGCGCTCGTTTGCTGATTGATATTGCGTGAGACAATGGAATCAGATGTGTTGGTATGATATGTTGCAAAAACCGCTTCGCACAGGAGTTTTGTTTTCAGCTTGTATATTTGTAGATTAATGGATTTGACCTTGGTTGCTTTTAATTCCTTTGTCTTAGACTTGCGGGCGTACCCTATTGTGAATATAGATGACATGGTGGCTCGTACAAAAGTTCGGTAAGGAATGATGTTGCTGATGCCATTCCAGGTAAAGTCGCGATGTTCTCGCAAAACAACGTTCAACTGACGACCACGTTTGCGTTACCGTTCCTTTGTTTGCGGCACTCGACTTCCCATGTTCTATTTTTGCCCATCCAAGACCAAAGCGTACCCATTGTCATTGTTGCATCCGGTATGTAGAGCGGAACAAGATCAAAGGCATCGTCTTCTGATAAAAAACTGTGATTCCGTGATCCCTGGAATTGGTTCGCTAGATATAATACGCCTGACAAGATCCATGATAGCATCTTGGCAGGGTGCAGTGGACACGGCATACGAGTCACTACTTTGTTCTCCAGTGGAGGCACATTCGCCTCCGTTTTTGTCGCCGTGCACGGTGGTCGCAGCAGTAGTAGTACGTGCGTTCTAGGGAGGCGCTTGTATTTCCACGGTTCCTCATTGATTTTTGTACTTGATATCGCAAATGGCATGATTGCATCACCATTGGAAAAGACGACTGCTTCAAGTCCTACATCGTTCAACTGCTTTATCGACCAAAGACGTTTCTGTGGAGATTTCCAGGTCATATGTATAGCAAGCGGCGTCCTTCGCAGTCAAAAGCATGGCAACGTATGCTTAAACCAATAACCAAGTTCGGTATTGATTTGCCCGTAATAAATGGCTAGCCTGAAGCTTCTTGGATCCTCACGGGTTTCATCGTCAACATCACCTTTACGGATTCTACAAATCACCGGAATGGTTGCAAGTGCACCAGGTTACACCGTCGCAGAATCGTTTGACACTGAGTACGATGTTGAACTTCCGTTCGAATCCGGCAGCAGTGTCGGGAACGTCGGCAACTGAATGATATTCGCGTAGGGCAAATACACCTGTTTTCCATTCACTTGCACAAGATCGTTGAAATGTTCGACCGCGGCAGAGACGTTGGCAAGTTGATGGAAATCAAAAAGAAAAGAGCGTCAGTACGTCCCAATTTTTCATTAGTGTGACGTCACCTTAATCAAATTTTGGAGTGGATTTGGAGTGCACCAAGTGTTGGCCTTCTAAAAATGCGATATTCCATTTTAATCGATCAACAGCATCGGTTTGGATTGGCTGGCAAAGTCATTTTGACTGGTGGGGATATTGCCTTCGAAAGCAGGCGGTAGACACCGTTATCATGGGAGGATGATCAATATTAATTGGGTGGGTTCTTCAGAGATATAATCTCTACTCTTTGCAGATGCTTCATTGATATGAAACGTTCATTAAATCACGAGCCATTAACGGATTATGGAAGATGGAATTTTGATACAAAATATACTTGCCATTGCCAAGGATGAGGAGCATCATCTTTCGGAAAACTATCTTTCTACGGCTGACGGTATTCAATGTCAGTCAATGACCCTGTTATTTTTTGAAAGTCAATGACCCTGTTATTTTTTGAAACTTAAATCTGTCAGCAGAACGCTCCTGATGGCTTCCTTTCGAAAGTATCAATAAACAAAATTTATAAGCCATTTGTGTTACAGGGCTTCCGCAGTTATGTGTGTTCGATAGATACAGGTGACCGCACTACGTTGCAACTACTTGACTAGTTTGTGCCTGGATATATTTCAAGCGCCTCTTGTTTGGATGACTCGGGTCTCCGTGACGATTGTTCTACATGTTCTGAGGCTCCGACAAAACTATAAATTCAATGTTTTTCTGAGAACTCATGTTTTTTCTTTAGACAAATCTTCCTGACAATGGAAAGCATGATGATAGCTTTCAGACTTTTGCACGATCATGCTTCCAGACATGGTATTTTTATCATATCTGGGAGGTCTGACGAAAACATGCTGGGTCAACCATACCACTTTTCACAGTGTGTCTTTTAGCGATCTGACTAAACATATCCATGTCAAAAATTTACCGACCTCTTTGAAAGGGAAAGAAAAAATGAAAAAAAAGTTTTGCTCTGGCGAGCGTCTCGAGTGGCTCGGCCACCGCAAAAGAGATATCGGAGATCCAAATATAACTTTGGAAAAATAGAAAGAAAGCAAAAGGGAGATAAAAGGTCAGGCGAGTTCGCGGGATTACAGAATAAATGGACCGGCGGATAATGTCTCTTTTGATATTCCTCTCTAAATAGTCGATCGCCCATTACTCTTGCTTTAAGGAAATAGATCATCCTATCGCACCCTCCGAATTCAACGGCCTTAGGCCGACGAGCGATGGCAACAGCGAAAAAAACCGCATCCAAAATAAACACCCAGTGTCCCGAACAATGTTTTTTTAATGCTGAGCCAAAAAGTAAAAATAGTGTTAAGTGACGATGATAGTGGGTTGATTCCCGGCATACGCTGGTTGCCACCATCAACCTCTTGGAAACGCCTGGGAAGGGGACCCCTACGGGTAATCTGCTGCCTATATCCTTTGACAAATCTTGCTGTTTGCAGTAATTCTTCGAAGATGAAAGAGAGAGATGCTGCAAGTCTATATTACGGGCAGTGGCTGTCACGACGCGAAATTTTCATCCGTTGAAAGAATAGTCGACCATTCTTTTGATCGTACTGACGGTGAAACGGCGAAGATGGTTCAATGTTCTCAACTTTTTGAGGGTGTCCCCAATTTCAGCCAGTTTGACGTCGCACCGAGGGATCGCCGAAAAGGGGGCAAGAAAAAAGTGAGGCCTCACAGAAACTGGCCGAGTCGTTCCGGTTGCTTGGACTGCCACTTGGCCCAACCTACTGTAGCAGTGCCCCAAGCGCCGAGTCACCATGGTAACGTCATTTACGGTTTCTTTTTTGTATCAGTTCCCGGTGAATTACGATTTTGTTGATATGTGGCATGCAGAACATCACTTGGAGTGACAATGACGTTCTGAGATGAATTTACATTTCGCACAACATGAACTTCATTTTGGTCTTGATGCATTTTTTTCCCCAGCAAAAGCGAATTTACTTTCTAAAAACATGTAGCACAAGACCTTGTACCAAACTCGCAGACCGTCCCATGGATGAATGAGCAATTAAAAAACGTCCACTAATGAGAGGTTGCTCTTAATGCTTTTCTTATTGAACAAAAAATGTTCTCAAAAGTTTTTTGAGATTGAAATCGCTATTTCAAAAGAGAGAGGATCGAAAAACGGTCCAATAGAAAAGGAGGAAAATGGATGGAATAACTGTATCAATTGACCGAATGTGTGTCATCCATCGTTGCATCTTCGTCCAAGGGAATATTTACATCTAGATCGGTTATTAACATATCGTATTGCTTTTTCCTATTCTGTGGTGGTTCCTTATTGCCACATGGATCCTCGGTCGTCTTCTTTCTTGTCAACTTTGCATAGTCTAAATTAAGCCAACCGGTGAAAGAAAAAAAATCAGACCATTTATACTTGCATGCATACGCAGGGCGATGCTTACGTAGACCGCATGCATTGCAAAGCGTGCGTGCTCCATCCGGTCCTCGTCGCCATTCTGGAGTTTCAGAAATGTTGCATGAGTGGCATCGACCCTGGAAAACCGAACGTTTCTGATGGAATATACCACACAATTGAATCGATATGATGGGAGTTAACAAGACGTGGCAGTCTACCGTGATGGTTGTTTAATATTTCTTACCCCTCGTTTCCTTTGTCGTATTGCACTTAGTGACATGACATTCGCCCCTGAAGACCAATCTTCCTCGTTACCCTAATTAACCATATATGCAAGATTTTGTCAATTGAAATCAAAAAAGGAAAGCAATAGCAAGAAATCGTTCAACCGAAAAAGAAGGACGGCCAACAACAGCAGTTAAGTGAGATGGTACCTTGAACATGCGTGTTGAACTGTCTATACCATGCAATTTGGCATGTTCAGCTGCTAACTGGTACTTCCGCAGGCGTAACAAAGCGTTCAGAACTTCATTCGCACGAGCAATCATATCGTCCAACCAGGGACGCATGCGCGCGGGATCGGCAAAATAGTTGTCATAGTGAGGATCCACGAGACGAGTTTTTCGCTGAATCATGTTTTCATTTAAGCAACTGCAGTGGCGAATAATGTCATCAACATCGGTTTCGATGCTTCGGGAGGTAGAAGAAGAAGCTAACGACATTAAGGACGAGGAGGGTGCGCTGGTATTGTCAAAAGGTCCAAAAGTGGGGGCATGGCTCGCACTTCTGGAGATAGTGGGGTCGTAAATCGGATAAGCGGATGAAGATGGAGAAGGAAGTTGGGACTCATTAAATGTGCGTGAAGCCGTAGGAAAATAAGATGAAGAAGGTTGGCCATGGTCCTCTATCGTTGAAGTAACAGTAGAATGACTCTGTGGCTGCATATGTGTTTGGAGTTGCGATTGATGCGAATAATGCTGTGGGTGATGATCTAGAAGAGCATGATGTGATACCGATGTTTCGGATTTCCATGCTTCATGAGAAATAGGTGGCGAGACGGGAGATTTGTGTGAGGATGAAAAGGATGAGGGAGGCATGGAAGTTGGTGTGCCTGACAACGTCGTTTTCGGTGGAGGCCATGACCGGCTCGTTAAAAAATCGTCCATCGCGGAAATAGGCGGCAGGCTGAACTTGTCATTATCACTAGAGCAGTCATTAGAAAAAATGAATTGTCTAAAACAGAAGCGATCATCATCTCAAACTAAATGATTCTCCTCATTATTAATAGCAATGGTTGTCTGATTGCATGAATTCGGTCAAGAATATTTTGACAAACCAAACGCAAAAGAAACGCAGGAGTGCAAAATATAAAGGAAAAGAAAAAGAACATTTGACAAATAAAAATTGAAGAAATAAATACCTCGACGCACTGGATTCCATGTTTAGATGAAAGAGTCTTAGCAAATCGCAAATAAAATAGAGAAAGAAAGGGGATAAGATCGTAGTTTTCGGAAGAATAGATGTGGCGGAAAGGTTAAATGAATTAAACGACAGTCACCATCATTCCAATCGTGAAGATGAGATAAAAAGACAACGATAACCGTAATAAAGTGGGAAATCAGAAATAATAAGAGGGAAAAGAGGTTCAGAATGCGGGAAAGAATTCAAAAGTGAAGAAGGTAGGAAGACTACTTAAAGTTTGCCAATGTAACTTTTTTATCTTTTTGGAAATCCCTATCTGGGAAAGCAAATCGAGATTCGGTACAAGATGATGAGGTGTTTTTGGAAGATTTACAGTGTGACACGCATCTTACTCACTTGTATGAACCATACAGTAGTCCACTCATGTGTGGCGAAAATGTTTAATACAATTTCACATGCTTATGTAACACGTTGCTCTTCTTTGTTCAGTCCATTCACACATACCATATATGCTTATATTCTCTACATGACCACGGTCCCAAATTTTCCATCAAAAAATGATATGCACAGTCGCAGTAATCTTATGCGACTGTTGATGTAAGTCAATTCGACTCAACGTGATCTGGCCACGTGCCATCTGTCTATCCGATCAGCTTGCGTTGTTTTGCAATTGCTTTGGTTTGTTTTCTTTTTCCTTTTATATGTTGTCACCATTCATCAGTTTTAGGCTCAATGTTATGGGCGAATGATTGTAAGCCACTAAAGTCTTAGGGTCTCTTTCTTATGAGCGTTGACGCCTTGGATGCTCGCCTGGCCGGATATTCTCTTATCAGTTTTTAGTTCTATTTTCATTGAATGTAGGAGTTTGCAAAATGTCGAATTAATTGCAGCTTTTTTATCTGCCAATCAAAGCCAAGTTCTCGACGATTCCATCTTGAATTGACGCAATAAAAACTCATGTAAGGAAATGCTTGATGCAAGGGATATAAATGGCTAAAAGTAAGATCCACTAGGGATTTTAAGGTAAAGCCGCCATCTGGCCTAACCCCAAGGAACGACCTTGCGTCCTGTAATCTAAGAATATCCTCTTTCCTTTTACCAAAATAATACACCGCATCGATCAATGTTACATCAATCCCGCAAAAACTGAACACGGCTCGGTGTTATCTGCACAGAGGCTATCCACCGCAACTCTACTTCTAAAAAATACCTTGTTTTCCACACCTGTCATATGACACTAATGACCACTGAATTCACATTAGCGTCCCATTCACCACAATGGGAATGGGATCACCTTTTACTCGAAGTATAGAGGAACTGCTATTTCATACAGATATACCATGTATCCTGTACGGCATGTCACAGCAGTAACACCTCTGTCTTTCTGGATGTATTACCGTGCCATGTTAGTTGTTTCATAAAAGTGTGACAAATTTAAGACGAGATGGTACCGAACATATCAAATTGGCGAAATATGTCAGAAAATTGCTACTTACAGCATCGCGAGGGCAGATAGCAGCCTTGCAGCAGTAATAGCTTGCTTGCTATAGACCGGTCTATCATCCATACCATAAACTACGGATCAATCGATCACCCCGTCGTTTGGTATTAATGAAGATGAAGGGAGTACTCTATGCTTTGCTTTTGCTGGACTTTTTTACGTGAAGGCTATTAACTGGACCAAAAGGTATTGTCGATGTATCATGCAATCACTTTGGAGCTCCGAATATCGAAGTTCATTTTCTTTATTTGTTTCATATGCTTCATACAGCGTAGAACGCGAATGCGATTGCTTGGTCAGCATGTATTTATTTGAGCAATTTCGTGTAATGAGAAACACATATATATACAGGAATCATATACATTTTAGCGCTATCTGGAAATTGATATTGCTTGGTGAGCGTGTGTCACTTTTTGGTTGTTGGATTTGTCGTAGAGTATTTATCGAGCAGAGCTATATGTACTAACAGAAGAGGGGCTTGCGGGTTCCATGCCAGCATTCGATCCGAAAAGGGTATTGGCGTCCATTTGTGAAAAGCCAATCATACTGACAGGGGATGATTGGTGGCTGCCCATGCGGGTAGTACCGCCGGACGCGTTCTGGAAAGGATAATGGCCTGTATGCATAGGAGCCGTTGCAGCTTCAGCGCCAGCACCGGCTGTGTTGCTCATCATGCTTAACAGACTCCAATTGCTGTCACTGACAGGAATCACGGGAGCCGCTTTGGGAGTGATGGCATCCAATAGGATATCCCGTAAGCGGTAACATTGTCGTCGGCGTTTCGGGAAATAATAGCACCTTTCGGCCAACGGTGCAGGTCGGGTAAGTCGCAAAGACTGCATCACATTTTCCACTTCTTCATCCGAATCCACATATTCTTCATGAGGCGCCGACGCTGCCGCGGAAGTAGCGGGCGATTTGGATTGATTGGCAAGCTTTTTCAGATTTTTCACGGATTTTTGGGCAGTTGTAGATGCGACAGCGCCAGCTGTGAGTAATACAAAAAATGCAGGTGAGATATGATAATCAAGACCAAAACAAAAATAAGAAAAAGTGACTCATTTGTTACCTTGTGGTCGGCCAATCGCCTTTTTTTGATAAGCAGCCAGTAGAACATCATACGGTTCGGATCTTCCTGCCACGGCTCGCTTCGCACCCATCGAGTGGCTTTTGCATGTCAATGACCGAGTGCATGGGGTATTGTTCGGTCCCTGAATTACACCACATTGTTTGTCCAAATCCAAAGGAGCTAATATCAATTGGAGGTCAACCCTTTCCGACGTCATTCATATCATTTATACATCTGTCTTGTTCCTGGTTTACCTTTTTGTTTGGGTGTGGCCTTTTGCTTCTGTTTTTCTTTCTTGGTCTTCTTTTTTTCCGGTTTATCGGTGGTAGAAGGTGGCCGTTTTGGAGGAGCTGAAGATGGATCTAGATAATCTATTGAATAAGAGAATTCCCGCCTCTGATAGTTCATCATACCTTCAGGATCGCCTCCTTTCAGTTTTTTCTTCTTCAAAGCTGGGGAATTGTTGCCCTTGTAGGACTTTGTTCCCATTTCATCGTCTTCGTCGTCGGAGAATACCGTTTTGGGTATTACTGCTTTGTCCTTCTCCGAATGCATCAATGTATTCTTTCGTCCCTTCTTTTTCCGACAAATCTCTATTTGCCAATAAAGCCCTGTTAGAGACATTTTCGATGACGTTATTGTTCCATTCTTCCAGCTGTACCTGTATGATCTTTAAAGCTACTTGCAAGGATCGGCCGCTGGCAGGTTTTGCATTTGACTACCACAATATCTTCTTCCATGGGTAACGCACCGAATGTTTTGGCATCGTCTGTATCCAGTTTTGTAGTAGTCGGTGAAGGTTCTTCCGATCCACTTTCATTGTAGTCAGCTGAATGAACAAAAGCAGCATTGAGATGTCCCATTCCCAAATCAGTACCAGTTTCTTGTATTTTATTCTTACCTTCACCTTCTGAGGAATCGACGTTCATGGCGTCGCGCACTTTTTTCCAGGTAGGACCTGTCTCTTCACGTAGTTCCTGCAACCCTTTGCGTTTCAAAACACCGCTTTCTGGATTTTTTAATTGGTCCCAACTAGAATCCTCTTGGAATATGGATAAAGTTCCAGGCGTAACGTGTTTCGACCAGTTGGTCGAATTTTCGAGTAGTGGTTTAGATAGACTGGCGATATCTTTTTTTTTTGCAGAGGGTTATTAAATTCATGTCGATAAGAAATGTCATAAAAGTCATTGGCTACGGATTGCTTGTAATTACCAGTTTGCAAGCGTTCGATTTTGGCTCCTTTTTGTTTCAATATATTTTGTTGCTCTTCAGACAGGAGATCTAAACGTGCGCAGTATTGGTTAATGACGACCGCTCACTTGGCTAAAAGAAATGGGGTAAAGACTCACCATGTTTCTTGCTAGGATTGTTGGCCGCCATAACCCGAGAACCAACGTTCGATTATATTTCGAATAAAATAGAATAGTTCTTGTATATAACAATAGAGAACACGGATTCAGATGATGGGGGTATTCCTGAATTTCACCAACGGTTGAGTCACTCCAAACTGTTAAGCTTGCCAGTGCCTTCTCAGCTTGACCGAACTCAGGCTGGTGTGACGGCGATTTCCCACTCAAATCGGTTTCGGCGAAAACTGTGATTCTCTGTGAAGTCCGTCAAGATTTTTTAATGCCTTCCACTACGGTCCGAGAAATGCATCAACCATGGCAATATGATAAATAGCGTTTCTGGGAAATATATCAAAGGCTGACAGGGTGAGCGTTGGCGGCTATTGAAAAGCAGAGATGGAAAGGTGTGTAGGACCGGAGTCTTGACTTGTTGAAAGAAAGTCGCTCAAGAACCGCTCATATTGGATCTGAGAAAATGGACGATGTTGGTAGCTGATTTGAGAACCAGGATGTCGTTGCCTCATTTTATCGACTCAACTTCGGAAAATCAATTGGATTTCAGAGTTTGTGGCAAGTTGTAGGATGTATGTACCGAGCCAGGGATTCAATCTTCGACGTGCGTATAACAAAAAAGCGCTTTACCCATACACAATGAGTTAACAACTCGAGAGCGGTAAAACAACCAAGCAGAGCGTTATGGCAATTCTGTAGTTTAGTGTTCTTATTCGTTAAATAGATATCTGGCATTTTGTGAATACAAGACAGCTATACGTAGAACCGATGGTACACTGTGCGACGACATCGATAAACTTTATGTGTGTTACCGCGAGTAAGTTCAAAGGTTAATCTCGGCATCAAAAAAGTTTTCCAGAGACAATTATCTCCGTAGCAAGTTCCATTGGATAATCGCAACCGGAGGTCTGAGAACACCACCTTGAAAACGGCACCTTTGCGTTGTTGACAGAAACACACCAATAACGGCCTATTTGTGTAATCATTTAAAAAAACACAATACATCATTAAAACTTACAACTTTACTATATCCGTTTCGCGCGATCTTTCTTGAATTTCTCTCTCCCGACTGTTCGATGACCATCGAGAAAGTTGGGGATCGAGGTCTTGAGATCGCTTGAAGAGATGCTTCACACCATTGGTAAATAAAAAAGGATACCATCTGTAAATTCTCAGAAGGGGTATTATCTATTGTACTCTCAGTTGTTCATATGGTTGAATTCTTATAAAATGCACCGAGGTGTGAACTGCCTTGTACCTCACAATCGTCCTACGTACTTTGACGTCATAACAAGAAAGCAGTGCGCGTGGAAGCTCTATTTCACATTTGTGGCAACTTGGTCATCCATCTTAATCTATCAATGATCCAATACTCATGTGGCCTGGTATTGTTTAGTAAATAAAAAAAAAACCAAGTAGATGGCAGCTAAAAAGTTGGGATAATGTAAACCCTATTGATAGGAAAAGAGTAAAACAGTCAAAGTGCGCGCCAATAGAAGAAACCTTACCATAACCGCGCACTTTTGAGATCCGAAGGGTGCAAGACGTATTTGAAGGAAGTACGTTGGCGGAAGATGAAGACATATTTTTTGTGATCAAGGGACACAAAGAGCAACATGGCTGGCTTTTTTTTCCAGTTATGCTGATTGATCTGGGGGCTCTAACTGCTTTTGTGATACACGTACGACGTTTCTCATTTTCTGGTGTCGAGATCACAACCAATCCCCAATGGTGGCGGATATTGAATTATTAAGAGGAATATGATTGGATGGATTGATCCAATCTTGATCGGGCCTTCTTTGTGACGAGTTGTTTTTTTCATATGCTTTTTTAAAACGGCTGGGATTTGGGGATCTCTTTTTTTTGTTTGCATCTTGTGCTGTGGATAAGGAAGGGCGAATGAGAATTGCTACGATCCTCGGTGTACTGTCTGTGCTTCTCTGGAGTACACAGGCCTTGCCGGTTTTTGAGATCGGTATGCATGCGTACAAAATAGAATAAGGTTTTTTTTGCCATACTGACCATGCTTATATATTTATTTTTTCTATAGTCAATGATAAAGATAGATACGGCAACGCTTGTCCTTTGAAACCATCGTACAACGTATCGTGTCCTTTGCTGTGCGTTACCGACTACAGTCTATGTCCTCCTGCTTTGGCGCCTACGTGTCCGCCTGGTCTATCATTCTGTACTGACGGTGAATGTCATTCGTCTTGTGAGGGCATCAGCAATGAATGTCTATGCACTGAAGCCGCACTGCCTATGAATTATGTTCCATGTGCTGCCGGTCAGCATGTTAACATTACACACTTTGATCCCAACAACAAGGACCAACAAACTCAAGACACATGTGCCAAGGCTGCTCAACTCAATGCCTCAGACGTGGGTGTTTGGGGTACATTCAATCAATCCAGCATTTGGTTGCAATGTCCTGTCATTGAACCACGGTTCACTTTTACTGAACCGAGATGGATTGCTGTATGGGCTATCATGGGGGCCGAAGCTGCTATTCTCATCTTATGGCACCTCTACAAACTTGCCAGAGAGACCAAATTCCACCGCGCACTCGATAAACCACTTGAAAAGCCTGCCTCGCCACCCAACCTTGTGAACGAGAAAGAAGTAGCGATGGCGAATATGGCGGCGACGAACGGTAGCATCAGTGACGAGAAAGCCGCTTTCAAGAAGAATAATGCAGAGGAATCCAGCCAAGGCACCTTTAGCGATCGTTCATCCGACAGCGCTTCGCTCAAGGACTCGGAACGTTTACGGTTCCGTGGTTTCCAAAATGATTTCTTTGGTTTGTTCGCGTTCGGTTCGGTCATCATCATCACTTTACTGTTTGTGGTATTCCTAGCTGTTCTCGTCAGTGATTATTGTAAGTACTATCATAACCTTCCAATTTTTTTGGGGCGGACTTTTTGCCTTTTTTTTTCGTGGAACTCATCAATCTTGCACGTTAGACGGTAATTTGACGGGTGTGGAACTTGCCGCCTTTTTGTCTTCCGATATGTCATCGAAAATCTTTTGTGCTGTCTGGCATCTGGCAGCTGCTTGGTTTGCGGTTGTTTTGCTTTGTCGTAAACGTATCCGCAACTACTTCCGTATTGAATCCTACGCCCATAAATGTCCTTTTGTTCAAGTCGAACGGCGACAGGAAGAACTCGTCTTTCTCGCTGACGGTAGTAAATGGATCAACAAGCTCAAAGATATCGAACAACGCATCATCAAACGTTTGGGGTAAGTTTTGAATCGGAATATCAAATCACTTCCCAGCTGGCTCATCACTGATGTGTTGGAATTTCCTTCATCCGCTCTTTTCTGACTTTAGCATGGATATCCTCGTCTCAACTTGTCCTGTGCATTTATCAACCAACAATCTCCGCTATTTTGAATACCAGTGCATGCGCTATGTGTATAACGCTGAAAAAGGGAGATTTGAACCCTATGAGTTCGATTTAGGGTGCACCCATCGTAAACTCCGCAGCTGGTCCAAAGGTGTCAGCTCCGATGTCGCTCACAATCGCCTCGAACTGCTCGGTGCTAATCTGATTCGCGTCGAAGTCCCAAGTATTCCATTGGCCATTATTCAAGAGTAAGTTTTTCACCTTTTCAATCATTCACGTTGCCAAAGATCGGCTTTGCTAATTGGATGCTTTTTCAGATTCGCTTCGTTCCTTTACTTGTACCAAATGATGTGTATGTGGGTGTGGTAGTAAGTATCAATGATGAACAAAAACAACTTGTTTGTGAAAGCCTCAAGAATTGTCCCTTATAACTAATTGACCGGTATAGCTATTTCCAATATTTCAAGATGGGTTTGGTCCAAACCTGCATTATCTTTGCTGCCGCCTTCATTCGCGTGTTTTTGCGTTTGCGCGCCGAATACCGCATCAAGCAAATGGCCGAACAAAAAACCACTGTCAATGTGCTTCGTGATGGCGAATGGATTGAGAATATGTCCAGTGCGGATATGGTGCCTGGTGATGTTTTCGAAGTGCAAGAACAAATGCAAGTGTCCTGCGATGCGGTGATTCTCTCCGGTACCATTGTCGTGAACGAATCTTCCTTGACTGGCGAAGCCATGCCTATCCGCAAGTTCTCTATTCCCGACGATGATAATACATACGAGTTATTGGGATCTGGCAAGGTCAATACACTCTTTGCGGGTACAAGTGTGTCGCAAACCATGCCTGCTATCAATGAACAACGCGTCACGGCTTTGGCGTTACGTACTGGCATCACCAGTGAAAAGGGCATGCTTATTCACAAGATTTTGTTCCCTACGCCTGTCAGTTTCATTTTCAACGAACATCTCAAGCTCGCTATTTGTATCTTGCTGTTATGGGGTGGTATTGCCTTTGCTCTCACCTTGTACCTTATGGGTCGCGGCAACATCACTAGCTGGTATTACGGTGTCTTCATCATGTCCCAGATTTTCTCGCCCTTGTTGCCGGCTGCCTTCACGATCAACCAATCTGTTTGCGCCGCTCGCCTACGCACCAAGAAAATTTTGTGCATTGATCTCCCGCGTATCAATTTGTCGGGAAAAGTCCGCATCTTCTGCTTCGATAAGACCGGTACCCTGACACGTGAAGGTCTTGAATTTTACGGAGCTGTCGCCGCTTGTAAAAACGAGTCACGATCTTTCCTCGAGCGAGAAGAAGATTCGCTGGCCATGGAACCGACCCTAGCTTTGGGTATCGCGACCTGTCATGCTGTCACCAAAGTCAAGGATCAATTTATTGGTAATCCGGTTGACATTGAATCCTTCCATGCCATGAAATGGGAACTTTTACCCCCGGCCGACAATCTGTACCTTGATACCCTTGTTCCTCCCGCAGCCACACCCAATGATAAGCCTGTCCCGGTTCACATCGTTCGTCGTTTCGAGTTCGTTCACGCTCGCGCCTCTCAGTCGGTGGCTGTTCTTGATCCTAAAGATGACCATGTCCATGTCTTCCTGAAAGGTTCTTTCGAACGCGTTAAAAATTTGTCCCGTTCCGAATCCATCCCCCCTAACTATGATCAAGTCGCCGCCAAATATGCGCAGGAAGGTTGTTACGTCCTAGCAATGGCTCACCGTGATCTTGGTAAACTCGGAGATGATATCACCATGGCGGAAATCAAGAAGATGACGCGTGACGATTTGGAGGAAGGTTGTGATTTCACCGGTTTTGTTCTTTTCCGAAATATGCTCAAGCATGATACTGCCGACGCCATTGCTGAATTGAAGGAAGGTGACACACGTACTGTCATGATTACGGGTGATACCGCTCTTACTGGTATCTTTATTGCCCGCCAATGTGGTATGATCGCTCCTGGTCAGACTGTTTTGCTGGGAGATGCTGTCAATGGCTCCATGATTTGGCACGATGTCGATTCCGGTGATCAGGTGAACGTGGACGAAGTTTTGGCTGCGGATCCTCGCGAAGAACATGACAAACAAGTTGAATTGGCGATCACCGGTCGTGCTTTTGAATTCTTGATCTCTCGGAATCAGATGCGCCAGTACTTATTGCATACACGTATTTTTGCCCGTATGACTCCCAACGACAAGGTGCAATGTGTGCAATTACATATGGAGAAGGGCGTGACAGCCATGTGTGGTGACGGTGGTAACGATTGCGGTGCTCTTCGTGCAGCTCATGTTGGTTTGGCGCTTTCCGAAGCCGAAGCATCCATTGTATCGCCTTTCAGCACCAGTAACAGGTAACATTGAGTGGCACTGGAAAGGAGACAGGACAAAGAGGCTCATTATATATATTTTTTATCAATAGATCCATCATGCAATGTGTCGAATTGCTCAGACAAGGTCGAGCGGCTATTGCTACCAGTTTTGCCAATTACAAGTTCTTGATCTTCTATGGTGAATCGATGGCTTTCTGGGAATTGCTGATGTTTTACTTTACTGTGATTGCTCCCCAGTCAATCTGGATTACAATTGATGGTTTCATCACTACCACCATGACGTTTGCTATTACTCAAGCTCAGCCCGCGGCCAAGTTGGGTCCTTCACGTCCTACTGCCAAACCTCTGGGTGCTTACACCTTAGCATCTTGCTTTGGTATTATTTTCATCAACTTTTGGTTTATCACGATGAGGTAATGAATGATCAGACATGACGGGATCCGCCACTTGTATTGATGCTCACCCCGTATGATTTTTTAGCGTTGTTTGGCTGTTCCAACAAGATTGGTTTGTGTGCAATGAGTTTGACAGTTCTGCTATCGATTCAGCACAGTGGTGGCTCCTTGGTGATAATTATGAGTCCGAAATCATTTCTCTCGTTATCATTTTCCAGTTCTTTAACAATGGTGCTCTCGTCAACTTTGGCTCTGTCTTCCGTCAAGCATGGTGGCGTAATTATACTTTGGTCTTCATCTGGTGTTGCTTCTTTGTCAGCACCAGTTACATGATGCTGGCCGACCCCAATCCTTACGGCTGCATGGTAAGTTACCACTACGGATGATGATGGGTTCGAGGAAGATTTGTCTTAAATTTTTATTTTCGCCTTTTTAGTTCCGTATTAATTGCGGTACCCCCAGGGTGCTGGAGGAGCTCGGATACCCTAAACCAACTTGGTCAATTGAAGAGTATAATGCCCCGTTGGGTCATAACGTACTTCCTCGCTGGTTCCGATGGCAATTGTGGGGTTACGTTGTTGCCAATTGCGCTGCGAATCTTATCTGGGAACGTATCGTTATCCTTTGGATTGCACGCGACTGGGCGATCAAGAAAAATCAAGCCAGCCCTAAAAAGAACAGAGCCATCTTTAAATTGTAATCATTTTAATTCTTCATTTTTGTTTTCCTTTATCTACCTAGAATCATCATATATCGACATGCAGAAAAAAAAAGTTCATCATGTAATAATAAAAAGCAATATTAGCTTTATCATAGATAACTGATATCATATTGTGGGCATTGCATTGTTCACATGAAGTTGGCGTCCATATTAAATAACACAAAATGCAAAGATGCAAACTTGTAAGATGATGGTCTATTACACAATCATGAAAAAAAAAAGATCTAATATGTACAATGATGACAGACACGATAAGCATAAAACAACAAAGAAATAGTACACGACATACAACTCAATAAATAAACTAAAAGCGGATTAATGCAGAGGAGACATTCGTAATTTCCGGGAGGTGGGCTATCTATCTTTTGCGTTTTCGTCCAACACTTTGAGTAAATCACGTTTAGCCATACCGTTGAAGTCTTCCTCGATCAATCCTATACGTTCAGAGATGATAGATTTCACACGTGTTCCAAACTGAACAGCATCCTCGCCCGGTCGTCGTTCCTCTGGCGTGCAATAATAAACATCCACTGGCGTGGCCCATCGTGTCATGCGATAAAAAGCATAATAGAGGAACCCTTTTCGCGTATCCCAATAAGGGTCACCCCATGCTCGATCGTATCTACACCCGAGATGAGTACTCAAAAACCTATCATTTGATATTATGTCCTGCTTACTTGATGGCTACGGGGCATACTTTGACGCCAAGTTCGAAAGCGCCTTTCTGAAAGCGAATAATGTGTTGGTTATTGACACAGGTTCCTTCCGGAAAAATGATCATTGGATTTGGCCATGTTGTCGGATTCATGACATGGGCCTTTAATCTACAAAATCCAAGCCATGAGCATACGGATCCTCCCAAAAAGCCATCCTACAAAACCATCCTACCTCTCGGCGAGTAACTTGCGCTCTTGAAAATTGTGACGATCGAAACAAAGCGAATTGATGTGGCTCAGCCCATAACGTTGAAGAAAAGCTTATTGTACGCAGCATTAGTTGGAAAGATTCCAAGCTTATTTTGTGATGACCGTCCACATACCAAAAGCGCCGCCATCGCTACGAGCCATGACCACGGCATTCGGGTATTTGTATGCACTGACAAGAATATAATCAAGATAAGATGTGTGGTTTGCCTACGACAAGAAAAAGGAGTTAAGTTTGCCGCCCATGGGTATGAGCAAAGCACTTTCACTTACCACAAAGACATGAGCTTCTTTTAGTCGATCTTTCCTTCCGTGATTGCGAGCAATAACACCCAAAGAGAAAAGAATTCCTCGGTTATAGAAAAAGACGAGCTTCGACTACGAATTCCACTGGTGAGTCAATGATCGCATGGAACAAGTAACACTATAAAGAAGTATCTTACCACCATGGACTTGCTCTTCAATAACAAAGCAATCGGTAAAGTGGTAAAAAATGCGGTCGACACCATCCCCAAAGCTACGGTTCGTAGCGGTAACAGTACACCATAACGAATGAGTACACTGGGTAATGACAGCAACTTTCGAATAAAACCGGGTTTCGCTACCGATCCGACCACGCTATGTTCGGATTCAAAGCACTTTGCGTAGTACAACTATTACTCCTTCGTTAGCTATTTCTTGCTCACAAAGACGCAGTGTACATTCAAAAAACATACCAGCTGTTGCCGTGTATATACCGTCTTTGTAGGACTACCAAGTTGAAATCGAAGTTACATGTTAAGTATACTAAACAAACCAATATGGTATGACATGGGCCAAGCGAATTGTACCTTCCCAAGAACGGATCGGAAGACGTCCGTTGAAGAGACGACATTCTGGTCAGTATAGGATCAGTGACATCAGCCACGATCATTTCCGTCACTGACAAGTTCGGATCTTCCGGGGGCATGGTGCAAAACAAAAAAAGATCAACTTCAAAGAAGACTCTTTGACACAGCCTCATGAAAAAAAAAAAAAATTGGGATCCACAAAAATCATTGCAACGCCGATTGAAATTGACAGAAGGTGTGTGTTACTTGCCGTGTTCGATGGGGTTACGCCAGGAAGACACTTCACGATGTATTACACATCAAGTATTTTTTTTACCATGCAGACTAAAAGCTTTCAAAAAGAAAAAAATGTTTTTTGCATGTTTATCATATATGCTCTTCTCGATTACAGTGGAACTTGTGTGCGGGCAGGGAACAGGCAAACGAAGTGGCAATGAGTATGTAATCGGTGTCACCAGATCCTTATCAAACGAATGATTGAGCCGCCTAAGAATCAAACGAAACTGACGGTTTTTCTCTAAGCATACAACAATCCTTGAGCTTTATGATGCACTTTATGATGCAGCACAGACGCCGCTCCTTGATCTCCGCTGTATTTGCGACACTTGAGGACAGAATAATACGCAATTCGACAAGCGTCTTGATGCCCGCCGTGGTTTTCGGTATCAGTTGCGCTCTTCTGAACTGCATTACGAGTTTTCAGCTCATTAAAGATCTTCAGTCATGTGCTTTTACAAAATATTGCGACAAGAGAAAAAAGAACAGTACACAAAGCTATTTATCAATGGCGTGAGGATTTTACAGAAAAGTACCGAAAATGTCTCTCAATAAGCACAACGTTGTGGAAAATTCACGAAGCTACATCGTTTAATGAACACGCAGCTCCGGCGAGCTTTGGATTTCATTTTTGACCAAAATCCTACGAAGAAATTCAAGAAGGAAGACAAATAAAAATTAGTTATGGCTGCTTTTTCTGCAACCTTTTTATTTCTTTGCATTTCGTATGTCTCAATTCTCTTTTATACCCTGCGAACTTATTGTACATAATCAGCTAGAAGTGCCTCCAGCTTATTGATAAGTTTTGGTTTATGCGTCAAAACTCAAAAAAAGCAACAACGACGAGTTAAGCGGAAAGTATGGAGCTGATTGGAAGAATTACACTGTTGCCCTTTTTCAGTTTATGTGTCACCGAACAGCCTACAGGCCCCCAAGCACATTTCTTGTTCATCTGCAAAACCATGTTCTCTTTGACCATTCTTCCAAAAAGCACCAACAAACGCGCCCCCTCTCAGCTGAACATCCTGTCCTGCTCATCCGACGCTTTCATTACTGCTTAAGCTAATGCCTTTCAACCCATGATATCCGGATAAATATTTATCCGGTTTTACTCATCATCGTGCTCCGGAATTTGAAAAAACAAGGGGGGGTTAGCACAAGTGGTAGTGCGTCAGATTCCAGATCTGAAGGTTGGGCGTTCGAGTCGCTCACTCCTCACTCTTTTGCTTTTTTTTGCCAATGAGAATTTTTTTTATTGTTTTATTATTTTGTTTTATTTTTTTCGCAAAGTGGCTCCACAGATAACACAATAGGAAATAAGAAGAGCTTTTTTTTAAAAAAAAAAAAGAAAAAAAGGAGTGAACACGTTTCCTACGGCGGGCAATTGCTGGCCCTGAGATCAATGGGAAAATGTTCTATTGAAATGTAAAAAAAAAAAAAAAAAAAAAAAAAAAAAACCACAGGAGATAGAAGTAAAGCAAAAGGTTTGATTTTATTATGAATATGGTTTTGGCAATTCTATAATGAGTTTCCAAGCAGGGTTTGGCAGTCGAACAAGGAAACGGTTGCTTAAAAAATTATCATATAGCGAAGGTAAAGACTTTCTTTTTTAAGAGCGGGTGAACCAACATCCATTGCGGACAATTGCTCGCCGTAAGGTCGACAAGTAATATTGAAGAAGGCACAAAAAGCTTAGAAGAGCTAGTTTACATATTGAAAGGAAGACGGATTATCCATGAGCATAGTGGTGGTGATTGGTAACATCAGCAGAATCGATAACGGTCACTTTATGTCCTTTGGTCAAAACCACAGTTACTTTCTCTGCGTATTTGTTTAATCCCTTCGCCGCTTGCAGTTCCAATGTGAAAATCTAACTGCGATACATTGAATAAGTTCTCCCAACTTCCACATGGAAAATGTAGGCGGATCTTTACAATGTAGCACACCTGCTCGTATTCTCTGTTTGTCTCACTATTTTTTCATCATCATGGGGCAAGTCAAACGATAACTTTAGTAATAATACAATCATCACCATCATTCCCACAATGTGTTTATTCAGATCAACTGACTATAAGGCAATCACAATAAAAAGCTTGATGGAAAGCATAATCCCGAAATTGAAATTCCTCAACCGTACAATACAATATTTCCCGAATCATCTTCTCGGTTTGTGTTATCCGTTAGGATTGATAAAAGTTCAAAGATGTCAACGAGACAGAAAATATGATTGTTTTATTCACAATGAACACTGATGAGTATTTATATGGTTCCTGAGTAATCGCCTCTTTAAAGGTGACTTTTTGATAGAAAGAATGATGTCTTGGTCTGAAGAGGAGTTGATAAATGATAGAAAGAATATCGGGACTTATGGAGGAAGCATCCATGTCAAATGAGAGGTCGGATTGATGATGTCCGTGTCGGATATGTAATAGATCATGTTAGGAATACAATATTTTCTCGTCTGTTCACAGCTTGTTTGCAGGGTCCGCCAATTGACTGTTCAATCATTGTTTCCGATGATAGCATCGTCTCTTTTCCCGCAAATTCTCCAAGGTATTGGCCGTAATGGAATCGTCGCTTTTTGTCCAATAGCTTTTTGAGGCGGTGCGAGCTAACATGGCGTTTTTTTTCCATCCCGTATGAATGATACGGGGATGGTCCGGAATAATATGGAACCGATTTTGTCTTGTGATAAGGCCTGCTGGGTACTGTCTTGGTCGCAGAGAGTCCAGATGGATGCCGGCTGGCATGGCAAGTTTGACGCCAGTTCCGATGAGGAGCGACACATTGTAATATCATTTCACCATCGTGCCGTACCTTGATTGGAACTGGGGCATGATTTTTCATGGGCTTCAGGTCTGCATCCCCAAATGCGACTATGGCTGCACCCTCTGGCCTCCGCTCATTTCTTTGAGCGTTTTTCCGTTTTCAACAGGTGACTTTCGAGAGTTTTTATAAGCCCATTGACAAGGATATTGAATCATCGTTCATTACTACATGTTGAGAAGATGTGAAATATCATCAAACTTACAATTTTTGGCTCGGCAGGATCCCCGAGCAAGGTGTTGGCCATTTTATCTAGCACCATTTGAGTATGGTACAACTCGGTATATTTGAACTGCGAACGTTCTGAGTATGAGATTTATTGATGGACATGCACATAATGCGATGAAAGAGAGATATATGTATGTGGAATACATTGTTTTATTATAGCAAGCACGACAGAAGATACAGTCTCCACTATTTCTTCTTCTTCTTCTTCGCTTTTCTCACCACTTGCATCCGTTTCATGATCATCATCATCTTCATCATCTTCCTCAGAATCACTGACATGCACCGATAAATGGATCGGGCCTTTGTCACGGGAGTACTTTCTTTGCATTTCTTCAATAAGCGCATCGTCCACTGGCTGCGCCTGATCTTCGCCCAGAACGAGATGCCCATTCTTTCTGGCCATCGCACAGGTAATCGTAAACGACCCACCCAGGAGAAGCTGACGAACCTGCCTTCGAAACTGTAATCGCGGCTTCGTTCATCGGGATGGTATGACACGTAGTACCATGCGGCCGCCTTGACATCCACATCCGCATGCTTGCTGGTTTGACCGCATAGACCACGTAGCACCTGAACACAAGCGTTACTTCTCTGATGTCCGTAGAACGATTTTTGAAGTTGGTGGATCGTGCGTCATTAATGGATCGCCCTGCAATCTTTTCCCACCATCTTCTACTCGTCTTTTTTCATCTGCGATCTACGATCCTTTATGACTTTTGATTGATGAGACAGAAAAGGCAAACCACGGCAACCATTGGCATGAATTACCTATCATTTGAATCGCGCCTAATTTGATTACCAAGCGATTATAAAGCTGTATCGAGTAATCTATATCTCGTCCGATTTGCTCGGCCAATCGTGATCTCCTCCTTTTTATATTCAGATGACAGCCTCCGTTGATCACTGTTACTTTTGATTTTCTTGTACGGATAATAAACTTACAATCCCAAATTAGTTCACCCAGATGTTTGATCCTAGTAACAGCGATAGTGCCTCATTTTGCAAACGTTCATAATCAAAAATGGAAGAATATTTTTTGTCTGACGCGTCCAACACTTCTTGTAAGATATTTTAAAGGGCTAAATGAAGAGCCAATTCAATTTTGATAATTGTTTATTTAAGAATGGGATGCCAATCTGGGCTAAACAATCAGTTAAGCAAACAGAAAGTTTGCAATCCAATGAACTGACAGGAAAAAATGAGGGAAAAATTTATTCACTTTGACTCCGCTGGTTGCGTCAAAAGACAGCCCGTTTCGCTTTCTTTCATCCCTTTTAGTCATGAGCGAAAAGACATTCGAAAAGGGCGTTTCTGCCCCCACCACCGAACTCGACGGCTCCAAGCTTCGTATCGCCATTGTTCACACTCGCTGGAACTATGCTCTCGTCGATAAGCTTTACTCGGTCGTGCACGAGACATTGATTAAAAAGTACAAGGTCTTACCGGAGAACATCACTACCGTACGCGTCGCTGCCCATTGTTTGTTCCCACATTCTCGAGCATCATGAAAAAAACTCATCTATTTCTTGTTAGGATACGGTCTCTGGCTCGTACGAGCTTCCTATGGCCGCCAAACAACTCATTGAGCTTTCCCAAGTCCAGGCCGCTGACACCGCCAGTGACCTTTTGGGCTCGCCGGCACCGACCCAGGAAAAATCATCCGGCAAGAAAACCGGACCTTTCGATGCCGTGATTTGCCTTGGTTTGGTGATCAAGGGAGGTACCGCTCACTTTGAATACATTTGCGATGCTGTGACCCACGGTATTATGAAGGTCCAATTGGATACCGGCGTCCCCGTTATTTTTGGTGTCTTGACATGCTACAACGACGAACAAGCCATTGCCAGGGCAAGCACTGAAGATGGCTTCCATCATGCCGAAGAATGGGCCGCTGCCGCCGTGGAATCCGGCTTGAGAAAATTCAAAAAATTGTAAAAAGGGGATTGATGTCTCTGTTTTCTTTTTCAAAGTATAAAGTTCATAAGACCACGGCATGTCAGCTACATCAATGATAGAGATTATTTTTCAGCTCTCAAGCTCTTTTTTTATGACCATCATTGCCATTTGCTGGATGCGGATATTTCATTATCAGGAAATGTAACGGGGAATGTGGGTCGGGCGTGGTTTCTTGCTTGATATTACGGGACTTACTCATATAGCAAGCAAACGCGTTAAAACTCCCAAGCGCCATTATGATCGATTAGAATGTTACAAAGCCCATTTCGAGACAAGTGGATAAAGCCAGTTTGCTTCGTGTTGAAAGAAAGTGCAGTGAGGTTCAAATTTATCACATTGAGGACTGGGTTTAAATATTCATCTGGAGCCATGTGGTTGGCAGTGACCTGATCGCTCTTTCTTTTCGTCTGCCATCATGAAAGGAGCCGATCAATTGGAGGCATTGCGCTCCAATATGTTGGAGCAGCATGGGGGTGAAGAGAAAGTGGAAGGTAACTCGACCTGACGGCCTCTCCCAACGAAAATGCGACTGACCATGCTTTGTAACAGTCAATCAGCGGCATCTTATTGACAAGATTTTGGCCCGTTACTCTGCTGAATATGTACTTTATAGGGAACTTATGCAGAACGCAGGTAAAATGCGCTACTGACTCTCTATTCCTGGCGAAGGTGATGCTGACTGACACACTCGACAGACGATGCTTCTTCCTCGGAAGTCGAGATCCACTTTCACTCTGAAAACCCTAGCGGCAGCAAGTCGGGGAATACAATGAATTTATCACAAAAATGCAACAAGATTGTTTTCAAGAACAATGGCATGACCTTTCGTCCCGAAGATTGGCTTCGTTTAAAACGTATAGCAGAAGGAAACCCAGGTACAATACAACACTCTTTTTGGGATGATCGAGATCGGTTATTACGGAATGATCCGCTTACATTTTTTTTTTTTTTTTCGCAGATGAGCAAAAAATCGGTGCCTTTGGTGTTGGCTTTTACTCGTTATTTTCTGTATGCGAAAATCCTTTGTAAGCAAAAAAAGACAACATTGACCAAACGAGCAAAATGTTCATGGAATCGATTCTTCAGTGTTTTCTCGGGCTCTCAATGCATGGCTTTTTATTTCAAAGGTGATCAGCTGTTCGCGAAACGAGGCGATGTACCGAGCAATGAAACAGATCAATGGACCTCCTTTCTGATGGATTTGCGAGAACCCATGGAAATGCCTGATTTTGACGAATTTACTAAATTTTTGACCACCAGCATGGTAAAGTACCACTGAATTTTTTTTGGGTTGCCAATAGCGAGGAGATTCCATGGACTGATCCCCAGCTTTCCTAGGGATTCACGGCGAATTTGCGCCAAATCTCAGTTTACTTTGATGCTCATCGCATTTTTACCATCTCAAAACGCATGGCCGCACCGCGCGCCATGACCCTCAATACGAAAACGATGAGTGTCATCTCACCACAAAAGCTGTTCACGATCACCAGTGTTGAAATCCAAAAAATCCAACTGGACGCCGAAAAATACTCGCCCCCACGGCTTTTTTCACCCATCACCAATCTTCTGACCAAGGCAAAAGAGCCGGAGCATACTATCGACGGACTACCAGTTGAAAAAGCCAGTATATTTTTGCGTGTAGTCGGAGCGGCCTTGGGTGTCAGTGTGTCGCGTGAATACGAGCGTGAAATGGAAAGGGCCACCAAGAAAAAACCGCCAAAAACCACAAAATTCCAGCTCGTTTACACAGGACAAGAGGAACTGGAAAGTTCCGAAAAGAATAGTCTCATTTTCAAAGATCTAATTCCGTTTCCTCATCAAGGTCGCATTTTCATTGGTTTCCCCACACATCAGACGACGGGATGCTGCTCGCACATGGCAGCCCGATTTATTCCAACTGTCGAACGTGAAAGTATCGATTTTGCAGATCGTTATCTGAGCTTATGGAACAAGGAGTTACTAGCCGTTGGAGGAACCTTATCGCGAATTATTTACAATGATACGATGGACGAGATCAACATGCATTATCGTGAATTAATTGGATCGGAAATCGAAGTGGACAAGCTCAAGGTCGACGACAAACTGGAGCAAATCAAATGCATGTTCGACAAGCAAGCGGCTCATGCTCTGCAATCGTTCACTTTCAGTCCGTCCACCCCGAGCAATATCGTCGGTAGGGTCTTTGAGGAGCGCTTTTTCAATTCAAGCAAAGTGCCCTTTCAGATCATGACATCGCATGGCGTACAGCCGATCACCATAACACGCTTATTACCAAGGGACACATGGAGCGGTAAAAACGTCGCGGAAATGCTCAACACCTTTGTCAAAACTATCCCTACGGTGTCCCCATTGCTGATGGAAAACTGCAAAGACGGTCTAGACAAGCTGGCTCGCTTCGGTTTCCTGCAACCGTTCGGTATAGCTGATGTGCTTAAAGAGTTGGATATGCGATCGCTGACTCCAGACGAAATGGTCGCTTGTATGAAATGGTGGATTGAATGCAACCTGGGTCATCCTTCTATCCCGGAAGCCACACGGCAGTCCATCGACGCGACCTCCACTCGCAAATTCATGGAAGCCGCGATTGTCGACTGTGATGGAGACAAACTGTTGCAGCTTTCTGGCGCCAAATGGTGGATCAATCCAAAAATCATCCCTCTCGATCTACCTGTCCCGCCGGATACGTTGCCATTTTCAATTAGCAAACGGTTCATGCCCACTGAACTAGCGCAGTACTTCAAGTACGTAGAATAGGTTGCGATGACAAGACGTATGAGTTAACTAATTCAATATCGCTTTAGTTTCAGCGAACTCTCACTCTTGGACTGGGTACAATTTATCGTCAACGAGCCAGAATTGGAAATGTCTCCCCACTTTGCAGAGAAAATCTTGACAATCATTAGCCGTGGATATCCTCACTGTTCCAACAAAGCACAAGCCGAAATAGCCGCGTTACTCCATCAGAAAAAATGTATTCCCACTCGGTTTGGGATGAAGTTGCCTGAAGAAACGTACTATCCGACTGTCAATCTCTTTGACGACCTACCCATCGTGCGATTCGAAAATCCAAGAGCCGTAAGCGAAGCTTTCCTTAGCGCTCTCGGTGTTAGAAAGGTACAGCAATATGCCACCGGCTGTAGTCTAGGTATCATTTCATACTAATCTCGGGGGGTTTTTTTTTCTTTCTTGCTTCTTGACTTGCTTTGCAGCATGTCGATTTGCAGCTGGTATTCGATCGACTGTTATCGGACGGGAGCTGGTCACATATTGAACTGGTGAAATACTTGACGACCATTCAGTCTTCATTGACCAAGACGGAAATTCAGCGTTTGCAGGAAACCCCTATTTTCACCCGAGAAGGGGAAGAACCTAAACAAAAACTCGTTCAGAAACCCACCAATGCGGTGGACGCCCAAGGGAAGCCGGTGATGGAAACCGTTTCAAAGAATATTTACCGTCGGTACAGGGCACGCGATCTTTATGTGCCTTCTGCTACGCTTCGCAATCTCAGTTTACCGCTTATTTATTGGAATAATCGATGGCGATCGTCCAGTGATGAAGCCAAGTTTTTGGAAACTCTGGGCTTAAATACCCTGCCGCCCCTCTCAGTACTCTTGCAAATTGCTTCGCCCGAAACTGGCGATCGTCCTCTGCAAAATCGCGCTCTAGCCTACCTCATCGACAACCACACCCAATACCAGGACGTTTACAAGAGCGCCACGGTCGATACCAAATTCTTGCCTTGCGAGGATGGCTCCTACGTTGCGCCGAAGGACTGCTTTACCAATCCCGAAGTTCGTATTCTCGGTTTTCAAGTGCTTCACAGCGATCTTCTTGGTGTTCGAGAGAAACTGGGTGTGAAAGAAAACCCACCAGCCAGTCGGCTCCTGGAGGCATTTTTAGACCGTATCGATTTGGATCACGACAAAGCCAAACGCATGATGGAATACATGGCGAGCCGCATGGGTGATTTCACCCACCAGCATTGGCAAACATTGCGAACAACCAAATTTATCCCTGTGCTTGACAAACGGTCGGCCCAGCTCGATGCACAAAAACAAAAGCAACCACAAACTATCCTGGTCAAGCCAAGCCAATGCTATTTCGAATCTGAACAAACAAATTTTCACAAAGAGCTGTTTATTTACGTAAATTTTGGGACGCTTGCCAATTCGTTTCTCAGGAACTGTGGTGTCAAGGATGAGCCCAATACGGTGGAACTGGCGACCATGCTCGTTAGCAATCCGGAAAAGTTTTGGAACCTGAGCGGCGGTGGCGAAAACTATCTAGCTGTATTGCGACAAATTGCAGGACAGTATTCTCAACTGTCCAGACAATCCTCTCTCTTGAATGAGATGCGAACAAAGCCTTTCTTGGTAGGGTTGAAACGAAGTACTGTCTCGGATCAAGCCAGTGTCTCGTCTCCAACACCTGACATTTTGTCAGACGATGAGCCAAGCACCAACATGGATCAATTCGTACAATACCAATTGGCCAAAGCCAGTGATATTTTCATTGCGGACGATCCAATAGGTCAACAAATCTTTTCTCCGTTGTCTGCCCCCATGGAACCGCTACTCGAAGAGTTTTATACAAACTTGGGAAGTCAGAAGCTCTCCAAGTAAGTCAAAAAAAATGGACTGCATTATTGCGAATCTTGCAACTAAAATTCATTTCCGATCTTTAGACAAATCGCGCAAGCTTATACTTACAATGAAGCGATTGGATCGACTGAAAGAGCAGAACAAATGACGGAAATTATTTTCCAGCGTACCCCGATTATCATCTATCAAATGCTCAATGACAATCCGCATCGACGAAAGGAACTATTGCACGATGAGGCTTCCATCAAGAAGCGGCTCAAGGTTGGCTGACTACAGTGGTGTTATTGCATGCATGACGTAAAAGCATTTTAACAGGCAAATTGAAACAGGTACTTCAAGCCAAGGAGCTCAAGGTGATCCGCACATTTAAGCCTACCGGAGAAAAAGACGTGCAATCCACCACCGCGTGTGCTCGTGTGTCCCATTATACCCTTTATATTTCCAGTAGTGGAGAAATCGATTTCTACGATGTTGCGAATGCGCTTTGCAGCTTTCTATTCACTCGGGTGCGATTTAATGATGCCATCGTCGTCGAGCGGTACCTCACCGCGTCGCTCAACAGCTTACGGCGTAAAGGCGTGCCTGTTGATCGTATTCTCAATATCCGCAAGACCGCTCAATACAGCTCAAACCTACCCGAGGAGCCCAGTGAACCTTTGCCGTCAACATTGACATCGCAGCAACTGAAACGCTACACTCAGCAAGTCTTGGATGTATTTGGCGACTGTCGTCCGGATTACATTCAGCAGCTGTTATTGCAGGAACGCGAAAACCATGTGGAAAGGGTTATTGAAAAGTTGCTCCAAGAGGACTACCCGCGAGCGCCGCCTCCCGTAGAAGACGAAAACCCACAGCCAGTGCAACCTGAGCCTAATCCAAAGGAATCGCGAAAGAGTGGCGGCCATCGGTTACTTGATCGCCTATGGTCTTGGGGCAAGCCAGCAGAGCCAGCGGCACCACCGTCGGAGCCGGTGAAACACCTGGATCAAAGGCCATCTCCAGCAGAGCCACCCACCCACCAAAAACCCAAGTTGCCTGATTCCGAAAAAACCATCACGCCCAATTACACGTCGAATATCAAGCAGAATCTGAAACGGGGCATTCATTCCTGCAAGCCGTACTCTGGACAGCAAGTGTTTTCGCCACCACGGATCGAGAACGTGAAAGAATCAAGCAGCTATTGTGACACCACCCCCGGTCACCATCTGATGCATGTGAGCCATTTTCTTGGCATGGAGTTTTACGTGCACAAGGATGTGAAGCCAGATACCGTATTGAATCAATACGGCCAATCGATTCGCGGATTCATCACTGTGATTACGGCACTCGCAAAATTATTTGATTTGAAATTATCCAGTTTGCACATGTTCTACGATACTTCCGGGTCCACGATTGCGTTTAATTTGAGTGGAAGTTTATTCTTCAACCTGAGGTATTATCTCGCGCTACACGAACCCCACTCCAAGGACCCACGAGAAATCCACGCGAAGCATAAGGAGGCAGCCATCTACTGGTTTATGACGATCTGCCATGAATTGGCTCACAATTTTGTTGGTGATCACAGTTCTGAACACGAATTCTACATGTCCTCATTTGCAGAAGTGTATCTGGAACCGCTCATCAATTATCTCGGGTCTTTGGATCAACCGCTCCCCAACGATACTCTTCCAATTTCTTCCCCTTCCTCAGCATCTCAACCCATCTAATTCAACTGTCAGCTGATATCTACTTCACAATGTTTTTTTTTGCAGGTTTCTTTTTTTTGGACTTTTTGTCTATAACAAGTGTACAAATCAATATCTTCGTATTTCTGGCCTTCTTTTCTTTTGCAAACTAATACGAGTAAAATGCTGGATGCCTTTATTCTTCGTCTTCGTCTGCTTTTGCTTTTTTCAGTGCGCGCATACGTCGTTTGTAGCTATATAGAGGTTAAAAAATCGTTAGACGACGATTGATCTAGGTCCATGACAGGGCCAGGCACACGACTTCCAATGATCATGACCCGCCCGATGCACGAAAGATAAAAGATTTGAAAAAGTCAAGTGATTACTTACTCATCATATTGACATTTTTCGTATTCATGACGTTCATTCTCGCATTTCCAAGGAAGGTAAAAGGTTTCGCCTCTGCATTTGTTGAGAGGAATCAAAAGATGTGCGCAATAATCACGGTATTCGAGGGGAATGCGAGCCTTGGCCATTTCCTTTTGGGTGGCCTTCATTTCTACGTCACAAGTAGCACGTTAATATATCGGTCTTTTCGCGTTTAAATCGTATAGCTCTATCGAGTTACCTGGGACGTCCGCCATGGTTTATTATTATTATTTTGAAGAAAAAACTCAACTCCCACAAAACACACAACCAGAAAATAGCACTTGACTGAGGACCGCCGCCGCGGGCGTTTGTTGACGTCAGCAAAAAGGTTTAAAATTCCGACATGTTCTCCACCATATTCGAGATGATTTTTGTCCTTGAGTGTTTCGTGTGTCCTTTTTGGAGCAACGTTGCCAGGGTAACACTGTGCATTAAGGTTTGTCATGGCGACCATGACAGCGTCAACGGAGTTAAACATATTAGTCAGGCTTCATGGCATTGAGTAGACGTCTCGTGGTTTGCAATATATCCAGCAAGTCACGTCCGTTCTTCTTGAGCAGCAGATCTACTCGGCTACGTTGAGTGATACACACACTCAATTGTGCGTGAAAAATTAGCTTCACATCATTGGCAATAATGTAATATCGTATGATCTACGCGCTTTCGCATCATTCAGCTCACACCACTACCGGAAGTATTCCGGTGCTTTTCCTCCCTTCTTTCCCTTTTTCCTTCAAAAATTGCGATGAGTAATGACTTTCTGCTCAAGAAAAAAAACGAATAGCGTAAATGTCACTTTCTCAGTGCGTCAAGCATATTGTTTTGTCGGTAAGATTCTTAAGTACTTGAGCACCCGCAAAATAAAACTGTCAGCACCAAAAAAGCATCAACTGTGGCGCGAACTTTGGCATAATTTGGCATTTGCGTCAAACTTTTTGTCTGCTGCATCGAGCGAATTCTTGTTTCACGATTGTGGTTTATTTCTTTTGCATTATATGGATCCCACATTTGGCATGCAATGAAGTACTCAGATGCTGCCTCTAAGCCTTCTAAGCCTCTCTGAAGCACACAGTGGGCGGTTGCTCCGAAAAGAAATCATCTCATTTTTTATATTGAAATCCAGTTTCGATTGGCATATTCATGAAAACATCCAAAAAGTACCCTTTACATTGTGCATGCAATTTTTGGACAGAGTTTTCGTACTGGTGGTAGGCGCCTGAATAACAGGACTGCTTGCAAGCACCTTCAGCGGCAAGTTGATAAAGTGGTGCTGCTGATATTATGCTTTTATTGGTCACTTGTACAATGGTATGGTAGGTTTTTATCATGTCCTGCTGTATCGGTCAAGGGATGCTATCGCGTTTCTGGTGCCTGATGTGGTTTTTTCAGGAGCAAAAGGAACTTTTGTTCATGTTTTGTAAACAAGATTATTTCTATCAACAATGAGACGACTATATTTGTGGTTAGCGAAAAGAAAAAGTGTTGACAAATGTGTGTGTATCATTCAGTGCAAAATTGAATCAAGTGATTCTGCAGAGAATTGTTCCTTGATTTTTCTAGTGTCACGAAATTTGGGGGCGACCCCCCCCTGTTTTGAAATTTTTCTTCCTCTTTACTTTTTGTGTTTTTATTTATCCTTTCTGTACAATAATGGCATCCCGTGCTCTCTTCAACTCTTCCGTGATCAACTCGGTCAAGCGTGCTGCTGTCCGTCACCAGTCCTCCGTCGCCAACTCTGGCTTCGTTGCTGAACGCGAAGCTGTCAAGCACCACGCTGCTGGTGAGTAACGGAAAACATCGCACAAACCATCATACAACAATAACCCACTCATCCAACTTCTCTCACTTGCAGATGCCGCTGCCACCTGGAAGAAGATCTCCATCTTCGTCTGCATTCCTGCGTAAGCTCACTGAATTTCCTTTTCTTCTTATTTCTTGCCGGGTATTCATTCATACGTCATTCTTTTTAGTCTCGTCGCTGCTGGTGTCAACGCTTACAACCTCTACGAAAAGCACCACGAACATCTCGCGCACCATCCCAAGGAATGGGTCAAGTACGAGTACATTAACTGGCGCGCAAGAGTACGTTTTTTCATAATCTCGAATGGCATGACGTTGAAACTGACTAACCCGTCTATTCTAGGATTTCTTCTGGGGCAAGGAAGCTCTTTTCTTCAACCCCGCTGTGAACCTTTCCGCCTCCGAGGAATAAATTTACAGCCGTTGTAAAATAACTTATCAATAAATGGGTAATAGAAAAGAAAAAGTTGCAATCTCGTATGCAATTCTCGGTGGTTGCAGCTTTTTTTTTCGATTTTGCCTTTTTGTCATGTTCGAGTCCTAACATAACGAAGTTGGTGCTTGTTATCGGGATACAATGAAATGTGAATGACATGTCAGGATTTATTTGGCGTATTTAAAGTCGTAACGACTTAATAAATGGGAGATGGTGGAAAGTTGAGCGCCATAACGTGCCGAGTTATCGTACAGTTCGAACAACGGAACAGCCAGCAGTTTCATATTTTTCGGCACACATAATACCTCTTTATTTTTGTTCATCCCAGTGAGTCCGTTTTGTCCTTTAATGCTTCTTTTCTCTTTTGACTTACTGTGTGGCGGCAAATGTACAAAGTATAGCACTTTCTTTTCTTTCGGTTTTGTAACGTGAGCAGGAATATATGGATACTATAGATAATGAATCGTTAAGATTACATTCAGCGGCAGATTGAAGCGATAAAAACGACGGGTTCACTTACCATGTAAGATTCAAAATTCGGTCGCCACCAAGTACTCAAACACTCGCCAATCTCCCAGTCCGGTTCCTTCGACCACTCGTTAGGATCGCCAGGACCTAAGCGTTCATTGAGGATAGCCTTCAAACCCTCCTTCTCATCCACTCCCGGCTGCAGATAGTGTCCCGGTCTACAGGAGATTGAGATACGCGGGTTATACCATGAGCAAGATCGTATCTACATTGTTGTTTCTACTGTCTCGGCTTACAATTTAAAGAATGCGTTTGCGATTTGCAACATGAGGACGTGAGGATGATTATGTTGATGAACTACAAGTACGGCCTCGACACTGCGTCGCATGCCGTGTTGTTCATAATCGTTTTCTAGTCGTTTTAAGCGCGCAGCCACGGAGGGATCCTCTTCAGGTTGGGCATCTTTTGTACCGAACGTGTAGTTCTCTGCGATGGGGATAGGTTGGTTTTGTGGTGAAATAGAAAGTAAGATGAGAAAAAAGCAATTTACCTAATGGATATCTTTTTTATTCGTATTTTCAAAGGATTAATTCAAGAGAAACGTACAAGTATTATAGGATGAACTGAGTGCTTACAATACGGCTTCAGGCATGCGTTTAAGATGGTGAAGAATAGGGTAAAGAGAACTGCCGGTTGCAGTGAATTGCATAGTTCAAATCAAATCGCAGCAATTTTTAGTGTCGTCACAGTCCGGAGCCATCCTCTCATTCCGAGACGCGTCTGGTTGGACGCGATTCCAATTTTCCCTTTTTTTTTTTTACTTGATTCTTTGTCCAGCTGGGATTGTAGTTTCTCTTGTTTTGTCCCACTTTCTAATTCGTCTTGCTGCTTAAACAGAAAATGGTGGCTTCTACTTTAAAAAGACCCCTTTCTGACGACACCGTCGATAAAGAATCCAAAAAGTCCATGACCGAAAAACCAAACGATGCCATGGACGCCGATCTTCCTCGCGATCAACGTCAGGAACGCGTCTTTGCGAATATGCGCTTAAGGCGAATTGTCAAAGAAAATCACGGCAGCGATATTCGTCAGCTCTCCTTCTTTTTCAACAGCAAAAACTTTTCTGCACCCGTCGGCATTGATCACAATAAAACCTTTGACAAACGTGGTGCCGTTCAGCGTGACCAGACCGATACCAGTAACATTCTAGCCACTGTGGGCGGATGCCAGGTAAGCTGCACTAGTTACATTACCCAGCATGTCACTCAATCATACTCTTCTCTCCTCAGTTAAATGTGTATGATAACGAACACTGTGGCGACCATTTGGATATCATGTCCAACTTTGATCTTGCCGCCGTACCACAGGAAGATGAGCAACTGCCGAAACGAGTGAGTAACAAGAGAAGAATTTCTATTGAGCCACATCGATTGAAACTTGCATGGTTGTAGAACTTGAATACCTTTTGCTGGTTGTATCGAGAAGGAGATGCTTGGTTAGCAGCAGCAGGCGCCGATGCTTCTATCCATATCATTAGTCTAGCGAATTCCCAAGAAATTGATGTATTACATGGTCATTCAAGTAAGGAAATGTGACACTGAGATTATTTTGTCTGCCATGTATTGATCAACTGTCATCTTAGAAATGATTCACGACTTACAATCCAACCCGCGAAATGATGATCATATTCTATCCACATCCAAAGACGGTACCATCCGACTATGGGATGTCAACACACGGCGATGTCTCGTTATTTTCGAAGCCGATGCTACCGTGGCCGTAAGTAGGATCGTCAGGATTGAGTGAAATATAATTTTGTAACAATGCCTTGTTCAATATCAGTGTTTCCATCCCTCTGGCACCAAATTCATCTCAGGTGGAGCCCGTGGTGAGCTTCGCGAATGGACCATTCCAGCACATATGGCCGCTCAGGACATGGATGAAGAGCCACTGACGGTTGAGAAACGACATTCACGCCTCTTGAAGAAAATGCATGGCGATAGCTATATTGGTAAGAAGGAGCAGCCCAGGACGAAGAAGAATGCTAGCTGTACTGATTCACCATGCAGATTGTATACGGTATGCCAACGGCAATGTCCTGACCAAATCAATCAATGGACGCATGGAATATTGGGATGTTGATAGTGAAAAGGTAACTCAAAGCTTACTCACAGTCACTTGCTTTATTTCATTACTTTAAGCCAATAATTTTTTATTGTTGTTAGAGTATTCGATCTTTCCGGATACGCACAGGAGAAAATTTTTCTCGCTTTGATGTGAGCTTGGATGAAGGTTTCTTCTGCGTTGGCACAAGCAATGGCAGCGTGTACATATACAATTTGTTTACTGGAAAGATGGTATCTGAGCTGGCTCATCGTCGATCTACTAAATCCGTGCGTTGTTGCGTATTTTCCCGTGATTGCCGGTAAGTAAACCTTGCTTATGATATTAAAAAGGTCACTGTAAGATAACCCGAATTTATACAGTCAAGTCATCTGCGCAGGTGAAGATGGGTTTATCTGGCGATATGATTACATCGATGATGCGACGTTGCAGGAATGGGCCAATTGGAAAAAGGCCGAATAAGTCCACAAGTCATTTTATCTGCATAGCTTTCAGTATACTGTAATATAAAAGAGTCTATTTTTCTTCTTTATCACGTTCAAGTTTTTTGAATCGCTCTGCTGGGACTCGTTAGTATTTCTCTCGGTTTTCTCCCCAGAGCTCACAAAATTCCGTTGATGCAGAGAAACATCCCGGTCATTTAATCATAAGATATTCTTGAAATGAAACAAAACAATATATGTGGTCAAAACCTCTTGTCATATTCGCTAAAAATACCAGAAAAAGAAAAAGCGACCCTAAAAGACCTAAAGATGATGTTCATTATGCAAAGAAAAAAGCGTTGTGAAAAACAAAAAAAGAGAAAGAAAAGAAGAAAGAAAGAGAGAAACAGGGATAGAAATAGAGGAAAATCTCAAATAAACAGCGGCAATAAGAAAGAAACCATAGGTTAAATGAACGATGCATACTAGGAAACGAGAGGTTCATAGCTCCAGATACGCGCTCGATTGTCTCCTGATCCCGTGGCAAACAACGGTCGACCGCTCGGACTAATGGCAACCGAGATGACTAGTGGGAAGAAAAAATCATGTCAGTGAGCATTCCTTACCGCAGGTGAGAGACAACACGCTCAAGCTTACCCGAATTCTTGTGGCCCTGCAAGATGAATTGGGTTTGGCCCGTTCGCGGATCCCAGAACTGAACGCCTCGATCTTTAGAACCAGATACAACCCAGTTACCGTCCGGCGTGCATGCTACCGATAACACAAAGTCCTATATGCAGTCGCATCAGCATCTCGTCAAGTCAACTTTTCTGGTTTTTTGGTTTGCTCATCTTTCCGCTATTACCTTGTGACCAGTAAACGTCATTTTGCACGGTCCTTTCGATCGGTCTCTGTCAGCACCGTAGCCGCGTCCTTCGTTGGTGCCAAGTTGCCATAATTTCAACGTCTTATCCAGGCTGCCACTGACCAATGTCTTGCCGTCAGGCATAAAAGTCACAGAGTAAACACTGTCCTTGTGTCCTTCCAGACGTTCAAGGAGGTTGCCCGTTCGCGTATCCCATACACGCACCATTTTATCCAGACTACCGGCAGCAACCAAATGACCATCCGGCGAAATAGCGACACTCGTCACACCAGGATCCTTTTGATCCAGATCCTTGATACGAAGCACATGCAAACATTGTCCATCTACCATACTCCATATCCGTGCTGTTCGATCGCCGGAACCGGAAACAATGATACGACCATCTCGACTGAAATCAAGCGAATAAATGTCTTGCTCGTGACCAGACAATACATTGCGAATGCGTTTCTTGGCGATATCCCAGATCTGAAAAAAAAAAGCCAGTGACCCAACGTCAATACCGGGAATATAAAATGGTGGATGGGCACATCATGTAAAAAGACACGTACTCTGATTTGTTTATCTTCTGCTCCCGTAGCCAAGTATTGGCCATCGGGACTGAAGCATACAGATCGAATATACAGATCGCCGTCTTTGGGTACACTATCGTCTTGAAGCACACTAGACATCCAAAAATTTCACTCTTAACGTTGCTGCTTCACTGCAAGATATCGGGCTATTGAATACAGTACCAGATTCGCTGGGAAGTCATCGCATCATAAATAAAGGTGGAACGATTGCATCCTGCAGCAAGATAACGCCCATCCTGACTAAATTTCACACAACATACAACACTGTTATGTTCCAATGTGTGAACCAGATCGACCTTCAAATAGCGCGTAACTTTGGGGTTGAATCTATGCCACCGTTTTCGAATTTCAGTTATCCCAGTAGGTTTTGCATCTCAAATTACATGACTTACAGTGCAAACCAGTCTTGTCCTTCGATTTTCATATTGGCAGGAACGGTTTCCGGATCCACATCGGCCAATCCACCAGGTGTCATGGCACTTGCAGGACCCTTGGCAGGGGGAGGCGTGGGACGACCGGCAATAATGGGTCCCGGGGAATAGCCGGCAGGTGGACCGGACTTGCGTTTATTGGCGTTGGCTTGGGGATCGGCCGCTTGGGACTTGGGAGTACCCGGCGTGACCATGCGAGGGGGGTATGCGTAGCCTGTATCAAAAGAAGTAGGTTGAGCACCAAAAGAATCGGATAGGTCGATGACAACGTGGAGACTGGTTATTAAGCTTACCATGGCCCATTGGAGGTGCAGGTGCAGGCGCACCGTTCATGTACGGACCGGGCACACTAGAGGGCGGTTGCGAGGTTGGGTAGCTGATGTGCGGAGGTTGGGAGGAAGGCTGATTGGGATCGCCCATCTGAGGAGGAGCCACCAATCCCGGAGCTTGGCTATTTGTATGAGCGTTCATGATACCACCGAAATAATTGGAAGCCGGACCGATATTCGGTGGAGGCGGCGCAGAATGTTGTGAAGAGTGCATACCGCTTGACATGGGCATGCTCGTAGGGATGGTAGTATGACCTGATCGTGCTTGTGCTTGATCCAGTTGCTGACGCAATCGGCCGATCTCATCTTCGTATCTATGAAACAAATATTATGCAAAAAGTAACACAGTCAAAAGCACAAAAAAAAGAAAGAAAAAGGCGGGTGTAGACAGAAAAATCAGTATCTCGGTCAAAATCACAACACCAAACAGCAAAAAGTGGGGGATGCGTTACTGTTTTTTAAGGGTTTGTTGAGATCGTTCCAATTCCATCAGGCTTTGTTGGAAATTGTTCATCTCTTGGATTTGAGAGTTCACTGCCAAAAGAAACCAGAATTTCCACTTTGTTTTTAGTTTTCCCCAAATTTCAAATTTCACATCGTATCACTTTTTTTATGCCTACTTTTAAGTTCAAAGTCGTCTCTCTGGGTTTTGCATACATAGGCTTCTTGTGCAAGCTGATCAAATTCAGCTCGGATGTTGTCCAGAATCTCGGCAATGCGGTTCATGGGCGCAGGAACCATCGGGCGATGATTGTACACAGACATTATGGCAGCTATTATACACGTAAGCTTCACGGTCTCTTCAACAAACCGGTCCCAGTGGCCCATGCATAACTCGGTTTTCTTTCCTTTCCTCACCTTCAAAATGTTCCTACGTGCTGTTCCTGATTACGTTCACGGGCTCGACAATAGAAGTTTACAGAAACGATGAAAGAAGCGATAACACAAATATAAACAGAAGAAACCAGAGGCCAAGCCAATAGAAAAGAAGAACTGAAAACTGTAAATGGGATCTTTCGCGTGATGTGTTTGAGATGGCTCTCCAAGAACGGAAGAAACCCAGAAAAAAAAAGGTTGCAAATCCAAAGACGTGACGTTGGGATTTGAAAACCCGCCGTGCTTTCTAAATCCCGATTTTCATCGTGGCTGACCGTTTTTGTGGCGGAGAACGGGGGGGGGTTATTCCCTCCCTTTTTACTCGAAAACGTGGATCAAGTGACTGCGTCGAATCATATCGTATGCCGTGTGTTGTCCATGAAACGAAGCCATGAAATTTCCCAAAGCACCCTATGAAACCCTCAAACACCAACATTTACTGACGTAGAAAACAAACCAATGACACAAAATTAAAAAGCGGCTGCACGAAGTCTCCTTTTCATATTATTGCTGTCAGACAAAACCGTCAATAACCCGACAAATGAGTCATAATGGTTCGTGAGAATAGCGCACAGACGGCAATACCGCAACAATTTTGCTCAGTAAATCATACAGTGGCGGTTATTCAATGGAATTGATGATTCGTAATAATGACAATATAAAGGAGGAAAGTACAAAAATTGACCTTGGACTTGATCACAGCAACCTATCATCAACCCGCAAATCGTATCCTATGAATGAAGCCAGCAGTAAACCTAGTATATCCTAAATGTATCATTACAAGAGAATGGCCTCAGCAAAGATACCGTCAAAATATCACACCTTTTCCATCTGTAAGCAGACCAATTCGAGGCTTCGATATGGTAAAAATGTAATGATGATCAACGTGAAAGCAGCCATAGACGCTACATTGAATAACCGCAAACATGATGCTTCAAGAATGAACGGAGAAGGAATATCCATCGTCTGTCGACAATCTATTTTGACAAACTGTTTCGTAATCTGCATCAACATGTCATCTCCATGCTCTACTGTTACTGTATAAATATAAATTACGGGAGTCTATTTCAGTTCCGATACAGTTGTTACTGTGTTTGAACTATGCCAATGGAAGATCGCGCAAGTCAAATAAAATGTTGATAAAGGTGAAAATGGAAAAAAGAGGGTAACATAATGTTGCATAGATATATTGGATGAGATCAAGACTACCAGAGTAAATTTTTGGCCTGTAAACAAATCTATCGCGTTAGCAACAATTAAAGCTGCAAATGCACGTATTTTTTGTTTACCCCATTGAGTTCTTTAATTCAACTACAAGCTATCGAAAGATCCTCCATACGTCTGACGCAGAATCAGAAGCTTGCCCATCAATTGCGATTCGGCGCACGCTCTCACCGAAGCTCGACAGAAAGCAATTGAGTATGGTAGTACCTTTGCTATCAGTTTTTGAAATATATTGAAGGATATGGTACTTTACAGAGAACATCTTGGCTGATAAATCTGTATGTGCGTCCATTTTTTGAAGCGAACATCCGTCTCGAAAAGGTAAAAAGTAGGAACGGAGTTTAAATGAGGTGCCTGATCCAGCCAGAAAAAAAGAGTCAAATACGGGGCTCTTCCGGTCACAAAGGAATGACCACATCCATGTCTTCCACTTTGTCGTTGAAGCGGACGTTCCGCAAGGCCATGAATGCCAAACTTCTGGCTTTGCCTGAAACAACAATAAAACATGAATGTAAAAAACCACCTGTCATTGGTCTGCATTGTATTCTAGCCTACTTATGCCAACTTGTTTAGCTGAACGGATATTCCAAAGATTGTCCCAACTGGAAATTTACAAGAAAAGTAAAAATATCAGCGTCTATATAAGCATGCCCAAAGGCGAAGTGGATACCTCAGCTATCATCCGTGACATCCTAGCCTCGGAAGGTAAAACTGTCACGCGTGGCTCGCCAGCACTACTACCGGCTCTAGGTATTTATCACATACCCGGTAGGCAAGACATGTTACATCCCGCGCTGTACGAAAACGACCATGGATATGGTTAAAATTTCCTCTTGGGAAGATTACACTTCCTTGCCTAGAAACAAATGGGACATTCCCGAACCGCCTATGAGCGAGGAACGCGAAAATGGTACAGCATTTCGCTTGAGAATCTCGACCATATCGTGCTCACGTTTCTGTCACTAGCCCTAGAGAAAGACGGACTTGATCTCATTCTTGTACCAGGTAAGTAATATTCCACAATGGCAAAATGACCAATGTTAAAATGTCTTGCTATGCTTCAACTTGGCTATTCTAGGCATTGCATTTGATGACGAAAGAAACAGAATCGGACATGGAAAAGGGTAAAAAGATCGGCAATACTTCAAGACATTGATCGGCAAAAATGTGGGGCTCACACATATTCTGCCTAGTTATTATGACCGTTATCTGCAGAAATGCCGAAAATGGAATGCAGAGCATATGAAAGAACCCCCAAAAACAAGTATGTATGACGAATGATTTTGATTTGTCATTGTGTGCCTAACCTATTGGATACTGTAGTTGCCTTGGCATTGGAAGCTCAAATAACCAAGATTGGTGAAATTCCAACGGAAACTACCGATCAGAAAATCGATTATGTATTGACATGCTCAAAACTGGTTGGAGAATAGTTTGTGATTTAGTAGAACTTGGGTCAAAAGAAAAAGTCCCCTCTTTCTTATTAAAATGAGGCAGCGCTGATCTGTTTAAAGTCATTAAATTCGTGAGTCCTTGTGTTGATTCTCCCCTTTGAAATCACTTACTCGGTCTTTCACATGCTGAACAAATTGCTGATAACTCATGATGTTATCGCTGCGATCCTCAATGAGCAGTGACATAAACCACAGACGCAAATAAGGATCACCGTCTTCTTTCACAAGATACAGCGTAGGGTAATAGTTTCCTCGACGCATCTCCCGCAATTTTCCAATAATCATGTTCACCTTTCGATTCAAAGGCTTGTTGTCAAGCGCCGGCATCGTGAACTGTGAAGATATTGCGTCAGGTGATGCGTGGTACGATTTGAAATGATTATTGTCTCATTACCTTGCCGCCACGAAGGCCTTCGTAAGATCGAACGTCGAATAAATCAAGGCAAAGTTGCGGTACAACCCCGCGTGCAACAAAGATGAACATGTTCTGTCCATTTTCCAGCAAATAGCAGCCATGCGGCTCCAGCATCTCCGCTGTCAAATTACAAATTGGTGGTAGAATCACGCCGTGATCAGATACTTCACCCGCCTAACGAAACGAAAAAAAAAAGATGAGTTTCTCAGTCGTTGCTTCCCCGAAAGCAAAGTATTGACTTGCCTCAGGTGGCATATTATGCAGCGAGTACAGATTTCCGCAAAGGTAAGGAATCAGCAACTGCAGTGGCATGGTACGCAGCAGATTCATAGCATTGGCTCGCATGTCCGTTGGTATTTGAGAACTTTGCCGCAGCGCATCCTAAGGCAAGAGTTAGCGTCATGTCGATTCCCCAGAATTCATGCCAATTAAAAGAGATCCAACTTACATGCTTAATCAAAGCTAAAGCAAGTAGCGGCAGTAATTTTAGATTGTCGGGAGCTGCCAGTTGAGGAATCGATCCAGGTGCCGAACCCAGAACATGTGTCTTGTAGACTCCCAAGAGATCCACCGTCTTGTTGACAATGGCATCCCGAGCATCATCCAGTTTCGAGCTGAGAGCGCGCTCGACCGCTTATTGAAATCGTTGTGTCTCAGTTGTCCATTTTATCCAACGTAAAAAAAAAGTCAATGTCTTCTTACCTTTTGCACCGAGGTAAGCAGCGATGGCTTGCTGATTGGCACTTGCATACAATTCACTTATAGAATGGGTGACGGGCAAACACATGGTAATGACTCGAATCCGTCGTTCACCAAAGCAAGTAGTGTGAAGCAAAGCGGTTTGGAAGCAAACAGTTGGACCTTTGAGATCATCTTCGATCGCCACTTCCACGCAATACTGTTGATCTCGAGGAACGTTGGGCAGCGCCAGCAAATCGCTGGATCGAATGAAAAAGTTGCCGTGAAACGCGCTCATGCGCAAATTACGAGATGCACGGATACGAATCACCGCCTCTAAACCAATCTGCTCAGCAATCAATTCCGAGAATTCGTGAGCAAATTTCATGGCATCTTCGGATCGGTTCGCATTGAACCCAGGGTAATAGTAGGTTTGGCCTCCAGTGTAATGAGGAACGCAGCCTACAGATTACATTTGGTGAGAATCATTCATTCCAAAATCCTCTTTCACAGGTTTTTCGTACTCAAGGTCGCGACATCAGAGTATTGACTGCCAAAGATCAACATATCACAGCCCACTTGGGACCGCGAACAATCGACGGCAATGGTTTTGTAAAACGGAGAAGCGGCATTCAACATGGTCGATTCCTATTGTCAAGCGATGAGCTGCAATGACACACATTGTAAAGCACTTGATCAAGAACCGTTACCTTGGCAGTTCCAAGCAATTTCACTTCTTCCCGAGGTTTCAGAGCACCTACACCTGTATTCGGGAGCGTATTTTGCAGGCAGATGATTTTTCCACCTGTTGCAGACTAGCATCATATTACCCATCATCATTAAATTATCATCATCTTCTGCGTACTGTGATCCAGTTCATTCCATCACCTACCAGCATCTCGTAGGCTGCTTGCAAAGCCGGTCCCAAGGCGTTGTTTACATTCACGGTATCTTTGAACATGTCTGGCAATTTTTGCAACAGATTTTCGAGTATTGATTTGCTGTCTCTGAGATTGACAAGCAAGTCTATCGGTTGTGGAAGAAAAACCTCGTCCATGTCGGATACAACAAACATTTGTGGTTCACTGAGCTTGGAGTCCAGATTATAGAAATGCAGAGCGCTGTCGACGGTGATAATCGCGATCCGTGTTCGTGATTCAGCATTTGGAATACGATCCAAAGTCTCCAGCAAAGTGCGTGTCGCGATAGTTAACATTCCTGATTGTATGGCCGCATGCGATACATCAATGATAAACACATAGGCAGGCGCTTCAGGAGGTCGTACCTTTCGAATCCGACGTCAACCATTAAAATCTCAGTACAATAACAAGTCCCTTGACGATGATGCCCAAGATTTTTACCATATATTCCGTAGGCGCCACAAATTCCACACATCCGTAATTGAGTTCCGGTCGTCTCCATCGATCCACTTGTTGTTGGCTCACAGCATCATAATCAAATGCAGCCGGGACTTTTTTACGGAACAATCCTTTAACAGCTGGGCTCCTTTTTCAATCAACGATTGCGCAAATAAACTTACCATCGTTCAGCAGGAAACAAATGTTACATTTCCATCGTTGGCCACCTTCAACAAAAGTCACAAAAGGGTTGATGTACGTTCTACACATACGACATCGAGAAATTACGCTATCCGTGACGACCGGTACAGCCATCTTTTTTTTTTTTTTTCCCAAATAATAACATCGTGAGTGATAGTCCAAATGATGACAAATGCTCGATTTGACAGAGTGTACCTCGAGATCTTTAACGGTTCGATAAGGAGTCAGAACTAGAGCCAATGGCATACGTGATTTTCGAAGCAAGCTATCGGTAGCAGGGATCGCATTCACAGTACAGCATTTATACGAATAGTCGCAATTCGCGTAGGGGGAGTCCGTGATGGCGATCTGTCATTCCATTGTGGATGAGTTGAAGAAAAGCGTAAGGATTAATCGAGTTAACCATATATATTTACATTAGGTGGTAAGCGGATAGGTGGTGGAGGTCCGTAGAGATCGCCAATCACAGGACGTGTTCCTTGCAGTGGCACGGTTTGAGTATTCTAGATATTTTTTTTTTTTCGTGAGATTTTCTTGTCTTTTGCTTGACAGTGTTGCATGATTTTCGTTTTTATTTCACTCACCGGAGTAGCATTTCCCAATCTCATGTTCCCTAGCTGTGCACTGACAGCGTCGACGGGGTTTTGTCCGTAGGCACTGGGAGCCGCTTGGGTAGGTTGGGCAAGCGGAGAAGGTTGCGGATAACCGTAGGACTGAAGAGCCGGTACTGGTCCCGGTGCCGCCAAAGGGGCGGGTGGCACGTGGGGCGAAGCTTGCTCTGTGTACATTTTTGCGATTTGCTCCGGATACATGCGTTTACGACGGTGACGTTCCGACGCGTGTGTATTGATACCAGGTGAATTCGCTTGTATTGGACTTGTCGGCTCTGGTGATGGCGTGGCTTGATTAAGCGTCATTCGGTCATTGGCTGAAGGCACCGGTTGGGAAGGCAACGTCGGTCGTGGAACAGACGCAGGAACATTAGGTCTAGGCAGTTGATGGGGACGATTTACTGACATGGGTTGAGCAAGAAGAGGCTGATTAGGTGGTCTTGCTGCTGCAGGACCGTTGAATGGCGGTCTTGGTCGGACAGGCATACCGTGAGGCTGCTGACCTGGCGGAGGACGCGGCATGGGTCGGAACGGAGGTGGTTGTTGCATCGCGTTGGGTCTAGCTGTAGCCGCTGAGGGCGGTCTCTGTTGTGGAGTCGGACCAGTGGCATGTGGCGGTCGTTGTGGTTGCATGAGCGAATAACTTGAGGGCGAACGTTATCTGTGAAAGCGCCAAGTGGAGGATAACTCTTGCAACGATAAGAGTCAAAAGGCTAGAAGGAAAAAAAAAAAGGAAAATAAAACCAACAAAAAAAATTACAACCACGGCTTGCCACGTCAGTTTTGCTTGGCTTGGATCCCTTCACGCTTTTTTGTGACATTGCCACCATAATCTTTATTTATGCAGCTTTTTCAACTTTCATTGGCGCACAGAGACGAAAATAAAAGTCGTTATTTTGAAAAAAGAAAAACGGTGAATGGCCCATTACCGGTTTGCCATACTGTAATTGCCACTGCAAACAGAAAACCAACCATATACTATGAAATGAGACAATATCCTAGTGGATTATATTCTATTTTATGCTCCATTGGTCGACCTATCCCAAGTCATTCATTTGTCTACCAAATAAATGCGATCAGAAGTGCAGAAGCGCAGAAGCGCAGAGTGACGTATATTTTACTGATTGCATGCGATAAGCACCATGAAAATGGGATGAGATACAATAAAACAAAAAAACAAAAAAGAGGATAGTCTATATCATGATAAAGAATGGAGAAAAAAAAGATTTCAATGTTGAATAAACAGGAAAGTGATGAAAAAATAAATGACAAGGTTTCTAATCGTCGCCGAAAACAATCTTGGTTGCCTTGGGGGCATCCGCGGTATCCTTGTAAAAGGCACCATAAGCACCGTGGGTTTTCTTCTTGATGGTGGTGCCAAACTTCAATAATTCCTTGGGCACAGGCATGTTGGCTTGCTTCAACACGTTGATCAATTCACCCGAGTGGGCTTTATCTTCAGGGGTGAAGAAGGTGTAAGCCGTTCCCTTTTTGCCACCACGTCCCGTACGTCCGATACGATGAATATACGCTTCAATGGTCAGAGGGAAAGTAAGGTTCACCACATACTCGACATCGGGAATGTCCAAACCACGAGCGGCAACATCGGTCGCCACCATGAGAGGGAAGCTGCCGTCCTTGAACTGACTCAGTGCTTGGGTACGCTGAGCCTGGTTCTTGTCGCCGTGAATCCCGACCACCTTGAATCCATTGCGTTGCAAAAACTCTTCAATGCGGGTGGCTTCCTTCTTGTACAATGCGAACACCAAAATACGGTTCGTCTTGGATCGATGAATGTCGCGAAGAAGATGTAATAACTTGTCTTGCTTGTCGCGAGGATTTTCCACCACCTGCACCACTTGCTTCACACTGTGCGATGCGGACAATTCGGGCGAACCGATCGTTACTCGCATAGGGTTTCTCAAAAAGTCGTTGGCCAGTTTACGAACGCTTTCAGGCCATGTCGCCGAGAACATGAGTGTTTGTCGTGTGGCAGGGGTGTGGCCAATGATTTCACGAATTGCCACCTCAAAACCGTCATCCAACATACGATCGGCTTCGTCGAGAACCAAAAAGGACACTTCGGATAAATCGCACGCTCCTTCACCAATAAGATCCATCAATCGACCGGGAGTAGCGACAATAATATCAACACCAGCTTTCAATGCTTCCTTTTGAGGATATTTGGAAACACCACCGTACAAACAGATGGTGCGCACACCAGCTGCCTTGCCCGCCAGTTCGGCTTGTTCTTGACTCTGGACCGCCAATTCACGAGTGGGAGAGACGACCAACATGGTTGGGTTCTTTTGCTTCATCTTACCGGCACCTCGATCGCGGAGCTTCTCGGCAATGTGGACCAGACCAGGAATGGTGAATGCATAGGTCTTACCAGAGCCGGTTTCGGCGATACCCACAATATCACGACCAGAGAGGGTGATGGGCCAAGTGGTTGCTTGAATCGGTGTAGGTTTCTCGAAATTCTTGAACACATCCATGATACTTGCGGGCAATCCAGCATAATCGAATTTGAGAATAGGACGTAATTTCAAATCACCCTGCACATCGATGGTATGCTCCTTATAATAGTCGGTAATGGTACTTTCGGGCAGAGCGGATAAAGCGGGATGTTGCTTGTACAAGTAGGCAGAAAGTGTATCCCAAGTGTTCTCGGAGACGGAAGTATCACTGGCATCCTTGACAACAGATGCTTCGTCCTTGGACTCTTCCTTTTCCTTCTTATGCTTCTTTTCCTTTCTATCTTTCTTTTCCTTCTTGTCCTTCTTGCTCTTCTTATCCTTCTTCACCTTTTGTGAGACGTCGTCGTCTTGACGCTTTCTCTTTTCAGCCTGAAATCAACCACTGTCAGCTTCTGATTTACTCAATGGTAAGTCTTCTGGGCCATTTACCTTTTCGATCTTTGTCAGTGACATGTTCTGGATCACAAAATGGAGGTTTCCGTTAGCAGAAAAAAAAAAAGAAAAAGGAAAATGCAGTGACTGTGACTACTTTTTTATTTTTTTTCCGCCACTCACAGATGATACCGGTACAGCACCCTTCAATGAACAAGAAAAGTAAAAAGAGTGCTATACGGTTTGGTTCTTATTAGCAGTCGATTGCATGTGAGAGAAATTGTGTATCTATTCAATGTGTACAATTAAGAAATACGGGCCCTTTTTGATTATTCAAGGTAATTGACATCGAAGGGACGCCGTGTGGCAAGCTGTCAATTCACCCAACTCATTTTACAGCCAGTTTTTGATTCTCCGATGATCGAACTTTTTTTGGGCAATCTTTTTGTGCTTGGGCTTTGAGCTTTGTGGAGATCTAAACTTGCCTTCTTTTTTCACGCCACCATGCCTTCGGATGCCGATAAACGCCATCAGCTAGAAGACATCTTGTCGGACAAGGTGTCCATCATGGAAACCGACGATGCGGCGGTGGAAGCGACCGAGGAAGAACTAGAAGCCCAATCCGGCTTTTGCGTCGAATGTAAAGATCAAGAGGTAAATACAAGTCTTGGGTTCTCTTTTTATTTTTCCGTTCAATGCAGGATGTTTAACTCGGCTATGTTTTTGTAGGCCGATATTTTTTGTGAACAGTGCAACGAGCCTTTTTGTGAAGTGTGTTCTGGTAAGTAGACTGGAGACTTTTTTTGCACGATGGACGCGCCATGGACCCGTTGGATTCTTTTTTTATTCATGGTTTGAGGGAAACAGGTATGATTCATCGTACCGGCAAACGGGCCAAACATACGCTCGTTCCGTACACCTCAGCTATTGGCAAACCGGAATCGGAAAAGATGGATGAAGACGCCGAAACGCTTGTAGAGCAGGAAGTGGTAAGGCCGAGTGGAGTCGGCCCGAAAATCCCGTAATTCAGCATTTTAAAACTCTTTTATTGCAGCCCAAAGCCGAGAAATCGAAATTACAAGATACACCTGTCAGCAAAAATGCAGATTTCAACATTGGCTCCTGGATGGAAAATAGGTAAGAAGCGATGTGAAGGAAGTGATGGTTTGAAACTGTCGTACTAACGAGGATAACGATAGAGCAAAATATATCCCTTTGCGATTGCACATGAATGAGCGCAAGTACTTACGACTGTAAGTCGAAAAAGGTCCATCTGTGGTTTGTAAACAAGAGTGACTTACGAGAAATTGACAGGTTGGAAGCGGCTCTTAATGTAACGGAATACACTGGTAAGAGTGCACTCTCTTTCCAAAAGCTAGCGGGGAGACCCAGGAACCTAAGATCTGATCATAGATAAAATCGACGCTGCCTCCCATACGAGCAAGGCCAAAAGAATCGTGAGCCAAATCAAAGAACTGTGTGCGGTATTGACGGGATTGGTGCTTGCGTGTGATTACAAACGTGGTCAGGAGTTGTTCGCCGATCGTACCTATGATGAAAACGATGAATTTTTTCAAACCATCTTTGAAATCGGTCGACGACATAAGATCATGAATCCCGAGAAAATGCGAACAGCGTACGGAAAGTTGATGTATCTTTTATCGGTAATGGCTGGTGTATGGACGGAATGGAATCAAGGCAGAAAAAGGACTAATACAGGGGCGGGTTTTAGGACTCTATGATTCCGGAAGTGCAAGACATGCTTGGTTTCAACTGTGTTATTCCTATCAAGACAGTGCACAGCTTTCTGAAAGAACGCCGAGGCTTGGCGGTTCTCCACGAAGATATCATTTTGATCGCCACGAGAGAAATTATACCTGAGGGCAAGAGCAGAACACAAATTCAGACGGAAATTCGACGCAAAGAAAAAGCCATTGAACAGCTAAGTCGCAAATATCAATCGAAGCATTTATCTGCCGATGAAATTCGTCACTGCTTGTACAGTATTGGCGATAACAATGCCTACTTGAGAGCCAATCGGTTAGTCTTTGTTATCATTGTTAGATATCGCATCATGGCTCATCCATATCTCACCTAGTGATCCATGCGAGAAAATGCTGCGGTATCTGGAGCGGTACTTTCATCCTTCCGAAGCCGAGGCCGGTTATTCGTTATCCATTGCAGCAGGTGCAGAAGGTCATCGTCTCAGCCATGACCATGAAACACAGTATATCTACGTGAACCAGACACTCAAGTTGTGGCGGGAAATTCTAAATGAAATGTTCATGCTCTGGACGCTGGCGGACCAAGACATGCTGAGCACCTCGAATCCTTATCGACTATGTCAGACAGGCCAGGGTCTTCATCGAGTTCAGGCATGTCCAGCCGTTTCACGAGAAATGCATCGAACTCTTTTCAAAGCCCAGAAAAAGGCAGGCACATGGATCGGCAGCAGTGTGATTCATTTGGGCGACAAGAACGTCCCGAATGCCTTGATGTTCATTGACAAGGCAAGTGTTCCAATGCAAAAGCAACGGAATATGTAGGCTAACTTTTTCTTTCAACAGTATAATCAAGTGGCTCGGATATTGGGACCGATCTGCATTACACTCGATAAATTAGAAGAATTATCGCGGAATGAGGGCTTACAAAAATTCATCAACAAGAAGTTCGGCAGTGTCGATCGATGCCGGAAAGAAATTTTAGGCAAGTATTCCCAACTCACGGGCAATTTGCTGGATCCCCAGGATACTGACAATGGTTTATTCAATTTTTTCATACAGCCGACTTTTTCCGTGGCGCGTTCGATGGTTCGGGAGCCGATAACTTTTATGACGCTGGCAGTTGTATTGATGGACGATTAACGTCGGCTTGGAATTGGTGTTCACAAATTGAAAGCAAGGCTTATTACCCCGTGTTTCTTTTAACCGTAAGTTCATCTCATCCTCATTCAGTTGCCCTTTTTTCGCCGAAGTCTAACCTTCTGATAGGGATTCGTTGGTTTCGATGGTGGAGGATGGAGTTAGATGTTGTATTTATAGAAAAGGACGTCCAGATGTGCAAATAGATAAAAATGAAAAGCATCGATTCGTCCGTACTATTTTCCTTACCCTTTCTGATGACGAAACGCGCAACTTGGCGTAAGTTATGTCAAATGATGTTTGCTTTGTTCATATAAGCGACGTTTTCTCCTGTTATTGATTCGGTGCAGGTAAGTGACTGATTGAATAAGAAACAGCGATGCTGTGCACATGAATCAGATCTAGTATTTGAAAAGCGTCCTGTAAAATACTGTGCCCAAGATGTAAGACCTTTTCATAATGTTATGTTCAGGCACATTCATTCAGAGGTTGTACTGCGCCAAAGACACTAACCGTTCGTTATGTTGCTGTAAAAAGTAAGAGCAACGTCGCTTTGTGCAGATCTATCGGAATATTGGTTCAAGCCAAATACCTTGTATGTACGTACAACGAAATCGAATGCAACAGGAATTTGAGGGTCCATATCTGCCAATGGCTTGATTAATTTTAGTTAGAGAGTTCTAGAGCGTATCAAAAGAGAGCACGAATAGAAACAGGACATTATTTCAAATTTTTTGAAGGTGACGCTTGATGAAATGGACAAGTATCAAGAAGTGAAGCGGCACTATCTTGTCATGGATAAAGCTCCTATCCACGCCTCAACTGGTACATAGGTCAGACAGTCAATTATCGAGGATACAATATCTTTTTCCATACCCTCCTAAATTTGAACCCAATTGAGCAATTTTGGTCAGTGGCCAGTAGTAAAGTTGAGCGAAAGTAAGTTTTTTGGAATAAGAACCGCCTCAAGACCACGGTAAGTGAGCTCATATTCGAGTGATTCAGAGGGTTTGTAACTCATTGCGCAATACCCCAATATGAAAAAGTCACAAGGTTGATCCAGCATAAAGTCATCACCTGACCACTCTTGGGGGGTTTTTTTTTTTTTTTTTGGTGCCACTTTCTGTCTTTTTTAACCAGCGTAAAGATGATCAGTTGGCCATTTTTTGTTTCTTTTCCGACTATGACAACCATATTATCCGCAGCTAATGGTGCCTCTTCGATTTATGGACCCGAAATCGCTTTGGAGAATCAGCTGTCAGCATATTATCTGCAGCTAATGGTGCCTGTCCGATTCGTGGACTCGAATTCACTTTGGAGAATCGCGGTCAGCCTTACAGCACCCTAAAGATGCTGGTTTGGAAACCTCTCACGTTAGTGGATGGCGATCCCCTCCATTGCAGTCGCTGTGTCAACGAAGAAGGAAGAGGCAGAACAGCAGTGTTTTGACAAGTACAAGACACTGCTTTGTCAGGAGCCCATCCTCATAGCACGAACATGGAGCCTTGGAGATACCAACGTCTCCCACAAGATACCCAACATGAACCCTTTCGGGCTTCAATAGCCCCCTCACGATCAACAGTTCTTGATCGTGTGGCTAAAATCATGCCATCCGCTCCTATCCCAGACGTAACTGAAGAATGTTTTCTTTCGGAAACCGAAGTTCATGATCTCGTTTTGTTTATCTGCCAGACGAAGCTGTCACGTCAGATGAGCTCTCCAGCTGGATGTCGAAAAATGGCTCATGGGGTACGGCAATTCGGACACAATCTAACAAACAAAGAAAGCGTGGCCGATTGCTCATTGTTGTCAAATACCGAGGTAATACCGGGAAACTGCCATTAAACTAACTCCTCTTATTTTGTTTAGAATTTACTTGGGATGATCTTCTCAGTTGTCGAGAATCCCAAGTTCCAGCCTCTGATCGAGGCTGCAACTACTGTATCCGACAATGAAATCACCAAACCCATCAGTGCGGACCCGACGAAGCGGGATATTGTGACCATGTATCATTCGTCTTTTAAATATTGGTGAATATCAATCTCTGATCAAATCATCAATGGCCACCAAGTGTACTCTTGGATATGTACGGATATTAAAGGCAAATGAACCAGATTCAACAAAAAAGAAGTTGGTCAATCTCCAAATATACAAGATGAAGGCGAAGCTCTTGTGTGAAGACGTATTTGTGTCTTACAACACCTCTGCCGACGACCCAATTGCCGAACGGGATGCAACAACTCCGGGGTATACTTTCGAAGATTGCTCCGGCAACACCCAAGATCTAATCTCCAAGATCACGAAATCCGCGCGACAGATTCGCCTTGTCATAATTGACTACGCCGGCTTGTCAATCAACCCGGATGATATCAAGCTCTTCATTTCATTGAATAAGCACATCCGAGAAGTGATCGTGGATATTGGTCACAGGGTGGAAGTCTATTCCCGACATGACTTGCTTGAAAACCCCAAGATTCTGGAAAAATTTCGGTGTCGTAGTGCGTGCGTGAAACGGTCGCGATAATCGTTGCAGTAGCCGTAATACCATAAAAGCATGAAAGCACGCTAGTCACTACATCAACCAGCAAATAAAAAAAAATTACTACCTATATCATATTTGTCTACTCATCCTTATTCTCAATACCATTTTCATCTAAAAGTAGGACATTTCCCACAGATCCAGTGAAAAGCCAGGACTAGGAAGCCCACTTTACACAGGTAAAGAACGCTTACGTATTTCTTTTCGAATCGACCGACATTAAACTCAACATCAGCGACTTATCTATTTTCTGAAATGACTGCATGTTGCTTACCTACGAATGGCTTGCTCCTCTGCTTCTGGACCTACACTGAATCGCTATTCAATCTCTACTGATAAAAGGAATCAAGACGATGCGGTTTTGTAAACAGTGATGATTTTTATTGTTTGAATCGCTGTAACATTTAGTTTTTCTAAAAAGGATTATACATTTCCGTCTGCATCCATTTACTGGCCACCCATTTCCTTGGCGAGCTCTTCGGCACGCTTCTGGACATCGCTGATATCACCCTGCATGTAGAAAGCGGATTCGGGAAGAGCATCGTGCTTGCCGTCCAAGATTTCCTTGAAGGAGCGGATGGTATCCTGGAGCTTGACGAGACGACCTTCGTAACCAGTGAAGACCTGGGCGACAGCGAAAGGCTGGGACAAGAAACGCTGGATCTTACGGGCACGTTCGACAACGAGCTTATCTTCTTCGGACAATTCATCCATACCCAAAATGGCAATGATATCCTGAAGCGACTTGTAGTTCTGCAAGATCTGTTGGACATCGGTGGCGACCTTGTAGTGCTCTTGACCGACGATACGGGGATCCAAGATACGGGACTTGGAATCCAAGGGATCGACAGCGGGGTAGATACCCAATTCAGCAATGGAACGCGACAACACAGTGGTGGCGTCCAAATGGGCGAAAGTGGTAGCGGGAGCAGGATCGGTCAAATCGTCAGCGGGGACATAGACAGCCTGGACGGAGGTAATGGAACCGTTCTTGGTAGTGGTAATACGTTCTTGCATACCACCCATATCGGTAGACAAAGTGGGCTGGTAACCGACAGCGGAGGGAATACGACCCAACAAGGCGGACACTTCAGAACCGGCTTGGGTGAATCTGAAAATGTTATCAATGAAGAGCAACACATCCTGGCCTTCTTCATCACGGAAGTATTCGGCAATGGTCAAACCGGTCAAAGCGACACGGGCACGAGCTCCTGGGGGTTCGTTCATCTGACCAAAGACCAAAGCACACTTGGAATCACCGTCGAGCTTGATGACACCAGTTTCCATCATTTCGTGGTACAAATCGTTACCCTCACGAGTACGTTCACCGACACCACAGAAAATGGAGTAACCACCGTGGGCCTTGGCGATGTTGTTGATCAATTCCTGAATCAACACAGTCTTACCGACACCAGCACCACCGAAAAGACCAATCTTACCACCACGAGCGTAGGGAGCCAACAAATCGACGACCTTGATACCAGTCTCGAGAATTTCGGGGGTGGGAGATTGTTCAATGAATTCGGGAGCATCAGCGTGGATGGGGCGGTGAGCCTTGGCGTTGATGGGACCACGTTCGTCGATGGGTTCACCAATGACGTTGATGATACGACCGAGAACTTCCTTACCGACGGGGATGGTGATGGGAGCACCGGTATCGACGACCTTTTGGCCACGGACAAGACCTTCAGTACCGTCCATAGCAATGGTACGGACAGTGTTCTCACCCAAATGCTGAGCGACTTCGAGGACAAGACGACCACCAGCATGGTCCTTGACTTCAAGAGCGTTCAAAATAGCGGGCAAGTTTTCCTGTTCGAACTGAACATCGACAACAGCACCAATAACCGAACTAATGACAAAATAATAAAGTAACCAGAAAAAACAAAGTTAAAATGAGTCGTGCTTTTGTCTTTGACTAGCAGCAGTACATACCGAATCTGACCGGCGGAAGTGGCTTCAGTAGCGTAGTTGCGAGCTAATCATGATAACATCAAATGAGATTAGTTGAATTGCAATGTAAATAAATAGATATTTTTTTATAAAAAAAAAAACAGAAAAACAAAACAAAATGACAAGTGTTCTAACCTTTGAAAGCGGCCTGGACACCCAAAGGACGGGTGGCGAGTTTAGCAACGTTGGCGGACTGGGCGCTGAATGCGCTAGAAGCAACGCGACCGAGCGCACGAGAAATGTACATGTCGCGTAAGAAAAAGACAGTGGGGCTGAGGAGAAGACAACGGGCCTAGCTTAAAAAAAAATATTCGCTCACGACGGGGAGCGGAGATCCAAATAATCTGTAGGGGTGGTGAAAAAAAAAACCGTGACCTGGAAAATGAAAGTCAATACTATATTGACAGGGAAGCCTACTTAACTATATGCCCATCATATTATAACAGTCAGGTACATGCCAAAATATATACACAGCATTACCGTCCATATGATGTCCTAGAAATTATATATCTCTATTACAATCATTCAGTGATGGAGGCTTTGGACCTGGGGGACAAATAAAAAAAAAAATTTCGACTAGAGAAATGTGACGTCAGCTTTTTTCATTCAGCGAGAGGCCGCAAACAAACGCCTGGGTCCCTTCTTGATCGACCGCCGTTGAATTTCTCCTCCCTTTACTCTTCCTTACTTCGATGATGAACGTTTTCGCTCGGTCCGCTCGCGTCGCTGTCGCTGCCGCTAAGCCCGCTCGTTTGGGTACTTGTTCACCTTCCAAACCATCGCTCGTCGTAATGACCACCTTGTATTGACGTTCGCTTCTTTTCTTTTTGTTTATCCTTAGCTCGTTTCTACGCCTCCGAGGCCCCTGCCACTTCCGAGAAGCTTCGCTTGACCTTTGTTGTTCCTCACCAGGTGAGCCTCACGAGAAAATAACAATGTTCTTTGTCCACTTCCGAGATTTAATCCTTCGTCTCATTTTGTCAAAATGATCCTAGGCCATCTACAAGGGCGTCGATGTTCAACAAGTCAACTTGGCCGCCACCTCTGGTGATATGGGTATTCTCGCCAACCACGTTCCCACCATTGAACAATTGAACCCCGGTATCGTTGAAGTCATCGAATCTGGTGATGTTACCAAGAAGTTCTTTGGTAAGCAAAACTTCAACTAAATCTTGGTCCCATTAGCGCAGTAACGCGTGTCATGACACATGACGGCTCATTGTTCCATTTACATTTGTTTAGTCTCGGGTGGTTTTGCCATTATCAACCCTGACTCTTCTCTTAACATCAACGCTGTTGAGGCTGCCAAGCTTGAAGATCTCTCCATCGAGGTATGTGTGGGGGAAAGGGTCTACACAAAAAACCTGGGGACGACGAAAAAGATTTACTTAAAACATATTTTTTTCCCTTCACTTTTTTAGAGCGTCCAATCTGCTCTTGCTGATGCTCAACGCGTCGCAAACGGCAACGGTTCCGAAGAGGAAAAGGCTGCTGCCAAGATCGAGGTTGAAGTCTACGAAGCCATCCAGTCCGCTTTGTCCAAATAAACTATTGCTAGGGTAAAGTTTTAGAACAACAATAATATATCCAAGGTGATATTAAAAAAAAACATAAATTCAAATCAGTACAATTGAAAAGAAAAAAGAACAATATGTATATCTTGGGGTTTTATTATATTCGGCGGATGTTTGGGGGTTTTCTTTTATCAACTTTTTAAGCAGCTGTCTTTTGGGCGAGAGTAATTTTATCTCCTAAAAGGGACACAAAAGAAAGACACGGGCAGAAAAAGGTGGTTAGCATGATGTATAAAATAATGCGATATTGGGATGACAGGTCTTACCTAAACTAAGGGCAATACCCTGCGTCTTGCTACGGATGCGAATGTGACCTGTGATGGGACCCTCACCGGTCTTTTCGATGCTAAGGTTTGCCAGTGCATCTTCGCCAAAAATGCTGCGAGCATACATATTTGCAGATAAGAAACCGCAATCGCCTTCCAATTGCTTCTCAGGTGTTAAGCAGTTCATGTTGGTCGATGCCATGATGTGATTCAAGTAAGCTCGCAAATCGCTAAGAATGACCCCATAATCAGTATCAAGGCATAGCACATACAAAATGTCACTCTGAAAAAGACTTACGAGATATTTGTGTTGACATTGACTTTGTTCTCCCATTCAAATTCGGTCCACATGCTGCGGAACTGGGTTTCCGTACACGAGGCAGGATTGATATAATCCATAATATCAATATGGATATCATTGAGCACGATGCAGTTGCTTTCCGAGGTGCCGTGCGAATCGTAAACGATGTTTCCGAAAATGACCCCGGTCTCAGTAGAAGACACCTTGATAGGTGCTTTGATCGTAAGGAATGAATGCGGTCCCAAATTGTGTGTTGCTGGTCGATCCACCAATTTCAGATCGCCCAATGTCGCAAATTCAACTGTAAGGTTCTGGAGTGTTTCAGCCGTTTGATTCACGATCAATACATCTAATTCATTCAGGACAATTTTAGTTTGTCTTGTTGCTCAATGATCAAGTACATGCATCCTGCATCGATGGCTTACCCATAAGAATGTCGTATTGATGCACATTGACCACCGCTTCTGCGTATACTTGATCCGAGAAACCGGTCAACTGAACAATGCGGTTCAGCTTGGAGATCAAATCGTCCTTGGCATCCAACACACCCGTAGCACGAGATAAATCTTGTTCGTACTAGTAAAAATAAGAAGATGAGATATGCGGATAACTTTTTTGAGTATCGACATGAAGGTGAGATCAAAGGAAAATACACATACCTCGTCAGCAGCAGTATCACCGCCCTTCTTGGTAAATTGTCTAAAGACAATTGCATCGTCCACTTGGATCTGAACGCTCGCTTTATCCTTTGCTCGCAAATCAGCCGCACGTTGCTGTGGAACGAAAAAGACAAGCCCATATGAAAAACTGACACCATCACCATCGTTGAGCGCACAGTGACTGCAAACATACCTCTTCCGCATGCACTTGCTTGGCATAGGCGGCTCTGGTTTCTTCAAGATATACATTCTCAACCACCTTTTCGTGTGTATGGCTACCGACCACACGCAGTTCTTGCATGATACGGTCATAGGAGTCTTCATCAATGTGATAAGCGACGAATTGGGATTGACCCACTCGAATAATACTGGTCATAATCAACATGGCCTGTCATTTGTATTTTTTTTTTTTCACCATGAGTATGCTGTCATATTTTCCGTTTTCTTTGCAACCCGGTTCAAAAAAAAGGACTTACCTCTGCTTTGCGGCCATTGGCAAGGGCAGCGTCCGAGACGAGCGAGCTATAGCGCAAGACCAATTTGGTGAGCGTGGTGGCCAAGACGGAACCGAGGAAGTAGTCGCCGTTAAGAAGCAAAGCACGAAGCGGTGGTTTGGTCGCCGATTTGATGGCATCCAGCTTGCTAGACGTGCCCGAAGGGGCAGTGTAAGCACTTTCCGTAGCATAAGTACCATCGGGAAGAACGCGGCGAGGAGCGGCCGAGCCAGAAGGCACTGCCTTGTGTTCTTCCTCTGGACCTTTTTCTTCGGCTTCATCGGCTTCCAACAAGCGTTGTTCGGAGGCCAAAATAGGGATTTCGCCCAAAGCCTCACGAATTTGTTGCCATGCGTCGTCGATCTCCTTGACACTTTCACAGTATTCACCAATGATCCACAATGCGCCGCGGAACACCTTGCCGGATTTCATATCCATGAACGTTTCCAGCAATTTGTCGAGAATCGATGCCCGAAGGTTGGGGAACTTTTCTACGACCTCACGGACAAACGCAATCACATCCACCGCCGAAGGATTGTTGGAATCGCCCAAGAATTCCATCAACACGTGAACAACGTTGGCCGCCACATCCGAGAATTTGATAGCGCATGTGTGGATGGATTGAATCAACAGTTGACGGTATTCCGTGTTCTACAGAGCAGAGGTTAGTTATCATTGACGTTTCCATTTCATTTCCTCGAATGCCCACCTTTTCGTATTCTTGGTCGTGGGTCTTGCTGAGTTCTTTCTTCAAGAAAAGAACCATTTCTTGGACATTCGACGAAGACACCATTTCCAAAGCAATACGAAGCGCCTTGCGACGCACTTCAATATCAGGACTGCAAAGCAGTATGAGTCCAACCGAAACTGTTTAGCACAAACTAATCTGACCATAATAAAAATATACCTTGAGAGGACACGCAAAATGTCCATCACCAAATCATCCAACACACGTTCATGCTTTGATTGAATATCCTTCAAGCGGTCCAATACGATCAATTTTACATTATTATCCGACTCCTTGACGATCAGTTCGATGTAGCATGATGCAGCCGCTGTTACATAGAGTTGTGAGTAGATCATGACATGATTGGGAGAAAACAACAAAATGCATCAGTCAACAACAAACCTTTGACGGCGGCAGGATTGGAAGTAAGGAACATCAGGATATTAGCCGCTTCATATTTCACAGAATGCGATGGGGCGCTCAAAAGCTCAGACACACATCGAATATATGCATTCTAACGAAAAACCGACGTTAGAGGTCAATTTTCAGTAAAATTATTGTCATGGTTTTTGAAAGCCCAACCTTGGCTGCTGCGTTGGTTTTGCTGTCTTTGCGGATAAGTTCGATGACGGCTAGTTGAAGTAACTCGTCAAACGATGAGACGATATTGATGTTCTGTAGCAGGTATTCCACGGCCAGTTCTTTGCTTATATTGCAGAGAACGGCAAAAGCGTTGCGTCGGCAGGTTTGGTCCGCTTCCTAGATGAGACGAGTGAAACAAAAGGAAACGATGGCAGTGAATAAGGCAATTCCCGGTGCAACACAGTTAAGTGATGTGGTGAACGTACCGAAATCAAGAAGTTGTGAATCACTTCGGGAGCATCAGGAAACAAAACGTCAAAGTGCTTGAAAATGGCACCAATTGCGAAAACGGCGTTTTTGCGAACGTAGGAATGGCGATGTTCCTGGTTTTCAATGAAAGGAATTAGCATTACGCGAGGTGTGGGATAGACACCTGTTTTTTTTACGCTTACCAAACAAGGTCTCACGGACGGGACCAGAGGCTCCAAGACTTCGGCTTCTTTGATTTTGCATAAGAATCGTAGGGTGGCACCGCGAATGTATTCGTTGGGATGTTGCAAGTCGTTTCTCAGGGCATTGCTAGAGGGGAGGAAGAAAAGAAAACGCAAGTCAGCACACTCACGTCGTCGATGGCTTTTTCTATTTCAGTGGTAAAAAAAAAACGCACCAAACAAGAATAAATTCTTCTTTGAGCTTGCCATCCGGTTTGGTTTTGGGGCAAATTTCCCAGTAAAAGTGCAAGAGCTTCTTGAGTTGTTTGTTCTTGGAGGGCAAAACGAAGCGGATGACATGTAACAACAACTTTTCCATGGGATCTCCGTTGAGCATGATGACCAAGAGTTTCTTCATGGTCTTGATACGAGCTTCATCCGAGCCTCTCTCGAAAGCCCGTTGGAATTCTTGAAGGCTGGGTTGCTCTGTCGCGTCATCCTGATGGACGAGGGTGTAACAAAAGTCGGTGGACATCTTGTTGGCTTACTCTTTGTTGCTTTTTCCGGTGACAATGTCAAAAAGGCGCGTTCAATAGTTTGGGAATGGTTCAAGGTGACGAGACTGTGGAGTGGGATTTCCTCTCTGTATCGTCGCCTGCTGAAAAGAAAAGAGCTTTCTGATAGACCGGCTTAAAAAGAGAGACTGTGCTGGAAAATTTACACAAGCGAAAACCTATCGGTCACTCTTCTGCTACGCTGCTTGCCTCTGATTGGCTATCAGATCAACTATGTCATCGATTGGCGGCGGGGACGGCTGGCAGGCGGCTGTCGGACCTTCCAAATCAACTGTCGTGGTCTTTCATTGGCCTGAGACTCTCTGTCTTGTAACTGCAACCATTCTTACTGTTAAGAACAATTTTTCTTTCACCATATCTTCCAGTGTTTAATTTTCACTTTATCGAAACTTACTTGCTGTTCAAAGAGAACTTATATGGAGTGGGATGCTGGATAGGATCATAAGCATTAGCAATCGAGAAACTTGCAAAGATCATGAGAATGTTACTAATTCATGCCGGAACAGATAAATACGTCCGTGTAAGTGTCGATAACCTTCTTACGAATATTCGCCTTTATTTTGGTATTTATTGCGCCATATTGAGGGTTAAGGTTGACGTTTGATGGCTTTGATGGTTATTGGAGAACGTGCGTGCCGTGCGTCTTGCTTACAATAATCTCTTTGCGATAGTTACGATAAAACGGTGCTGCATGATTTGAATGTGAATAAAGGTCAGACATCCTTGAGCCTGAAACTTATGAGTCTCCTTCTTCAGCCGTCATTATTGACGCTGAATATTAGTTTATCAAGCGTTGTTACGCTCAACATTGTAGTTCGTTCCTGGCTGGAGGTCTGTTACTGTCTACGCTAAAATTACAGAATAGCGTTTTCAAAATTTTAGATCAACCTCAAGGTGGGGACCAATTGCTCTATAGGTCTTGAGCGGAATGCGACAGTATACTATCATAAAAGTCCTTTCTAAGGCTCAAGACATGTAACTTGAGCCCACAATCGAAATCCACCCATCAAATCTGAGAAAGATGACCACAGACATATCCTGATCTGGACACATTGCACATGAAGGTTAAAAGGTTCGATAGACCGGACGTGCAATCTGACCATCGCTTTGACAAGTCCATGCTGGCTCCCTTAATCCTGAAACTGTGGTTCGTATGCTTTGAACGGTAGTTCTCAAGAGATGCATCGGATAATGTTCACATGAAGAATGCCACGCAGAATGGACGGTTGCAGTCCTTTCGACTCGTGCGATAAAGTCTTGCTATGCTGGTGAAGCTACCGTAATAAAGACATGAGAATACAGCATATCCATTATGAAGAATGGATGTATTGGGTTTAGCCACAGGGTCGATCGTCCATTTCGTGGCATAGTACTCCAGTTATTGATAGTGAAAATTCGGATGACCATCATCATTGAAATGGAGATACGGGCATTCCAGTGCGAGATCATGAGCAAGCTGGAACAAATGTTTGTATTATTCTACAGGACGGAATTTTGTTCTTTTTCTACGGTGCGCCAAGAGTTGTTTAGCACACCTCTGTAATTCCATACGGGATATTCCTGTTGTATATTGCCTGCTGTATCGACTAGAGAAGGCTTGATTCAGCGTCCTGGAAATCCACAGCAATCTGCGACGCTTACCTGCTCGACTGACAATACGCGTGCGACGTTTGGTGTTGATGGTCGCTCGCCACAGACACCATCCCCAGGTGTGAACGGATTCTTTCTTTTCCGCGGATGGCTGATACAGCTGGGCTTCTACCCACGTTTTGCCATCGTCACCTGATACATCAACGCGCTGAATGGCTCGCCCGCCTCCTGCATGACAAACATCAGCAATTTTTCTTTTAGAGTTTGTTACTCGGATCATCTCCTTTTTTTTTCCACGACCTATTCTCATCGTATCCTCCTGATCTCAAATCATTCATCCAAGGGATTGCATCGTACCTGACACTGCGTAGCCCTGTACTTGGACGTTTTGTGCGGCTTCTTTGTTTTGTCCATCCGGTGGAGAACACACATACGACTGTACATTGTATTCTCCAATCGACGGTATCTTGCCCCAGTATTTAGACGCTTGTTCATCGTTCTCTACCTACGATACCAAGGAAAGAACGGAATGAGTATGAGGTACACGAGTGGAGTAGTAATCAGCTGTTGCAGATCCTACATGTTCCGGTAATATCTTGTAATCTAGGCGTTGGAAATATGAAGTAGACTCATCGTCCTGAATAGTGATTGTTTTCAAAAACTTGACGGATCTCGCTCCAATGTAACCTGGCACCACCACACGAATAGGGTGGCCATGATCACGCGTCAACGGTTCATGATTCATCTGGTCAAGAAAAAATTGGGGGAGGGGAGGGGGGGTTGGGTTAATGCGTTTTGCCCAACTTTCCCACGCTGAGTCTCAACATAGACACTCACCTCATATGCCAGTAAAACGTCTCCAAATTCATCCCTAATAAGCAACAGGCGTCACTACACAGCCAATTCATCGGATAATGTGCCACTTACAGTGCTTTTGACAATGGGATGGATGATCCATAACACTTGTCCTCTTCGCACTACGATAAACAATATTGCCGTTTCAGAACAATCCCGCAAACGGAACCTGGATCACTGTTTTTCAGAGCTACCTGTTCGACGGATTCAAACGCTACATGAAGTTGACCAATGTTGCACAGTTTCGTGTCGATACCGGCACTCTCCAACACGTCCTTGAGTCGGCATCCGCCATAAACAGCATTGCCAATGGCACCTGCTCCCCAAATGACCTAATCGTACGTCATGGTTAATGCTAACCCTGGGTTTCCATGGAATTATGTGGGATCCATTTTTTGCTTACGCCTTTTGTATCCTTGACCCGATGAAGTCCGTCTCGACGGTTCCCCTATGAATGCGTGTCAATTTGAAAAATCAAAGCAGTCAATGGCCTGTGATTAAAATCAACGTACCGCGCACTACACGAGAAAAAATAAGAGGGTGAATGACTGTGGTGGAAAAAAGGATCAATGTAATGTCTCGGAAAATCTTTACCTGCATGACCATCATAACATGATGTTTCTTGAACTTTTCTTTGAGATCTTTTACTGTGTAGTGACACTCTCGATTTCTTACACCCAAACCCTTGATGGTGATGGAATGCGTATCGTTTAAATCAGGAATGGGGCCGTGTGATCGGCAAAAGAAATACGGTAATGGTGTGATATAGTTCTTGACAAGGTCGGTTTGACGGGCTTCCGCATTGAAAGGCGCATCTTTGAGTACAATAAGTTCCGAAAGTTCGGGACGCGAAGGATCTTGTGAATAGTTCAGTTCAGGCATAATAGAAGAAGAAAAAAGGAAAAACAATCAACAACAAAGAGATGTAGAGGCAAAAAAAAAAGCGAAAGAGATCCTTGATAAATAGGGAACTTTTAGATTTTCCGCGATCGACTTTTTGGAACAGAGGAACGTCACACCTCAAAAAGGAGGAGAAATTATTGTCATGCTGTCATTCCTTCTATTTTAGGACAAACATCCAACCAAAAAAAAAAAAGGAAAAAACAAAAAAAGGAAACCGTCCATTTATCGCCATGTTGGGTTTTTCGATTTTATACAATCTCCATCCCCCCCCCTACTCTCTCTTTTTTTGCTTTTTTATTCAATGGACCAACGGTCTGTGCTTAATTTTTCTTGACCGATGGGGCTCATAGAATGAGATGTAGCGAGACAAATGGTAGCATGAGAAACTAGAGATAAAAGGATGAGGCAACTTGCAAACAAAGCGTTTGAGAACATGAACAAAAATACTTACTATGATTGATCAAGCCCAAATTAAAGTTCCTTAAACAGATTACCGCGACAGGCACCGATACCTGAAAAGCAAGTGTTGGATTTATCATGCTACTGCTGCGCATCCAACCTGCCGGACTTACCAAGATCAGAACCATATCCACACACACTATATCCAATAAAACAGTCCGCATCTTTTTAGTCAAAACCGACATTGGGCTTCTATTATTACAGTTCAGCTTCCACTTACAGAAAAAGGTGAGAAATGCTTTGGATCCGACGAACCGTTCAGGGTCTTGCGATATCTGCACCAAGGTGTAGATGAAATAAGCCATACTTGCCGCTGAAAGCACGATAAAAAGATACATATGCAATTTTCGCTCTCGCCGTAACTATGCAACTGGATCAGAATCTTGCAGTCCTTTCTTACAAGTGACGCAACAAGGCATTACCCCCCAGTAAGCCACGATAAGCATGACGACCGAGACGAGACAGCTCAGTACAATATGCTCGATCAGTTCTCGAACAAGCATGGCTTTGGCTTCCGTTGTCGTTGCTTCAGGCCACCATGCCACGATAAGAAGCGCCAGATACTGAATAGAGAATCCAAGAAAGAAAAAGAAATCAAATTTTAACAGCATCATGAAAATTTGGTACATCTTGTAACGGTCTACATATCATGTCCCAAAAACCAAAAAAAAAAAAAGGTCAGCTTGGTATCATCTAGAAGCTGTTGTGAACTTTCTCGGTGTTACAGTACCTCGCATGGCTAGATCGGCGCCGATCTTCTTGTAAATGTGCCAGCCGAATTCGAGGTATAATTTGTAAGCCAAGAATACAAATACCATGGTACTGATGAACATGATACAGATCTGAGTGACTTCTGCCCAACGAGACGCATGATAAGCGTCGCCCAAAAATTTCACGGCGAGTTGCACGCTTCGATCATCGGTATTGGCGAACAAGGTCGAAGATTGATGGTATTGAATGATGGAATAAGCGCTCATACCGAATTCGAAAGCGACCAGCGCAATAAGCTGAATGGTATTTTTTTGATAAATCTTTTGCCGAGATAAAGGAAAAAAAAAAAAAAAAAAAAAAAGAGGGAGGACACCCCAATGGATTAGCACAATGAAAATCGAAACGGTTCTCAAGTTCAACTGATTATCACCGTCATTCAGACCCACTTACAGCATCGACGAGGAGAATCATGGCAAATAACTGAGCGATAATGAATAGAAAAAAGTAGACGAGGAGGGATCGGGCATTGGCGTACGCAGTGATAAGGCTTTCACCAAACCCTTTCTGGTTAAGTCGTTCGTCTCGAATGATGCTGATTTCATTGGCATGATACGAGAAAATAATCGATTCAAAGATAATAGCAAGAGCGGCTTGAACAGTGATATTCACAAAGATGGCACGCGTCCAGCGTGATTCACCAAACTGCAAGCAGAGATAGAATAAAAAAAAGAGAGTGTGGTTTGTTTTCGTAAAAAGACAAAAATTATAGCAAAAATCGACTCGTTCATGCTGTATACAGTTTTTTGATCGTAAAAGGATCACCTACCACTCGTGAAACTATCCACATACGAAAAAAAAAAAGCTAACGGCGTTTTCTTTTTATAGACAGCGCAAAGGGAAAGAAAAAAGTTCGAAACTGATGTTTGTGAATTGCAATGCCTGAGATGAGAACCTTTCGAAATGATATAAACTAAAAGGCAAAAAAAAAGGAAGGAAAGGAAAAAGGGAGTAAAAAGAACAGGAAGAACAAAAAGAGGATAAAAAAAAGAAAAAAAAAAGAGAACGATGAAGTGAACGGACAAAAGGGGTTGAAAGCGGTTCTAATTTGGCCAATGGTAGATTTTCATTCGTCAAAACGTACTTTGCTTTCATAAAAGTCGATCAACTAACCATCATAAAGTGGTTAGCAAAAAGCTCTCAAAAAACCATGGATCTAGACATTTATAGTACCTTGGTAGGAGCACATTCATGCAATTCTTCCACTAAATGCGCCGTTTTCTGTCCATTGGTCCTGAGGTTGCACAAAGAAGAAGCCAAAACGTCAGCCGTGGATTTAAAAAGAAACCTTAATGGTGATCTACTTACCATATGACGTAGGCTAAGAGATGTTTTTTATTGCGTGTAGGTTGGACCGTCATGATCTCCATCAGATCTTCAAACCAATTCGTAGAGGCACAAGGCCAATTTCCACCATAGCTGAGTACGAAGCCTTGTCGTTGATATGTGTGCGACAAATCGCCTTCATCAATATTGAACTGTTCCGCCATTTTGGCAAACCGATTCATCAGTTTTGATGATTTGCTTTTCTTTTGGTTGTTGGATTCGACTGGCACGCTGTTCTCTCGTTTGCGCTTTTGGGGTTTTGTACTTTGAGGAGCGTTACTGGGACGAGGTTCATGCTGTTCCCAATAGTCATTGCATATATCGGGACAATCTCTGTCATAAAAGAAAACCAACAAGTCAGTGAAGTCAATATGCATCCTTTCCAAGCCGGACGGTGAACCTACTCATGGATATTGGTTGCTGATTCCATTGTATTTTCTTTTTCAGAGTAACCCTTCCATTTGATTTCATATTTCACCACTTTTCCTCTGTAAATACGGTGGCTGCGGATCGCTTCGACTTCGTATACTTCCTCCTCCTCTTCCTCCTCGTCTTCATCTTCATCTCCATTTTTGTCATCTACTTCAGCGCTTTCATCCGTGCTTAGGCTTTCCGTCGCTTTCTGTTTCCCTTTGTTGCTCGTCTTTTTTGCGACAATGGGTGCGTCGTCAGCTTTTTCGCTTTCTTCAGTTTCTGATGCTTGTTCAGCGGCTATTTCAGCGATGGATGGGGATGAGGGTATTGCCGGATCTGGCGTGAATAAATCGAACGGTGCTGTTGGGGCTTCTTCTTCTGCAGCCTCTGGCTCTGACACAGCAACATAATCGTCAGCAGTCAATGAAGGATCGACCGAATGTTCCGACTCTGCAGCTTCCGATCCCTCAGGTGTTGCAGCGATTTCCGTGGTTTCAAGAACATCCGTACTGGCGATGGATTGATGGCCGCTGTCAGAAAAGTGCGCGTCCGTGTCATTGTCATTGATAAAAGTCGCCAAAGATTTATCGTGCTTGTGCGTTTCAGTGACAATTGCATCGGTATCTTGTCCAGCATGGGATTCGAGTGTTGTCGTTGATCCTTCCAAAGTGTCCTCTTTCGTCGACGCGGTAGGGTTGTCAGTGTCAAGGACGTGTTCAGGTGAAGAACGCGTGCTATCTGCTGTGGTTGTAAGATCTTCTTGACTGATCTCCACGCTTTCAGTGGTTGAAACAGTTTCTGTTACTTCTGTGGAGGTTTTTTCGCTAATGTGGATCGTGTTTTCATGGGCGTGCTCAGGTACAATGATGGTTGTTGTGGTCACTGTGGAGAGACCATGCTGGTGACCTGTATACTTATCCGTGATAGTGAGAGCATCCACTGTTTCTTGACGATCGAGAGCTCCCAACAAGCCCTCGTTTTCTTTGTTATGCGGGTTGGGACGGGTTATTGGGTCTGTGTGATCCATGGTTTATGAATGAAGAAATGATCAGGAAAGAAATTTGTTCCCAAAATGGGGAACTTTTTAGTGACTTTCGAAATTGCTCAGACGCCGCATTCTCACCCAACATGCCAGCTCAATATTGGATATGATAAATTGACCATCATACATATGACACTTCCGAATAGCATGCCACTTTAAGAGGATGATCAGAGTGGAAAGAAACCAATTGATTATATTATTTAACCGTAATGATTACCAAAACTGTGTTTCTGGATAATCGTCAGCCTGCGGTAGCCTTGACGCGAGTCAAGAGGTCTGTTCGATGAACTCTTTTTATTGCCTGAAGATATAGTGGCTTACTTTGGGGGGTTTTTGATATTTGATTATTCTCGGTATAAGAAGTCTTTTCATGGAAAGGACTTGTGATTCCGAGTTTTCTGAAACTGTAAAGGTAATAAATTATTGAACACCGAGGTTGGAAAAACTTGAAAGCTTTATATCACAATCATGTTATTTGCATTAGAATACTTAGGTAGGAATTGGTCCTATTTCTGGATCGAGTGCAAACATGCAACTGCCGGTGAGATGGCTTGAGAAAGGCGTTACTGCTTTAGGAACAACCATCGCTCCCGCAAAAATAACTCTTGTAAATTATTGCCCATCGAATGCACATATATGCCCAAGCAACGGAACATGAGTTTGTTTCTAAAGATGACCGGACCAATGTCAGACTGTAGTCTATCGCAGTATGTATTGGATCACTGGTGGAAAATCAGTGCTAATATGAGTGTCTGACCTGCACAATGAGACACCACGGGTTCATGTGAAAAAATTTATGCGCACTTCATTCGATTATTTTCTGGAAGTTACTTTCCAGAGATGGCATTTATTTGGTACCAATACTGTAGTAACGATGGTGTCAGACAAGGGGAGATTATAGAGTGGGACAGTGGTATCGCAGCAAGAGTTACCATAGGGAACAACCTAAAGGCTTCTGAAACGGTGGGGTCGCTATGGTATCCAAAATAGGTGCCTTCATATGGTGTTGATGAAGAGATACCATACGGACTCATTTAATTTGGAGGTTTTACGGATCAATTCAAGCACCTGTGGCTGCATTTCAATCAATTACAATGGACAAGGCCGGTTCGCGTCTCAAGTTGAAAAAATAATCGCGTTATATCTGTTTACAATACAAGAATATGGAACTAGAATATTGCGGATCTGCTGGTTGGATTCCTAGCATCATATTTTGATCACGAGCGACTCGCACGATCCAGTAAAGATCAGTATCCGGCAAGATATGGTCACCTTGTACAAAAAATCGACGAATCAAGTATGATGGGGAAGTATCCTATGGTCGATAAAGCATGAATTTAGATCGTATGCAAGAATGTGTATATGAGTATTCGAGATTGTATCGAAAAAGAGTGACAGTGGAAACATGAGCGAACTTATTCACGAGCGACTGAGTTCATTAAGAAAATCCCAGCAATAGAACTGCTGAATTATCGTCTTTTTTGCCGAAACTGATGACTCTACGATCTGATATATTATCTGGTGCTCACTTACAACGAACTGAAACTGATCTACCTACCGCAATTTACCAATCGCCTTACCAACAAGCCGAAAAATTCTAACAACGTGTTGGATGCAATCAAACACACTCAGGTATCGCAGATGCACATGAGCTGTCACCATTTCTGGTTCGGAGCTTTAAAAAGCGAATTTTTATTTCCTTTTTTATCTTTACCTCCTACTGCCATAAATGGAAAGGAAGTAATCAGAAGTAATCAGAAGTGATCAGAAGTAGCCAATCAGAAATAATCCAAGCTTTTTAAAATTTCTGGTTCGGAGCTTTAAAAAGCGAATTTTTGTTTCCTTTTTTATCTTTACCTCCTACTGCCATAAATGGAAAGGAAGTAATCAGAAGTAATCAGAAGTAGCCAATCAGAAGTAATCCAAGCTTTTTAAAATTTCTGGTCCGGAGCTTTAAAAAGCGAATTTTTGTTTCCTTTTTTATCTTTACCTCCTACTGCCATAAATGGAAAGGATGTAATCAGAAGTAATCAGAAGTAATCAGAAGTAATCAGAAGTAGCCAATCAGAAATATTTAAAATTTCTGGTCCGGAGCTTTAAAAAGCGAATTTTTGTTTCCTTTTTTATCTTTACCTCCTACTGCCATAAATGGAAAGGATGTAATCAGAAGTAGCCAATCAGAAATATTTAAAATTTCTGGTTCGGAGCTTTAAAAAGCGAATTTTTGTTTCCTTTTTTATCTTTACCTCCTACTGCCATAAATGGAAAGGATGTAATCAGAAGTAATCAGAAGCGGTCACAAGTACTTTATGCCATGGTCGGATCAATGAAAGCTGAATAAAAAATAAAATAAAATAATACCCAAAAACAAATGATTTATTGGCTTATGTATGGGGAATCGGGTATTCCGTTTGGCCACCGACATAATACACCAGACTAGCCAAATCTCCAAAGGAAGTTGATCAAGGCAGCACCGTCAGGTAGTCATTTTCCTGGCTCAGTTATCGATGTCCCTAACACCACATATGCCAAATGGGTAACGACTGCCCAAGTTGATTAATGACTCATGTTTTTGATTTCTTTCTTTACTGGTAACAAGCCGTACACCCGCTGTGCAATGGATGCCACCTGCTACTGGATGCCGCACTCTTACATTGAGCGACATTCGTCAGACAAAAGCCTAAGGCAATACGGCATAACCTGGGCGAGACTCTTGATGGAACTTTGGTATATTAATGTCAATACTCTGGCATACCATGAAACACTTTTAATGAACAAAGCAGCACTTATTGACCCCCTCCGTTCTGTCCCGCCCAAGGTTATGATAGATCTACAAAGATGTGTGGGAATGTTGGGTATTTAAAAAAAATGAGTTAGTAAGCTCTGTGGTTGATTCAAATTTCGTTGAGATATTTTACCTTTGATGTTTGATGCAGCAGATACCGAGGGCTTCCCGACCGAAATAAAGAAAAGGGTACAAATATACTGGTAATAAAAAATAAAAGTCATCTTTTCAGTCTCGCTGACTTCTTGATATTTTACCCCATCTCAAAACATCATCTTTCTCCTACCAGGTCGGGAATCAATAATATTATTTCTGGATTCTGCGAAGATTTTTGATTTCGAACAGCCTGTTTGCCAGCAAAATCTTGTTGCTTGCATACATGGCCACCAAGTATAAAAGAAGTTGTCATGACACATGACCATGGTTGCCCAATGATAGAGTGCCAAAAAAAATCATAATAATTGTTTTTTATTTCGGATTGAAAATATGAGGCTATTTATTTCTTGGTTGACTGATCAATGGAAAATGATGAATCGGCTAATAGAAAATGGTACGGCGGCAGGTGAAAAAACCAAACACAGCCGCAGGAAAAGGCGTATGGGGAAAATCAGGGCAGCAGAATCAGCGGCCATAGTCGCAAAGATGAATTATTGTAACAACGTACAACTTTGCTATTGCCACTTATGGTGAGCAGCAAAGCATGTTGTTTATACCTTTTTTCGCTCTTCCTTCATCCGCTCGTCCTGTCATACTTCAGCTTTATTTCCAGCACACTTTTATCACGAAATTTGTTTTCATATAATTTGTAAGTGCTTGCCCACTAAAATTTATCTATAACCTCTCGATTAACGTCATAAAATAACTTTTTGTAAAGAAAAAAAAAATTGATAATCAATGCTCCAGAGTAATACTGTCACTGTCGGATCCGATTATGATACATCGGTGGTTTCCGCTTTGCGGTTCCGGATCCAGCTCTAAAACCTGGATAATCGTGTATTCTCTCTCGTGATGAAAGAAGTCAATTAGCTGTGAATACCCATCCATACAATGCTCCTTTTTCTTCCCTAATATAAGCATCCTGGCGATCTCTAATGTTGCTAGTGCTAACGATGTATGTTCACGAATGTCTGTTTCTGTATTGGACTTGTAGGTAACATTGATGAGCAAGCTTTCGGGAATTTCTTGAGTCTTAAAACTCGACTTTTTCGTGACAGCAGAATATCATAGGAAAGTGGCTTTGGATCACACAGTGGCGTTAATGCAAGCAGAGGATCCGATTCCTTCGACCTTCATATTCAGCCTGACCTTTGAACAAGTCTTTCCAGATCGGACTAATATAATAACGAAAGTAAGTTTATTGGACACAGAACAATTAGGTATTTTGTATTGATAATGAGAATGACAGCTTGAGATCTGTGATATTGAACTAAATATTAAATGTAGTGAGTATAGATCTGAATCGATGAAGATCTTGTCCTTCATAGCTTTTCGATTGGTTATACTGTACAAGAGGCTGTCCATAGGCCTCTGGAGAAGAACTGGTCTTATGACGATGTCAAAGAGAATACTCGCTTAAGATGAGGTTACATTTCAGGCAGTTTGAATGTAGTAAATCAAGGATAGTCACTGTCGCATTTGTGAGCCTGGAGGAGCAACTGCATGTGAGCTCACCTCGTTAACAGTAGTTTTCAAGCGTCCAATACAAACCTTCATGTATAGTGGAAAATCCTGACACAAAATCATCAATGGTTTCTGCGTGACTGACCAACCATCAAACACAGTAGGGCGTCCGAATTTTTCTTTTTTTTTTTTTTTTTTTTTTTTTTTTTTTATCATATCACTTACCTCTTCTTCCATTTATACCTCCATTATACTTTACGACACAATGAACACCGCGGACGGCCCCTCGTTAGGACGCCGACTCATGCCGCTATCAAACAGAGATTCTTAAATATCGACAAACTCGAAAAATCAAAATTGACCACAATCTCCAAAACCAGAATTCGCCTCTTGCGTAAGACGTCCCTATAAACCCACCGTAAGAATTTTTTATGGATGACTTTTAGAAATAGTAACTTCTTCGAAGGTTGGTTGAAGATTATATCTTATGAAAGAGAGCGCGTTGGATAGAGTCCAACAGTTTCATTTTTCATTTCCACTCATTAATACCGAACTGTTTTGGCACAAGTGATTGTCTTTGTTGTGTCTTCCCGTAGAGAGTCGGTAGAACCGGTAATCTTTCCATAACGAATAAGATATTCTTAGTTTGCTTAGTGTAACTTTATCGATTTTACCCAACAAAGATTCCTGCTGCTTATAGAGCTACCGGTTCAGGAAAAGCCTAGTGTGAACGTGACCTGCGGTACACATGTGACACTATTTTCAAACCATTCACTCAAGGTATTGACCTGGGAAAAAGCGGATACATTTATAAGCACTCAATTATATTACAGGTTATGACTATCCTAGGTGGTCTCCCGTGTTCCTTTCCCTTGCTGATCAATACGCTTCCACCTGGCATATAAGTAACTATACCTCTTGTCTAACCCAGGGATGGCTGGAATTTTTATTATTATTTGTGTAGATGCGCTGGAAAAATTACCAGTGCTATCTTGCTGTGGGTCTGAGAAGCCTTTTTCAGAAATTACAGCAAGTGCTGTGATGTTATACTTTCATGCAATGCAAGAACGCTCGGTAAGTTAAATGTGAACATAAGAAATAAGCGGGACTCTAATAAGCAATCTAGGAAAAAAGGCCACCCTAAAGCTGTTTGCATACAAGACTTTTGATGCCAGATGATTAGGATGACCTTCCCGGCAACAACTCTACCAGTAATACCGTTATAAGCTCCACATCGAGTACATGATTATAATAACTGCTCCTTAGGAAAAACCTTGATATGATCAACCATGAATTTGCCCGGGTTAAATGCGTGATCAAATCGAAAGAGAAAAGCTCCCGAGAATGAATGCAGGTCCGAGGGACTGGCGATAGTAGCATTTGGGGACGCAAATTTGAAAACGACGAAAGGATATGCGCCCTTCGCGATCAAGGTACGGCATGATGGTCAAGATATATCCCAGAGCGTCTTGTTCATCAAAGAGTCGCTAGGGAGTCCGGAAAGCCCTTGCTCAGAAAGCATTGATAATTCTCGTTGACGAAGACCTAACCAGCAAGGTGTGCAGTCGGTGCGATTCGGTGACAGTCCAAGTACGAAAGATGAGCAGCTGCTCGTATGCAACCACAAGTAAGCTATAGCGAACTACAGCATTGTATCGTCGTACTAACCCCGATAACAGGAAGACGTACTGTCTACTGAGAAAATGTCCATAAAAGGCCAAGAAGACGGTACCTGGACGAAGATCGGAACATCATTTGTCGTTCATCGAAATGCCGTCAGAGAGCCGCAGGTAAGTCCAAAAAAAGAACTCATTGAAGTTATGTTAATGATGCTGATACGCAAGTAGGTCGATCTTGGCAGCCGTCACTTACCCATTAAACTGTGCCCCCCAAGTGCAAATCGGCTAGTGGCGATGCCAAATCACTGGTAAGTAAAAATCAGGAATTCTGAAAAGGGTTTGATAAATGACCATTGGTGTTTCATTTTAGTCGCCCAAATCAGCTCTCCTCCACCTGTTCTTTTGTCGTCCAATCAACGCACGAGATGCGCTAGGCGGTCAAACTGCCCCTTAATTGTGTCTTTTTTTTTTTTTTTTTTTTTCGCATGCCTGGTAAGCTGTGCTTGAAGGTGTAATTTGCCCTTGATGTCACTCAATTTGAATTGGCAGTCCCATTATGTGCAAACTCTATGTGCATTTAGCAAAACCGGGCGATTCTCCAGAAGCAACGGACCTTTTTTTATCTTATCATGGCTTCCTTTTCTCTACTTGGGTGCCATGTGTGCAAACAACAAGATTTCGCTGTCAAACAGGCACTCCGAACCCATCTCCGAAGAATTCACAACATTGTACTTCCACCTGGTAGACGAGGTGTCTCAAAAAAGAGCTGTGCCGATCGTCCGTATGTCTGCCCTTCTTGTGCTGAAACTTTTGCGTCCCTTGACGACCAAGCTGTACACATCGCATATCATATAAACAGGTGAGAATTTGTCGACACCATTTTTTATATTTTGATACCGTTTCGGCTCAATTTTTTAATAATTTATCTCCATGCATTTGTTTGACATGTGTGTAGACAGTTACAATTGTTCTTGCAGTATCAAACGTCATCTCAAGCAGTTTCCACTTCGCCCGAACCGTCCACCAGCAGCACAAATCATGATGACGGCGGAAACAATGCCGAACTTGGTGCCATTAGTCCAGAAAACGTGAATCTTGATATCTACGAGCCAAAGGCGGACGATCGTTTCATGATCGATGGATTTGACGTATCCAAAGCCTTTTACGACTTCCAAGTTTCTGTGCACAAGAGGATACTTCAAGGCGAATACCTAAAAATGGAATCACATGTGCAACATGTATTATCATTATCATCCATCTTTTTGGTCAAGCCTAAACGCTTTCACGACGATCTTGTGCAACATATCCCTGACACTGTACTTGAAAAGGTTGTAAAGGATTTGGCCGAGAAATTTGACATTTGCACGCATACCATAAGCTTGGATCTTACGAGCAGATTGTTTCCATTGATTGATGTAAGTGTGACACAAAAATATTCCGTAAAGAATAGACCATTGATATTACAAGATCGTTCTTATTATCACTATGTAGGACGTGCTCAACAACAAAATCGACCGAGATGAAGCGACTATCAAGATGATGCAGTTAAAAGGTCAAACTTCAAGGAAGGAGTACCGAATTGTGAAGTCGTTCGCTATGATCATGCAAAAAGCACCCGAATACTGTATTAGCGATACAATAATGGAGCAAGAGCTCATCACCCGGTATTTGGAGCCGGCATTGGCACCTTTATTTGACGACATCCTGCATGATACACTATTTCGTTGGACTGCCACAATTAATCAAGAATCAAAAGCAACCACTGCTATATCGATTAGCAGGAGCAGGCCAGATGCTTGTGTCTCTGGATTGCACGGCGTCACTTGGGGCATTAGCCGAGGCTTCGGCGAGGTGAAATCTTCGATAGAAGCCAACAATAACTATTCGGTTGCGCGGGATCTCATTCGACTAGGCATATTCGCCAAAAACGCTATTGATCTCAACAATATGAAGGGATGTTTGGTGTTCCAATCGGTTGGCCGGCACACGTTTTTTTATCTGGTGACTCTTCTGCACGATGGGGTCTATGTGATGTATGAAATCACGAAAATTGAAATCCCTATGTGCATCTCAGACTTGCCATCCTATTTGGGACAAATTGGTCGACTAATGCATGTTCTTACAGTTTACCAGGACTATTGTGTCCCAGCTGATCAGAAAGACGTTGGCAGCCTACATTCAGGAAAAAGGAAATCGATGACTGATCCACAACACGACCGAATCCTTGATCCATCAAAAAGCAGGAAACGGCAGTCCGTCACGACATTTCGCCTCCAATGATTCCCCATCTCGACTTTTTCTTTGAAGGCGATTCTCTATTAAAAATAATGTATGTAATCGACTTGAACACATCATCAACAAACTGTATATAATAAACCATCCACAATATTCGTTAATTGATAGTCTACAATGGACCGCGCTTATTAGGTTTGTCACTATTGTGCTTATCTCTCTATAATCGGTCGTCACTATACTTTTACACTTTCAACATACATATTCCACACTTGGTATAAAATAGTCTTCAAACTCTTGTACATCGTTTGGCCACAACTTGGCTCCTGTTAAAATTAAATAGTCTCTGAAACATTGCGTTTTTTGCGACCATTGCCTTGTAAAAAAGGCCGGGCACCTTCCGACTGTACATAAAGAGAGAAAGGTTGCTCTTTGATTTCAACAATGTTATATCCTGTCACAACAAATTACAGTATGCCTTGCCGCTGTGGAGATACGGATCATCGGTAAATTACGAGCTCATGGTGTGTCCGTTGAACACCAGGAATACCAATTACTGAACGGTTTATTCAAGGGCAGCCGTTTATTCAAGAAGTACAATCGCAGCAGTTTCTTCAGGTACTTCTCCACAATAGTTATACCACTTCGCTTGATAAAAAAATTATCGAAAATGCACTAGAAAAAAGAAGAAAAAAAGAGAGAGAAAAAAAAAAAAGGGACCTTACCCAGGCTTGGCCAATGTGGACGTGTGGGACCACCATGAACCACAAGCTCACGGAGTTCATTAAGAAAATCCCAGCAATAGAACTGCTGAATTATCGTCTTTTTCGCCGAAACTGATGACTCTACGATCTGATATATTATCTGGTGCTCACTTACAACGAACTGAAACTGATCTACCTACCGCAATTTACCAATCGCCTTACCAACAAGCCGAAAAATTCTAACAACGTGTTGGATGCAATCAAACACACTCAGGTATCGCAGATGCACATGAGCTGTCACCATTTCTGGTTCGGAGCTTTAAAAAGCGAATTTTTATTTCCTTTTTTATCTTTACCTCCTACTGCCATAAATGGAAAGGAAGTAATCAGAAGTAATCAGAAGTGATCAGAAGTAGCCAATCAGAAATAATCCAAGCTTTTTAAAATTTCTGGTTCGGAGCTTTAAAAAGCGAATTTTTGTTTCCTTTTTTATCTTTACCTCCTACTGCCATAAATGGAAAGGAAGTAATCAGAAGTAATCAGAAGTAGCCAATCAGAAGTAATCCAAGCTTTTTAAAATTTCTGGTCCGGAGCTTTAAAAAGCGAATTTTTGTTTCCTTTTTTATCTTTACCTCCTACTGCCATAAATGGAAAGGATGTAATCAGAAGTAATCAGAAGTAATCAGAAGTAATCAGAAGTAGCCAATCAGAAATATTTAAAATTTCTGGTCCGGAGCTTTAAAAAGCGAATTTTTGTTTCCTTTTTTATCTTTACCTCCTACTGCCATAAATGGAAAGGATGTAATCAGAAGTAGCCAATCAGAAATATTTAAAATTTCTGGTTCGGAGCTTTAAAAAGCGAATTTTTGTTTCCTTTTTTATCTTTACCTCCTACTGCCATAAATGGAAAGGATGTAATCAGAAGTAATCAGAAGCGGTCACAAGTACTTTATGCCATGGTCGGATCAATGAAAGCTGAATAAAAAATAAAATAAAATAATACCCAAAAACAAATGATTTATTGGCTTATGTATGGGGAATCGGGTATTCCGTTTGGCCACCGACATAATACACCAGACTAGCCAAATCTCCAAAGGAAGTTGATCAAGGCAGCACCGTCAGGTAGTCATTTTCCTGGCTCAGTTATCGATGTCCCTAACACCACATATGCCAAATGGGTAACGACTGCCCAAGTTGATTAATGACTCATGTTTTTGATTTCTTTCTTTACTGGTAACAAGCCGTACACCCGCTGTGCAATGGATGCCACCTGCTACTGGATGCCGCACTCTTACATTGAGCGACATTCGTCAGACAAAAGCCTAAGGCAATACGGCATAACCTGGGCGAGACTCTTGATGGAACTTTGGTATATTAATGTCAATACTCTGGCATACCATGAAACACTTTTAATGAACAAAGCAGCACTTATTGACCCCCTCCGTTCTGTCCCGCCCAAGGTTATGATAGATCTACAAAGATGTGTGGGAATGTTGGGTATTTAAAAAAAATGAGTTAGTAAGCTCTGTGGTTGATTCAAATTTCGTTGAGATATTTTACCTTTGATGTTTGATGCAGCAGATACCGAGGGCTTCCCGACCGAAATAAAGAAAAGGGTACAAATATACTGGTAATAAAAAATAAAAGTCATCTTTTCAGTCTCGCTGACTTCTTGATATTTTACCCCATCTCAAAACATCATCTTTCTCCTACCAGGTCGGGAATCAATAATATTATTTCTGGATTCTGCGAAGATTTTTGATTTCGAACAGCCTGTTTGCCAGCAAAATCTTGTTGCTTGCATACATGGCCACCAAGTATAAAAGAAGTTGTCATGACACATGACCATGGTTGCCCAATGATAGAGTGCCAAAAAAAATCATAATAATTGTTTTTTATTTCGGATTGAAAATATGAGGCTATTTATTTCTTGGTTGACTGATCAATGGAAAATGATGAATCGGCTAATAGAAAATGGTACGGCGGCAGGTGAAAAAACCAAACACAGCCGCAGGAAAAGGCGTATGGGGAAAATCAGGGCAGCAGAATCAGCGGCCATAGTCGCAAAGATGAATTATTGTAACAACGTACAACTTTGCTATTGCCACTTATGGTGAGCAGCAAAGCATGTTGTTTATACCTTTTTTCGCTCTTCCTTCATCCGCTCGTCCTGTCATACTTCAGCTTTATTTCCAGCACACTTTTATCACGAAATTTGTTTTCATATAATTTGTAAGTGCTTGCCCACTAAAATTTATCTATAACCTCTCGATTAACGTCATAAAATAACTTTTTGTAAAGAAAAAAAAAATTGATAATCAATGCTCCAGAGTAATACTGTCACTGTCGGATCCGATTATGATACATCGGTGGTTTCCGCTTTGCGGTTCCGGATCCAGCTCTAAAACCTGGATAATCGTGTATTCTCTCTCGTGATGAAAGAAGTCAATTAGCTGTGAATACCCATCCATACAATGCTCCTTTTTCTTCCCTAATATAAGCATCCTGGCGATCTCTAATGTTGCTAGTGCTAACGATGTATGTTCACGAATGTCTGTTTCTGTATTGGACTTGTAGGTAACATTGATGAGCAAGCTTTCGGGAATTTCTTGAGTCTTAAAACTCGACTTTTTCGTGACAGCAGAATATCATAGGAAAGTGGCTTTGGATCACACAGTGGCGTTAATGCAAGCAGAGGATCCGATTCCTTCGACCTTCATATTCAGCCTGACCTTTGAACAAGTCTTTCCAGATCGGACTAATATAATAACGAAAGTAAGTTTATTGGACACAGAACAATTAGGTATTTTGTATTGATAATGAGAATGACAGCTTGAGATCTGTGATATTGAACTAAATATTAAATGTAGTGAGTATAGATCTGAATCGATGAAGATCTTGTCCTTCATAGCTTTTCGATTGGTTATACTGTACAAGAGGCTGTCCATAGGCCTCTGGAGAAGAACTGGTCTTATGACGATGTCAAAGAGAATACTCGCTTAAGATGAGGTTACATTTCAGGCAGTTTGAATGTAGTAAATCAAGGATAGTCACTGTCGCATTTGTGAGCCTGGAGGAGCAACTGCATGTGAGCTCACCTCGTTAACAGTAGTTTTCAAGCGTCCAATACAAACCTTCATGTATAGTGGAAAATCCTGACACAAAATCATCAATGGTTTCTGCGTGACTGACCAACCATCAAACACAGTAGGGCGTCCGAATTTTTCTTTTTTTTTTTTTTTTTTTTTTTTTTTTTTATCATATCACTTACCTCTTCTTCCATTTATACCTCCATTATACTTTACGACACAATGAACACCGCGGACGGCCCCTCGTTAGGACGCCGACTCATGCCGCTATCAAACAGAGATTCTTAAATATCGACAAACTCGAAAAATCAAAATTGACCACAATCTCCAAAACCAGAATTCGCCTCTTGCGTAAGACGTCCCTATAAACCCACCGTAAGAATTTTTTATGGATGACTTTTAGAAATAGTAACTTCTTCGAAGGTTGGTTGAAGATTATATCTTATGAAAGAGAGCGCGTTGGATAGAGTCCAACAGTTTCATTTTTCATTTCCACTCATTAATACCGAACTGTTTTGGCACAAGTGATTGTCTTTGTTGTGTCTTCCCGTAGAGAGTCGGTAGAACCGGTAATCTTTCCATAACGAATAAGATATTCTTAGTTTGCTTAGTGTAACTTTATCGATTTTACCCAACAAAGATTCCTGCTGCTTATAGAGCTACCGGTTCAGGAAAAGCCTAGTGTGAACGTGACCTGCGGTACACATGTGACACTATTTTCAAACCATTCACTCAAGGTATTGACCTGGGAAAAAGCGGATACATTTATAAGCACTCAATTATATTACAGGTTATGACTATCCTAGGTGGTCTCCCGTGTTCCTTTCCCTTGCTGATCAATACGCTTCCACCTGGCATATAAGTAACTATACCTCTTGTCTAACCCAGGGATGGCTGGAATTTTTATTATTATTTGTGTAGATGCGCTGGAAAAATTACCAGTGCTATCTTGCTGTGGGTCTGAGAAGCCTTTTTCAGAAATTACAGCAAGTGCTGTGATGTTATACTTTCATGCAATGCAAGAACGCTCGGTAAGTTAAATGTGAACATAAGAAATAAGCGGGACTCTAATAAGCAATCTAGGAAAAAAGGCCACCCTAAAGCTGTTTGCATACAAGACTTTTGATGCCAGATGATTAGGATGACCTTCCCGGCAACAACTCTACCAGTAATACCGTTATAAGCTCCACATCGAGTACATGATTATAATAACTGCTCCTTAGGAAAAACCTTGATATGATCAACCATGAATTTGCCCGGGTTAAATGCGTGATCAAATCGAAAGAGAAAAGCTCCCGAGAATGAATGCAGGTCCGAGGGACTGGCGATAGTAGCATTTGGGGACGCAAATTTGAAAACGACGAAAGGATAT